TCACCTACTCTCTTCCAGCAGCCGCTTGTTTGTAGCGAGACCTCCAAGCGAGTCCATTTCAGACTACAGCGGGGTGTCGCAGCTCAAGGAAGAACATTTATGATCATTACTTCATGGAAATGCAATCAGACGGAGACGCTAAGGCAGAAGAACTACCGCGTCTGCAGGGTAAAATGATTAATATGATGATTATTACTTCAAGGAAATGATGAAGTTAAAAAGGTGTTTGGTGGCTTGTGCTACGGCTAGGACCCTATATGTACTGTTGATGAAGTTAGGGGCTGTTCTGAGCATTATTTGTGGCTATAGAGTGGCGTTTTGGTTGAGGTTTGTTTATGGCTCCTCAGACCGCTGTGTATTGCAATCCTGCAGTCATTACTAAAGTTGGTATAACTAGAGAAGCAAGCAGTCGGCAACATTCATCTCTTGAGGGGGTGTCTAACTCAGTGTTACGGTGTGTTTGACCCTAAATTAATTTTACGCCAGAATATCCCTTTAATGTGTCAGTCTGGCATGTATTTTCTAAGTCCAGTTACAGTCAGTCGAGGCAATAAATCCATTTTTACACATCGTGAAATCAGAGGCATGTAACAGGAACGAGTTACTGTGGCCTGATTTACTGACACATTTCATGAATGAGATGTCGCTTCAACAAACATCCGTGCAGGTTTCTTAGCTACAACTGGACAAAACCTGCTTTTAATGCGTGAGCTGAAAGGAAGATGCATGGTGGGATTTATGTAGGATGGACTTTTAAGCAGTAAATTCTGCAGAAAGACCACTGAGCCGCTAAAATAAAAGTCTAACTATAATATTTAAGCATGACGTTTAAACTTTGTTTCTGCAGCTATAAGCAAAATCTCAAATGATCACTTACACCATGTTTCAGACTGAAGAGAGGCCTCTTCTCCTCCATCTGCTCGGCTCAAGCGCTCGATGTATAGTTTAGTTATTATGTCAAAGGAGCCAAAAGTGCGTCCTTTAAATTAAAAGTTCACTTGTTGTTCTGGGTCTATAGAGGAGGAGGATCAGCAGTTTTTTAAGAACACTTAAAACTTAAAGCAGCAGATCACCTTCCTGTCACCTCTGTGGGGACACTCCATGCAAAGTTTTCTTTAGATACGTCGACCTGATGAGAACTTTACGTTAAAGCACAAACCAAAGTCTGTCAGATCTTACAAATCAAACCGACAGTTATGATGAATTCCTACACAGATTAAGCCTAAAACGGAGAAGCTTTAACCTTATTTCAAGGAAAAATTCCCAGAACAAACACACGTGAAAAGATCGGAATAGTGCATGTTGAGCATCCTTCACTACAGGCTCTAAATCCTCCACAAGTCTATATCTGATTTGTGAAGTAACAAAGGAGAAATCAATGGTTGTTTTCTCTAGTCTTGGAGGAGTTAAATTTGATGCAGTTGCATTTATTAAAACTGGAAAACAATATCAAAATGACAACAAAGGAGGCAGCTTTACATGAAAATCTGTGTTACTCCAAAGCCCCACTTCAGCCAGCATCAGAAGGGGCTGCAAACCAAGCTACTGCTGTGCACAGAGGTCATGATTTCATTGTTGTTTTTGCTGTATGTGGTTTCAATCAGGAGCTAAATTATTAAAATGATTCATATTTATTCTTGGTTGAAACAACCTAAAATAGCCGATGAAGCCTTTTCATGCCAAAAATCTGTACTTGGGCATCAAACCAGCATCTCAAAGCCAAAACCTGAGACACCTAAAGCCACTAAAAGAGTTTTGTTTGGATCTGAACCATATTTTTCTGCCAAATCTGATTGATGGATTTGTTTCAGATGATACGGATCTATATTTCTGTCTTTTTGTTGTTTTAGCGTAGCCTGATAAAGGTGGTTGAATCTGGATGAAGATGTCGATGAAAGCTGACAGCTGATAGACGGAGATACTGGAAACCTGGTCAGATCAGGCGGGACGGATGGCGTGCTCACTATTACCGACCTGTCCATGAGGTGGTCAGGACTGTGACCTCCAATCAGAGAGGGTCTGATCCACGGTGCCTCCTTTTTTTTTCCCACTACACCAGTCCCGTCAGATCACGAAGGCTCTCTGAATCAGCGGCCGGGCAGAAAATGTAAGGAGAGGCGAGTGGGCTGCATAATTGACTTTCAGGTGGAGGAGCTGTATCTGATTGGTGGTGACCCGCTCTGCTCGGATCTGTCTCTCCTCATTCCACGGCGAATAAACAATGACAAACATGAAGAACGCAGGTGTCAGGTAGTCTGATGAGGTTATATTTTAATGATTTCACTCTCAGACTCGGAGTGGAGGTGGTGTACCCACAGATATTTTAACAGTGGATAGTTTTTCCACTAAAAGATAGTTTACTGTCACAAGTAAGGGGGGTATCTTCTGTGTGAATTACAAATCAATGCAAAAAAAGTGCATATCTAAGAAAATAAATCCACATATTAACTAATTATGAGTTATTATCACGAGTCTTACAATTAAATCTGCCGATAAATTATTCAAACCAGCTGAGAGATTTGCAATTTCTGACTCTTTCTGCATAATTATTCCTTCTTAATGAATATTGAAACCTTTGACCTGCAACCAGAAGTGATTAAAGGATAAAAGGTCACTTAGGGTCATCCTCTGGGGAGCATGATCATCATAAAAGGATGTAAATTTAAGGAGAAGTTCAACAATTTTAGAAGACCAGCTTTACATAAAAGTTAATTTTTTTAAGGAGATATTTGGACAGAAATACATGAGTATTACAAGAAACGTCAAAGACACTTATTATTAGACATAAGCGCCATTTTTAGACATTTTGGTTTTTGTTATTTGTGGCCAGTTTTGGTAAAAATCTCATCACAATAAGCGTCAACATGAAGGAGAAATAAGAAGGGTTTAAACTCTGCTCTGGCATGGTAAGATGGATCACAGACAACTTGAGCGTGATTGTACAGCCTTCGTAGGTTTGAAGTCATCTGTGGATCTTTATGGATGTAAAAATTAAATCTGTTAATGGATTTGGATCGTGTGGACCCTCTCTTTTGAGCAGAGTCAGGGGCAGAATATCGAACAGAAATCGATTTCCTTTAAAATATATCTTAACCCTTTAATGCCTTTTGTATCATATTTCATACATAATCTTATATATTTCCTTCAAATCAATATGATAAACAAATTATTTAAAAAAAAAAAAAAAACACCTGAATACAGTCCGATAAATGATAAAAATGTCCTCCTTTGATTTATTAGTTTCCAAAAACATCTTTTGTATCAAACGAGATAAATACATTTTTTTGTTCAATCTTAAGGATATTTTGATTTTTGGAGTTTTCAGTAGTAAGTAAATAAACATTTCAGTGCCAAAAAAATTGGAATTTTCTGGCCATAATTTGTGGTGTCAGGCATTAAAGGGCTACGTTTTACAGAGGAACTCTAAGCATTACCAGCTTGGTGTTGCACTGCCACCCCCTGTTGGTCGAGAGTGGAACAACAGGTGCTGCAAGCGAAACACTAAAAACTTTCAATAAATTCAGGAAGAGTTTTGTTACGCTCATTTTTGTTATGGACAATACAAAGATAATGAAAGTAGCATCTATGATGGTTAGAATAGAAATGTGGGCAAACAGAAGAAGTTAAACTGTGATACAAAAACAGGCATGATGGAGAAATAGAGCTCTTAATTTTTGTGATTTTCAGATTCATCTGCAAAGTCTCAGAGTGCCTGACCTGAAAGTTCTCATCTGAATTATTCGAATGAATCAGATGACTGTATTTTTAAGTATTTTGGAGCTTATTCAGACAGTGCCTCTAGTATTGCTGGTTTAGAGATAATGGTATAATAATAATAATAATAATAATAATACTAATAATAATAATAATAATAACAACAATCTTCTCTGACTCTTCCAGCTGCTTAGCATTCATGCTTTTTCTGACCAAGGAGACCCTCCGGCTGCAGCAGAGACCCTTTAAATGGACTCCAGACTGTAATACTGATACTTCATCTCAGAAAATAAGACAATTACCACCAATGCATGCTCCTCTAATCTCTGAAATAAACATTCAGATTACAGCAGAGCTCTTCTACCTGTCTCATCTGTGTGTGTGGAGTGATATTTAACCTTTGACCTGGATTTGGAGTCAAACCATCACAGATATATAAGTTTTATTGTTTCAGTATAAAGAGGAGATATTGGAGTGAAAGAGCTGCAGAAACAAGCAGCGCTGATGTTTCCTCGCCGGTCTATAATTGAAAGGTCAGACTCTGAATTAAAGTTCATTCATGCCTGCAGACTCTGAGAATGACATGTGTGTTCAAAGGTCACAAAAACAAGCCAAAATACATTTTAGGAGCTCTAACAATCCCCCCCCTCACAGAGCCAGTGTCTTCAGTATCTCTTCGTGGTTAAATCAGAGCAGGTAACAAACAGCTGACCGCTCTGACAGACGGAGACTCCACTCTTAGTCCTCTGAGCAGATTCCTGCAGCCAGTGCTCCCTCAAGTGGTTAGAAATAATAAATCAGTCTTTAAAAGTATCACCAGCATGATGGCTCCAGTAAAACCAGTATCAGCTCAGCGGGGCCACCATGTGAACTGAAGGTTGAACTGTCACTTTACAGTCGTCCTGATCTTTAAAACAAGGTTGGCCTTTTGCTCCAGTAAATGCATATTTTACGGAGGATGAATGTTATTGCGTACAGTATTTTATCAGAGGTGTATTTTAAGTATCATTGACACAATCAAATGATTACTACTGGCTCCTTTCCCACTCAATCCACCTCCTTTTAAAAAAAAAAACTAGTATAGGTTGATGTTTTGTGTCATTTTATGTCCTAAGTGTGTGTTTGTGTTTCTCTACTTTGGGCTTTAAACATCTTTGTATTTCTGTGGGCCTTGTTATTGTTGTTTAAAGAAAGTTACTAACTCTCATTAAATAACACTGATTTTGTCTTGTTTGGCCATGAATCTAGCACTCACCCCGACTCATTAACAAAGCACTACATCACCATCTGAGTGTTACTGCTTCGCTCTGTTTAATGCAAACCAAAAACCACATTCAGGCTCATCTTTGTACACTGCAGTTTTGTGTATCATCAGTATTTTCTGTAAATCCACGCAGGCAAAATAAAAATCTCAGGTTTATTAAATAAAATAACTCAGGTTTCCCTCAGTTTTCAGTCTTTTTAAATCAAACCTCTCTCCTGAGTCTCAGCTGGTTTTCAGCCTCTTTGCCTCGACTTCCAGCCCTGCTGCCTCCTCCTGGTCTCTTTTAGCTCCTGCACTCCTTGTCTCCTCACTCGCCACCTCGAAGCCTCCTTCTCCTCCTCTGGGCTGCCTCAGCTCTCGTCTTTCTCTCCTCTCTTCCATCCCTTCGATTTCCACAGCAAACAGAGCTTTCAGCGGTGGGGTGAAGCAGGGGAGGATTTTTAAGTCCTTAAAGCGAACCTGAAAGAAGACGAAAATTGTGATGTATTTTGCACCCGACAGAAAGTTTACTCCATCCTTTGAGCGGGGAAGACTGTAAATAGGTGACCCAACTACTGGTGAAAGAAGAGTTAACAGTCAACTTGAGTGTAAAATACTTAAGTTAATTTAGGTTGTAGCGACTAAGCCCCAGCTGAGGGGCTGCAGGACAGGCTAAACTTAACAACGCGCTGACTACACTTACTGGCACGTCCAATGAAATCAAGTCCACTCCTTGTTCGCTTAATATGACCTTTATTTCTCACATTTTTGTAGAAAGATCAAGTCCAACAACACAGCAATATATCGGTAACGGAGATAGCGGTGCCAAAGCATATCTTGTAGCGCTCTTCCGTCCGGTGTTGTGCCGTAAAATGCACCCCTGCCGTAGAACGCATCCCCTGCATTCCATCCACTCGTTAGCTCCTTAAAGTGGAAGAAAATGATCTCATATTTTAAAAACTACGAGTATTTGATCGTGACAACTTTTGTTCTGTTTTTATGTGTCTCAAAAATGCACATACGGAGGTGTGCTTGGGTATATAAACTGTACAGTAAGCTGTCAAGCTAGCGAACGTTATATTTTCGGGACAGCAAATATTCAGAATCAGAGGGCTATTTTTTCGACTTATCTGAATAGCCTGAATGAAATTATTAATGGCACGCGCTTATGAATTCGTCCAATAGTAAGGAAAACTTGGATTATTTTCGCCTTGTTAAGTACTTTCAACCGCGCTCCCGTCGGGGGTGCATTCTACGCAGGGGTGCATTCTACGGCACAACACCTGCCCAGTCACACAAAGTTCCCACCTTTATAACAAAAAGAAAACACACCCACCACCCGCTGGCATAAATTGGTATTGCAGCGAGACAAAAATTGCTCCTACACAGGTGGATGAAGTTTTATCCAGGTTGAAGTGAAAAGTGTGACTGTGGTGCTTTCAACTTTCCTTACAGAAGGAAATAAACATTAAAACAAGAAAACATATCTTCTTTCCCGACACTCGGCTTTATAACACATTAGTCAGTTACTCACTCTCATGTGGTCGAAGGAAATCCCCACTCTGTCTGTGAAGTCCTCACTGAACAGAGGGATCTTAGCATAGCGTTGACTGAAGTGATTCAGCATGATGAAGTTGGCGTTCATCTTCATGCCGATCCCGATGGCCTGGGAGGTCGTGCTGAAGAAGAGAAAAATAAAACAAAGAAGAAAGCGAGATATTTACGCCGTGCGGCTCTCAGAGGGGAAACTTTCAGCAGGACTATTTTCTCCGCTCATAAAGGATGTTTTTTTGCGGAGACAGATGCCCACTCTGACACCGTAAAAAGGAGTAAAAATCAATGTCAACACTGGAGGACAGTAAAGAAACCTAACAATGTACTCAAACATAACTGCAACAACAAACAGCCAATAAAGAGCGTTTATTCTGCTGGCTGATGGGACTTGAACTGCTGCAATTTTCCCTTTATTTTCTCTTTCATTTCATCGGTTTGTGTAAAACAAAACCGTTCTTTTTAATCCCTGGCCCTATTTTAAGGTACTGCGGGTCCTTTGTGTTTTAGAGTACAAACAGCCTCAGCAACAGTTCAGCAGATTGTTTCAGCCTGCGGAAGGGAGACAGGCTGTAATGGGAAAGACGCCTCCAGTCAGATTAGTCTCGTAAAGTTACTCTTTTTGTCACTGACAGGTTCAGGTAGTTGTTTTTAAAAGCTCCTTGAAGTGGGCCAGATTTTCACATTTTTATTGTGTCTAGAAAGTTGTTAGAGGAACAAAAAAAAAACAGTTAAAAAGTTGTAAATGTACATATCTTAAGGCCCCTTAGGCAGCACTGAATTAAAAATACACAAGACTCAAAAGATGGAGCATCATGACACACACACAGAGGAGACCCTGAACTGTCTGAGACCTAGACTGCATGTGACTGCTCATGTCTCACCTGTGTCTTTTCTCCACTGCCTCCTCCTCCAGCCCGTCTTCCAGTGTGGCCTCATGGATTACCACTGTTGCATCTTTTCCTGCAAAAGAAAAGGTTTGAAAGAGTTAAACCGGAAAAACCAGAAACTTAAACCACATTTCCAGCCTCTTCCTCTCTCAAAGGAGATCAAGCCGGTCATCGGCGTAATCGAAGAGCGGCACGCCCTGTTGGTGCTGCAGCGGGCCGTCTAAAACGAACAGAGGGGGGGAGTTAGTGAGTGTCTCTGAGAGGATTTGTTGGAGTGAATCCAGTCAAGCAATCTAAGGAGAGTCAATGAAGAGAGATCCCAGAGGAGCCATTAGGAGAGGCTGTGAGAGTGATGGAGGGCATTCAGAAAACATCGGATGAATTATTCAGAGCGAGACGCGTGGTCACGGCTCTCTGAGATGACCTCACATCTTTGTTTGCCGTTAGCTTCAGTGTGCGTGGGCACGTGGGTGAAATGTGGACTTAATTCACTGAGATATGGACTGACCGATGTGTGCAAAGGCATCACAGGGCATGGTGTCACCAGAGAAAGCCAGTTTCCAGCCAGAGCGGTGCGTGAAGCTGCAGGCAAAGGCGTTCTTACAGTGACGCACGTAGCATGTCTGAAACTAGGGAACAGAAAACAAGAAATAACTTTAACTTTAAAGTTTTCACTGGGAACTAAACACAACCAAAACATAGTTCAAGGATTAATATGGATTATCAATGAAAGTGGCTCTTATGTTGAGGATGTGAGCGTATCGTCACCTTTTCCAGATCGTTCTTCTTCAACAGAGCTTTGACGAAGGACTGAGTATTTGGCTGGGGAACCTCAGCGTCCTCCAACATGCTCCTGTTCGGGATAAGCCTAAACCACAAAAGGAAAACAGGGAAATTCAGTCTTCTGTTTATATTTGGTTGAATTGTAGAAAGAGTTAAACCAGAACTAGAAAAGCACCAGGACCTTCTGGTTGTGAGGCGACAGTGCTAACCACTACACCACTGTACCACCTATCTACACCACTGTCTACACACCACTGTGCCGCCCATTGGTCATCTTTCAGCATTGAAAATTCCAACGCTACCGAAAACATAACCGCCTTGGTGGAGTTAAAAATACAAATCCTTGTACCTGATATGGTGGAGGATCTCCTCACAGCCGTAGTGATAGTGATTCAACCAGGTCATTAACGTTGTAGGAGCCACCAGGTAGACGGGGCTGAACGCCTTTCCTAATGTCCTCTGAAGAACAAGAACAGATTATTCAAATGTATGTTGTCATTTTGAGATATTATCCCTTTAACAGTGTGTTCTTAAAGTTACTCACCAGCGCTTTCTCCCTCTGATACAACAGGTTCAGCAGCCCCTACAGCATCAACATAAACATTAGCTGTCATATTAAGACAGTTTGTTGATAAATCATGGTGTGTACTGGGCTCACAGTGTGGTGATCAGCGTGCAGGTGTGAGATGAAGACAGTGGAGATCTTGGAGAGAGCTTCGTCCACGTCATCCCCGTAGTGTCTGCAAAGCTGACCGAACGTCCCCTCTCCACAATCCAGCATGAGGGACTGAGATGGGCTGAGGAAGAAACGAAACCGGATCGATGAAGTTTTACCAACAAAAGAAAGATATTTCATACACATGAATCATGATCAAGGTCCACTCCTGAGAACAGCTGCAGTATACGCCAATTTATCATCTAGAGCCATAGCGCCACCCCATGGAAATACACAGTACTTACTTTCACAGAATAAAACAGTTGATAAATACTGCAACATAAATACTTTCACAACAGTTTGCTTGACACTTGTTGACGAATGCTTGCGCTATGATGATTTGATTTAACTGACATGACTTATACAAATATATAACATAATATCGTACAACCCAAGAGGCTTGATAGTGGTATTGATTAGCTCAAACGTCTGAAAAATGGGGCCCTGGGTCCATATCAGAAGTGGGTTTTGATCCCCATCTCTTGTGTTGTAAAGATAAAAAACTGCTATGAAATTAGATATCGATCATATTTAACCAGTTAATGAACAAAAATACTACTTTGTATTTTCATTTAGGTTTTCATGTGACTAAAAAGTTCATGCTGACAGAGTATCAGTTATTATCATGTTTGGTTTTAAGAGTTTCAGGGCTCAATTTACTCGTACCTAATGTTTATCAAAGTGCCACTGACGTTCCTGATCTTCATCGGAAGAGCTGATCCAGTCCCAAGGAAAACCACTTCAGGGTATTTTTCCGTTTGTCCTGCCACAAAAAAACAACAACACACAATCAACCGCTGAAAAAGTATAATCATAAATCCTATACAATATTGTTGCATGAGACTTAATTTGTGTCAATATATTATAAGGCTGTCTGGTAAACTTTGTCTGAAGGAAACTTCCTATTTAAAAAGATGAAAATTGCATGTGGAGTTCCCCTGGGCTCCGTCTCGGGGCCTCTTCTGATTAAAATCTACAAGCTCCTCCTGGCTTATAACAAGATAACATTGCAGGCAACATACAGATCTACATTACAATGTACCTGAGGGATTAATGGCCCATTCAAATCCTGCATAAATGCACTGAACAAAGCAATGAGTAGATGTGCCAACAATGTACTTAAGCTGAACAAAGACAAACTGAGGTAGTGGATCTTTTCTGTCTTATCTTTTAACCTTCAGTTGACACTGTTTCCTTTTTTTCTCTGCCTTGCTTTTTTTCCCTCTGTCACGATGCTTTTAACATCTTGCATGAAGTACTTTGAAATGCCTTTGCTGCTGAAATGTGCCATAGAAATAAGCTTTCCCTGCCTTACTTTCATCTGTTCAAAGCTAAAAATCTCCTCCTGTGTTTCAGAGGAAAATCACCTGAAGTCTCTGCGGCGTGAGCCGAGCAGATCCTCCTGCACTCCTCCACTTCCTGCAGAAAGTTTGGTACCTCTGACGCCTCCTTTACAGACTCGTCTGTGTTGAAAGTGGGGATGGCATCTCTAACGAATCAAAGACACACACGGTTGCGTTTTAAAGACACCGGCAGGGGAAAACAGACTGACTCTGATGGGTTTCTGCAGCTCCAAAGAAAAAGAAGGGGAAAAAAAACTTTGACACTTCTGAGACGAGGTTAAATAAGAAGAAAGAAGAAGAAAGCGTCTGAGTGCATCGACCTGCTCCAGGTTGTTCTTTGAGATGAGACGTCGCTCTGAGCTGCGGAGAAATGTTTGGTAAATTGGGCGGACTGAGGGACAAACTAACCTTTGCCACTCCATCACAGGTCTGAGCTGGAACTTCAGCAAACACTCAGCGCGCACGTTAGGGACGTGCAGGGCGGCCTGGGGCTCCTGGATAAAACATAAACACAGAGAGAAAGTTCTTCATATCTCCTCAGAACTGCTTCTCATGAACAACCCTTGATCACCTCTTGAGCTCTACTCTTTGTGTTAAATCAAAATCTTTCATAAAGATTATTGTAATGACTCTAAATATTGAAATTTAGTGTTTTGAACAGTTTTGTGACTCTGTTATGTTCCCTTAAGCTCTGCAGACCATCAGTTGTATCCTTTTAGTTGCTGTTAAAAGAAAACAAAAGAAATATCAGGGAAGAAAAATAAAGAGGATTATCAGTTTCCATCTGATGCATGATGGTTTGATGCAGATTATTTACAACCTTTGACCAAAGTGTTCACATGTTGTAGTCAAAAGAACAGTTTTTGATACAGTGTCTCTCAATCCAGCTTTAAAAAGAGAAAGTTAAGGAGGAAGGTATCTAAAAAGGGATCACCAGAGAGCTGGAAGTATCTGCGAATATTTTACTTTTGACAGAAATCTCCTGAAAGGGCAGCAAACTCAATCTCCTGTAACAAGAGAAGTTGTACCTCAGCCCTGAGTCTACTCTTCCAGCTTTCCTTACTTCCCTCAAAAGGATTTCTTTCCTCTTTTCATCAGAGCTACCTTTGTTCTGTATGACTGCAGCTCTGGAAAGATCTCCGGGTCGATCATGTTCAGCTGAGCCTGAAGCTTGTGGCTCCTGATGTTGTGAACTGTTGTGGCGTGTTCGTTCAGGATCAGGTGTTCAGTGGAGGAAGGAAACCTGCAGAGAGAACGAAAACTCAGTTTAGAGTGTTTTAAAATCAGGAGAAACCTCTGTAGAGTCTGGGTCAAAGAGACAGAATCAAACCTTTCCATCCACTTCTTATACTGGTCTGACTTTAAAACAGACTCTGGAGTGATGTGGACCACTAGAACTGCAGGGTCTTCAGCTCCTCCTGTTTGAAACCTGAAGAAGATCACAGATTAGGTTCCGTTTTTTTTCCTTTTTTAGTGTTTTTTTGAATTAAAAATATGACTTAATCACCTCCTGAGCTGCTGATTGGTGCAAACAGCTTCAACAAACTCCTCAGATGGACACTCAGTGATGATGAAGACCGGGCCGGGGTAAGTGGGAGCGCAAACCTGCTCAGGTCGAATCTGCAGGACCACGAAAAGAGGTTTTACTGATCCAGATCAGAGCTGCAGCTTGAAAAAAGGCGCTCATATAAGACAGAGAACGTTTTCTGTTTTACCTCTTTTCCTTCATACGTGATGGTCTTCCCTTCCTTCAAAGCTGCTACAAGTGGACCGATCTCTTTCGTTCCTCTGAGGGAAAACAAGACGAGACTTAATCAGGAGTGTCCGGAGTGTTACATATGTTACTTCAAACATAAAACAACATCTCTCAGTTTTAACGTACGATTTGAAGTAAAGGCTTTACATCATTTTCAAAACACCAAAATCTGTTTCTTAATCTTGATCTTAATTTAAAATTTACTCACACAGGCAGACCGAGCTCTTTGGCCTGCGGCACTAGGAAGTTTCCTTTCTTTGGGTGAAGCTGAAAGTGTAGGAGTAAGTCAGACACACAAATTTCTCTCACGTGTGTGTCGAAACCAAAGAGGAAAAACATGTTTGAAGTCTTTTTACCTTACACACGAAAGAAACGACCAACGAAGGATCTCTGGACACCGCTCTCTCACCTAAAATCGCAACAAAACAATGTCTGTTAGTGCCGATTTGTTGTGATTTATTCACTTTAATCCCTTCTGCATGGAGCTCTTATTATCCTCATGCATACACCTGAATAACTGTGACTATCTCTTTGTTTTGTTCAGTTTAGAGCTCTAAGACTCACCTGGTCTACCCGGGCCGTGCCTCTGACTGTTTTCATCTACTCTGGGTGATGGTGGACTCTGAGGCGGGCTGCTTCTGCCCGATTGGGGGGAGAGTTTCCTGCCGTCAGCTTTCAGCTTTGCTACAGAGGAGAATAACTATTGATTAAAACACTGTAAGACATCTTTGTAAAAAGAAACAACTTCTACAGGACTAAGAGAAAGATCTCACCAAATATGGGAACTTGATAAACTGTCATTGTGTCGTCAGTGTACGTGTCGTCAGTGTATGGTCTGACAGCTGGAAATGAATCAAACATTAAAAACACACGAGACTATGCACGTTACAAAGATTTATTCTGTTTGTAAAACTCTTCATACATAGTCTGATGTCCTCCAGAGGTCCAGAAAAAGACTTGATGGCATTCAGATAGCTCTCCTACAAAGACAAAGAGAATAGAAGAAGAAAAGAGTGAACAAATACAGCAATCAAATCTCCCTGCACACGTTAATATGATATTTATTGATAAAGTAGCTTTGATAATATGGAAAGACACAATGTTCATTCTGTCTCACCAGCTGAGGAGGTCCAGAGAGGACACACTCTGGGACACCGGTGTCCTTCAGGGTTAAAATCATCCCTGTATAAGAACATTTTAAACACACACTGAGATAAAACAACTCATTATGACAAAATAACACTTAAAAATCATCATCCCGGTCAAAAGCAAAGCTAAGTTAAAAGCTGATCATCTTGCCCCACATCTTCAGTCCCTACACCGGCTCTCTGTTTCTCTTAGAATTGATTTCACGTCTTTTTTTAAACTTGTTTTTAAAGCTGTTGCTTCTCCACATCACAGAGCTGCCGTCATTTTAATTTCCAGTCAGATCTCTGAGCTTCCTGAATGCTTCTTTTTAAATGTTCCTAGCGTGTCCCACACAAACACACAAAAAAAAAAGGTTTCTGTTTTTATGCCCCTAAACTCTACAACTCTGTCTGTGTTAAAAGTTAATTGAAGACCTAACCTGGCTTTAAATTTGAAAAAAAAAGAACATTGGACGATTTCTTCTTGTGTTTATTTGAGCTTTTTAACTTTTTAACATGGTTTTATGTTATATATGTACGTTTATATTTATCGTTTGAAACTTCTCTGACCTGACAAACCTCCCACGTTCTCCCAGCTCAGTCTGGTCAGGAAGATGTTGTCCAAGCGAGAAGCTCTTAGCCTGTCAGTGAAAAACACAAGAATGTTAAAAAACAGGCTCTTTCTCTGTTCCAACCAATCCAGGACAGTAAAAACATGAAGAAGCAGATTTTTTAATCAGCGTACTTATGTTCCTGCATGAGTCTCTGAGTTCCTTCCCCGCAGTTAAACAGATACCTGCAACACAGAGGAACAATATTAGAACACATTTTATCAACATGACTGCAGGAAACAATCACTGAGGTGTGATTTTGACCTTTTTTCTGATTGAAGTTTTGATTTTTGTGATTCATCCTGGAAAATTATAACAAAGTTTTGTTTTGAATCTGTTTGTGTCATTCATATATCCTAGGCTGGACACAGTCTCAAAATTTCTGGTGTTTCAGGGACCAGAACATGCTTGTAAAACCTGTAGAAGAATCTTCTTCTCCCCTCGATTTATCTTTCACACAAGCAACGACTGGAAGAGAGTGGGTGAGTTGTGTTTAGTCTCTTTGCTAAAGAAATTAGGCAAAGCTAAAAAGATGTTTGGTGACTAGTGCTATGGCTGGGACTCTATATGTACTGTTGATGAAGTGAGGTGCTGTTCTGAGCATTATTTGTGGCTATAGAGTGGCGTTTTGGTTGAGCGCATGGCTCTCTGTATTGCTATGGTGCGGTCGTTACTGAAGTTGGTGTAACTAGAGAAGCAAGCGGTCAACAACATTCATCTCTTGAGGAGGTGTTACGGTGTGTTTGACCCTGACTTAATTTTACGCCGGAATATCCCTTTAAGGCAGTCCACAATGACCTTTAGCAGCATCCTCAACATCCAAGCTCTAGTGCACATCAATCTGTGGACTAGATGAAGCAAAACTGAAAGCTGTTTGAGGGGAGGAGCCAAGCAAGGACCTGCACCCAGAAATTCATTGACCTTTCTGAAGGACTAACCCTTGAGTAGGGAGTTTTAGGGGTGTTCTCAAAAGTTCCTGGTGTCCAAAAACGCTGAACGACTCTTCCATGACTCCTGAGGTCTTACCTGTTAAACTCGGAGAAGACGTAGAGTGACGCAGCGTTGTCTCTGCTCCCCGCTCCGATCACCTGGACGTACACCGTAGACGGTCCATGGTGCTCTCCTTTCCGGGCCCGGTTCTCTTTAGTCTTGATCCTCCTTAGAGGCTCTTTCCGCTTCTCTTTCCTCAGACCCGGAGGCTGCTTCACTTCCAGGTTTCCATTTTTATGATTACTGGAGGACATATTTCTGAAAAACTGAAGAACAGACTGAAGAGGACGAGAATCACAGCCAGGAGGAGCAGCAGAGACGGATTTGCCTCCGAGGACCAGGAATGAGAAGGACCTGAGCTTTAAACGGACCGTGTTCATAATAAACAGGTCACCTGGTGGATAAAACTACCAGCACCTGTAAGTTCAATCTGAAAACGCTTAAAATAATACTTATTTATACATTTCAAATCGCTGTCTTTCTCTCCACCATACCTGAGAGGACCTGTGTGCACACTCAGGACTGTAGAGGTTGCTGCCGCTCACATGTTACACTCTTCCGGCATCGAATGATGACGTCAATCTGCCTTAATGCTCATTGGTTGTTAGAGTTAATATTGAGTTCAGAGGACCAATCGCTTAGTGATGGGCATGGCAGTTCTTTCAGATGTACTGAATCACTAGAACCAGTTCACTAAAAAGATTCGTTCAAAAGGTTCGTTCACCGAATCACCGAATCATTTAGCGGGAGAAGCCTGCGACTCTGACCTGCTGAACTGATACACAGCTGAACAGTTCAGGATTCAGCTGGGAGACGAGAGTATCTGGCTGTGTTGCTTTGGCAAACAGGTTTGTAAAAATGAACTTATTTATAAGTCATGATGTTTCAAGTGTACTGTCCAATGGTATGCTATTTACCAGGTCTGCTCAGTAAATTGGGCTCAGAGAGTGATTCGTTCACTGAACGTTTAGAGGAAGTAAGTAATTTTACCAACAAAAATGGTTCCAGAGAGTGTTGTTCAATGCAGGATTCATTCACCAAGTGATTCAGGTGTCGGTGCATGTGGTCCCTCATTCGCAGGCTACTGGCCTGGCAAAGCTGTTTCTCACCAGCTCATCGTAAGTGAGAAACGAACGGATCACTGAAGGAAGTGATTCGGTTCAGGTCGTTCGCTTTAAAGATTCGGTTCTTTTGAACGAATTGTTCGCGAACGACACAACAAAATCAGTGAAGGAGGCGGGGATTGATCCTTCTACCGAGGAAAGGTTAAAGAGAAACAAACCCATGAAAAATAAAATACATATTTAGTGAAGGTTAACCCTACAACACTATCGCTCAAATTACTAACACCATCACTATCACTATCGTGTGATTTTTTTACCCAAAATAATATACCCAAGAAAAAGTACTTGTCATCAAAATATATCAAAATAGGACAATACATAACACTTAAAGTAATAGTAATAGTGTTATAGGGTTAAATATAGTGGCAATAGTGTTATAGGGTTAAATATAAAACAACCAAAATGAACATGCTTGGTAGATAAAAGTGTATGACGAATCTGTTTAATTTTTATACAAACCAGTTAAAAAAATATATCAAGGTCAACTGGCTTTAATGATTTCAGTCTGTCAAAATCCGTTTTTATCAATATTTCCTGACATGCACGACAACCAGACTGTGCAGTCTATGATTACAACTCATGAAGAATGATGGTTTGGGATTTATGCAGAAAAAAAAAGACAACAGAAGACAGTCTTACTCTTTCTTTATTTATATATCAGCATTAAGTTTCCTGCAGAGCAAGAACAGCAGCTGCTCAGCGCTGACTGTCTGCAGGTCTAACACAATTCTGACCACCCACACTTAAAAACAGCTTCATACCCAGTAAAGCAAAGTTCCATTAAGAGAGCAAACACGATGCTTTTCATTGACGTACATGGAGGAGGTGGGACGATTCACAAAGAGCATGATTCCAGTATGTGGCAGGATCTCCACATTAAAATACTCCACGATTTTGGTTCTAGAAAAACAAAGTTCCAGGCTTTTATTTTCTTAAAATCACTGTACTAAGCACTGAGATGTGTTCATGATTGTTTGATTTACTGAGCTGCTATTATACTGACATGATTGTGGGTTTGTGTGTGAACAAGAGAGAAACAGAAGTGTTCATATATTATACAGACATTACTCAAATAAACACCACTTTTACTGTGAATGGTGTTTGAATATTAAGCTTTACAATTCTCTTTTAACACTGCAATAAGGGGACCAAGCTAATTTACACAAGGATCTTTGTTTTGTTTCTTGTCTTTGTCTTTTTCTTTTGTGTCTTTATTATTGCAGACTGGTGTATTTTATTTATTTATTGGTGTTTATTGTTGATTTATTCACTGTCCCATCCAGCTTCAGTCCATGTACATGGGGGAACTTGGAGACGCCGGCATCTGATCGAGGACCCTGCAGACGTAACCGGCTACATCGACCGAGCGCTCCTCGTACATCTGGATGAACGGGTCTTTCTGCAGTTGGAGAAGGAAATGCACAAGGAAATTCAAAGAAATTAAAGCATGCATCTGAGTAAAACAAAGAAACAAACAAAAAAAAAAAGAATTGGCTTCAGCATACTTTATGAAAAATCATAACCAGCAATAAGAAAAGAGCAGAATCCCCCTTTAATATGCATAAAGTCTTGATTTGGGTGTATATAGCAGTCTAAAGAGTAGTTAATCTGAACTCACCAGCAGCTCTTTGTACTTTGGCCTCTTTGATTCATCCTTTGTAAGGCTAAAAAGATGAGGAAAAATAAAAAGTGTTAAAATGGAAGAGGGTGCGGTTAAAAGAGCACACATCAGCTGAAGCCTGTACTCCATCGATCTGAAAACCTCACAGTCGTCTAAGTTCTCTTTAACCATTAGACAAATAAAAATCAAATACATCCCTTTTTTTATGACTTGAAGTTTTTCATTCCAGAAATTATAGAACCATTTGCAAAACATCTACATTTCTTTTCTTGCAAAGTGTTACAAATCTGATGAAATCATGGTTGTATTTAATTCACACATATGTACAAATGCCCCCATCACTTTTTTGTCATATTAATCTTTACCTATCCTGATTTTGTTGAAGAAATGACTTCCACTTTCCCTAAACTTTAACAGCATTTTTTAAACCTCAGTGCTCACTTACCACAGGTTGACAAAGGAGATGAATTTAGGGGAGAAGCGTCTCTCCTCCGAGTTGCTGAGCTGTGGAGGGTCTCCTCTCACCACCTGGGTCAGCTGGTCGAACACGCTGTTCCATTTTGGGTAAGGAAACCGTCCTGTGGCCAGCTCATACTGAATTAAAAAAGAAGAAAACAATAAAATTATGTACGGGTGCAAATTACCACCAACTCTAGAAGCACAGGATTCAACTGAACAATTAAAACTTGACACTCTAATATTACCTAAAAGTTTCATTTGCAAAGACGGTAAAATATTGTAAATGTCAGTTTTTCAGCTCAGACTCACCAGTGTGATTCCCAAACTCCAAACATCTGAGCGGACGTCGTAGCCTTGTCGGGAAGCGCTGGGGTCTATTCGCTCTGGCTAAAAAATCAAACAGGAAGGAGATTTTAATTTGGCGTTAGAAAGAGCAAAATGTTTGAAAATTTGACGAAAAACAAAACAAATGTATCATTACATTTGATTGGGTTACATAGATTTGACAAAACTTGATTGATAACTTTGGGAAATTAAAATTCAAGCAGTCTCAGTATGTACAGAAAAAAAAGCAGAATGGTGGATGGAGACATGAGCAATGTCTGTTCCTATGATCATAACTGAATGTTAGCAGTAAAAGAGAGGTGAAGCTGGGAGTCATTGGTGTAACAATAAAGTTGTGCCCACGGATCACCTATAAATGGAAAAAAGCAGTGGTCCCAGGATTGACCCCAGAGGTACCCCAGAGGACAAATATATGCTACATGACTGTGAGTTTCCAATGGCAACACTTGAGGACCTCTGAGCTGAATAAGAATATAGCAAGATCTAACTCACTGATGCATGTAAACATAACAACTAAGGCTGCAACTAATTATTTCCCTTCTTGATTACTTGGGTGTTAAAATTGCAGAAACTCAGAAATTTCTGTGAGAGACAAGTCATGTTTTCATTTGGGTTCAAATGAAAATTGATCCGATCCCCTTAGAAACAAAACTATATCACTCAATGTAATGGAAATTCAGAATCCTTCCTCCTTTTCAAAATCTCAGTTTCAAGACTGGATCCAATCTGATGGCCTTAATCCGATTAGACTATTTTTAAACAAGAGGGCCCAGATGCTTCTAGTACAATACAGCACAGTGTTGTGCTTCAAATCTTCTCTAAGCATCAAGGGAGAAAAAAAACCTCCTGATTCTTGAGGTGCACACAGGTAGAAAACATAAACATGTCTAGTGTGCTATAAACCTCCTTGTCAGAGTGTAACCTGGGGTTCCATGATGTAAGATTTCGTAAGCGTACGTCAGGGATAATCTTCATGTTTTAATAGAAGACAGAAACAGGTGTTGAGGCCCAAACCAGGACAAAACAAACCCAGTGAGAATACCAGACAGACTCATCACCTGTGGGCATGTTTCCACCTGCAGCACTCTCTACCTCCCTCACTTATGAGGACTGTAATCCCTACTCTTTGTCTCATAGGACTCTGATCGCTTTACAACAACAAGTCTGCAGATTTTCCTCGCACTCAGACTCTTTCAGCTTCATTGCAGAGCGCACAGGAATCATCATTTTCAAATATCAACTGCAGCAGAGAGGAATAAATGCACCAGTGCTTTAGTTATTGGTTTATCGATATTGAGAGTAAATGTCAGAAATCTGGAAGAGAACGGCATCATCAGAACTGTATCTGAATCAGGTGATACTCAACATGTTGACTGTTGTGTTTTATTTATTGAAATGATTGAATATTAAACCAATCTGCAAATACATATATTTTCACTGATAGCAGTGGTTCATATCTGTGAAATTCGATGAATTTAATCATGAAGGCCTATGAACCCCACGTTTTAGCCAATTGTAAGATATTTGCTTTGGAAACATTAAAATAAACCTGTACCAAACAAACAAGAGCCCAATGATGGCCCTATTTCTGCATTTATCATTTATTTGTGGTAGGACTGGGAGATAAAATGATAACAATATATATCAAGAATTTATCTCCCTCAATATCAATATTAAACATGGTCAATATGCTTTTCAATAGTTAGCATTCTGCCATGTTTTTTTAGACTATACAAATAGCCAATGAAAAGGGGAGTTTCTCAGGGTCCACTTCATGCTGAAGCAATCATGTGCTGAATTAGAACCAAGTAGCAAACAACTGTGTAGTAGCAGGCTGCAGCTACACGCAACCATAGCACTTTAACACCGAAAACAGCCTACCATTCAGTCCGCTTTCTCTACAGAACGCCTGACAACAAAATGTCGAAGAGACACACAGACCTCACAGGTGCAGTAGCTTAGTGTATTTCAAAAGACATGCTACCAATAAGCACTGTTAAATTTCATTTTTTATATAGTGATACATATCAATATCGACTGACATGAAAAAAATATGTCGTGATAAATTTTTCCCCATATAACCCATCCCTAATTTGTGGATTTTCTTTTTATCTTACTGCTTTCTTGGTATGTACATTTAATATAACTGCAGAATGACAGCATTTATTTATTTGATTTGAAGTTTCAAAGAGGTGAACACAGTAATGAGGAACATGTTACTGACTGTATCAAACAACCAATACAGAAACCATGAAAAGTAAAGCATCAAAAAGTACAATAACTTCTGTTGAAACAGCGACCAAAACAAGTGTTGAGTTGGCTCTTCTGTTTCTGTAAAGTCTGATTTCAGCCTTCATCCAACACCTGCACACTGCCTCAGGTAAAACACATGCTGTATAAACTGCTGCAGCAGCATACAGTCAGGCTCCAGCTGCTCTGAGGTCAGATTCGTTCGTCATTTAGCCGTCTGAATCAGCGCTGCGGGGATCGAACACCTGCAGAGTCAAATAGTGGAGCTGAGATTCCTGCAGAGTGAGCTCAGCTCCATGCCGCGACTCCGCCCACAAACACGGTGTCATGAATGAAGCAGCCTGTGTGTGCGTGTGCATGTGTGTGTGTGGCGGTGATAGTGCTTCACCAAATTTAGAATGGAAACTGCCGTGTGGAGACGACGGGATGAGGAGGGGGGAGGAGGAGGAGGAGTAACCCCTCCACCCGTTGACGTAACCCCCAAACAGAAAATAACCCAAGTGATGACGGCGAGGTGAGATCAGCCCTCTGAACCGACAGTGATTCAAAGCTCTTCAATTATGCTACTTACACACACGCCCACACCCACATGGCAACAGCTCATCAAACACACTGCACCTTATTAACTTGTGAGGCGTATTAAAGGACTATAAGGACTTGTATTGGTCTTTTAATTGAATGCCCAGATTTCATATCATCAAGGCGATACATTGGCTAGAATCGAGCTATGACAGATACACATACTGATAAATGAGTGGTAATATGATATGTTGGTGAGATATAGAAGTATACTGAATACACAGTGTTTCATGAATAATAGAACAGATTTAAATTTGTACTGCATAGGTTCTACTAACTTTATGTTAAAGTGGGTTATTCTACTGTGCTGAGAGCACCGCACCTTCTCTATAACTTATGTGCTCAGCTCGGGCAAATCAATGTCAGTGATGTGTTGTCAGAGAGGTATGGTGTATCAGGGCTCTGGTCTTTTTATCATATTACCAAGGCCTTCATTCTCCATGACATTAAGAGGGTGCAGGTCTTTGCAAAGTGAAGTACCGACTGTGGTAAGTTGAAGAACTTTTCCATGTCGTCACGATCGCATTATTGACACTTCAGGCTATTGGCCTGCTCACATTTCTTCATGACATTATGAATCATAATATTAAATGAAAATAGAACATCTTAAAAGTTTGAAAATAAGAACTATTTTTAGATAATTATTTTTTTATTCATCAAACTCAGCAGTTTCATTTCTACTGAGTGGCTTATGCTCGCTCAGACAGAGCATGCAGAGGGGTGATTAATGCTGACAGGCATCTTTCTCATGCTTGTATTGGTGAAGCAGCAGCTTCTTTAGAGTTCATCTGTAAAGGCCTTTACAAGATGGAAACATTACAACAGGAGATAACAGACTAATGGCCAACATGTATTGAGAAGCCTATGCACCAAGATGCTTTCTGTAGTGTAGATATATGTAGTATTAGAGATTATTTTGGTTAATTTCAACTGTAAAAAAAACGAAATCTCAAAGCACAATAAGATTTGATAATAATATAATAATGAAATACCCAGACAAGTTCTGAAAATGTCTTATTTCAAGGTTTTACACACCAAAAATAAGAACCAAAATGTCTGAAACAAAAATATCTGCAAATCGAACTAGAAAAAAATGACTTATCCAGTTTCTTGAAATGAGAAAGAGTCCTATGAAAAGGTCTTGCCGAGGTCTCCCCTTGCATATTTTTCCTCATTACAACCATTGAAGGTCTGACTTTTGGCAACTTAAACCAAAAAAAAACATTGTCTGGATTTGTAAGGCTGAAATTGAGCCTAGCTAAACATTTTTTAGTGGAATAAGTTAAAAGCACCTGGTAAGACTTGAATTTTTGCAGTGCATCCCTACAGCGCTGTGTAAAAAGTAGCACCCCAAGCTGTGTCTAACTTTCTATCAGTAAAAAAAGCAGCCAAAATGAATTGTTAAGGTCCTGCCATAACTTCAGGGCTGTGTAAAAAGCAACACCCCAACAGCCAAAAAAAAGTTGTAAAGCAGCCAAAACAAAGCATTTCAGGCAAAAGCTGAGTAAAGCTGTAATGGGGGTTTATGAAAAAAAAAACAAATGTTTGAGCTGCTAATTAAAAATACAAACACCTTACCTCCAATACCTTTTTACAAACATCTGCTGAACCTTTCAAGGTCAAACAAATGCAACTGAAAAAGTTCATATTCGTCAGCACTATTTCAACCAGATTATTGTTGAGTTATCATACCTGATTATTTTAACATAAACTCATTTTGTCTCTTAAGGAGTCTGACGCCTCTGATTTAACCAGAGCGTTTCTGAATCAAGAAACAATCACATCTCTTCTTCAAAGACTCATGCCTGTGCCAGACTGCTGAGGAAGCACAGATAAATTCATTCATTCCAGCATCACAGCGCAGTTTCTCAGCTTCACTTACTGCCATGTACGGCCTGCAGCCTGCATCCCTGGTTTTGGCGATGGAGTCGACCAGCTGACCGCTGATGCCAAAGTCACACAGCTTTATGTTTCCGTTCCTGTCCAGGAGGATGTTTGATGGCTTTATGTCTGTAAAAAATGAATGAATAAATAAACAGCTAGTAGAAAAACACTTGCATAAACACAGATTAGTAAAAGTTCCTGGTGTCCTCTTACCTCTGTGTATTATTTTCAAGTTTTCTTTTAAGTGGTTAAGTGCCTTCACAGTCTGAAAGCAGAAGAAAAAATGTTCATCATCTGGCTTTTTTATTTCAATTTGGACTTTTTGATATTTGAAAAGTGAGAAAATGGTAAAAAAAAAACTTACAGCTAATGTTATTCTCCCTAATATCTCCTCTGGAATCACCTCGTCTAATGAGCAATATACAAATTTGTAAAACTTGTCTAACGAGGTAGCCATAAGTTCCATACAAATCCAACAGTCACCCTGTGGAAAAAAAGCTGACATCAGCTCGAGGCAAACAACTAAATACAGTTTGAACCTTTTAGACCACAGACAGCTCTACCTAGAAGAGCAATCCCAAAACTTTTAACCTTTAAAATCTGAAATACAAGAACCTCTCTTTAAATGTACAGTATGTCTTTATGAATCAGAGGCCGGCTTCACCTCTCTGAACAGAGCGCCATAAAACTGCACGATGTACGGACAGTCACTACTCCTCATGACCACATCCAGGTCCATGAGCAGCTGCTTCTGCTCCTTCTCATCCACTGTGGACCGAATCCTCTGTGGAACAAACACATCATATAACAAACAGTTTGTGTATATGTTTACAGTATCCTGATAATATCATCACTGTGAGTTTTCTGGTCGTAACACCAGCCCTAAAATGTGTGTTTAGTTTCGACATTGTTTTCACAAACCTTCACCGCCATGATCTTGTTACTGGGCTTGTGCACCATCTTGTTGACGGAGCCGTACGCCCCTCGGCCGATCTCGCCCAGATCTTTGAGATCCTCAGCCGTGAAGTCCCAGTGCTGCTCTGGAGAGATCTTCAACTTCCCTGATGACTCAATGCTGTGTGTCCTCAGCCTCTCTCTGCAGGACAAAAACACACAGGGAGTTTGTGTTTGGAGCAAAAAAAAAAGAGGGAAAAAATTCCCCTTTGGTCACTGGACAGTTTGCGCCTACTTTGTAGTTTACACAAATCCCGCAGAAATGAGTCCTTTGTGATGTGAAGCATTTTGTTGTGTCACCGTTATTAACATTTTCAGAGTTTAGGTTAACTTCCCTTCCTTCTTGAAGGAGCTGTGCCCAGATTTACCGCTAAAAACCGCTGATTTCAATATCTAAGTCTCAAAAACAGTTGCATCTTGACTTCTCCTTCTGTGCAAATGTTTCTGAATTTAGTTGGAAAAATGTCTGACCAAATTGCTAAAGAGAAACTTCCTCTCCTTTTGTTGTTTCTCACAATCATACTCAACTTTTACCTTGAAAGTTTTGTCAGATGCCCTGAGTTGCTTTTAGAGCTTTATAAATCGACTGAAACGCAAGAATAGGACTCTGTTCAGGGTTTGCAAAGTGTAGCTGATGTGAAAATGTCTCAAAGCTGCAGGGAGGGGGTGACTCCTCCAGTCACAAAAGCAGCATTTGAGAAAGTGTTCTTACTTTTCAGCTGGTTCCTGTTGAATTTCAGCTTTTTTAGATAGTAAAAGGACTGAAGGCAGCAGTCCGCGGGTTTACTCACATGTGGGGGTTCTGAAAAGGCGGCCCGCTCGTGTTCAGTGTGAATCTGGTTGTGGGTTTGATCGGTGGGTTGGCAAAGTTTAGCTTCAGGGCTTTACGTTTACCTGAGCAAGAGGAAAAAACGTAATGTGATCAGAGGTCAACAGGCGATGAGAGCGGAGGATGTGGAGCAACAGAAAAAAAAAAAAAAAAAGAAGAAGAAGGAGAAGCTCATCCCGTGTGAAAAGTCAGAACAATGAGTGAGTGAGAACAACACAAACCATAAAATGAGGAAGGAATACGACTTATAGCATGCTATGGTTTCCAAATAACAGAGACAAAAACGTACAACTCCTCTGTCACCTTAAACTATACTCATCTACACGGTTTCAACCTACTCCTCTGTTGCACCAAAGTCAACACGGTATCAACAAAGTGTAATACACAAGAAATATTCCCAAAGGCGTTTCTGGATGATCTCTGTCTTCTCAAAGAACTGGCTTTTTTTCTGCCACTGAAAATCCAAAAAGAAAAAAGAAAAAGGTTTTCTTCTTTCTTAGTGACTGTTTATGAAACATAAACGTAGAAACTGACTTATTTTTAGCTCTTAACATGAGGCATCATTTTGAGTATCGATGGTTTCAAGTATGTGAAAACTTGGCCAATATAATGCTCTTATTTAAAAAGCCAAACTTAATAAATTACATATTGGACTTTCCTAATAAATATATGAGGGAGGCACCAATCTGAAACTGGCATAAACAGCTATATTGGAAATTGTGTCAATGGGGCAAATACTAGGCCGATACTTGGGTAATTCAATTTCATGTTTACATAGCGGCCGTGAAGTATGACCTTTATTCCCAAAATGCTGGAGTGTTGTGTCAAAGATTGATAAAAACATAGAAACATGTTCATTGGAGTGGAGGATGCAGCATCTATGATTTCCAAAAATAACATCAAAGTTTGATTCTGATGACCGCAGCATTCATGGTTTAGTTTTTATTTGTGAAATCAGTGATGACCTGTGTTCACACTACAGACAGAGGTTTTTGAAGCCCATGCAGTGATTTACACCACCAAGCCCCGTCTGTTTTCAATGCAGTGCTGCTTTTCATACATTTATTTCAACATTATGTACTGTAAATGATGAAATCCACTAACTCTTTGTCATTTTAAACTCTGTAACAGTGCTCTGAAATTGTTGAATTATTTGCTCATGCAGAGTCTCTCACAGAGTGGTGAATATGTTGCTGCCATCAAATATCCATTTTAATAATTTGATGTTGTCAGTGCACTATTTTCAATTAAACAAGGGCTTCCTGGACTCATATTGTTAAGTTTTTAATCAACATTTAACACTGCGTCCCAACATTTTTTTCGAGTAATGTTAGACAGTTTTTCAGACGCCCAATTAAAAGAACTTTAAACATGAGATTTCCAACTTTCTCGTCTGTGCTTTGCTGAGGTTTGTGTTGTTGTATGCAGGCTTGTTTTTTTCACAGTATATTCATGAAGCATTAATATAACACTTTCTTTAAGGCTGGCTGATATTGTAACTACTTCCCTCTGGAGAACTATCTTAGAAACTGTTATTTCCTTCCATGACAAAATGACACCTTTGAGCGTTATAATTTAACACTGTCTCATTCTGGTATCTCTTGTCAAGGTTAAAATGCATAAACTCATTTATCACTGTGTGGTTGCGTGTTTACAGTCATATCTAGCTCTATATTAAATGTACAAACAGAAACAAAGCATGCCTCTTTAATCCCAAACACCTACATTCACAGTGCAGACAAAACAACCCACATGTAAACACCAAACTGGGAAACAAAAAAAAAAAAATGAAAATCACGACATGCTCCTCAAGGCCAACTGCTTTGATTTCACCTTCATATCCCAGTAGAGCTTTCCACGCTCGCTCCGCCCACAATACCACAAGAATGTGTGTGTCTGAATTCCAATAAGCTCGGATGGAAAACACAGCTTAAAATGACAACTTTGGAGAGTGTGTACCTTGTCTTGACAAGCAAGTGCTATGCTGAGGTGCACCCATGCCAAAAAACAGAAGAGACAAACCAGTTGAAAACAAACGTGGTAACACTACAGGCACTACTTTAGCTTGTTAGTAGCACTCTGAAAACCCGTGAAGAGGAGCTTCCATTCCAGTTTTTAACAGGGGTTAACTAATAAAACAGGTTGAGTTTAAAAAACAGACCATCTTACTCCTTAATGTCAATGGAAGCTCCGAATGTTTAGACTTGTGCCGATGAGAATAAATCGACTTTAGCTGTGAGTGTTTTTCGAAGCTGCTGCAGAGAATACGAACTAAAAGTCAGTCGCTGATAAGAAAAGCGATTTCACAGAACTCTCCGTGTAGAGAAGTCCTGCTGTCTGACTCGCTGCAGCTTCGTATGTGAGAGGAACTTATCAAAGCGCAATTCCCGTCTTTTCAAACTTAGGCGGTGTTTATCAGATTTTGGGGTCTTGATGACTAATAGGTACAAAATGTTTGGAGTTTCCCTCTAGATTGCTTCAGCCATGCTGCAATCTTTTAAAGTAAACCTGCACGTCTACTGTACTTGTGCTTTTAACAGTCTGACAGCATGACAGAAAAGATCCATATGAAGATTAGTGGTCAAGGTAAGATCAGGTTTTTGCAGAGAAATAGTTGCAGTTTATCAGCTTTTTTCTTTTACTAAGTCTCTCATTTATTTACCTTGTTTATGGATTTAAGGTACGTTTTAAGGTTTATTTTAACATTTTATTAGGGTCTGAGCAGGACGTTACTGTTTCCATCAAATTGAGTGTTTGTTTGGAGGCCTAAACATGCCCCAAAACTCATTATGGTTTGCACACACATCGGGCATATTTGTGATATTTAAAGGTCTTGTGCAGGTCTGGAAATAATTGCTCCATAGTGTTCTCTAACCTTTACAATTAACACTTCCTTCGGGGGATAAATTAAGTTCTTTTTATCCTTACAGAGGTTATTTTCATCGATGTATGAGCTTCACAATATTATCTGTCAAATTCAGACCTAAAAAAAAGTCCTCTTGCAGTCGGCACTTTTGAGTTAATTGTTATAACTAGCCCTGTTTTTGGTGACTTCCAGGGTTCATATTTGAGCAAAGTCATCCTGGCTCGGGTTTCATCTGATTGACTCCAACAGAAGGGGTAATTTTCAGACACGCTGATCATCAATAGTTATCAAATGTTTGTCAATGGCTATGGTGAGTCCTCAAAGAAAACAGAAATTTGTTTATTCTCAAGCTCACCAGATATGACAAGGGTTCAGACCTGAACATATTCATACGACGATATCTGATCACAGACATGGCGAAGGAAATGTCACGCTTTCATTCTTTCGCACATATTTTCAAGTCTGGTGAACAGATCTGCTCAGATAATCCTTGAGATGTTAGCCTTGCTAAAAACTGAGGCCGATAAATGCCAAACTGTTCTTACTCTGCCTTAAATCAACATACCTGTCAAAACACCGTCAAACAGGAAGTAGTTTTTTAAATGGCTTATAACAGTTTAAAGCCACCAAATGTGATACGCCAAAGCCCAGTTGAGCAATGACAGCAAGTTTGATGTAGCTGTGGTCAGTGGGAGTGGTCTTAATGCCTCATTTAGCTTTAGCTGCACCCACAGTTCTTAAGAAGTCCACCTCTGCTGCATGTTTAACCTAGAAAGATGTGCTCATTTACCATACCTTGACCTACAAAAAAAGTCTCTTAGACCTGTCATGAAATCAACAGGAAGTGCACCATCTTGAATTTTTTGTTGAAAAAAAAAAGGGATTAACCGGGCATCAGGGTTGAACCACACCCCGTCACTTTAGGTTTACAGATAGAAGAAACGTAGGGAAAGTAAAAGAGAGTGATTGTTCACTTTGGTTTAATTCTCCAACATAGTTAATCAGTCTACTGTTTCGTTGTTGCTGCACTGCTGTCCCAGTTCTTCTGACCTAAAAACCAAGGAGCGCAAGATGTGCTTTCCTCTTCTCGTGGTTTCAAACAAACAAAAATTCAGAGCCGTTTTTAAAATATATTTTTGTCAGGAAACAACACAACGGGTCTAAACTGAATTTGGGTTTATACTTTGTGTTATATTATGATTGTAGGAAGTCTTACTGTTTGAAGAGAAGATCAGCGGCTACCATGTTCTGTGAGGGAAATTTGCTGTTTCTGCCAATGGATTCTGGTGGCTTTGAAGAGAGTTCATGGTCGGTAATGTGTCAGACACTTCAAGGTCTCAAAAAAGAAAAACAACAACTTTGTGGACATACTTTGATACCTGTAGATAGTACGGCTCAGATCTTACAGCCTGTCTCAAAACCGCCGACTGAAGCAAACTACTAAAACACTCCTACTTCACCTTTTAGTCACTTAGACCCCAAAACATGTTAAAATTGAGATTCCAGATTTAAAGATATCAGCCCCTAAATTAGTGAAGTGTTAGTGACCGGCACAAGCCTATGTGAACCCATCAGAAGTCTTGACGTGGATTAGTTGAGAGCAGCAGGACAGACTCCCCCATACCAGACTGTCAGGCGGAAACAAAAGGATGAGAACTGTTGGTGCTGAAGCAAAAGAGGTTTGGCTTACTTGGGGGAGCTCCAGACAGGTTTATCTGAAACCCTAGAGGCGAGAAGACAGCTTTTATTTTCTTCATATTTCAGATTCTAACACGACTGTGTTAGTTGGACTTCCTAACATCAGCACTTTCAGCAGTTAAAGGTGCTTTTTAAACCAAAAAAACTGGACCAAAAGGAGTCCTGACGTTTCAGGGTTGACCGACAATCACAGAAATTGGCCTTGCTTTGCTTTTAGGTAAAACACAATGGGACACGCAGAATTAAATGCATCATCTGCAGGGTAGCATGCAAAAAAATGGCCTGCAGGTAAAATATAAAGGAAGTGAAAATGACAATGGATTGGAAGTTTGAACAGCTTATTCAGACATTTTCTCACCATCAGTCAGGAGTTAGATATGATTGGTTAGCAGCATTAAGGTAAAAAGGGGAAATTTGGTCAGAGAGGTGTGATTAAAAGAGCAGGGTCACACAAAATACATTCAATAAAGCTTGAGTTTTAAGGATTACTATTTGAATTAAACTTAAAAACATCATTTTTACATTAAAGTAACAAAAAATATACATTCAACATGATTTTAAATCCAAAAATATGGTCATCTAAGCATAAACATGACAGAAAATTCAACCAAAATCAGAAGTTGTCATCAAAAGTCACATAGGGAGTTTGAACCATCCCAACTTTGATTCAGATTTATCCTGAAATTGTAAATTTGCCTCCCAAGAACTTTAAAAGTTTAATGTACATGAAATCTATGAATTCACTTTTCATGAAAGAGCATCTACTGAGTCAGTAAAATGTGTAGCTACCTGCTTCACTCTGACATCTCCAGCAGGTGTTGGACTCTGAAATTTAAGATGAGACAAAGTTTGCACAGAATAAACACAGCATTTTCATCAGTATTTTATACTTAGAGTGGAAATATATACTGCTGTCTCGTCCTATAAATGCAGGTCCATAAAAACAGGAACATAATGTTGTTACTTGTTTTTAATAAAGGAGTGAGTCAAAGATGAGCTGATCAATGTCAAATATCTTGATTCATTCTGGCTCTGCATACTGCTATCTTCATTAATAATCAATACAACAAAAATTATGAACTGAAAAGTGTTTGGTTAAATTCTGCAGACATAAACATGAGTCTGTCTGCATGTGAATCAAAAAGGTTTTGTAACCAAATTTTAACTCTGTCCTGGAATGATGGTAAATAGGTGACTCCCATACTGGCAGAAGGAGGATTAAAGGAAGATTGATGCAAAATTTAATTTGTTAAATTGGTGTATTAGAGTTGTATTGCTGGTAAATGTAGGTTTGCAGTGTAAGGCAATTCAGAGCTTAAAGGGATGTTCCAGTGTAAAATTAACTTAGGGTCAAACACACCACAACACCACAAGTTGGTATAACAAGAGAAACACGGGGTTGGTACCATTCATCTCTCAATGGGGTGTCTAACTCGGTGTTACGGTGTGTTTGACCCTATATTAATTTTACACCGGATTATCCCTTCAAGTATGAGTTTTTATGGTCTGAATTCAGTACATGTAAGAAAATGCATTTTGCTGTATGGATAAATGGATTTAAATCATTTGCATCAAGGCTTCATATGAATCAAGTTTCAGTCCTATTTCAAATATTTTTTTACTATAAATGCATGTTCATTCCATATATTGGTTATCAGCTTCGTATCTGTATTGTATCGGCACAAACAAAATCGGATTACGCTAACGATTTGCTCGATATGTCGGTATATAATGATAGCTTATCTGTTTAAACCTTAAGGGAGGGTTTATCTTGGTGTAATTCCTTGAACTACTACCGAATTCTCTCCATAACGTCTTAGAAATCATGTATTTCCCACAGGAGGGCTCAATGAGATTCAGTCCGCTCCTGTGGAGATCATCCTGCTGGTCTGGGAGGATCCTGAGCCTCCCTCGGCTAACTCTGCTAACAGTAACCTTCATGCAGCAGCCTGAGCTCCGGCAGCAGCTGCAGACATTTCCCCCCCACTGGTCCACTCACCCTGCAGGCTGCTCATCGTGGTGATGTGCTGGGGCTGGGGCTGGTGGAGGTGGTTGGCTGCGGGTCCTGCGGTGCTGTTGCTGCTGTTGTTGTGGCTGCTCGCTGTTGTTGAGTTGTTAGGACTGGGAGTCGCCATTGTTGTGTGTTTGAATTCCATCAGCAGCACCGGGCTGCAATGCAGATACTCGGAGAGCAACTTCACCCTTCCCTCCCCGCCTCAGTGATCACCGCCTCCTGACAACTTCACTCTCCAAAATAGGCAGGAAGCCGCTTACAGAGAGGCTCAAATACCTTAAATTATTAGTATTCTTTAAAAGTTGGGGGCTACGGTTGAAGCAACCTGTGTAGTATCGTTAACAAAAACAAACCTCCAGCTAGGCTAAGCTAACTAAGCTGGCTAGCAGCACTAGCCAAGAAGCTTTACGTCCCGCAATCAGCTGACCAAGTGACACTGTCAACACCCACAGCGTCCTAGAGCAGGAAGCAAGCTAGCGGTGATACTCGAAGTTACCGGATATTACGTCAAGAGTCCGACAAAGTGAAATAAAGCTCAAGTGCCGGAAACAAACAGATAAATACACGGATAAAATAATAATTTAAATTACAAAGTTCTTCCTTGAGCTGCGTCACCCCACAGCAGTCTGTAATGGACTGGCCTGAGGTCTCGCTACAAACAAGCAGCTGCTGAAAGAGAGTAGGTAAGTTTTGTCTTAAGGTGTGTTTGACCCTAAATTAATTTTACGCCATAATATCCCTTTAACAGTACTATCTAAATTCCAGAGTTCAACGTCCTTTACTGGATAGCATTATAGGACACCACAAGTTTTGAATTAACATAGTGTAACACAAATAAACAAAACAATCAGAGTTTATGGCATATCCCTAAAAAAAAGTTGCCCTCCCAGTCAACTGCACAAACTAATGTGAACACAAAACATATACATGATAATAATAATTATTATTACAATAACAAGGAAACAACAGCAATAACAATATTATAAAAAAAGTCAAAAAGTATTTTATTTTGTCAAGAAAACGGAAGTGGATTCTCCAATACCGTAATATTGACATGACTGCAGTCCCTCAAAGGTGTGCTCGTTTTGTTGAAGCATGCAGCAACATGTACTATTTAGACATACTTAGAGAAAACAAGGTTGATAGGAAATAGTAAAAAATGTCAAGGTTATTTAACATTAGCAGATGAAGATGTCTACAGAGGACAAGAACCATTCGGTCATCAGAAAGGAACCCCTCGCCAATTTTTCTGAGTTATGCAACAACAAAAAAATCCCAAAAAATCACTGCCTGTAACAAAGGGTTTTTTTGCGTATGCATACTGCTGCAATAGCAAAATAAAAAATAAAAATTAATAGTCATTTGATTCCCAAAAGATTGGTACAAAACATATAAAGCTTAAATTAAAGGAAACCTGAACTATTTGACGAAATGCGATCGCTGTTGTGCGCTTGTTTCCCAACATCCGTATGTCCCGCGGGCCCGGACGGGTCAGTGAAAGGTTGAATCAACAATGGGTGAAGTTAGACAGGAGAAGTCGTGTCTGTCAGTCATTTGGAGAGTCTGTAATGCTTTCATGTCAGTATTTTTCGCGCTGGCCTCCTATGTTCAGGTGATTTAAGGGTTTATTTCACTATAGTTAACATGAATTCTGCTGATTCTGGAATATTTCACTGAATTCGATGTATTTTTTGACCGTAGATCAATGATCCGGACGCAGGACTGTGGATGGTAAGCTTACTTACATCAAAATCATTATGTTTTAAATTTCTAACTCATATTCTGAACAGGTTTGTGGCCCCTGTTGCAGGTCGGTTACGGTGTTCCTGCAGTCCTGTGTGCTCTCCTTAGTCTGAAACCACACGTGACAGGTAGAGTTTGGATTTGTGGTATTTGTGTTGAATACTTTTACGAGTTCAGTATTTAAGATTGGGGGTTTATCTTTGAAAGAATAACTATGAATCCAGTTTGTGTACTCTCCTGTTACAGTTTCCACACTTCCCTGGCTGTTTCAGTCCTCTTGAATGCAAACACAGTAGCTTCCTCTGGTGGCTGCATAGTGCCAGCCCACAATACAAAACCACCAATTCTTAATAATAATTATAAATTTGATTTAAGGTCCTTCTATAAGATCAAATGCATGCGCAAAGTGCTTTCAGCTATTTAAAAAAAAAGCTTAAAAGTGTATCAATAAAAACCCAAGGCAAATAAATTTTGTTATCGTTAAAATAATAAGAATCGAACACTAAAATCTTCAGCTTCATAGTAAGTATAATTTTTCTTTTTGTGTTCTCTTCCTGTTTTTAGTTGAAATACTTGCAGCTTATCTTGTAAACAGTTGAAGACGATTTAACTTTATTTTGCTACCATCATTTGTTTTGTTTGTTTAGTTTTAGTAGCTAGAATGAAGTGTATTGCAATACTCTGTGCAAGAAAGCATAGGCGAGAATAAGTGCTGAGTGTACAAGAAGAGTTAGGGTGTAATTCTTGGCAAGGTTTCTTCAATAATAAAAAGCTACTTAGATAATGTCACTCCTATAATAAAAGTTAACACTCAGGTTTCAACTCCTCTAGACCCAGAATTCCCAAAATAATTATTTTCTTTTTTTTTTTCTTCCCAGAGACGTTAGCCTGGAGGCGTGTGGCTGATCTCCATGTGATGATCTCCAGCGCTGTGGTTTTCATCTTAGGGGGGCGGGTAAAAAAAGAGAGATTAATGGAAATCTTCCAGCAGGAGGAGGGCAGGTAAGGTGATTGGCCAGGTGTTCAGCCTGTTTAAAGGAGTTTTTTTAACAACTTATTATTGTCCTTAAGTTATGACCAGCTTTTTTGTATGCTATAAGAGCGGAATAGGATTTTAATAACAAAGAACATTTTAATAACAAAAATAATAATATCAAATAACAATTAATATCAAAATATTTGGATATAAGGTTCCATAAAACTGTGTGTTTTATGATTTCTTTCTCTTTTAGAGAGTTTTCTGGTCTCTTGTTGACACTTGTTTGGCTGCTCCTGTGTCGTCACTCTGGAAGGTAAAATACAGATGAACCAGGACATACTTTTCTTTTATAACACTGATACCACAGAGAAAGCTTGCCGTATTTACCACTTTAAATCCTCTTATTGAACGCAAACTTTTCTCTGTCAGGTCTCAGGTGGGGACGCTCAGAGTCTCCACTGCTGCAGCCATTACTGTTTTCCCATTCGTGGCCTGGATTTATTTCTACATCAACAAAGAGCTCAGACTGAACTGGCCCTCACACTGTAAAACTGCAATTTAGACCCAACCCCTTTCTCTGTTCACGACTGAATATATTCTTTTTTTTTTTGTCTTGACTGTAAACCAGGGACCAAGATGCTGCTTTCATCGCCTTCAAAAGTATTATCACAGATTTTTTAAATCTTGTCATTTAAAATCCAAAGTCATTACCAAAATGATCAAACCTCTAGTTAACTACTGTAATGAACTGTTTCTATGAAAACATGAATAAATACTGTCCAGCCAATACTTTTTGATTAACTTTTTTTGTCAGTTTTTGTACAAAAAAGAGATGTGATTTTCTGTTTGTTTGTTTTTATACTCAATCTGTTCAAATTTGCTGAAATAGATTATATAAAAATAAGTGAAATAATTTCAGTGTTTTTGTTTTGTTGCTGTATTTTATTTTATTTTTTTTTTCATTTTTTAAAACAGCCAACTATCTAAATACAATTTGAAGCTAGTTAGTTCAGATACAAAATAAAAAAATAAAATCAACAAAAAATAGAGCTAATTTTGATGGTTGTTAACTTACTGTTGAGTTTAGGGTGTAGCTGCGAGAGTATTTTTTAGGGTTCCTTGAAGCTCCCAAAAAGCAATATATTTGCATTAAAAAGTAATAACCATCAACTGAATGAATCATCCAAGGTGGTTTAGTTTTTACATTTCATTTTTTGTCCCCTGTAGGTGGCAGCAGAGTTCGCATCAACTAGAAAGATACTCGAAGAAGACATGAATACGTCATTTCCAGCGTTTGGTAACCGCTTTTACAACACTGATCCGAGACCAGTTTTATTGCTGTCAGTTTCATCCGTCTCTGTTACGCTAGATGTGAAGAAGTGATCACAGATCAGTGGTTTGTTGAGTAAATTTATACCCGCTTCCTCGTTCGAGCAGCGGGTCCGTCAAGGTCCAAACATGGCTCTGAGTAATATATTTCATACTCTGGGCCGCCGCTTTTTTCACAGTAATGTAAAACTATTACAAACATGTACACGGACACAACCGGTCAGACTCACACACAGTGTAATATGGCGTGAAACTGGACTGAAACACAGACTGTCACCGCAGAGACTCCAACGCTGCCTGGTAGGTCAACCTGCTTCACATCAGCCGAAGGACCAAACTCCGTGTAGAAATCCGATTTATTTTGTAATTCACTTCGAGAAGATTTACAACTGTGCATTCTGTCTGAAAAATGACTTAAACCTGTTAGAATTACCCGTCACTCCTGTCTAAACAAACTACCGTGCTATAGCTGTCATTTCTGTAGATTCAGTCCATTATAAGCTACATCCTTACTCTCTCCTGAAGCACATTTGCACATAAGAAAACTACCGAAATATCACATAAAACCTCTTACCGCTCGTTTTAAACACTGCCGAATTAACAGTCTAACTTTAAAGTCTCGTAAAAATTTCAAGCGAAACTCTGAGAAACAAAACAACCCTTTTATATTGCAGCGACACCTAAAACTGGTTATATTGTAATGGGGTTTTGCTTAATGCCAGGCTGCGTTTTAGTGTCATCCTCAATAGCTACCTGTAATTGAGAAAGACACTAGATAATTTAGAGGAAATCTCTCATGCTGACAACCCCTTCATGTATTTCCAACTTTAATTTACAAATATTGAAATGTATTAATATTTTGATACTCTATTTGGAAATTAAAATAACACTGAAAAACTTGGTAGCATATTTTTTTAAACTAGCAAGGATGCTGTACAATGAATGAAACAGAAGTGATTTGCAAATCATGTACATACTGAATTTCATTAAATCAAATGGGAAGATATTGTTTTGATGTCAGCAATATGTTTCTAAAAAGTCATTACAGGGTGGTGTTTCCCTCATGGTGTGTTATCAGCTCTTCTTCTCAGCTCCAGAGAAGTCTCTTGAGTTTCTGGATCATGTTTATATCTGAAGATATTTCTTTTAACTCTATCTCTTTTCTTGGTTTTACATACCACAGGTGAGTTTGAGTCATTGGCAAACCTGCAGAACAAGCCATTGTCTGTATCTCCACTCCTCCAGAGCCTTATCCTCACTACCACCTCCACCATCGTCACGAAACAAGCAGAAGAAAACTGGGGTAGGTGGCAAAAAGTTGAGAGGTATTAAATGAACAACACCTGAACCAGATCATAAAAGTGATTTTGTTTTAATATTTGAAGATGTTGTGTCTATGCTTGTTTAACCACCCGTTAGAAATAACAAATGTTAACAAGAATCTTTCTTCACTGCAAACATCGATTTTAACAGTTAATAAATGTTTTTGATGGATTTTGTTTGTGTTTTTTTTTCTCTGTAAAGCCTGTGACGTGGCAATCTTTGGCCATAACTTTTGCTATGGGAGGCTCTCTGCTCTTAGGGATGAAATATTTCAAGAAAGAAAAAGAAGAAAGTGAGTATTTTATTTTTAAATCAGTTAAATAATCTCCAACAGAAGAGGTTAACCTCAGTGAATAAATGTAAATCAACTGTGAATCAAGACTCTCTACCTGTTTGACTCCACAGAGATTGAAAAAGAGAGAACCAAATCGATCGGCAGACCAGCACTCGGTGGCCCGTTCTCGCTCGTGGATCACAACAACAAACCAACTAAGAGCGAGGACTTCCTGGGTCAGTGGGTTCTCATCTACTTCGGCTTCACCCACTGCCCTGACATCTGCCCCGATGAGTTGGAGAAGATGATTGAAGTGGTAGATGAAATAGGTATATTCAAATAGACATACAAAAAACTATTTCCAGTTTATAGAAAAAGTCAGTGTCATGTGTTCTCATCTCATTATTTTACTTTGTCTGCACATGTTTGGTAGATAAAATAAAACCTCTTCCAAACCTGACGCCGCTCCTCATCACCATTGACCCTGACAGAGACACTCCGGAGGCCATGGCGGTGTATGTTAAAGGTAACATTTAAAACATGACCTGATTATGTTTGCATGGACATTTTCAGTTTCATTTTTAGCTGACTAAAGAGAGTTTAGATTCAATAACGTACCCAGCCTTAAAAAAATAAGGAGAATTTTTGCACTTTTTCCACATGTGAAAATGCTCTAAGCTATGCATAATGTTCTTTACTTTTTAAAGGTACAGTGTGTAGCATTTATTTGTTAGAACAGACTTTGTAGAACCGTATTACAATATTCATAATTATGCTTTAATTCGTGTATAATTACCTGAATAAAGCAAACTTTTTATTGTTAACTTAAAATTAGTGTTTCATATCCCCCTCCATGGAGGACACAATCTTGCACTCCCACCCACGTTTCTACAGCACCACAGCGTAGACAAACTTAAAACATATGTCATTTTGTATTTAGTATAAGGCCGTGCAAAATGTACTAGTTAGAAGAATTATAGAGTTGATTTGTGCAAAAGAATACGTAATGATAGCACTCAGTTTTAAAACAGTGTCCTTAGTTTTAGTCACATTTTTATCATTTTTGCCGTTCTCCCGTTTTAGTCAATAAAAAGTCAAAACCTGTTTTTCGTCATTACGTTTAGTAAAAATGTTTCCCTTATTGATTCAATTCGCCAATTAGCATTAAGGGTTAAATCTGTAAAGAAACATCTCTAAACTCTGTTGGGTGTGTAATACTTACTTTTACTTTTGTTGGATAATTTAGCCAAACAATGATGTTCATGAGGAATTTGTCCCTGCTGTATATAAGACATAGAAGAATTTAGTGAATAGAGAACAAGAAATACAAACATTCCTCCCAAAATACTGGAAAATATTAAATTAAATGCAAAGCAAAGATAAATTAATAGTCTTTTGTTTTGATCAGAGTTTTCACCAAAGCTGATTGGTCTGACGGGAACTTCAGCTCAGGTGGAGCAGGTCTCCAGAGCCTACAGAGTCTACTACAGCCAGGGACCAAAGGACGAGGACAATGACTACATTGTGAGTTACAACCTTTGACACTTTCTAAAAACACAGAGACATTAAACAGGTTTGACCCTGAAATTTGATCCTGTGTCTATCGGTCATTTTGGAGCCAGAAGTGACCCTATTTGGACTGGTGGGTGGAGCTTGTAATATGACTTTTTTTATGGTCTAACAGGTTAAAAATGTCTCTGTCTTCTCCTTTTATCATCTGCAGGTGGATCACACCATCATCATGTACCTGGTGGGACCTGATGGAGAGTTTCTGGAGTATTTTGGACAAAACAAAAAAAGTGTGGAGATCACCAACGCTATAGCGGCACACATGAGGAAGTACAAGGCAGCTAAGTGAGCATAAGCAGCTCGCTAAGAGCTTATCATGGACTGACTAACATATCCTGTTCTTGGGTGTTTAATTCTGGTTCATATTAATCATCACCTGTATTTATTTACCTGCAGTGACGGCGTTTTCAATGAGAGTTTGTTCAGAAAGAAGAAAGCAGATTTCAAAGTTATTACCCATAATGCACTTAAGAGCCTATATTTGATTTCTGATCCAATAATAAGGACACACCTGACGATAAAAGCTGTACATTTACTGATTTTGTGATGAATAAAAAGAAAAGCAAAAAAAAAAGTGTGTTGGTTATTTTAAAGAAAATCATAAATGCTGATCTGTGTTTTATTCCTGCATGTAATGTTACAGTGTTGGATTTTCACACTAAAACTCGGCAAAGTTTTAAAACATATGACATACAAATGCAGACAGAAGCTGTGGAGTATAAAAGAGCCTCGACACTTAGAAAATCCTGGAATAATGAAAATATTGATGAAATACTGCAAACAAAAGTCCTGCTGCAAAATTTATGTCCTACCACCCCTCCTTCCTCCCTTCATTTTTCCCCTTTACTTGTACTTCTGGTTTTACACCAATAGGGGGCAGTGTCTGTGAAACTGACCAGCAGACCTCTGGCCACCAGTGGTGTGTTTTCCAGGGAACTCGATTTGAACTGGTTCATATGCAGAAAATTGTCTAAATCAAACTGAATCGTACATTAAATATTGAATATTTCAGGGTTAATGTCTCACATTTTTACACACCAGTAGGTGGCGCAATTTTATCCTCCTGTCTTCACATATACAGACTGATTAGGGTACTTTAGACCCAAATCATGTTATATTGTATTGTATCTTATTGAGACATATCTTAACCTATCTTACCATGTCGTGACGCATATTGCTGTGTTGTATTACATTCTGTTGTATCTGTGTTCTTAGTGAAACTACAAGCAGATGGCAACCACCTTGGATTTCAAGATCAGGGTACCTGAAGTTGCTCTTGAGTTGTTGGGTAAGAATTCTGGGATCAGGGGCTACAACCTCTAAGATCACGATTTCCATCTGGCACGCTAACTTAATCACCAGTCACCTCTGTATGAAGAGCGCTCTGTGCTCCCATTCGTCAATTTCACAGTCAAGATCAATGGGATGTTGGGACACGTCATACAGGACAGGGAGAAAAATCACGATGCCCTAGACCTGTTTTTTCATCATATTGAAGCCAATATAAAGCGCAGAGAGAATTTAATACTGATTTGTCACCCCTGAGGGAAGCAGAGGTGCCAGGACTACTTTTAAAACTTAGCAACGGCAGGAGCCAGTGAAAACCTATCTGTAATCAAAGAATGAGGCTGTCTCTCAGGCACTGGCACTCTCTGACTGGAGGTCGCGCTTCTGGTCTGCACAGTGCTCACTAGAGCAGAGAATGTGGTTTCCATGATTTCTAAAGGGAATGTCACTTTTTTTTTTTGTTTGTTTGTTTGTGTTTTCCTCTTGACCTCAGTCCATCGTAATGTTTATATACCTCTAACTTTTTGGTTACCACTTTGCATGGTTCAGTTTTAACCTGCATTTTTGGAAGCAGTGATGAACTGTGTTTACAGACCATGGTTTTTAATGGATCAAAAGAGATCCAGCAACACTTGTAATAAGTTGTTTTCCTGAACTGCAAGTGTTGCTGGAGCTCTTTTGATCCCTTCAAGACCCTCTTTCTCCAATCACCTTGAAAGTTGGTGAAGTTGTGTCAGAACTTTTGTCGTCAGACCATGGTTTTTGGAAGTGATTTTGAGCTCATGTGACTCCCACTACCAAGTCCTGTCAGTTTTTAATGCAGTGCTGGTTGAGATAAGAATTCTTGATGTTGGGTCTTTGTAAATAGTGTAAAAAAGAGTATTTTCTGGACCTGCTTCCTCTTTCAAGCTTGAGATAACAATTGTTTGAATTTGGTGCTTTATAACTCAAGATTGGTTGAGTTTTATTGATAGTTTGTTTGATTTTGCTCTTACAGAATCACAGGTAAGCAGACAAGTGTTCTTACTGGCTGCTCCTATCTAAGGTCAGGGGAAGATGATTGATTTTAACCTGCTTCAAATATTAAATCAGATATTTTCTATATTTAAATAATGATTTGAAAAGTGCCTGATGGGAACTTCTGCACATGTGACTTCACTGGTGAGTGTGTGTGTTTGTGCATCTGTGGTTGTGTGTGTGTGTGTGATGACACACTACCTGACCTCTCAGGTTTCAGCCAGGGAGGCGAAGCAAAGCGAGGCCAGAAGACACCAGACAGACAGTCAGAGAGAGAGACAGAGTTAGAGAGAGAGAGAGAGTCAAAGAGAGAGTGAGACACGGCCGACAGACAGGTAGACAGACAGGTGGAGAGACAGATAGACAGACAGGCTGCTTGTTGTTTTTACTGGATTTGTTCTGGAGTAATTGGCAGAAGCAGGTAAGACGGACTCATCATGTGCTTATCAGCAGCGTGAGGTCATTCAGAGTGCTGCAGATGGCAGAGGTGTTAAGATGCCGCTGATGAGATGTTACTATTATTATTGCTATTATTATTATTATTATTAATATTGGGCTCTAAGAATAAAATTACATTGACTTCTGGTCTGAAAGTTACAGCTGTAGTTATAAACAAAGAAAACAGGTTATGATGAAGATATAAATATATTTTTTTAATTTGCTCAGTATTTAATAAATCTGTTTAACTCTGGACCTTTGTGAGTGTCTGGACCAATCTGATTAACCACTGGAAGTTAACAAGCCTCCATTATTGCAGGAGTGTCTGTATGAAACTTCTGCACGGTTTACACAATTTGTTTTAAGAAGTGATTAATTTCTACTTTTAATTTTTATGACTATGTACAGAGTAGACAAACTACTTTGTTTTCTGCTTTTACAAAAAAAAAAAAAACAGCTCAATGCTGTAAAATCTAACGTCGCGTAAAGTCCATATTGATGAACTTTTAAACTTCTGGAGCCATATTAGTGTTTTAACTTTCAGCTCTTATATCTCTCCATAGATCTTTATTTTATCTGGTTGAGTTATTGCAACATTATAATATGGTGCAACACTTTCTTACTCACATGATAAAACTACAGGATCTGCAAAAGAAAGTGATACGAGCCAGATCATGGTCTGAGGTCAGCTCTCATAGGCCCTCTTTCCTGCAGCTATGCTCTTTAACATTTACCATCATGCATGTACAATACATCAGGTTATAAATGGAATAAACTGTGGATTATATGATCTTATTCCTAGACACAAAAAAAACACTAAACATAGGTTTGAATGTTCTAGCCTGAACACTCCACTTTATGGCTGGTTAATATGTTTAAAGGTCCTGATTTTATAGTAATTGTTGACCTGGATGGTTTTTGAGATGTTATATTTGATTAATATGCAACTCTATGCAACTGAACTAGAGTTGGATTGATAAATTGCATGTTGTGTTTATAAAAACTTTATCGGCTTTGCATGAAACACAACGCTGAAATTCAGAGTCCCCCATGAATGTGACACTTGATAGAGACTGACTGCTCTCACACAGAGTCAGGCATGTGGGGTGCCACACATGTGTTCAAAGAGTTACAGGTGTATACTGCAGGTGTCTGACTAAATAGGCACAGATTTCTTTCTAAAATGACAAAACTAAGCATCTTGAAATAAATTTCTTTAAGTCCAGTGAATATTTCAGTTCCCTCTGATCACTAAGACAGAAAAAAAAACTTTTAGAAAGCCACACACCTTCACTTGTGCTGTTGTATATTTCATCTCAACAGAGGTTTAAGTTTCACCTTTGGTTTTCCTTTGTGTTTATAACTATTTAGGTTTTGATCTGACATCCTTTTAAAACTAAATTTTTTATTCCCTGGGGGAGAAAAATGTTTCTTACGAGAGAGACCCGGCGTGAAAAATCAGGGAGAAAATGCCTTGGAGTTCACACGGTTAAGTGTTCTACATGTTGCAGGTGTTCTAAGTGTTGAAGGACATCATTATGAAACCAGTGGGATTTTTGCGGGGTCATAGGTCATGCAAACTGGTGACCCACTCTCAAATGTTCTTCATTGCTGCAGGCTGTGGTCTGCAGAGATGTCAGGAGTTCTTGTTGGTTTATGGTGAAGCATCTCCGTGCTCCATCTGACTGAGTCCTTTAATAGTTTTACAGAGCGACTCTGGTCTCTGTGGCGCAGAGGAGGTTCAGGTTTGGTTTTATACGCTGACTGGAGGTGGCAGGTCGGGTTAGAGTTTAAGACATCCAGCAGACTTTGTATTTATAGGACAACCGACTGTCCTCATCGAGTTGATCAGGGATCAGATATTAACAACTGCTGCAGTCGGATTTAGCTCAGAGCGCCTGCGGCCAGCCTAACAGCGAGAGGAGCCAGGTCACAATGAAAGGTCAGCAGCCTGCCAAAGGAAATAGCAGTTAGCCGGTCAGATTAGCACTGCTAGCTTCAGTTGAGGATTAAATTTACGCTATAGGACGAGGCGGGGGGTCCTGACGCAGGAAGGCTTCAATTTGCAGAGATTATCACACAGATCCGGTTTCAGAGAAATCTCTGACACAGCAGCGATGACAGAGGGGATAACGCTGCTTAGCTTAACTTTCACATCTGTGTAACTGGCTGCTAACATCTGCTGGGGTGTGTTAAGATAATTAAATCAGAGCAAAGGAACTCACAGGTTAAGTACTTTAAAAGGTTCATGTCTAGTGTTTCAGTCTGACAATGATTTACAAAGTCTAATCTGCTCTATTCATGTGTCAAAGCAAAGTTTATCACAGTGCTGTACAGAGCAGAAGTATAGATTTCCCTAAGAAATACTCCTCATTGAAGTATTTTCTTAAAATGATAATAGTAAATACAGTTTATTAAAAAGATAAATGTGCAGTGTTTAATAGGAAAATGTCTTAAAACACGTACAAAAATAACTATGAGAAACAAGAAATCAAAAGACAGAAAAAGACAGAGATTACACACAACTCTCATATGGGGTTTAAAACTTAAGTGTCCAGGCTTGATCTAAAGTTGAAAAGGTTTATGTGTCACATTTAAGCACATTTTAAGATAAGATATTTACTAATGGGGTAAATCTCTCTCCGATAAGATCCAGTTTGTTATCTTATGGCTTTGATTTCATTTAGTTAAAATAAAGATCAAATTTGATTCAGTTCTGCACAATTCAATCTGATTCAGTTAAAAATTGATGTCTGAATCGTAAATCATTTTTAACCAAAATATTGGAGGAAAACATTCAAGATAAATTAACTTTTTCAATAAACCAAAGAGGGTTATTGCTGCTTTCTTTCCACGGGTTAGGGTCAGGGTTACTTCTTCTACAGAGCCATGCTAGCGCCACACATGCTAGTTCTTTTTGCACTATTTTCAATTAAATACTGACTTTCAATTACTTGCGAACCATCCAACAGAGTTTTTTTTATCAACATTTGACACAGCCTCCTGACTCTTGTGGAGTTGGAGTTATATTCACCTGACCAGATTCATCACATTACACCATGACACCATAATCCCCTCATACTATCTGAGTGTTGATGTTCAGCTCGGTGTGTTAATACAGCTGACAACTAGCTGGTTTTAATTGAGATAGTTAGTAGTACATATTTGACATCTGTCAGATAATTAACATGTTTGAACACTACATCTTGAAATTAACTTAAGACACGAAGATAATTTATGGACTCTGGTCTGTTTACAGGATTATTGAAATCATCCTTACTGCAGGAGGGTATCAGCTGTAGTCTGTCATTCACTTTTTGCAACACACACACCTTATCACACACACATACACAAAAACACACACATTCGTTCGTCGGATCATTTTATTTTAGCGTGCAGAGCTGACAGAGGAGAGGAAATGCCGGGCGTCTCTGACTGTGTCCAACAACATTCTGTGGTTCTACAGTTGCAAGCACACACACACACACACACACACACACACACACTGAAAGCAGAATGACTTTTCTTTATCAGTGTGACACAACATCACACTCTGCCGGAACAACAACACCGATAACAGCTGTGTGTGTGTGTGTGTGTGTGTGTGTGTGTGTGTGTGTGTGTGTGTGTGTGTGTGTGTGTGTGTGTGTGTGTGTGTGTGTGTGTGTCATGTCATGTCACCTGCCTGTCCTTCTGTGAAAAAGACGGCTTTATTTCTCTGGGGGAGAGTTGGTTGTGAGTTGGTTGCTTTTGCTCTGTGAGTTGAAGACAGATAGTTAGCTTCGTTTAGTTTAGCACAAAGACTGAAAGTAAAGGGGAACCTCAGCCTGGATGAGCACACACACTTGTACTGGTGAGGCAGCTTTTAGTCAAGCTTGGCACAGAGACAGAGCATGGAGAAACTGTTACCCTAGCCTTTAGTATAGACCTGGAGCGGGGGATAACCATTTGATGATTGGGGATGCCTGTTGGAAACTTCATCCTGGACGCCCCCTGAAGTCGAAGTTTGTACTTGGAAATTAAACAAAACTTCAGGTACCATGACCTCAATATCTATAATAGCTCCAACAATACACTATTAGTGGTGTGAAATAGCAGCTCAGTATTATTTTATAGTTTAATCAACACCTCATTTCACTCAAGCATGTGCATGGATTTCCAGCTGAATCACCATGTACTACAAAAGTATTTTGCAAGCTCTGCTGTCACTTCAACTAGGCATGCCATGAGACCGTAGAATGTAAACATGCATGGCGGTTGCAACACTGCTTCAGTCACAGATATTAAAAAAATGAGATAGTGAGACATACAGAGGGAATATGTCAGCATAACCCATCTTTAAGACTGGAAACAGTAAGGAAACGTATAGCCTAGCATGTCCTGAGCACTGGTTTAAGCCCTGGCAGCTGAGTTATGAACAATCTGGAGTCGATTAATTGATTTAAGTTGCAGGCAGATAAAAAATACTTTTGAAATAATCTAGGTGTGATGACATAAAAGCATGTCAAATTATTCTATATCTTTTGAAAATATTCCTGAGATGATGAAAACATGACTGTGCTAGCTTTGATTTGGGCTCCTCCAGTGATAGATCACTGTCAATCTAGAAGCCAAGGTTTGATATCGTTATTTCTTGATGAAAATCAGTTTTTGGCCTAAATCATCTCTAAATCATCTCAACAGATGATTTGGACCAAAAACTCATTTTCGTCAAGAAATGACTTGGGCCATTATTTTAATAAGGTGACGATATGCACCGAAGCTTTACCAGAAGGTGACAGTATTTGCTTTGTCAGGTGTTCAGGTGTGGTCAAAGTAATCTTTGTTTAATTAGAATCTCAGACAATTGTTTACAGAGTGTAGCATGCCAGGGTCTAACAGGTGTGTCTAACAGGCGGGTATAACTGAGTATCATCTGCATAAAGACGAAATAACACCATGCTTGTTCATGATGTACTAAAAGTGGGCCTAATACTGACCCCTAGGGTACATTAGAAGTGCATTGGTAAAATATTAGCATAATTACATGTTTGTCTAGGTAAAGTTGTCCATAGTATATACAGTCTATGGTATAGATATACGTATACAATTGCTACTCAATGGCATGAATTAGAACACTATGGAATTGTTTAAGTCAGAATTTTGGGGGGGGTTTCTCATGTTAAGTTTGCATGTATTTGTTATTTATAGACCAACAGCTCACCTTAAGTTAATTTACCTTGACTTTTGATACTGTCACAGTTTAGGTTTTTAATAATGCAAAGTTGCAGCTATCAGCTCATGCAATATTTGTTATTCATTTTGCATTTTTCTGTGAATTTGAATTTCCTCTGGCGCCATCTTCAGGTGATAACGTCACTGTGTCCGATGTTGTTGCAGTGAGACTCTCTGAGTCTCTGTGTGGCGCCTGTTATCACCAGGACAAGTGGCTAAATGACATGTTAGTGATGGAAGCACAAGCATACACACACCCTCACACACAAACATGCCAACACTCACGTTCCACACACACACACCTACACACATAAAGACACCTTCATTTAAAGCAGTGAATGGATCGTCAGCAGCTGCACAGAGTAAGACTTTATTATCATATATGATCCATTTTTATGTTTGTTTGTGTGATCGGTCAGTTGTGTGTTCAGGTGTTTGTTATACATGTGTGTTCAGATATGAAGGATATGTTCATACATGTTGAAATGTCTAAATGGAGTCTGATGAATGGTGGAGAAAGATGTTTTGAGATATCTAACTAAAACTGTCCACACTCTTTCTGAGCACTTATTATTGATACAAAGTCTCTGTACGTTTTGTTTGTTGTTGACAGTGCTGATGGTTGTAAATTATTGATTACAATTTGCCTTCCCCTTTCAACAAATCTTTGTTTTAGTCCCATCAGACTGAATATTGAGCTTATAAAGTTGTTTTTTTTCCTCCATTTGTAGAAACAAATCCGACCATAAATCCACCTCTTGATCCTCTGTTACACCACCATTGAACAAAACTTACAGTCTCGTCTTTCTCTTGCTTCGTCAAAACAGCCTGGCAATGACTTTGGCATGTATTTTTTTTCTCTGATACTGATGCTATTTGGTCAATTATTTTATTTAGACCGAACCCTTGATATCCCCATTCGGACTTAATTCACCATTTCTCTGGCAATTTAGCAAATCAAGAGTTAAGTAATGTTGGTTTTAATCATCATCTTCATGTTTGAAATGTTGTGACTCAATCAGAGGATTTTTCTGCAATCTATTCCTGTAATCTGGTCTAAAAAGTCCTGATCTATTTGATCCAAGTTATCCTTATCATATTCAGAAGTTATTGACGACACAGACTGGGAGTTTGATACAGATGAAAACCGGACTGAATTACATTATCTTGTATTTTGTATTTTTATTTCTCTTTCTGGACTACTCGTTGTCCAGAATAGCTTTAATTAAATCAGATCACCTTGGGCACCTGGGCCGAGCTGGTCCACATCCATGTTGGTGCCTGGTCTGGCCTTGTCACTAGAGTTCCTTCCTGTTGGACGCTTTAATGATGTTATGCATGGAGTGGAGCCACTGCAGTCACCCTCTGTGGGTACAAATACTTCACATGGTGTCCTCAAATATCAGGTCTGAGTACCCTGTTCCGGCTCTTTGACTCCTGCTTTAGTCCATTTCCTGGTCTGAGGTCTTTGCTGTTTGAAATATCTCTCTGATACCACAGTTTGTGATTGGGGTAGTTAAGACTGTGCGTGTCTCCAGTTATGGCCCTTTGTGAAGCACTGTGGTGGCTGCAGATGCTTGTGCCACATGCCACACCCACTGGCTGAATACTGTAAGCTGTCTGTGGTTTTGGACCTAACATGATCTGCAAGAGGAAGCCATTAGAGGGGTCTGTATTCGGGGGCACCTGCTGTAGCTGCTGGCCAGATACCAAGGCACCTGTCAGAAGAAGTGACAGCTGCCACTTCTGAGATGTCAGTGCAGCAATGTTTCATGGTATAGGCAGCTGATCATGGAGACTGATTTGACTGCTGATGGGTAAACCTGAATATCTGACACTGTCTCTGGAAACTGCTGCACACACTGAAGATATACTGTGGTACCTGAAAGAACCAGAGGCTGCATGCTGGTGAGCAACAGCCCAGGTTTGTTTGCAACTCACCTGTTAACATTGATAGTTTATGGCAAGCATTGGCTCTGCAGTAAATGATGTGGAGTAAGATGGTTGTACAGTGTATGCAATGGCTCTTGAGTAAAGGGGATGCAGAAGATATGCAGCGACTTAGCGGTGGGAGATGTTTGGTGGATCTGCAGCAGAAGAACTGGTAGTTGTATGTAATAGCCCACTGAGCAATAGACGGCTATTGGACATCTAGTTTTTTTAGACCACCGTCTAGATTCTATATATTTTTTGAAGGAATTAATCGATAACTATTTGTTTCAAAAAGCAACTGTGAGTTGTGTAACTGATCTCCAAGTATCTAACCAAAATAATTATGATAGCCATTGTGCAATATACAGTGTAGTATAGGTATAGCCCAGATTTAAACTTGGTCTAAACTTGGTCTAAATTTAGAGGTCTAAAAAACTTTCATTTTTAGACCTGTGGTAGCCTGATTTAAGACCAGTTGTCTAGGTTACATTTAGACGTCTATTAGGCTACGTTCATACTGCAAGTTATGATGCACAATTCGGATTTTTTGTTAAATCTGATCTTTTTGTGCGGTTGTTCACATTACAGCAACGAAAGCAGAATCTAATATGAACGGAATGCGTCCGTGAAGTGATCCGCATGCGCACAAAGCACAAATTGCTTTCCGCGCCTGTTTGTGTTGTTGAACAATGGTGACGTTTGTCGCATATTGATGATGTGTAGGTCGGATGAACGCGCCTGAGCGTTCACACTGCAGTCACATCGGATACATATCCGGTTTATATCCACATACAAAAGAGGCCTGGGTCGGATTTGAAAAAATCAGAATTGCACTGTTCACACTTACATGAAAAAATCTGATATGTGTCACATATGGTTAAAAAAATCGGAATTGACCTGCAGTGTGAACATAGCCTTAGACCTCTTTTAGACCAAAAAATGCTCAATGGGAGGGCAGCATGAGATGATGTGCAATTACTCTGCTGCAGAATATGAGCAGTGATGTTGCAGAGAAAGTTCAGTTACACTGAAGAAGAGATAAATTAACTCAAAGTAAATGTGCTGCAATTCCTCAAAAGACATGCAACAACTCTGCACTGGTTGATATTTATTGGTATTTAATTTGTTGCAGAAGATGTTGTTGCTTGCTTGCGTGTTAGATGTAAAAGAAGTCTGACTTTGCAGTAGAAAAGTTGCAGTGGCTTTGTTTCAGAGATGTTACCGACAGTGCAGTAAGAAAGAAGTGGTAAGTTTGCTACAGTAGACAACACTGACTTTGAATTAGAAAAATTGGACTGACTTTGCAGCAGATCATGTTGCTGGATATGCAGTAAAAAAGAAGGAATGACTTTGCAGAAGACGTTGCTGGCAATGCAGAAGAAGAGCGTTCATTTTTCTGCTGCAGAAAAAGTTATCAGTAGGGTCGCATTCCCTCATCTGCAGAGGATGCTGTTGACTGTCAAGTCAACCAAATGTAAGTAAATTTGCTGACAAAGCTGTCTGAGCAGTAGAAAAGTGTCAGTTTCTCTGATGCAGAGGATTTGCTGACTGCATAGTAGAAAAATTACCATGTCTCTGTGGTAGACGATGTTCCTGACAGTTGGCACGAAAGAAGTTGTGATATTGCTACAGGATAGGTTTTTAATTGTGCTGTGGTAAAGTTGCAGTGTCCCTGTGATAAATGAGGGTGTTACTACTCAGTGGAGGATGTGCAATAAAGAGCTTATGGTGTGTTACTGATTAGACTATCATTTCAAGCCATTTTAAAAGAAGAGAGGGTCTCTACCTACTTGACCCAAAACTGGTAGACGGTTCCAATGAAGAGTGACCATTATTTAATGCTCTGCATCACATACTCATCATGAAGACCTCAGTAATCACAGGCGGGCCTTGTTGGCGTGTTGCATCTTGGAGGAAGCAGTAAGTGCACCAGACCAACAAAAACCTAGTCTTAAGGTTAAGAAGTACTTTCCTGATATTTAAGAGACATTCTTATCAGTGAGAGGGTAAGAGTAAGAGCTGACAGCGTATATTTCTTTGTCATTTACACACAGAGACGCACAGCAAAGCTCTCACATGAAATAAAATATCTGCGTTTTTGCCGATACGGTGGAATTCCATTCTTTAGAGGACTTGGCGATGGGAGATGTCCTTATTTTTATACATCACGATACTGCTTTCTGCTTTCTCCTCCTAACCTCAGACCTGCTCAGCTCCTATGTAGCAGCCTGAAGTGACATTCAGACCAAGTATGAGTAAAATCATCCAGGCGAGTGAATTACATATAACGTCAACGCAAAGAGGCGGTCAGACATGTTCAACTTGGTTGACGCAGATTAGGCGAATATTTGCATGAATTAGGTAAGTAATTACACAACATTTGCGCGTCAATTTTACGCATATAGATGATTTTTACTAGCGCTTGGTGTGAACATGACCTGAGAAGTCACCGAGCTTTGTGTGCACTCTCTCGATTACATGCATGAACAAAGACACGCTCACAAACATCTTGGGGTTATTTTATTACATTCTTGAAATTGGTGACATAGATATTAATGAATAAAAGACTCTTTGGGTCTGCTAGGCCCTAAAATGCTCTAGTTTACTCTGCACCATAAACTTTAGACTCTGCGGTTTAGTTGGTGAAATAAGACTCATATGGTGATCTGTGTGTGAGTGGGTGTGCCAGCAAACTTTCTGCTGCTTCAGTGCACGTGTTGGGTTCAGTCATTGCTGGAGTGCTCCAGTTGTAAACAATATTTGCCTTGGTAGTATGTGTGCAAAGTGTGTAGATGCAGTGGTTGTAATTGCCTGCTGAATCTTTGTAAGATCCACACTGATTACTTTGTATACTCTTGTAAGGTGTGTTGAATTATTTGGAGCCTCTGTTATTAATTTCAGACATTTACTTCATTAGAGCTTCGTGCATTTATAGTGCAGCCTAATTGGTGGTCTTTCAGAGTGCTCCCAAGTATGTGTTGAGAAGGGTGGTGGGGTTTCCAAGATGGGTGTGTAAGCGGTGTGAGGGGGTCAGAGTACACCCACTACAAAAAAACTGGACTACACCACTGGTTTAGAGCCAAGGAAAGTGACTTCAGTTACATCCAGTTTTGGAAACAGACAATTTCTGCATGAACCTGGCATTAATTTTGGCACCCCCTTGTGGAAAAAGTGATGCCTCGTATTTCAAAGCTTATCTGTCCTGTTCATGTTTTAGAACTGGATGATCTTGTTTATTTTTTAATTATATGGAGGCCTCAGATTGATACTAATGTGTTATATAACCAGATTAAAACTCCTGATAGAAGGTTTTAAAGGAAAAAAATTGAAACCTCCAAAGCGACTAATCCTTTTGGTTTGGATGTGTTGTAATTGCTTTGGTGTTCGAGCAAATAATATTTTTAGTATTGTAGTTTAAAAGTTGTTGTGAAAGCTATCCAGTTACGCTTTTAAAACAGAAACATGGAACATAATTTATTTTTAAAAACACAGAAACTTGGCTGAGCAGATTTATTATTTTTTTTTTTTGCTCTATGAATATAAAAACACTTTCTGTTATTTCATCATAGAGACATTCACAGCTGACTGACAGCATGGAGAAGGTGTGTGTGTGCTCGCGCTGTATTTAGCTGCCTGTAGCCTAATATTTGTGGGAACCAGCAGAGTCTGATAGATGATCCTAGAAAGAGCCGGACAGACAGACGTACGGACAGAAAAACAGGCGGACAAATACACAGATAGAGAAACAGATAGACATGTGGCCAGAAAACAGATGGTCAGAAAAAGACCAATGAGAGTAGGAAGATCAGAGCGATCAGATTGATAAAATACACAGACAGAAAAGAATAGGAAGGAAAGAAAAATAGATAGATGGAAACAGGCAGGTAAAAAGCAAAAAAGATGGGAGGGCAGGAAGGACTGGTGTTGGTCGGTACATCAACCTAAATTCCGATCCCACTAACAGAGGTACGGTAACTGTGGACTTCCCCTCAGATGATCCAGCTTGTGTGTATGTTTTTTTTTTTTTTTTTGGAAGCACAGTATGAAACTACGGCAGAGTATTAGGGCCACTTTAAGAAAAAAAAAAGTAAGAATTCGAGATTAAAGTTATGAATTTACAAGAATAAAGTAAATTGTATGAAATCATTACTTACGAATATAAATTCGTACTAAATTAAATACATACAAGAATAAAGTCATCATAAATTAATCACTTAGGAGACTAAAGTCAGAATACAGTCCTTCTATTCTAACCTGTTTTTTAAGATGACAGTTTTTAAATGAGAGCCATGAAGGATTTCATGAAAATGTTCTTCAATATAGGTCTCTAAAACAAGGAGATACTTAATCTTTTGGCACATCAGCACCACATTATCATAAGTATCAAAATAATTTCATCATGACTTTATTAGTAAATAATAAGTAATTACTTTATTATGACTTAATTCTTATAAGTAATGATTTTAGTACGGCTTTATTCTTGTTAGTAATGAATTTATTCTCGTAAATTAACGACCTCAATCTTGAAGTCTAATTTTTTTTTCTTAATGTGGCCCTAATACTTCATTGTATGAAACAGCCAGCCACCCTCAATCAGGTAAAACAGCTTTGTCAGCCTTTAAGGGTCGTCTGCAAGCATGCAAACCAAACCTGTGACTGTAGTTGTTTATTCAATCAACATGTGCATATCTACGTGCATGCATTTGTGGTGCAATATAAATACAATACACTAGCACTTTATGATCTTTCATACCCACACTTGGCTGTTAACAGACTGGTTTTTTTCTAATGAACAATTTTGGATATGTGCACAACCAACCTGTTGTGGATTAAAGATATTACAACCTGTGCATCACTGTACACTGTCCCCTATTTCATCGAAACTAACAAAGAAACAAAGACATTAATAAAAAGTGCAAGGGGTGATGAACAGGCCCCCACACCCTTGTTCAGATTGAAGCCTGCCTCTGTGCTGCAGCTTTGACTTTGCAGGAGTTACTGGTCCAATCATCATGAGCTAAATATTTTTATGGATCTGTTCAGGCTCAGACTTTCTAGGTTATTATTTAGAGTACACATAGCCCATGTTTTACCAGCAGGTATGACTTTACTTTTGTCAGTGTTATTATCTGAAGGACTGCTCGTGTCAGACTGATTACAAATCCAAAAGTGTATTTGAAGATGATGACTGCTTGTTTCCTACAGGTGACATTATTATCATAATGAGTACAGAGATAAGAAGAGGTTAGGGTTAGGGTTAGGGTTAGTGTTATATGAGATCTCTCTGATTGGCTGTGTGTGAGACTTGAGAAAAACCTGTAAAATCTGAAGCAGATTGGACATCGTATGTGAAAGTTAGTACCATATATTTCTTCAGGGTATCAATATGGGTGTAAATAAAAAATCAACATATAGATGTGTTCAGGGGTGGATACAAAATCTTTTTATAACATTTAATATTTAATGTTTTTAACACAGAGGAGGATATTGTTGATTGAAAAAGAAATCGTAGGAGGAGAGTGTTCAAATTCGTGGGTGCAAGAGTGTTTTTTGAGGGACTTAATGTGACAACTACACATAACTCATTTCATACATACAGGTGAAAATAATCCCTGTGAGAATGCTTTTTGAAACTTTCATAGGGCACTAGGGAATAGATTTTTTTGCACTAGTCCTGTAAATTATCAAAAGAATTTCCAAGGCCTGACACCTGAGCAAAAATTGGTTAGCCCTGGAGCATTTTAAAGCCTCCAAATTTGGGGTTCTTGGATCTCAATACAGTTTGTTCACTGTTCATTTCTTGGCACTGATAAATAAAAAACATGGACAGACAGAAAGACACACCTGCTGCTGAATGGACTCATCTGCAACACCTCAGATAGAAATACAGTCAGTCAGACGGCTCATGTTTGTCACTGCTTGAGATGTTTACTGCAGCAGCTGAATATTGTTTGTGTTTGGTGTCTGGGCTCCAACCCTATCACTCCTCATAGACTTACTTTACAGGCAGAAATTTGATAAGATAACCACTCCAACCGGCCGAGCTGGAGCCTTTCGAAAGATGCTGGGGGGGGTGGTGTGTCTGAGAGTTTGAGCAGCAGAGAAAGGTAGCAGTGGCAGCGACAGTGCCTGTACTGGCAGGCATTGCTGACTCCATGTAAGAGAATTTTCACAACCTCATTCCCATAGGAGTTATGACGCCGTGTAAATTGATAATTTAAACAGAATTTCATGATTTGCAGATAATTAAAAGCCGGTATTAATTTAAGAATTGTGCAAAAACAACACATATGATGTTAAAACTAAAAAATGTGATTGTTTAATGAAAAATATCTAGATAGTTAGAACTTAATTGTCTTTTTATAAGATATGTGTTGCCACTGTCTGTACAAAAGACAAATCGATAAAGTGAAACATCTACCCATATATCCCCTGACTTGGTGATGGTGGTTGAAGATGTTTTATTTTCCACTCTGACTGCTTGAGGTCTGTCACTGAGAAAACTGTGCATCCAGTGAAAGAGAAGTGAGGGGACATTGAGATGTCAGGGGTTTCTTGATCCTCAGATGGTGTTGAATAGTGTTGAAAGCAGAACTGAAGTTAATGAAGAGGAGTCTGACAAAGTTACCAGGTGTTTCTAGGTTTTCCAGGAGGGAGTGGAGGGGGCATACTCCAACATCCTCAGGCCCTGTTTTGGCTTTATATACAAGCTGACCTAGCTGTGGTCTGACATGTGGGATGATGGTGTTCAAAATCAGTTTTTCAAGGCATTTCATGATTATTGAAGTGAGTGCAACTAGCAGGTAATGGTTAGGTCCTGAGGGATGGAGCTTCTTGGGCAAGGGTGTGAGAGTGGATGTTTTCCATAGGGTTGGCACTGAAGAAGACCTGCAGGACTCCCAGAAGTTGGAATGGAGAGCACTGCATTAAAAACAGACATGACTCTGTCGTGGAATTAACTGCATGGGCTCAAAATCACTCCTAAAATTAAAAAGTTCATCACTGCCTCCCCAAATGCAGGTTAAAACTGCAAAGAGGAAAGTATGAAGCATGTTGCTTAACATTGACATTGATTCAGTTTCATGTAAGGAAACTTTCCTGCTTGCATTTTGTTCCTCTTTTTCTACTTTTGGTAACACTTTACAATAACTATAACTTATAAATGTAAACAGACCATTTATAAATAGTAAGCACATAGTTTATTAATGTTTAATCATCATTTATAAACAGCATATAGACCATTAATATATTGTAAATTTTACAATTTTAAAAACCTAACCCTAACCCTAACTTTACAATAACCTAAGTAATGTTTATAGATGGTTTAAAAACCAAATATTTACCATTTACAAAGTGCTACTGACACACATTTTAATCTAGATGTTTTACAACCAATATTTGAACACTATATAAACCTTTAATAGATAGTCCATTAATAATTAATGACAATGATTAATCATAATTTAATTGCTTGTTAATGGTAAAGTAACTATTAACTTACATTAATAAACTATCTATTTGCCATTTATAATTGGGCTATATGCTGTTTTTATATGATGATTAAACATTAATAAACTATCTATTTACCATTTATAAATTATGGTTATTGTAAAGTGCTACCCTACTAACTTATAAGTTCAAATCAGGTAATTTTCTTCTTGTAATACACAACTAGTTTTAAGACTGACCCCTTACTTTTGAATCACTCATAACAGAAATACCTCCATCATTTAAACCACCATTAACTGAGGGAGTCAAATAAAGTTTACTAGTTTTCTGAGGTTAGGAAAACCTCTGAGAGAAACATCAAACAAGGAGAGGAGAAGAGGTCAGCGGTTGATCAGAGGAGGTGAAGAGGGGCTGAAAGAAAATCATGTAGGAACACAGAGAGGAATGAGTGTGTGTGTGTGTGTGTGTGTGTGTGTGTGTGTGTGTGTGTGTGTGTGTGTGTGTGTGTGTGTGTGTGTGTGTGTGTGTGTGTGTGTGTGTGTATGTTGTTGGAATGAGCTGGGTCATCGTAGTGACTGTAATGTTACACCCGGGGGTTAAAATGATGACTCCAAGCAGCTGCTAGTGCCATGGCAACATAAGGGCGGGGTCAACCCTGGCAATGCTCAAGTGTGCATGCCCCTGTGGTTATGTGTGCACTCATCTCTATTGACACTTTGACATGTGAACAACTTCCTGCCAGGTGGTCTCAGACTGTTTGCAGGTTTATGAAGTCCAGTCAGTACAGTGCAGACCTCTGCCAGGTGAGTGAGGCTGAGGTTAAATAATCCGGTTGAAAAAAAACAGAATGATGGTCAGTGAGTCTGCTATTGAGACTTTGGTGATTCTATATTATATTACTGTAAAATAAGGGTTGATAACAACTGGATTTTCTTCACATTTAACAAAGTGAAAGGTCATCCAGGAGCATTTCATACATTTCATACCCTGATGTAGCATCCAGAGAGCGTTTCTTCAAATATTCTATTGAAGAATAAAATTAAAATTAAAATTAAAAATAAATAAAATTAAAAATAAAATAAAATTAAAATTTTTATTAAAATAAAATTTTATAAATAAAATAAAAATAAATTTAAAATAAAATTTTATTATTCAGAGAGCCCTTTAAACCTTATTTAATAAAAAGGGCATTCAGATTAAGTCATTGGCATTTTGTTGAGTGGAATGGCAACCAAAAATTCCATATGCCAGTAGGGCATTCAGGGATTCTTTTACAACCTTATTCACAATAAAAAGGATTCCAGAGGCACTTTTGTTGGACCTCTTTTTCACTGGAAAGTCATTGAAAGGACAATTTTAGTGTAATATACTGGCAAAAGCCTAGAGGTTGTTTTACCCACATTTTCTGTACTTCAAGAGCATCTTCATTGAAAATTCAGACCACTGGAAGGGTATTCTGATTGCTCGTTTTAGGTTCAGTGCACTGGTAGGGCATTTGGAGGGGACTTTTTGAAATTGCCTTCACTGGAAGGGCATCCAATAGACACTTTGTTGTGTAATTTGACATTCTTTTTGGAAATCACAGTAGCTGCATTTGCCATTCAAGGGAGAAACCACCCAGTTTGTTATCAGTTCACAGATCAAAGTTAGCATCCCTGATGGTATGGGGATCATGACTGTCCATGGGTAGCTTACACATCTGGGTAGACTCCATTAATGCTGAACAATATATACAGACAAAAGATGAATAGTTGCTGTTAAACTCTGTATGTGCAATTATTTTGTAGTCGAATAAACGCAGGAATCGGGGTGAAGGACATTTACAGTGATGCTGCATCAAAATATTTTTAATGAATTAAAGGAGAGGCATGCTTTTGTGTCTTTGGCCTGAACATGTTTCGTTGCCACATTAGGCCCTCACCTGACTGGAAGTAGTTGCTCAGTGACGGTGAAGTTCAGGCGGCGCTGCATGATGCCAGGATGGCACCTCTGCTGCCCCCTGTTGGTTCAAAAGTCTACAGACGCTTCACGCCAGCCTCGTTGGAGAAAATCCAACAACGACATGAGGAGGAGGAGGAGGAAAAGCAGAGAAGGAAGGAGAAAAACATAGAGGTAATCACTGGGAGTGATATTTCAGGAACTTTTACATGACATCTCTCTGATTGGCTGTGTGTGTGATTGACAGATACCAGAGGAAAATCTTCCAAAACCTGCCAGTGACCTCGAGGCTGGGAAGGCCGTCCCATTCATCTATGGCGAGCCACCCTCCGAACTTCTTAACACCCCATTGGAGGAGCTTGATCCTTTTTACCAATCACAGATGGTCTCTCTGTTTAAACATTAGCAGTTTTTTCAATAATATAATACAACAGAATATTTGTCTTTTTCTCTCACATTTTAGTCACCATAGGAGGAGCTTTTTAGATGATTAATAAGAAAAAAGTGAGAGGAGGAAGCTTTTTTTCACTAGACCTGTCTGACTTCCTGTTCCCTGTCTCTGCAGACCTTCATCGTGCTTGGTAAAGGAAACGTTATCTACAGGTTCAATGCCGAGCCGGCCTGTTACCTGCTAAGTCCATTCAACCCTCTGAGGCAGATAGCCATAAGGATCCTCATTCACTCATATCCTTTTTGAAGTGCCATTGTATTCCCCTGACTGGCCAATGACCCTGATCATTTGGAGTTACAGAGCTACAGCTCAAAGTAAACACATTTTGTATTCAATGGGCTGGGTTGTTGACAGTCTTACCTGCAACTTGTGAAGCAACCATGCAGTAAGATCACAGACTGGTTGATAGTCTGTATTGTACTGTGGACAAAAAGTCACTTTATGGTGCTCAAGTAAAAATCACTCAAACCTGTAGAATCAAAGTTGCCAAAAGTAAAACAATCAATAACCTAAAATTAGTCAGTGAAAGCTTACTTGTTCACTACATTTCCATACAGACATCTCTTTGTAGAAATGAACCTGCTGATGTTCAAGTGCACCACAAACAGAGACCACAACACTTATCTAACTGTAACCCTAAAATCCAGATTACTTGCCTAGAGAATTTACCTTTTTTGTCAGATCCCGAGAAAGGAGACCATTATTTTACTTCAAGTGTCCTTAAAACATAAACTTTGTTCAGCATGTTCATCATGGTGACAATTCTGACCAACTGTGCATTCATGACAATGAGCGATCCTCCACCTTGGAGCAAGATTGTTGAGTAAGTTAATACACACCAGCAAGATAATGCTAATGACCAACACCCAAATGGTTTATAAACCTTATTAGTTGGAGGATGTTCAAGAGTGAGTTCTTGTGCGTTTTGTGGACCTTTAGCCAAAGTATCTGATCTGCGTCTATGTTTTGATGTTTTTGCGACTGAACAGATATGTGTTTACTGGCATCTACACGTTTGAAGCAACGGTCAAAGTTCTGTCACGAGGATTCTGTATGGGAGGATTCACCTTCCTCAAAGACCCCTGGAACTGGCTGGACTTCATGGTCATCAGCATGGCGTGAGGCTCAGTGGCACATCTGATGATAATGATAGAAACAGGATGATGATGATGATGGTGTTAATGATGTGCTTCACTGTGTTTCAGGTACCTGACAGAGTTTGTAGATTTGGGAAATGTTTCTGTTTTGAGGACATTTAGGGTTCTTCGAGCTCTGAAGACCATCACAGTCATCCCTGGTCAGTTTCTATCCTCTTTCATAGTGTTTTTACAAAAACTCATCATTTTATAAAGTTCTTTTTGTTTGTGTTTGTGTGTCCACGATACTGCTTCTCAGGTTTGAAGACAATTGTCGGAGCTCTCATCCAATCAGTGAAGAAGTTGGGAGATGTCATGATCCTAACAGTGTTCTGCCTCAGCGTCTTTGCTCTGATTGGTCTGCAGCTATTCATGGGAAACTTACGGCAGAAATGTGTCCTCATCCCACCCATATTTTTAAGCAACCAGACATCAGACCTCGATCACAACACAGGATACCTTGGCAACGATACCTATGGCAACTATACCAACGGCAACTTTACCCATGGAAATGATACAGGCTTTGATTTCTATGAGCACATTAACAACCCAGGTACTACTGCTACTGCTATGTCTACCACTTTTGTTAGAACTACCGCTACTATTTTAAGAGTTGGTTGTATTTTCAAAACAAATGGCATGTTTAAATGTTAGATGCCAATACCAAAATCAGGCAAGTTTCAAATAATAAGGTCAACATGTGTTGGTGTAGTCCCACGATGGAAATGCAGACTACTCGGTTATAAAAATTAAACCAGAGAGACACAAAAGTTGTCCAATTTGTGATGTCAACGATTGGCAAATGCCCTTAGCAGTAAGTAAATGAAAACGTACCAAACAGAGACATCTTGCAGTGGACAGGTCACACTTTGTGTCCCACAGAGAACAGCAGGGGCCTAGGAACTCTGTGATACTTTTATGGGAAACAAGCTGAGTAATCCGAGAAAGTACAAGTGACCCTTCTACTAGAAACACCTATGAGTCCATCTGTGGGTCAGTCTATGCATCAGCTTTTCTAACCCTACTGCACGTCTTTCTTCATGATAGACAACTACTACTTCCTCCCTGGTCATCTTGATGCTTTGTTGTGTGGAAACAGCTCTGATGCAGGGTAAGCTCATCTCTAAATTCATCATGATGATAATAATGTAGATGATAATAAGGATATCTGATGGTGATGATGGTAATGATGGTGTTGATGGTGTATTCAGGGCCTGTCCTGAGGGTTACATGTGTCTGAAGGCAGGCAGAAATCCAAACTATGGCTACACCAGCTACGACTCATTTGGATGGGCATTCCTGGCGCTTTTCAGACTGATGACCCAAGATTTCTGGGAAAATCTTTTCCAACTGGTTTGTATCTGAATGGTCCCAGTGCAGACACTGGTCCTAAATGATTTGTGATCCACAAACAATTTCTTCACATCAGCTTCAGAAAATGCCTGTTTGTTGGTCTTTCACTTCTCTCTCTTTATAGACTCTACGAGCTGCAGGTAAAACCTACATGATCTTCTTCGTGGTTGTCATCTTCCTTGGCTCTTTCTACCTTATAAACCTCATCCTTGCGGTGGTTGCCATGGCATATGCTGAGCAAAATGAGGCAACTATTGCAGAGGCTAAACAGAAAGAGGAAGAATACGCTCAGATCCTGGAGGCACTTAAGAAGAGAGAGGAAGAGGAGGTTAGACCTACAGCGTACCATTGTAGACTAGTATCATTAATGTTTAATCAAACATACATGCAGCTTATCATGTGTTTGTTGTGTTACAACAGGCAGCTTGTAGGGCACTGGCTGAGATGGAATCCACGGAACTACAGAGCAATGAGCAAGAACATACTGTCATGGGTGGTACGTGCATTTTCCATAGAGGCCTTCAAACAATACTGAGGTACAATTACGCTTAAAGTTATTTCAAACTTATTATCAGGGGGGTAGAAAAAATGCAGAAAAACACAAACAAGCAACCTCATTGGCCAAGTCAAGGACTTTGAGTCTCCCAAGACTCCTTCCCAATCACTTCGTAACCCACCAATTCAAGTTGGAAGTTGGTGCTTAACTTACCCTATGTTTCAGACTTTGAGGAAGAACAGCGGCCCTGTCCTCCATGTTGGTATGCCTTCGCTAATATCTTCCTGAAGTGGGACTGCTGTGGCTGTTGGCGTTGGGTCAAAAAGTTGCTCTACAATTTTGTCATGGACCCATTTGTTGACCTTGGCATCACGATCTGCATCGTCCTCAACACTGTCTTCATGGCCATGGACCATTATCCAATGTCAGAAGACATTGAGAACGTTTTGGTTGTCGGGAATCTGGTCAGTGATGAAGTATAATCAATTTATTGACACAGTAAAACCAGTGACCTCAAGTCCCTGAGTTATGTAACTAAAGTAGAACAATGGCAGAAAGCTTTATTTCTGACCTCTGATGCCCCCTCAGGTCTTCACAGGGATCTTCACAGCTGAGATGGTCCTCAAACTTCTAGCCATGGACCCATACTACTACTTTCAGGTCAGACTTCTTGTTATCCAAGCATAGCATTGATGTTCAACAGCCACAGCCATGGTGCAACATCTCTGCTCTGTTTTTGTGGCAATAGGTGGGCTGGAACATCTTTGACAGCATCATCGTCACCATGAGTCTGGTTGAGCTGGGACTGGCCAATGTTGAGGGCCTGTCTGTGCTTCGCTCCTTCCGTTTGGTCCGTGTGAAATCATTTTCCCATTTACAAAGAACAAACTATTCATTACCTGTGTGTCTACCTGTCATTTCACCTGAATGATAACCTGCCTCCTCACCTGTTGGCTTACCAACTCCATCACCTGTCCCCATACCTTTTCCCTGTCTGCCTAATAATCTGTCCTTTCACCTATCAGTCTATCCATCTCATTAACTCTCTCTGCCTCTACATGTAAGTGTCCACCTGTCTCGTCACATGCAAACCTGTCTCTATACTTGTCTCCTCACCTGTCTCTCTTTCTGTTTCATGTCCAGATGCGAGTGTTTAAGCTGGCCAAGTCCTGGCCAACCCTCAACATGTTGATAAAGATCATTGGAAACTCAGTGGGGGCGCTGGGGAACCTGACTCTAGTCCTGGCAATCATCGTCTTCATCTTTGCCGTTGTCGGCATGCAGCTGTTTGGGAAGAACTATAAAGACTGTGTGTGCCGTATTGCACTCGACTGTGAGCTTCCTCGCTGGCACATGTACGATTTCTTCCACGCTTTCCTTATCATCTTCAGAATCCTGTGTGGGGAATGGATCGAGACCATGTGGGACTGCATGGAGGTCTCTGGTCAGGCCATGTGTTTGATCGTCTTCATGATGGTTCTTGTCATCGGGAATCTAGTGGTGAGTCATGCTTTGGTCTAAGAATGCTTCACTGTCTCTAATCCAGTTGGCCAGCAGAGGCTACAAATACATCTAGGTGCACACAACATAAGGTACAATCAAAGTTTCAAAACTGTTCCTGATGTTACTTTGGATTTTAAACCAGCTTCTGGGCTTATTCCAAGTCTTGTATCTCTTCGTAGTCTCTTTTTTTGTCCGGACCTGTTTCTGGTCTTGTTTGGGGTCTTGAACACATCCCTGATTGTTCAATCTCAGGCCTGTTCTACAAACACATAAAATCTTGTTTTGTGTCCCAGTCGCTATTAATTCTGATCTTGTTCCAGATCTGTTTCTCATTTTTGGTCCCAATCTGTCTCTGATCTTGTTTAAGGTTTCCATAACCAATCAATGTCTTGTTCTGAGTCCTGAATCAGTTTTTGGTCTTGTGGTCTTGTAGGTTTCTGAATCTGTCCCTGGTTTTGTTTTAGGCATTTAAATCTGTTTTATGTCTTGTCTTAGGTCCTAAATTTGTTCCTGGCCCTGTTGCTTAGCTCATTCAGTGGTTGTAATCTGGCTCCTGAAGAGGGAGAAAACAACTTGCAAATAGCAATAAACCGGATCACCAGGGCTGTAAACTGGATAAAGACATGGGTCCTGGGACATGTATGGACTCTAATGGGAAAGGAAAACCACATTAATCCGGTACAAAATGGTAAGCAAAGTCTGGGAACCTCAGGTCAGAGCTTGGATTGCTTGCTAGTATTTTTATACAGTATGATTGTTGTTGTTTGCCAAGTTTTTTAGTCCTTTAGAGCTTCATATGTTATGTTCAGTATTTAGATCAATAATGAAGTTCATATTTGAGTTATAAGTTTCAATAAACCATGGGTTTTATGGTAAAATTCATTTCATACATCAAAGGTTTCTTATTCTTTAGCTTTAGCATTAGCGGTTGGCCATGAGGAGGACACCAGTCCAACTAAGGAGGTCCTGGCTTTGACTTATGTGACTCCAGACCTGACAGTGCCGGATGTCAAACCCCTCAACTGTTACAATAGCAACTTGACCAGCAACTACCACAGCATTGCATTCCTGAAGGTCCCCATCGCTGAGGCTGAGTCTGACTTTGAGACCCCAGACAACGATGAAGATGAAGAGGAGGAGGAGGAGGAGGAGGAGGAGGGGGAGGGCGAGGAAGAAGATGAAGAAGAGCAAGGGGAGAAAGAAAAGCAATCCCAAGTAAACACTTTCATCTAACTGCAACATTATATTTCAATATAACAAAGTGATTTCAATGGGATAAATAGAGTCTAGCACTAGAGATTAAGGCCTCATCCACACTGAGGTGAGTATTTTTGAGTCCAGCCAATCGAAAGAACATTGTGCACATCAAATTGAGCATCTTTGTACTGAATCTAGGGTGGACTGTAATGTTTTCATTTGCTATTGCACTGAAATTCAATGAGTTTTTCATATTAGCATGCAATTCAAAAAAGAACCAAGCAAATAAACACTCTTAACCCAACTCACAGCATACGCAATACATGCAACGATTGCCTTGTACATGTTGAGACAATGACGTCCGTGTCTTCAAAAATTTTTATGACACACAAAGAACAGTTTATATAAACCCTTATCTCATGAGGTGTTTTTTGAAACCTTTGTCTTCAGTGACCTCAAACTCTGGTTGCAGTGATATCTCATCACAGAGATACAAATTTGTTATTTGTCAGTTAACATAGCCTACCTGCCACCAGTAGGGTTCATGACCATTTTTTTGCCAACTGATAAACTTCGCCACCATCTTAAAGAAAAATCTGTCTGATGTATTTATCCAGTGTGACGACTCATCAGTCTGCAGCACCGTACAGAGACAACCAGAAGTACAGGTGGAAGAAGAGGATGACGATCAGGATGCAAATGCACCTGTGGACTGCTTCACTGACAGTACAAACACATTCTTACCTACACCGACCATCATACCCCATCAGTTATGAGGAGGTCTCTGTGACTGATTAATACTAAACTGCTTTCTGTACGCTGTCTGTTTTAGAGTGTTACCAGAGGTGCCCATGCCTGGACATAGACACGTCCGAGGGAAGAGGAAAGATGTGGTCTAACTTCAGGAGAACCTGCTTCTCTATTGTGGAGCATAACTACTTTGAGACTTTCATCATTTTCATGATCCTGCTGAGCAGTGGAGCTCTGGTAAATTGTTCTACCTTCACTATTTTTATTATTAAAACACTGTGCAAGGCTTGTGACTTATGTGACTGAGCAGTTCAGATCTGATTGGTTTTCAGAATTGTGTGCATATGTGAAAACCAACCTGTGGAATTAATGAGGCAGACTGCAAAGAGCTGATATACTAACCAAAGGAATACTAACAAGGCTGATATGGTTATCTGTGGACAACGAAAACACATGACATTGTCGCTAACATGGCTGCTGTATGTAATGCAGGTAACATGCTAATACTCTGACCAGACCCTATCAACACTTTGACATGCAGGAGAAAAAAAGAAAGTGCAATATATTACCAGTTGTCACAACACCTAGTCTTGAGGTAACTAAAATCTAAATGTGGACAGGCTTTCGAGGACATCAACTTGGAGCAGCGTCGAGTCATAAAGATCATTCTGGAGTATGCTGATCAGGTGTTCACATACGTCTTTGTTGTGGAGATGATGCTCAAGTGGGTTGCCTATGGGTTCAAGACTTACTTCACCAATGCCTGGTGCTGGCTTGACTTCCTCATTGTAGACGTAAGAACCTTACCACCTGCAGATATCAATAGCATTATCAGAATTGGAGGAGGGCTGGCGGCTTCAGACAGCCAAACTGCAGTCAGACATCATAAGGTGCGCTGTGTCTTTCAGGTGTCTCTGATATCACTGACAGCAAACATCCTGGGGTACTCTGACCTGGGAGCCATCAAGTCTCTGAGGACTCTGAGAGCTCTGAGGCCTCTGAGGGCACTGTCTCGGTTTGAGGGGATGAGGGTAAGACAGCTGTATTTTTTCTTTAATTTAAGGCACTTGCAGTTTTAATTCTTTACAGGTATTGTTTTCTTGTATTGACCTTTTGACTTGTCTGTGTCCTTCTGTCTGCAGGTGGTCGTGAATGCCCTTGTTGGGGCCATCCCCTCCATCTTTAACGTCCTGCTGGTGTGTCTGATCTTCTGGTTGATCTTCAGCATTATGGGAGTAAATCTGTTCTCAGGGAAGTTTTATTACTGTTTTAATGAGACATCCGAGGAGATGTTTAGCCCCGAAGAAGTCCATAACAAGACAGAGTGTTTGACCCTGATACAGCAAAACTTTACAGAGGTTCGCTGGAAGAACATCAAGATCAACTTTGACAATGTGGGAATGGGATACCTGTCACTGCTGCAGGTGGTGAGTCCCCACACTCAATATAATCTACAACCCAAATTCAAAATTCTCCTTTTTTGGTATTTTTCATTTTATGACAATGATCAGGACTGCAAACAGGTCAGTTTCACAGCAGGATTCTTCTACTCCAGATCTATGCTGTTGTAATACGCGCAGAATGTGGTTTGGCATTGTCTTGCTGAAATATGAAGGTCTTCCCTGAAAAGGTTTTTGTCTGGATGGCAGCATATGTTGCTATATTTTCCAGCATTAATGGAGCCTTAACAGATGTGTAAGCTACCCATGCCAAAAGAGAATGCCAGATTTTGATGCAATAGACCATTAAGACAGTTCTCCAACATATGTCAGCTAATCAAAATGAGCTCAGGCCAAAAAGTAAATTCATATTCCTGCAAAGTGTGTAAAGATTTAAAGTCTGTATATAGCTCCAAGGCTTTTGGAACCGGCCTCAAATGGGCATATGAGGAACTGCAGGTTTTTGATGAGAGGTTGTCACTTGGCAGAGAAGTGCCCTGAAATTGAGGTTGTAAGCTTTGCCAGCACAGGAAACACAATCCATGAACACAGGTCCTAAACCTTCAACAGTTCGAATGAAAATACTCTGCAGCCACTCTTACTTTCAGCTCTTTTTGTGAGAAGGTTATTCTCGCTGTCTCTGCTGCTTTCTCTTGTTTTGCAGGTTTCTCTGTATGCAGATGACTGGACTTTCTATGTTGATGTTCAGACATAATTAAAACCAGATATTTTATGTTTCAGGCTACATTTAAAGGCTGGATGGAAATCATGTATGCAGCTGTGGACTCCAGTGATGTCAGTACAGCAGCTCTTATATTCAGGAAAAAAATAAAAACTTAACTGTATGAAATGTGAAAATACAATAACTGATTCCAAAATTGAAAGTAAATCTGATTGAAAGTTGAAAGTTTGAACTGATTTGACTCTTTTTTTTTATCATGTTTACTATACTTGTGCACAGGTGGAGGCACAGCCCATGTATGAGGCAAATTTGTACATGTACCTTTACTTTGTCTGCTTCATCATTTTTGGCTCCTTCTTCACCCTTAACCTCTTCATTGGAGTGATCATCGACAACTTCAACCAGCAGAAAGCTAAGATATGTTTCAACACAGAAACCAACTCATTTTCCACTGGTTACAGTCATTCAGTTATGGCAGTAAATATTAGTCCTCTCTGTCTTAGGGTAAACTCTTTCTTTTCTGTTTTTACATGGGGGGAACAGATATTTTTATGACTGAGGAACAGAAGAAATATTACAACGCCATGAAAAAACTGGGCTCCAAAAAACCTCAGAAACCAGTCCCACGGCCTGCGGTCAGTTTACTTTTATGTATGACTTACAATGCCAGACACTATTTGAAAGAGATAACCCCTTCAGATGTTTCATGTTGTTTTCTAGAACCTGAATGTTTCAGGTTGGACCAGGGCTTGTTTTTGAGTTAACTGTATTTGTTCCCTTTGGTTCTGTCCCCCCAGAATAAGTTCCAGGGTTTGGTCTTTGACCTGGTTACCCTACAGATTTTTGACATTTTGATCATGGTGTTGATCTGCCTCAACATGGTGACCATGATGGTGGAGACAGATGAACAGAGTGCAGAGATAGAACTCCTCCTGTACAGGGTCAACCTGTTCTTCATCGTCATCTTTACCGCAGAGTGCACTCTGAAGATGATTGCTCTTCGTCAGCACTACTTTGCCGTCGGCTGGAACATCTTTGACTTTGTGGTCGTCATCCTGTCTATCGTTGGTGAGTTTGCTGATCTACGTCCAGTGATGTAACCTCTTTTTTAGGGAAATTATAGTGTGAGCATTTAATTCAATGTTGCTAAACGTCTTCTTTTAAAGGGATATTTCAGTGTTTTTTAAGTGGGGTCATGTGAGTTACAAGTCACTAGAAATTGTAGGAATCATGATGGATGTCGGTCAGCTTGGCCCCTTTAATGAGAAACCACAGGGAGAGCTGGCATGCAAACTTGGCTACAGTTCAGTGTTCAGTTTAGTTAAGCAGTGGACTCTGGTTGGTGGTGGTTGCAAACTACAGCCTCCTGTGAACCATGGTCTCAGTTTGTCTCCGAACATTACCTCACCATCTACATGTATGCACCACTAGGTAACCTGGGATCTCCTGTTAGCATTGAAGTTTTACCACTTTTGTCTTCATAGATTCACTTTTGTTCCTCATAAACTCGGGTTCAAAAAGATGACATGTCATTGCTTAAAATCAAACAATAAAAGAAAGTTAATTAAAAAAAGAGGTAGTAAAACACAAACTAATTACTCTAGGACTAAAATACCGTAAAATCACATAATGCAGATTAAAAGATTAAAACAAAATTCAGCTAAAAGCCAGACTAAAAAGGTAACTCTTAAGTTTACTTTTAAAAATATGAGCATTAGGTGTCGCTCTCAGGTCTGCAGGTAGGCTGTTTCAGATGTGGACCGTAGAATAAGCATAATTTGTTCAGAAACTTTAATAACAAGAATCATCTGTAACCCAGGAAAGGAAAAGTGTGTCTTTAACACAGTTCTTCTGATCTTCCTCTCCTCAGGCCTTCTCCTCGCTGACATCATTGAAAAGTATTTCGTCTCGCCTACGCTCTTTCGTGTGATCCGATTGGCTCGTATTGGCAGAGTCCTTCGACTGATTCGTGGAGCCAAAGGTATAAGGACCCTGCTGTTTGCCCTGATGATGTCTCTTCCTGCCCTCTTCAATATAGGCCTCCTCCTCTTCCTCATCATGTTCATCTTCTCCATCTTTGGCATGTCGAACTTTGCCTACGTTAAGAAAGAGGGGATGATTGACGACATGTTTAACTTTGAGACTTTTGGGAACAGCATGATTTGTTTGTTTATGATCACCACGTCAGCTGGATGGGACGGTCTGCTGAGCCCCATCATGAACCTGCCGCCAGATTGTGACCCTGACATTGTGAACCCAGGATCTCAGGTCAGAGGAAACTGTGGCAGCCCTGCCATCGGTATCGTCTTTTTCACCACCTACATCATCATTTCGTTCTTAGTGGTGGTCAACATGTACATCGCCATCATCCTGGAGAACTTTAATGTGGCCACTGAGGAAAGTGCAGACCCACTGTGTGAGGATGACTTTGAAATGTTCTATGAAACTTGGGAGAAGTTTGACCCTGATGCCTCACAGTTTATCCAATACAGGTGAGTCCTAACCAGGGATGAGAATTAAGGCTGTTATCTTGATGCTGATATCTTTATCAATTCTGCTTATTGATGTGTTTTCTTCACTACTTTAAGGTCAACTTTGTAAATGAGACCTCTGATTGGTTGACGGTCTGAAACAAAAATATCAGTCTTCCATTAGCTAACAATAGATATGACATGATTTCACTAAAACAAATACGTAAATCATCATTAGGGATTTGAGGGACTTAATCCAGAGAGTCTATGAAAATACACAGATCTTTTCAAAGGGATAGAAAAGCCCCTGGATGTTGTAGAAACACAATTGTTGGGTCTAAAACCTGCCCAAATACCTGAAGACATATAAAGAAGAGAAAGACAATGGTATATACTCAAGGAGAATGGACAGAGATAGTATCAGGTACAATCTCGAAACCGCTCTGAAGGTGGTTTCTGTCCCGTCTCTTTTATTTAGGGTTGTCCCTGGTTACACAATGTTTCTAAAGGATGGGGGAAAAATATGTGCAGCAACGTAAGCACTCTCATAAAACAGAATAATGAACAACAGAGAATATGTGAGGGTAAAGGCGACATTGTTGCATCAAACGAGCTCCTCCTGATAGAAGCGGATCCTCCTCATTACTTCCCACGATTCACAGTGGAGGATACATCACCCACACACACACCTGCTGATAGGAGAAACGAGGTCACAGAAAAATGAAGAAACACTCATGTGCTGTGTCATAAAGCTATTGGAGAGAGAAGTTAGAAAACACTCTTATATGATGTGTAACAAGAGGTCAAAACAGTTCATACTTGTAGTAAACTCTTACATAAGAATATGAGTAAAAATGATAACTTCTATATACATTTATGCACATTATTCTAACAACAACACAAGAGTCCATGACCAGAAAGTTCCCGGATTCACAAAGCTGGTGGATTTTATAATACATTGTGTTGTCCTTCTATACAAAACCGTTTTTTTGATTCCCATCCCTAGTCTCAACCATCATTATTGCGTTATGGTTCCTGACCTGACTCCCAGGTGTTCACAGTCTTTCTTCTGTTCCTCCACAGTAAGCTATCTGAATTTTGTGACACACTGAAAGATCCTCTGAAGATCCCCAAACCAAATACCATCAAACTGATCCACATGGATCTGCCACTGGTCCCTGGAGACAAGATCCACTGTCTGGACATACTGCTGGCCCTGACTGCTCAGGTAAACTCCCCAGATTACACATTCAGTTATGTCATGTGAGCTTTATTGATATGAGACTCCTGATTTGATAAATTTTCATGTTATGTGTTATGTTTTTGTGAATTATTTGGGGGGATTTTAACCTTGATTTAACAGCTTGAGAAAGTGACAGGAAATGTAGGGAGTATAGAGGAGCCCATCCAACAAATCAATCTAACAGCCAGTGCAATAAGAACTGTGTTCTCTTTGTTGTGCCCCTGCTCTAGCAACTGAGCCTCCATGTTGAGTTATGTTTAATCTGAAATGTATAAAATCTCTCACGGTGCAGGTTTTGGGTGAGTCAGGGGAGATGGATGCTCTCAAAGCCAGCATGGAGGAGAAGTTCATGGCCAACAACCCCTCGAAGGTTCTATTCTATTCTATTCTATACAAAATGTTTTATTTTGGCTTGACTACACCAAGAGTTTATCTTGATCCATATTTGTTCTCACGTCACTCTTCACAATCAGCAGCAGGAAACTGAAAGTGTTGACTTTAACCTTATTTAAATTGAAATGTGAAACTGTATGCAGATGACCTCACTCTCTATGTTTACCGAATGAAACAAGATATAGAGGTCATGCATCAGATCATTTTCAGGGTTGAAAGTCATATCTTTGTTTTGATATACCAGAAGTCACCAACCTTGTTATTACCTGCAGGTGTCGTATGAACCAATCAGCAGCACTCTGAGGAGGAAACAGGAAGAGGTGGCGGCGACAATTATCCAGAGAGCATACAGGAAACACCTCCTTCAGAGAACAGTCAAACTGGCGTCCTACAAATACAGGGAGAAGACAGAAGGACTACGAGACAAGATGCCACCACCAGAGACTGAAGGACTTCTCTATAAACGAATCAGTCAGCTGTATGGGGACAATGAGGAGACCGAGACGCCAGGTGTCCCGGATGCTTCGGGTGAGGAGCTCCCGGCCCGGGTGGAGCTGCAGAGCGAGTTCCTCCTGCATGCTGCTCCTCCCCTCAGAGCCTCCGACTTCCTGCAAGATGAGGACCTGAAGGAGACCGCTGTCTGATAGTAGTTTGAGTGCGTCACATTGAAGGAACAGGCATTTTCCCTGTGAAGGAAGTGAGGACACAGCAAGGCGCTGAGAAGACTTTGTTTCTGATGAGTGAACACCACAGATTCATCAACACTGATAGATGAAATCTGCTGCAAGTTTCCATAAACTGTCTTTGGAGTCTGCTTTTCTTTCTCTGGCTTTGCACTGAAAACATTTTACTGACTGTGTTTTTAATGCTCCTTAATGTGCTAAGCTGTTTTACAAGTGCCTGAAAAGCTGTACATAATATTTGCTTTTACTTACTATTACTTGTTTTATTCATGTTTGGCAATTTAAACCTTCGTCTATCACATCATCAGCCCACTTCACTTTTACCTTACCATGTTATCAGGCCATCCAGCCAATGAGATTAGCTTCTAATGGACCAGTCAGCAGCCAATCAGAGCTACTTCAGCTGAACTGAACTGTTCCTGGATCAGTTTTGGGGATTGACCTCCGTAACAGTTTGACCTTGTCTAACAAGAACCACTTGTGTAAGGGGTGGCAGCTCATTAAAGTGGCGTCATCACCAACAGCTTTCAGTATATGACTTTACAGATTTTGCTTAAGGGTGCAGAATCAGTAGGCAAGGACTGGAACCCAGTATGGGAAGTTTTATCATCTCTGTTTTAAAGTCTGAGTAGTTTTGACCAATCAGGTATCAGCAGGAATAGACATGTTGAAAAAATGATGAACATTAGAGAGCTGAATCTGATCAGAGAATCACCTTATTTGTCTTTTTCTCACACTTCTATGGGATTTTATTTCTTTATGAAAAGGCTTAACTGCGACGCTGAGAGGGGGCTCAGAATGTGTCTCTTGTGTGCTGTTATAAAAAGATGATCAGTTATTGATTTATCTGAAGCTATCTTTCTTTTGCTAAGCAGATCCTTCAGTTTCTTTCTTTCTTGATCTCCTCTCTTGATTTCCATGTTTTATGCATTTTTTCTATTGAGTCTTGTATATCATTTATTATAACATTACGCATATAAGATATGCCTTTAATTTATTTGTGCATTTATTATTTCTTGTGCTGAAGCACAGATTTTTCCTCTTTCTTTTAAACAATTAGGGCCTTTTTCCACTAATAGAGGTTTTTGCTCTAGCGGCGCTTATAATGCTGCTATCCAGAGCACTTTTATCAGAGTTTATTGTTGCTAGGTTACAGAAGTTGTCTTGTAGCACTAGTGTAAAGTACTAATGACCACCAGGTCTATTTGTAAGTTGCTCTAGCAAATTTAAAGGGGAGCATAAACGCAATAGAGAGCAGTAATGTCCTGGCATGGACAGCGGCTCTACACCTGGAAACTTGTGAAAAAAGGTGACCTCTAGGTTGCAGGTTGATGTACAAAGTCCCGTCCTCATTTGATTTTGACAGGTCATTATTTGTGGTTATAATCGAGAAAGACAGTTGGATGGTAGTTTGGAAGATAAAAATGTCCCCCTAAAAACTCAGTGAGTGTTATGGGCAGAGGACACTAAGCTCTAAAAACACTGAACTGTATCAGGTTTCTTTAGAGAACAGGTGCTGCCGGTGCAAATGCATTTGATCAACACAGTCCCTTATCCCAGTGATTAAGTTTCCAAGCAACCAACATTTTCTGAAGTTGATTATGACTGTCAAAATCATCAGCCTGCTTATCAGTCAAAATGTTGAAGAAAGATGAAAATCTGTTAAAACCTGAAGTTTAAAAAACAATTATTAAAGCTTTAAACTTTCCTGAAAATGTCTCTGTTGTCATTCCTTAGGATCAACTGGACTTAACACCTTCACACCTGTACACATTCATAAATTCATTCATACAACTGTGCACCGACACACCCAAACAGCTTTGTACTTTTTCACCCCACACCTGTACAACTATTAGGCATGATCTGAAAAATTGCACGCCGAAAAATATCAGCAACAGTTAGCCCTTTAATAATAAGAAACACAGTGGGAATTCTCATGTTTGAAATACTACAAACAACAATAGTTATAAACTCTCATATTTAACTATGTTGTTGGAAATATTAGAAATAATGTCACCATTAAATCAGAGTGACTGATATACAATACAATACAATATAATACCAATACAATACAATACAATACCAATACAATACAAGAACTTTATTGATGCCCAAAAGGGAAATTCATTTGTCTGGAGTCACGTGTCTCATGTCATCTTCTCTTTTTAAAAAAAGAACTAAATAACATATAACTTTAAACCCTTACACTTATTTAATAAAATCTTAAAAACAATTCTAAAACTGACAGGAAGCCAGTGAAGAAAAATTAAAATTGGAGTGATGTGATGCCGTCTACTAAAACCAGTTAAAAGCCGAGCTGCTGCATTGTGAACTAGTTGGAGGCGGGAGAGTGATTTCTTATTTAGACCAGGGAGCAGAGAGTAACAGTAGTCCAGCCTTGAGAAAATGAAAGCGTGGATTTTCTTTTGTCAAGATCTGGTGGGGTGAGTATTTGTTTAATCTTTGAAAGTGAGCAAAAGTAAAAAAAAGCAGGACTGGATGATCTTATTGGTATGGGTGGAGAAGGTGAGGTCTGAATCGAAGGTTACTCCTAAATTTCTGCCTAAACACATGTTCACTTGCTCACCTTTCCACCTGTTGAACTTTTCCTGTTCACTTTCTGTGCTGTGGTTCCACATCCTGCCTGGCCAAGAGGCAGCACAGCAGCAGCTGTTGTCAGATCCAAACGGCCAAAGTTCAAAGAGAAAGACAAGAAGAGCAACAGCTGCCAACACAAGTGAGTTGCATCACAGACACACACACACACACACACACACACACACACACACACACAGAGAGAGAGAGAGAGAGAGAGTGTGCACAGAGAGCAATAGCCATTACTGATAGCTTACCTTAGTACTTTTGGCTCCAGCACAGATCCATCTATAAAGTTAAAATACATGTCTCAATAGTTTGTTATAATGCTAATTGATATGCAAGTGTTCATCTCCAAAGAAGTTCATTTTAATTGGTTATTTAAGTAAAAAAGGACGGTTGATTGACAGCTGTTTAGACAAATGCAGGCTCCTACATTTCTCTGGATTGAACTTTAAAAAAGTAGAGGAACCGTGGTGAGAAAACAAATGAAAGAAACACTGAGGAAGAGTTCATAAATGGTCTATAGGCAAAAGTGTCTGCTTTGAAACAACATATCAATCTGTTCTGCTGTAGACTGTCTCAACCTGGCTGAAGTTTGATGTTGTATTGGTAAGTGTTTCGTGATCACAGGGTGTGATATCGGTCCTGCTGCTTTACCAGACAAGTAGCTTCAGCCAAATGCTTCTGCCCCATCAACACAACATGGGTTAGACCAAATAAGTATACATTTATATTCATAGACATATATATGTCCATGGGCCAAAATTGAACAGGACTGTCATGGCAAGTATATGTTTTGAAAAATAAACCTAAAGCACACAACACACTTTGAAAATTCCAGCTTATTTTGGGAAGGTTTCAATACGCTGCCTTCATCAAAACAAACATGTGAATCTGCTCACTATTAGGAAGGCAGGTGCTGACAAACCCATTCAGCAGGTTAATCCTTGTTATTTTCTGAAATAACAAAGACTTTTCACTCATCAGCCTGCATGATGTCAGATCACTTTCCTTTATGGTTGAGTTTACTGACTTTTGAAGCAGTTAGACTGGGAGAACTATTGGAATAATAATGGTAACACATTTGTTTCAACAGTTTGGCCTCTGCACTTGATAGATCTGTTTCTACTTTAAGTTAATCAGTCGATGTGCAACTGTCCCCCTCTGCTGACCATCCTCTGCTTTACACCCTGTCCCACTCACACAGATCATAAACCAACTGCAGCACAGAGACAAACATTTTGTCCAACTTTGAACAGTTCTTTGCACAGTTTTTACAGACATTGTTTTTTAAGTGATTTTGAGCCCATGCAGTGATTTCCACTACAGAGTCCTGTCTGGTTGTAATACAGTGCTGCCCGAGGCCCTGAAGATTAGGGTCATCCAGTATTGGTTTTGGTCCTTTTCCCTTTTGTACAGAGATTTCTCCAGATTCCCTGAATCTTTTAATGATATTATGTTCTTTCACAAAGTGGTGAAGACCTACACTATGACAACCATTATTACCTCCACCAAGGAGGTTATGTTTTCGGTAGCGTTTGTTTGTTTGTTTGTTTGTTTGTTTGTTTGTTTGTTTGTTTGTTTGTTTGTTTGTTTGTTTGTTTGTTTGTTTGTTTGTTTGTTTGTTGATTTGTTTGTTTGTTTGTTTGTTTGTGAGTTTGTTTGTCTGTTTGCAACTTTACGGAGAAAGTTACAGACGGATTGACCTGAAATTTTCACCAGAGGTGCGTCTCAGCCCCAGGAGGATCCCATTAAATTTTGGTGGTGATCTGGATCGCCTTCTGGATCCAGGAATTTTTTGAAGGATTCTTTATCATTGTGAGATAGGGCACATTTTGGAATTTTTGCATTCAACTCTATAAAAATGGCCAGAGTCTTTAGTAAAAAATGACACAAAAGGAATTCCGGACACTGTGATCCAGAACACACAAAAATTAGGGTGTCATTGGAATTTTCAATGCTGAAAGATAACCAATGGGCGGCACAGTGGTGTAGATGGGCAGCACAGTGGTGTAGTGGTTAGCACTGTCGCCTCACAGCAAGAAGGTCCTGGGCTCGAATCTGGGTCAGGGCATTTCTTGTTTTAGGAACATTATGAACAGTGAACATACCAGTTTAAACACAAATAAAAGTTAATAAAAGACACATAACAGTAAAAGTTTTTGTGTGAATCACAATATAAGGGGGGACATGAGCTGCTTGGCGGAGGTCTGCGCTCTCCAAGTGCTTTTGTAGTTGTGTTTGTCTCAGTGCTGCCATAAAGTTTAAAGGGCAAAAGTTAAAAAAAAACTCAAACTGTAGGTTTAATTTGGATAAAAAACAAAACATGACATGATCTTTTCTAGTCTAGCAAATCTGTCTTTTTGAACAACTTATTTGAGATTACTTTAAAGCGATTCGTCCCAGGATTTAGTTTTAAGAGATGTGTACTCCCACTTCATAACACCATGATGGACCAAAGGGCCAATAGTGGGCCTCTCTCTTCACTGCAGGGCCGAAAGGTTTAGAAGATCCTTTGTACCCACAACCATCAGACTTTACAACTCTTTTATAAATAGTAGATGACTTTTGAGACATGACAAGTGAAATGACAGACAACTGAATTTTCCTTCGGGGATCGATACAATTATTCTTATTCTTATTCTTATTCTTATTCAGAGTGCCTCCCTACAGAGGACACAGTCAACATTAACTGATATTTGTTGGACATGGTGACTCTCTGTTCAGGGGCCACTTTCAGAAAGAGGTGTATCATCCTGTCTCACCTGCAGGTTTGAGCATTATTACCATAGAGATGAGATGATGGAGGTTTTTAATATGAATGAGCTTGTTTCTGCTGTCAAAGTGTGAATATTTAAAGAGAAAAAAAAATGTGTCAGAGAGAAGGTCACCTCACACGTAAACATGGTCACTATCCAATAATAACATCTCCATCTTATTATAAAACATCAGTTATATGATGACACCATATATGCCATCACACCACAAACACGGGTCTTTAATATGTAACACGAACGCAGCTTATCCAAGTACAACAGAGTGAAAGAAACACGATGAACACAGCTCATTGTTTAAAGGTACAGTGTGTAGAAATGGGAATATTGAGCAACATTTAACATTCATACCAGAGATTGAATTGCTCCCTTGCTCACCCTTTCCCAAATAAGTGTGAATGAATAGTGACTCTAAAAAGTATAAAAAACAAATATAAGACTATTCAATGTACGCCAAAGACAAGAAACTGTATATAACTAGTTTTCTTGATGACTCTTTGTAAAGACCTGTTAAGATCCTGTAAACTAGTTCCTTTTCTTTTGTTTTAAAATCATTCCAGTACACTGAGGTGGTGATCCAGCTTTGTTGGAACATTACAGACTTATTTCAACCTTACCTGTTAGGGAAACATTTGAAACATTTTCTAAAGACTGTTTTACCATCTGGATTGGCACAGCATTCTATTTAATCATCAACATGGGTTTGATAAACTACTCTTTATTTTTGAGGTAGAATTTAATCCAAAAATGAAAAACTCAGGCCTCCAATTTGTTTAGTTTAGTCGAAGTTGCAGAGGTTTAGCGATCTGGGAGCTTTGACATGTCATTTTTAAATCTATCACCTGTGCGTTTAGATATGTCTTTGAACAGAGAGGTGTTTTAACTTAACGTATCCTTGTTTTCTTTTTCTCTTCTTGAAATTTTTTGTCCTCTCCTTTTCTTTTTTAGACACTAATTAGTCAAACTTATGCTGGAAGGAGCCCGGATCAAGCCTCTCAGAGAGTTCATCATCCCTTCATTACATCTGTTATTCTCTTAATGTATGTTAATTTAAATTACTTCTGTAAATATAAACCACTAAACTAAACCAAACCAACCTGTTGTTTCTCTTTGTTGACACAGAGTCTAACAGGCTTCATCAGATCAGCCAGTGTGTTTTTCTCTCTGTGTTTGTATCACTGTATCACAGAACGCTGAATAAATTCAGTTTCCTGTGACAGTGATGTAACTTTTAAAGGTCTGACCTCAGATCAGTGACCGCTGTAAATAAATTCAGATATCTGAGGACAAAAACATCAAACATCTGACACTGTTTTCTAAAAGCAGATCTGACATTTTTACATTTTTACATCAGCAGCGTGAAATCCTGTCAATCTGCTTCATTATTCAACTCTTCCCCCGTATGTCTTCAGTGCCATTCCTATTCATATTATTCCACCTTTTTAGCTATACTGAGTCCAATGCTATGTTCCAATACTGTACTTTTACAAAACTATAATTATGCTTTAATGTTAGTTGGGTTAAAAGAATTTATCCTTTCAGTTTTGTTGTATGGTAAATTTTGAACTGATTTTAAATAAATCACTGATTAAAGTTGCTGTCATTATCTCCACTTTAAGGTAAAATTTTATTTTTTCATGTGTAAACCCTGTATCTTCCTACCTTTTAAACTGGGTTGTTTTTACTGCTTTCAGTATGTTTTGTAAAGCTCTTTGTAACTTGGTCAAAATAAAACTGGCTTCAACAGTCATTATAATTTTTCCAAAGATTGTTTTATTTCTCCTCAGGTTTAGTTTACAATCCAGTATTTACTTTCCTTCAACATCCAGCTTTTTCTGGTCTGCTAATATTGATATAAACTGAATAATGGTAGGGGAGACCGGGGCTTGTTGTCACACTTTTTACACTCTTATATATCTTGAAATCAATACATCATACATAAACAAAATGTGTACCAGATGAAAGACTAAAGTCTCAGGTACATATTTTGTATTCATGTCATTTTTATATATTGTGTCAGTGCAGAGTTATAAGAAATCAAATAAGCAATCGGGTAAGTCATCTCACTACATGGGGTAAGATGTCACAGTGGATTTTGCAGCTAAAAAACAAGGACAAAATTATTGTTGGTCTCATTTTCTTACTTGAAAGTGAACATCAAAGTCAGGCACAGAAAATGTTAGAAAAAGTCATTGAACAAACGTTAACATAAAATATTATGCAACATGCTCTGGAGTTTGGAGAGTTGTCTGACTGTATTTTGACTGGGGTGATTGTTTTGCAGTACCAAGCCAAGGTATGGTAGTTGACATTAAATTTTTATGTGGAAGAAGCTCATTTTAAAATATATAAAGTTAAATTTTTTCACTTCGGGTTGTGCGAAATGGTTAATTGGTGCTCATCTCAGCTCACAATGTGCTTTTTTAAAGGAAGAAAACTAGTATTCCACTTTTTCGTTGCGCCCTCTGGTGGCAAAGATAATTGCAATGCGACAACTTACCCATGTGACAACAAGCCCCGGTCTCCCCTAAATAGAGGTCAACGCACAAACAAGTACGCACGTACACAGAGTTTCATGAATAAAATCAGTACGTTTTCTTCTATAAAACCAAAATATTGAGCCCAAAACATCAGACAACTCTGAGCCAAGACCAGATTGAAAAGGACCTGAACTAGACCTCAACAAGAACTAGGAACCTAAGCCAGAACCAGAACCAAATCCACCATGGAAAAAGGTCAGACTGCTTATTTGTCGTTGGGTTTGATTTTACTCACTTTGCATGTTGATTTACATGTTTGTCATGTTTAACTGTGAACATTAGGGCTCGCCTATCAGACACCTATCTCTCTGACGCTTACCTGCCTTAATCTATCTTGTCTGATACTTATCTGTCTATATCTGACTTGTCTTTTACCTATCTAACTCTGACATGACAAGATCTTACCTGTCTTAATCTATCCTGTCTGACTCTAAGCTGTCTTTATCTCACCTGTTTGACTTTAAACTGCCTTAACCTCTCCTGTTCAACTCTTACCTGTCCTTATTTTACCTGTCAGACATTTACCTGTCTTTATGTAATCTGCCTGTATCTTACCTGTCTCTTTCTTACCTATCTATAGCTCAACTGTCTTTATCTACCTTCTCTTTATCTAACCTCTCTTTAGCTAAAACTAACCTGCCAGACTCTTACCTGTCTGTCTCCTACCCGTCTCTTTCTTAACCCCCATCTTTATCAAACCTGTTTGACTTTTGCCTGTCTTTATTCAATCTGCCTGACTCTTTCTTGGGTGTCTATATCTTACTTGTTTGACCCTATCGTGTCTTTTCCTTACCTGTCTGTCTGTCTGTCACCTATCTGGCTTTTACTTATCTTTATCTAACCTCATTCCTACCTACCTACCGACCCATATCCAACCCATCTGTCACCTATTGGCCTGTTTTTTTCCCTGTTTCTTCCCTGTCCTTTTCACACCTGTCCATGTCTTTTCTGTTTGTTTCACACCTGTGTCCTTAATCCCTTGCTCACCCCTGTGGTTGTCACACCTTTGTCTCTCTCTTTCCTGTCTAATGATGTTTGTATCACAGCTGTCTTTTATGTTAGTCTTACACCTGTCCTTGTTTTACCTGTTTGTTCCACACCTCTCCTCACTCTCTCATGTTGTCTCTTACCTGTCTCCTTCCCTCTTGTGTGTGTCACCTGTCCATCTCCCAGTGATCCTCCTGCTGTCCATGATGTGTCTGAGCATTTCCTCTCAGCCAATCACAGACGCCCAGCGTTTGTTCTCGATCGCCGTCAGCAGAGTCCAGCACCTCCACCTGCTCGCTCAAAGACTCTTCTCTGAATTTGTGAGTGTGTAGGAGTCAGCTGAGCAAAATACACTTATTATACAGTACATAACAAAGTCAAAAACACACAAAGACCTGATTGAGTATCACTGAAAAATCACGGTGTGTGCAACTGTAATTCTTTTCGTGTATTTCTGTTTGTATAACTTTCTCCGACTGGGTGTTTCTGTTTACTGTGTCTGTCAGGAGAGTTCTCTGCAGGCCGAGGAGCAACGTCAGCTGAACAAAATCTTTCTGCAGGATTTCTGCAACTCTGACTACATCATCAGCCCCATCGACAAACACGAGACGCAACGCAGCTCTGTGAGTAAACTGCATCGTGATAGGTTCACTTTTAGTCACAATCTATAAAGACAATACCAATACGTTTTGGTAACATTTTGCCTGATATAGTTTAAGTTTGATTCAATAAATTTTATTTTAGCAATAATCATCTAATAATCAAAACATTGTCTCTCTCTCTCTTCAACTAATTTAACTTACCAAAAGTTGGTATCAAGGAGGTACCAATTACAATCTGTAAAGCAACATATAATTCTTTGAACAATTTTACTTTTGTCAAATCTGGATAATTTAGCCAAAATTCTCCCACAATGCAATGCTGCTGAGCAGTCCTTACGAATTAAAGCATTACACACAGAAAAAATGCTAATTTGGAGAAATGATCCTTGATTCAAGTCAAGAAACAAACCATTCTTTCTGTGACCACGATTGAAAGGATTGCTTGGCGACTCTACTTCAACATGTATTCAAGAACAATACATTACACTTACTGCACAATGAATAGGAACAGGATAAAACAGAAAGGCACGTTAGTTGTTATATTTCTGCAAAAATAAGTGGGCTACTGATGGCAACGTCAAATGCTGAAAAAATTTCTTGGTGTAGTGTACGCTTCAGCAGTAATAAGTGATTCAGTCAGAGTTCTTGTACTGTTTAATCATTTTGTTCTATGTGTCAAATTTATTGTTTATTGTTGTTTTATTATTGTAAAATTTCACATTTATTTATGCATTTGTTGTTTGCTATTCAGTTATTGTTGTTTTGTCGTCATATATTCAAATTTGAGATGTTGTTATGATAGACTTTTTTTTTTTTTACTGTAAGTGAATGCAATAATATTGACATTAGATGTTATAACTACACATGTTGAACCCTTTTGGCTTACACTGTCAGAGGTGTAGTGAGATATTTGTGTAAGAAACTGGACATGTTTGGTCAGTAACAGTGGAGTTTGTGCAGTGTGTAGTGGATTACAGCAAAATTTCTCTTAAATATCTCCTACCCTCTGATTGTTTCTTAGCATTGAAACTTTTCCTTGATCGGTTTTAGGTCCTGAAGCTGTTGTCCATCTCTTATCGTTTGGTTGAGTCTTGGGAGATTCCCAGTCGTTCTCTGTCTGGAGGTTCTGCTCCAAGAAACCAGATCTCCCGCACACTAACTGAACTGAAGACGGGAATCCTGCTGCTCATCAGGGTGAGAAAACTCACACTTGAATCGTATAATATAAACCAATGTGTCCAACCAACCTACCGTTTTTGAGTAACCTCTTGGCTCCACAGGCCAATCAGGATGGAGCAGAAAATTTCCCTGATAGCGCCGCCCTCCAGCTGGCTCCTTATGGAAACTTTTATCAGAGTCTGAGTGCTGATGAATCTCTGAGACGAACCTATGAATTGCTGGCCTGTTTCAAAAAAGACATGCACAAGGTGAGGAAGAAGGAGTGAGGAGCCATGGTGATGAAGAGCCTGATTATTGAATGAAGTTTTGATCATGTTGTTTCTGTCCACAGGTGGAGACCTATTTGACTGTGGCTAAATGTAGACTCTCTCCAGAAGCTAACTGCACCTTGTAGCCAGGAGTTTCTGCACTGAGGCCTCATTAATGATATCAGCGTTTGTGTTTTGTAGCTCTGCCTTTATGTTCTCTTACTTGCTAATCAGTGTTAATGTCAGCTAAGCCTCTGTCCAGAGTTTTAGTAAAGCATGCTTAGCTGCTTAAGTCTTATCAATATGATAAAACCTAAGGCATTCCAATGTCATCACAGTGGGACCAGGAAGTAATGTGATGCTATCAAGATGTATAATAAAGTTTGTGGCATTAAGAAATGTGTCTGTCTGCAATAATTTACGTACTTCTGCAGAGATTTAATGTTTCTTCTTTGTAGCATTAAATTATACATAACGAAATACACAACAGACAGTGATCAACTCCTGTCCTCCTTCTCCACAGTCTTAATCAATCAATCAATCAGTCTTTATCTGTATAGCACTTTTCATGCACAACATGTAGCACAAAGTGCTTTACACAGATAAGGGAATAAAAGAAACAAAGAATACCCAAATCTACTCCAGCCCAACCCCTCATTCCCACCCCACGATCTAATTGCAACAGAAACAGTATTAAAATGCATAAACTTAAGAAGGGCTTGATTTCGTGGAAACAGGAGTGTGGAATGTGCGCAGTGAGGAAACATCATTATAAAACTCAAGATAAGGAAACACTGGAGGTTTAGGTTAAAATCTAAAAACAAAGAAACAGAATTAAATCTAAGAAATAATAAATAAAGGAGTGCATTACAATAATCTATTCTGCAAGTGATAAGAGCATGTATTAATGTCTCTGCATTGGCTTGAGAGAGAAATGGTCGCACTCGGGCTATGTTTTTTAAATGATAAAATGCCTTCTTGGTGATATCTCGTATGTAAGGCTCGAAGCTCAATTCTGAATCAAATAAAACACTGACATTTTTAGCTTGTTGACTAGGGTTATAGGATAATGCTTTGAGTTTGCTGACCAGTTTCTCTCTCTTGTCCCCTGTCCCAATGACTAAAACCTGAGTTTTGTCCTGGTTGAGCTGTATTGCCATTCATGATTTGATGTCTATAATGCAGTAAAAAAAAGGGGTATTGAGTGGTCCTGTGTCATAAGGAGACACGGCAACATACAGTTGTGTGTCTCCTGATGACATTCCCTAAAGGTAACATATAAGAGTAGGGCCTAAAATGGAACCTTCATCTCTTTTCAGCTGTCATGTCAAAAAATAGCAAAATATCATCAAGATACCCCCACTTTCACCAGAAAATGGAGGCAACATGCACCAAATTGGTCACAACCAATTATCATTTGTATAACTGGAATTCTAAATCTTAGGATGTTGTATGAAAGTTAGAGATATCCAGTTTTTGATTGACATAGTGCAAAAACAACATGTTGCATCTAAACTAATGTCTCATTTTGTAAATGTATTACTTCTCTCAATCATTCCCATAATTTTATTTTGTGTTACAAATAATGTGAGAAGCAGGAGCCACTAAGGGGCGACAATGCCCAATTTTGTGCTGATTGTTTTCACCAATAGGAGGCGCGCCAGCTTCTTCGGCTCTTTCCGTTCTTGCCTCGTTCATCTTCGCCTCGGTCTCGACCCCTTCTCGGCTGTCATCGGAGCCACTCGGTTGTTAACGGTCGGTGTGTTCAAATGTTCGGCCGCAGCTCCTCCTGCAGACTGGAGTAAAGAAAGAGTCGAAAGAAAAGAGGGAAACAGACGACAAGAACGGATAAACGGAGTGTGGAAGCGGAATGACGGTGCTGCAGGAACCTGTCCAGGTAAACACACAAGTTGAAGTCGTTGTCATGAAAGGAGTAATGAGTATTTGTGAAAGCCGTGTTTCATGATCCGTCCCGGCCTCAGTGGCTGGTACAGTCCGCGGTGTGAGAGCTTTTCCCCCCGCCGCAGGCCCCGCAGCCCGTCGCTGGTCGCACTAAGCGTTTTCGTGGCGATATTTCTGTATAAGGTTTGATCATTACACGGCTGTTTGGTCTTAAATGGGCTTCAGCAGTCCATCACAGTGCTACTTCGTTTGCTTCTGTCTGTTGGACACAGCTGAGAGAGGTCAAACCAGACACCTTTAAAAAAACGGACACTTTCATGTTTCCGCCGCTGTAGATTCAAAAATCAACTGAGTTAAATAAATTTAATCACTCAATGGGGCTTTGTTCGTCTAGCACTTTTCTTCGGCATATATGTTGTAGTTACAGTGTCGTTTAATTTAAAAATCTAGCATTTATTCTATGTATTAGTCTCATATTTCTGTGCGCAGGCTTCGGCCAAATTGCGGCGGTGAGTGCGACAGTAACAGCGCAAACACTTCTTAAAGTTTATATTTCTTTGTTATAAAGCATGCCTGGTTGAATGAATATACGCAGAATGTAAAAGTAAAATGTGTCGAATCCTTCGAAGCTCTTAAAGAGGTGTGTGCTTCTTCGTGTGAGCAGTGCGATAATAATCAGCTAAAATTTAAATGGAGTTCTGTATCGTTAGCGATGCTAAAGCTGAGATGCTAACAGTGGAGTAACGTTAGCCGGTTAGCACTCAGGCTAAAGTGTAGCTGCTTGGTTACAGTCATCAGAAATCCCCCTTTAAAGTGTAAAAGAGGACTCAGAGAGCTTTTTAGGCCGTATTAATTTCAAACTGCCGCAGTAGCGAGGTTAAAGCTAACGAACAGCATGATGGGATTGTTTGGCACTAGCGTTAACTAACCATAGCTAACTTAGCTGCCTGTTAATATTAGCCATCAGCTGGTTAGCTGCCATGTCAGCCAGTTAGACCAAATTAAACGTAGAAAAACAAGATATGGTTTCGTGTGGTGTTTTAGGAAATGCAGGGTAATCATTTATGTGCTTGTTTGTGCTTGTTTTATAATCACAGGAATCAGCATTAGCCTCCTACATAGAAAATGTTAGCTATGACTCTGCTGTTAACAGGAAATGAAGAGATGTGGTAGTGTTTAATAGCTGTCATACAGTAATCACAGGAAAGATCATTAAAGGGTTATTTGTGCTGATGTTACCTCTATTATCATGAAGTGCACTAGTAAGGAGCCCACGGATTAAACCGCCAGGCTTCCTGCCTCTTAGTTTGTCTTGTCATTGTGTTTCTTTGTATAAGATGCAGTTAACACATGCATTCTAGTCACTGTTATAAGGTTAGATTGATACACCTCGGCTTTGGGTTTCTGTGTTGGTTTCTGTAAATGCAAAAGAAATTAGTGTATTCATAATGGAGATATGATAAGAAAAATCTCACAATACTGTAATACCTTGATCATATGCCCATAATACAATATGAATGCTTAAAACAAGGCATATGGACTTAGAGCAAGTGGTTTTTACTGCTGTGAGTGGCTGGTGAAATTAGGTGTTATGAGTGATGGACAGATAAGATCTTAATAAGCTTTGGGCTTTCTTTCAATTGTTGTTAGAAAGATAAAGGTTTAAGCCCTCAAACTAAGCAAACACAGTCCGTACATTTACATTTTCTTTATTAAATAGGGCCCGACCGATGTGGATTTTTCGGGGCCGATGCCAATACCGATTATTAGGGGGGGGAAATCCATCTATTGCCTTAGTTTGACTGAAACTAAACTCAATAGTCCAACTGAAATCACACCAAACCAAACATCTCATAGTCGAACTAACATACCAGTGTTTATATTTTAGTACAAGTTTGTTGCAAATAAATCTTAAACTATGCTTTGTTACAAAGTCCAAGTATTTCTTTCCTGTATTTGTGGTTATTGAATGTAATTTAACTTGTTTTGTAGTTTAAAATACAGCCTACTTTTTCTGTAAGCTAAATTTCCTGACTCACAAGTTTTTGAAGCGCCTGTGATGTTGGAAGCTTCAAAGCCACCATCCACATGACATTTTGTCCCTGTCACAGCCTTTGACACTTCAGACTGAAGCCATTGCAAGTTTCAAGCCTTCAGTATCATACACCCATCATTAGTGATTAGATCTCATGCCACAAGATCTTATGACGCCAAAGCATAGCTCCATTGCACTTTGTGAATTTGTCATTTTTAACACCAGTTACTGTTTGACACTGATGTAGTGGCAGCTTCCTATCAAAATCAGTCCAGTGCATCTTAAAAGGTGCTGCCAAAAATAGAAAAGTCTTTGTCCTTACTTTCACCTTTTTTTTACCTTCACCCTTTTTCCTCTCACATCTCTTGACACAGGCAGTCTAAGTGTTTCTGCATGTCAGATGTAAGAGCTGTTGGAGCATTAATGATTTTGAAATCATCTGTGTTCCCCTCTCCACATTCAAGGCAGTGAACAGAGTGCACAAGATGATGTGCACTGCATACATGGATGAAGCGGTAGTCTCTCTCGTTCCATTTATCTCAGCTTTGCTTCACTGCAGCTGAAACAAAGCTACACTTTGACCTGAAGGCCTGTGGTATTAAGACTTTGATTCTTGTGTTGTGAAGTTGAAAATACCATTACATCCCTGTTTCATGACACAAAAGACTTCTTAACATACACTCAGTAAGGTTTATCAGTGTCCATGTACGCTGCTCTGCCAGCATCTGGGGCTGTTTGCAGGGGCCACAAAGAGAGACTTCAGTCTCAAGTCTGGACTCTGACCCACCTTGCCCTCCTCCCTCTTGCAAAATATTTATCATTTATTCATGATGAATTTGGGCCAGTTTGAGGGGGAGGAACTGCCTAGAATACCTATCAAGAGTGGACATTCGTAACAAGTCAGACCAGTTGGGAGGAAACTTCTGTGGGCCTTAATCTGAGCTGCAGAGAGCGCTTCTATCTCAGTTTCTGAGTGAGGATAAAACAACACAACTGTGCTCTTAGTCCTAAACCTGTTATTCCTAAGGTTTGGGTCACACCATGATGGTAGTCTGCTTCATCCAGCTAAGTGCAGGTCAGCGAGCTGCTCAGTGGTGCAGTGAAGTGAATTACACCCCAAAACAACCACAGCTTAATCTGCCATGTTTCTGAAGGGGCTTTTAAACCTTTCTGTTACATCTATAGAGCTGTAAAGCACTCCTATAAGTACTAGGAAAAGTGTTTTGAAAGCACTCACTATAAAACAAGTCTCAGGCTAACTGGTCCTGAAGGCAGGATGTTGCTTTTGTAATTATATTTGTTCAGTTTTATTTTATGGCATCTCTAATGCAAACATTGGACAAGACTGAGAAAATAGAGCTAGAGGTTGAATGAGAAGATACGATGAAGAAGGGATGGTCGTTGTTGTTGTGTGCAGAGAATTGGTATAGTTTATCATATTCGATGATAAAATCTTGGCAAATTAAACGTCCTTTCACACCGGGACTGTTTTTGTTGTGCAATATTTTCGGACGTCATTATTTTTTTTCGAACCCGTATCCTGTCAAAACAAGTGTTCACATCAGCAACGTTTTCCCGTTCTGTGATATTGCGGCATTTATTTTTTCGGATCACGGTCGATTTTTCTAAATTTTCGCATACTGTGTGTCCACTTCTGACCAATCAGATTTTGTGTTGTTGTGACGTCAGATTCACCGGTATAGCCAACATGGCCAACCGGCTGATTGTTTATGATCGTTTACACAAATATTACAAAGATAACGACCTGAAGGACAACTTGTGGAGAGTCATAGCGTCAGATTGACGATGCTTTGTGTGCTTTAAAACGTCTTTGTTTTAACTTTCATTTGTGCTAACCTAAGCTAACGGTTGTTCACATAGTTTCATGTGCTTATCTTATCGCCTCTGATTGGCTATAAGTGCTGACTGTTTGGCTTGAGCGTTTGATGACGTTTCCAGCTTTTTTAGCCAATCAGAGGCGAAGGAGGCGGGACTTTCCCCGGGATGCGCCCGCACCAGAGTTCGAGGTCAGCGTTCACACCAACCCAAACGAACCGCACCAAGGGGGTAAATGCTCCAGGGTTCGGTTCAACCGGACCAAACGAGAGTGGTGTGAACGCGCTCTAAGGCTCATACTTAAAATACCACCATTGCTTCTTTAAGAACAGGGTGAGAAAGGGAGCAATTCATTTATTGAATCTTCCCACTAGAAATTGTTAAAATTCTGCACATTAGACCTTTGAGGTAATCTATGGTAAATCACACAGGTTGAATCATGTGTTTACAGATGGCACACACTGAGTAGTTGGTGCTGCAGCTTGATGTTTTGACTGTTTGCAGGTTCACTTTACGAGCTGCTTCAGCAGAAGAAGTAACTGTTGACTTGACTTTTACCGACTCGCCCTTTTTACATTTAGATTCTGCTGCGGCGTTGTATGAAAGCTCAGCTGTCACTATGCCTCTGTAGTCTTATATGCAGCCTGTAGCGGCAGAGTGTTGATGTCCGAATGTGTGACTCTAAATAGAGTCGTGGCTTTGTGTGAGCCTCAGCGGTATGACATGTAAATAAATGCAGCAAGTTTGACATACATGCACCGGCTGTTCCACCCTGCAGGCTCTGATGCTTACAAAAGTGATGTTAACGCATGTAGCTTTACTTCAACCCAATTAAAATCCCTCTGATTAGATACTTGGAGTTTACTGTTTTATGTATGATAAACAAAGGGATACGATGAAGACATGCTATTTTGACAATCGTTTCATTTCATTTGACAATGACAATCACAGAGTTGTTTACAGGTCGTATGTGTTGAGTACAGAAAAAGAAGAAACTTTTTTTTCTCCTCTTGTTTCTGTAGTAAACAAATACTGCTGACATTTATGAAAGACGTCATGTAAAAAATAAACGCTTGAAGAAACAGGGATTTGTTGTAATGTAAGCAGTAAAAGAGCTCAAATCTTTCCATTTTTAAGATACATGTAGCACATAGGACTTTAACAAGAATTTACATCATCCAGTTAGAAGGACAGACATGCTTTAGTACACAAAATAAGGTAGACTGAGTAACTAATGGTAAACAGTGACCATTATCGATAACTCGTCTTTCTCATATTAACACCCTCCCCTTTTTGCCTTCAGGCTGCAGTGTGGCAGGCTCTGAACCACTACGCCTACCTGGACGCCGTTTTTCTCGCCGAGAGACTCTATGCTGAAGGTAACACCTGTCTGTCTTTAAATGAGGTCAAGATACACACCTGTTCTCTGATTATTGTTAGTCTGCCTGTCATTCTCTCACTGAGCTCAGCGTGCACCTGTTTTGTCACTCGCTGAGGCTCACATGTTTACCTGTCTTGTCTCTCAGTGAGGTCGGAGGAAGCCCTTTACCTGTTGGCTACATGTTATTACCGCTCGGGGAAGCCGTATAAAGCGTACCGGCTGCTGAAAGCCCACAGCTGCTCCACACCACAAGTTCGATTTCTGTTGGCGAAATGCTGCGTCGAGCTCAGCAAGTAAGAACACACGTGAAAATAACTGAAAAAATAAACTAAAAAACATCTTCAGTCTTTTCTGTTTAACTCTGTTGTTAAACTCACATATATGTCTTTTTGTCTTTATATTTTGTCTTTCTACCGATCTGCTTATCTCTCTCCCCGATCGTCTGTGTTTTTTAGACTGGCAGAAGGAGAGCAGGTTCTGATTGGTGGAGTGTTGAACAAACAAAAAAGTCAGGATGACATCATCACAGAGTTTGGAGACTCCGCCTCCTTCACACTGTCGTTACTGGGACACATTTACTGGTAAGAAACCGTCCTCATGGTCTTTTACATGGTTTTACACTTGCCATTTACTGACCTGTTTCTGCCGTCTCTGTCTGTCTGAGCAGTAAGACAGACCGTGTCGCCAAAGGAGCTGAATGTTTCCAGAAAAGTTTAACCCTCAACCCGTTCCTGTGGTCACCTTTCCAGAACCTCTGTCACCTAGGTAACACATACAAAATCACAACTTTCGTTCATTAGTACCATCATATGATTAATAAACCAACTGTATTGATTCCTAAAAGATTGGGACCCTGCTAAAATGTCAATAAAAACACATTTTAAAAGTTTGAGAATCATGTATTCTAGTTTTTCCCTTTGAGCGACTCAACTTTACTAACTAAATTCGTTTCTAGATGTTCCTCCAGCTGTTTCTTTTTTCCTTTTATTATTTTGTTTAGCATTAAACAGCTTTTTACCTATTTGGTTGTTCTTCTAGCAACTTTTTACAAATTTACTGTTGACATAAGATATAAAAAAAGCATATATTTGTCATGAAAACTACATTTTCTATTTCAACATTCCCTGTCCTCTTTGTGCTAATTTCAATGACATATCAGATCCAAGCGATTTTTAGTCCATCAAAATTTGTTTTTAATAGGAACATTTAACACAAAATTCCAAATTTTTATGAAATGTTTGTACTTTTTGAACATTTATATTTATGTGGTTTGTATTCCAGGAGAGAAACCAGATCCAGATCAGGTCTTCAGGTTGTCCTCTTTACAGAATTCCTCTATAGCTCCACCCCCTCCATCTGTTAGCCCTGCCCAAAACCCCTCCCATCGCCTAGACACTGCCCTCATGGAAACACCACAGGATACACTAGTACGTACTACAATAAGCCATGACTAATAGATGGAGTAATTGTAGCGTAGAATCAGCATATTATTGGGGTTCCAGTGTGATTCTATCATTGACTCTGTATTTGTTCTCTCTAGGAGTTGAATCGTTTGAATCTAGAATCTTCTAATGGAAAGCTGACGTCTGATTTGTCGGTCTCCTACATCGACTCCTCCCTCATATCCCCCGAGACCGGCTCGTTATTGGGTAACACAGTTTCTATGGCTTCAGCTGGCTCTTTATTGGCCAAACAGAACAAGCCTAAGAGTGGGCGGAGTTTACTGGGAGGACCTGCAGCACTCAGTCCTCTGACACCCAGGTGAGTTCTGTATTAATCACTTAGCTAATAGAAACACATGACCCATAACATCCACATTTCATAATTATTTACACAAATGACTAATTTATGTGATGAACACTTAACAAACTGACAAACTGAATTAAAAACATCAACAAGCGTTTCACTCTGGCTGTAAAAATGATATTTTGACCGCTATCAAGTCAAGATAGCCTCTGAGATCGCCTCTAGTGGACACATAACGAACTGCAGTGTTAGATTTACATCCTGTCCTGAATACAAGTACCGTATGATTTTAATATTGTCTTAACACACCTGAAGTTGTGTGAGTCTTAAGTGTTTCACTCATACTACTGTGTGTTTCTGTGTTGGTCTGTGTAGTTTTGGCATCCTGCCCTTAGAGCCCAGCCCTGGAGACCCCACATATCTACAGAACTACTCAGCAACCATGGAAACACAATCTACAGCTCCTAACAAAAAGGTACAAACACTCTGTACACACTCAGCACCTGTAAGCACAGACTTTGACACATAACTCACACACTCTGACCCCTCCAACTCTCTGTCTCTGTCTCAGTCTGTCTCCAGGATCAGTCAGTCAAAGTCTGTCTTCAGTCAGAGCGGGAACAGCAGAGATGTTCTCCCAATCCCCTTCAACCAATCACAGACCACTGCCCCTCACACCAGGTAATGACAGCAGCCACTCACAGAGCTCCACACAGCCCCAACCTTAGATCATATCTAAACGCTGATTGCCTGATTCGCTGTCCTTTTGCCTAATTAGCAGTCAGTCTCTCAGTAATGACTCATTTGTCTCTCGGTGATGTCCTGTCTGTCTCTCAGTGGTACCCCTCAGGTCCTCAGTCCCAGTATGACTGGTCCTCCAAACGTTCAGCCCAGAAGAAGCTCCAGACTGTTTACAAGTGCCAGCTCTACTGCCAAGGTAACACATTTATCACGCAAAAAGAAAGTTATCTACCACTGATGCTATTTGTTTTGTACTACCTAAGTAATACTATTCAAATAACATACTGTGCTATCATAGAAGTACTTATTATTGTATTGCTGCAGTACTTTGGTGACACTAAAGCGTTTAAATATCGTACATATCATACTAAAACTAGAATTCCAATACTGCAGTACCTTATTTATACCGTAGTTTCAAATAAACTAATAGGATTTGTTGGTGTGTGTGTTCTCTGGTGCAGGAAAACAGTAAGAAGTTAAAGATGAAGTTTCCAACAAAGATCCCAAACAGGAAAACTAAATGTAAATCAGCAAAGACGTCAAACAGCAGCAACCTGAACGAGAGCCTGGACATCCTGAGGCTGGATCCCAGTCTGAGTCTGCCAGACACCAGGATCCCCCAGTACCAGAGGGCTGCTGCAGGTAACGACACTGCAGATACATACGCTAAATACCAGAACTTCAGGACAGTCTGATTCATTCATAGCTTGAGTAGAAAGTTATTTTACTAAGTGTTCCTGTGTTTCCTGTGTTTGCAGACAGCGTGATGGCTTTGCTGCGGGACTTGGGTCGTGGCTACCAGGCGCTGTGCTCGTACAACTGCAGAGAAGCCATCAACATCCTGACCTCCCTCCCTCCCCAGCACTACAACACCGGCTGGGTCCTCACACATATTGGCAGAGCCTACTTCGAACTGGCTGAATACACACAGGTAACACAAGTAACACGTGATATTCTGTGTTCACACAGGTGATACACCTGCCGTTCACTCTAACTTCCTGTTCTTCACGTTTGCAGGCGGAGCGTCTCTTCAGCGAGGTTCGCAGGATCGAGTCGTACAGAGTTGAAGGGATGGAGATTTATTCTACCACACTGTGGCACCTGCAGAAAGACGTCGCACTGTCTGCCTTGTCCAAAGACCTGACTGACATGGACAAGAACTGTCCTGAGGTAAGAACTACTCCTGTAAACTAGCACTGCATGGTGTGTCTACATTTTTGTTCTTTTTGGATTTTTTTTCCAAAACAGTATAATATTAAGATTTCCTGGGGCTTGGTTCTGAATGTAGGTCAAATAGTGTCATGTAGGTCAGTGATTCTCAACCGATGGGTCCCGACCCAAAAGTGGGTCGCAAACACATTCTGGATGGGTCGGGAACAGCTGGTTAAAAAAGTAAATATTTCATGTCCATCAGATGTTTAAAATGTCTTTTATTTTGAAAAATAGCTTATTCTGAAAGGCACGCGTTATGTCGCGGTCCTCCTTGGTTTCTCATTGATGTGGCCTGAATGCAGGAAAAATACATGGTTTTTTTTGTTTGTTTTTTGGTCTTTATTTTGTGCAATTTGATATTTGATATTTTCTGCATGTGCAACTCTAGAAGTCCTCAGTTCATGTGCTCTGAAATACACTTTACTTAATAAAATTAGTGTATTAATGTTAAAGATTAGGGTCTTTTAAAGTTTTTTTTATAAAAACTAAATTTGCTTGGTTTGAATTTTATAAAAGTGGGTTGCAGCTTTGAGTCAGACCAGTTAAGAACCACTGATGTAGGTGATGGAGAAACAGTGTTACTTGCATCTCCACAAGGTGGCAGTATTGGCCAAAAGGCATGTCAAACTATAAAAATAAAAAAAGTCATGCATTGACAACAAACAGAGACCAAACACATATCTGACCGCCTGTCTGTCTGTTTACCTGTCTTCCTCTTATAAAACACCTGACTCTCAAAGTGACTGTCTGTCTGTCTGTCCCTTTACAGGCCTGGTGTGTAGCAGGTAACTGTTTCAGTCTGCAGAGAGAACACGACATTGCCATAAAGTTCTTCCAGAGAGCCATCCAGGTGAGAGAAGACACCTTCAACTGTCTCTCTGTTTGTCTTTCTTTTACACTATTTTCTGCTCTGCTATCAAGTCTTTCTTTGTCTTCTCTCTTTCTCTTCCTGTATTTAATTCTCATCTGATGCTTTTTGTCCCCCTCTTATTCTTGCATGTCTCATCGTTCTGCCTTGCCTGCCTGTGAATCCATCTCACTTTTTCCCTTTCTTTCTCCACCATCCATCTGTCTGTCTGTCCTGTTTCTGTGTCTCCGACCTGTCTGCCCCTCTGATTGGTCTCATTCTGCACATGACCGTCTCCTAGGTGGACCCGGGCTTTGCGTACGCTTACACCCTGCTGGGTCACGAGTTCGTCCTGACAGAGGAGCTGGACCGAGCTCTCGCCTGCTTTAGAAACGCCATCAGAGTCAACAACAGACACTACAATGCATGGTACGGTGACTGTAAGGATAGCAGCAACCAACTCACTGACAAAGTTAAGCAAAGCCATGCCACTGATGCGTGTGTTTTTGTGTGCTCACCTGTGCAGGTACGGTCTGGGGATGATTTACTACAAACAGGAGAAGTTTAATTTGGCAGAAATCCACTTCAAGAAAGCGTTGAGCATCAACCCTCAGAGCTCTGTGCTGCTCTGTCACATCGGAGTGGTACGGTAGCACGTAGCATCCAACATTCAAAGCAACTGCTCTATTAACAATCACCCCCCTGCCATTCATGTGTCGTACTGTGTGTGTTTGCAGGTGCAGCATGCCTTGAAAAAGTCCGACGCAGCTTTAGAAACTCTGAACAGAGCAATCGGGATCGACCCCAAGAACCCGCTCTGCAAGTTCCACCGGGCGTCCATATTGTTCGCCAACGACAAGTACAAGGTAATCGATGTCGTGATCGCACACTGGCTGTGAAACCATAATAACATATTCAACAACAGTCCAGTGAGATGAGTTTTCCATCTCAGTGACCCCTCTGAATCACTCTGCATCATTGTCCTAATCTCCCTCTCACCAGTCTGTCTGATCTGTCTGCCTCTTTTCAGGCGGCTCTGCAGGAGTTGGAGGAGCTGAAGCAGATTGTTCCCAAAGAGTCTCTTGTTTACTTCCTCATAGGAAAGGTAACACACACCTGCCGACCTTTGCCCTCTCACAGTTCAACCTCTCCACGAAAACGCCTTCTCTGAAAGCCTTCCCCGTGTCCCCTCAGGTGTATAAGAAGCTGGGTCAGACTCATCTAGCTCTGATGAACTTCAGCTGGGCCATGGATCTGGACCCTAAGGGAGCAAACAACCAGATAAAAGAAGCCATTGACAAGAGATACCTGCCAGAGGATGAAGGTGAGACAGGTAGGAGCATCAGGAGGTGACACTGCATCACTTCCAGTGACTACGCGGCGTATTATCAGTTCATAACTCAAAACCAGCATCCCTGATGGTAGGAGGATCAGAAGTGTCTATGGCATGGGTCGCTTACACATCTGTGAAGGCTCCATTAAAGCCGAACAATATATACAGGTTTTAGAGCAACTTATGCTGACATCTAGACAATGACTTTGACAGTGCCAAACCACATTACAACAGCATGGCTCTGCAGTAGAAGAGTCCTGCTGCTAAACTGGTCTGCCAACAGTCCTGACTTGTTGTTCATGAAAAACTTATAGAACGTCATGGCACAAAAAATAGGACAAAGGAGACCCTGAACTGTTAGGGAACTGAAATCCTATCCCAGCTAAGAATGGGACAGTATTTCGCTTTCCAAACTGCAGAATCTGGTCTCCTGGGTCCACTGGTGTTTACAGAGTGTTGGGAAAGGAAGAGCTGATGACACAGAATGGGGAAACATGACCCCTGGAACAAATTTTTAGAAGCATGTTGCTTGCATCAAATAAGAAATGAGCAAATATTTTTCATAAATCAATAAAAATCTTCCAGTTTTAACATTCTGTATGTTGTTTACACACTTTCTCACAGAAAAATGTTTTTGAATGATTGAAAACCATCAAAATCGGTTCAACATTTTACGTGGTGTCAGATCTCGTATGGAACTGGATTTGTGTATAATTTTGATGGTAATAAATACCTCTGTCTCTCTTTTTCTTTGCCTCTCCTTACCTGTCTGCGTGTCTTCAGCAGTGGAGGTGGACGACAGCCAGGACAGCAGCATCATGACTGACGCTGATGACACGCAGCTCCACACGGCTGAGAGTGATGAGGTCCTTTAACCCCGCCCCTCTCATCTAAACTCACCCCTGCTTGAACCAAGCCCCCCCACCCACCCACACTCAGATGACCTGGAGGAGTATTGTTGCTAGGCAACATTCTGACAGACAGATCTTCAGTTTAGCTCCGCCCCCTGCCCTCCTTCCTGTCATCTGATGGCTGAAACAGACTGCTGCTGCCCTGAAGCCCACCCACTTCTTTTCCTCCTTTTCCTCCTCCTTGTATGTCATTGAGCTTGTCCTCTGACATCACAGCTGTTTTTTATGTTCTTTTTATCATCATTATGAAAATAAACAATAAAAACATGTAAACCCCGCCTACTGCTGTTGTCTTATTCCTGACGACAGCTAATCAGAGCAAATCTGTTTCTCCAGGTGAGTGTAGATACAAACACAGCATGGAAATTTCCTGAACTACTCAAATCAGCTTTGACTTAAAACCCTAAACTGTGTATACTATAAACAACTTGGTTCCGCCTTCCGTCAGTATTCGGATTTGAAGCCGAAAAGCTCTCTGTATTTCTGCGATTTTTCTCAATTTCCTGAAACAAACATTGCGCAGTAGCGTTGTACGCATTCGGCGGGGGAGTCGCTGTGACGACGCTCGGCTTAAACAGCGTATCTCCCGGTGAGCTACGCAATCTTCATACGCCCATAGGCTGTATAAAGTGTCAACCATAGAAAACATGAACCCCCTAATAACTTTTAAAAATGGAGCTGCACAGAAAAAAAGAGGACTTCAGCACAAACCGGTCTTAGATTAACTACATGTCAACATCGCAAGCTGGGGGGAGAAAAATGTATCTTCTGTTTAATAAATTACTAAACTTTGTCCATAGCTTCATAGGGATTGCTGGAGGAGGCGGGATTTATGACCTATACTGCTACCCGTCACTAGAGGGTGCTGTTCTCAGAGTGGCTTCAACCACTGAGGAGGCAGACGGTGCCCATTCTATATACAGTCTATGCTTAAAACCAAGTTTTCTGTATTAAGTCAAAGAGAAGAAATGAAATTTAAAAAAGTAGTAAAAGTAGTTAAACTTACAAGAATAAAGTCCTTTAAACAGAAATGAAGTAAAAAATTGATGCATAAAGTTGTGATCTTAAGGCCCGTCCAAACTTTTACAAATTGCCATGTGCGTGAAATCTTTTGTATTCAGTTCTGGCTTTTGACAATAAAGTGTTTAACACTGTGACCTGACACTGTTTGACAGCAGTGTCAGGTCATAGTTATTGAATGTACACAAAATTGTGTTTTTCAATGGACAGACACTGTTAGCCTCACACGCCTCAAATGTACCTTTATTTTTTTGTCAACAAACACGTTCAATTCAAGAGAATCTTTATTGGTACAAAGCACTTTGACAGCCGACTAGCAGAGACAGACAGAATGGTTTTGGCACCTGGTATCAAACTGCATTCTGGGTAATTTTTCATGTTGGGGATGGGTTTCACAGGGACCGACAGCATTCAGAAACACAGGAGAGGTGATGAGAGGCTGAGAGGTGTGACGGATGTGAGAGGTTAAATGTGATTGGAGGGATTTTATGAAGGAAGCCGACATGCTAATCTGTTTTTGTCATGTATTAACATGTTTTATGAGTGACAATGGATTTCACTAATCTTTTTTTCAAGGACTCCTGGAAAATCCTTTGGATCCTAAACGACTCAAGAAGCAGAGTACACCAGCTTGTTTTACGCCCAGTATAAGGTAAAATCAAAGACTGACCATCAGTATGAAAATCTACGTTTTTTTGCGTTTTGAGGGTATGTGCCAGTCAAAGCCACTGATTGCAATAGCAGCTTCTGTCAATGTTTTTCATGGCAAAACATACTAGGTCATAAAATTGAATGTTAAAAGATGTGTTATATTTTTATGATAAAATGACCAAAGCATGTTCATGACAAAAGAATCATTGGTGTTACCTCATCCACAGGGAGCACCAGAACAAAGACAAACTCTGTGTAAGTTTAGATGGTCATAAATATGAGAGTCACTTTCTGCTCATTACACAAATGTTACAGCTGCTCATGGCATGTGGCTTTTTTGTTGACCTGCCACCAGGGGGTGCTCTGTAGCATCATTTTCTGCACTGGGTGTGAATCTGATTCAAAAGTTGGTATAGCTAAGTCTGCTAAAAATTTGAATCCCCTTCTTCTATGTCTAGCTGGTGCACGTGGCCTCAGTTGGTTGTTCCAGGACCCCTGAAATTTCCAGGATTCTACTAATGGTCTCCTGGAAAGTCAGGAAAGGACTTTTCTCAGGCAGTCTTTTAAGTTTAGGTAAAGTCAGTGGTTCTTTGACGCTCATCTTTATGGTGTTTTGATCTGTTGTATGATGTTACCTTTGAGCCCTCTGGTTGAAGCTCTGTGATGTGATAGGCTAATCAAGACTCAAAAGTTTGATGTGATTGGCCAAGAAGCTTACTGTAACTTTAATTTGACCTAAATCTTTTTACAGCAAGTACATTTTTTACCTGCCAAACCTCCTTCCCATTTTCAAGGACTGTTTAATCTTTAAAGGACTTTTTACTTTTCATACGACTATGTCACCCTTTTCGATCACTATTTTTACATTTTCCGAGAACTATTATATCCTTTGAAGAACTTTTCAAGGACTTTTTAAAGTCTTTTCAAATACTGTTCTACATTTTGAAGGACCAATTTTAATTTCCTGTTTTACTCAAAAAGAGCTGTTTTTTCATTTCAAGCATTAGCTCGCCTCCTTAAAAAACATATTTTTCAAGGACTGTTTTACTGTTCTCCATGACTAACTTACTCTTTGAAGGACTATTTCCCCCTTTTCTGAGAACTTTTAATGTTTTTCAAACACTACTTGGAACGTTTGAGGAATCGATACTTATTTTCAAAGACCTGTAAATAATGTCTTAAAAATTTCAAGGACTGTTTTTCTCTTTCCCAGGCAAATAACACTCTGTCTACTGACTATTGTATTCCTCCAAAGGATGACTGTACTCTTTCAAGGACCGTTCTGTGTTTTTTCCAGGACTGTTTTCCTTTTTTACAGCACCATGAAAGCCCTCCTGGAAGTACCTCAATGCCCTGAAAATGGCTTTTTTTTCACAGTTGAATGAGAATGAATGCCACACTGGCCCTACTTAGCATAAATACTGGAAAGTTTTAGCCTAGCTATGCACACTGACTACAAACTACTAGCCTAAAATATACAAATTCACACCAGGGCAAAATGACTAACCTATCCTGGGATTAGCATTAAGGCTAGAAGCTAATTTACCTAGCCTAGCCATAAAGACTTGAAACAGAGGGAAACTAATGGCCTAGCGTAGCATCAACAACTCAAAGTTAGTCAGTCCTTTCTCTAACGTCTCCTGGATACTTTTTATATAAATGAATTCGAGTCAACAGGTAACAGACCTGTCTATGTTCCCTAAACACCTAGTTTGTTTTACTAAACTGTGATTGGCTGTTAATCTCGTTATTTTGTTTTTAATCTGGATGAGCTGTGTTCAGAAAGCTTCACTCTAACTTCATAAAATCTCTCCGCTCTGTTCGTGTGACATCACATGAAGGTCATGAGGAAAAAGGCAGAATGACGTTTTTTTTTATCTTTCTTCCATCAGGCAGTTTCCTTGGTAACATTAGGGGGCAGGGTTAGTAGGCACAGGTTTATCCAATCACAGGGCTTGTTTGGCGAGGGAGGCAGACACCTGATGGAAAAAGAAAATGTTTTATTTACTCATATTTGTCTTTGTGGCTTTTTTTTTTTTAGCATGAACCTGTTCAATTGTCACCTGGTCAGCCAAGTTATTGAGGGGCGGAGCTTCAGCTGCGTTAGGGCTTCCTGGGGAGGAAGTGTTGCTCAGGTGTTGAGGGGAGGAGTCAGGCTGGACGACGATGTCTGCACCGTGATCAGTGCGAGCTTTGGCGGTCTCTCTGAAGGTCAGTTTTTGACTCTCAATCTGTCAACAGACAACAAACCAAGACACTGAGAAATCTGACAAGGGAAAATAAACTGTATTATGTAGGTAAAAGAGATGTACATTGTGTTTGTGTTTTGGCTGTCTTGTGTAATAGTTGTCTTGTTAATCTATTCTTCAGTTAAGCTTTGTTAATTTTTTTAATTGTTTTTGTTTTTTACAATAAAAACCATGGTCAAGTGTTTAAGTTCACTCACCATCCCAAATTATTCTGGAAACGTTACATCAGATCACAGATTCTGTGGTTTTCAAAAGGAATATCAGATTTTGATAGTTTTCCTCATTCCCTCAGTCCATCTTAAACGATTTCAGATTCAGAGAAGTTTCTGGTGTTTCTGGATCATGTTTATATCCTGTTTCTACTTTGCATGGTTCAGTTTTAACCTGCGTTTGTAGCTGCAGTGATTAACTGTTCACAGACAACAGTTTTTGAAGTGATTTTGAGCCCGTTGGTAACTTCCACAACAGAGTTCTGTCTATTTTAATGCAGTGCTGCCTGAGGGCCTTTAAATCAGGACCATCCATTATTGGCCTGTTATTAGCCTGTTGGTTGTGTGTGTATAGTTTAGTGTCAGCCTGTTTTTATATTAAAGCATTATAAAGTGTGGCTTTAACATGTTTTTGACATTTACCTTCTTCTTTCCTCCCCCTGGAACGTGAGTGATGTTGCCCAGGGAACCAACTTTAGACTGAACACCCTTAAACTCTACCTTCTCTGACTTTATCTCCAACTTCCCTCCGCCTGTTTCACAAACACACATTACATTTTACCAAAATAGCAATAACATTTAGAAGAAGAACTTTATTTACTAAGTTAACTTTGCATTACATCGATTTATGTTACAAAAATAACTGGATTCAATTAGATTTCAATACTTTTATACCATGATCCCACATTAAAAAAGAGCATTTTTACAAAAATTATGACAGTAAAAAAAACACACTATCCCTTTGTGAGTGTTACCTGGTTTGTGGTGGATGTTGGCTTTGGAGCCGCACTTTGATGTCACGTTACTGAGATCCATCTTTTTATTCATGATATGAATCTGCACACACAAACAAACAAACAGGTGTTTTTATCTGTGTTCTTCTGAAAGGTGAGCAGTTCACACCGTTACCCCTGTCCAGTGAGGGTCCTCAGAAGCACAGAAAGACAAAGACAGGTGTGTTACCTTGCCCCCTCCAGGTGTATGTTTGAGGTTCTCCGTGGATCCAATCTTTGACTTCACATTGGTGAGATCTGGCATAGGATGGGAGGGTAGAGGGGGTGTACATCCACGAGCTGAGCTGGGTGACCTGGGAGGGGTCCGGACCACCGCCACCTATGGGAGCATGTGATCAATACCAGTTTAGCCAGTGTAAATCAAATGTTCAATATAAGATGTTAGCATTCAGCACGTTTACATACACAGTTAAGTCCAACTATGGCAACAGCTTGATCAGGTGATTGAATTTAACTGCTAATCAAAAAGCACTAGGCAAGAACTACTTTATTGATAAAACTATGTTTGTCCCTTCCTCTTCTCCTCTCAATGTTTTGTTTACTACCCAGCTTTTCAGCATTATATTTATGCGAGTCAACTTTCACGTCTCTTTTCCTTCTCAAGGACTCTTCTACTACAGAGCCATGCTGTTATCATACATGTAGACTTTGGTTTGGTGTTGTCTTGCTGATACATGCAAGGCCTTTCTAAAACAGCATATGGATCGGGGGATGCAGCATTGCCTGTTTTGGGTAAGTCATAAACATTGATTTTGTCTTTGCATGGAGGTTCTGACCTGCAATGTTGAATGCATCAACAAATGTAACACAGATGGTGCTTTGTTTACGCCTTTGCAGGGATTTCCACTACAGAGTCCTGGATGTTTTTAATGCAGTGTTACCTGATCATCCAGTATTCTGATAAGAGAGTCATTTTGACCCCTAGTGGTTGTTTAAGGTAATTGCACCACCTTTGTTCGTATTTATATTTGCGTATATTGCTTTGGATAACTTCTTGAAAAATGATGGAAATACTTCTTGTAAATGTTTTGATTCGTGGTAATTGTCCTCCTCTTTAAAACATAAACAGTGTTCAGACCTTCTTCACATCTCTGTTGGGAGTGGAGGATCTGCTGGCTGGGGAGCGACTTCCTGGACTGCTGACTCCATCCACAGACTCTGACGGACAGACGGGTGGAGAAACAGGCAGGTTAAACCAAGTCATACTGGATAACTTCTGTTAAAGGTGAAACTGTTGTTGTGTTGTACCTGTACTCTTAGCTGAGATCATTTTGGCTGCTCTAGCACCCCCTGCTGTCTTGGAGGCCTTAATCAGAAACAAACTGTTACTGTCAGTAACCATATGATACAAATTTTAATCCGGTCTGACAAAAACATTTATTGTGGTTATACCTTTGCAGCTTCTTCAGCAGGTCCTTTTCCAGCTGCTTTTTCTGAACACACAAGGAAGAGATTTGGAGGCAGAGGATTCATGTAAACATGACGTCATAAATACTTGTTAGGATTTGCACTTTTTGTCTTTCAGCTGCATGTTTTAGATAAAGAAATTCTGGATTCGACAAAAAAGGGAGAAAGAAACTGTGATGTGATTGGTGGGTCAAGTTCTCATGATGCAGACTGGACGATCAAAGTTTTGATCTCTTTGTTTCCTCATTGTATTTGTTTTCTTAAAGGAGACGTGTTATACTGAAAAGCCTGTTTCATAGCTCGCCTTCCTCCTCCTCTCTGCGTTTTGTTGGTTCAGAGTGTCTCTTAAGTTTCTCTGAGCGTTCTTTTGCTCGTAAAGTCTCAGCTATTTTCTCTTCCTAAAGATAAAGGCTGCTGAAAACAGGGAAGTTTGGATGGTTTCAGGGCAACAACAGCCACAACACCGCTGTTTGTGCGCGCCACTTCACTGATGACTCCGTTGTAAACAAAGGCCAGTCGGCGCTGGATTTGAGTCTCAGCTGTTACTGAAACCTGGAGCTGTTTATCTATAAACACTTTCATGAAGCGCAGAGACACAAACTGGATTACACATGACAAGAAGATATAATGGAACCAAAGAAAACACAAAACAGCTACTTTAACCACAAAGCTGTGTAAAAAGTAACACCCAAAAGCTTTAAGTAACATTACAACAGCAGCCAAGGGAGCAATAAATAGCCCTTAGTTAAAACAGGTGCTCACAGCTTATGTCAGATATTTCCCTCAGCAGTTCTATAGGTAAACTGGACTGACATAAAATGAGTATAACAGGTCTCCTTTAACAGCATCTCAGAGTTTCTTATTCTCTGAAAACGCAAGAAAATGTGACTGAAATGCTCTCTCAATTGAGTGTATAACAGTAGGTTTTGCAAGTTGGCTAGTATAGCAGCTAATGGGTTAGCATAGCATCCTATGCTACTCTAGGGCTGCATGATTCTGGCCAAAGCTAATTACAATTATCTCAAAAGAGTATTGTGGTTACCCAATGCAATTGACTTTAAGGGATATTTGGTCACTGCACTTGAACATTTAAAGCTCCCCTGAGGAACTGTTGGAATGTGCTTATAGTGGCGCCCCCTGTAGGCAATGCAGTACCTCTAATCTTTATAGTCTTTAAGGATCATGTCCTTAGCATGTGGAAAAGTCTCGTTCTTTCTTCTTTTAATGGTCAAATGCTTCACCTGAGGAAGACTTTTGCAGAGGGAAAAAGCTGCATTAGCAACATGCAGTTGATAAATTAGTTTTAAATAAATAATCCCTCTACTTTTTGATGAGCTTGTTGGATTTTTTTAGGTCCTATAGGGACAACAAAATGAATTTCATCACTGACTAAAACCTTCTCACGGGAGCTTTAACAAACAAAGCAACACTTTCAGTTCAAGTTTGTTCAACATTCAATCTTATGTACAAATTTTGTGTCAAATTAACCCTTAAAGAAGGTTTTATTTATCCATGTTTACTTCTATTTTCATCATACAGCTTGCAGGTAAATACCACTTTGTAAATGCAAGCAGTTGTGAGGTGCAGTCTGCTTTCAGAGCATGCAATTTGAACGCCAGATGCCAGAATCATTGATTGTGCAGCCACAAGGCTAGCCAATTCTTTCTAATTATTTAATTGAATCGATGTCTGCATGCAGTCAAGTCAATCTGCTGCATCATGGGAACTTTAACTGCAGAGAATAACATTATCTCTAAACAGAAGGGCAGCAAACAGGAGGCTCTACCAGAAGTGAAAGGTCAGATCACTGTATGGTGACCAGAAGGTGAACACGTGTAGAGTCTGTGTCACTTTCAAAAATTAGGGGAAAAGGTAAGAAAAGATCCTGAAACATGGCACAGAAGAGGAGGAGGAGGAGGAGGAAGAAAGGGAGGAGTGGGTGAGGGTGTGGAAGGAGGTAGGGGAAGAAAAGGGGGTGGAGGTGGAGGAGAAATCTTAAAGTGAAAGAAGTAAAGGTTCAGAACGACAGACCTTTGTTAAGAGGAGGGGGGGCGCTTGATTTCCTAACTGGGGCAGCCTGTTTAGCTGGAGGAGCGCTTGTTTTCTTGGGTGGAGCGGTTTGTTTCGGGGAGGAGGGGGTGCTTGACTTCCTCGCTGGAGCAGCTCCTTTAGGCGGAGCTTTGGTTCTGGAGGGAGGTGCAGTAGTGGAGTTTGAGCGTTTCTTCTCTTTGCCGTTCATGAGAGGAGCGTTTGTTTTGCTCACCGAGACCTTCTTCTCAGAGGTGGATGGAGGGGCGGGAAGTGCTTGATCTTTAGCAGGAGGTGCTGAGCTGATGGGAGCACTTGTTTTTGTTACCTCCACAGCTGCTATCCCACCTGAGCTCTCCTTCATTTCCTGCTCCTCCTCCGTCTCCTCTTCATCAGCCTGGTTTTCATCCTCAGGAGGAGATGCTAAGTTTACAGGAGTGCTTGTTTTTGCTACCTCCTCAGCTGGAATCCAACCACTGCCTGGACTCTCCTTCATCATCTGGTCTTCTGATTCCTCTTCATTAATTTCTCTCTCATCAGTCGGTGTGATAGAGGAGGGGGAATCTACCTGGGCCTCCCTTTCCAATTCCACCTCTTGCTGATCCTCTTTTGTCTCCAACACCTCCTCCTCTTCATCTTTGTTCATAATGTCCTCCTCTTCCTCCTCTTTTTTCACCTCCTCTCTCTGTTCTTCTCCTCTGACATCCACCTTCTCCTCCTCTTCTTCTTTCCTGACTTCCATCTTCTCCTCCTTGTGTTCCTCTTCCTCCTTTTCTTCTTTATCTTCTTTTTTGACTCCCATCTTCTCTTCCCTGTGTTCCTCCTCCTCCTCTTCTTCTTCTTCATCTTCTTTTCTGACTTCCATCTTCTCCTCCTTGTGTACCTCCTCCTCCTTTTCTTCTTTGTCTTCTTTACTGACTTCCATCTTCTCTTCCCTGTGTTCCTCCTCCTCCTCTTCTTCTTTATCTTCTTTTCTGACTTCCATCTTCTCCTCCTTGCGTCCCTCCTCCTCCTCTTCTTCCTCTTCCTGCTCTAAAGGAGGAAATGAGAGGTTCTCCTTTTTCTCCTCCTTCTCCTCCTTTTCTTCATCAGCTTCATCAGAAGAAGGCCTAGTGGGGGAGAAAGGAGGCTCTAGCTGCTCCTGCTCTTTCTCCTCCACCACCTTCTCTTTCTCCCCGAATTTCTCCTCCTCTTCTTTCTCCTCCATATCACTCCTGTCTGGCTGCTCCTGGGGGCTGCTCCTGATCACTTTACCTTCATCTCCTTGCTCTTTCTTCACCTCCTCCTCCTGCCTCGCTACGCTCCCATTTGGAAGTTTATCCAGAGAACTGAGGGAGTCAAGGTCTGAGGGAGGAGGAGACGAGGAAAGGAGACAAGAGGAGAGCAGAGGAGGAGAAGACAACAGGAGGAGACGAAGACAAACACTGAGAACACACAAACTGACTGGATGTAATTGAACACATCACCATGGTTACGATGATGTCTTTGTCAAGGTGGTTGCTAGCGGTAACAGGAAGCTGAGACTTCCTGTTTCCATCAACAAGCTGACACATCATCACACAGGATGAAGAGAGAGACAAGGATCCATCAGTGTCAAGAATCCTTCACACAGAGAGGCTAATGCTAATCTGGTTGTACACAGCTGTTAGCTTGTGACTAGCACTTAGCTTATCGACAGCAGTTTGTTTATAGATATTTGTAAGCACAGCTGCCAACCTCTCTGGAGTTGTTGCTTTCTAACAGCCCTGCACTTCAAAGCCCTTGTTAGTTTATAAAATGCTTTAAGCTCCTTTTTAAGTGTATGTAACTGTTAAGTTATGAAATCTACTCAGTTATGGTTCAGTCAAAGGTGGGGTAGGCAGGATTCCTTTGAGGTGTATATCCAAAAAAGCTTTTAATATCAGTCAATAGCCTTTAGTTATTAATGACGTTTGGTAATATAATGATTTCGCTGTGTTTTGTAATGTCTGTGTAGTCAACATTTAAAATTTTTTGAGCGGCCCACTCTTTCTGACTGTAAATGAAGCCATTCTCCACCTCCCCCAAACTGATTGGCGGAATAAATGGATTCTGGCGCCAAAATGGAAGTAGACCAGACAAGAGCTAAAAAGCCAAGTCAACATAAGTGAAGCGCAAACGATTGGGATGCTTCGGGATCTTACAGACCCTGTAACCTTTCTGCTGGACAGGTAAACCGCTTTAAAAAAGTAAGCCCAGTATCTGTAACAAAAGTGTTTCTTGTCTAATGGGACCTGCTGCGTGTCGTAGCGCCGCTAAACTGTTTACCTCGGGTCCTGGAGTATGTCATTTTATCCTAGTTGTAGAAGTCCTGCAAACGTTGTGTTTGCTGGTAGTCTGTTGGCATCTACAGTAGCACCAATGCTTTTAACTTTCACGTTGACTGGGCCCCTATTTATAATTATCTGAAGTATTTATCTGCATTATATCTGAATTTAATTGGAACGATACAAGCGAGGACGAGAATCTGTTTGTGGGCGGGGCTTGCTGGAGCAGAGAAGCAGGGGAGAGGAGGAGCTGAGGAGAAAACTAGCTGGAAGGGGTCGTGTTTACATTCAAGATTTCTCCCAAAAACTGACACTTCCTCAGATCCTGCCTACCCCACCTTTAAATCAGGTGGTATGGCTATGATCTGGGAGCTCCCTGCCCTTCCATGTGAATACATGGAATGCACACTTTTGCTCTGCTTCATGTGCATACATGAGAGGCCACGACAGGGAGAGCATCAGCAAAAACTCCCACAAGATTCACCAGAAATGACTTAACTTACACCAACCTTTTATCATATTCACAACATCGTGAGTGAAACTTTTCCAAAAGCTATAAAGGACATTCCAGCGTAAAATTAATTTAGGGTCAAACACACCGTAACACCAAGTGATCATTACTTTATCATTTCCTTGAAGTAATAATCATCATATTAATCATTTTGCAATGCAGACGTGGTAGTTCTTCTGCCTTATCATCTCAATCAGATTGCATTTCCATGAAGAAATGATTATAAATGTTCTTCCTTGAGCTGCGTCACCCCGCTGCAGTCGATGATGGACTAGCCTGAGGTCTTGCTATAAACAAGCGGCTGCTGGAAGAGAGAGGGTGAGTTTTGTTAAGTCTCTTTGCTAAAGAAATTAGGCAAAGCTAAAAAGATGTTTGGTGGCTAGTACTATGGCTGGGATCCTATATGTACAGTTGATGAAGTTAGGTGCTGTTCTGAGCATTATTTGTGGCTATAGAGTGGCGTTTTGGTTGAGGTTTGTTTATGGCTCCTCAGACCGCTGTGTATTTCTATCCTGCGGTCGTTACTAAAGTTGGTATAACTAGACAAGCAAGAAGTCGGCAACATTCATCTCTCGAAGGGGTGTCTAACTCGGTGTTTTGGTGTGTTTGACCCTAAATTAATTTTACTCCGGAATATCCCTTTAAGAGTTCAAAGGTTGGGAAGCAACTTTTCAGAAATAGCAGAGTCCGTTGAGTCAGTCTAGATCATAAACTTTGTTTTGAACAAGAAGTGCAACAATTGATCTCTTCGCACCCATGTTACACCTATGTCCCCAGCATTGGTAGACCCACTTGATTACTTCCTGCCTCCTCCTGCTCCTCTCCCTGCTCTCCTCTCTCCACCTGCCTCCGCCTTGGTCCTTTTGCATTTGCGTAATGTGTGTTTATCTTGTTGTTATGCCGAGCAGGTGGCAAGTGTATTAGAGGGCAAGATAATCACTGGTAGGTGAGCAGCCTACAAGGGGTGGAGCTCACAGATTTATTAACCGTCTTCCTGGAGCTTTTTTGCTTTTTGTCTGTTTGCACTGTGTTATAAGTTCATATACTTGCACAGAGCTGTTGTTGAACAAATATGAGGACTGTGAATTAACGTTGGTATATCATTGTAAGTTTGTGGAGTGAATGATTTAAGCCTAATCCCATCAGTGGCTTTGGTTAAATTGATCAATGAAATCAAGTCACTTTATGTGGGTCCTAACTTTTTATTAATAATGTTAAAAATGCATTGAACTGTTTGTAGCTTTGTGAAAGATGCCACGTTTTCAAGAACTAAAATATCAGTTTATTTTCATGTCAACCTCATGTATGTAGATACTACTATGGCTGCTACAGCAAACCACTTAGTTGCTATGTCAGAATACTGCAGGGACTACTTTCACTTGCACAAAGACAGACACGATAAAGGAAGAAAAAATAGAACGAAGTAAATATAATATTAAATACAAGAACATGCACACAAGCATGGCACCAACCTTCCATGCTCTGCTCTGCAGGGGCATGACCACCTCCAAGGGGGGCGGAGTATCCATCCATCATCACTCCTAAAGAGATGAGGAGAAAGGTGACAAAAAAGGAGAGGACAGGAAAATGTAGAAGGGAGGAGGAGAGGAGGAAGCATGTTTGCAGAGAAATGGGGAGAAGGTGGAGTCAAATGGGAGAAGAGAGGGGGGAGGGGGAGAGTTAGAGAGGAGAAGAGAAAGACAGGAGTGGAGAAAAAAAATGAGTTGGAGAAGTAAAGGAGGAGTCAGTGCGCATGCTCAGTCAGGCAGTAAATCCACCATGATGATGATGCAGCAACAAACCTCATAAATTCACTCTAAGTTCAACTCTGACTGTCCTCCACCTGTCAATCATTACTGAACACACGAGCACGCGCGTTTACGTGACCCTCCCAAAATCTCCTCTTTGTTTTATCTAAAGCCACATCACTCCCCCATGCTTACAGGCGGCACCGCAGCGTCACAACTGTGTCCAAAGTAGTACCAAGAGGCGGTACGGGAGCGGAAAGTACCGCAGCGCGTCTGCCGCCTCCCGCACCGCAGCCGCCGCCCCCCAACCTTCAAACACATGGAGCAGACAGAGAGAGGGAGAAAGAGAGAGAGAGAAACCAGACAGAAGGATGGAAAAGCACAGAGAGGGATAGAGAGAAAGGCAGAGGCGGAGGCAGCGGTAGAAACCGGCAGTTGGAGGATGTTTCGATGTCTTACCTCCTGGCTGATGTCCGTCTGTCTGCTGCTCCACCCTGCTCCTGCTGCACTTCCACCTGCTGCCGCTCTCTGAGGAAGAGGCGCTCCGCAACTACTGCTGCATGCTGGGAGAGGAGGCAGCTATTACCATAGTAACCTGCTGCACCTGCGCACTGAAGGTCATCAAGATAAGCTCGTGCATTCATGACAAAATATTTTACATGCTTTAATTGAATAAACGCATCTGTAAAACACAGTAAATTAAAGTACCCCATAGATGCACTGCAGTAAGGTAGTGGAGCTTCACTCTTCATCTTTGATTCACTGCATTATTCTGACTGAAACAAAATGAAACCTACAAAAACATCACTGACAGGATTTTTTTTTTTTCATTACTAACGGTACATTACTTGTTGGCTGATGATCAAGACATGTTTCTCTCTGTAGAACTACTCCAACAAGGCCAGTTGTGCTGCTTAACAGGTAATTTTGTTGCACTTGTTCTAACAGTTTTTTATTTATTACTAACAGTGATGCCAGTAACGCTTTACTTAGCAACACGCTACTCTAATAATGCTGCATTCGAGTTACCTTTAAAGTCAGAAGTCCACGCTGAAAATGACGTCACACCCAAGTTACTAGTGTTTCAGTTAATTAAAATTTCTAGTTAAAAGTTAAAATTTTTTTAGTTAAAATCGGAGGCGGAAACAAGATGGCTACATCTACGAAAGTTATTTAGCACTTGCCTTGTCCGAAGATAAGGCAAGCGCTAAAATAACTTTCGTGGATGTAGCCATCTTGTTTCTGCCTCCGATTTTGCTTTTTTTTTCTGACTTGGTAACTGAAACACAGGTTACTCGGGTGTGACGTCATTTTCAGCTCCAAAATCTGACATTCGAGGCAACTCGAACGCAACATCAGTCCACCTTTTTTAGTACGAGTAATCTAAGCTGTTGCTATTTCCAAACCAGTATATCAGTTGCATGTCCAAGTGAGTGTTGGAAAGAAAATGGTTGTCATTTATATGTTGAATGTAACTTAAAAAGTAACTTGTTATCTAACTCAGTTACTTTTAAAATGAAGTAATAAGTAAAGTTACTAAGTTACTTTTTAAAGGGGTAATCCATAATCAGTAATCAAATTACTTTTTAAAAGCAACTGTGGCAATACGGATTACTAATGTATAAAAACATTTTGCATATATTAGTGAAACTGCTTTCAATAATAGTTCTCTGACAGTTTCACAGTAGTTTTAACTAAATCTATTTTATTTTTTCAGTTACATTTGTTAGACCAAAGAACAGCTGGTGCATGAACAAAACATGTAGAAAGATGTGGAGTGGGTGTGGGTTGATGTGTGTAGGCGGCATTTTAAATACAGTCACATAATATTGTTAATGTTGGAAAAAACAATGTTTCTCTTTAGGAATCAGATTAGTCCGTTACACAGAAATATTTCTGCAGTGTCCTCTGCTTATCAAAGTCATACTTGTCAAATAGAAATCGAGCTTTTCAAGTTAGAAATACACAACAGCATGCCTGAGATGCTGAGTTGGAGTTCCACAGAGCTCTCAGCTGGGACCGATCCTTTTTGGCCTCTCCTTCTTAAGTTCCTCTTTACCCTGACCAAATGTCTGTCCTGATGGGAAAGTGCTGTTGTATGCCGATGATACAATTTTAAACAAACATGCCAAAACAAAGCAGGAAGCTGCTGACAAAGGACTCTGATCAAGGTTTAATCAGAAACAACAGAAAAAAATGAGAACTTATCATTTGATAGTTTTATTGATTAGATAGACATCAAAAATAAAGAAGAGTCTCACACTGATGAATTCAGATGATGCCACTTTTAAGTCTGTTCAGTTGTTCAGTCAGCCTGTTTTATCCCAATGTCCAGTGAATAAAACAAGTGATCCTCCTATTGGGTAAGGAATTATAATCAGTCTGAACTCATTATAAATATGTATTTACAAAAGTTTCTTTAAATCAGATAATTATCAAGCTTTTCCAGAGAATAATGCCACTTATGTACTTTAATAATTATAATATGAATATATACTTCTTTCCCACACACACACACTGTCTCACACACACACTCATTTACACACACACATATTCACACAATAAGTACAATTTCAGGTAAATAAAGACAGAAGGGAGAATAGCAGTTCATTTCATCCTGAGTGTTTCCTTCTACTGCTACTACCTATGCTACGGTCACTATGGTTACTGCTAATACAGAATAGCATGGTACTACTGGTCTCAATCTATGAAGGCTGATCTTTTTTAGGACCCCAAAGTTTCCCTTTTTGTTCAGTCTATTGACCGCAAAAAAGATGGACGACATGACCACTTCCAAAAGTAAAACTTAAGCGTTAGAGCTCCCCTTAGTGTCTGACTGCAATATGACTCATAAGCCTGCCACTTCTATGTTAACAGATAGGATATGGATAAAATTAAAAACGTTAAAAAATTAAAGTACATGCCAGAAATTTTCTATCAGATTAAATTAACATGCAGATTTTTTTTGCAGCTGATCTTTATCTATTTACCAGTTAATTGTATATTTTGGTTAGTGAAAGTAGAGACTGTCAGAACCCCAACTCAAAGGATTCAGTACAACCAGAGGACAATGAGCACATGTGGTCCATGTTAATTTACAGTAAATGAATGAATTAAACTATAAAAGTTAGCTCTGCACAGTGCAAATATGCACAATATTACAATTAAAGATTAACCTATGTATTTATATTACATATTTATTTTAAAACTGTTGGGTACAGCCCCACGGTGTGGAAAGTGCAAATAGTCAAAGTACACAGAAAAGGTCAGTGACTTTTTAAAGATGAACTTTTGCAGCCGGTTTTCATTTTCTTCATTTTTTAAATTACCTTGGCTCTTTTTTTCTGAGACTTGTTTATTTATTATTTAAATAATGTTTTCTGTCTCATCATCTGCAGCTCCGGATGAAGTTATTACAATCCCACATATTATTATTATTAACTACAGTGAGTCAAGATCTTACAGAAGTCTGTTATATATTAGTCAGTGTGATAACATGTCTATTGTTAATTTGTTTTCAAAGTACAGCACAGGTGAGTAATAACCTGTTAATTCATAATTAATTGTGTTCATCTATGTTTGTACTGTGATGCACCCAAACAGGAGAAGTCCATCTTGTTCAGATCAGCTGTTGTGGCTCCTGATCAGATTTTTTAATTCTGTGTTTCTGCCAGTATCGAGTACCTATTGTCTTTGTCCAGGTGATAGAGCTGCACCCTGATTAGTTTGTTTTCTATGCAAGTAACTCAAAGTCTTCAGCTTATTCCATTTAACTTCATCCAGTTAGCATTTCTGTAAAAATCACATGTATTGTTATAAAAGCTTTGGGGCCTGCTGCACCAGCTGTGCATACACTCTGTCTCTAGTTAGAGTATTAAGTCTACACAAAACCCAACAATAAAACTAGTTAAGTTGTGGCTTTAGTTAGACTTTTGTTTGGCTGCCACATAAGGACGTAAAGTTCATCTTAACTAGTCGACTATTACGTCAAAAATAACCAAAATATGGTAGCAGGTATGACATTTAAACTTCCAGTAGCCAATCAGAGAAAAGCTTTTCCTCATACGAAGTGATTGTTCAGGGGGTAACTATTCCTCCTGACTCCCTCTAGATAGGCTGCAGACTGAAAAAAAACTCCACTTAACTCTCATTACTCATTTAAACAAGCAACGATCTGTGAAATGTGACAAAGCATTAAAGCGTAAACTTACAACAATGACATCAAGTGGTTCACCAACTTTAATGTATTTATATTATAAAGCGTTACTCTATGCTTCACTCTGCTCGAGCGGGAATGCAGATCAATGTTAGGATATTTTGACACATGTTGCACATGTGTTCACAGGGTAAAGTTTAAGTCGTTCAACCTTGATGTCCAGTTTACTATTTTTGTAGGTCGGTGAACCCAGAGCACTTGTGTGTTTGTGTTCTCAATGAAGGCTCAAATTGCCAGCGCCCCCTGTTGGCAGCTCTGCTGTCTTGCATGTTTGTGATGCATTTAGGAGCTTCAGCCTACACTGAAAGATTTCTTTGCAATAAAATCCAAACAATGTGACTTCTAGGTCCCTAAAAGTCTAACCTCTATAAAGGTTAATTAAAGTTTCCAATGGAGTCAAGAAACATCAATACAATCAGCTACCAACACAACATGACAAATATGCATCTGAATTATACACCACTAAAAATCTACTTTTTTTTTTTTTTTCAAAATATTCATGTCTAAGAAACTAAATTGGCTACTTTATTGTTAGAAAATTATTTTATTAGTGAATAAAACCAAGACACAAACCTTAACTCAGTGCACCTTGGTTGAAGCCGACAGGCTAGCCTTAGCTTGTCTGCTTGCTAAGGCTAGCCAAAAAAACTATCTTAGTGCAAATATCGGTTGGCTAGTTTGAAAATGACATCACCAGCCAATTTGAGCCATGATGCTAACTCATAAATCTTAAAGAGTCAATCTTTTCCTCCTAATGTAAAGGTTAAAGCTATTGGTGCAATGCTAATCTATCAGTTATCCTTACAAGGATACTTACTAGTTACTGACAAGATTTAGCAAAGTTAACTTAAAAGCTAGCTGTCTGGACTTGGTTTACCCTCTTGTTCTCATTGTAATAAGTAAAGGTCTATTTGAGTGGGTCTATAAGTCGGCTTACTTTCCAATTAACTTCTCCAACTATCATGATAAACAGTCCTACTTTATGTTTTAGGGTAACACAATTTTTCAACCAATAATACTTAATATAAGAGCTAACAGCGCAGAGCAAACCTCTTCATTTTCTATCCTCACAAAGAACTAGCAACAGGTTAATGCAGCAAAGATACAGCTGGTTAACTATCCCTAGAGTGCCTGCATGCTATTCTTAATGCGAGAAAAGTTACAAGTGAGAATGCAAAACAATATAAGTAACCTAAAGTGTAAAGACAAGAATGTGAGCCAAGAGACACAGGCATTGCAGAATGAAGGTGTATAGCTACAAGCCCAATTCCAAAAGAATGAGGAGACTGTAAAATGTTGATAACATGTTAAATGAATGAAAATTATTTTACCTTTTTAAGAAAAAAAAATCTGCTCATTTTAAATTTGATGCCAGAAAAAACAGAGACAACCAAACAGTTGAAAAGAACTGGCCTGCCTACAGTAGCATGTAGCAAATTTATCATAAAATAACACAATTTTACAACATCAACATTTAATATGTTGTCTTTGCACTACTGTCAATGAAATATGGGCTTTCAATTATTTCATACTATCAAATTTAAAAACGATGTTCCAGCACTTACAAACTGGAGTTTCAGTGAGATGTTATTAATCCTCTTTTCATGTCCTAGTTCACGGTCTCTGCTGATGAAGTGTTTGAGTAATCAAGGACAAGTGATTATGAGCCAAACATGCCACTGAAAACATTTTCTGTTTTTTTTGTCTTGTTTTAGAATTCTAAACGAACTGTCAAAGGACTGAACTCAGTGAATCTTTCCATCTACTGTGTGTGTTTCTGTGTATTTGTGAGAGACTGTGTGAGGGACTGTGTAAGTGTGTGTCAGATTGTCTCTGTTAAAAAGAGGGGAAGCTGGTGATGGATATAACATGAGCTCGTAAACACCCAACAGTCAACAAATAAGGTGATCATATGAACACAGTCCAGCTGCATGATGGGAAACCTATCTGAGCCTCCCTGCCCCATGGAAGCAGCTGATTGGTCAAGCCCAGTGATTGGTCAGTAGGATTGTGATTTGGAGGGGTCTGTCTGATTGGCCCCATTAGTCTTTGTCCTGCACTGTGCCTGCTTGGACCTGATCTGTTGATAATCAAAGCCTCTGATTGGCTCTCTGCAGTGACATCACAGGTTATAGTTGAATTAGTCCACGTCTGTCAGAGGTGAAGGAGGTCAGAGGTTGGAAGACTGTTTGATGCTGTGGAAGGAGACTCTGCTGGGGGAGGTGGGGAGTGATGTGGCTCGCACCGCCCGGCTCCGAAAGGAGTGACGGTCCTGCCAACGAATCCAACGCTTCCTGACCGCGGACCGCACCTGGACAGGTTAGAACAAACCGACAGAAAGATGGAACAAAGGGACAGGTGGGCGCAGAAATACATATTTAACACTGGATTGAAGTCCTGAAAACAAAGTGTTATGGACAGAGATCCAGATCTATGCCAAAGGTTTACCTGTCAATCAAGAGCTATTAGGAGGACCTGTGACCTCCCTCAGCTCGGAGATTATGTTAGGAGGCTGAGCTCTCCTGTTCTGTTTGCTACTCAGAGAGTAAACACCTTCAGTTGGCTCTCTTCGTTTTCTATTTGAGTGAATATTTCCATTGAATCCTAAGTGATTTCTGTGTTTGTTCAGAGTTCTTTCACCAATCACTTATTTTCCTCTCTGATCTTTGACTCCCATCTTCTTTTCATCTTTCTTTTTTCTTGTTTTTGGGTGTAATTTTTTTAATCATGTATAATTTTGATAGAATCAATGGGTGTCAGCAGCAAGACGGAAAATACAAGAAGCCATTTTGTTCAGAGGTTGGGTTTTGTTGTTGTTAACAAAAGGCTACAAGTAGAGAGCCCCGTGGCACACCAGATAAAGAATGAAATGGAAAAAGAAGAGTACATAAGAAAAGAATAGAACAGAATAGAGTACAAAAGAATAAAATACAATACGAAAGAATAGAAAAGAAAAGATAACGCAAGAGTAATGCTGCATTTGAGTTACCTCGGAAGTCAGATGTCCGAGCTGGGAATTACGTCACACCCGAGTTACCAGCATTTCAGTTACCAAGTTGGAAAAAAGCAAAATGGGAGGCGGAAACACAATGCCTACATCTATGGAAGTTATTTTAGCGCTTGTTACTTTAGTTATTTTAAGTTATTTTAGCATCCCCTTTTGAAGATGTTGCCATCTTGTTTCTGCTTCCCATTTTGCATTTTTCCGACTTGGTAACTGAAACGCTGGTAACTCAGGTGTAACGTCATTACCAGCTTGGACATCTAACATCCCAGGTAACTCGAACGCAGCGTAAGATAGAATACATAAGAATTAAAAAAAACAAAAAATATTGAAGAGAAAAGAGTGGGAAAAAATAAATAGAATAGAAAAAAATAATAGAATATTTTTCTTAATTTCCTGTCACAGGTTTGTACTTCTTTTACCCCTTTTACTTATTTGTTCATTTAATATCATTATTTTCTTATATTAGTCCATCAGGTTTTACTCTTTTCACCATTTTTATCTCTATTTTTATCTCCAGTGTTTCTAAAGGTAGCTCTTTCCTCATGTAATGTCTCGGTGCCAGGCCATGTCTCTTTAACAATATATCTTATAATCTCACACTGTTTGCGGTTGTGTGTGTGTGTGTATGTGTGGGTGAGTGAGTGAGGGTGGGTGTGTGTGTGGGTGGAAGGGTTGGGTTTTTGTCATTATTGTTGTTTTTAGCCTCTGTGAGGCACTTTGAATTGCATTTCCTTTTTACGAAAAGTGCCATGTAAATAAAGTTGAATTGAATTGGAGAAAAAGGATCAAATACAACAGAACACAATTAAAAAATTGAATACAAAAGGATAGAATATAATACAACAAAATAGTAAGCAAAACAATAGAATTGGATAAAAGAGAATAAGATAGCATAGAAAACATAAATAGAATAGAATAGATGAAAATAGGATACAAAAAGATATAATTGAAAAAGTACCCAAAAGGAAAGAATAAAATAGAATAAAATATCAGGGATTGGTTAGAAAATAATAATAAAGAGTAGAATAGAATTAAACAGGATAGAATAGAATATCTGATTACCTCACTGTTGAGAAAACAGTAGAAGACAGAGACAAAGAAACCCTGCAGTGACAGACAGAGGAGGAGAATGTTAGCTGCTACCCGAGGTCATAGCTGTTAAAAAGTGACCTACTAAGAAACTCGAACTTAACCCTAACCTGGAAAGACTCTAAGATGGAGTTAAAGTAGATAAAGACGATCTGAGCGACTTCATCTTCCCCTCCAGGATTTACGAAGAACAGCATGTAGGTGATTCCCAACAAAGGCAGCAGCACCAGTGTCGCCTTCACCGCCTTCCTGCAGGGAAAAAAAAACCAAGAAAACCACAAAGTTCAACGTAAAGATCAATTTTACTTTATTTCTTTGCATTTTAATCATTCTACAGAAAAGACTACTGTCAGCTTTGGAAACGTGTCTTTATCTGAACTTTGCCTGAACTTAAGAATGAACTTTTTTTCTGTTTGTTTTTCCTGTTTAGAGGCTCATACCTGTACTGGATGGTCTCTGAGGTGGTGGACGCCCTCAGTTTGGTCATCAGGATTCGAACAATGTTGAAGAGGAAGACAAAGTTGATCTAAAGAGAGGAAGTAAGTGTGAATACCGACCTATAGCTTCATCTGTGGAGCTTGTTATCTGAAAAACTGAACATTTTCAGAGCTCTGTTTCTTTGTACTTTAGACATGTAACTCATACAACCTCAGTTCAAAAACACTGAAATATCCCTTTATGGTGAACTAACCAGCAGGACCAGGATCATGGGTCCTTGGTAGATGTAGTCAGTATAAACCCCCGCCTTTTTTCCAAACCAGCACCTGCCAATCAAATCTTACAGGTTAGATTCCCCCCAAACAGGAGCAGAGAAGAAACAGGTAAAGGAGGTGGACAGGGGGTTCTTACTTCTCATTGTCGTAGTAAAGCTTCCCAAATGCCCAGAAAACTATGATGGGGAACGGGATACCTGCAGGCAGACAAACAAGAAGTGAGTCAGAGAGGTAGACAGAAAGACACAAAGACAGGTGATAATAAGACGGACAGGTACCCCAGCCGATGCAGATGAACATCCACTTCCTGAGCTTGTCTGTGGAGTACGTGAGGACGACGGCAGTATGGAGGTAACAACCTTCGCCGAACATCCAGAAGAAGTTCGTCACGTGGAAATAATTATAACCTGCTGTAACCAGCCGACACCACACCTGAAGAAAAAGGTAAGAAGTGTTATCTTCATTTGTTACATCTTCTTTTGCTTTTCTTTTTCTGGTTATACCCTTTAAGTGAGTGTGTGTGTGTGTGTGTGTGTGTGTGTGTGTGTGTGTGTGTGTGTGTGTGTGTGTGTGTGTGTGTACCTGGTTGCTCTCGGTTACTGCAGGGTTCATGGTCAGTTGGACTATGAACCAGGTGGCGTTCCTCAGGATGAATGCCGAGATCAGATTCCAGTGAATGATGTTTCTAAGGCAGCGGATACTCCTGTCACACACACACACACACACACACACACACACACACACAGAGGTACAATTAACACACACTCTTTTTGTATGTAAGTCTGTGAAGAGGTCTGATGTGATTGATTTCGATGTGGCTCTATTTCAGTTGGCCACTAGAGGGCACTGCAGCCAGTAAAATGTTTGATTCTCCCAGTTTCATTCAGATTCAAGAACAGACAGACAGACAGACAGGTGAATTACCTGAGTCTCATGAAGAGTGTGAAAGCAAGCAGCAAAGCTCCCAGAGAGATACAGTGACCCAGGTAGTTGATGATCACAGCAACCTGATAGTGAACTTTACTCTTCCTCTGAAAGTAACACACACGCACAAAGGTCAATGGTTAAAATAAACTGAAAAAAAAAAAGCTCTTTTTGCTTGGTAACTAGTCACTACCTCTATTATCAGCCCTGAGATATCCCTTTGTGTGTGTGTGTGTGTGTGTGTGTGTGTGTGTGTGTGTGTGTGTGTGTGTGTGTGTGTGTGTGTGTGTGTGTGTGTGTGTGTGTGTGTGTGTGTCTCTTCTCTTTCTCTCTCCAAACTGTTGTCAGAGCTGCTGTACACAGTGTGATATAACCAGGCGGGAGATTTGACATAAAAGCACAAATTAGATCAAAATCCTTAATAATAAAATGGTGATTTTTTTTTTTAAGGTTCAAAGCACTTCAGTAAAATGTTTGATTCTCCCAGTTTCATTCAGATTATAAGAACAGACAGTATCTGACGGACAGGTGTATTACCTGAGTCTCATGAATATCACAGCAAAGAGGAAAATTATCAGAGTTTCAGCTCTGTAGCCTCTGACTGCAAACCTCTGCAAGAGTGTGTCAGCGGGGTCCTGGGTCAAACCATCTCCGCAGAATCACTGCAGGAACTCTTTATAATGAGTGTGTGAGCAAAGTTTGGTTACCATGGTGACAGAAACATTATGACTATCCCTGTCTATTATACAGCCCTGAGATATCTGTAACTGATCTGCAGATCTCTTGCTCAGACATTTGAGAACAGATTAAATTATTGTCTTGCCTGTCCTGACATGATGAATATTTATGCAACTCTGCTTTTATCCTCCTTTTCCTGCAACTCTGATCACACACACACACAAAATAAAACACACACAAACAAACACACACTTTTCTTTTATCAGTTACAGCTCCATGGTTGGCCAGCAGCCAACCCTGTCTATAGAAGAAAAAAGGGGAGAAAGTGACAGGTCCTCTCAGCTGGAGAGAGAGAGAGAGAGAGAGAGTGAAGCATGCACTGTGTAACATGACAGAGAATATACATACACACACACACACACACACACACACACACAGATGAGTCCAGATGGTATCCACTGACGTTTTCATCCCTCGCTTCTTCACCATCTCATGTTCATGTGTCATTTTTTATAACCACAAATCTTCTAATACAGGCCAGGTCTTTTAACTTTATGTTAATGCCTTTATATGAAGCAGGCTTTTATTAAAGTCAGGCCTTTATTTTAAATTCTGTGTCAGAGAAATATAATTGTTCATATTTAAGCACAAATTGAAGGTGTGATTCTTTTAACCGATCCAAAATGCCATTGCACACTTCACAAAACACAAAGGGTCTGATGCTCCACAAACTTTGCTGCAGAGCAAATAGTGTCTCTGTGCAACAGTGATGTTTGCATAAATTTAAATAATCCATTGTGCATTCATTTGGAGCCGATTCAACCTGTCTCTCAGTGCAAATTGACATTTAGCAAAAACAAAACCAAGTGATCCGAGTGTCATTTTTAACCAGCTGTGATTAAGTTATGATAAGTATTGTCATTCTCAAGTGAGGAAAAACCAGAAAATATGGTTATGGTACCATTATGCTGTTATACATTTTATAAACAACATAAAAAATTATGTTGATCAAAGAAATTTGGGGGGGGGGGGGGCGCACAAATATTTTTGAAATTGAGTTTTGATCAAATTTGATCTGGGACATAAATTAATTGATTATTAAGAAGTTTGATTACGGCTGAAAATTTGCTCAAGGGTATTTAGAGTTTGTTGAAGGTCGCTGGTCACAAATGTCATCTTTCCAAAATATTTCTTGTGTTATTGTGAAGAATTTAGCTTTTTATCAAATCTATTTTGCATTTCATGAAGTGTTTTTGTGGTTAAAAAAGTATTTATTTATTGATTTCCTAAAATGCAAATGCTATTGATACTAAGGCCCTCCATGATAAGTGGACTAAATTTAGTAATATCAGGATTAGAGTGCACAGCACAGATCTGAGCAGCAGAGAGTGGAGATGCTAACAGTTAGTGGTAATTTCCATTCCAATATAATGATAAACACCATCCGCTCCATGTGGTTTGTAATACCCTGCAAGTGGATTGAATTGATTTCTGTCAGGATTGGAGTGCACAGCACAGCTCTGAGCAGCAGAGAGTGGAGATGTTGACAGTTAGTAGTAATTTCAGTCTCACAGCTGGCCTTAATTTACTTGGAAAGCTTGTGTCTAGAGCTTATCAGGGGCACAGCTGCAGACTGAATACTGACCTTTATTGAAGTATTTACAGTTTGCTTCTTTTGTGTGTTTGTGTAAAAACAAAAAAACAGTCGGTCTTAAAATTATCTTTTGTGTCATTGAAAATGTGAATACTTAAGAGTTCACAACTTCAAACACAAGAAGCGTTTGATTATATTCATTTGGATTTAAATTCTCATGTATTTTTGGACAAATGTAATATCATTAAACTGCAGTCTGATCAGTCAAACTGTATGAGAGCCTGAAATTTAAAATGTTCTCTTTTCCATTTTGTTTCTAAAATTTCAGACAGTTTTTGCTGAATTTTGTTAGGTCAAGAATGAGTCAGAGAAAATCACCCCCTCTGGGTGATTCATTAAAGATGGCAGCATCCGAGAAACACATTAGCACCACAGAGAGATGTGTTAGTTCACACACCCACACACACACGCACACACACACACACACACGCACTGACCGATTCTGAAAGTATTTTCTTGTTCCATGTCTCTGAGGACAGAAGAGTCATGTGAGTGGTTTTATCTGCTAAGTTTAATCTGTCCTCAAATGTCTGAAATGTCTCTGCATCAGCTGATTGTCCTTTAAATAAAAATACAGCCAGTGTTATTACCGGGAGAAAAAGTTAGATATGAAAATGCCCCAAAATAATCAATTCGACCTTATATACTAAGAAAAAAGACAACCAGAACAACAATATAACATAAACAACCGACCAACAAAGAAAACTGATACAAGCAAATAATTGATTCTTTGATGAAAGTGGTCCTGACTGAACTAGGACTGAGTCTCCCCCCTCTCAGCTGACTTCTCCCCCCTGTTAATCCCCCACTCACCCCACTCTCAGACTCTCTGACACGTTACCTGTCGAGGGCAGAGTATTGATCAGACTCACCAGGATGATGATCTCTGTACACTGACTGTAGTTTCCTCGAGGAGCCCAGCTGCCATTGGACTGACACTCTCTGTACACCCTGTCTACAGAGAGAGAGAGAGAGAGAGAGAGAGAGAGAGAGAGAGAGAGAGAGATAAAGAATAAAAAAAACACAAAGAAATAAAGAGAGGTAAAGGAAAAAGTGTAAAATCAGAGAAGCTTCTCAACAAATACCTTTTCTTCTTGTATCCCCTTGCAGCTCATCTCTATACTTATTCACTCACTTATATTTATATACTTGTTATTGTCTTTACTAAGTTTAGACTCCACTGAGCTTTCTGCATCTCCTGTGTGCCTCTTCTCCTCCTTCTCCTTCTTCTATTTTTCTTTTCCTGTGTGTAGCTGTGTGTATCATTTGAGTAAATCTAACACATGCTGCCAATATGAGCAAGCCTCCCTATGGAGAGGACATCTTGATTCTCAGCAGGACTTTCCTGTCTGAATTAAGAATGAGTTAAATACAATAAAATCAGCTTGTATTCAATTAACTTTGTTCACACATTTCAGCTTGAGCATTATTATATTATGACCTCATTTCATGAGAGTTCAGATATTGTTAAGTGTTGGCAAGTGAAATGTTGTCCCATTCTTGCCTGATAGAGGATTTCAGCTGCTCGACAGTTCAGAGTCTCCTTTGTCCTATTTTTTCTGTCATAATTAGGGTTGCAAAATTTTGAGAATTTTCAAAGTTGGAAACTTTCCATGGGAATTAATGTGGGAAAAATGGGAATATATCTGAAATTTACAAAATTGAAGGTTGGCCCTCAACAGGGAACTTAAATATATTTGGGGAAAATATACTGTAGCATCATCTTGACTAAAACAACCAGATTTAATGCAAGTACACTCCTCAATCACAAAGACATCTGAGCCCACAGACTATATAAAGTCAATTAAGTTTTGATAGTATTATGGGGTAAATATATTTGATCTATAATAGTATTAATATTTAACTTGCAAAAGGTTGCTAAATGCAAGCTATTTTTCATTTCATTGACCATTTAAAGGGCTGGCTTATTTTGGTGGTGGTAGCTACCTCAAATGTGATGCTGTTTCTTCTGACTCCTGCAAAACGGTTTTCTATAACCATTCAATAATTTATACATCAATTGTCCAATATGTTGAAGACCCTTCCAGTTGTTTAGCCAACTATATTTCTGTTCATGCCATTGCATTAGTGTTATTAGGTTTTTTGTTAACTTATTCTACAGTTTCCAATTTGGAATATTTCCAAAATTCCCCAGCTTAACTTCCCATGGAAAGTTCCTGGAAATTAACCAAAAATTTTCTCCCTCTTTTCAACCCTTGTCATGATACTTCAAATGATTTCAATGGGTGTCAAGTCAGGACTGTTGGCAGACCAATTTAGCAGCAGGACCCTTCTACTACAGAGCTATGTTGTTGTAATATGGTTTGGCATTGTCAAATATGAAGGTCTTTACTCTGAAATTGTTGAACTATTTGCTCACGCAGTCTCTCACGGAGTCGTGAACCTCTTCTTCTCCTACTCTTCCTTTAAATAAATATGAGCTTTAGTTACTTAAAAAACATCAAATTCTTTTTACATTCCAGTGTCCTAACTCTCACTGAATTATAACTGTAGTGTTTTGGTGTCTCACGCTGCCATAGTGTAACTACGGCAACACAAGATCTGTTATTTAGTCCTAACTGGTGTCACAGCCCTTAAGTCCCTCGAGGAGGAGGAGGAGGAGGAGGAGGGGGCGGTCTCATGCCATCAGCTCGATCAATAAGCCTGGGCCTTGCTGCTCTGCTAACTGATTAGCCGAACGGATCGATACACCCACTCAGTGCTGGTGACAGTTAGCTCATTAACATGTATGTTCACTGAACCTCAGCCAATCAGGTGAGAGAAATTTGATGAAATCGAAAGCGAAGCAGAGAGGGTATCTCACAGAGATGATGAAGACAACGGAGTGAGACTGCAGATCCAGCTGGGTCCATACACTCAAGCACGCACACACACACACAGATGACTCATGCTATTAGGTCAGATTAACAAATAAACCCCAAATTAAACGGGATATTTAATGCCACCCACACAGTCACTAACACACGCACATAAACACTTCAATACAAACACACATCCTGCACAAATGCACACACACACACACACACACACACACACACACACACAGAGTGGGGATGGGTGTCATGGAGCCAGTTGGCAGCAGATTACAAGTCACAGATCTGCTGCAGCGTCTCCTCGCTGTTTGCTGAAGCTCAGAGCTCTGAACTGCCATTGGCTCAGACCAAACTGTTAACTCCTGATTGGCTGAGGATGAATGAAGCTTGAATCATTGACGATACACAGAGTTTTATGTCTGAGTCTGTCTTATCAGAGAGCAACACTGGTTTTAAAGACAGACATCTATAACCAAAGTAAGCCTCACCTTTAAACATGCCCTACTTTATCATCTAGGATATGTTGATCTAGATCTATAAATTCTACGTTAAAGGTGGGGTAGGCAGGATCCGGCTTCTTAGCTCTTGTCCGGTCTACATCCTTTTTCAGCGCCCGTTATTCTGCCAGAGTCTCGGGTATTTACTTTGTTTTCTTACTTCTGTATGTTGTGGCCAAACGAGGATTCAGACAATTTTTCGTACTTTCTGGTTGGTTTCTACTGTCCGATATTGTATCACGCTAACTTTGTTTGGGCTCGTGAACGCTATTCAAGGACGTGGAGCATGCCTCACAACACGGGGGAGCAGCGTCTGCTGGTCGGGGAGGCAGAGAACGGCTTTGTTTACAGTCAGAAAGAGCGGGACGCTCAAAAAATTGAAAATGTTGACTACATAGACGTAACAGAACACAGCGATATCGTTAGATTACCAGATGTTATCAATTACTAATAGCTATTGACTGATATTAAAAGGGTTTTTTTTGTATACACCACAAAAAAAATTTCTTACCCCACCTTTAAAATGCAGTATCTGCCGTCTTGGTCTTAGTTTTAATATGAGAAATGACCTAACATCTGTTTGCAGTCTCAATATTGTCCAATCACAACTGCAGAAAAAAGCAGCCTGTATGGAGAGCAAAAGCAGGCAGACATCATCCACTGTGATGACATTCAGGATTCAACCACATGACCATTAGGGCTGTTAAAAAATATGTAAGGTTAAAATAGAGCTCCAAGTGTGCACCCTTGGTTGGGCAATAAAACAGAGAGGTAGCGGTGTTTATGAGACGCAAACAGGGAGGAAATGTTTGGCATTCATGTGAGTCTGTGTATGCGGTGGCTGCAGTCAGTGCTCAATAAAACAGTACAACAGGCCTTCATCTATTTTCAAAGGATCAGCAGGAACATAACCAAACTTACACTTCAGCACAAAGACAGTAAATGTGTGACTCAAATACTGACTGAAGGGGGAGGATTAACAATCAACCAGATCACAATACAGTCTGTACGTGTGAATCACAGCAGCAGTAGCAGCACCTATGGATATTACAGTTTCCCACAAGCTTATCCGGATGAATGTTCTTCAAATTTAACCACACAGATTTACAGGAGGGCTCTGCTATTGCTGCTTCATATATGGAAATAAACAATGAGTCAGCTTGTAGAAAAACAAACATCATTTCTCTGTCACTCACAGGATATCAAGCTTTTCACTAGCCAATGAAATATGCATTATAAAAATATGTATATATGGTAAAATGATGATCACCTTACATGTCTGGAATCACTGATAAATTACTACGTCTGGTCCGCCCTCTATCAGTGCAGCACCGTCTCTCAGCCTGATCACAAAAATAATCAATCAATTTAGGAATAGATTTTAAATGGCTCAGATATTACTGTTTCTTTTCTTTTGGAGTGACCATTTGAACTTTGTTTTGGACAATTTCTAGCTCTGATGGCCACGGGAAGTCAGGGTGCAACAGGCGCAGCAGAAAAAGCAGATACCGTTTCCAAATAGCCAGTTGTCCCCTGCTGGCCATTAGAAAGAATGCATTCTTAAGGCACTCTTAAGTCAGCTTTACTTTGAAATATCTGATTCCTCTGCAGAGTGAAATACAGAACAGGTACAGGGTTACTTACTGGTGGTGTTGTAGTGGATTCCATTGAACTGCTCAGGACAGGGTCTGGATACCAGCTCTCCTGCTGTACTGCGGGGCCAACAGGTTCCTATACCATCCACAGACAGGTCGCAATACACACCTGAAGAGAGGAAGAGACGCTCTTCTTTAAGGCAGGTCTTTCGAACGATTAGATTTCAAAATAATGATAAGTCTGTTTTCCATTCACACGCTTTAAATTCTGCTGTTTTGGATTTTGAAATACAGTTTATTTGTGAATCAAATAACTGCTATGACATGATGCACCCATATGATTTTGACCTTTTGATCCATTATTCCAATAAATTCTGCGCTGCTACATCTATCTGAAACCATGACTTACAGGAAAGAGATAGAGTTCAAGTTTTTATTCTGTCACATACTGGGTTTATTCTCAGTATTTTAAATAAAAACACTGTTACTTATTAAGAAATCTGCAGGGGTGCATATAAAGTGTCATCGGGTTGTGCCGTTTTTTCTAGAATAATTTTGATTTTTTTTTGCTGGCATCCAGGAATCCCTTGTTAATGCATTTAAAATGTTCAATCTCTCAAATACATGGATTATTTTTTGTTTTCTAAAAGATAACATTACTATACATATAAGTAACAGCAGACATGTTTGTTAAAACGTCTGAACCATGTTATCACGGTTGGTAGTTATCCTGTGATCATTTAGATTTTTTGGCTGGCTCCATTCAGGGATTCCTGGTGAATACATTCAAAGAGGTTATTCTATCAAATACAGGGTTGATTTTAACTTTTTTTTTAACTTTACACGTTAATATATAAATGCATTGATTTAAAAAACAGAAGGTCCAATTACTTATCACAGTGTGCAATAACTTTGAAATACTTCTGATGTTTCGCTGATGTCCAGGGATTAGTGCCCCAGCAACCGCACTTTTTAGGAGTTCCAATTTTGTGTCTTTTTCTGTTACACACAAGTCCAGCAAGCATGAAAATATTGTCCCTGTGGTCATAAAGCATTCAGTGGTTACAAAATATCAACCTGAGAACAACCTTTGAAGCCAAGCCTTAGGGTGATTAAAGTAAACTGCACATCACGATGACTTATCAATTAAACGTTACTCATCTGTTTCGTTGTACAGTCTCTTTTATGTTTGTGTGACATTGGCAATATTTCAAGGACACACTGACTGTGTTGACATTCATGTTGCAGAGTCTCTTTTTTTTTTTACATGCCTACGGAGGAGCCCAATTTAGGTGAAAAAGCTACCGAGATGTGAAAGGAATGAAGTAGTCATCTGTACAAACCTGACGTGTTGCTGATGGTGAACGTCTGGTTAAGTAACGCCAACGTCCTCGCTGACACAGAAACATACAAGAAAAGAAAGGTCAGTTTCCACGTATTTATCGTTTACCAAGATTAAAAATGTGAGACGGTCAGGATGTTACCTGTCAGGTTGGTTGACAGTAGGATCAGAGTTTCACAGGTTAACTCTGCCGGAGAAACTCGTCCACTGAACAACACGCAGACACACACCACCTGGAGAACACAGACTCAGGGTCAGGGCTGTTTATCTATCACCTGTTAGCTCTATCAGACGTACAGTTTGACAGACAGGAGCTGGTCAGTCCACACTTTAATAAACGCATTAAACACCTCACAGACAGACAGCCCCACAGGACGCAGGACGGAAATATCAAAGTAATAAAAGTTAAAAATACATCAGATATTAAAAACCGTCTGACTCTGAATTTATAACCATATTCCCATTTTTCTCTCTGCCGTTTCCACGACACGACAAACAGCCGCTTCTGGTCGTGTTTGAATGACTGGTTGTCACATGACTTTGGCTGATGCTCCCCAGACGCTCTGATCTGACTCCAGAAGAGATTCACTCGACTCTGACTCATTAATTCAACAATTAGATTCATTAAATAAGATCAGTCTGTTAATTATTCACTTGTTATGATTCATTCAGCGTGACCGCACACACACACTCACACACAGACAGATTTATGGGTATTATAAGACAGCAAGCTGGGAGCAGCACTTGCTCATCTTCAAGCTGTGGTTGTGGTTTTTTAGAAATGGCAGTGAAAGCAGAGGCTCGAAGGCAGGACTCACAAATACGAACAAAACAATACAACGTGATATGACATGATACGACATGACACATTTTCTGATTTTACATGATGTGACAAGGTATGATACGGAAGGATAAGATAGGATTGAGTTGATATGATAACTAGAATACTGACTGTGTGTGGAAATAAACTGCACAATTACAATCCCATGAAGTATTTTATGGTGCATATGGACCTTTGTGTTGTCAAATTGTGATTATAGATTGGCCAATTAATCAGTCAATAGGTTGACTGATTGGGCCAGTTAATTGCACTTTTGAATAATTACAGCAGATCATACCTGTAGACACAGTAAAAGTTGCAGTTTAAGGACGCAGGGTACACTTCATTCTCCAGGAGAGGAAATCGGTCTGAAACAGTTTCTGCTTCTAACATAGTTATTAAAATACGCTCAGAGATCCACTGCGTCCCAGAAGAGACAATGAATGCTGTATTATTCCCAATCCCGATCAATACTGTTATTTCAAAACTCTTTATTAATCTGTGATGTCTCTATTCAGTCATCAAATGAAAGAGCATCAGCTGAAAAAAATACCATTTAATCAACCTCATGTCTTTTCATCTGACACTCATTCATTTATTCTGTACCTTTAAAGAAAGAAACTGACCCCAACAGGCTGAACACAGCAGGAACCTATATCTGTGTGTGTGTGTGTGTGTGTGTGTGTGTGTGTGTGTGTGTGTGTGTGTGTGTGTGTGTGTGTGTGTGTGTGTGTGTGTGTGTGTATTCCACTGTGTTTTGCAGGCAAGTGGAGTGATCAAATTGGCTAAGAGGTCCCGGGGGGGGGTGTCAGCCATATGGCTGTACACTCCGCTGCCGCATCCTGCACATACAAATGTACAGCCAGTGTACCAACACCACTTATATGATGAATTTAGGTTACTATAATAACCACAGTGCAACAGTACACTTTAATTACCACCATAATACTGATAATGATTATATGGCATTTCATAAATGTAAAGTACAAACATAATGTATGGCATACACAACATAGGATAGGAAGAGTTTGAAATTAATACGATGTTAACACAGTATTTACCAATATATATCAGTATATATACTTATGATTTACAGTAAAAAGTAAAGGTTTTAATACAAACATGTGGTTAAAACTACATTATGTATCATCAAAAATTTAAAATATGCATCTAAGACTATGTGTGTATACATATATAAATACATCATATCAGTGTGGAGGGTTTGTCGGTTTATTACAGCACACACTCACAACACATATACAGAATACACACAGCTGTCAATGCTTTACGCTGAAATCATATGGTCATAAACAGTAACTGATGCAAAGTCAAAGCTGTGTGATCACAATACACGCACAAAAATACACACAGACGCGCGCACATTATGACATCTGTTCTTCATGAGACGAGCTGTAACCCATTTTTACATTTGTACGTGTGAAAGCCACTGAATATGTGCAGCAAATTTTCCTATATATGGAGATAACAAAAGTGTGTTGTATCATTTTGAGCTGCATAGAATTAAAGTTTAATTCACAGTGTATTGCATAGTGTGACTAAGTTTGGTAAAGTATATTGAGATGCGGCTGTGCAATATCATCATGTGATACAAACATTACAATTATACACTATGGTATAACAACATGATATTTACAGTGAAAATTATATATAATTGTTGGATATAATATGAGTGATTTGATACATTACAATATAATACAATAAGAAAAAAATGATATGAGATATGGTTTTGTTTAGATGACATGTGATATGAAAAGTAAAAAAACTACAGATTTTAACTGATTCAGAACATTTATTATATCAAGATTTTGTTCTATCTATCTCTATCTGTGACTTTCTGATCCATCCATCAAAACTGAAGACAAATATAGACTTTTAAAAGTTTGCTTTCTCGACTATTTTGATTCGTGCAAAAGCCGATCTGTTCAGTTGTTATGTAACCCCCTTTTTCAGCTTATGTTTGCTGTTTTTTTTTGTGTGTTTTTTTCGGTGTGTCAGATTCAAAAATAGAGTATACCTCAGCACCCTGACCCCCTTTCACTATTTATTGTTGAATATTCTAACATTTGGGTTTTCTTTTCCCCACAGACCACAGTATAGAAAAACAGATTAATTTCTTAGTTTGTATTTTTTTTTTAAACCCCTCAAAGCATCAATCAGCACTCTTACTGGTAGTTGTGTGTGTTAGTGTATCAGTGTATTTGTGCCTGTGTGTGTGCGTGTGGTAGTACCAGTTGGTGTTGAGCTGAATCATCGCTGTATCAGACACAAACAACACATTTTCGTGGTTTCAGATCTTAGAAAACATGAGAAGTGTGATGTTTCTGTGTGTGAGTGAGGAGCTGTTGTGAAGAATAAATTCAGCCCTCCACCCCTCAAACATTTTCCTCTAACTGTTGACAAACAGCAGGAGACTTTCACTTTTTTGAAGGGACGGCTCAACCAACCCACGTACCCACTGTCCATAAAACAAACGCTGTTGCCTGTCTTCTAGTCGAGTGGTGGGTCAGTTAGCTGTTGCTCGAAGATTACTGAGTGATCACTTTAAGGTTGCCATGTGCTCAGTAATTAATTAGAAAGTTGTCATCAATTAGTTGCCACATGATTGAAAACATAATTTTGCCTTTGGGTGATTGCTTTGTGATATTCTGCTGTTTGGGTTGGTGTAATAGTTTTTGCAAAATGGGCACTTAGTTGTGTATTGATGTTTCCATACAGTTTGTGTTACGGTTGGTAAAGTGAAAGCATAGGTGTCATTCAGTTATTTGCTCGTATTTGCTTTGTGTTGCTAGGTAACAGAGCAAAAACTTTCTAATTAATAAAACGTTGTTGCTCAGTTGCTTGCTTTGGAATTGTTCAGTGGCTCCTCATTGACTGATCTGAGGTTGCTTATGCTGTGTTTTATGCTGCGTTCAAGTTACCCCGGCAGTCTGAAGTCCAAGCTGAAAATGACGTCACACCTGAGTAGGGCTGGGCGATAAAATGATAACAATATATATATAAAATTAATTTCCCTCAATATCAATATAAAACATTGTAATTATGATTTTCAATAGTCGGCATTCTGCCATGTTTTGGTAGACTATACGAATAGCCAATGAAAAGGGGAGTTGCTCCAGGTCTGCTTCACAGTTAACCAATCGTGCGGAATTAGAACCAAGTAGCAAACAACTGCGTCGTAGCAGACAGCAGCTACACCCAACCATAGCACTTTAACAGGTGAAGCCGACAGCACTGTTGGTGAGAAAAAAATGAAAATGAGCGCTACACCCGGCAGAAATGACCATGAAGGCTCGACAGATGACGACATCGTCGACAACCATAGCATGAAAACGTCGGTGGTGTGGAGGTAATTTGGTTTTTTTGAGGTCGGACATGAAGCAGAGTAATGTGTAGTGCAAATTATGTCGAGTACATGTTCTCACAAAGTCGGGGAATACCTCGAAAATTCCACATTTTGCATTGTTTTCAACTGGTGCAGGCAACAACGGCTAACAACAGCTGCTATTACAACCATGGTTACAACATCTTGTTTCCCGACTTATTTACTGGGCTGTCGTCAGTTCAGAGGACTTAATTTCCAGCTTCAACATCTGAGGAAACTGGAACACAGCATTAGTCACAACTTAAGAGTTTTTTTCTGAGCTTGTCCTCAGAACTCAGCAAATTTCGATTTGGTTGCTGAGTAGTTGGCAAGAGATTGGTCAGTGCTCAAAAGGTCTGTAAGTTGTTGCTCAGATGTTCCTCAGTAGCTGTTTGGAAGTCGATGGCGGGTTTGTAAGCCGTTGCCATTTGGTTGCCTAAGCATTTATTTGTGGTTGCTAAGAAAACCCTAATAGTTTTCTTTGGGGTCAGTAAGAGATCACGAAGTTGCCAGTCAGAGATTCTTCTGTGTGCAGGTGGCCTTAAAGTTCCTTAATAGTTGCTTTGTGGTTGCTCAGTCATTGTTTGTTAGTTGTTGGTTGCAGTTTTCATGGTTGGTAGGCAATAAGTCCACAGCTTGTACGTCATTTCTTGTGTGTTGCTGTATTAATTATTGCTAAATGACAGTTGAATAACTGATACGCGTTTTTGTGGTTGCATGATAGGTGCTTAGTTGTTACCTTGAGGTTTCTACATGTTTATTTGGATGTCACTCAGTGGTTTGTTTGTTGGATTTCTGCCAAGCAGTTAGAAATGGTTGTCAGGTTTTGTGTTTCGTTTGAGTCACTTGTTTGTTTTTAGTTTCACACAAATTTCCTGGATGTCGTCCTAAAAATAATGGTTGTGACTATGGTAACAGTGTAGACTTCATGGAAACTGTAAACCTGTTGGTCAGTTGAACTCTTTGAACTGTAATGTCAGCAGCCCCCTAAATAAGGACTTCATTACCCAGACACCCCCTCTCTCTCTCTTTCTGTCTCTTTCTGTGTCTGTCTGCAGGGTGATGAGATGAGGAGGAGGAGGAGGAGGAGGAGGAGAAGGAGGATGGAGGGATGAAAAGACGAGACAGAAACAGGAAGTGATGGATGAGTGTGTGTCGATCGCCCCCTCAGGTGCTGCCAGTCATTCCACACCTCCCTATCTCTTCTTTTCATTTCATTTTCTGTCCTTTATAACTGAATGAAAAAAGACCTCAGATGTGTGTGTGTGTGTGTGTGTGTGTGTGTGTGTGTGTGTGTGTGTGTGTGTGTGTGTGTCTATATTTAGAATGATGTATGTTGGTTAGACTCCAGCACCCTCCAGCTTTAATGCACCTCTCTCTCTCTCTCTCTCTCTCTCTCTCTCTCTCTCTCTCTCTCTCTCTCTCTCTATCTGACATGGAGATGAAAACAAGAGTAACTTCAGGATATAAACTTGTTTGACTTTTTTCCCACTTCATCAAAACACATTCAACAAACACGAGCAGGCTCTGAGGCAAATGATCCAGGGTGCTCCTGCGTTAGGTAAGGCCTGATGTAAAGTCAAGAGAAATAGCTACTGGGTAAGTATAGTATGGGATCGTAAGAGTCTGACGCCTTTCTCGAATGATTTATGCCAGAATGGAGCCAGTGGTTTTGGTTTGACATTTCACAATTTCTTTTAGGTTATCTTGGACACTACAGTCCCTGCTCTAAGGAGAAGAGGGACCACGCAGCTTTTCATGAGCTCACAGTCCAAAGCCAGCATTCCTGATGGTATGGGGATCTTTAGTTTCCATGGAATGGGTAGCTTACACATCTGTGAAGACTCCATTGATGCTGAACAATATATAGGGGAGGAGTGGGGTAAGATGAGCCATTATTCATATTTTGGATCACTACATCAAGGCAATCATAGTTTTGTCTCTAATTAGTGTATCTGCATATATTTCAAGATGTTGTTCATCCCTGCAAACCAACAGATTGAGTGTAAACATAACTGTCTTGACAATATAGCATGCCAAAAAAGTGGTCTCCTATTGTCAACCTACCCCATGTATGGGGTAAGTTGACCATAGGAGTGGGGTAAGTTGAGCCGTATCCCTACTACTCCCCCACTCTCCACCCCAGCCCTCCCTCACCTTCTCTTTCCCTAAATAACAGTCACTTCTTCACACTTGTGTGTATTTTTATCTATTATACTCTATTCAACTGGTACAATAATTCTTTTTATTATTATTGCATATAACTGCTAAAAAGTTGTTTTGTAAAAAGTCATTTTAACATGAGAATGCCCTTAAGTGATTCAGAACATTCACAGCTGTATTTTTGAAAAGAAAAAGTAAAACATTTGAACAATCTGAACTGAAACTCTGATCCTCTGATCAGACTCCTTTACTTTCTCAGTTGAACCACTGGCTCATCTTACCCCAGAACTACTATGATGACTTTATTAGTCCTCTAAACTAAAATGGTGGACTTTTATGCTAGGTTTTTGACCTCATGTTGTAGCTCATAGATACCACAATTGATGTATAAAACAAATTTAAAATGATCTTTTTTGGTTTAAACACAATTCTAATAAACTTATTCACTAAATTCACTTTCAAAAGTGAAAAATGTTTCTTTTTTGGAAATAAATGTCTAACCCCTTCACCCATGTGCTTCTAACCTTCACAGACTCCATGAATTGATGCCCATCTCATAAAAAATTGGTCACATGAGCAATTTCTTTTACCATTTCCAAGCAACAGGGGGTGGCTCAACGTACCCCACTCTCCCCTACAGGTTCAGGAGTAACATATGCTGCCATCCAGATAAGGACTTTTCCAGGTAAGACTGTCATATTTCAGCAAGTCAATGCCAAACCGCATTCTGCAGGTATTATAACAGCATGGCTCTGTAGTAGAAGAGTCCTGCTGCTAAACTGACCTGCCTGCAGTCCTGACATGTCACCCATTGAAAATATTTGGAGCAACATGACACAAAAATAAGACAAAGGAGACGCTGAACTGTTGAGCAACTGAAATCCGATGATATCAGTCAAGAAAGGGACAACATTTTACTTTCTAAAGTCCAGAAACTGGTCTCCTGGGTTCACAATATTTACAGAGTGTTGGTAGAAGAAAAGATGACGAGACACAATGAGAAACATGACCATGAAACTACTTTTAAGAAACATAAATATGTGTTTCTATTGAGCATCTTTTTTTTGAAGATAAAACAATTATTTCATCCACTAATTCAATTTTATCATTAAACGTTGATATCATATTGATTTGGTATTGACATGTCTTTGCTCTATTTTTGTCTAAATATTGACTTTAAATATTCTACAAACCATCAAAATCTGTTTTATCAACAAATTCCACAGTATCCAAACTATTATGCAAAAGGGTTTCACACGCTAATAAATCAATCATCTCTCAACCGTTTGGGTTTCATAACGGAGGAACACACACACTCAAACCGAGGGGGTAGGGGGACGTAAACACACAGTGTATCACACTCACACAAGCACACACATATGCGCGCGCTCCTACCTGCTTCAGTAGTTTCTCCATCTCTGTCTCATTCATACGGTCGCGTGCGCTCTGGCACGCAGTCCGTTCACGGCCCCCTCGTGCACGTTCCGGTCCGGTTTGCCTCTCCTACCATCTCGGTCCAATCCAGACAGACTGACCACACAGATTCACCACAGAGTAGCAGAACCCCGAACCGAATCGAACCGAACCGGAACCGAACGGAGCCGAGTGGATTCCCCCACTCAACACAGGCAGAAATCCCTGGTTTGGGTCCGACAGTCCAGTCCAGAGAACCTCTTACCTGTTTAGTGTCCGAGTTTAGTCTTGCGAATAGAGAGCCGGTCCTGCACCGGAACACTGATGGACCAGGGCAGCGCGTGCCGCCGAAGGGGAGGCTGCTGCAGGGCGCCAGCCAATCAGAGAGCGAGGAGAAGCAGAAAGCGAGAGTGCAAGGAGAAAGAGAGAGAGAGAGCGTGTTCCTCCGGAATCAGACATTTAATTTTCCTCTGCAAACACAAAATGGTCTAAATCATGTTCTGTCGAATTTCTGCAAAACTTTTTATTTTTTATTATGGAGTCTGAGTCTTTCAATTACCTTTGTTTTAACAGGACAAATAAATAAAAAAGTTTTAAGGATTTTTTCAGGAGGAAAAACGGAGCAACATCAAAGATATAGGCAGTTATCTGTTGTAACCCTGGGCACCTTCTAGTCACATCATGTTTAACTTTTAATATAAAACCACCTGGAGCATGATTCCAGGACAACGCCTGTAAAAGACAAAGCTGCAGGTTTGTTGAATATAGTCACTGAACTTCGCATGTTAAGACTTTTCTCTAAGTCATCTTTAAGTTGAGGTTCATTTATTCTCACAACACTAAAAGAAAAATCACAGAAAAACAGGTGGATTAATAAATCACATGTCTGGTTGAGGTAGAAACCCAAAGAGGCGTTTCTCAAAACCTCACCTAGAGAGAGAAAAAGAAAGAAATAATATAAAACATAATAAATGTAACTGTAAAAGTAAGTTGTCAGCTAACAGATACATTTTAATCAAGTATGCTCAGATAGCACCCGTAATGTCAGCGAGTCATTATCTGCTTTTACTTTCATACTGAAGCCAAACCTCTACAGAAGAAAAGGAGAGCAAGTAAAAAAGATGAAGCTGTCATTAAAGGGATATTCCAGTGTAAAATTAATTTGGGGTCAAACACACTGTAACACTGTGTTTAGACACCCCCTTGAGAGATGAATGTTGCCGACCACTTGCTTCTCTAGTTATACTAACTTTAGTAATAACCGAAGTTTGGTGCTGTTCTTAGTATTATTTGTGGCTATAGAGTGGAGTGTGTGGCTCCTGGGACCGCTGTGTATTGCTATCCTTTGGTTGTTACTAAAGTTGGTATAACTAGAGAAGTCGGCAACATTAATCTCTGAACGGGGTGTCAAACTCGATGTTACAGTGTGTTTGACCCTAACTTAATTTTACGCCGCAATATCCCTTTAAATAAGCATGAAAAGTTTTCCATGGTAAGATTTCCACCAATCCCACTTAAAGCCAGTTAGCCTCCAACTAACTTGTCTGTCACTTTTTTTGTTGTTGTTTTGGCAGTAAAGCAAGTCTCCTCCTGGGCTCTTTCTCTGAGACAAGGACAACTGTCTAGTTTAGTTAACTGCCAAATTGAGCTGTAGATGTTGCTTGACTTAATTGTGCAGGTAAATATACAGACAGGTAAAAATTGCTAAATACTGTCACTGTGAACCTGTTGTCTAAATGCAAAATAATGTAATTTTCAACATGCATTTAAAAATTCAATTGATTGCATGCACATGAGGAAACCTCCAATGCCATAAAAATGGAGCCAGCGAAAAATGTAAAAAAAAAAAAAAATGCACTTCTCTGAGTGTCCACTAGAGGCTGCGTCCAGCATTGAGTCAGACCCCATAGAGCCTCCTGTAAAAAGTCCAGCTTTGCAGCAGAAATAAACATGTTTACAGCCTGGCACAGAGGCAGATTAGATCCTTAAAGCTTGTCTCTATATTTATGATATCCTTTCTGAGTGAATTTCTATGTACTTTTCTCTTTGCCTTACACAAAAGCCTAAAGTTATGAAGCATGGCAGCTTTTAGTATTGATTGGATACAGCCAGTTTTCACCCTCCAGCATCTTTATGGTTTTGAAACTTTTTTAGTACTCTTCATGTAAACATCAGACAACAAATAGACTTATAATGAATAAAAAGATCTGATCACGAGCTGACCACCAGTAGCAGCCAGTTGCCAAACTGCAGGATTTATATGTGCTGTTAGAAGATGAACATAAGATAGCTACATGCATCCATCATTTACAGGCCTTATGAGCATGCATGCCAAATTTGAACAGTGCATACTCAACGTTTCATATTCCAGCAGAGATCTGTTTGAGTTTGATGGCTGATGAGCGTTCGCGTTAACAGGATGTCAGTTTTGATCTGTAAATGTCAGAAATATTCCTGATTAAATATGACGTGCGAGGTTCTTCCAGGTCATCTTTTACACCCACGTTTTAATTAAAAGATCAAATAATGTGATGAAAACGCTTCACCATCAGCTCACTGACTCCAGTTTAAAGTCTCAGCCGTGGGCTAACAAGCCAAGCAGCTGTCAGACGTTTCATCGTTCACATCCCAGACCTGTTTGTCTCTCTGCTGGAAGACTCTATCCTGATAACATGTCCACTCTTTATTTATATCTTGTGTTTCTCAGTCCAGCTCCCAGGAGATGCTGCAGCAACTTATTTTACCTGCAGGAGAAAGACTCACCTGTCCTCTAGGTAACACACAGTGTGAGAGAGAGGTGGGGACATACATCACAGCCACAGACAGAGCAAAATCTGTCACTAAAGAGCCTGTTTGGACGTACAATGTGTAGTTTAAGGCCACAGGACTGTGGAGCGTCTCCCATTAATGCACATATCCAGCAGGTCTTTCTAAAGCAGCAGCCAGAGGACGGAGTAAAAACTCCCTTCACATGAATAAGTTTACAGTGAGTTTTTGATAAGTGTTGCTTGTATGAATCCCAGTATCAGCCATAGAACATGATAAGATATATAAAAGAGTTAATAACCAAAAATTTAAATAAAAACCTGAAAGAATCTCAATAATAAACAATATTTACATTATATGTGTATTTACAGGAGATGCTCCACAGTCAGTGTTTTTGAGGGGATGTTGTTTGAGTTTCATATCTTAAGTAAGTGTTTCAGCAGCAATGGATGTTGGTCAGCTCGGCCTCTTTAATGAAAAACCATGGAGAGAACCAGCATGCATTTTGCTTCATCTCGCTTTAGTTTTTGTAAATTGTAGCCTATATATGTAACTTACTTCAAGGGACCCACAAAACTTGATAGCCAACTTGATAAGGTCAAATGTTGGTGATTTTCAAGAAATGCAGAACCGATTTTTAATGGAGGTAAAGCTCAAGCTTCTTCCTTGGTCAGAAGTATTTGTCTCTTTGAAGCTGTGGACTGATGCGCTGAACACGTCTGCAAATAGTGCAGAAACACAAGGACTTTCTGATGTCAAAGTAAAGTGCTGAAACTGAGATGAGTGTCTGAATAGACTTGGCCCTGTCTGCAGAAAACTGTAGCTTAGCCTGTGTGCCGATTCTCCCTGCAGGAGGAACTGAACATCAACTGTGGCTTAAACACCGAGTAAAGACATGTAACTCTTGAAATCTAAATTTAAAGAATACTGAAATATCCCTTTAACATTCAGTTTTCATTTATTTGAGGTGGCTTGATTGAGTTTGCTTTAAATCTGCAGCAGCTTTGCACTGAGGTTACAGTGCATTGCAGTGAGTTTCAATGTGAGTATTCAGATGATTAATAAGATGTCTACAATGAGTTTGCAGTAAGTTGAGAGTGAACCTGCAGTGACTTTGCAGTGAGGTCAGCACCAAGTATACGCAGTTAAAAGTGGTCATACATTTTACAGTTGGTTTACGGTAAACAAGACCATGCAATTTGCAGTTTAAACTTCTTTAAAGGTGAAATGAAGTCTGATTAAAGTGTGTACTCAGATTAATTTTGACTGTTTAATCTGGTCTTTGTTGTTTGATCCAGTTTTGCCATATTAAGAGAATTTCTGTCCTCTGACTGTAGAACAATGTACTGAAACACACGAGGCAGCACTGGTTTAGATCAGCCCACATCTGTGCAGAACCAAGAGAGAGAGGGAGGGAGAGAGAGGCGATGCAGATGGTCAGATGATATTGTACCTGCTCTGCAGTATTGTCCTTATTGTCTTTCAGCTGCAGCAGGGACCTCACAAGTCCACGCACACACACATGCACGCGCACAGGCAGAGTAAGGTCAGTAATGCATCAGACTTTGAAGCTGATAGATTATTGATCAAGGGCCAAGATGGATGATTCCACTTCTCCTGCTGTCCTCAAACATTACCTGAAGAAAGTGGAAGAGAAGGAGGAAGAGAGGACAAGTATTTCTCTCTACTCAGAGCCTTTTCTGCCTCCTACTGGACAATATCTGAACTGCAGCTGATCCAACATGATCAGATCATTTCAGGTCACGACCCCATACAACTTTAAACATAACAATTATGACAATATATTACAATCATGACTATGAATGTGATTACAATTATGATCAATGAGAATAATAATAACACAAAACTGCGTCTTGAAGTCATTTTCCTCACTGGCTATATCAGCATTTTAGATATTCAAGCCTGTAATAAAACCTGTCTAACTATTATATAAATATCCATATTAGCTTAACTTGGTGCTGAAATTTATAAAACTTCCACTTTTAAACCATATTTGAATGTTTTTAACAGTGACTATATCCCTTTTGAAAAAGTCGTTTCAACCAGTAAATATTCCCAGAAGGTGCTGACCTCAGTGAGTCCTTCAGCTTACAGGGACATGTCACAGTTTGAGTCTTCCGGTTATTTCTAAAAATGACAGATAAAAAGAGGAGCTCACTGAGGTCACGTTGATGTATGTACCAAACCTACAAACTCCTGTTCTGTGTCTGCAGCAACAGATAGACCTCAGTGACACTACTGGGTAATGTTACACACTGCTGATGGACTGGGGGGACAGGTGAAGGACAACCAAGTCATATGACACTTCTATTGCCATGGAAACTTGGTGCATTTTTTTCAACCTTCGCTATTAGAGTGTTTCCTTTGTAAGAAAAGTCTGGACGCAGAAAACTATAAACAAGTTCCTAAAGTTTTAGAGCTAAATGTACACTCTTGGTTTGGGGCAGTGGTGTAGTCAGGTGATCGCCCTCCTTGTGCCCTCATGTCTGAAAAAATGCCAAGTACAGATAAAAATGTATAATTGCCTCCTGGATGCCCTTCCAGGATAAATACTTCAAAATACTTTAAATTGTAAAACAGGGCTCTCTGAATGCTTTTCCAGTGGATAAAATGTATAACAGTGCCTTCTAGATGCACTCCCTGTAAATAGAAACATGAAAAGTGCCTTCTGGTTTCTTTCACAGTATTGAAGGTATTTAAAATGATTCTGGAAACTAAATTTATTGTCCATCAACATTTAGTTTTTAAAAAGTGTCCTCTGATTTCCCTTCCCTGTAAACATTTTTAAAATTACTGTCCAGATGCCTGAAGAGTATATAAAACATTTTACTGAACTCTGTGGTTGCCCTTCCAGTAAGAATCCGCCTAAATAGATGCTCTTGTATAAGATTTTCATTTTCTTTAGTTACAGCCTTTATTAGATTGGACAGTTAAAGACAGACATGAGGACAACAGGTGCCAACTTCCACTCTTATGTTTGCTGGGAAGTGTCCCCAGTTCTCCTATACAACATGAGGAGGTGATTCAATCACTCTTAATGTTGGCAAGGAAAGCAATCGTGGTAAAGTGAGTTGGAGATGACCCACCTTCTGTTCTGTTGTGGAAATCTCTGATATGTGAGGTTGTGACTCTTGAAAAATTGGGACATTACATAAACGGAAGGATTCAGACGTTTCAAGAGAAATGGAAGAAACCACTGGAACTTCTTGGAGCTACATTTACTGTGTAGCTGAACTAACTGGACATACGTTTAAAATGACACGTCACCGGAGTATGACCTATAGGTGTCTCACTCACTGGACCTATTTTCATATTGTTAATGAGCTGTGCTTCTCTTTTCATTAATGAACCACTTTTGTAAATTTGTAAAGTTTGTAATTAGATTTTTTATATGCTTCTGGAAGACAGAATAAAAGTTTTCGAGACAGACAGGAGATGTTGTGAGCGGAGCAGGGGAGGGAATCCAACCATTAACCACTGCGGTGTGGTCTATAGCCTCTTAACATGGGGCCCTTCAACTGCCGCCACCAGCCCATGTTAAACATGGGTTAAAACGTGGCCTCTGCATGCCTTTCCTGCACATAAAACATTTTTAAAATACCCTCCTGATGCCCCATGATATCATAAATGTTTATTTAAAAACTAGCTGTCCTTACTTTTTAAAACATAAGATTTGAAACAGGACAGACACACGGGCACAGAGACAGACAGTCAGACAGACAAGCAGACAGACAGACAGACAGTCAGGGGCCTCTGCAGTATAAAGGATCTGTTTTCTATCTGAAGGTTGTGGAGGACGCAGAGTGAAAGTGAAGAAATCTCTGAGCTTTCCAGAAATGTGAGACCTTGTTAATGGAGGGATAACACCCACGCACCGTGCACACAGACTCAAACACACACACACAAAGTCTTCCTCGAGTCGCAAAGTGTGGTGACTTCCTGAGGTTTTTCTCATCGCTATATCCTGTCCTTAAATGTCAGAGCAGCAGTGTCAGCCAATCAGATAGCAGAATTACACGCATATACACACACATACACACATACACTAACACGTACACACAGCTCTCAGGTTGTATGAAGGACAGGCAGTGTTATTGCCCTGGTTTAAGCTCCTCTATACAGTAGGTCTGCTGTTCCTGTATGTAGGCTAACACTGACTCACACTTCAGCAGCTTTAGACTCTCAAATGAACCACGAGCTAAAGTCCTATATGCAGATTGTTTGTTATTTATTATATTTGAAAGTAAAGAAGATCTTTTATCTTCATTTTAACTTTTCAGTCGATTAGTCTTAGACACCTTTGATGTAGCTTTGCATGATTTTAACTAAAAAATAAAAATCCCTAATTTATCTCATGGCGTCTATAAAAACTTGGGTTTTCACCTCACGGGTGTTGCTTTTAACATACATCGCTGTCTCAGATTTTACACTGATTTTTATTGTTTTTTTACTTTGTACAAAGCTCATGTAAAATTAATATTTGCACAATTTTGAGGTGATACTTTTTACAAAGCTAGGGGGTGTTACTTAACACTCACCCTTGTGGTTTTGCAACAACCTCTGAAGTTGTGCTTTGGCAGAAAAAATCAGATCACACAAAAATGTTTCTTTCCATAGAAGAGTTTGACACAGATGGAGTAGTAAACTTTTTTTCCTCAGTTTGAGGGTGTTACTTTTCACACAGCCTTTAAGTTTTGCAACAACTCTGGAAGTTTTGCTTTTTTTGGAGGGGGGGCACAAACAGCTACGTTGTGGCTGTTGCTTCCCACTGTTTTCTGGAGCTTTCTTTGGTAAGAGAGAATAGCTCAGACTTTCCACTTAGAGAAACTTTTAGAGACAGACTGACATTGATTTTTTTTTTTTCAGTCTGAAGCCAGAAACATAAAGCTGCTCTTGGTATGCTGAGACCTCCCACCAATTCAGCTTTATAAGAGACACACAGTCAGCAGACAAACAGAAGGACTCACCTGGATTTAACTCTGACGAGGATTTCTTTGTCTCTCTTCATGCTGGTAAGGACAAATGAAGCTTATCCCTGATTATTAATCAAAAATAACATAGAAAATTCAAACAACTTAAATTCATTTCAAAGTTTTCTATTTTGTTTTATCATCAGTAAAAAAAAAAAAAGGTTCTATTCACATTTTGGTACATTTCTCCAAAGGTCCTGCACATAAATGCATTCTTATCAGCTAAATTCAGAACATGAACAATAAATAGAAACAAAGTGTGTATTACATAAAATTACATGTAAATAATGTAAAAAAAAAAACACAAGCAGAAAAAAAAAAAATAATTGTAGAGGAAATAACCCATAAAAATCATGAACAAATGCATAAGTGTTACTGTGGATAAAGGCTTTGTAGTCATGTGTTTAAAATATATTAAGCAATTAGGACAAAAACAAAAATTTAAATCAACTTGTTTATGAATGTTCTGCTGCTGTTATGTTTTAGAACAAATGAAAACTTTTTTTTGACTGTTGTTGTATGTACACTCTTAAATACTAACAATATCCATGCTGAATGCAAATATTAGAACCAAAGATCATAGGTCCTTCAATATGATGGCTGATGAAAAGATTTAATTGGACAGAAGGAGATTAGGAAATCAGAATCTGATGAAATTGTTCATAATCTACTCCTGTTACTAAATGTGGAATCCCACAGGGCTCAGTTATGGGACCATAAGTATTCCTAATTTTAAGTTTTATTTTCTCATGTCTTTTATTTTAAATGGTTTGTGAATAAATAAACAACTTTCAAATTTGTAAAAAAAACAAAAAAAAAACTTGAAATTGTATTAAAGTCCACATTTTTTTAAAAAATTCAAACTCATTAAAAATTAAATTTAAATACTGAGAGATAAAAATCTGCCCTACGTCAAATGTTTGAGATGTATCTAATTTAATTTCAAAATTGAAAATAAATCATTAGATTTTATAACACAATAATCAAAATCAGAAAAAGTCTTATTTTTGTGTTGGCTTACTGTCCATCTTGGTCTTACAGGTTGACGATTTCAGTTGCAGTCATGCTTGTCCGTCATTGCCAGCAACAGATCTTGAGTGATGTTTGGACTCGGTCCTGCTTACGACACTTCCTGCTGGAGTTCATAGGCACCGCCCTCTTTTTATTAATCAGCCTATCAGCTGTCCTGATTCTTCCTGCACCTACTGGAAAACTGCAACTGGATCCAAAGATGGAGAGCGGCCAGGGCAGTCTGTGCCACCTGTGCAACATCAGCAACCAGAGCAACCTGAGTGAGCGGATGAGCGCAAGAAACCAGTGCAACCAGAACATCCACCTGACCCCACTCTCTGTCCAATCATTAGGCTATCTGCAGGTGGCGCTGGTGTTTGGTCTTTCTGTTGCCGTGGCAGCAATCTGCGTGGGTGGGGAAGTCAGCTTGAATCCAGCAGTTACTGTAGCAATGGCCCTCAACCTTAGGCTCCACCTGTGGAGGGCCCTATTGTATGTGATTGGACAGCTCTTGGGGGGCGTGGCCTCTGCTGCACTACTGCTAGGACTGACTCGGGACGTTACTCCAGCTCTCAACAAGGTGAGCCTCTATGTGGTCACTCTACAGCCAATTAAAGAACAGCTGGATATGTTATCAACCAATCTCTGTTACAGGTCGCTCCAGGTGTTCAGCTTCATCTTGCTGTCGCCATTGAAGCTTTGGCGGCCTTTCAGCTGGTCCTTGTTGTCCTGGCTACAGTAGACGCTAACCTTTCCCCCATAGTGTGTAATCTGCTTGTCGGCCTGTCTGTCAGCCTGGGTCACCTGATGGCAGTAAGTCATGCTGTAGAATTATGACACCTGTTGTGCCTCAACAGGCCACGCCCCCTCTACACCTAAATGAAAAAAAAATTATGTTATACCTAAATGTTGAGAGCTACAATAAAATCATGTTTTGACCATAGTCATGGTGATATCAAGAATTAGAAACAGAAAATATTTGACAATTTCAACCTGTTTTTTTACAGTTTATATATTTGCATAGAAAAATATGTAAACATGATAGGCTCACTTCATTGTTCAAGAAGTTTGCAAACATTGCTTTGAGATATTTTGATCTGCTGAAAACTGTGCCAAACTCAAAAATGTACAAAAGTAGTCTGCAACGAATAATTGTAATCACCATGGCTACGCCCATTTCTTTTACCAAGTTGATGATCTTTTCTTCAGGTGGGTGCAACAGGTTGTGGGATGAATCCAGCGCGTTCATTTGGCCCAGCCATCATCACTCTAGATTTTAACAACCATTGGGTGAGAACACACATGCAAACACACACCCAAAGGCACAGTAACCCGCTGTACACTCTGTTTTGATTGGCTGTTTTTGGATTTCTGTAGGTGTTCTGGGCGGGGCCTGGTCTGGGGGCATGTCTTGCTGTTATCTGTAACGACCTGTTGCTTCGGCCACGCTGGCATCACCTGAGAGACTGGTGGTCTGAGCTGAAACAGCTGTATGTAATGACAAACAAGGAGCAGCAGGTGGTGCTGTCACACTGTCCATGACAAATACACACACACACGTACACACATGCACACACAATTTCTTCTATTCAGTTACAGTTGTACTTATGACCTAAGCAGAACATTTGCAATACATAAAGTTGCTGTTTACAGGATTATTATCTCTATTCTATTATGTATTTCAACATTTTATGGTTAAATTTTTTTATATTAATGTGCTCAAACATTCATTTTGCAGCATTTCGTTAAATGTACTCTTGAGTAAATATCAACATAAAGTGCTAAAACGTTTTTCACCTCATATTATAAACTGTTTTTCTATTATTAAAAATCATTATAACAAACTAAATGAAAAAATAATAAATTACATATTGTGTTGTCTCATTATTACTTTTTAAATAAATTTCTTTTATTTTAAAAAAGAAGCATTATATAACAATTTTTTTTCTCAACCTTAGATTTAAATGTTTTTGGAATAACTTTTAAAAAATACAGTTTTGAGTAAGTTTTTCCTGCACTCAGATTTAAATCAACCTTTTAGAAAAGCCTAATAAAATGTCACCATGAAAGTGTATCCCTCAGACAAAAATGATTCCCGAGAGTGTAGCTCACTGCGCGATTTGTTCACCAAGTGATTCAGGCGTCAGCACAAGCAGTCCCTGGCTTGCCGGCTACTCACCTGGCAATGGTAAGTGTTATGTCAACTGCGCTGCTGACAGCTCAACTGCAGTGGGAAACGAACGAATCACTTGAGGAAGTCCTTGTAGCTAATTTTCACTACTATATGTCAAGAATTTGGTTTATATATTTTTCTAACACTTTAATACCTACATCATTTTCTAAATCTATATTTTTATGTCTACAGCAATTCTGTTTTCCCTGTTTAAGCACCAAAATAATCATAATTCTTTATATGTATAAACCGGAGCAGTCACTTCCAAATTGCCTGTAGGTGTGAATGTGAGTGTGGATGGTTGTTTGTCTCTGCATGGCAGCCCTGCGATGAACTGGCAACTGGCAAGATGCTGGGATAGGCTCCAGCCCTCCCACAGCCCCCAACCAGAAAAGTGGTCGTAAATGGATGGATGGATGGATGGATGGATATACAAACCTGCTTGGCAATGAAGCTGTTTCAAAATCTAATTCTTAACACTTGAGACAAAAAATTTTTCCTACTCATCTTTAAGAATAAACTAATAATAGAAATAATTTGGTAAAAGAAAGAAAGAAGGGAGGAAAAAAGGATGGAGAAAAAGAAAAATGTTTGTTTATCTGACCCGGACAAAGATCTTACAGGCGGCACTCCCTGTCATGAGGTGTAGCCCTGCCTCCTTGTCTCTGATCACAAGACAGTGACCCTTAGATGAATACCTTTAACTGTGCGATTGGAGGATGTGATTGGTGGATCTGATTGGAGGCGGTCTTAAGCCTGTGAGTTGTTGCTCAGGGTGAAAAATCCTCACAGCTCTCTAGGGGGTTTAGAAGGATTAAAACAGATTACAGTTTACACCAGGAAAGGAGAAGAAGGAAGACCAGACTAGAGAACCGGCAGGACTTTCTTAACCTAGTTGGACCAAACTGGACCATACAGGACCAAACTAACCTAAACTGGACTGAACTAACCCAAACTTGGCTAAACTGGAGTAGCCAGACTAGGAGTGACAGATCTGAGTGGGGTCAAACTGGACTGAGCTTGGGGGTGGAGGTGGAGGAGGAAGGATTGGGAAGACTGAGGTGGGCTGTACTGGTCCAAATTGGTTAGAAGTGGTCTGAGCCGGTCCAAACTGGTGTGGGGAACAGGAACAGATCTGGATGGATGGTTTCCAAGCGTACGGGGCAGGGAAGGCGGGTGCGACTTTTGACCCGGTGACCTTCTTTAGACAACCTCAGACGGTGGTGAGGATCCTCTGCTGGGTGAGTGCACGGATGTCACGATGATGGCATGGTCAGAGGGAAATTGTTCACCTGTTACAATTACACTAAACAACGGTCAGTCGTGAAGTCAGACAGGTGAGGTTGTAACAGTGTCTTGAGCTGGAGGGATCCCTACTTGAAGGAATAAATGTTACTGAATATCTGTAACATATTGTGGTATGAAAGGGTTACTGGACTGGTGGAGTCGTGGCTCCTTAACCAACCAATAACATACTAGTTAGCCAGGCTGCTGCTAATGGGTCACAGTGGCGTGGTTTGGTTGGGACAGCTGTTTATTAAAGCAAAAGTAATAGATTAACTTTATACAACTTTAGAGAACTTTATACAATTTGGATTTTTTTTTACTGTTATCTAGTTCTGGGTTGGTCAAAGTGGGGCTGTCAATATATTAAGTTTTGTGACTTTGTTTTCTATATTGTAAAAACATGATTTCATTTTAACCTTTACACTACTCCAAGTGAATCATAAGTTGCAGGACTAAGTGAAAATAGTTAAACATCATAAAAGTAAAAATGTTAAATTGATCAAAAACCTGAAGAGACTCAAACTGCAACCTTATCTTTAGATTCATAATAAATCTTTGAAAACTAGTTCATAGAAGTGTCTAACCATCTCTCAGAGGGATGCTACAGCTAACTAGCTTGCTAGCAGCTGCTGCTGCTTCTTCTTCATCTCTGTTCTATCAAGGGTGGCAACCAGTGTAAATGACCACTTTGCTGAAGTTAGGATTTTACTGAATGCTTTTTTTTTTAGCACAATATCAATATTTTATTCTGAAAGATAGTCAGTGTCAAAACCAGTGTATTACCACAGCCTTCGGTTAAAGTACATATTCCTTTTTGTTTGAGTCAGTTCTGCTCTGAACCAATTCTGTTCTGATAGATACTAGTCCAAGTCATGGTTTGTTCTTCAGCTCAGGATATGATGTAACTATTAATAAAATACAATTTCTGCTGATTTGATTTCTAACTTGTGATTTTTCTGCAGCTTTATTCTCTTTCTTGTCTAAATCAGGCCGCTTATGCAGGAGAGTGTGCGTGTGTGTGTGTGTGTGTGTGTGTGTGTGTGTGTGTGTGTGTGTGTGTGTGTGTGTGTGTGTGTGTGTGTGTGTGTGTTGGTCATGAGACCGGTGTTAACATTCCTAAGGCTCAACACAAGACTCCTTAAACAAGCCCTCATTTTGTCACACCGCTGTTGCTCTGATTGGACGGTCCCTATCATAGACAGTTCTGATTCTGATTGGTCAGTTGGAAAAGGGGACAGTCTATTATGATGGGATCCCAGTAAAGTCAAGTTACAATCGGGCAATTGCTGGGAGACAGGAACATTTTGCTCACTGTAGGCGACTTTGGGCTTGTTTTTCTGTTTAGACACTCTAGCCAACAAATACTGACTTAAATATTAAAAAACTCTCATTATGAGACGACCCCCAATTTTTAGGACCATATTTTAGAAAAAGACTCTGTGGAGACAAAATTTTGATTTAAATTAATAAATCAAAAAGTGTGCTACTTTAGCACCTCTGCCGTTAGCATTAAACTAACATCTGACTTCTGTGTTTCCAGCTCTTCTCCATTGTGATCCTTGGTTGCGTTGCCAACGAGGGTTACGTTAACCGCCCCGAGGAGGTTGAGGAGTTTTGCATCTTCAACCGCAACCAGATGGTCTGCAACTACGCTGTTGGCATGGGAACCCTTTGTTTCCTCTGCTGCAGTGCTTTTCTAGCGCTAGACGTTTATTTCCCACAGATAAGCGGTGTGAAGGACAGGAAGAAGGCTGTTATGGCTGATATAGGCGTGTCAGGTAAGACTCCACTTCTCTTTACAAGTTGGCTCGTGAACCATCTTTCACCTGTGATTTTTCCTGTATAGGCACTATGCATAACCATAGACTGTATAAACTATGGACAACTTGGTTCCACCTTCTGTCAGTATACGGATTTGAAGCCGAAAAGCTCTCGGTAATTCTGCGTTTTCTCTCCATTTTCTGAAACCAACATTGCACAGAAGCGTTGTACGCACCCCACCACTTGAACAGTAGCATTGTGTGCCTTCGGTGGGAGAGTCGCTGAAAGCCGCTGTAATGATGCTCGGCTCAGACAGTGTATCCCCCGGGTGAGCTGCGCAATCTTCGTTCGTCCATAGGCGGGATTAATTACCTACATTGCAGCCCGTCAACAGAGACATTACCTGGTAAAAACCTGGTTATAACCTGGTAATTACCTGGTAAAAACCTGGTTATAACCTGGTAATTACCTGGTTATAACCTGAGACATTATCTGGTAATAACCTGGTAATAACCTGGTTATAACCTGAGACATTATCTGGTAATAACCTGGTAATAACCTGGTTATAACCTCAGACATTACCTGGTAATAACCTGGTTATAACCTGGTAATAACCTGGTTATAACCTCAGACATTACCTGGTAATAACCTGGTTATAACCTGAGATATTACTTGGTAATAACCTGGTGATAACCTCAGACATTACCTGGTAATTACCTGGTAATAACCTGAGACATTACCTGGTAATTACCTGGTTATAACCTGAGACGTTACCTGGTTATAACCTGGTTATAACCTGAGGCATTACTTGGAAATAACCTGGTTATAATCTGGTAATAACCTTACACATTACCTGGTAATAACCTGGTTATAACCTGAGACATTTCCTGGTAAAATATATTATTATTTGAAGACAGTTTTGTACATTTATATTTTTATCCAAATTGTTGTGATAAGTTCAGATCAAGTAAAGATCAAATCAGAGATCAAAAAATCCTGAAAGGGGGGCGTGTTACCAAATGTAACCTGTTTTAGTATTCATGTCTAACCTTTGGCTTTTACCTCTTTATCAATTTAGTGTTGACTGGCAGGTATCTGTTTTTGTTCGGTAACCTGTACCTTTTTTTTCTACCTGTCCAATAACCACGCATTCTGTCCCTCCTGCAGCGGTCTGGTCTCTGGTCTGGTTCCTGGGCTTCTGTTTCCTGGCCAATCAGTGGCAGGTTTCTAAAGTTGAAGACAACCCTCTGAATGAAGGAGCTGACGCTGCCAGGGCAGCCATCATGTTCTGCTTCTTCTCTGTTTTCACCTGGGTATGTACCTGTAACAACAGATGTTCACCTCTGTAAACAGTAACAAAATGAGCCTCTGCTGCCCCCTGGTGGTTAAATATCCTCATTGAATTTTGCAGAGTTGATGCTGTAGAGTTTTATTTACTGTAACCTGTACAGTAAATAAAACTTCACGGTAGCAGTGGAGCGCACACTTGAACTAAGATAAGTGCTCGGGTCTGGGTCTCTAAAATGAAGATCAGTGTACATTACTCTGGTTTTAAAAACTTTTCCTTAGCTCTCAATTAACTCCAGGATCAAAAAAATAACTGAATACTAAAAGCCCAGATTTTATGTCAAACATGTTTCAATCTGTTAACCTCACCGAAACTTTGAAAGATGGACAAAAACAAAGACAAAAAATACAGATTACTAATCACTAAAGTTTTGAAAGGCCTACAGTCTGAAATGTACTTTGTAAACGTGAATAAAGGTGTGCTATATTTTACATTTTAAACACAAAGGGACTTGTTTATATGATAATATATTGTTGAAATAAAGCTGATTTTAAAAACCGTCAGTTAAATGTTCCCTATAAATATATATGCTTTTGCCTTTGTTGTTTTTAATTTTAAAATAAATGTGTCTCATCAACAAAAGTAAAAATAAATTATAATGTAACACCTAAAATGTGATTAGGGAAAGAATGGAAGCAGCTTTGGTGCGATACACAATCCATAAGTATCTTACTAAACTCTGTCAATGTTGGAGGGAATTTTTTTCTATTTTTCTTCTTTTTCATTTTCCTTTTTATTCAAAAATTCTTTGGTATCTTTAGGTGTGTGTGTTTTTTTATCCCACTTTTACTTTCTTTCCTCCATTTTTCACTTCTCTTTCATCATCTCTTTCTCTTTCCTTTTCATCGAAGATTTCTTGGCCTTTAGCACATTAGATTAAAGTTATATTACCGCCCTCTTTTGGACTGGAGTGGAACAACAAGCCAACAAGAAGAGCAGGCTGTGATATTCTGATCAATGAAATATATCTGTCCGGAGCAGCTGAATTTTTGCAAACATACAACCACAGCAAACACTGCAGTGCCTTTGATAACACTCATTTCTCCTGTGTGTTTGTGTGTGTGTCTCTGTGTGTGTTATCTGTAAACTGTGTTTGTGCGTGTTGATGTGTGTAATTGTGTGTAATGTGTTGTGTGTAGGGAGGTCTCACTCTGCTGTCCATGGAGCGTCTGAAGAGAGTTTCATTTGAAGAAGAATACAACAAACTGTTCAGCCCACCTATTGCCTGAGACACACACACACACACACACACACACACACACACACACACACACACACACACACACACACACACACACACACACATTTAATATAACTTTTCTCCAACAGCTGAATCAGAGATCATCATTACTCTGCTTTCTTCAAGTGTCTGTAATCCAAAGTGCCTTTATTATTATTATTATTATTATTAATATTATTATTATTATTGAATTGGTGTTGACAATGTAATGATGATGATGTGATGAACATAGAAAAAAAATTAAAGGTATAAATTATGACTCTTTGCTTTTACAAAGCTCATAAACTCTTGTTTTCATCAATTTTCTTCTTTATTTCAGTTGATTTGTTGCCTGAAAGATGTTTGTTGTGATGTTATACCAAACCTCACAACCCCAACTCCATCATGCTTTGAGACGCTTCATAGAACAGATTTGCTTATTGTCCAAAGCCTACCTTTAATTAAAAATGGTCCAAAGACAATATTGTAAATGCTGAAACTGAATAATGTGACTGTTTTAGAATAGAATAGAATAGAATATTCCTTTATTGATCCCCATGGGGGAAATTTTTTGTCACAGCAGCATCACAGACAAAGATAGTGCAAAAATGCAGTTATAAAAATAAAGATCGTTATATTAGGAGCTTAAATAAATGTAATAAGAAAAAAAAATTGAAAAAGGAAAAAGGAAGAAAAAAAATAAAACTATATACAATATACTCAATTTAAGTACCAGAAAAAAGTGGTAGTGTGAGTCTAGTTTTATTACAGTTCATTGTAAAGTCTTATTGCAGAAGGGAGGAATGACCTGCGATAGCGCTCCGTCTTGCAAGGTGGGAGTCTCAGTCTGCTGCTGAAGGAGCTGCTTAGAGCCCCCACAGTCTGGTGCAGTGGGTGGGAGGGATTGTCCATGATGGATACAAGCTTTGCTAACATCCTCCTCTCACCCGCCTCCTCCTGGGGGTCCAAGGAGCAGTTTTTGGAAAAATCTGTTTATTTTAGATTAAATGTCAGCAACTTGTTTCTACAAAAGTAGATGGAGGAACAACGAAAGATAGTGGTGGTAACTCAACATTTTTTCTGAAAACCATGACGGCTGCATCCTCCTCACCAGGAGGGACCACCCGGGTTGTCATCAGCTCCCAGTTCAAAGCCAGCATCCTTAAAGGGATATTCCGGCATAAAATTAAGTTAGGGTCAAACACATTGTAACACTGAGTTGAATAGATACCCCGTTGAGAGATGAAGGTTCAGAGGCGACTGCAGAATTTTTTTAGACTGGGGTGGCTTGACTGGGGCCCTGACATGAGCAGGGTAGCCAGGGTATGTATCTTCTTCAACTATTATTATCCAGGTATTATACAGTTGTTATGTCCTTGTTTGTTAAAAGAGTGAGCAGTTTATCAGCGTTTATAATTATGAGATGGATGTTTCATAATTGGAACAGTGAAGTGATCATTCAGATCTTCTGCCTGCTCTTACTCAAGTATAAATAAGCTACATGAGTCTTATATTTCACTGAAACCCTCATTTAAGAGCACCAGTTGAAGTCTCAATCGTTGGATAAAGATAGGATAAAGGATAAAACATGTAAGCCGCTAACTTTTAGATGCAACACGTTCTGTAGATCTTTACCTCTCTTTCATTTTTAAACTTCAACTTCTTTTTGCTTTAATAAAACAAAACACGATTCAGTTTGCTGTCTTAATGAGTTTGATGGTTTTAATTTGTGTTCATTTGTGTTAATAAAAGTTGTTGGTTTGATTCATCTGTGTGTGCAGGCCGCCCAGTCTCTTCTGGCCGTCCACAAGTTCAAACTTGGAGCTGATTCGGTCACATTCAATCAGGACTATGTCGACCCTGACCAACAGGATGTCCAGCAGGAGCCCCTCCCCGCAGAAGAGTAAATGGGCGGAGCTTAAAGACTGACTGACAGGTGCTGTCTGGGCTGGCAAAGTTCAGCCCCAATATTTATAACCATGCAAAATGCTCTAATATGACATTACCAGTGAGACAACCTAATGATGATACTCTACCAGTGGGTGTGGTCTCTTTGTCAGCAGCTATCTATAAACAAAGATCATAAACTGTTATCTTGAAAAGTTTCAAAACAAACACCTGCCTGACTACTGCTTTAGCAACAGAGGCTCATTAGCCAAATAAGGTTAGCTTGTCAAAACAAAGGAGATCCAAAGTCCAATAACGAAATATGTATTGTTTTTTTTCCTTTGTCCATATTTTATAAACCTTGTCTTGTTTTTATTTTGTGTTGTTGTTGATGTTTTGAACCAATGTTTCATTCCTGAATGGTGATACATTTTAAATATCCTGATAACAAAGCTTTGTAGCTAACTTTACCCATTAATTTTGTCTAGCTAATGGCCCATCGGAATGAAACTAGCATAAATTTATTAGCCATGTAGCCAACACTAGCAGTACAGAAGTCTTTTTAAATAGCGTTCTTGATGAATTAGTCTAGTTTACTGATGAAATATCACCAAAGACTGGGTGGTCACAATAGGTTTATTATTTTAAAATATTGGTCATGAAAAAAAATATTTTTTTGCTAGTAGTCCTTAATAATTTCAGAGGTATGTGACAGTGGCATCTCTAGTCAAACCTGACCAAACTTTATTTTTGAGAACTGGGATCATTTGTAGATCACACTACATGCTGATGCTAGCTTCTTATGCTAAGGTTTTTTTTAAATTTGCCATGGTCCAGTTTGATGTTACAAACTTAACTCTGACTGACCTTATCCCGACCTTAAACCAGGCATAATCTTAAAGTTTCGACAAGTTTGACCCATGTAGGAGTAAATCGTAGAAATCTACGGTTCCTTTAGTGTCCACTAGAGGGTGACTGGACAATTGAGTCATCCCCATACAGACCCATGTTAAACTTTACAGCAGAAATAAACATGTTTACAGCCTGATACAAAACAAAATGCTTTTGTCTCATGCTTGTGTGTTTGTTAAAAAAAAAAAAAACACATTGGTCTCAAGTTTACTCTTTACCGCCATCTCCTCTACTGCTTTAAGGTCCATCAAAAGTCAGTTCAAAACTAAGTTTCTATGAAGCTCCTCAAATCCAAACAAAGTACATTGTTGTCGTATGTTGTATAAATCCACTCCAACATTAAATCAAATATATTTACACAACATTGTACAACTTTTTGTCTGGTCTGACAGGAAATAACCAGCTCTGTAAAGCACAAACATCTTCACTAAATCAATAATAAGAGCTGGTTCAGGTCTGAACCAGCTTTATCTGCACCTGGACTGACGGATGATTCCAGAGAAAAAGGGCCTGGTAACTGTAAACTCTGACTCCCAAACCACTTTTTACGACTATAGGTACGATGAGTCAGCATATTGGGACTGCAATGTTGTGGAAGTGCGCATTTGAATGAATGGATGTTTTGATCTCGGTATGATTGACGCTCATGAAACATGTCAGACTTTGTGAACCTGCTTGAGGGGAAACTCAGGTGCCAACAAAACATCTGATGCAAAATGAAAGTATGATAAAGTCAGAGGATTATTTTATTATCTTTAATCAGCTTAAGAGGACGATATCTGAGAGGGTTTACTCTTGTTGTCTGCAAGTCCAGTCTCTAAGTCAGACGATTATAAAACATAATAAAGGGTTTAACTTGTCAGTTGTGCATCACCCTGCCGCACAGCTGCTTTCAGACTTTTTTCGGCTGTTTCCATGGAGACCAAAGGGAGACAACATGGCTCATTCCCCAGGTGTGAGCTATTTTTGAATGAATGAAAGATTTATCTGTGTGATATTTATGGATGAATAGATGAGTCATACTAAAGCAAAATTAAAGCTGCAGATTAATAGTGTGTCACTTTATTCAGTATCTGAGGTAGTTGGAACCTGACCTGCTTGAACTCAACAACTACTTGAGATCAAACGCGCAGATTTCTTTTTTGTCTCTACAAGAGCACCAAAACATCAAGACGATTTTGTCTTTACAATCTGGGCCATACAATCAGAAGATACTGATACATGTTAGGGCTTTCTTTCTTAAATTGCTATTGGGTAACTTCTAATGTTGACCAAACCAACACAAGTGTTACTCAAGACGATGGCGGGGAAAAAGGTTCCTTGATGTAAAGTTTGAGCTGCTGCTTTTGACGTGCCGGAAGTCAATAAGTATCTGTTGATGATAAGGCCATCGACTGCTGCAGGGTGACGCAGCTCAATGACGAACATTTGTGAGAATTTCTTCATGGGAATGCAATCAGACTGAGACGCTAAGGCAGAAGAACTACTGCATCTGCCATGCAAAGTGATTAATATAGTGATTATTACTTGAAATGATAAAGAAATGATCATAAATGTTCTTTCTTGAGCTGCGTCACCCCGCTGTAGTCCGTAATGGACTGGCCAGAGGTCTTGCTACAAGCAAGCGGTTGCTGGAAGAGAGTAGGTGAGTTGTGTTTAGTCTCTTTGCTAAAGAAATCAGGCAAAGCCAAAAAGATATTTGGTGGCTAATGCTGTGGCTAGGACCCTATATGTACTAGGTGCTGTTCTGAGCATTATTTGTGGCTATAGAGTGGCTTTTTGGTTGAGGTTTGTTTATGGCTCCTCACGCTGTGTATTGTAAAATCTTAAAATCAACCCTAATACAAATGGGGAGCTCAAGACCAGAGGCTGTGGGGGTTATTTGATGTCATCTGTGAAAACCAGCAAGAAGCGCAGGATATAAATGATACCAATCCTACTCTGAAGTTGTTGCATTTTAAGTTTGAGACCCGGTCTTGTTTTTTTTTAATGACAGGGCCCAGGTGATCTGGATAACGTGTTATTTAAAAGACCATATTTGAGTCAGGTTGATTTAATCTTGCACAACTATGTCTTTACTGGGATAAGAGCAAGATTGTGCTTTTAACACGACCGCTAGGTAATACAATGGATCAAAGCATTCATCATAATTATCTTTAGCTTGTAACAAGCTATAAATCTGCAGTAACGCCTGCGGGCTCTGACTAATACCTGAAATAATTACGGCTGTCCTCTTCAAGTCAAATTCAACAGACAAATTATTTAGTCATCTTGTTACAGGAATAGTTCAACAAGTGTGAGCACTTATTAAAAAATGTGTCCTGTCGTTGTTATGACAAAGCTGAGAGTTCAGATCTGACTGATCAACTCTGACAATAAGGCTTTCACAACAACAGGCATTTTTTTCGCAGACATACTCAACCAGAAACAGAGGGCGTCACCGCAGAGCTTTTCTCTCTTTCTGTGTGTGTGTGTGTGTGTGTGTGTGTATGTGTGTGTGTGTGTATGTGTGTGTGTGAGAGAAAGAGAGAGAGAGAAAGATAGAGAGACACTGTGTGTGTGTTTAAGAAACAGTCAGACTGATACAGTTTCTTGATGCTTTATTAAACTCAATATAAATGTATAAAATAATAAATAAATATACACAGACAATGTGACAAAGACATGTATAAAAATATAAATATCAAATTAAACCTAAAAGAGTTTCTGAAATATTCTCAATAAATAAATAAATATCAAAAATATAAATAGGTCAATAAATAGAGAGTGCTCGTTAGCATAATTTAAAAGGCTCAGTCACAAGTAGGCATAGTCTGCATTGGAAGTGGGCGTGGTCTGTATCAGACTGGGCGTGGTCTCTACAGTCGCTTGGAGGACCTCCAGATGAAACAGGTGCGATTCTTGTGCAGAGTTGAGTTTAGGAAACGCATCAGATCTCTCCTCAGAGCCATCCAACCACAGGCTGCGCTCTCCTAAAAAACACAGAAATGAAAACAAACGATTAAGTTCAAGTTTTAGAAATCTCCACAATGAGATAAAACATCAAAATTACAAGATAAAAAGGCCAAATTAAGAGATAATGGTAAAATAAAAGCAAAAAGTAAAAAATTAAAGATAAAGCATCAAAATAAGGATAAATTACAAAAATGGAGAGATACAAAGTCAAAATAAGACTTGAATTGTAAAAGCTGTTATAAAAACATTTGGATCTAATCAACCAAGACGTCAAAATTTTGAGGAAAAAGTTAAATAAAAGAGTAAAAGTTAAAAAAAATAAAAGATTATATATATATAATATATATATATATAAGATCCAAAATGTGTGAATTGGGGGGTAAATTTTGAAATGAAAAGAAAAACATATTAAGTTGCAAAACTTTAGATCTTTAATGTCTAAATTAAGATATTTCAGGTCAGAAAGAAATAAAAAGTAGAAAGTATGTGCAAAAAAGCAAAAAAGAGAAGATTTGTCAAAATAAAATCTAAACTGTAGAAGGCATTGAAAAGTCAAAATTGTGAGAAAATAGATATATGAGTAGAAACAAATCATGAGCTAATGAGTTAAAATGAGGTATACGTAAAAAAATATTTATGAGTTACATTTGTAAAAGTTATAATTTGAAGATATACTTTTAAAATCATAAGATACACAGTCTGATTTATCTTTTGTAAATTCTATAAACTTTGTTTTTTTACATAAGTCAAAATAGCAGGATTTAAAAACATTGATGAGATAAAATTTCCGCACTTGTTATGGCAGTTTAAGAAAAAATAATTTGATAGAAAGAGGAATTTAAACAGCACAGTTCCTCAAGCGTCCACTAGAGGCTGTGACCAAAAGTAAGTTAGCCCCCATAGAACCCCTTATAAAAATGTTGAACTTTAAAGCATCTTTCAACTCTTTTATGACATCTGTGCAGGGCTGAATTTTCATTCACACAATAGTTTTCAGTTAAGTGTAATGAGAAGTGTAGCCTCTTCTAATGACTGCTCACTGTCTATTAGGTGCACTAATTTTTCAGCAGGCTGTGTATAGTGGTCAATGATGTTATTTGTACTTTTTCTTAAAACACTATTGAGGGTTTGTGATTTTAAGCTTACCGGCTGCTGTAGAACAGCTTCCACGTTACTGAAGTATGCAGTCAAAACATCTGATCCACCAAAATTTCGCATCTGAAAAAGAGAAAGGAAGGAGAAAATAAGAGATAAATTCAGGAATGATGAAATAGATATTTGATAAAGACAGATTTACATAAAGACAGGTATACAGCCAGGGGGTGTGTATGCAGACCACAGACTGTATATACTATGGACAACTTGGCTCTGCCTGCCGCCAGTATTCGGATGTAAAGCCAAAAAGCTCACGGTAATTCTGCATTTTTTCTCAGGTACTTACACAGCTCATCTGTCGTATCAAACGGTGGCACACTCCTTGGAACTGTTCGAGTCCATTTGGGTTCCAGTTGACTCCACCCTCACCCAGTGGTACCCCAGGGTTCTGGAACTTCAGCTGCGCCCCCCACAGGGTCTCATTAAGCGCATTCAAAGCTTTGGGGCACTGCAGGGAACCAAACAGTCAACAGAATTTTAACCAGCTACATTTTTTTGCTTTTTTTAAATTAACAGTTTTAAATGAGGGCAGCTCTGTGATTGGTCAAGAGTCTTAGATTACCTGAGATTGACTGGCTGCTGTTGCAGAAATTAGGGAGCGTGGGAAGGTGATGTTTGCATTGTAAGGCAGGCAGTGGTCAGGAAACTCCTCCCCCTACAGGACACACCAAAAACAGTTCATCAGTAGCTTGTATGCCAACAAATGCCAAGCTAACCACTGAGAGTGCTGCTAACTAAGCTAACATCAGCTAATGCTACTAAGTTCAGTGTATTTTTCCAAAGTTAAAATATTTATCAACTTTGTCCGGTTTCCATTTGGGCTATCTGGTCAAAAGGTCAAAGTTCATACCAGGCCCCTGAGGAGGTTGTGGGCTGTCTGGATGAGATCTCCGTGCACCTGACAGGTAGGCTTAGAGACAACGACCACCTGGAGGCTCCAGAGCTGCAGGAGGATGAGGACTGCGGAGAGCATGATGGTTCTGCTGGTTCTGGCCTGGTTTATTCACGTGATTCTTGTCCTGAACTGAGTGTGATCCTCAGGTAACCTAAAACAAGAAGCAACAGATTAGATAACTATCAGGATCAATCAGCCAATCAGAGGCAGCATCCTTGAGTGAGTCATCAAACCACAGCGAGTCTAAGACCCGGACCTGTAGCTGTCTCCTCCACCAGGTGAGTCACTGCAGGTTAATCCAGATACACAATGGTAGTATTAACAGATTTATTCTTAATACACAAAAAAGTCTTTGATTTAAACTTTTTCAAAAACAGGAAAAGCTTCTCCAGATACACGGAGGCTGTGTCCAAAATGGATCCCTAACCCTTATATAGGCGACTATATGGGGGTTGGCGCCATTTTGAGGGGTGTCCGAAACCTGAGTGATCAATTCCAATGCCCCATATGGGCAACTCAAAATTTCCCATAGAGCATTGCGAAATGTAGTGACCATCCGTCTTGTGCACAACATGACGCAACAAACAATATTCAGCATGAAAATATAAGGCCTTTTAAATAAATTATTAATTTATTGTTTTTTTTTAAATTTCACGAACATCCTGGAAAAACAAATACATCTATACAACATCATAAAATTCAAGATATGTGAAAACAACAGCCGCAACTTCAGATGCGGCAGTCTGAGCAGTGACGCCACAACGGTGTGCCATGTAGTGTCCTAAACCTCTGGCGATTGAGCTCACTACATAGTCAGCTATATAGTAAAACCCCATATGGGGGTTAGGGGTTAGGGACTAAGTGATTCATTTCGGACACAGCCTAAAACATATCAGGCATTTAATGATCTGAATGTTAAAGTTGAAAAAAAAAAACACATCAGTCTGTGTTCTGTTTGAATTCAATAACAAAAAAATGTCATTTGCATTTTTATTATTAGTCCATTATTTCATATGATTAGTGTGTTCATTGATATCATCAATGGCCATGAAGGTTTTCTGATCTTGCAAACAGAAGATATATCTGACAGGTAATTTTTATTTGATATATCCTTAAACACAATATCACAACATTAGTATGATTTTGTCAAATTAGGATCAAAGTAAAAGTTATTCAGACATTGATGAAAGAAACAAAAATCCTGAAACCAAATAATCTCTCCTCTGCTGCTTTAAAACTGCAAACACAGAAACTGTAAAATCAAAATCTGTTTTTCAAAATTTTGATGGTAAAGTTTTGAATGTTTGGGAATTAACCACATTTCTACATGTAACTAAAATGCCTTTAATTTTATAGACTACTGTAAGTCATCACATCATCTTTACTTGTCGCCTGCAGCCAAAACATAGTTTTACTCAACAGGCTCTTCTTGTGACCTTGACAGGTTTCAGAGTCTCATTAACAGAGTAACAAAGTGTCTTTGTGGGTCTTTTAGGATATCTAATGTTTTAAATGACTGCTTTAGAGGTTTTGAGTGTTAGCTGGTGTCAATGTCTTAATCTGAAACTACAAAGGATGTTTGATTGTTTCGGTTTCTGCTGACCTCTGACCTCTGATACTAAATCTGCTCTTAGTAACTGTTATAGTTGATTTATTCTATTAATCGATGGCGGTCAGAGACAGTTTTTCAGCAAACAGTGCAAACTGTCACAGAGTTTAAGTTTCATTTCAGAGCCACAGAACAAGGTGGTATCCCAGTGTGCTGAGTCATCATTAAGCAAGCCTTCTGATGAAGACGAGTCAAAGCGAGAAGGTGTCTGAGTCAAACTGGTCAATCATTCCACTAAATAAATATGCCTGTCACTGTTTCTGCAGATGCACTTATTTTTCCAGCTCCGCTCTCTGACGCTTCGAGTTTCTGACCGCGGCAGACGTAGAAACTCAACGCGTGGAAATGCTGTTACGGTAAGCTATCGTCACGGAGCATCGGGTTTATTAACCGTCTAAATTCAAACATTTTTTTATTTTTGAAATGCTAAAGGATCGAAAAATAGTGTCATAAATATTAGATTCTGGGTGTTTCCTGGTTTTGACAGGATGAGGGTTCAAATGATCATTCTCGATGAAACTCTGAAAATCAGACAGAGTGGGACATCAACATCTCTGTGACTAGAATGTGCCTAAAAGCTTTGAAGGGACAACTTCAGGGTAAATACCCTTCACAGGAAATCACTAATACACTGTGACGTTCATAAAAAAAATTATATATTTTTTGCAATGTTTGTGTTCACACACCTTATTTTAAGGACTGTTTTTTTTCTGCAGGAGTTTACTTGAAACCTTTGTTGATTTTCTTTCACCCTGGTTATAAGCTACATTAGATTAATGCTCGATCTGTGGAAGTTTTTTTAAAAATGGCGTCAAAGTGAGCCAAAGATTTTTTTTTTTTGTCCAAACCTCAACATGATTAAAACATATTTCTATTTCTATCATAAGGTACCTACAAATGTCTCATAGGACAATAATAAATGTGTTTCTAAAGCTAAATTAACCCCTATAAAGTCTAATTATATTGAAATCTTATAACTTACTGGTTTATACAAGAGATACTAATTGTTAAATTTCCTGTGATAGCCAGTAAAAGTGTCTTAATAGTGTTAACTGATCAATAATGAAACCTTTTTTTTAACTAAAACAGTGAATTTACTGTTAAAAAGTTTCTAATAAGAGTCTTTAAGTGTCCATAATGAATATGTTTGTTAATCTCATTGTTAATGAATATCTAATTAGCATCTTATAGACATCAATGACAGGCAAATGAACTTTGGACGACTTTCTTGTGAAATCTTGTAGGTGTCTTGAAAGCTTAAATATGTTATTTTGCAAAAAATCACAACAACACTTACTAAAAGTTAATAAACATTTATGACAGGTTAATTAACTATAACAAGTCTCTAACACTGGGACAAATGTGACATAAACCAGGACTTGTGTGTTAGTTAATCTATAACTAATCTTTGTGAAAGTGTAATTTATTCTAATTAACATCTTACAAATATTAAAGGAGTCATAAAGTGTCTTGTTAAATATAATAAATGTTTACATCATTCTCTCCATTAAACGTTGTGACTTCTTTTGTTAAATAACATCTAAATATTGTTTCATACAGTTTAAACCAATTAGAAAAAGGTTTTTTACAAATCTTTTAAATAATTAATGATCAATGGGAAACGTTAAACAACTAATCCCCAACCAGCTGACTAATGTAAACAGTAAGATTAAAATTATTGTTTATTAGCCGAAGAAAGTTTCTGATGAAGGACTGTATGTATCGTTCAATAGAAAATCTAAGAAATGATCCTTGTTAAGTATAACTAATATTTATTTACCTTATTTGCCTCTGTTGGGAGATGCTGGGAAAATTTACAATATTTTCCTGGTCAGCACAAAATTTTCCAGGATATTTATCTTTACTAACATATTTACCACCTTTTTCCAAAACTGGGAAGATTTGCCAGCTGTTCTTCAGTTTATTTGAGATGCATTAGAAGTCTCTTAAGTATGAAAAATTTATTGTTTTCTATTCTGTAAGTGAACTATTTTGTATTATCTGAAGAGCGTAACGGCATTTTCAATTTGGGACAAAGAATTCAAAGTAATGCAACATAAATTCTAAAATTGCTTCTGGCAAAAAGTGGAGAAACTTAATATCTTTCTAAGCAAAGTCTGGACATTAGGAACGACAAATTGAACCATCAATACACTTAAATCTGGAATTCCTTTTTTGCAAGAATCTGGATCTCAGCTGTTTTGTTTCGAGACTTTAATGACATACTTCATATCAAGACAAAGTCTGAGCAGAATGTCCTTTATGTCTTGAGTCCAGATACTCCATCTCATGCACATTGAATCCAAATCCAAGTTATAAAAACAAATTATAAGATAAATGGACTCTGATACTGGCATTTATCATCACTCTTTATCACTTACGCTTTGAATACTGATCTGACTGAGAAATGCAGCATGTGTCAGCATCAGTCATAACTGGAAAACATCTAAACTCTGTGCTCTGGTTGTGTAAAAGAGGTTTGAATCAGAGATCAGAATCTATAACTAATCTCAACACATATAAGCCAGAATATTTTTAATATCAGTGCAAAAATAACGATAATTTATCAAAACCTGACACACAAACACAGAGTTTAACTCACGTAAGAGATATTTGTTACCTTCCAAGGGGGATCCTTCTGAATGTTTGGTCCTGTAGTTTGTCCTGGAGGTCTTGATTTTGGTCCTGATCCGTCTCTTGATTGTTGTGTTGTTGTGTCTGCTGAGCATCTCTGTCACCTGGTTTATATACATCTTCACAGATAGAAACTGAAATTCTGATGTCAACAAAACAAAAATTCAAGGGCAAAAAAGTACTATGAAGTTTGGAAATTTCCTTTCACCATTTCCTTCATAACCCTCAAACACACCCACCACCTACCTCACCCTCAGTGTACTAGCTGTGTGTGAGACTTCCTACTATGACTCGTACAACAGAACCACAAACACTAGAAATTTCATTTTTTCTGAGGAATCACCTGAAAACTCTCCTTGAACAGACAGTCTTTAAATACTTTCAATTACACATAAAACAGCATCATTAAACCCCCTGAAACTGCTCACTAGAATAAAACAGCTGATTTATTGAAGAGTAATTTTCATTTTTGTTGGCCACTAATTATTGAGTTGTTGGTCTTGTGAGAATAAGGTTGAAAATCTTTTGAAAACAAGGTCCTTAATCCTATAATTAGGATTGGGGTTTTGGTTAATTGTCAGTCAGCGTTTTTGGAGAATAAGGTTGTTATCAAAATAACGTACAAAAATTCAGTTGTTATTTACAGAAAAAAAAGATACTTTGTTTCATGATAAAGTTATTTTGAAGTGACATAAATCCCCAACAAAGAAGGCCAAATATATATTGTGTTACTAATGTTATCTAACATCATGCAATTATTTATAACAGTTTATAAAAACAAATTGCTATGAACATCTTATTGATGTAAAGTGCTGGTTGTTAGCTATAAAAAGTTTTTTTTTATAAATGCCAGTGTCCAGGTTAGTGTCTTCTAAAATAAGCATATAAAAACAAGTTGTGTTGAAATCATTACAAACTTTAATAGAAGTGGTAATATGATAGATTTAAGTCGTAAGGTCACAGGGATTAAGTCAAATTCAAGTAAAAAGAATACAAATCTTACTATAAGGGGAAGAAAGGTAGTCACAATATAAACGGGAAAGAGTCATCATGACTGAAGAGTAAAGTCACAGAAAAGCACTACTAAATAAAACCTTTTGGAGACGTTAAATTACACAATATAAACTATAAGGGGAAGAAAGTTAGTCACAATATAAACGGGAAAGAGTCATCGTGACTGAAGAGTAAAGTCACAGAAAAGCACTGCTAAATAAAACCTTTTGGAGACGTTAAATTAACCGAAAAAGTAGCTAGCTGACTTAACCAAAACCAGACACATAAAATATCAGGTATCACCCTCCACAATAACCATAACAATTGGTGACAAAAAAGATAAAAGATTTCTCTTATCATAACAACTTTGTTCTAATGACAAACTGCTTTCACCTTTTTTAACTCTTTACGACTTTACTCTCACAACACGACTTTTTTCTATTAACATAACTTTATTCTCATATCATAACAACTGTATTCTCATAGAATAATGACTTGATTTGTGTAAAACTAGGACCTTATTTTGATAACGTGACATAATTTTCTGGACGTAAGTACTGCCCTTTCATAACGTTACATTTTAATTTCCATGACATAAAGATATTATCCATGTAAAATGATGACTTGTAGCATATCTCCATTCTTGGAATTTGGCTAGCTTAATTTTGACAGAAGGACTTTATCATGATTGTTACCTAAATTATTACCATGATTTATTAATGTGGCACTATTATGCCATCATATAGTTTAATCCTCTTAAAGTTTTTAAGATAACTAGAGGATGACTTGCTCTTTCTCTGAGCCCTATCAGCCTTTGAATTACTCATTATTAAATATCTCAACTGAATGTGGAAATGCAGTTAAGTTGATGTTAAGATGAAAGAGGAAATGGAAATTAATCTTTCCACTGACATGCTGACCCTTGACTTGCATTAAAATGCAGACTTAGCTTAAATCTGAAGCTCAAAGGCTGCAGAGGCTGGAAACTAACACACCGCAGCACTGCATCATTGACCTCTCTCTTCATTTTCAAACTCAGGAGAAACTGCATGTTTAAGATTCCATTTATCTCATTAGGCTCTGAGATTTTTAACTGAATCAATGTGAAACTCGTCTGTGTCGTCACCAGGATGCGGTCTAACCCCTGAAATCTCCCATTTACATTTACGATGAATAGTCAGCGTGGACGAGGGCAGGAGGAAGTCGTGCCAGGGTTTTGATTTAGACAGAAAAGAAAGAAAGTCAGAGCCGAGGATCTGAAAGCAAGAAGGAAACCACAACGCCCCTCCCCTCCCCTCCTCAGAGGGTTTCCTCTACCAGGGTTTAATCCCTGAGTGACTTTCAGATGCAGTTTGTAGAGAAATGTGGGGACGAAGATGATGATGAGGTAGAAAATAAGAAGGAAAGTCCGTCTTATTCACTTTCCACCTAAGCTCACTACAAGAATAAATCATTAAACTGCCTCCATGCATTCCTATTGCTGATTCATCACTGAGTGAAGCTTAATCAGCTGCTTCAGCAAACTTTACACACATGCATTCACAAACTTATGCACACACACACACACACACATACACACATACATACAAACATATATTTTTAGCATAACACCGAGGACCTGAATTCTGGCTATTTATGCAACATTTAGTCCTGTATATGTAATCATGTTAAAGAAAAACCCATAGTATTTGATGCCTATTGACAAAAGAATGAATGCTACTTCCTGCAGGAAGAGATTGAGGAGAGATTATACCGGTTATTTTTCACATGGTTGTTACGATACAGAGTGCCTTAATGTGAAGCAAATTATATTGATTAGCATCAAAATTTAGAAGGAAAAAAAGAAGGATTTATAGAACTTAGCTCTAAATTCTCTCAGCTACACACATACTATAGTCTATAACAAGGTGAAATTACTAGAGAGTTTATCACATTTGATCCATTGATAAGACATCCAGAGGACACTTTTTAAACTACAGTTGAAACCAAAAGTTTACATACACATACATTTAAAAAGGCACATACTCTTTTTTTTTCCTCGCCGTCTAAAATTAAATCACAATAAAATTTTCTTGTTTTGGTCAATTAGGATTATCAAAATTACTTTTATCTGCTAAATGCCAGAATAGTGAGAGAGAGAATTTTTTAGACATATTTTTGAAGAAAGGGTGTACAGAGGGCACTTTTTAAAATACATATTCATGGGAGGGGAATTCAGGGAGCACTTTTCAATCTTAATGGCACTTTCTCAAAGTTTTAATGCTGGTTACATGTTCCAGTACTTTTCTAAGCGCTTTACAAAACCTTTTTTCTTTTATACATTTCATCAAATTAAAGATTATCATAAGACACGTTTGACATTTTTCATCACCTGGAGGGCATTCAACAAACTCTTTTTAGGGTCATAATTCTGACAAACACTTTTCTATGTCTTGTGTATCTTTTATCTGACCACTGGAGGGGCATTCAACATGCACTTTTTACAAGTCTGTAATTCAAACAGAGCATCCAGATGGCACTTTCCTCTGTCTCAGTTACTGGCGATGCTTTCAAAGGGCACTTTCTTATACTTTTGTCACAGGAATCAGCATCTTTAGGGTACTTCTTTAAAGTTTTTCATACTGGAAGGGCATCCAGAGAGCACCCTTTACATTGTAACCTTTGGCAAGGCATTCAGGAGGCACAGTGTCAAAGTGATTTCAGGAAGTGCAGCCAAAGGCACTCTTTTGCAATTTTACAGCTGATAGGGCATCCAGAGGTGACTTGGTACATTTGATCAATCTTTAAAAAAAATTCCAAACTTGTGAATCAAATCAAAAGAAGTACCTCTTGTTTTTTTTAATGTCTTTGGAGCAACAGAGCGGTAGTTAAGCTATGGGTTCACTACGATTTGTTAGTAAAAATGCAAGTGGAACAGTGGGTGCATGTTGTGCCAGGTTTATTTAAGTTCAAGTATCAAAATAGAAGTATACAGAATTCATTTGATTCAAGTTCTCTAGGTTTCCACAAAGAAAATATAGCATTATGTGATCACAGTATCAGTAATTAAATAATCTAATTAAATAATATAACAGTGTAACAGTCTTCATATAAATGGGTAAATGTTCTGTTTAAAACATTTATTTTTTCAAGTAGCTGACTTTTAAAGAAAGTCAGCTACTTTAAAAGATTCTTTAAAAACCCAAATATCTGGGTTTACAAAATAAATAGAAATGTAAAAATAGACATTAAGTCATACTAGAACATGATAAATAGAAATAAATAGTATAAATTTAATGACTAAGAGCAGCAAAGTCTGTCTCTCACAGAGAGACAGGATTGAAACAGAGAAAAACTTAATCTGTTGAGACAAGACGATGTCCCTGCTGAGTCAGTGTAGAGCGCCTCCTGCTGGCAGCACCTGAAGCTGTGATGGAGTTCATCAACACTTCTAGCTGTTCCAAGTGACATGTAGTTTCCTTCCTGATCAGCTCCCAGGATGCAACACTGCCACCCTGAATGCACAGAAACACAGTCAGTACCACAACGCAAAAGATGTACACTTATTTTACTCTAAGCTTAAATGATCTATTTATTACTCTAAGGTCAGAGCCAGAACAAGCTCAGAATCAGAATCAGAAATACTTTAATGATCCCCAGGGGGAAATTGCTTTTTGTTACAGTCACTCCAGTGCAAATTAAGTAGAAAGAAGAGATAAATGAATAGATTAAATAAGTAAAAATAAAGAAATAATCCAATAATCAAAATATACAACATATACAGTTTATCGATATACAAGTATGTACACTATATGCCACACAAAATAGTAAAATAGTATGCATATAACTCAGTTCTTGCAGTACACTTACAGTACGGTCCAGAGTAGCTCTGGTCAGTCTCCTGTAGTAATTTCTCAATCTGTGGTCCACACCTTTTTTAAGGGGCACCTAAAACAAAACCAAAGCAGATAATTTTCAGTTTAAAATTCAAAAAATAAAAGACAAAGACGTGGAAGTTTGTTTTTTTGTTTGTTTGTTTTTTTGGAGAGAATATGACAGAAGAAACTTAAACTGAACATTTGGCAGTGAAGTCACAGTTGATGTTTTAGCGATGAAGAGAAGCAGAGCAGTTTTGGTAGTTGAAGAAGTTGATGTTTTGCAGTGAAAGGACCTATTTTGTCAATAAAAGCAGTTGTGGTTTTGGCAGTGACAGAAGTTGATGTTTTGGTCGTGTAGGTAGAGTTTTGCCAATAAAAAACTTGTTGTACTGAAAAATACTAATGATGTGGTTAAATTTTGACAGTGAAAGAAATGCAGTGTTTACAACCAAATGAAATGTTGACAGTAAAAGAAGTTGAATTGCAAGAAGAGAATTTGTTGAAATGGCAGCAGCTGAAGGTCTTGGCATTTTTGTCCATCTACTTACACAGTCGTTGAGTTCCTCCGTCTGTCTGTGGATGATCTCCCCAGAGACATTCAGTGTGTTGTTTTTGCAGGTAACTGAGGTGAGGTTTACCTGCCTGTTGATGGACACCTAAAGAGGACATCAAAGGGGAAAGAGTTCAACAAAGTTTGGCATTAAAACTAGAGGATGAACAAATAAAAGAAAGAAGTTGATGCAGCTCAAAGTGAAGAGAAACTCAGAGAAACTGAGAGGGTTTACACCGTGCTGATCTGAAAGTGTACTCACACAGCGGTTGAGCTCCACTTTCTGTCTGTGGATAGTACCAAGAAATTGTTCCATCTTAATGTGATCCCAGGGGACTGAGGTGAGATTCTCATGGCAATAGAGGTCAGTTATCATTATCAGACTGTCTCTGATGAAAACCAGCTGAGACTCCACCTGGTAACAGAGGGGCAGAGGTGTGAATTCAAGCCTTCTGATTGTTTCAATGTGTGTGGATGCAGAGCAAAATTTGACTTAAATCATATTCAAATACAAAAAAGGAGTCATTGCTTACCTCTTCTTTACGTATGCTGCTGTAAAGTCTGTATGGAAAGGGAACTCCAATCCTCTCTTCAGTCAGCGGGTCTCCCTGAAATATGAAGATATAATTACATTCACGTTCACCACATCACACTTGTGAAAAAGCTCTGCCAAATGAATCAGCTCCACTGTAAGGGGGAGGATTAGGGCCACTCTAAAACAAAGGTTAAGGTAAAAATTATTTTAACTCTGACTTCAAGGTTAGAAATCTGACTTAAATCTCATAATCTTTGCTCCTTTTTAGAGTCAGAGTTCTGAGATTAAATTAAGGGATTTGACACTTTTTCCTCAGATTTCTGTCATTAAATTCAGAATTCTGACTTTAATCTCATAATTCTTTAATGAAATTTTAAAGACTGTCGGAACTGTGAGGAAAAAAAGTTAAAATTCCGAGATTTATCCAGAATTCTGACAGTTATGTAACATAATGAGATTTAAATCAAAATTCTGAAAGCAAACAGATTTTTGAGAAAAAGGCACAACACTTCGATTTTGACTTTGATCTCAGAACTGTGACTTTAAAAAACAGATAAAGGTCACCATCTTGACTTTTTTTGGGCAACATTCCTATATAAAAAAAAAACTAAATTTGATGTGAGAATTCTGAGAATTTATCCAGAATTAAAAAAAATAAATTAAAAAAAAGTCAGAATTCTGAGATTAAAGTAAATATATTTTCTGTACCACTGGTCTTATGAGACAGAAAAAAAACCTCAGCTAAAATAGGAAACTTTAATCAATAGATGTCAAGTTACAGGACTTGAATCGTTTACCGTTCTAATTGCAGTAATTTACCTAACACTGGTCAGAAACATTTTTAAAATTACAACTTAATTCATTTCCGTGAGTGTGAAGATTTTTGTGTATATCTTAATATTTTTTTAATCTATGCCAACATGTTACATTATCTTTGCTTTTTTTCATTAAAAGAATATATATCATGTATGAAGTCTGTGTTTAATAATCTGTTTGGACAAATATTAAAGTCCTAAAGTTTACCATGTATTAATATGTTCACATAAAGTCATAAAAACTATTTCTACCAATGCAAAACTATTGTCCACTTTTAATATGCGAGTATTCAGGTCCTATAGAGGTGAATAAATGTATAGTATGTTGTAGATAAGAGCGAATGTATTTCACTATATATGAATGCCAATACTGAAGATGCATAATTACCACTATTAATCTTTCTAAACTTCTACACTTTTTTTCCACATATTATAACATGATTTGTTCCAACACCCTCCAGGACCTGGATTCAAATGTTGCTGGACTTACCATGAGCTGGACGAGCTTCAGAGATTCTCCATTCAGACGACCAAAGTGTCTAAGCCAATCACAGCTGAAGGCAGGGGTCAGGATGCTGCAGAGGACAAGGAACAGGCCACTCCAACTGGACATGATGAAGGTGATAAAGATGTTGGCAAGTTGCAGATTGAACTGTATGTGAACATGTTGCTGATCTGAAGACAGGACTTTTATTCCCACCGGGAAACGGAAATCAATAAAGAATGAAAGACAGAAAGTCCCAAAGTATTTCTACTCTCACTACAGCCACACGCCCACACAACCACACATGAACACACATAAACACATACAGTACATACTTATAAAGTGAAGCTGTTGTACTTTTGTTTTCTTTTTTTTCCAGTTTTATTAAATCCACAGTTTTGATAAGTCTTAATCGGAAAATTCTGTTTCTATCTATATAATTTAAAAGTGTTTTAAAGTGTGCTGAACTTTAAAAAAATGAGTAATGTTCCTTAAATATATCTGAAGTGAAATGCAGCAGTATAAAGCCTGTGAATGATACTCAAGAAAGAACCTGCACTCTATCTTGCTATTGATTTTATCAATTTTTGCAATTGTTCTTTTCTCATGTGTTTTTGATGTGAAAAAAAATCACAGAATTGGATTTATTAAACATGTATAATTTTATTTCAATGAATATTCTTAGATCATTCAAAAATAAATTTTTGTTTAAAAAAAGTGACAGTTGAAAAATCAATCCATAAAACTTAAATTGAAACTTGTTTTCAAAGCGGAAAGTTAGCTTTTCAACTTGAAAGTCCCTCCACTTTCATTTTCCAAAGCGGCTCCAAAAGGGATATTCTCTCACTCGATGGCCTTCAAAATAAAAGCTCATGTCTGCAGTCTCTCTTGTCGGAAGAGTAGAAATTCGAATTTTGAGCATATGTAATAAAAGTAAGTTTTGATATGAAATATCAAATGAACTAACACATCACACTGTGTGCTAAGTGTTAGCTGAAACACGGTTTGCTTTTATTCTGAAGGCAACACTCCGTCCGCTTCCTGACAGCAGACTCTACTCATTTTCCTTACTGTTGCTTAGTTTCACTTTCTGGCCGTCAAGGAAACAGACGCCGATGATGCAATGCTGTAATGCCATCTCTGCAGATGTTATCGCCTGGTAAAACCAACAAAAAAACGTGTCATTCACAGGAGATAGAAATAGGAAATGGAGAACAAAAATAAACGCTTTGTAATGGCACAGGTGTCAAAACGAGAAGTGAACTTTTTTATTTTCATTCATCGTTTCGACCCTTTTCCCTTTTTACACATGTATCATTCAGAAAGTGACGTTGATTTTAGGTCAGTTCGAGTCATAAAACTTTCACTCAGACTATTCTTATCATAACAAACAGAAACTATGAAACTATGTGGTGACCAGACCGGTTGTATCTCCAACTAAATCAAGTCAGTATAGTTCTGACACTGATTCTGCACAAGTTCAATTTGCTTCTCCCTCTGCTTGTTATATATATATATATATATATATATATATATATATATATATATATATACACACACATCATGTTCACTGAGTTGGGGAAAAGTTTTCATTTAACTCATTTAACTCTTTTTAGTCGACCTTAACATTATCTTTGCTGCTGGGTGTTTGATTGTTTTTTGTTAAAGCCAAGCATTTAACTGAATTATAAAGTATTTTGCTGCTTCTCTTGTAAATATTATGTCTGTAATCTCATTGTCATATTGTGTCAGTGTGGACCATTATTGTTGAATTGAAATTCAAATTTGACCTAACACGATTAATTTAAATCTGATTACTGCTTGAATTTTGCCCAGTTCTATGCAAAAAAGATTAACTTTAAACTTTATATCTTTTCTCAATATTTGATAGAAGAATTCTAACTTTATACAAAGATTTACCTCAGAGACATAATATTCAATATTGCATTTTCTTTGATTTAAGCGGACTTGTTTGTACTGTACAGTGGGTTACTAAAACTTCTTTCCTCCTTGTTACAATTGCCCCAGTCTCCCCTCCCCTACTTAATTTTAATTTGACAATAAAAAGTACATTTACACATACATATAATATATGACATTTTCTACCTAAGATCATCAAACTTCAATCAATCAATCACTTTATTTATAAAGCACTTTTCATACATGAACTTGTATTCCCAAAGTGCTGTACACTTTGGGAATACAAAATAGAATACAAAATAAAACACAAACTGCAAAACCCCACCCACCCTCCCTCCAAGCCCGCATGTAACAGAGACTCACCCACCCACCCACACACACACACACACACACACATACACATACACACACACACACACACATACACATACACACACCACCACCAGGACACCAAGTCTGGGCTCAACAGGAAGCCACAGAGGACCAAGGAAATGCCATCTTAAACTAAAACGGGGAAACACAGGAGCTGAAGCTAAACTGATAAAACCATGAAAAGATATAAAAAATAAAATGAAATAAAACAACAACAAGAACAACAACAATAATAATAATAATAATAATAATTATTATTATATTCAAATCATATATAAAACTGTTTTAAAATAAAACAATAAAAGAAAATAAACAAATAGTGTTAAAATACAACATAATAATTCTAGGACTAAAGTGGAGTAAAATACATAAGATAAAAAAAAGTAGACTAAAAGAGATGCTAGAAGAATAAAACAAAAATCAGCTTAAGGCCAGACTAAAAAGGAAGGTCTTGAGTTACAGTAAATTATGTTAGATCTGATGTGTTTGAAGAAGATTAAACTTCTACAGTCCATACCAATAATACGTTTAGTTATTCAAAATAAATATGCCATCGTTCATTTGAGTCCAAAAATCATTATGTGTAGAATGGTGAAATAATGTTGTGAGTGTATTTTTTATTTATTTATTTATTTTTTTCATTTTTGAAAAAAAGTGCAGTTTTTATCCATTTCTGATATTTTGGAGATACATACATTTGTTCAAATTTTTATAAATATGTAAGACCTTTATATGTATTTCCTCAATCTTATTCCTGATACTTTATAAAGTGAAAGCCATTCTTGTTTCCAATTAAACTTCACCGATGACTGAAATCAAATAATACTGCATAAGAGCATACATTCAACGAATTAGGGCACAATGATTGGTCAGACGAGGATGCCGTCACTCAAAGCTGCCTTCTCATTGGTTATCTGTGTAGATCCCGCCCCTGAACGGAAGCGCGGCAGAACGAGTGCTCGATAAATACAATCAAATGGCGGGGACTGAACCTTGCGCAGCCTGTTCAATTTTACCTCGTCTAATGTGATGGAGGTGGACATCCTGGAGTTTAAGGTTCCCGTGGAGAACAATAAGACCCTGTTTGTGTGGGACATCCAGCCCTCTCTCCCTGAGGCGGAAATCTATGTGAGTGCACCTGGATCAGGTTTTTACTGAACATTTACTAAGTTTTGAAGACTCTACATTAGCCGTTTAAGGCTAAGTCATCACCATAGACAATTTCTCTCTTTCTCTCCCCCTCCCTCTCTGATAGTAAGCTTTTGTCATTATGTGTTTGTTTGTTTGTTTGTTTGTTTCAGGGCGGGCTGCACCGCCTGTTCTCGTCTTTCGGTCCTCTCTACCTGTTGAAGGTGTGCCCCAACGCCCCTCTCAGCCCACCAGGGTTCTATGCCCTCATCAAGTTCTACTCTGCTGCTCAGGCCTCAAAGGCACAAAGGCAGACGGACGGACACTCGCTGTTTCAGAGCTATCCTCTCAAGGTCTTCACCTCACACACTGTCAGCACCTCTCTCTCTCTCTCTCTTTCCCTTTCCCTCTCTCCCACATACACACACACACTAACACACATACACAGGCATTCTGTCATGCATAAATCATGCACAGCAATAGGTGATTGTGGTGAGCAGGAGTGGTCATTATTTAGAAAAAAATAATATCTGGTTGTTTGTCATGAATCTCTCAAAGTTCATGCACTAAAAATAAGATGTAAAAGGTCAGAAGGTGAGTTTTCTTCATTGTTCCTCTGTTATTTGCATTGCAACCTTTTCGAGCATGACCATCTTTTACTGCAGCTTTAAACATCCTCAGAAAATTTTGTTGGTCATTTTTTTTTCCTGTTTTCAACATTTAATAACCATGTTAAATTTATAGACCTGAAATTACATTAAAAAAGCTTAAGTTAAAGAAGAAAATCAATGATAATTCCCCTTCAGATAATAACGATTACGATTATCTAGAAGAAGTTTTGGAGGTGTATAAAATGTCTTGTAGGGTGTCATTCCCATCAATTTTAAAAAATGCAGTGCAGAGGGACATTCCATTCAATTTTTTAAAAATGCCAATCAAAATCTGCAATCATGACAGACTTGATCTCAGTCAAACTGCAGTAAATCTTTTCTATACAGTTTTGATTGGATACATATGTGGTCAGTCTCTAAAGCAACGGTTGCATCATGAGTTGATGGGAGGGGATGACATGATGTTGTTGTGTCGCTTGCGTGTTTTAAGGTCAAATGAGGGCTGCTGGTTAGATCAAATCTCTGCAGCATGTTGGTCGCAAGAGATGAGCGCAGTTTGTGTCGTTGAGCAGAGGGTGGCAGTGTTGTTCAACATGAGGCTCAGGGATCTATATTTGTGGTTCAAAAGGATCAGTTATTTCTCTATTTACTCTATTCGTCAAGATGCATTTCATTTAAGGAACAAAATACATTAAAAAAATAAATGAATGCTCCCTTTAATAGGGATGTTTGAAACGTGTTTTTGTTAAAGAACAATCCAAACAGGTCAAAAGTTATGTTATGCCAAAAAAAAAACAGCTGGAGGAACATCTCCATTTACAACAGGTTAGTTACATGACTGCGTGCGTGTGTGTGTGTGTGTTTTCAGGTGCGTCTAAGTTCCAAACAGACGCCTTACTTCCTGTCTGACAGCAGCACACTTCTGAGCCACGCCCGCTGTGTGGAACTGGCCAATCACTGCCTTGGGTTCAACGGCTGGACCTCTGACATCATCACAGTGAGAACCACACACACAGAATTCATCTAACCATACCTGTACATACAGGTGAGCAGACGTTTGTGTTTGACCCTTCAGCTGAAGGAGCTCACAGATGAAGATGGAGGTGAGGAAGAGGAGGAGCTTCAGGAGGAGGACGGAGGCAGAGAGAGAAGGCTGAGGTTTGGCTGTATGTTGCGGCTCTCCTTCCCTCATCACGGACAGACGACCAGAGCAGCAGCTGTGGTTGAGGACCGCTTCACCTGCACAGGTCAACAAGGATATGTTGACGCTCTCCTAAAAGAGATTTTTAACCTGAGAAAGGCTCACTGATTCTCACTGAAATTAAAATTAGGCTTCTGATGGCCTGATTTTATCACATGACAATTTGTATATGTATGATTTATAGATTTATAGATTATAGATGTATGATTTGATATGACACAGCCCTAATGTGGAGAGCAGAATCCATACCAAGGTTGAATCCTGAAATATTTAGGAACTGAAATTTACAACCCCCATCAAATCCACAAATCTTGTAAATATGGAACCAGTTTCTTATCTGTCTTTTTTTTCTTTTCTCTTTTGGATTTGTTTAAAGAGTTTATGTTTATAACCTTTGGCTAAAGATATCTTTTGTGTGTGTGTGTAGGTCCGGATGTTTTCCTGCAGAAACGTTGTAAACTACAGAGGCTGGTCAGACAAAGAGCTCTAGCTCAGGCCTTCTCCACAGTACTACTTATATTACTCGGTAATACTGCTAAAAATACTGTTGCTATTAATCTAACTTGTGATTCTACTGCAGCTATTTTAACACATCTACTGAAGCATTTACTGACACTATTAGTCTACTACAGTTAGTGATGCTAACCCTAACTCTAACTGTTAACAGCTGCTGCTAGTGTAAGTTCTGCAAAAAACATACTTTTTATTTCTTTTAACTTACCTTCTTCCATTACAACTGCAGCTACTTCTACTACTTTTACTATCAGTACAACTACTATTACTTGCTATTGCTATTACTTATACTTGTATTATCACAACTTCTATGACTGCTGCATCTATACTTCCACAGAGACTATTGTTACTACTGCTAACTCTTATTTTATTCCTACCTCTGACCCTAAACTGCCAAAGTGATCAGTGTTTTGTTAAGCCCTCACTCAAGTGTGTCTGTACAGGTAACGGTAAAGTGATGGTGGAGGTGAAGCAGACCTCAGATCAGCTGTTACCTGAGGAGACTGAAGAGGTGCTACAGGTAAACACACTGATGTTCATCCGTCAGAGCAGCACACTTTGTTCACGTTCTCTGTCAGTAACACCTGTGTTTTCTCAGGTGAACCAGTTTGATCTCAAAGAAGAGGAGGAGGAGGATGACGAATGGGACCTGACTGTGTCATAGAGTGGTGCATTGTGGGAAATTGTGCATGTTGAAGCTTAACTTATTCAATAAATTTGTTTCTTTGGTTTCATGTATGTTTTATTCTGCTTTTTAATGTTTATTTTTTCTGTTCGAAAATCCAAAATAGTGGCAAAAACATCAGTTTACATTTGAGGAAAACAATCTAAGAAGGAATACATGAACTTAAGTGACAAAAAACTGCAGTTCCACAAATGGCCACCAGAGGAGGTCTCCAAAAATGAGTCAGGCCCCTAAGAACTTCATGTAAAAATATCCAATTTCACAGCAGAAATCAACACATTTATAGCCTGGTACAAAACCTTCGTAACTTATTTCTCTGTTTGCGTCAACTGAACAAAAGTGATATTTTTTAGAATAATCACCTGTTTATGTAAGGGGTTCATAGGCAATAAAGCAATATCTCAATATGTTGTCATGCAGAGGTAGGAGGGTTTACCACACTTATAGAAACATACAATGTGCAAACAAACAATCCTCATCCAGACTTAAATGTGCGTCATCAGTTTCCCCAATTTCTCCTTCACCATCTGCACCCCAGCTGGAGTTACATCCAGGTGCCCCACCACCTTCAGGTAGCCCTGCACATATCAAACAGTACAATACCAACTGTCACAAACTGCATTTAATTAATTTAACAAAAAAGACTGACTGGCTTAAGGTATTTAAATTGAGTTTTGTATGAAATATTATTTTCCACTTAATGTAAGTTCAATCGAATTAAATGTATTAGCATGATAATAAATGAACATCTGGGGTTATAAACTCAATGAACTTAAATTAAACATGTCAGATGCTGAACACACACACACAATAAACTGTGATTAGACTCTTCAATCTTGTTTGTATTTCACAGATTAAATCAGGTAACAACCAGCTTGATCACTGCTCCTCTGTAGAATCATATCTAAATTTTACATAACAGATGTGATGGACGTTTATTAATATCACTCACCTTATAATACTTAATCTTTGCATGAGAAAAGTCCACAATTTCTGGCAGAGGAATCTGTACACCTGTAACACAAAAGTCAAACCTTTTAACTCCGCTGTAAACTTAAATGACACAAACTTCACATCTTTACATTGAGATAGACCTCATTTCAGTTGCATTAAAATATTTGAATATACTTTAGGTTTTTCTTTTTACATTTACAGATAAATGGAATCTTTGCATGTTTCACATTTGGTTGAAAAATGCATGAACACATTAATTGCTGGTCTATTTTGCCTCAAACTTGACACGAGCATATAAAGCCTGGAGAGAGAATATTTGTTATCAAGGATGTATAGATATTATAGAAGCAAGTGTGTGCATATCAGTGTCAGCAAGCTCACCACGAAGTAAGCTCTTCACCTTTCTCTCCAGGAAGTTATTCATACCTTTCACCTGCACAGAAACAACACACATTCTCATCACTTAATGTTTTCAACCTCAGACATGGAGAAAGAATCAGACGGACGGGATCTTACCATCGCTTTTCTGAACCAGTTTTTGGTTTCAATGGAACATCTAATAAATAAAGACGTTTTTGTTGGGGGGGTTCATGCAAACAGGACTCTTCAGTATATTTTACTGTGTGTGTATGTTAATGTGAGTGTTACCTGACGTCATATGAAGGGATAGTAAGCGCCTGTCCTGTGATGGCAACCTTTGCGGTAACCTTGAGCCTCTGGTGGAGACAAATCATAAATATTTAATTTCTGTACATGTACTCAAAACTTTGTTTCTGACCAGCTGACTTTAAAAAAGATTGAGTGTAAATATCTTCACAGGTCTTCAGACCCAGATGTAAATTAACTTGTAGTAAATAGAAATGTTCTGGTCTTTCCAACCACTCAAAGGTCACATTAACCCACTCACACTTGGTTCATACACTGATGGCAGTGGATGCAAATCAAGGGGACCAACAATAATTCCATCAATACAAATTCAAACAATGTAAAAATGTTACCAGGAGTGACTTAAGCCTTAGTGTCTTGCCCAAAGACACTTCAGCATGTGACTGTAAGAGCTGAGGTCAGGTTGTCAACCTTCTCATAGTGAGGAAACCAATGAGTTACTCTTCAATGTAACTTACTGAAGAAAAAGGCATCTGCTAAATGACATTGTAACTGCCATCTGCAGGTCTACAGCAGTTTGGGTCAGCAAATTCAACAGCAAGTCAACAAGGTTTTGACAGATCTGCACTGTTTACTTGACCTGATAAAGTCTTGAGTAGGTATGCAGTTTTACAAAAGTTAGTTACAGCCTACAGTGGCATTCACAGTCTATATCTTCCCTACTGTAACCCCGACCTGACCCCACCCCAAAGTCTTGAGTGTTTACCATTGACACAGAGAAGAGATTTCTACGTTTCTTGATAGTCTTGATCTTTTGAGCCTCATGTTTAAAAACTTGAACTCTGGCTCTGACATTCACAGTGACTCCATCTCTCCGATTGATGCAGATTTGGGGCACTTCAGTGAGTCCTGCTTCCATAGCTAGAGTATTCCTTAGCCCCAATGGTTGCTGTGGAAGAAACAGCATTGATTTTCACCAGTGGCTTTGATTTATATAAAAAAAATTTACTTAGTGTTTCAGCTTACTCTGAAAAACTGCAGAGTTCTGAAAACATTCTTAAGAGCTGCTTTGGTCACCTGGTGAGAAAAGAAGAGGAGGTTTAGATTCTCAAGATCTGTTTCAATTTCATCACACCAATATCCACCTGAAATGTCCCTAGTGTGGTCTGGGCTGGATTTGAACGGTAAAATATTGTTATAATTAAAGTGAATCTATTCAGGCTGTGGGGCTGACAGGTCTGTGGTTGCTGATAAATGTTCTGGAGTGTGTATTTTTGCATTCTCTTGACTGTTTTGAGTAACTGAAGGCTCCTTTATCATAGAGAGATGTCACTTAATGGTTAAAGTGGCTCTCGTTAATTTTTAGTTCCATGTCCCAGGGAGTAAAGTCTTTTTATCTTCATTTCTAATGTCAAACCAGTTTTAACAAAGTGTACCCGGCAACTTTAAAAGTTAAACAGATAATCAACAGGACCAAGGTTTAGCTCCTCCTTTTATGCTGTTTTATTGTCACAAGTGCCATACAAACTTAAAGGGCAGAGGGCTCTTTAAACAGAGCCAAACAGCCAAATATAATCTACTGCACGCATATAATTACTTTGACGAAAGTGGACCTAACTAAAGTCCTCTTGTGTCTGTGTTTGGTTGCACCAAACTAAAGATTCAATGTAGCATCTGGTGACAAAAATATTGTTGTAGAAATGTCTCTTCAATAGAAATAATCTGCATCTTTCAAGTTATACCTTCTTTGAACCTTTAATTCCTTTAAAGTGACAGTGAATCTGTTCAGGCTGTGGGGCTGACTGGTCTGTGGTTGCTGATAAGTGTTCTGGTGTGTGTATTTTTGCCTTCTCTTACCTGCTTTGTGTGTCTGAGGGCTCCTTTATCATAGAGAGACGTCACAAAACGGTTGAAGAGGCTCTCATAAATTTTTACTTCCATGTCCCATAAAGTTGATTTTTTTTTCATCTTCATTTCGAATGTCGAGTGTTAACAAAGTCTACCCGGCTACTTTGAAAGTGAAACCTATTGACATACAGATTATCAACAGGTCCAAGGTTTACCCAACCCAGCTCCTCCTTTTATGCTGTTTTATTTCACCAGTGCCATACGGACTTTAAGGGCAGTGAGTCACACAGTACGCATATAATTACTTTACTGAAAAAGTGGACCTAACTAAAGTCCTCTTATGTTGCACCAAACTAAAGATTCAATGTAACGTCTGGTGACGAAAATATTGTTGTAGCAATATAATTTTAATAGAAATAATCTGCATCTTTTAAGTAAAATGTTTAAATTCTCTGCAAATTAACTATGATTTGAAAGCTTTGATCTCATTTGGATTAAAGTTGGGTGTTGTTTTCACTTCTCTGTTTTTGAGTCAATTAAAACTGACATGCAAATAATCAGTCTAGCTGCAGCATGCCCACCTCTTCACTCCTCAGTCACACAGTTAACAACACTTAAAGTATTGTGAAAGAGTATTGAGTGGAGTAGGTTGGAAAAAACTGATTGACCCTGAACACATCATGACAGGAACCAACTTAACTATCAAAAAATACTTTAATATTATCAACATACAACAGTTTACCACAGTGATGACACATCACATAATGTTCGACACATACATGTGCTGCTTTCAAGTGCTGTCAGAAAAAACAGCGTTATATAAAAACACCTAAAAACTTGAAATACATCACAAAAGTGTTTTTTTTATGTTCAGCCAGCTGTTTCTTATGGAATCATCCAGCACCTGAATGCAACACCTCTGTATTTAACTGTATTTTAAGGCGCCCTTGAAGGCAGCACATCGACATAACAACATCAAAACTCATTTCACACTCACTTCTGCTGTAATGTTTGGCTCTTAAATTCACTGAATCAGGTATTGTTTACCGTCTTTCTCATAGATCAGTCGGCCTTTCGGTCGCCTCGAGTGTCCACAGCCGACTAACTCAAAGACAAGAACCACCTCTTATTCAATATCATTGGTCTCTCACATATTATCTTTCCAGGAGGCAGAGAGGTTATAAGGAAATGAAAAAAAACACATGAGGAACCACACACTTCAGATAGACTTAAACATCAAAATACACCGTAAAAGAAAAGAAAACCTGTGTACACAGATTGTAAACACTAAAGCAGGTTTTCGTTAAACAGCAGACACACAAGCACACAGGAAGGCAGGTATTAAATGGCAGTGTTTGGTTCATTTTGGTCCACTTTGGTCCCGAATATCTTGGTCTTGTGTGGTGCAGGACATGTTGGATGGGTCCATTTCGGGTTGTAGTTGAGCAGTCAAGGTTGACATTATTGTTGTTTGGTCTGGTGGATGTGCTAGTCAGTTCAGGATGGGTTGGGCACTACTTGGTCTGGTTCTTGGATGGTCTTGTTTGGTCTCATTTTGGATGCATTGGTCAAATTTGACCTTACTGAAAATATGTTGGCCTGGATTGAACTGGCTGAGGATTTTTCAGTGTTTTTTGGTCCTATTCTGGCTGTTTCCTTCAGGTTCCCAATAATTCAAGATGTGACGGTGGGGACCAAAATGGTTTGGTCAGTTTGGTTTGGTCGATAATGAGTTGTTCTGGGTATATCTTGTATTGTCTCATTAAGGTTTGATCAAAATTAGGATATGTTAATCCGGTGTTGTGTGTCTGAGGATCAGCACAATTTACATTAAATCTTGGTTTGGCTGGATTCAGGATGCATTGCTCTGGTTCTGTTTTGTGTGGGTCATGTTGAGCTGCTGTGGGCTGATCTTGTGTCGCCTTATCCATTTCTGGCTCAGGAAGTGCTGGTCAAATCCTGGCCAGGTTGATCTGATTGTGTCTGGTCCATGATGAAACTTTCTGGGTTGGTCTTGTTTGGTCCAATTCAGGATGTGTCTGTTTGGTTCTGTCCAGTCTGAGATGTGTTGGTCTGATGCTGTACAGTTCAAGGGTGTGTTGGTCCAACTGGTTTGGTCTGGTCCACGTTTAGTTTTTCTGTACTGGCTGTCTTTGTTCCCATTCAGGTATGGTCTGGTTCATCTGTGAGACATGTTGTTCTGGTGTTGTATGACTCAGGATGTGTCGACCCAGCTTAAAGCCAACCAGTTTTGTTTGGTTTGTTGGTCTGGTTTGTTCTGGTGTGATCTTGGTCAAGATGTGTTGATCTTGTGTGGTCTACTTTGGGATGTGTTCTTCCGATTTGGTTCACACTTGTTGATCTGACTTGGTTCAGGATTTGTTGGTCCAGTTCAGAGTCTGTTTTCACGAACACCGCTGGTCTTTTACTGTGTCTCCGTCCATAAAGTGACCCAGTGTTTTGGGGACTTTCTGCTTCTGGATGAGGACACGTGGTTTTGGATCAGAAAACCATCAGTGTCAGTATACTGCTGCTGTTCTTCTTTACCCATAATCCTCCCCTGGTGGAGCACTGTGGCCCGCCATGCCCTCCGACGCTCAAAGAAACCGAACTGCAATCAAAACATGGAGAAGGGTGAATATATGAGACCACTGGCACTATCAAGTGGCCAGTGAGGCAGCTGTTTATGCTGAATTTAGAAAGTGAGAAAGAGTGATTAATGAAAATGTATCAATACATCGACCATCTACTACTGATAGAAAAAAAAGTGCAGTAAAGCATGAGTGGAGAGAAAGTGACCAACGAAAGTACAAAGATTAGAGAGTTGACATGGCAGGAGTCAGATCAGCTGGAAAAAAGGAGGAGGAACTTTTTCCAGGTAAGCCCCGCCCCCTTCGACCCAAAGCGAGGGAATAAAAAGTCAGCAAGAGTGACGAGTAACCAGGCAGAAACAGTCTGTCGGCGGCAGTCGGTCAGTATTTAGTCAAAAAAGTCAGGAAAGACAGTAACAATAAGTTTAAAATAGTCATGTAATAACCAGTTAGATGTCAGGAACAATCAACGACACAATATCAGAAAAAGTTGGTTATCTGGGGTTATCTGGGGTTCTTGATTGATGACCACATGTCTTTTAAGGCACATATGCTGTACTGTAAAGAAGTTGAAGATTTTACTTGGATTTTACTTTAGAAATAAGTCTTGCTTTTCTTTTAGGGTGAAACAGAAACTAGCAGAGTCAACCTTTCTTCCAATTATTGATTACGGTGATGTGTTATACATGAATGCCTCTGTTCAATGCCTCCACATGCTGGATAGTGTGTATCATGGTGCTCTGAGGTTTATTACAAACTGTGGAGCTCTAACACATCATTGTGTCTTATACAGTAAAGTAAATTGGCCATCTTTACATCTGCGCCGGCTTGGCCATTGGTACTGATTGGTGTTGATTTATAAGGCTATTCTTCAGATGACTCCATCTTGTTTATCATCCATTTTAATCTTGAATAATAGGGCCTACAGTCTCCACTCCAAGGACTTTTATCATTTTACTGTTCCTAAGGTCAGAACAGAAATGGGGAAGAAAGCTTTTAGATTTTCTTCTCAGACCTGAAACTCCAATGTCTGGTATCTCTGAATGTATTCAAATCCATGATAAATTCCATTACACCCAGGCTTCAGGAGTGCAAATGTTTTATTTGAGTGCATATGTTTGCCGAATCTTGTAAATTCTTTTAACTTATTTTGAAAATTCAATTATTATTTGTATTCTTTGTATTGTATATGACTAATGTGATTATGTATTAAAACTATAAGCACTGCCATTCTTGGCCAGGCCTCTCTCGCAAAAGAGATCTTGGATCTCAGTGGGACAAACCTGGTTAAATAAAGGTTATAGTAATTATAATAAAGATGGTAGTAGTCAGTTAATTGCTAGGCAGATAAAGATTAAAAGTAACCAAACAGTTAGAAATAGTGACAGTCAGGAAGAGTTGGAAACACTCAGTTACAGTCAGAAAGAGTAAAAGTGAGTAGCAGCAAGAAACCAGGAAGCAAGAAGTGGTCATGTTCAAAAAACTGTCAGAAACAGACGGTTAAGAGTCAGTACAGTCATCCAGTAGCCGGTCCTTACAGCAGAGCGCTCTACCAGCAGTGTGCCCAGCCTCATAGCTCCTGGTCAAGCCTCTCATGCTCAGATGGCTGGCTCTTTATGTGGGCTTTCTGGGTCTTTGGTTCATACAGCTCTCTGGTCCTGGCTCTCTTGAAGAAACCACACTGAACAGCAGGGGGCGAAACAATAGTACTTAACAAACCAGGATCGAGTGATGACAGTGAAAACATGTGATGTTATGGTGACGACACCTCTAGGGATGGGAATTTATGGGACTATGTCTATACCAATGCCATCCATTCCACTCACAGATGTAATTCTTCATCAGTTCCCTTTACCAATTCTTTGTCAACGCAAATTTTGTTGTGTTTTGTTATTGTAGCTGCTCTGTTGAGATGAAAAGCCTAGACTCTAATTGGGGGTCAGAGGTACAGCCTCTGAATCAAAGATAGCAATCCTTGTCAAGTATTTTCATCAGAAATAAAATTACTCAAAAATCATCACGGATTAGCAGTTTTTTTTAGGGACAGGATCCGGATAGTGTCTGAAAATTCTATTGCACTAACTAAAGCTGGTTCCTATACCCAACTGGTTATCAATTCCCAACCCTAGACAAAGCAAAATATAATAATAATAACCCATAGGTCTGTGGTCCACAGTAGACACTGAACTAAAACTATGATCAAGTTGCTACAGCAGTCTGGCAGATTTTCTGTTTGTATGCGACAGTCTGGTTTACCTTCCAGAGCAGCAGGCAGATCAGAGCCAACAGGATGATTCCTGCAAGAACAGATACCACGATGATCCACAGGGGGGCGCTGGAGTCCATCTGCTCCCCCTGGTCAGGGTAAATGTGGACCTCAATCTGCAGAGGAAGAGAGTTTTAACTCAGGAGGTTACAACACAAGACTCTAGAAAAGAGAAGATGGATTATTACAGAGTCTGATCGCACTGTGGCAATAAAAGGTGCTAGCATGTGAGCAGCTTGAAACCTCTGTACTGTGAGACTCCATGCTGATGCTTGGTTTATTGGTCTGCAGCTTCAGAGTTGCCCGGGCTCGAACCAACACAGTCCTTGCATCGCTGTAATCCTGTAAGACGAGAACAAGAGGTATTGATATACAGCTATCAGGTAGAAAGACCCTGACCCAGTCATTGTGAATTTTTAGATAGTCAGACCCAGTGGCTTCGATGCAGGAATACACTTATCAAGTTTCATATTCACCAGTTTCCACCCAACACAATAAGTAATGGTTTTGTTTAATTACTTTTCTGTCTTTTTATCTTCACTTTTGGTCTCCACCATCACCTGAGGGAAGTGTTTGTCCATTTGGCCACCCAGCACTCCAATATGTTTGCTAGCTCATGCACATCTATGACAAGCTTTACTAGACTATGAATATATTGTACCTCAATCATTGTGGAGTTCCACAGCCTTGCTTTGACAGTCAGAGTTGCAGAATTGTTCATGTTCGATAGCGGACAAGCAAACTTCACACATTTTGCCCCGTGCGCACAGTCCTGCACAAAAAAAAAACCCACTGTTGTGCATAAAAGTCCTCATTGTTTGATTTAAAGTAGCATATACAGTAAATTAGTATATGTTACACATGAATACAGGATGGTCTATGCATCAGTTTCAAGGCACTGTTTATGGCCTGTTCCAGTACTCTTTAGTATTTGTTTAAAGGAACTTTTAAATGTAAATTTAAAGTCACCTCACAGTGTCAGGTTTACGGCACTCTTGCAAGTCTGTAAAGCACTAGTGCATTGATAAATGATTGTGTTCATACCAGGGCGTAGGACTTCCTTTTCTTCCCTTTCAAATGGAGGACAGGTAGGATTTTATTCTCCTGAGACTCTTCTTTCTGTTTCACTTCCTCATCCAGACTCCTCTTCCTCCTCTTCTCCTCCGACAGCTGAACAAACCAAATGACAAAACCACCAACAATCAAACAGTCCTTTTCAAAAACTTTTGGAAACGAGGTTTGTTCTGATTATGAAAAAAAAAGCATGAATGTATTATCTTTTTTTTTTCCATGGTTAACAAGCAATATCCTATAAACTATAACAAAGGGGTCCTTTAAGCAGTGTGCAAGCTTTTACTTTGAAAGGAGTCAATGTGAAGCTGATGTTAGTACCGTAAGGTTTCGAGGGTTGATGATCTTGCCAGGTGGAGCACAGCGGGGCTCGGATGTACCATTCATTTGGATCTCTGTGAGGTACAGCAGCCACTTCCCATTGGACACCTCCACTGGCCAATCAAACTCCACTCCAAGGTTGCCCAGCTGACCTAAAGGCTTCCCGTTGATGTGAATCTATCAGAGAAAGTATAAGATTAACACCCGGTCTGTTTGAAATCTATGAACAGCTAGGCTAAGTTTAGACAAACCTGTAAAGTGAAAAGGACCAAACTGCCGACATCCTCTGTGGTCTTCATGGCTGACTCACCAACAACATCACCACTGAAGGAGACGAAGCCTGGCGGATTAATCCTATTAGGGCAAAATTGACCAATGATAGAAGTGAGGTTTATAAATCAAAGGTTAACAGTGAACCTTGATAACTTTGCCTTACTTACAGAGTGAGAGATGTCTGCAGTGAATACTCGACTATCATAGAGACGGAAACAGGAGACAGATCAGACTGCTCACTAAGCCTGAAGACAAAGAGACACAACTAAGAACCTGTCAAATAATACAAAAGTGTATGCATGTTTGTGTGTGTGTGTGTCATTATGTCATACGTGGACAGCCGCAGCACAGACTGAATCAATCTGGTGTCTAAACTGATCTCAGATGGCTGAAATATGATCAAAACCTGAACCTAAAATAAAGAGAGAGATGGAAAATCAGGAAGAGGGTCAGCAGGAATATTGCTCTACAGACGAAGTATAGTAAATTGTCAAGGATATCACCTACCTTCTCATTGCTTTTGAATGGTTCCCCCAGGACACAAAGAAGAACCATATCCTGGACTGAACACTCCACTACAGTACGGAGGTCATTCTGAAACTACAAAAGGAGAGTAACTACAGTAGTCTGGCCAATTAGTCAAGACCTACAAGGGGTGTCAAAACCCAATTGGTCACATCCACCAGGGTAAGTCCCAGCACAGTCATTCAACAGAATCAGTCAAGTCGACAAAGATAGGTGTAAAAAGAAAGCCTCCAGCCAGTCAGTCACATCCTTTGGGGCCTAAATCCAATGAGTCACCCCTCTAAGGTTAGCCTCGAGAAAATTAGTCATGTCTTACAGAATTAGTCAAATCAATAAACACCCCTCACGGTATACCTTTAAGACCTTGAAGACTCAAGTCCTAAAGGGTAAATCTCTACCTGGCAGGTCAACCCAGTTGAGTCAAGCCATCAAAGTCAAGTCCCCCAATGCTCTGTCCCAAATAAATTTCAAGTATTACAGTGTTCATGGTTTCAGTTTCAGTATCTACTCTGTATTGTAGTTTGTCATGGTGCAGTTTCTTGTCTGCCAAAAGTTGAAGAATAAAGTAACTTAGTGTCTCTACCTTTGTTCGGACCGCAGAGTATATGAGGAAGGGCGGCATGTCGATGCTCAGAGCAGCATTATGAGCGTCTTCTGCAGGTCGTCCAGGTGCAGGTGTGTTGCTGACGTTGACTTCTAGGAACAATCGATTGACGCTGCTATTGTACGACCATATCTGGTTGCCCTCCTGCCTGGAAATACAAACATAGACAAGTCACTTTCTGGGTCAAGTGAAAGTCAAGTCTTACAAGCCAAGAAGTCGTATCAATCAAGTTAATACCCAAATTAAATTATTCAACAAATTCACAGGCATGACATTTACGCTCACAAGGTTGTGTAACTCAAAGTGTAAACTAGGTGAGTGGGATATATTTGTATTCATGATGAGCTTATTGAGCTGTTGTCTCCTTAAAGTGAACCCATGGTCTTGTTTGCAGTAGTTGACTCACATAGGGAAGGGTCTTTGGTTCTCATCTGTGAAATGGGCCGTCATCTGCAGGTTGCTGTTGCAGCGGTTATCATCACCACAGGCCTTCAGGATGTGGATCTAATGAATAAAGAGTGAAATTTAGTTATTTTGGACTTTGGAGATCTGCTGGTTTCCACAGATTTCACCAGGGTTTCGTGACATGTCTTCCCCAGGATTTTTTGGATTATGGTGAATGGGCAGTGTTTCTAACCCAACCCCTGAAGGGTTATGTTTGGTCTAACATGCTTTTTGATTAGTTTCACCCAGATCTTATGTGTTTTGACCATTTTTATGTTGAACCAGACATTCGCTTTATCCACAATCTAAAAGATTTTGTCAGTTCTCACCTGTGTTTTGATAGGCTTCGGTGTCTGGCTCAGCACGGGGAAGCGCTTGAGGTCCTGTACAGCATTTCTTTTCTTGGGAAGCTTCTCAAACAGAGAGACATTCAAGGAGAACACCAGAGGTTCCACTTTGTCTCGTATCGGATTCTACAAAGGTAAAAAAAATAACAAAAGCATAACTTCATCAACACTAATGCCTGAGCTCTGAGTCTGCTAGGAGTCTCTTGGAAACCTTAGGACATGATTCTTTCCACGGAAGGAACTGCTGTTTGTTACTGTTAAGACAAAACATGCCACAAAAACTACCAGCTTTTGCCACACATCAGGCATGTCCAGAATTTCAGTATTGTAAAGGTCTTGTGCAAAAACCTTTTTAACAATTGTTAAAGTAAATTTTCTCATAGAGGTTGTTTTCACCTATAATTAATTATATAAGTTTCATTGTACGATTTTGTCACACTAAGATCTACACAAATTTCCTTTGGCAACTAAACCCCAACAGGAAGTCAGCAATGTTGAACTGAATGTCAAATTTACCCCCTTTTTTGATTGTATTTGTACAAACTAGTGCTAGGGGTTTTGTTCAATAATTTCCAAAAAAGGCACAGTATACTGTAGACACACTAAAGGTCAAAATGTAGAAAAAGAAAACGTGACTTTTGGACAACGAGTGTTGCTGTGGTGAGCCCTACACCATACAACAGGACCTAGCTTTATCTCAGTCATGCATCAATTTGACCCAAACTTGGCAGGTATGTTGAGGGTCCAGATCTGAAGACATTTATATGACTCTTTTTTTAATCACAGGCATTGTGCTCCCCTAGTAACAGCAAGTTGTGTCACGCTTTCACCCTATCTGCTGATTTAAGCTCAGATTACGCTTGAAATGTTTGTGCACCAAAAACTGTGAGGTTTTGTCAAAATCACGGCAGTGGAACACATTTTGATCAATCCACTCCGTTTTTACGTTACATTTTTTTGCCATTTTTTCCCATTGACAAATGATTTAATTCAAACAAAAAAAACTTCAGAGACACTGCAACAGATATTATCTGCTGTTTGTTGACAGTCATACTTCATACGATTCACTGATGGGGGCCTTTTGTTGCAATTTTTGACCAATCGACTCAAATTTTTTCAGGTGAATTGAGTAGTGTACATCAGACCTTTGCAGAATATGAATAACCTGGCAGTAAAACATGACCTCTCTAAGAATATCAGGTCTCTGCTTGTTGATTTAGATGACGTGAAAGCCAGGAATGATCAGAGAGCTGATATTGTGAATAACTGGCAGGAATGTTGTGTAAACAGGATTTATAATCAGCAAAATAAAAACAGCAGTTTGAGGTTTTAGCAGGACAAGTCATCCCATAGCTTTCCTCTTGATTGAAATCGAACAAAACAAGAGTTCAAAACTGCAAACAAGCGCAAAAAATATGGGCAGAACACCAGACCTGATAAGAAGACAAGACAGAGGAATCCAGGAACAGATTGAACTTTAACTCAACCTGAAAGTGCACCACACTTTTATCTTTAAACCATGAAATACCTCCATCAGTGATCTTTGAATGACCAGTCTCTCAGAGTGAATCCTTCAAATGGGAGTTTACTGCAGCCTCTTGAAAAATGAACTTTTGTGTTTTTTCCCCTAAACGCTGCTGGAGAAGCAGCAGGATGTGAACTCTGTCAGCAGCAGACTGATTAAACCTCTGCAGCGAAAAATAAGCATCTCTTATCTCACATGGGGAGACTTCCTTTAATTAAAAGTCAAAATGTCGGAGATCCTTGTAAAAGCTTTTAAGATGCATGTTCAGGTCTGCTTTTTTCCTTATCGTTTCATGGCTACTGGGGTTTATGATTTTACTTTTGGTGGTAAAAAAAATGGGATTTAATCAGTGGTAGGGCTTTGTAAGTGAGCTAGTTCACCCTGTTGTAATTCTGGGCCTGGTGTTGTAGTATACTGTTATTATTGCACTGTTCTATTTATATATTTGCATTACTTTTCATTGACTATAACATGGATGGTTAATGGTTTGGTGCATGTTTGTGAATGCTCAGTTTGTGTTTAAGTCTCACCAGCAGTCCCACTCGCAGGGTTTCACACTGTTTCTTTGGCATGGACACGTAACCAGAGTGCACGTTCTGCCTGCTGTCCTGGAAACGGAGGCGGGGCTTGATGCTGGTGGCATCGGCGGTTAGAATGTAGTGGACAGCTAAGAGACAGATGGACGAAGAGACATCATAAGACACAGACCCTGACAAAAGTATTAACAGCAGATGAGACATTGTAAGTACTCCATTAAAAATCAGCTGTCTGGGGAATAAAGACAACAATTTCATAACAATAATATCAAGATGGGTCACTGACTCATAATAAATTTTAAAAACAAAATCTTGTTCTAGTAATTTAATTTTTTTTTAATTTACTTTCATTAATTTTATCCTTTATTCCTCGTTTTTTGATAGATTTTTTTGATTGTCCATTTTTTATTCTTATAAATGTAATCATATTATTTAATTTTAATTTAACTTATATTCAATTTATTTCATTAATTATTTTACTCATTTATTTTATCTGTCTTTTTTTTCTCTTACTTTATTCTTCTCAACTCTATACTTTATTTTTTTCTCGTCTATTTTTTCTATGATCAGCTTTTTATTTGTTTTATTTCTTTACATTTATTTCCTCATACCTCCTTTTATTCATATTGGTTGACTCTTTTTGTTGATTTGTCATTGTTCGTTTAGCATTTACTATCTTGTTGTGTTTTACTGCTGTAATTGATAAATGCCTTTATCCAGTTACACACCGTATTCACTTACTTATGTGATAATTATGTGTCTCACTTAACTGATAACTTTATTTGAAGATATAAAAAGCCTTGTTTTATCCAGCGGGTCTGTTTTATTATTGTAGTTAACAGTTGAAGCTGCTCTTCTATTAAAAAAAATAAAATAAAAAAATTTGGTCTTCAAGTAGTTTTATCGTTTTTCTTATAGTAAGGCTGGAAAAAATGGGAATAACATCTCCTGATTAAGGGGTGACTTATATTAGTGTAAATATAGTAAATCATAATTATTTGAGTTCAGTAATAAAATAATTATATTTATCCTCTCTGTAAAGCAAACAAAGCTGAACACATTCACATTTTTGCATCTGCGTGAAGATTGTGTGTGTGTGTGTGTGTGTGTGTGTGTGTGTGTGTGTGTGTGTGTGTGTGTGTGGATGGGTGTAGATTGTGTGTGTATGTGTGTGTGTGTGTGTGTGTGTGTGTGTGTGTGTGTGTGTGTGTGTGTGTGTGGGTGGGAGACTTGTCTTTGGTCAGACAAATTAACAAGAAACAACCAAGACACACATAGAGCTCCCTTAGGGATATTCTGTGTGCATGTGTTTGTGCTTGTGTGTGTGCTTGTGTGTGTGTGTGTGTGTGTGTGTGTGTGTGTGTGTGTGTGTGTGTGTGTGTGTGTGTGTGTGCATGCTCGCGCGCGCGTTTCAGATGTAATATCAGACCCTGTAATGTGATTTATCATCCAGAAAAAACACACACAAGATACAAGGACAAGAGGACGCACAAGGACACAGTGTGATGTCATCTTGTATTTGTGTGTGTGTGTGTGTGTGTGTGTGTGTGTGTGTGTGTGTGTGTGTGTGTGTGTGTGTGTGTGTTGGTGGGGTCGGGGGGGGGGTCACTTAGTGAATTAACCGCAGGCGTTAATTGACAGGTTTGTCATGTCAATCAATCAAGCCAATTAGCTGAGAGTGCACACACACACACTCACACACACAGAGAAAACACACAGGAAGCTGGTTAATGATGATCGGTCTGACCATAAACAGACTCATTAGCATCATGTGCTCACAAACTGACCATCTGTTAGCGACAGCAGCTGATTGGTTGTCTGTGTTACAGAGAAGAAGAAGCTCTCTTTCAGCTGAGGAGCTGTTTTATCTCCATCAATAAAACCTTCAGACTGCATTGAAAACAACATTGAATTACCTCACAGGACATTGTAGCCATCCACTAACTCTGTTTGTTTGTGTGACATTGATAATGATCCTGGATCTTGACAAGCTGATAATGGATGAAGCGACTCACAGCAAGTCAAAATAAATCAGAGGGAAAAAATGAAAAATCTGAAAAATTGTTTTATGGAATAACTGATCATTTCAAATTTCATGTCAGCAACATGTTTGTAAAAAGTTGTCACAGGAACGGCCAAGCAGGTAAAGAGCTGTGTAATGCTAAAAAAATTAACTTTTTAAGAGAAGACCTTCATATTTCAGAAAGACAATGCCAAACCACATTCTGCAGGGATTACAACAGCATGGCTCTGTAGTAGAAGAGTCCTGCTGCTAAACTGCCCTGCCTGCAGTCCTGACTTGACACCAATTGAAAACATTTGGTGCATCATAACACAAAAATAAGACAAAGGAAACACTGCACTGTTGAGCAGCTGAAATCCTTTATCAGGCTGGAGTCTGTCCCAAATTTTTTGAACCCTGTTCCTTCAATCAAATTTAAAAGGAGCCTATTTCTAAATAGTAAGTAATATTTTTTAAGATCCAACATTTCATATGTTGGGTTTTCACTATTTTAATTGAACATCAAATTCAGTCTTTATCAACATGTTTCAATGCATCAGGGTTGTGGTCCTGATTATCTTTATTAACCCTTCATTGCATTTTGTATCATCTACAAATCAGATTACAGTCCGATAAATGATAAAAATGTCCTCTTTTAGTTCATTAGTTTCCAAAAACATCTAATGTATCAAACAAGATAAATAAATATATTTGTTAAATTTAAACAACATTTAGATTTTTTTGGTTTTCAGCAGTAAGTGAAACAAACATTTCAGCTCCAAAAATTTTTTGAAATTTTCAGCCATAATTTGTGGTGTCAAGCATTAAAGGGCTACATAATAAAATAATTACCAAAGGTTAACATTTGATATCCATGACATAATCATCCAATCTTTAATTGATCAGGGATAAAATGTCACTCTTTTACTCACTGATGTTGTCTCTGTCGCTCGTCTCTCCAGTGCTGAACATGTAGGAGAAACACACCTCCACCTGAATACTACACACACACACACACACACACACACACACACACACATAAACACCTCTTGAGTTAGCTTGCAGGCTTTCAGCTGTTAGCATGTAAGCGTTGGGTTGGTATCTCACCAGAAGTCACAGCTTTTGGGATCAACGATGTCCGGGGAAGCCCTGAGAGTTTTATTGAGGTGAATGACTGGACGAGTTCTGAGGAAACAGTAGATCGATCACCTCATCAATACCAGAATATTCCAGTGTTTCAGCAGTAGAAATATATCTGTTACCATTAGGGGGAACAAAAAATGCTAATACAAATGTTAAGGTTACACCTATGGCTGTAACCGTCAAAAGTATAATGATCCCTTTTTCAATCATTTCTGTTCTGTTGATACAAACACCATTGATGATGTGGATAAATGCTTAAATGGCTCTGGCTCAAGGTTTCTGCCTGTTTAAAGAAGCTTTGTGGAGTTTCCCATTGACCCTTGTGGGTCAGACTGGTGGTGTTTTCCCAAGAAGAATGCATTTCCCATGAGCACTAATGTGGTAAAGACTAGTGGTGTTTTCCCAAGAAGAATGCATTTCCCATGAGCGCTAATGTGGTTAAGATGTGGCTCAAACTATTGTGAACATTTGTTTTGACAGAGAATTGATGAATACAGATATTTGGTTGTATAAAAATTCTGGTTAAATTGTGTTTTTCTAATATTTCAGGCTGTAAACTCAGCATGAATTAATAGTTCCTTAATTAACTTCAAGTAAAGCTGGAATAATGAGGGATCATCAGACCTTAGCAGAGCGACGGTGTCATCCAGGGAGCCCACCACCAGGTCAGGGTATTTGTTTGCGTCAATGTCAAAACCTCCTGACAGAGAGTACCCAAAAGACTTGAATCTGGGAGAGATGCTGCTGCCCAAGATCACCTGCAGAGATACAAGGGAGCAGGGTTACAGACATGGATGAGAGTTTCAATAAAGAGGCAAGGATTGCTGTCACACCTGGCTCGGCTCTGTAGAGACCCCCGTTTTGCTTCCAGTCCAGATCATCACACTGCCTGTTTCATGGAAAGGAGCTCCGACAGCAAAGTCTGAAACAGGAAAAAGATGTATTTGTGAGTTTTCACACTGTATTTCTCATCATCCTCATCAGTGTACCATCACTCTACTCACCTTGGAAGCCATCTTGGTTCAGGTCTCCTGCAGCACAAACAGCCATACCAAAAGCCGACCCTGCCGGTCCCTTCAGCACCACACTTGGACGGGAATCAAACCGTCCTTCCACATTCATGTAAACATAAACCGCCCCACCTGCCTCCTGCTGACGCTGAAAGTAAAAAGGAGCGCCCAGCAGCAGGTCGTTCCACCTGCAGGAGAAAAAAAGTAACCATAACCCTCCATCTCACAAGAGCACTCTCAGCTGATCATGTGACCTTTAACCTTCTTACCCGTCGTTATTGAGGTCGGTGGTTGCCACGGCATTACCAAAATATGAGCCAGTCTGTTCGCCACGCAAAGTCTGGCGAATGATCAGCTGATCGGACTGTTTGACCAGCAGCAGCACTGAGCCTCGAGCGTCATCTTTGTTGTCCTTTGGAGCTCCTGTGTGTCAATATGGAATCAATACAGATAATTGATACATCATTGAATCAATCAACTGATCACTAAAGAAGCCAATTACCTGTCACTATGGTTTCTTCATCGTGAGAGAGGACATGGAGAGCCTGAGTGATCGAGTATCCTGCAGACACACACACACACACAAACACACACACACACACACACACAAACATACAAGTTTAACGTTAATGTGCGCTGACCAATGACCAAAGATAGAACAGTTGAAAAATTTCCATTAGTTTTCATTGTTGTTTCGTTTGGACTTTTCTATTTCTGTTTCCGTTTTAATAAATAATTCACAAATTTGTATTTTTCATTTAGTTTTTATTTGTTTGAGGGTTATTTTTAGCTTTATTTAACATGGGATACTAACATGGGAAGTTTGGTATTTCCTCCATTTTATTCCAAGTTTACTTCAAAAAGACAGCATGAAATTAGAGTTCGAAATACTTTAACCAGGATTTCTGTCAAATTAAAGGGATAGTTTACCTATATAAATATTCCCTCGATCCATGTTTCGGAGGGAGCTCGTCTGTGTGTGAAATAGCACCTCTGGATTCATCCAGGACACGTGGATGTCACCTTTCACACAAAAACACAAAGACACACACACATTGTGGGTAAGATTCTGGGGGAAAGGGTTGATGGTTTCAGAAATGACAAATGAATATGAAACTACAACAGATGAGTCTCACCTTGCCAGTGGTAGCTTCCAGGTGAGCCGGTGATGACTTCAGTCTGAGTAATGGCGGCAGATATTCCCATCGTACACAAGGCCTCTGTGGAGATATCACCTGTGTGACTAAACAAACACACACACAAACACACACACACACACAGAGATTTGGGTAAGCAGCTAGGCAAAGAACAGGCAACTTACAGGTAACATGAAAAAGTGATATGTGACGTATCAAGGGACCTACCTGCAGACCTGGTCCTGGTTCTGCCAGTGCATGTCCTCTATATCATACTGGAGGTCGTTTCCACGGACAAAACATCGACCAATCATTTGTCGGAGTTGGAAAGCTCCGTACAGTTTAATAAATCGATGACCACAAGCCTTAAAAGATAAAAGACTGGTTGTTCAGTTAATCATTTGTTCAGTTTTATTGTAAATAAGTTAATCAGATTTTAATAGTTAGGTTATCAACAAGTTAAGTATAAGGTTGTCTGGTAAGTTAAACATTAATCAGCTTATTAAATATCAGCTAATATCAGCTTTAATTACAAAACTGGTTCTTTGCTTTGGGCAGATGATGTCAGAATTTAACAGTCAGGATATAAACACATTTCGCCTGCTCTGTACAGGTGAGAGTGTCTGCTCAGGTATCTGTTCACACACATTGACTTTGTCAATAAAAGGGGCAGTTATACACATGAGAGGGCGGACTCACCAGGACCCGCCCCCCAGGTGGGCCCTGACTGGCCACAGAGACACCTAGCCACATGTCCTCAAACAGGTCATCAGACAGGCTCTGGTCTGTGAACAGGTAAAAAGGTGAGTTAGGCACAGCATTGTTATCACAGATGGTGTTTGTGTAAGAAAGAGTGAGAGGGGGTAGAGAGAAAGGAAGAGAGAGAGAAAGGGAGAGAGAGAGGGCAATAAAAGCTCTGAGAAACAGACGGCAGCTGTCCCTGCTCAATAAGTGATGGCCGACCCATAATGCACTTGGAAAAAGATAGTATCAATAACAAAAACAACCTGAGAGGTCTGCATCTCTGTGATTGGTTAAGAGCTTGGCCATTAAAACCAATCAGAGCCAACAAACTGGTTAACATAAGGAACATAAAGGAAATCTGGTTGACAGCCATGACTTTTGAAACATGACATAAGACAGCACTGTGCTTCAAAACATGCCCAAAATTACCCAAAAAGCATTGCATGAGGGGTGCTACACCAGATGATAAGACATCAAAGGTGGTTTATGACCCCCTGGCCTTTCAGGGGGTCATAAAGAAAAGCAGAGTCAAAAACAGGGAGAGGACACCACTCTGTTTCATGTGCATATGAAAATGATGCTGGAAAATTCACATCAGGATAATAAATTTTAATGTGACATATTTTTTTAACTGATCAAATTTAAGAGTTGTGCAGGATGTATGAGACGTATTAAGATGATCACGCACCTGGGTCAATGAGATTCATCCTTCTACAGTCTGATTGGTCGGCCGTGATTGGGCAGCTGTACACCCCTCCTGTCCTATTAGCTGCAACATTAGGCTCCGCCTTTTCCCTGGGTGCCCCAACCAATAATCTGTCAGAACAGAAAAGGTGATACAGGTGAGGTAAGCTGTCAGTTTCCTACTTAGCTGGGAATAGGGAACATCAGGACACCAGGAATGTTTCACGAGAGTCCAGGAGCTTTTGAGGCACCCTGGACCTGGTTCAAGGAAACCCAGGATGACTCTGTACACTAAGGCAGCCCTTTAAAACGTCCTTGAAGTGTTCAAGGACACCTGGAATGGCCTGGAGCATGTTACCTTTTTTTTTTTTAGTTACCTGATTTCTGTCATGTTCATCTTTATTGTCGTGACTTTCCTGGAATAAATGAAGAAATGTCTGAAAGTGAAGGACATCAGGGACACACACACTCTCACACACACACACAGGACAGAGGACAGGAGACAGGCAATGACAGACAGAGGACTCCGATTGTGTCTCCTGTGGTTCAGGGAGAGACTCAGTGAAAATATGAAAGAGGCATGGAGGCAGAGAGGATGCGTTTCTGCAGGGCACCTTTGTTGCAGATAAAAAATGAACACTGCCCTCAACTGACGGAATACATGACTCCAGTTTGAGTCAGACTTGAAATGAGGAAATTCAATTTCTAATGTCAGAAGGTCCTCCTAACTAAAATCAATCTTACTACTGTCTCCTAAGAAAATAAACAAACCTACATTCATCAGAGTATTTGTTAATCATTGGCTAATTTAACGACTTTACTCTTGTAGCATAGGAACATTTCTTTTTTAAATCTCTCTTTTTTCTAAATATTGTCTTTTTTTGTTCTACACTCGTCTAAAAAAAGGTTAAAGGAGTGGGTAAAACGTCAGCTTTACTCCAAAACTGACTGAGAATTACTTTTTAATTACAAACAGTAAGTGATCAAATCTAAAGGTGGTTCTAAGGCCCAGAATACTCATAAAGACATCTCTCCAGCCAGCAGGGGGGGCTCTTAACTGTTTGGCTTCATTTTCTGAGAGCTGACCTGTCATCAATGTTTTCCAGTCAGCTGTTCAGACCCTAGACCTCAGGGTGTGTACGTTAGTGTCTACATGTCTACGATACTCTCTAAATCTCTCTCTGGGTTTCATTTCCTGTCCCAGGTGCAGACTCTCTCTCACTCTCACTCTCTCTCTCTCTCTCTCTCTCTCTCTCAGACACACACACTCTCCCAGAATCAGTTTTCCAGCTGAACACACAGCACCCGATCCCGGTCCTTCTGCGACCTCTGACCTCAGATCTGATCTCTGCAGGTGTTTTATTCGCCGATGAAGTCACAGAGTTTAACATGTCTGAGCAGTAATCATTTCCTGATGATAACTCAGACTTTTCAAGGACTCCTGGAACCTCTACAAGGACTAATCCCAGGGGGCTTCTTGGAAACCTTTATATAAATATTGATCACTCATAAATGTTTCTGTACAACCAATCAGAGAGGGGCAGGCATCTGATGGGTGGGGCTGTAAGCCAATGAGAGGACGAATTGACCCTGTGACCTTGATTAGTGCGTGTGTGTGATTGTGTGTGTGTATGTGCGTGCGTGTGAGGGCTCCATTAGCAGCCAATCCAATTAGAGAACAAAGAGAGGCAGTCGTCATGGCGACAGCAGAGATGGACAGCTGACGACCTCTGTGTGAACTCGTCACCCTGGACCAGGATATCCACTCACATTGTGAATGAAGAAAGGCAAGGTGGAGATGACCATGTGGGTGTCGCCATGGAGCCTAAGGTGAGGGGGTGGAGCTACAGGAGAGTGAGGGATCGATTCATTAACTGACAGATCAGATCAGGCAGTCAGCATGAGTGGCACTACAGAGCTATAGGATATGAGTCTCATCTCTGTGCAATTTCTGCATGTAAAACTTAAACTTTGAGGAATCATGAGGGTGGAGCCGAGATGGCAAACACAAATAACATGTCAATGACACTGACATTGACATTGACATAATAAATAAATAAATGACTGAATAAATGAATAAACCACCAACATTGTTGCATTAACCAGGACTTCCTGGACTTCAGCAAACATCTAAATCATCCCAGAATACCTGCAAACCCCACTGATACTGACTAAACATTTTCCTGCATATTTCTTAATGTGTCACAGTGTCAATGAGACACGTAACAGACACCTAGCAGCTCCCAGCTGTCACTTACAGAGACTCCGCCCCTAATAATTTAGTCTAAATATAATCAAAATGTATGCGTTCTATATAAACTATCCCTGACATACTTGTCTTGAACAAAAACTAAACCATAGAGACCGAAATTGTCTCTTTTACCAGGCTGTTAAGTTGGATATTTTTTTTACATGGGGCTCTATAAGGACTGACTCACATTCAGACACAGCCTCTAGTGGACACAGGAGAAACTGCAGTTTTCAGTACTTACACTCAAACATCTTTTTTAACACTGGAAGTTCCTGCTTGGAGCCCTCATGTTTCACCAGAGTGATCCTAGAGCTGCAGACGGGTAACAGATCACATGACCTGAGATCATGTGACCAGTGGGCTTCAGTTTTAACAGCAGCTGGTCACACTCTCTCAGCACTAGCTCTGTATCTCTGACTGCAAACGCAGGGACAGTATATCAGGCTGTACCAAGAGGAGACACTCTGCTCAGTGCTGGACTCCAAAAAACAACTCAAGGCCCTCTAAAGGCTCCTAGACAACTGCTCAGAAACTCCCTTAACATCACAGGACACTTCTTTTACCTCAAAACTTCCAAAAATGAGGAGTCCTCCAAGTCGCACAATGGTTTTCAGGACTCCAAGCCCTCTCTGTAAACCTCTTTCAAGGCCCCTTTGACCATACCTGATGTTTTCACAGACACTGAGAGACCAAGAGAGTCTAAACACATTATTAACACTGCAGGGCATCCACCTGACTCTCTATCTGTGTGTGTATGTGTGTGTGAGTGAGGGTGTGGGTGAGTAAATTCCTGTTGTGTAACAAGTTTGAAGTATTTTTCATTTATAGAATTCCTCATGACACGCATTATTACACTGAAACACAGTCACACATTTAGGAGAGGAGTGGAGAAGAACCTACACGTCACTGAGAAGGTTCACCAGAGCCAGAGATGGTACGAAGGAGACGGACCAGACTAGAGTTATCAGGATTATTTGCAGCTCCTTTATCAGCAGCTGAGACTCTTTACTCTTGTCTTTTCTCCAGGAAAAGTTTGATTTGGTTTAAGAGAAGAAAATGAAGAAAAGTTATAATCTGACTTTTATTTAAGAGTTATAAAAAGTCAGTGTTTGTAAAAAATAATCAAGATTGTGACTAATATGTGATGAGATTGTGACTGTTTGTGATCACCATATGCTCTTTGAGTAGAAGTTATTTTCTTCATTTACTAAACTTTGCTGTCACACTTTTAACACTTCCGGCTTGGTATTCTGCTACATGGATTTAACTATAAAGCAATTAATCCAAATGTAATTGCTTGCTAATGTTATCACTGTAGCACAGGTCCATTCGTGTGGTCTAGCAGTAGTTGTATATTTAACAACCCTTGGTACAAATAATTCACCCTCTTGGACTTAAAGGGATATTCCGGCGTAAAATTAATTTAGGGTCAAACACACCATAACACCGAGTTAGACATCCCCGTCGAGAGATGAATGTTGCCAACCACTTGCTTCTCTAGTTATACCAACTTTAGTAACGACCGCAGGATTGCAATACACAGCGGTCTGAGGAGCCATAAACAAACCTCAACCAAAACGCCACTCTATAGCCACAAATAATGCTCAGAACAGCCCCTAACTTCATCAAAAGTACATATGGGGTCCCAGCCATAGTACTAGCCACCAAACATCTTCTTAACTTTGTCTAATTTCTTTAGCAAAGAGACTAAACACAACTCACCCACTGTCTTCCAGCAGCCGCTTGTTTGTAGCAAGAACTTGGGCCAGTCCATTACGGACTACAAGGGAGTGACGCAGCTCAAGGAAGAACATTTAGGATCATTTCCTCATGGAAATGCAATCAGACCAAGATACTAAGGCAGAAGAACTGCTGCGTCTGCAGTGCAAAATGATTAATATGATGATTATTACTTCAAGGGAATGATAAACAAGTGGCTGCTGTAGGAGAGTAGGTGAGTTGTGTTTAGTCTCTTTGCTAAAGAAATCAGGCAAAATTAAAAAGATGTTTGGTGGCTAGTGCTGTGGCTAGGACCCTGTATGTACTGTTGATGAAGTTAGGGGCTGTTCTGAGCATTATTTGTGTCTTTGTTGATGGCTGAAGGCTGATGGTTGAAGGTTTGTTGATGGCTCTCGAGACCGCTGTGTATCGCTGTCCTGCGGTCGTTACTAAAGTTGGTAACACTAAAGAAGCAAGCAGTCGGCAACATTCATCTCTTGAGGGGTTGTCTAACTCGGTGTTGCGGTGTGTTTCACCCTAAATTAATTTTACGACGGAATATCCCTTTAAGGAGGGTCTCTTGGCTTTTGCATCCAGCCTCATGTTGACACTCGTACACCAGGTTTTGATGGCAGTGTTGATAACATTTCCTCAGTTACAACTCCATGTGGCGTTTAATAATGTTTGCTGACAGTTACTCAGCTAACCAGACTGACCAAACTGTCATCACTAACTTTCCAAGAGCTTCCTGTTTCTCACGTATCTTCATTGTGGTAGAACACCTCTCAGATGCAAAACCAACCTCAAACTCCTTCTGTCTCTTTTCAGACTTTCTTGCAATCGCTGTGGTTTTTGTTTTCATTTGCTGCAAAGCTTCAAAATCTTTTAGTTTCTGATAACGTCTAGACAGTTACTGATCAAAGTTCAACACAAGTAGGAAGTCAATTATTTACCTGGACACACCTGAGAGATACAAAAAACGGGCAATAGACAGCAGACAGGTGTTGGACAGAGAGATGGTGGTGTACCTACAGGTAAGAGCCTGTCTTCAGGTCTTGATGCAGAGCAACCGACAGTCCAAACAGACTCCCATCGCCGCCTGTTTTCACCAGCGGGAATGACGTGTCCAGATTTGAAGCCACGCACACACTGACCCACAGGCTCAGCAACGCACGCATGCCTGTCGCCATGGAGACAGCCACCTGAGAGGATGTCAACAAACAAAAGAAAAAACAATAACAAGTCACAGTCAGAGAGCTGGAAGACAGCAGTATCACTAGAGGAGATAAACGGAGCCTGGAGTACAGGACTGTTAGTGACCGCTTATTGGCTGTTTGTTGTCATGTGACCTGCTGAGTCCTCTGCAATCTTAGAGTTCTCTTATTTCCCTTTCACCGTCATTCAGTCAGCTCAGAACATTTATAGGGTAGCTTAACATGATTAACAACCCCCCCAAAAATTAATCTCATGTTGGTGTCTGTGAAAACTCTTAGGCTGCTTTACACACCGATAAAAGGTTAGACACGGTTTTGAGGTAAGGCCTTGACAGAAAATTCCTGCTATAGCTAAACGTTTGCTACTGTCTGATTAGCTGCTGTTATGTTACTTACAGTTTGTGGGTGTTACTTTTTACACAGCTTTGATGTCACATAATAACCTGAGAAAGAAAACTTAGGAGAAAGTTCAGGGACAGACTGAACAAACAGAGAGCAGATAGGAGGAGAAAGACGAGGAGGTTAACGGACTTTACGGGTGAGGGGAAGTTTGAAAGCGCCCTGAGTTGAACATGTCCTTCTGGTATCCAATTAGGACGGCAGAGCATGATGTCAAGTCTTGTGACGTCATTAAAACAAGCTGTCTTGAAAGCAGAGTTGGCCCAAGCTTCAATAGGGCCCTGAGGAAAATTTGATTTTGGGGCCCTCTATACCTGCCAATAATATTGATTGTTGATCACTCACACACCTTCACAAATCTCTTTGATTAACATTCCATGACATGCAAACATAACTTTATCTTGCCGTTTTTTTTTCTCTTCTTCCTCTGTCTTTTCTCTGTTCCTGAAGGATATGTCCTGTTTTGCCCCACAACTACCTGCGCTTTGGAAGCTTAGTGCACATTGCACAGCAGGGAGCGCATAACGGTAGCGGAGCTTTGACATATCGGCAGTTTTACTTTATTTTATTTCTACAATAATATATATTTGATCATACAGAAAGCATCACTCATACATGCAAAAAACAAAACAATATTAATTTTTTTCTTTTTTCTTTTATTTTTTGGATTGCTCTGGGGGGTCCCCTACTGGCCATGGGGCATTACGCTTAGTTTGCTTATGCTTTGGGCCGGCTCTGCTAGAAAGACAGAAAACATGTCCAGGAATTACACCACCATTTCTGTGTCTGCCTCAGCTGTTACTGGAACCTGAAACTGTTCGTCGATAAAAACCTTTATGAAGCTCAGAGACACATCACAACAGCAGAGAATCGTACTACAGCCAGTGCTACACTGAAATGGGGCCTAACAGATGAACTCAGATGCTTTTTTGTTTGTTTGTTTGTTTGTTTGTTTGTTTTTATAAAATAATAACTTTCAATACATTAATGACTATGAGGTTTTCGTGAAAAAAAATGAAAAATATGAGAATGACAGTAAATTAAGATATTCTTTCACGGCTAAATGTCCTTAAGCGTTTTTCTGTCGAGGAAAAAATTTCTGACATTTCATGGCTCAAGGGTTGTGTTTAAAGTAACACCCCCAAAATGTAAGCAACATTAGACAAGCATCTAATAACTCTACACAACATGTGTGTGTTGCTAAATAGCTTTGGATGTTTTCTTCAAGGGGATAACTACAGAACTGTGTAAAATGTAACATCCCCCAGCTATAACTTAAAGAAACTCACCAGCTTATGCTCGTATAAGAAAAATGAGGAGATGCTACTCATGCAAAGCAACTCTACAGTGAACCAGTCCAAAAAAGAAATAAGAGGGGAAAATCAGTGTAATAGACCATTTTAAACATCTTTGACCATGCACTGTTGTCATTTTGGAGAATTTGAGTGAAATTTGAATAATTTCCTCTGCTCTCTTTCCATGACAGATTTGTGTCTTTTTGTGTCTTCTTTTTGTTTTTGTATTTTTTTTCTCTTTTTTTTTTGCAAAGTTGTACAATTGATGAAAACATTTCTGCTGTTTTTTTCTGAGAATATGTTAAACCTGCAGCTTCAATACAGTACACTAGACGAAGGAAGTTCAGACCTGTTTCCTGGGCAGACGCTCCTCCTCCTCCTCCTCTTTCTTCTTCTTCTTTTTCTCCTTTTGTTTCTTTCTCTCCTCTTCTTCCTCTTCCTTCCTCTCAGTGATCAAGATTTGCTGGGTGTCTGTAAACTGGTCCTCGGTTCCAGTCCTTCTCAGATCTGACTGACTCTCCTGTCTGCAACTAGACTCATCTGAGCGCGCTCAGTCGGCCCCCTCTCACTCTGTCTCTCACTGTGCAGCTCCACCTTCCTCCCTCGCTCTCTCATTCTCATTCTTCAGATGTGCACGCTTGCCCTGAAATGAAATCATGTCTCTCACTGTGTCTGTTCACCCGCCCACACACACGGAGAGAGAGAGAAAGGGGGGGGTCATAAATGGATTCAGGACGTTTGGGTGTGTAAGGGGCACCTTGATTGTGTCTCTTTTTTTTTCTACAAATACACCCACAGGCCATACTCACACTTCTGTTTGTAAAATATGAATGTGTGTGTGTAAAAGTGAATGTTTGACTAACATTATGAGGTCTGAACTTTGAATGCCAACACACACACACACACACACCCAAACACCACACACACACACACACACACACACACATACTCATACAATTTTCGTCTTCTACTGGGCCCTTTTTAGCTTCCTGTCTTTGTGATTACTTCCTGTCACTCTAATTTTATAAAACACAGTTAATCAGTCAGTCTTACACAAACACAGGCACACATATTAGTTTGACTGACCTTCTGAGGATCCGCATCGATCTCTTCTGTGGAAACCCGACCTGGAAGTTAGGAAAACCGCACTAGTCCTTGCAACAATAGATAAATAAGACCATGCATACACAGGGACACATATTGGTTTATCTCCACCCCTTAGGGCCGATGCTGAACCTCCAGATCTCTTATGACAACATGACCTCAAGATTTCAGAAAATCACTCAAGTCCTCACAAAGATGATAAACTAGATTGCCCAAACACACACACAGACATATTCACATTTTTGTATGCTTCTAGGGTCCTACCTACAATAACCAATCAGAGGCACTGATGGTTATCCTCAGCGAACCTGAAGCTGACAAAGACTCACTGATCAAAGCTTTCTTTCCTCACGCTGCACCTAAACGCACCACTGACTCATGACTTTACACAACTACAATGTCTCAGCCTGTATTTATTTGACTCAAACTGTAAGATCAAGATGAAAACTGACTGATTAAAAAATATCACTGTGGTTGGAAAACAAACTAAGATTCTATCTGGTTGCAAACGTGGGATTCGCTCACTCGTGAAACCAGAATCAAACAGAGAGGAAGTGCAGTTTTTGGCACCTCCAGAACTCGCTAATTCCCCACTGACTCAGAGCATTTACATGCAGTTATGACAAGATACAGCTATAACTCAATCAGGCTATTTAACTGGGCCATTGTTCATGTCCAATTGAACAAGCACAAAGTGAAATTTGGATCAAACTTCAAGATCATAAAACAGGTTCAATAAATATTTCTCAAACATGATTTCTGCTTGTTGTCGACTCTTTACACGTTGATTCATGCCCAGTTGTCAATTTTTCTGACAAATTTAGTTCAGTTATTCAGGAGACGCATGATTAACAGGTTTGCTAACCAATGAGAGCGCTTTGACTTGGACTAATCCTACCTAAAGGAGCTCAGGTGGCTCCAGATCAGTCCAGATCATACGGTCCAGACTTAATGTGCAGTATGTGATCAACCGTTTGGGTATTTTGGACTCTTTTTTGCACCATAAGTGGTTCAGAGATTGAGATTATTACATTGGACTGATCTGAGGTCTGTGACTCTGGGCTCTTCCCACTCTGCTGTCTGTATCTGACTGTAAATCTGACATAAACTCGGTTTGTCTGGAAACCTTGAACAGCTTCTCTCTTTCTTTCTGTCTGTCTGCTGGATCTGTTTTCTATGATGGGGAGAGTCTTGACACAGAATTTCATACTAAACATCATGTGAATAATTCAAATGCTGGGATAAATCTCGCTGTAGTGTAATAAAAGTTAAAGGCAGGGCAGATTATTTCATTATTTGCATTTCATTGTTTTGTTTTTTTGCTGCCATCTACTGGCCGTTGTTAACTTTTTCTCAGTCAGTTGCATGCTGCTATGGAGAACATTCAGTAAAGAAGTTACTGCAGTGATATTTTTCTGATATGCTTCAGCCTTGCACGCCATCCATCTGTAATTTCCATAAGTTATAATATGTATGTTTAAATTGAAAGTGATTGCAGCATTCGTAATCTTGCTTTGTCCCCCCTTAAGATCAGGTCCTAGAAACGAAACATTTGACAAATGTAAATCAGTGTCCCCTTATAGTGAAGGAAACAAGCGTTAGTGTGTTTCATTTCCTGACAGGAAGTACCCTTTTGTAGATAAAGATGATGGGTTGAACAGGAAGACACTGATTGTAGTTTGTGGTGTGATGATTGAGATTACTGTCCTGTTTTCTTCTCCCTGTTCAGTCTAGTTGAACTTCAAATAAATTGAAAATCTTTTTCTACAGCACAGAAAGAACAACACGTCTGGAATACCCAGAGGTGTAACAGAGCTGCAGATGTGAAAGACTGAGGTAAAAAGCAGTTCTGTGTTTGTGTTTCCTGCAGACACAGTGTGGCACTCAGTGTCTTAAGTATTTGTCTAAAAGTTTCTCTCTGAGAGACTATTCGTACATCTGACACTGTGCAGCGTTAACCTCAGTGTCTGGCTCATCGGGATGCAGGCAGAGAAACATGAATGTGAAGTGTCTGCAAATAGAGCTATAACAAACTATCTTTCTCACAGCAGAGTAAAACCATGATGAATTTCTAAATACACTTAACACTGGCATTAATTTTTGGTTTAGACTTTATCATGTGTAGAGAAGTCGACTTTCAATGTCAATTTTGAATAAATGCAGACAAAATACAACTCCTGTCCCATAAAAGTCAGAGAATGGAAAGTAAATTGCTGTTTTGTTATTGTTTAATGAAGAACTTTAGCTGCTCAACTGTTCAGCGCCTCCTTTGTCTCTTATTTTGTGTCATGAAAAAATATTCTCAAGGCAGACCAGTTTAGCAGCAGCACTCTTATCCTACAGAGATACGCTGTTGTAATACCTGCAGGATTTGGTTTTGACATTGTATTGCAGAAATCTGAAGGTAAGAAAAGAGATTCCTCCAGATTCCTTGAATTTTTTAATATCATGTACTGTAACTCTTTAGGGGTGAGTATTTGTTTAATTTTTGTAATGTAGCGCAGGTGTAAAAAGCAGGACTGGACAATCTTGATGATATGGGTGGAGAACCATATCAATCATTTAACCATTTTATAGACATCAAATTTAAAATGTTATCACACAAAATGTGTTAGTTTCAACATTTTATATGTTATTGTTGCACCTATTTTCAATTAAATTCATGCTTTAAATGATTTGCATACCGTCAAAAACTGTTTTCATCTGCATTATCAGTGGGACATGATCACCTGTAGTGTGATCTGTAACCAGCAAGGGGAGCTGCTTAACAGGAAAAAGATTTTTTTAGATTGTTGCAACGTTTTCAAACAGAAAACCTTTTAAACAGTTTAAAACTGTTGTCATTGTTTAAAGGATAAAATTCACTACCCAAGCACATGATTTCACATACTGTATTTATTGCATCAGTGGAGGACACACCTCAGAGGCAGTCAGAGATTTTAACAGCATTAAAGTTATGGAAGCTCTTTGACTTAGACACATAATCACACACAGAGTCCACCTGAGCGCTCACCTGATAGATAACTTGATTAAATTCTTAAATATTAAAGGATTATATGTTGCATGTTTTAAACACACTAACTTAGTCATATATCTTCAATACTTTTAAGTCTACATGAAGATGTCAGGATACAAGGAGACAGCTAACTCAGCTTTGGTAACAAACTCCACCTACCAGCACCCGTAAAGATCCCTGATTTAAAAGGTAAGCTTGGTAATTATCAAGTCCACAACGATGGAGAAAAATAAGAAAGCTAAAGGACAAAAACAATCTTTAGTTCATGATAAGCACTGTAAATTTTAAACCTTTTTTACTCAGGCATTGTTTTTATAACTGGATGATTTAAGATTGATTTTAGACTTAAACACGAAGGGCAGTCACATGATTTAGAGTAAGAAAGCTTACATTGAATACATATTAGGTAGATCCAATCCAACCCAATCCCGGTTTGTTTATACAGCACATTTAAAAACAAAGCGCTGACTAAAGTGCTGTACAGTAAAATTAAAAACAAAATAAAAAGAGCCAGACAATTAACATGAACAATAAAACAAGACACAGGAGCACGTTAAAACCAGGGGGACATAGATGGTTCAGTAAAAACATGATTAAAAGGCCAAGTTCTCAGGAGTTAAAAGCCAGGGAGTAAAAGTGCGTTTTCAAATTTGATTTAAAAACAGGCAGTGAGGGGGACAGTCGGACATGAAGGGGAAGGGCATTCCAGAGCTTAGGTGCAGCGATGGAAAAAGCCCGGTCACCCCTGAACTATAATCTTGACCTAAGGACAGTCAGAAGGCACTGGTCAGAGGATCTGAGAGTCCGAGATGAAATATGAGGTTTTAAAAGGTCAGAGAGATAAATAAGGAGCAAGCCCGTTTAAAGAAGTTAATAATAACATTTTAAAATCAATCCTAAAACGCACAGGAAGCCAGACGTGGCTTACGGTGGACACATTTAAAGGGAACAAATAGAATTGTCAACACATTCTAATGCACTTTAGCTAGTTTAACTAGTTAGCTTATATGCTAGTTTTAGTATTTGCAACCTCTTTGCTCTGTTGCAACCTTATTTGACATTTTTGTAACATGCATATTTCATAGTTTACTGGTGACTTAAAAAGGCAGAAAGAGGTTTTGAATACAATGCGGTCCCGTTGTTTCAGCTTTGGATCAAATGTTTTGCGTCTTTGGTAAATGAAGCACAAACTAATATTTGTTGGCTCTAGCTAAGTGTTGTTAACAACAGTAGCAAGCTATGTTCATAACATAAGCTGTATAGAAGGATGGACAACATGTGAAGCCAACCATTCAGAGTTCCCCCTGCTGACTAGCCATAAAACCAGCCCCCTACATGTAAACTGATGGGACATGGTTCACATTTCATGTCAAACTCACAGCACAGATTCAAGCTGTCAGCGCCTGCAGCAGGTATTTCGGTTTCACTTTGGTACAACAGGTGGTGGAAACTATTCGTCCATCTCTCTATAAAGGTGATGGTTTATATAATTTTAATTTTGTTATGCTGTCTACATCACAGAGGCTTCAGACGTGTATTAGCACCACCCAAGAGGCATTCAGGCACAGGGAAAGGTGTAGGACATCTGAGGTTTAAGCTCAGAGAAAAAGACCTTTGAGTGTAAGGCTTTGATTTGGCTGATGCAAACAGCTGAAGCGTGAAGACAAAGTTTTTAGGTGTGACGAGCCTGAGAAGATTTGCACATGCTCAGTTGAGGTCATGTAGCATTAGTAAGAGGTAGGTTAGAGATGGGTGGATTATGTTTTTGCAGTTGTGTTAATATATATATATAAATATATTAGGAGTGTCAGGTGGTAAACATTTAGTGCAAAAGTATCAGAAGTATGAAAAGTGTATTTGGACTTTTTTAAAATCCTGTTCCTCCAGAACTTTGGCTCCTTTGGTTCCATATTTTTTAGTCCCATCTAGACCAGTCCTGTCCAGTCCAGCCTTTTCAGGTCCAACCAGGACTCAGACGTTGGGTCGGATGTCTGCGTAGTTCTTGACAACACCAGAGAACCTAATGATGTAGATCTCACTGTTTCTGGGTTTGAAGTCCTGCCATAAGTACTCAGGTGACAGAACCTTACTGGGCTTGTTGACCCACATGTATCTGACACGAGAACAAGATGTTTATTAATACAAAGCCACAACTGAAGACATTGATAAAACATTTAAAACATTTCAGTTTGCAACATGTCCAAGACAGTTTTATTCTAGAGGTTGCCAGAGCAGAAGAACTTTAGACATTTTATGGCAGAGCATGAATCTGCTGTTGTAGGTGATCTATTGATTTCCACAGAAGTTGACCTTTATCTTTCTATACTTTGTGTTTGTATCCATAGTTTAAGGTCTTACCTGTTCAGGTGACTTTCCTCCTGCCAGGCAGCCTCAATGCCTTCTGCAGCATCAGCCTCAAAGTTTGAACGGCAGGTTTGGGCGAGTAGGTGGACCTCTTCTATACTTCCCCCAAATGCCCCACCACAGTAGTAGAAGTCCCCCTCCCCCTCCGCCACATAGGCTCTGGACTGCGGTCTCCGCTCGTAGGGGAACTTACTGCGGGGATCCCAGTAATAACCTGCACAAACACACAAAAACATGCATATTCAAACACACACAGGTAGCAGCAGGAATACAAACACCAGTACTGAGGAGATTCCTAGCATTCATGCTTCTCTCCTTAGCGAGGAGCTCAGACTTTGATTCCTTTCTTAACCTGGGTGTATCACAGCCACCAGTCCTCCCAATGACTCTGTTCCCCAGCGGCCATGAAACTTTGAATCCACGTCCAGACAGAAGATGTAGTCAGTGTTTCCCTGAAGTTTCTCCTTGATCAGCTTCTGGACCAGTTCCATCCTGCGAGCCGAGATCTCCTGCCAGCGGTTGGAGCTCGGCACAGGAAGTACGGTTAGCTGTAAGGGTAAAATAATTCATAACTAGGTAATATAACAAGCAGGATGAGACTTTCAGCTGTGTGTTTGTTACCTTTCTGTTGGCGGCCATGTTGACTTTAGGGACCTCTTCAGGCCGATCAGTGAATACATAAATGTGCACCCTAAAACCAACAAAGAAGTGCTGCTCTGCTGTCTCCAGGAAGTCCTTCAGGAACATGATGTACCTGAACAGAGGGTCAAAGGGATTACCTTACGGCTAAAGGTCAAACAGAACCAAAGATATGACATCCAGAGAAACAAATACAACTGATGACCTGAACACATCCAATTGTCAAATGCCAGTTCTATAGTCAGATAGTCGTTTACATTAAACTGCTTTAGCCCGCCTACTGTTTGCAACCCACCTCTGCCCAGCTCCTCCTTTTGATGCTGAGTCTTATTTCACCAATGTTATATGGACTGTCACTAGTGCCCACTCTGTCTTTGCTGCTGCTCCCCCTGCCTTAGCTTTTTTTTGTATGCCCATAAAACAGAGAGGAGGTGTGCTCTACCTGCCTTAGGCTTCTGCATCCCTCACACACACCTGGAGTGGCTGGGGTCTCTCACAAAAGAGCAATACAATAAAATTGAACTAATGTATCAAAAAATATATATATCTTAAATTGTTGTCGATTGAGTTATATTTGATGCATATATGTAAACTGGGAGTAATTGTTGCTCTCCCTTCCTTGGGAGGTGAGCTCTCCCCACCTCAGATATTGGTGTTCCACATACACGCATGGGAAGGCAGGGAACTCTCAGAAAAGAGCCATGTGATCCAAACTAAGTCCTTATTCTCTTTGACTAAGGTGGTCCTGATGCATTTATATTTGTAGCCGGTTCTTATCTCTTTTTTGGACTTTTTTAGTTTTCAGCGACTTGTCTACATATGTTTTTCTCTTAACGTACAGTAGTTCATTTAACTTATTCTCTTTTTACTTTTTATTCCTCAACATCTTATGTGTCTCAAGATCTACAAAACCAGAATTCCAGGACCTTCTTGTATTTTTTTGATTTATTTTTTATTATTTTTGTTTTAGCTCCAGATTTTTTTATTTAAGCAAAGTAATAGGAATATCCGTCAGTAGACAGGGTTATGAGGGAAAGGGGGTGTTTGTGATGTGTTTCCTTTGTATAATCTGTATAAAACTAATAAAAATATTGTTGAGCAAAAAAAAAAATATATATATATATATATTTGTAGCCGGTAACTCATGATTGTATCACATGACAGGGGATATTCTGTCCCACCCCTAATAGACGCCAGTGCCATACACTCACTTTCCAACAGCAAACACGGTGGCTGCAACGCTGATGTTCTGTTGCCGGTAGATGCTGTCAAGAAGATCCGGGTTAAAAGTGCCCTCCCAGACCACAGGAGCTAACCACGGGGTCACTGTCACCACGTCTGTCCGACTGCAGTTAAATGCACGATGATGTTACAAACAACCAAACAATAAAATAAACAGCTGTGTAAAGTCATCAGGAAGGACGCCACACTCACCCCTCCACGATACTCGGCTGTTTGTACAGCAGACTGAAAGATAAACATGTTTATTGTCAGAATACAACTCTCCAGAGTTAGCACTGTTAGCCCAACACTGTTAGTACCGTTCAAGATATATCAGCAGTTTTAGCCAAGTGACACTGTAACAGCAGCTCCGTGGCTTTTTGTTCACAGGGTTACCGCTGTTCCTCTGCAAGCACTGTTAGCACTGTTAGCACTGTAGCAACATTACATCAATGTGTATAGTTGTTCTAGCCATGCAGCAATACAGTTTCAACATTGTCAGTCCTGTTAATTTAGTTTGCACCGTTGCAGCAATTTTTTGAAGTGCTAGCACTGTTAGCAATGCACACAGATGTAGCCCAATAGCAAATGTCCCTGTATGCCTGGTTGCAGGAACTAAAAGGTCCCATATTTAATTCAGATCATCAGAATCTCACAAATCCAGTCTCTGTGGAGGATCTGCAACCACTCAGTTTCTAACTTCATGATGCAGAGGCAGAAAACACCACAATTGATATGGCGAGTCCTGCAGGAGAACCAGAACCAGACTTTATACATGTGATCCAGAATCTGACCCTGAGCAGAAGGAGGAAACTGTTGCAGCTGTGGTTACAACAACATGTGTTTGAGTGGCAACAAATGACTCTGATTGTAGCCGGCACCTTGTTCTCAAAAACAAGAAGAAAACACTTCTTTGGTCCTTCTGTCTTAGGACAGACATTTGCGTTTGTTTTTGTAATCATTTACATAGCAGTTAATGAGTCAGAAAGTAACCCCTTGACATCTTGACTCAGCAGCACTGAAGCAAAACCACAATCGTGTAGGAGCGAGTAGAGCTGCTCAAGCAATGGTTTTGAATATTTGCTTATGTTAATCATTTCTGTTGTTATATCACCACAGGATCTAGTTCAAGTTTCCCTGTTTTCCTGTCAGTGTGCTACACTGCAGAGGCCATTACTGACCTTTCTAAGTTGCTCAGCTAGAGGATGACTTAAATATGGAAAAGTGAGGAAAAATCTGTTTGTTGTTATATGGGACCTTTAGCTATGTTACAGCTCTGTTACCCACAGTCTATCCATACGGGAACTAGAGTAGAATAAACATACACTATAAAGTCTGTCTTACTCAGCAACAGTCACACATATGGTTTGGTTGGCAGCAAGATATAACCATCAACTGTTAGTTTAGTTCGCATGCAGGTTAGCATTACCACAGCTGTGCATCAACATCACCATGAAGGAACTTACTAGTTGTGATCCCAGAGCTTCCTGACTCTGTAGATGTAGCGTTAGCATTCAATGACAGGAAATAACATATGAGCATCAGCAATTCTCCCATCTCCCAAATTTAACAAAGTTAGCAGATAAGCTAGCCTAGCTCAAGTCAACTCAAGTTGGTAACTCAAGTCAAGTAGAGTAACTGGTGTGTTTTATCGTCTCTTGAAGCAGCGTTGTCCAACTTGTCAAGTTTCAGGATTTCATTTCCTTGATAGCAATAACCACACTAATTAATGAGAACTGTTAAAAAAATGGTGGGCAACAACCAGCATCGAGGTGAATCACCGCCACCTAAAACAACCTACAGCTTAATCTGCTCTATCATAACAAACACATCCTTCAAATAAAGGCACAGTCACTCACTAAGAAACTTAAAATGGACTAAGCAACTGTGATAGATAGCAAAGATGACCTGTGTACTTACTGGTCTGGAGCCATCAGGTGGAAGACATGATTCTTCTGGACAATCTCAGCTGATCTGCAGTACACACACACACACATATATATATATATATATATATATATATATATATATCATGAATATCAAGTACTGCAGACAATCATCAGTGAAAATATTTACAATAAAAGTAATCTTGTGAGTTTTCAGGTCAAACAGGTTTGTGTCTTTTGTTCTGCTATTACAGGTACTATGTTCACAGACTGCGGCTGCAGAAAAGCCCAAAAGAGGAAAAAAAGTCCTGAGAGCGCAATGGATACTGTCCTGCACTTCTCTATTTGATAAAAACACACAGATAGTGTATGACCAGGTCAATAATTGCCTAATAAATGTATACAGCCTACAGGTCACCAGAGACGGCCAACCAATCAGACTATATAACTCAGGCAATATAAAGAAGTATGATAAGCATTATCAGTCATGTGCAAATACGGGCAGGGGCATCAATAAACAAGAGATAACCTTAGTCCACGATGGGTAAAGCAGTTGGTGCTTGTTTTACATGAAGAGAAAAAAGACAAGTTGGTTTGAGAATAAGAACACGGTTTTAGCCTCAGTTTTTCACCGGGTACAGCAAATGCTGTTTAAAACTTAGTGAGTCATCAATCAGAATATCAGGTATTTGCAAGTCTTCCTTTCGAGAACTACATGAGGAAATCTATATTTTCTGTGATACTCAAATCTGTACAAAATCCTGTTTTAACCAACACAAACATCAAAATCTTGAAGGCAAAATAGATGAATTTATAGATTAAACCGGGCCACAATAAAGCTGAAAGCATGAAAACAGGAGCAACAAAGCTCCAGCTGCCACTCTGACACAGGTAAACCTTCCTCACCTGAACCTGAACCTGAACCTCACCCGAACCCAAATGTTATACAGACCTGCTTTTGTTTTGATCTGAACTGCTGACAGCTTACAGATCAAACCAGATCATTAATCACCTGAACTTGCATGTTCACTGAGCTGAAAAGGCTCAGGTGTGCCGTAGTCCGAGCTAAGATGAAGGACTTTTACTTTTCTTTATCAGTGACTCATTGTTGATTTACAGATCAGTGAAAAAAATCATTACTTGCTGACCTCACCCCACCCCTCATTAAACACCAGCCTCCAGGACCTTCAGAAGATGAACCAGGAACCTCAAAGGTTTAACCCCTGGTCCTCTTTTTATTCGATGTACATCAAAGTCAGGTTAATGTCAGTTCTTGCTCTCTTCAAGTCACTCTTAACCTCCCACACACACAAATATAACAGGGTCCAGGTGAGTAGGTAAAACAGCTGCCCTGAGTGAAGGTTGGTGGGCAGATATATCTGTCAGTCTACACCAAGGGCAAATCAACACAAAGACAAAGGGTGTCACACCTGCCATCAGCTGCTTCCTGTTCCTGCTCGAAGGTCACGACGACCCTGAAACGTAGAAACACTATACATCAAAAAATTGGTCTGGTTTCTATTGAATACATTTCTGTGTAAACCATCTTTTGGGTGCTTTGTTAGGAGGTAGTCTTGTTTTGTAGTTATTTAATGGCTTATGCAGACTCTTTAAGGTTAGTCTGGTTAATTTGGGGGTTTTGGTGGCCAGCTGAAGAAAAAACTCTTGATCCAGACTCATGACCCTGGATACAACACACCATCAGCACAGCCTCAACTTGTTTTTCTTAAGTTTCTCTCAGACATAACAATCCCAGACTTCTTCAGATATAGAACTTAACCCTAACTTTTTAACTGCTGCTTGTTCAACTAATTGGTCTATATCTGTTCAGTTTTAACAGCATCAGGTTACAGTCCATATTTCTCCTGGTGGGAACTCTCTCTCTGTCTCTTTCCCTATATACTGTTTGTTTTTGTGCCTGTATACACACTGATTTACATATATCAACAATCCTTTTCATATAAAACCATGTAGCACAAAGTGCTTTACACAGCAGAGGAACAAAAGAAACAAAGAATACCCAAATCTACCCCGACCCATCCCCTCATTCCCACCCCATGATCTAAGCACAACAGAAACATGTATCAAAATGCATGAACTTGAAAAGAGCTCGAAACAGGAATGTGCACACTCAGGAAACACCATATTAAAATTCAAGGAAACACTGGAGGTTAGGTTGAAATCTAAACACAAAGTAACATAAAATGAAATTCAAGAAATAATAAATAAAATGAATTAAAAACAAAAGTAAAAGATACTAAAATAAGAGCACCAGAGTAGCTCAACAAAAGAAGATCCTGTCATTAAAACTAGAAAGAGATAAATGCTAAAACACTTCAACAAAGTTGAGTTAATAATATAAAATTTAGTTAAAAGCAAGACTGAAAAGGTATATTTTAAAATCATTAAGATTAAGTGTAGTCCCCAGGTCTTCAGGTAAACTGTTCCATAGACGGGGGCTGTAGTAGTAAAAAGATGCCTCACCGTATGTCTTGGTTTTAACTTTAAATAAGGTTAACAGAGAACTGCCTAAAGACCTGAGGGCTCTAGTGGGCTCATAAGGTAAAAGCAGATCAGATAAATTAAATAGGCCAGAGCCATTAAGAGCTTTAAAAACCAATGAAAGCACCATAAAATCCTCTAAAAGAGACAGGTAGCCAATGCAGAGACCTTCGTTGTGATGCGATCTCTCTTTCTGGTCCTTGTTAGCATCTGTGAATTTTGGAGTAGTTGCAGGTGTGAAATATTCTTTTTGGGGAGGCCAGAAAGGAGGGCATTACAGCAGTCTATTCTACAAGTGATAAAAGCATGAATTAATGTTTCTGCATTGGCTTGAGAGAGAAACGGTCGCACTCAAGGTATGTTTTTTAAATGATAAAATGCCATCTTGGTGATATCCCCTACGTGTGGTTCAAAACTTAGTTCTGAATCAAATAAAAAACACCTAATTTTTTAGTCTGTTGACATGGATTAAAAGATGATGCTTGGGGTTTCTCTCTCTTGTCCCCTGTACCAATGACTAAAACCTGAGTTTTGTCCTGGTTGAGCTGTAAAAAGTTCTCTGCCATCCATGATTTAATGTCTATAATGCAGTTTAGACAAGTCATTAAAACAAATATTTGAGCTTTTTTTAATGTAAACAAAGCTGGTTTAAAACCTGTGCAACACTCCTCAAACACAATCCTCACCCTTTATTATACAGTCAATCATTATAAAAGCTGAGTAATCAAAGATGGTTTGTGGCTTCTATTTTGATAAAACCTTCACAGAAAGACACTGCGGCCTCTCCTTTAACACACAGCTCTCCATGCTGAGAGGAGCTTTAAACACCGAGCAGAGCTTCAACATTATGTACATGGACCCTCAGGTGTGTGTATGAGCGAGTGTGTTACCTGAATGACACAGAGAGGTAGTAGTATAGAACTCTGTGGGTTCAAACAGAGACACAATAAATGGTCAGTCATTGTTTATAGGTAAGTAAATGACTTCAGTGGTGCAGCTCTGCTGCGAGTATCTCATGTATTTAGAAATAGGGTGCCGAGTTAAATTCAAATTTCTTCAGAAAAAGGTCAAAACTCTAAATAAAAACTCTAAATTTTGAGGACAAAAATTAAACGGGTAGAAAAAAACTTACATCTATGAAAAAAAAAAACAGATTTCTAGAAAAGATGTTTCTGAAAAAAAAAGATTTTTAAAAATTCGATATGAAAAAAAACTCATGACCGGCAGGTTTCAGTAATTATAAGAGAACAACTCCAAATTCAAAGATGACAATTTAGAATTCTGATGAAAACCCAAAATATTAAAAAACGGATTGAGTGTGAAAGGGGAAAATTTTGAGGGGGAAAAATAATATATAAAACAGGAAACTGTCGATTTTTTTTCATAAAACAATAACAATTCTTTCAGGGAAAGCCAAAGTCCTGAGACATTGAAAAGTTAGATTATTGAAAAAAAATCGTAATAAAAGTAAAAAAAACAGTTCTGAGAAAAAAACTATTTATAGGAGTGAAAGTCATAAGTGAAAAAAGAAATCAAAATCCTAAAATATTCAGAATTATGAGAAGAACTGTGACTTTGAACTAATAGTTCTAAGGAAAAGAGTTGGATATGAAAAGAAGAGGTCGGACCTTCCAAAAAAAAAAGGTCTTATTCTTTTTCTGTATTTCCAATAACAATATTTAATCACTGGAAACAATAAAGGAAGAAGCTTTACTGTCATTGCACTGGTAAGAGGAAACAACAAAATGTCGCTGGCAGCCGTCAGTCAAGCAGCAGATAAAATAACACGCTATTTATGGAAATTATCTTGGTATAACTTAAAACTATCCGGAGCTTAATGAATAAAAAAAATTATTTACTTTCTGAAAAGTTGTACCTGAAACAGTAATGATAGTTTCTGTAGTATTTTTGTACTCACGCCAGCAGCAAAGCAGTCAGCAGGATCACAGTCAAAAACTTCCCGTTTAAAGCATGCATCTCATCGTAGGAGGGAGACCAGGTCAGTCCTGATCTTTCAGCTCAGTATCCTTGATCCAGAGCCACCTAAACTAGATCCACTGAGTCCGAACAGTGTGAAAAGCAAGACTCTCTCTGGTTAGTCCTGGTCTTGGTTTAGTTGAGTCTGTGATGTGTCATTTTCAGGTTCAGGCTGATCTTGACTTGCTGTCTTAAAGGGTTAACACCTTATATGGATAAATGGATGGTGGAGCGAGCAGCACTATCTACATAGAGAGAGAGAGAGAGAGAGAGAGAGAGGGAGGGAGGGGTTCAGACATACAGTGATTATCAGTGTGTTGCTCCAACAATCACTCAACAGGACTCTGATCGAGACCTCTGATCAGACCTGAGTGCAAAGTTTACCTGTTGTTTAACTCAGAGGAAAAATAAGAGAAGCAAAATGTTAGAATATATAAGTGCTTTTACCTTTTAAACTAAAAAAGTTAAGTTATTCAAATACGCTGTGGAAACAAAAAGCTGGAAATGTTGATAATAAATCTGCCTCTATAGCACCAACCACCTTAAATATAGCAATATAATAAACACTGGATAGGAGACATGGAGCTCACTCACATAAATGGATTTATGCAAAACAACAAAACATCATTTGTTTGTCTGTGGGCTGATATGTGTCAGCAGCTGGGATGTGCATGTCAACGTCAATTTAACAATGAAATATCACCTTTACGAGTCTGCATTTGATCTAATGGTAGGGACGCACAAATTGGATTTTTGCTGTTATTTAATTGACTGATATTTTTTCCTCTACATATTGCACACACCCCTTTGCTTTTATTGTAAACTAGAAAAGCACTCGAAGAGCGCAGACCTCCGCCAAGCAGCTCATGTCCCCCCTTATATTGTGATTCACACCAAAACTTTTACTGTTAAGTGTCTTTGATTAACTTTTATTTGTGTTTAAACTGGTATGTTCACTGTTCATAATGTTCCTAAAACAACAAAGCTCATATTAGATACATAAATGCATGATTTATTATGCAATATTTGTAAGCGTACACTTCCTTGTGTCTTCATTGGTTATCTTTCAGCATTGAAAATTCCAACGACACCCTTATTTTTGTGTGTTCTAGATCACAGTATCCGGAATTTTGTCTGGATCAGGATCAACCTTTGACACCTCATAAAACTCATTGAGATCCTTTTGTGTAATTTTTTACTAAAGACTCTGGTCATTTTTATAGAGTTAAATGCACAAAATTCCTAAATTTGCCCTATCTCACAATGATAAAGAATCCTTCAAAAAATTACTGGATCCAGAAGGCGATCCGGATCACCACCAAAATGTAATGGGATCCTCCTGGGGCTGAGACGCACCTCTGGTGAAAATTTCAGGTCAATCCGTCTGTAACTTTCTCCGTAAAGTTGCTAACAGACAAACAAACAAACCAATGCTACCGAAAACAAAACCTCCTTGGCAGAGTTAAAAACACCATGTCTCACTTGTACAATCCAGACAATATAAAGAGGAAACCAGGTATGAACATGTTCCAGAAACACAACATACTTCTCTGGACAATTTCATAATACATCATCAGCCATAAGGTCCAGACATAAGTGAAACACATACTTATCACGAGGATAGTCCTTAAAAGAGCAGTCTTCTCGACATATTTCTATCTTCATCTCATCAATTGGCTGCAGGAAATTCTGTGTTCTATAAAGGTTTGGGACTGCATGCATTATGGAAGGACGACCACTGGGAGCCTGAGGATTGTTGGTTGCTCTTATCCCATGGTCATTCCAGGCAGATACAACTTCATCAAGCTCCTCCTGCAAAAAAGAATGACAATGTTTGTTAGAGATTAATTTGTGTGGTATGCTATTATCTCATGTTGATTGGTGATGTAAATTAACTACTGTTGCCTAATTTTTAATTTACAGGGTTATTTTTTCATGTGACTTTGGTCTAAAGTGACATAAAATCTTCTTTGTTACAGCCACTACTACAGTAACTTTCTCTCAATCTCTAGAAAAAAAATATCTAGGAAATGCCCTGTGAAAAATGGGTGAAAAGGGGAGGTGTCTGCTGTTGAGCTTATGAAAAGTTGACAGTAGGCTACAATGACAAATATGTAGTTTACTTCCTCCACCAATGATTTTCAAGCAATAGGCTTTAAGGAACATAGTATATGATAGGCTCTGAGCTATTTGTAACCACTTCCAGGGACAGTTGGCTTCAACAGACTCATGCGCTGTTATTTTTAACCCTAGAACACTATCGATGGGCGATTTTCAAGCTACCAAACATGTTTATGTGACTTTCATTATGTTGCATTTGTCTCAGTATCATGGGTCCCTAGGTAACTTCAGCATTGCCTTTGACATCTTTGAAGGCTTATTTGTTTCCCAGATTCAAAACCCTCTTTTTCTACAGGCACGTGTTCGGGTGATTTTCACCCGGCAATAGTGATAAAGGGTAAAGTAGGCGACAGTGATGGTGTTACTGGTTTTAGTGATAGTGTTTTAGTGTTAAAGTTAAAAGGTTCAAAAGTTAGGGATACTCTGTATTAAACAAACATTTCTCAGCTGATGAGACGTAACAACATCAGGCATTAACGTTATCAATGTCAAATTGAGTCCTCCTATCCACTCACTGATGGTCTGCTGGAGTCTGAACCAAACCTCAGAGAGAAAACTGTGAATTTAAGATTTTGGCGGACCGAGCCTCTGCACACCTTTACATGACGACAAAGCGCCGGTGGGTGACGTCATAAGCACTAACCGATAATTGATGTTACACACACACACACACACACACACACACACACACACACACACACACACACACACACTGAAGTAAATCTCTGTGGAAAAAGGGAGCCCCGGTAAGCCCCGGTCAGCAGCAAACCCCACCGACCACCGCGCCAGACTCTGAGCACCGACTCTGGACCAACAGAAAAGGAAAGAGAGAAGCAGAAAAGACTCACCATGTCCGTTAGCTGAGCCGCTCCCCGCGCGCTCACTCTAACTAACTCCACACACCGGAAGTGCTACACACGGCGCTCCGGTGTGTCAGTCCGTTAATTTAATAAATCTGCGGTGAGAAACGACAGAGAAAAAAAAAAACTCCACTGAGCTCTCTTTAGAAGGGGTGGGGCTTCACCGCAGCATTCCCGTTAACTCAGTGACGTCACTGGGGGAGCCGAAGCTTGAGTGTAGCAATGTGTAAAATATTGGACTTCATGGAACAAAACTCCATCTTAAGTGGATGAAACAGCTCTAGAAGCGCCACCATAATTTTTTTTAAAATTTAGTTTAACTTTTTACAAGACATGCGAAAGAGTGAAGTGCAATATGAATAATTATAGTAACAAGAAATTTAGAAAAAAAACAACACCAACGAAGACAATGACGAGACAAAAACAAATCAAAAACCCCCCCCCCCAAAAAAAAAAAAAAAAAAAAAAAAAAAAACGATAATGGTACATCAGCAAAAAAGACAAGCAGAGCAAAAACACAAATGAGACAGAAGTATGGAGTATCCCTCACAACTGTTCAAAATGTATGGTAAGGAATAGTACAAAATAGTACCAAAAAGTACAATGTATGTGGTTTGGGGGCAAATGTTATTTAAAATAAAAATAATAATAATAAAGAAATACTAATAAGAAATTGAACACGAAAGAAAATAAGATAAAATAATAATTAGAAAAATAATAATAATGATAACAACAGCAACAACAACTATAATAATAATAATAATGTTTATGCTTTTGAGACATCACTAGTGAGGTTGGAGGTCAGGCTCATATGAAATAAGTGCAAGGCTCTGAGAAGAAGAGGGGTCCAGGTTGCTTCAAAATAATGAGTTTGGTCTTGGAGAGTGGCTGAGAGCTTTTCCATAGATATGTTTTCTGTAAGGATGTTTAACCACTGTGATGTGCTAAGTTTGTGTCTTGTTTTCCAGTTACTGAGTATGGTCTTTTTGGCAGTGGTTATGGCTACAAGTATTGGTCTGGTATTATTGGATGCAGGGCTATTTGCTGTGAGGTCCCCAAGTAGACAGAGAAACCTTCACCATAATTTCTGCTTTCTCAGTGTAATACCACTACAAACATCGGGTGGTTTAAATTTCACTATTATGTATAATTAGGCCTGTAATGGTACAAGATTTCCACAAACGTTGTCAAATCATCTAACAGGTTCTAATTGCAGCAAAACTGGGATTTGTAGGCAACCTTTTTAGAAGTTAATGGCACAAATATTTGAGAGGGGCTTTAAATGTATGGGCTATTTCATACAACCCCAAAACATTTTATAGAATAAAAAACAAAATAATTCTAAAATTGATAATAAAAATTTGAAAAAATATAAACAAATGATCATGTTAGAAATATTTCTTAAAAATATTTTAGTAACACAAATAAACATAGACTAAAAATATTTTTTAGAAAAAAGCAAACATGTTTTTCTGGCAGAAAGACATTTCCAACTTACAAACTGTGTTGCTCTAAAGAATATCTTTGAAAGTGTTAGCTCAGTTTTAACATTTGTTCTAATGTGAAAGTTAATCAAAAACATTATCAAGGACTTTAAAAAGGCTTATGTTTAAGTAAAAAAAATCTTATACTGTCCTTGGTATACAATATTATATTTCAATAAAGATTCATCGTAAATTAAACAATTAAGAAAATGTTTTGAACTTTCAAACTGGTTTCTGATAACACGCTCATGATGTTTTACCTCTGACGACCGATTATTACTTTTTAATATGAAGATCAAAAATATAATAACACCTCAGCGGTGATGAAACCACAACCTTGCATCATCTATAGCCGTTTCCCTGACAACCTGAAAGTGAACTCGAGGAGACAGAAAGGGAAAACGAGGATGACTTCAACTGACAGGAAGTGACTGAAAAGTTGCCTTCAAAATAAAAGAGTTTCATTTTTCATCCGGTTCTTGGCATAAAGTCTGATATGTCAGTTTACTGTTTTGTCAGACAAGAGCTCAGATTTATATTAAGTCACCATAGTTTTGCAACTTCTAATCTTCTGTGCTGAATGACGGCAGGCAGGAGCTATTATTCTGAAGGCTCGTTTAACAGCAGTGGACATCCTGTTGCAGTCGCTTCGGAAAATGAAAGCGAAGGGACTTCACAGAGAAAAACTTCCCAAAATAGTTAAAAAGAAATTAAGTAAAAGTTAGATGGACTGATTATATTTAACTCTCTCTGTTTTTTATTTATTCTTTATAAATGTAAAAATGTTGACATCTTAATTTACATCACATTTCAAACATTAAGCTTAATTTTAAAGGCTCAGCCTGCTGTTTTTACACCAAATACCTTTAAAAGTAAAACAACATTAGCTGGAAATTATTAAAATCAGTCAATCACAGAAAAAGAACCACATATACTCATGTGACAGTTAATAAAAAAAATCAAATATTGGTTGCAAAACCATCTTTAAAGCAGAAGTTTTTTTTTTTTTTTAAGATTTATTTAAATAAAGAAAGAAAATAATAATGTAATAACCAACTTTTTACCTAGTTTTATATGAACCCTGTTGTATCTTTGATCATACATTTCTTTTACATGTGTGTGTGTTTGTGGGCGTGTGTGTGTTTCAGCATCAGTGTGTGTGTGAAAAGGGAGAGTAGAAACACATTGGGAATTTTTGTCACTCTTTCTTAATCTGTTTTCTGTTTCCTGTTGGGAATAAAAGTCCTGTCCTCAGATCAGCAACATGTATATACACAGCTCAGTCTGCAGCTCACCATTATCTTCATCACCTTCATCATGCACAGTTGGAGCAGCCTTGTCTTCATCCTTTGTGGGGTCCTGACCCCTGCCTTCTGTTGTGATTGGCTAAGACACTTCGGTCGTCTGAACGGAGAATCTCTGAAGTTCATCCAGACGATGGTAAGTCCTACAAAATCTGATTCCAGGTCCTGGAGGGGCTTCCAGGGAGCCTTGGGCATATTCAAGGAGTTTTTGAAAGAGTGGATGGTCAAAAGTGTCCCTCTGAGGACTTGTGAAGGTCTCATTTCATTGTGGAGGTAGTTTTAATCTCAACATATTAAGAAAGTAATGCTGCTAAATGTGAATGTACAGTGTTTGTAGCCACATACAATAGAATGTATATTTCTACATAGATCATTCATAAATATAAAAAGAACATATGTCCATATATTTATCTGTAACAGACTGCCAGTTTGTTTATAAGTTTTAAGTTTCTGAAATACTCACACCAGCTTGTCTGGCACCAACAACCATGCCACATTCAAAGTCACTTGCATACTTTTTCCTCTCCATTGTGATGCTCAGTTTTTCTACCCGCCTAAATGTATTAAATCACTGCCATGTGTTTGGCAGATTGGTTATTTGAGTTAATAAGCAATTGAAAAGGTGTATCTAATAAAGTGGCCGGTGGGTGTATTTAAAACAGCCAAAATACTGACACATATTGGCATAAAAAAAAAAAAAAAGACTATTTAAATCTAAAACAACACCAATTAACCTTTTTGCATATATGAAAAATAATTATATGAATTCCTTAATGTTATTTATTTGTTAGGCTATATTAACAAAATGTATCATGTAATTATTAAAGTTTCATATAGGTCAAATGAATTTATGCAAAAATTCAGTCAGAATCAGCACTAAGATCTGTCTCTACTCCTGTGCTCAGGCAACTGTTGTATTTTGTATGGATTTTTTTCCCAAACCAGTGTCTACTTTGGCGTCCTCCTGTGGACACAGCTGTTTCTGCTTTTTTTTGTCCTCCACATGCTTGAGTAGAGACTGCTGATGACAATTGGCAACTGCAGGCTTTTAAAGTCAGATGTAGGGCTGCTTGGTTGTGACAAAAACTATAATCTTGATTAGTTAGATTGACACAGATATAAAGATGATTAAAAACAATTTCCAATAATTTGACATGTGCATTACACGCATTTACCTAAAGTGAAACTTAAAAGCTCTGAATTCAAAGAAAAACACAGTAAGTGAGTTAAAAAAACTTTCAACCTGTCCTTTTTTTTTACTAAAGCGGATGGTACAATTTTTCATTAAAGTCACATGTATTACTACTGAGAGGAATCATGCATCAATTCATCACTTTAAAAGCTACGGCTTAATTCGGTGATAATACTTATTGTTCAGTCTTGATTGTCATATTTGTATGATCGTGCAGGGCTAAAATCATTATAGAAATTGAAATTTGGTTGATTGCCCAGCTCTAGTCAGATGTACCATGTATTGTTGCTGATGGTCTTGTTCCCCCTTGTTTATCACGAGACAGGCATTGATGTTATTTGGTAAGACAGGGAACGTACTTGATCTAGAGATGTTATACCAGTCTACAGTGTTTTTGTGTAATGTAGTGAAATGTCTTTCTGTTTCAGGGCGGTCCGCTGACTAAAGAGAAGAGTCCAGTTCCTTTTCCATACAGACTCTACACTCGCCTACAGAAAGAGCCGGTAATATATCAGTCATTCTATAAACTTCATGTTTATCCTGAAATGTTTCTGGTGGTTTATAATCATTTACATTAACATTGAAAGACATATGACTTGTGATGTCTGACCTAATGTCTGTGAGCCAATCAGTAAGCTGGAATTCACTCCTCTCTTCCTTTATTCCCAGGTGGAGTCCCAGCTGGTTTTTATCAGAGACAGTCTGAAGATGATTTCTAACCTGTATCACAATGACAACCTCACCTCAGTCACCTGGGACAAAATGAAGATGGAACATTTTCTGAGTAGCCTCCACAGACAGAAAGTGGAGTTTAACCACTGCGTGAGTACATGGAACAATTCTCATTATATGGCCAGTACTTTGACTCCTTTAACGGCTCTTCAAAGACCTATTATACTTATTTTCACCTTTCATTCTGTCAGCCTGGGACATCTGTGGATTAGCTTAGCTCTAAAAACTCCTTATTTATCTTATTCTGCTGTCTGTGAAAACCCTAATTTCAGCTCTATCAGCCTCTGCCTGAAACACTTCATTTTTTGCATATTTAACACATTAGAAAGTTAAACACAGCTAGGGAGTGTTACTTTTTACACAGCTTTGTTATCAAGAAACAACATGAAAGTTACGCCTTTACAGAAAACATCAGGTCCTGTTTGGTCATGTTAGCACACATCGGCTATAGTCCCATTAGCTGCTGTTCTAATAAGAATAAGAAGAACTTTATGTTACTCAAATCCTGCTCCTACTGTCTCCTTAAAAATCAAGTTCAGTAAATGTAGGTGAGGCCACTTTAAGCTACCTTTCAAAGTTTAAAAAAAATCTAATGCAAGAATACATCATTTCTAAATTCTTTCATAGTAGAAGTTAAAGAAGATGAGTTTAGTGAGATAACCTATTGGTCCCTAATGTTAACTTTGTCTGGCTCCAAGATGCAAACTTAAGCTCACAAAATCATATGTCCTGCACATAAGATAATAACTACTTCCTATAAGATAACCATACAGTGAACACTCACATATTAAGAGTTTACTTCTTGGCTTTAAGGGGCTCTGAATGGACTTCTTAAACTGATGACAATATATTCCTTATAGTGGCTTACACTGAGACTCTTTCCAGTGTTAAAAAGTTCAAATTTTAAACTATCAACCAACTTATGTTGTCAACCATGAACTTAAAACACTGATGGCAATTATACTTTTCATCCCACTTTTACTCTTTTTAAACAGCTCACACTTAAATGAGAAAGCTTAAACTGCACAAACTTGAACTTCTATCTTCAGCAAATGCTTCACTATCCCCATTATTGTGGTTAAACTGAAACTTCAGCATCTTTCAATGTTGATGTCTGCTGCCACATCAGCTTCTCTCAGAAATTCACTTCCCTTATCTTACTTTACATCCTCTGACTTGAACATTGAACCCCCCAAAAAACAACACCTCTGTATTTTTATCCTCAGGTGTCAGATGGCACGAGGGTTCCCCGAAAACTGAGACAGTACTACAGGAGACTGGCCAGGTGTACTGTGGACCGCACTGTAAGTATTTATACTGCTATGTTGTAGTGTAGTGCTGTGTGTAAAGGTTATAGTACTGATTGTATTACTGTGTGTTTTATTACAGGGTGGCAGTGTTGCATCCTGGGAGCTGATCAGAAAGGAAACTAAAAATCACCTGGATCAACTGGAGTTGTTGGTGAACCTCATTGTCCATCAAGATGCTGGCAGAAGCAAGAACCCTACACGGACTTAACAAAGACACTAACATGGCGCATCAGATTATTTGAAAGTTTTTTGATTAGTTTTTATCCTGTTTCTCTGTGAGAGACAGACTCTGTTAGTTTGATAAGAATTTTATTTATTTATTTATTTATGTATTATTTATTCATATTTATATTAAAAAAAATCTGTATGTTTCATTAAATTATGTATTTTTTATACCTGAAGACTCTAGGGCTGGTTTTAACTTGAACATTTTTTATAACTGACAGAAATAGACATTTCCTGCACTGATGTATTTTTGTTTCTTTCTTTCTTTTAAGAAAAAAGGGGAAACTGCATGCACTTCAAGTGATTTATTTCTCCACTGACAGGCTCAGGTTGTTGTTCTATCTCCATTGTTGAAAGCTATTGTTTGTTATCTAAGTTAAAACTGGAGACAAAAATAAACAAACTGAACAAACTTTAATTTAGAGATGGTGTATTTAGGTGTATAAACATACATTGATTATCATAATGCAGCTGTAAGACAGACTCTTAAAAAAGTTGAATACTGTTTGGTAAGAAGTGGCCTTAATAAGTGAGACTGAGTGAACAGAATGCGGGCACTTACTCGGTAGTTTGGGGTTGTGGCCTGCAGAGGGCAGCACCAACAAACAATCCACAACCGTATCTGAGAAACCTTTGTGGTACTTCATCTGAACCCACCACCTACGAGTCATCATCACATTTATTAAGAAATGATAAATGTATTCAAGAGTTTATAGCAATCCTGATGAGTGGTTATGAAGATGCATAACAGCTTATAGCAATGTTGCAGTAAACATATGATGTATGATTTGTTATGTGGTATATCTTAATGCTAAAACTAACTACAGCGCCGTTTAGGTTTTAGGTTTTTATAACAAATTCTAACTCCCGAAACCTGATCCAGTCAAAATAAATCAATTATTTTTCGTAACATTCAAACACTTTAACTTCTTTAGTTTTTCTTGAAACGTTTTCAATCCAAAGTGTACAAAAGGAAACCTCAAATAGCTGCTGCAGTCATATTTCTGCAAAATATGGTTCCCTTTGACAGTTTCTCAACATGTTTTTCAGTCTGTGTTAATGGATAATATGATTGTTAACAACCTCACACTGTGCTGCCATCTGAAACTCAAAGTCGGGCTATTATTAGACCCAGAATTCAAAGAACGCTGCTGTTACTTTTACCTTCTGATATAATACATGACAAAAAAAGCTTCATATATTCTTTAGGGTTTATGAAGGTACTTCTGCTGGATTATAAGTATAAAAGTATAAAAGTGCTGTCTGTAAAATGGTTATTTGAGGGTTTTTTCTGCTCTTTAAATTAAAAAGTGTATTTCTGTTCATGAACCAACTTTAAATTATTTGCGGCATAAAAAAAAAACTTAAATTCAAAATGAAAAAAATTGTATTTGAATATCATTGTATTTAAATATCTCTGTGTGTCATGTTTGCAGCTTTTATATGTGCAAATTTGCTTCATTTAAAACAAAATTGTTAATAAATTAATCAGAAACAAATAATTATTTCTTGTTTCATTAATCACAGAAATGTTACAGCTACTTTTTGTAGACAGTTTTAAAATGATAAAACAGAATTGTGCACAAGTTTTTTTGACTCTATGTCACCTCATTTTGTACGCACATGTTAAAATTGAATATATTCATCTATTTTTATTCATTTAAGTTATTGCTGTGTTACCAGCCATTTCTTATCAGCTAATTTATTTTCTTTGATTTGATATACTGCAGCACAGTTCAGCCTAGTCACATGATTGGACGTAGTTTGAAGGAAAGAAGCCTTTGTTGCCATTGGAGACACCCTCACACCAGCCGTCATCATGGCGATGGGTCAGGTAGATGATGTCGCCCTCTGCCAGGGTGAGGTCCTCAGGTTTAGCTGCCTCGTAGCTGTACAGCGCCATCACTGGATAAACAAAAGAACTGTCGTTTGGATACTGCCTGACTGACCATAAATGGCCACCAGATGGCGCTCTGAACTGAAACAATTTCACAATACAGAACAGTTTCCTCCAAAATTATGTCCAACAAGGCAAGTTAAAGTCAGATAGCACCCTCTGCTGCTCAAAAAGGGAATTGTAAGTTAAATTTAGTTTAATGATTTAATTTGTCCCTTTTGTGTAACAGGAAAAGTGTGCGTAAAAACTGATTTGAACTGATTGGCTTACATTTCAGTCTCTTAAATCTGCCTCCATGATTTCACATACCAACAGTAGGTTAAAAACTTTTTAGCTCAGGTACTATCAGTGATTAGTTGTTGTTTAAATACCTTTCTCCAGGTACTGTGGGGGTGTTTCAGTGTCGTAGTCCACCGGCGGAGGGAGAGGTGGCATGATATCATCGAAGCCACCCATTTCATCCGATAGGAAAGGAGGGGGCATGGCTGAAAGCTCTAGATCTGGCAGAATAGGGACAAGATCTTGTGAGTGACGGCAGTAGTGGGCCAATCAGGTTTGAGGAGATGTAACATCGATGATAACTTTCAGAACTAACTTGATTCAGCTACTAAAGTTGGTAAAACTAGAGAAGCAAGCAGTCGGCAACATTCATCTCTCAAGGAGGTGTCTAACTCGGTGTTACGGTGTGTTTGACCCTAACTTAATTTTACACCGGAATATCCCTTTAAAGTGTGTTACTACTGCTCTATTTCTATCTGATCATTATATAAAGAGAATTACTACATTTATACTGGCTGCTAATTTCAGCGATACCAACTACACTACAACAGTCTGTGTTTCCTTACCCAGGTGTTCAAGACGAGCAGGTAAGCAAAGCCGAGGTGAGGAGGAGGTGGAAGATGAGGAAGAGGAGGAAGGGTGAGGAGGAGCATGAGGGGGAGGGTATGGGGGAGGAGGGGGGATCATCACTGGCAGGCAGACAGAAAGAGAGTCGAGTCAGTGATAACACAGAGGCAGCAGCAGCAGAGTGGTGAAGGAACTAAAGAGAGCATCTGTCTGCATAGACAATCTCAGAAACATGATCTGATCTATGAAAAGCCTGGACCTTTCCTGGAATATTTCTCCAGGGTTTCTGCAACCTTCTTTAGGAAGTCCAAAATACTTGAATGGGGCCTTAAATGCCCACTAACCCCTACAAGGATTTCCCAAAACCATATAAGATGCAAAAACTGCATGCGAACAGGTGAGACCATCATCTCACTCACTCACTCACTCACTCATCTCACACCCAAGGACTTCCAAAAACCTTTTAAGGACACCTTGATTTCCTAGAATCCCTAACAGTTGTACAACCTCACATTACTCTCATTATGTCCAGAGTTTTGTTTCAGCTGTGTTGAGTTTCTTTCGGTCTTCATCAGCTTACGTGACTGGACAGCAGGCAGAAAAAGAGAGCGTGTGTAGCGGCAGCGGGAGGCGGGGCCAGAGCGGACCCTCATAGAAAGAGAGCGGGTGGTGGGGGGCGAGCGCCGGCGGCGACTCCTCCTGGTAGGGAGGGTCACTGAAGCAGAGCACCACGGGAGAAGAAATTGAGAAAGAAACACCATAGAAGAAGAACAAGCTGAAAAATCAGAAATTATACCAGTAAAGAACAAAAGAAAAAAAAAAAAACAGAAAACAGCTGGAAAAACAGAACTACAGACTTACATCATTTTAGAGCTGAGTTTGGTTTCCATTGTAACTTTTTCTACATATGATTTGAACAATCATTTTATGTTTTATTTTAATAAAATACAGACTGTGCAAACTCTCATAATCAAAAAACATCAAAAACCTTTACCAGGTTTTTTATCTTTTTTTGTTTGGCTGTAGCTTCTTGGAGGCATTTATTGCTCCTGTGAAGAACTTTCTGGTTTGTGTTGATTTTGGTGCCCCCTGTGGACAAAGTGGTACCTCTATCCCTCAAAAGTCTCACTTTTTGAGAACATTTGCTGTGAGAGTTAAGTTTAAGACTTAAGTTAAGACTCAAGTTTAGCATCCACAAACTAGCAAATAAAACACTTTGATTTCTCCTTGGCTGAGAGTTTGATCAGGCGATAATGTGATGACAGGTACCGTCTACTTCCATGCTTGGTGGAGGTGGAGGAGGCGGGGCTGGCAGGTCAGAACCATCAATGGGTGGCAAGGCAAAGCTTTCATCATCAGGTGGGGGAGGGAGAGGAGATGGAGGTGGGAGGCTGCTCTCCTCCAACACTGAGGAAACAGAGGGGGAGTTATGTCAGTCTGATATCAAAAGTAAATGGGACTGTTACAAATCTGTTTGGGGAGAGTGTGCATATAGTAGTACTATGGTTGGGACCCTATATGTACTGTTGATGAAGTTAGGTGCTGTTCTGAGCATTATTTGTGGCCATAGAGTGGCGTTTTGGTTGATGTTTGTTGATGGCTCCCGAGACTGTGTATTGCTGTCCTGCGGTTGTTACTAAAGTTGGTATAACTAGAGAAGCAATCGGTCGACAACATTCATCTCTCAAGGGGGTGTCTAACTCTGTGTTACGGTGTGTTTGACCCTAAATAAATTTTACCCCGGAGTATCCCTTTAAGTGCCGTGTACTACATAGTGCTTAACCTCACCTGTCTCAAGACCTAGCAGGGGGGAAAGGGGCGGAGGCAGGGGCATGGAGTTGAGTCCGGCCAGATTCTCAGGTGTCGGAGGAGGAGGTGGAGCAACTGGTGCCACCATCGCTCCTGTTAATTGAGTTGGTGGAGGGGGCGGGGCTACTGGCGCAGCCATTGCACTGATTGGTTCAGGTGGTGGAGGGGGAGGAGGTGGAGCTGACAGTGCACCTGAAGAATCAGGTGGAGGTGGTGGAGGAGGTGGGACAGAAGTGTTGGTGACCTCATCTTCCAAAGATGGCACCCCATTGGATGTCGGAGGAGACGGCGGAGGAGGAGGGGCATCTTCCAGTAAGGCTGTGATGATGTCACACTCGGGTTGAATTTGGTTGGCGGGGGGTATGGTGGGTGGAGCAACGGGTTTCCCAAAGCTGGAGCTGAGTAGGACATCAACATTAAAATATATATATAATGTTATTCAATTGATATCATCTAAAACATTGGTTCTCAACGAGTCTCACTCTGGGACCCACATTTTCCCTTGGCCCTTAAGTCGTGACTCACTTTTAAAGAATTCAAACCAAGCAAATTTATTTTTTTATATATATAAAAAAAAAAACTTAAAAGACTCTCATCTTTAACATAAATCCACTGGTTTTATTGAGTAAAGTGCATTTCAGAGCACATGAAGGGGACGACATGAGGAGGACAACTACTGAAGTTGCATATACAGAAAATATCAAATATCTAATAAATATCGCATTAAATATATAATTTTTTTAACCAGCTATTCGTGACCCATCCAGAATGTAAACCACTAAACTAGGTTGCCCAGACTGAACGGATCCATTTGACTCAAAATGGGACAATCATCAACAGAACAAGCATTGTAGTGCGAAAGTTGGTGACCCAATGTGAACCTGCACAGCGAAGAAATGAAACTAGACTTAGGATCTGAAACCACATCTACAAACAAACACTGAGGATAATTACCCGCTGGCTGGGGGCGCCACAGGGCACTGAACGGGCTCCAAGGATTTATTTGACCTGAAATACACACACACACACACACACACACACACTCAGTCAAACTTCCTGATAAAGATGTATGATGTGAAAAAGGAAGTGGTCACTGACAGAGACAGGGTGGAATAAAACAGAACCTGGTGGAGGCTCCGTGTTTCCGGATGGTTCCTGTTCGGTCCGACTGTTTCCCAGAGACCTGAAGGGGGGCAGAGACATGAGTGTGTGAGCATCAATAGAGCCTCTCAGGCCTCAGCAGCTCTAATTAGGCTCTCTAAACATTTTCCCACGCTCAACAAAGACAGCCTGTCCGTGTGTTTCTGAGTGTGTATGCGAGGGTGTGAGTGTGAAAACCTTTTATAAAGTACTTCCTCATTGAAGCACCAGCAGCGGCAAAACAGAATAAAATGTAAATTAAAGGACAGTTTCACATTTTTTAAGTTCTTCGTAAAAAGAGTGTGGTACACAGGAGTGGTTGGTTTTCAGATTTTAGGACAGAGTGTGATCCTCAATTGACAATAGAAGATCTTTGTAGTCAAACTATTGCTGTTTGAACTTCAAGTTAAAAACATGTATAAGCCATTGTCATTTACCTCCCCGAACTTGTGAAACACAAAAAGGTCTCATTCTCTGTTCGGTAGTAGTTCATAGTTTATACTTCACTTATGTATCTGACAACTTAGAGATCAACAGACTCACAGTGACACAGCTCAAATTAATCAGTGAACAGTTTCAACAGTGTTCTGCATGAGCTCGTCTGCAGAAATTATCAGTGTACAGACCTACTCTTGCAGAAGAGCTGAGTTTCTGATGTACTTTAGTGTAGTCTGTAGTTTGCAGTACTGAAAATATATGCAGTAGTTTGGTAAAGCATATGGCTATGAATGGTTCGCGTCTACCTTTCAAAATCTGTAGTTTGAAGTATTTTGTTTGACTCTGTAGTAGTTTGTAACACTTTGGAGTTGATCTGTTGTAGTGTGAAATAATTTGTCTGATGTTGCAGAAGGGTTTTGTAGTTTTTCAGGACTTTGTTTATTCCTGCAGTGTCTTGTGGGACTTCTCCGAAAAGTTTGTCAGAACTTGCAGTTATCTAAATTTTTTGTCAGTTAATTTGACTTTGCAGTAGTTCTTCAGGGGTTTGCAGTAGATTGTAAAAGTACAAAGGAGTTTTTTGATTCTGCTGTAGTTTGAAGTGGTTAAATGTACTCTTGTCTATTTTTTAACAGTGAGTAGTTGTTTGGAGAAAATGGTCTTAATCTGAAATACTTTGTAGTGGTGTCTAATGTTTTTTTTTTTTTAACGCTGTGGTTTATAGAAGTTTGAAGAACTTTTAATTCTGTAAAAGTTTGCAATAGTTTCAAATTTTTTTTTTGTTTAACTGTAGATTTTTGTATTCGGGAGTAGTTTGTTTGATTCTGCAGTAGTTTATTGTTTTTGAAGGTATACAACGCTGCTGAAGTTTTTGAGGTCCGCAGTACTTTGCATATTTCTGGAGTCAGTAGATTGTCATATTGGAGTGACTTGTTTGACACTAGGATTGTCAGCTGTTGTTCTTAGAAGAATTGAGATAGTTAAATTTGCAGTCATGTGGTCATATGCTGTAGTTTATAGTAGTTTGTGGTGGCTATTTTTTCAATTTGAAGTACTTGATATATTTTATTTAGTTTGTAGTAATTTCTAATAATTTTGAGCAGTCTGAAGTAACATGCTGTTTTCATTGGTGTGTGCCCTGCTTTGAAGCAGCTTAGGTTCCTGAAGAAGTCTGGAGCACAGTACAGCTTGTATTGTTTACTGCAGTTTGTAATTGTTTGCAGTACTGCACAGTTTGCAGCGGTGGAGCTGCAGGTCTTAAACACTCAAGTTTAAATAGACTCAGCGCTAGAAAGTCTCGGAAACAAACTCTAAGTGAGGATCAGCAGCATCACTTCTGTTTCTGCGGTTAGCTGCAGCCGCCAACACTTCCTGTTAGCAGCTCAGACTCAGACAAAACTTCAGTTCTGCTTTTGTTTTCTGAGGTCTCTTGGTTTACTTCTATTCTTATTTTCTTTTGGGGAGGGGGGGGGGGGGGGGCTTCTCCAAACTCTGCTCTGTGTTTTCTCTCTCACACCACCAGATTTAAGGTTAATAACAGAACTACAGATAACCTTTTTTTTTTGGTGAAAGTAACCACTATCAGGTTTCAAAGTTTAAATTTAGAAAAAGAAGAAGAAAGACGGATAAATTTGAAGAGTGTTTCACTGAAATTACTTCTGCAAAACACACAACTATGATTATGTGTATCAGATACCTTCACTCCGTGTCCCAGGCTGTCCAGCTGCTGGTAGTTGATTGGTCGACGGCTGTATGGTGGGCGGGGCTGTGTGCCAGCAGGAGGTTGGGGGGGAGGCAGGATCTTATGGGTGCGTGGGACTCGTCTAACGGCTGTGAAAACACCGATTTCTCTCCGAGCAACTTTCTCTTTGTGCATCTCGACCGTCTGAAAAACACGAGGCAGGCAGAGCATCAGCAAAGAATATGCACGGGCCTTGTTAAAAGACTGGAAATGATGGAAACTGTTGGATAAGGGTTCCTCAAAAACTGAAAAAAAGGAAGCTGGGTTTTTTAAGAGATGACTATAAAAACGTTTGAACTTTGAAAAGGACACTTTAAATCACTGAAACTCAGTTGTTGATGACGGACAGCGAACACAAAGCAGACGGAGAACAGAAGCTCCAGTCATTCATTTATTCAGCCAGACCTCAATGGAGAGGAGGCTATTATCACACACACACACACACACACACACACTGATGACCTGGATCTGTTTTTTTTTCTGCCCAGAGAAACAAACAAACATAAAAACTTCACCTCAGTGAGGCCCTGATGGCTCCATTAAAAACAAAAAAAAACCACTTATCAAATTCCTGGTGGGCATTCTTCCTATGCTTGTTGTCATGGTAACACAGAGGTCACATGCCCTGCTGTGTGTTGTCATTAAGTAACACTCTCTCATCCGCTCCAGAGTGTCTGATCAGCTAATGTTGTTGTTGTGGCCATGGATGGTTTGTTTTGTTGTTGTTGTTGTTGTTGTTGTTTTCTTAGTTGTGGGCGGGGCTTACCTGACCAATGAGGTTGATGGAAGACTCCATGTGACATAGCTGATTGGTCTGAGCCTCAAGCAGACTCAGGACGCTGTTGGCCAGAGTGCTGATCTGATAGGCGACACTGGCCAGTGATTGGGTGGTGAAGTTCTTTGTTTCTTCCAACGCCTTACTGCTGCCGTCACCCGACTAAGACATGGGGACAGAAGGGGTTAGTCTAGCCTAGCTTTGCATTTCTTAGCTTAATTTAGGCCATCTTAGCCCATTAACTGTTAGCCTGGCAAGAGACTGAAAAATGACAAAAATATTATCTTCACCATGCACTAACATCATAAATTGGATCAGACGACTTGACCATAAAAAGATGTTGTTTCATGGGTTGGTTTGGTTTGTTGGCATTTAGATAATGAAAATAGAGATAAAGTGTGTGTACATCGTGCCTGGACAAAGGGATATTCCGGCATAAAATTAAGTTAGGGTCAAACACACCATAACACCGAGTTAGACACCCCATTGAGAGTTGAATGTTGCCGACCGCTTGCTTCTCTAGTTTTACCAACTTTAGTAATGACCACACAGAGCAGTACAGAGAGCCATGTGCTCGACCAAAAGGCCACGCTATAGTCACAAATAATGCTCAGAACAGCTCCTAACTTCATCAACAGTACATATAGGGTCTCAGCCACAGCACTAGCCACCAAACATCTTTTTAACTTTGCCTAATTTCTTTAGCAAAGAGACTAAACACAACTCACCCTCTCTCTTCCAGCAGCCGCTTGTTTGTAGCAAGACCTTGACCAGTCCATTACAGACTACAGCGGGGTGACGCAGCTCAAGGTAGAACATTTATGATCTTTACTTTACCATTTCCTTGAAGTAATAATCACCGTATTTATCATTTTGCACTGCAGACGCGGTAGTTCTTCTACCTTAGCGTCTATGTCTGATTGCATTTCCGTGAAGAAATGATCATAAATGTTCTTCCTTGAGCTGCGTCACCCCACTGCAGTCGATGGACTCGCCTGGAGGTCTCCAAGCAGCTGCTGGAAGAGAGAGGGTGAGTTGTATTCAGTCTCTTTGCTAAAGAAATCAGGCAAAGCTAAAAAGATGTTTGGTGGATAGTACTATGGCTGGGACCTTGTATGTACTGTTGATGAAGTTAGGTGCTGTTCTGAGCATTATTTGTGACTATAGAGTGGCGTTTTGGTCGAGTGCGTGGCTCTCTGTATTGCTATTGTGCGGTTGTTACTAAAGTTGGTATAACTAGAGAAGCAAGTGTTCGGCAACAGTCGTCTCCTGGCAGGGTGTCTAACTTGGTGTTACGGTGTGTTTGACCCTTCATTAATTTTACGCCAGAATATCCTTTAACTCCACACATCTTCCAACCACAACCGGCACAGGCATGTGGATGTTAACTTAGTTAGGCCGGTGGTGCGAGCTCTGCTAAGGGTTGCCACACTCAGCAAACCATTTTGACCGTTTACCCAGTAATGCTAATAGTGTTAGCACTTTGCAGTATAAAGGTAGTAGTTGGAGTAACTATGTAACATGTAGGTACCTTTCATCAGGTTTAAGAATTACTAATAGTATATTTACTAACCTGTGTGTAGTTGTTGTAGCAGTAGTCAGCCACACTTAGCAGGTTGTCATAGTTGTCCAGCAGAGCTTTTCGGGCATTTGGTGCCTCCTCCATGATCTTCCTCACCTCCTCTTCAAATTTCTGCTCCTTCATTGCTGCTGCAGAGAAACATATCTGATTTTAGTCCTCAGCATGTCATAAGTGGTTACTGATCAACACCAGCAGCAGACTGTAGATTTAATTAGATAAAGTAGTCTTAGATACCACAATTGACGTATAAAACAAATTGAAAATGATCTTTTTTGGTCTGAACACAATTCTAAGAAAACTTATGACGGACTAAATTCACTTTCAAGAGTGAATAATTATTTTTTTTTTAAATAAATGTCTAACCCCTTCACCCATGTGCCTCTAACCTTCACAGACTCCATGAATTGATGCCCATCTCCTAAATATTTGGTCACATGATCAATTTCTTTTACCATTTCCAAGCAACAGGGGGTGGCTCAACTTACCCCACTCTCCCCTGTATGAAAGCCAAAACTGATGCTGTGTAAAATGTGAAGGTTAAAAGTGATTAGTAAGCAAAACTACTAGTTTTCAAACTTCGTAAAAAGTACAAGTTCCCAAAAAGATAGAAAATTACCGTAACATGAAAAAACCAATGAGGTAATATTCACCCTAAAGTGTTGGTGAATCAACTGCAGGAAACCTGACCTACTTCTGTACGTTGACAATGTTAACCGAGGTGAACCGAATTTATCCTCTTAAACCTTATTTCAATTAATAACAGGAGAACGAATTTGAACTTTAAACTCACCGGAAGCTGTAGGGCAGCAAAAATAATCCACAGGAAACTTTGGGTCTGAAATATCCCTTTTAGGATGTCCCTCTGTCTGCCACAGTTGTCGGTTTGATTCCCGTTAAGCAACCTGCTGCTTCCCTGCTGCTGCTGCTGCTGCTGCTGCTGCTGCGACCTGCAGCCAAAGATCGTATCTGCTACTCAAGATAGCTCACTTCTTTAAAGAACAGGGAACCGTTTCATGAGGGTGATCTGCAACAATCTTCTTTTTTTACTCTTGAAACTTTGGAACCTCTCTGTTCAAAAGAGTTTTAATACAGATTCAAGAGATTTTTAAGTGACTAAAAGGATTCCGGATGCCTCAGTTTAATATCAGAAGCGACAGCAGGAGAGTGAGAAGTTTGCGTCTCGATAAATTACACGGAAATGAGACCTCCTATACGTGTTTCTGGTCTGCGAGGGAACCTGCTCAGCCTAAACCACTTCCCGTTTCACATCAACTAAAACTTTATTAAAAACTCCACTTAAACATACTTGTTAAACAAAAGTCCACAAAGCAGCTAAATAATCACGAGAATATCAATATCTAAAGAGATAAACAGTCATTTAAAATAATGATACCAAGGCTTAATCACAACAGACGATTTATTGACTCAATATTTTGCGGTAAACAGCCGTTAGAATATTGTGGTTTTATTGGGTATTTTTGATATTTTGACTCAAATTGGAGCAAATCAAATCTCCCAACAGTCTGTGGCACCACCTGCTGGCCACACTGGGAACAACAAGCCATACACCAGGGGAGTTGCAGCATTTTTCCCTTCTCAGTTGCTTTTCAGTCTTTTTACAGATATTTAAAGACTAAACATACTGACATAAAACAGTCAGACATCAAGAGATATGCAGAAGTGCGTGTACAAAAAGTCTAGCTAATGTCAATATGGCAGTTTTTCTATGATAATTCTGAAACTTCTGGGATCCCTGAATGATTTCAGGAGTTCTGATTTGGTTTTACTTTACTACAGTGCCATAATTAGTCACAGCACAACCTAACGACATCTCACTACTAAACTGGGTTAGATCCTCACACTCCTAAATAGCACTCTGTCAGCTTTTGTGATGTGGTCGCCATATAAGTCAGATTAGCTGCATGTGTTTGCTCAGTTCATCGACTAATGGAAATAACACAAAAACTGAATCAGAACAAGAAAACGTCAAACTGGGATGTTACTTTTTTAAGTTTGTCTTTTATTACAAGCTGTTGTATAGTGCAAAACTGTTTTAATAACTCATTTAAGTTATTTTTATTTTTTACATGTGAATGTCATATTTAAATGTTCCTATGAAAAGAAAGACTTTTAAGAACTGTCCATCCGGTCCTTGCTGCTCGTAGCGACAGGATTCCAGGGCTGTTTCCTCTGAGCCCCCTCTTTGTCTTTCTTCTCCAGGGGCTTCAGGTTACTTGACAGGACCAGATTTCTGACAGACACAGACACAGATAAGTCAGGACCTGGAGAACATCCAAGGACTTTAGGAATGACTTCAAGGACATCATGTTTTCCATCGACATTTTGAAACTACTTAAAGGATCCCAAAGATGACTTAAGGATTTTCTATACACCTATAAGAATTATAAAAATCTCGGAATATTTCTGGTATTCTTAAAAAAAGGGCCTTCAAGGGAATCTTCCAGATCGCCGTCTTAATCAGGTCCCCCTTGAGTTACCTGAACTGATCGTAGGTCACTCCTTGGCTGACTGCTCTTAGTTTGGCATCATTCTCTCTCTGGTATCTCCGCTCCAGCTCGATCGCCCCCTGCAGCTCCCTTTCCAGCGCTGAGAAGTCGATGAGATCACTCCGTGAGCTTGACATCACTGTGTGTTCACAGAAAATGGTTTTGAGAAGGGTTTTGTAACCTGTTGTTAACTAAACCCACTAGTTGTGAGATGTTCCTCCAGCTGTTATTTAGCATTAAAAAAAACTTTTTACCCGTTTGGTTCTTCCTCTAAACACTTTTTAGAAACACGTTGTAAGTGTGAGTCTAAATATCTTACCTTCGTTTTTTTAATTCCCTTGTATTCTGGCCCTGTTTAGTGTTTTCGGCCTCCACCGATAGACGCAACAAACCGTCTCCATGACAACGTGCTGCCGGTTGGCGCTTGCGCAGAGCAGCGTAGTGAACGTGGGAACAGATCTGTCAATCAGCGAGGTGTAGCGAGGATTCTGCTGATATAGCTGGTGTTTTGTGATTTTCACCACTTTGATTCTGTTTTATCACGCCTTATTTAATGCAGAAGCGACACAGTAAATAAGTTTGCAAAACAAAATCAATTCAACCTCATAAAGTGAGTTTTATCAAGAAGGAGAGGTAAGTCTGCTGTGTCCATTACCCAATTTCTGAAAAAAAGAAAAAAAACACCAGTGTGCAGATCAGTGTCACTTTTATTCCTTTTATTTTATTATTAAAGGTCAGTAAAATACCCTCTTATGTACAGACTTAAATCTGCTAAATTTCCATGTTACCTTTGTTCTATGTCTGAAATACATATAACCTCAATACTATAAAAACATTCAGCATTGTACAGATTATCATTTCTAGCACTCATCATGACAGCAGGGCAGAAAATACAAAAGTAAAAATGTTGTAAAATTCTTTTTAGAAAACACTAACATTTCTGTAAGTCCTGAAAAACCCACGGAGTCCCTCAGGGAAGCATCCTAGGTCTTCTAAGCTTTCTTTTGAATCTCATATTTTAAAAACATTTACTCAATAAACTCTGTTGTTTCCATGATGACATTTGCATGGCTAAACACAAAAAAAAGAAATATTTCATTAATACGCATCATCTTCATGACGACAGGCTCTCAAAGGGCTCTTCCTCAGGTGTAGTGCCCTCTCCATGACTCTACAAAAGACACTTGGTCCATTGGCTCCATACTGTCTATTACTGATGATATCATCAGGTCGGGTTAAATGTTGATCCAGTGTTTAATACAATGAAGGTTATTTTAATTAAAAATTAAAAACAACCCATACTTGGTATTAAGTCCTTTTTGTGCAAAAGCAATTTTCAGCTTTGGTGAATGCAGAGTGATTCATTGGTGGTTTTATTCTTCAAAGTCTCTCAGAAGACGTCTTGATATCAAAAGACCAAAAGCTCTCAGTTCTTAAAATCAATGAAGATGTTTCGAAAATCCGAAACTCGCCTGGACCCAATTGTTTAAAGTTATCAGGCTGACTTAAAACCATCGGAGCAGATGAAAGCTTTGACAGACTATTCACTGAAGGACCTGCGATTGCTAATATCATTTGTCCACAAGGGGGTGCCAGTGCTCAGAGTACGTAGCATGAAGTCTTACCTGGAGCTCTTGCGACCAATAAAAGTCTCCAAGTTATGTTGCTCATGGCCCATTTTTCTTATGAAAAAGATAAGATCAAGTGAACTGGGTTACCTGATTCAGTAAAGCAAAAAAAAAAAAGTTGTATTTCCAAATCCAAATCTGGATCATATTTATCCCGATTTCTTTGGACAGCTGATCTCAGGTTGTAGAAGTGAGGAGTAGTGTGGAAGATATTTTGATCTGTAGAATTATTTAAAGTTGGCAAGTCTCTAGAAACAACAACCTATCCCAGAACAGTGCAGGGTGTAGGTAGTTCCAGTCAAATTTAACCTGGGTTATGTTGAGCTAAGATGTTTTCATGCAAAGAAAAGTTCAGTTTTAACCTGTAAGAGGCTTTAATTGTCTGCAGACTTTTTCATGAAAAAGACGTTTTGTTCTTAAAGGTTCATACTGATCTGAAACATATGTGGAGAGTTCTCACTCGAAGGGTGGTGTTTGGTTTGGGACATAACTGAATGGTATGTTTGAGTAGGACAAGGTGCTGGGTGATGGTAAAACTTTGGAACAAGTCAAGGTGCATCGCTAGTTCCTATTAGGGAATCCAGTTGAGTAGTAAAACAAAATCCAGATGCACTGGTCACACTTTGTGTAGTGATTTTAAGTGTTACAATTCCAGGTATGACCAGCTGGACTTAATTCTCTTCAACTAAACCGGTTGTTGAACCAGTAGATGTGGTGGAGTCCTGTGGTCAGGCTACGTTTGGCAATAACTCTTCTGCTGATGTTTAATAATGAAGATGAAGATGGCAAAGGATGGTTGATCGTGTTCTTACAGAAACAAACCGCTCCAGGATCCAGGAAATGAGTCAAGACCTCCTCTTTTCTGCATGGTTGTTTTGTTCCACTTGAGAGTGCGGTTGCTGTGTTCACATACGCCAAGATGACAAACAGTGGGTGCTATGTCTTTTTGTTTTGTTTTTTATATGAACTTTTTGTGTTCGACAGGTTCCAGGTCCAACACTAAAAAAAGTGCTTCCTCAGATGCATACCATCACGCCAAGACAATAATCAAATTGAAATTCTTCAAAAATGAGTGCTCTAGAGTTTCCTGTGATTTGATGCCAACTTGACGAAAACTTGATTTTACCGTTCTTTACAAAAGAGGGAAACATAATGTATGGGCTTAAAGGTTTACAGTGTTCTTGCAAGATGTAGAAATTCTGCGTCACAAAGTGAGAAGTTTGTAAAAGTTCTACTCGGTCCATTCGTGGTTCTTGCGGTGCTTGCAGGTGCATGTGGAATTGCATGTTTATGCAAATATTTATTCAGCTTCAAAAATAATTAATGATGATGATCGTCTCTGGGGATCTTTGGGATACTAGAGGGATCTTTAACTTGGGTGCCAAAAATTGTTTTTGCTGGTGTTTAAATTGGGTGATGATTGAGTTCATTTCGAATCCAGATTAGGCTTTAAGACAGTTCAAACACTTGACAGAAGGCCAGGTAAAGCCTGCAGGTTCCAGTCCTTTCAGTTACTCCACCTGGGTCACTGGTGTTATGGTGGTTAGCCAATCAAATAGAAATTCAGTTCCTGACGAACTCTTAAGGAGGCAAAGCTTCAATCCAAATTTGATGACGGTTCTCTGGCACTTGGAGGATCTATGGCAGGTCTCTTGGGGCGATCTAAAGAACCTCATAGGGTTCTAAATGGTTCTGCATGAGCTCAAGGAGGTCCCCCTACCTCTTTGAGAAGATAGTATGATATTCTTTAAGCATGAGCTCCACTATCTGACTCTGGAACACCATGTGAATCGTCATGTTGGCTGACTCAGTTTGGGGGCGGAGCAATGTGGGGCCGAACACAATGGCGACGCTCTGAAACGACATCTTCTGCTGATGTTTAATAATGAAGATGAAGATGGCAAAGGATGGTTGATCGTGTTACATGTTGCAAAAAATAATTCTCACCCATTGGCTCAACAGCTGGATTAAAATGACCACTATCTGATCACATCCCCCCTCTTCAAACTGAACATGTATTTGTCACTGTTGAACCAAGTAATCTTACACTGACCACTTTTATCTGGTTGTGTTTCAAGTCCCCTTTTTTCTGTGAAACTCCGTTTTTAAACGTTATTAGGGGTTTCATGTTTTCTATGATTGACACCTGATACAGCCTATTAGCGTTTAGGGATTGCGTAGCTCACCCGGGGGGATACACCGCTTGAGCCGAGCCTCATCATGGCAACTCTCCCATCGAATGCGCACAACGCTACTGCGCAATGCTGGTTTCAGGAAATGAAGAAAAATGGCGGAAATACCGAGGGCTTTTCGGTTTCAAATACAGGCGGGAGGCGGAACCAAGTTTTCCATAGTATATACAGTCTATGTCCAGGAAATACAGGCATTAAAACCTCTACTGCACTATCAAGGCTATCTCGGTATTTTCAACCCTTACTGTACTATCCAGAACATCAAGGTTTTCATCACCCAAGCTGCACAATACAGGATATCCAAGTATTTTCAACTACAACTGCACTATCCACTGTATCAACATATTTACAATCCGCACAGCACTTTTAAAGATATCTGGATACTCCAACCCTGCGGTATCTACAATATGTGAGAATGATAAACCAAAATTGTATTATCCAGGATATCCAATGATTAAAACCCTAACTGCACTATCAAGGCAATCAATCCAGATACTTATAGCCCAAACTGCACAATCGAGAATATCCAAATATTTACATCCCTCACTCCACTTTCCGGGATACACAGATATTTTCAACCCTTGCTGCACTGTCCAGGATATCCAGGTATGTCCTTGTTTTGTATCCATGACCACTTACACTGATACATATTTTATAGTAAAAAGTATTATCTCACTCCTGCTATTAAGGCTTAGGTAATCGAAAGGCTGAGGTTGGACTCACTTGAGCAAGTGTCTGAATAGGAGCTCCATGGTGTCGTGGTTTGGAAGAGGAAGTAAGCGGACCAGGTCCTTCATGTAGGAAACTCTCAGGGTGTAGTCTGGGACTTCTGCATGGAGATGAAACACAAAGATTGCCTTCTGTATTTAAATAGCAACACTCCTACATGACCATAAACTTATTGACACTTTGGTGACTGAAGTGAAGCAAATACAACTCGTCTATCAATCGACCAATCTCCTCATGTCTATGTTCCTCTGAGGATAACCCTCGTGATTTTAAAAACCTCCTATAGGCTCTCTTGGCCTGTGTTAAGTGAGACATTTGATCTAGTTTGACATTTGAAATATTCCTGACTACCTTTATCTCCAGTTAAATGTTAAACCTCATACAGAGTTTGTTTAGCTTATGTTATATTATGTGTAACAGGTTTAGGTAGATACTTTGTGAGTGTTTCTTAGATTTGGTAGGGTGTGTTGGACCCAAAATGAACCCAAAGTTTTCTCTGGGACCTCTCCCTGAAATCCCCCATTCAGCTGTTTGAGGATGTAAGTTCTCACTTTTAACCAAGCCGACAAAAACAAGACAGACAGTATATCAGAATGGCATCAGAAGTGTCTATGCTTTAAACATTTTTGTTATGCAAGGCGGTGCAAGAGGCGCTGATTCTTTTACTGACGGATGGCGGCGATGAACTTCTCGAAGCAGCTGAAGGGAAACAGCGGCTCTGGAAGCTCCCGCAGGAAAAGTTTAAGGGCACCAGTTATCACGTGGATCTCTTCCCACTGCCCATCCTCAAGATCCAAGTGCTCCTCTGAAAAGACAAGTGTAAAGCATTAGCATGTAAAATACAGAACAGATTGTGCTTACATTGACCAAATATACAAGAACCCTTCCCAGACAATAGGAGAGATCTTAACCCTCTGATGCATGAATTATGAAAGCCCTGATCAAGATTTTTTTCATAAGTGTTTTTATCATTCTCAGGACATAAAAGAACATGTAAAATTGTTTTTTTCCAAAAATGTTATTTTTTCACAAAACTACAGAAGTGTCCATTCAAGTGGACTATATGCGCCTGAGCACTCAATACAAAACATTATGAACTTACAGTAAAAAGTACAGTACACCAAAATATGCCAAACTATCTCCAACATTGGAAACAATATTGTAAATCCCCACAGTACTATAAAGATTCAGGACTGACATTACCATGCCCTTATACGAGCATGTTGTTTTCAACAACAAAAACTGATATTTTAGTTCCTGCATCTCTAAACATGTCTCTGCTCATCACACCTAGGATGTATGAAAGTTGGCAAAGCATCCAGGGCACAATGGCACACAGGCTTTATATGAGCACAGGATTTGCTCATATCTGTTTACAGACATGGCATTTGCAATCATCCCTAGACGAAGGCCATCCTCACTAGACCAGTACATGTGTGCCCTGGGATAACGAATGTAGCCCATGATCATTTTGATTCCTAAAAAAGTCTGCATTTCTTCTCCTGTCACTGCCAGATTTTCTTTCCCTTTCTGGGGAGCATACAACTTGGTGTTTTTCACTATATCATCAATGAGATCTGCTGGAAACAGATGTCTGGTCTATAGGTCTATAGGCTCTCTTCCCTCCACATTGAATTTCCACTCTCCTAGAAAAGGAGACATATCTCTATCAAAGTGATTGTCTTGGACTTTCCAGAAATTTTTGCGAGCTTGAGAATGGTCAGGTGTCATGTGCCCATTTTCCACAGCTCCCTGATCATGCTGACCTTCCCCTGCATCCTGCCTCTCATCATCCTGGTCCTCATCCACTTGACTATAGGCATCTACCCTTTCTGCACCCTGACTGTCTGTATCTCCATCATCCTCAGCCCCTACATGTCTATTCTTCTCTGGCAGCCACTCTTGGTCACTGTTACACACTGATTACACTGTATACACTGATTTATAACCAAAACAGCCACAAGTACCAGTGGAGCAATTACATGACTCCTGTTAAAAAAAATACTGGGTGATGCATGATGTCCACTCAGTTGGACACATGGTTAATTGTAATTTTCTACATATTGGACATGAAATTTTCAATTCCAAATGGATAATATCCTTCCTTAGATGTTACAGTATATCATCATATTTTTTTTACAGCTGGGGTTCTTCTACTATAGAAGTATTGACAGGACATGCCAGCTGTAGTCAGCAGGGGTGGCTGTTTCTCGGCCATCTTGGATTTGTAGGAAATTTACTTGCAGTTACACTGATTACTCACTAAATGTAACTCAATGGAGTAGGGCAGTAGAGAGCACCCTAGAGGCTGATATACACTTCCACCATAGAAACCATTGCATTTAAGAGAAAAAGAGTTTTTGGTAGCTGTCCACTGTAGTGACCACTATGAACCAGAGGGTTAAAATAGTTGGGTGTCACTTTTAGACAGCTGATATGTTGATCATTTAGCAAACAGTCAAAGGAAAACAAAGTTTTACTGTCGCTACTCAATTCAGTGAAATCAGTGTATTGTCTGCATACGGTGGCATTTTGGGGAGTGCAATATATTAAAAGTCTGTCAATTCCTAGACATGTTTGAGGAAAAAGAGGTGGCACACTGTTCAGATGGACAGGCAGAATTGTTTTGTTTTTACCGTGGTCGGCTTTGTGTCGTAGTCTCTGGATCACAGCCAGGTTCCCGCTAACTCTGTAGATCCCGTCAACATCCAGACCTGAGTCACACACACACACACACATCAGTCTGTTGCATGTTTTTTTTGTATTCAACTGTGTGTGCTTTGTAGATGTGTTTGGACGTTTACCTCTCCTCTCCACAGCTCTGATACACTTCTCCACAAACTTGGGGATGTTTGTGTTTTCTCTGTGACAGAGTGTATCCAGGTGACAGCCGAAGACGTTGTCTGGATATCGTCACAAAAACCAAACCATTAAGAGAAAACAAAGAACTCAACTATCTGTACCATGAAAGCTGCAAACTGAAACAGCAGGTATAACAAAGCGGTAGCCATGACAACAAACCAAGGTGTCTTTACCTCTGATGTAGCCCTTCTCTTTGACGCTCTGCAGTGTCGGTCTGCGCTGGAGGAAACGTCGTAGTTTGGTCCGAACTCGTCTCTGTTCAGAATCAGCTGTTCCTGATGAACCCCTGGCTGCTGGAACAGAGAAGATAAAGTAACTAAGGACTTGAGGATTGAGGCAAAACAACAAAACTTCTAATCTTTTCTGGTTAAACAAGATGGAAGTGTGCCCTGACAGTTTATTCTCATCATTAGCAATCCCATTTAGAAAGATCTCTGGTTAAGACCACGATGTCAACAAAGAAAATCTGTGGACTCACTTGTCCTCTTCCTGTCTTTATCCTCTTTGTCAGAACTAGTGTCCGGTTCTTCCTCATCCTCAGATACATACACCAGCTCCTGAAACAGGTCACAAAACAACCTTTAACAGGACTTGTGATTACAACTCAAAGTGCTTTAATGCTACTCTTCACATTCACCCGATCATACTACATTCATATACGAATAGCAGAAGTCGTTTTGCTCGAGGATCATCTGTATTAACTTATTCCATTCAAACCCATTCACACACTATTATTAGTAAAATAACTAGCTCACTGCTGGAGAGGGTGTATTAGTTACCAGCTGTCTAATCGTATCATGAATCACTTTCAGCCAGTCACTGATGATACTCTCTGTGTCGTACTGCATCAGGTACTCACAGCCCTGCCGAGTCTTGAGCTGCATGCAAACACAACAACACAACAGTCACATACAGTCCAAAACATCACAAATACATGTTGCAACCCCTGTAACATAAAGGTTGGGACACTGTAAATACTGAAAAGAAGAATCTGATAGTTCACTAACGGCCAACAAGAAATAGTACAAAGAGCAGATATAAAATGACGAAAGTGACGAATGTTTTGTTTTATGAAAAATATGTGCTCTTTTTTTTATTTAGTGCCAGAAACATGTTTCTACAGCGTTTGATCAGGGTCATCTTTCCCATTGTTATAAACAGCTCTTCCTCATGATAGTGAACTGTTGTCCCATTCTTGCCTGATATGCCCATCCAGAGAATTTTTTGGTGTTTCTGGATCGTGTTTATATCTGATTTCCTCTTTGCATGTTTCCGATTTAACCTGTCTCTTTTTAATGTAATGCTACCTGAGGGTCTGAAGATCAGGGCCTCTAATAACTTATTAGAAACATTTCAAATTTAAAATATGGATATTACTTTCTTCAAACACCACTTTTCAGCTTCAACATTTGATATGCTCTTTGCGCCATTCTCATTAAAATGTAGGTTTCTGAATGATTTGTAAACTACTAAATTCTGTTTTGAGTAACATTTTACAGAAACTTAGAAATTGGACCAAGGCAACCATTATATAGAGTATCAATCAAACACATGATGGTAAAGAAACTGTAATCGTATGCTGTGTTTGAGTTACCTTGGAAGTCAGATGTCCGAACTGGGAATGACGTCACACCCCAGTTACCAGCGTTTTGGTAAAGAGTCGAAAAAATCGGAGGCACAAACGAGATGTTGCAGAAGGACCGCATATTTGTCCAGATGTTGCTTTTATTCGGACAAGGCGAGCGCTAAAATAACTTCTGTTATGTAACCATCTTGTCTCTGCCTCCGATTTTGCTTTTTCCCGACTGAAATGTCGGTAACTCAGGTGTGACGTAATTTTCAGCCCGGACATCTGACTTCCGAGATAACTCAAACGCAGACGATCAAATTGAACATCAAATCAGGACGTTACCATGGTAACAGTCAGAGTCATGAAACCTTGAGTTGAAGATGTACCTCTAGAACGTTCTTTTTGGATGACTTGTCCTTAGTGGCCCAGCACACTGCGGCTCCTCTCAGTTCGACTGTGTACTCTGGAACAATCTGTGAGGATTTACTCTAAAGGAGAAATCACAGATCAGTGAGAGTGTAAAAAGGTCATGTGGCTGTTTTGGTCACAGATTTAAATAAGTCGCTGTAGTCCAGTGAGAATCTCTTACAGCGTTCCCTGTCGGAGCAGATTTGGGGTCTTTGTGGAAGGTGAGGATCCCACCATGGAGGACTGTCCAGGACTGACTCCAGTTCTTCCTGTTACCAACAACAAACACAGTCAGGACATGATCTACAGACTGTACGCTCCAACCGAGCAGGTTCGAGACACTTGCCCAGGAGCTAACATCCCACCTGATCTTTTTCCCATTGTCAGCTACTTTGGTCTTGTTGAGGATTCCTGCTTTCTCCAGCAGATGGCACTGTAAAAACACAGATAAGAGAGTCAGGCCGGCATGCAGGTGGGTCCTCAGGTGTCTCTGTACGGCTTTGAAAGATGACTCTCCTGTAAACATGGGAGTGGTTTGTACCTGCTGCTCAAGCACATTCTGTCTGCATAAAAATTCATCTAACCCTTACTGGAAACTTTTTACAACTCATCAACACAACACGCCCAGGAGGAAGTCATTGATACAATTGGAGTCTACCTCATTGAATCTTTGGAAACTTCAAACAGAGCTTCACATGTCCCTACAACAACCAACAGAAGTTTACAGCATCTGCAAGAACCTCGATCACATCTTCAAGGTTCTCTTAATCTCAAAAAAGACCCTCAAGGACCTCTGAAAGATCCTCAAGGAACTGTCCCAAAGACACGTAGGACCTCTGCCTTGAAGATTCTAAAATAAGGACCTCTGAATCAACCTTTATGACCCCAAGAAGATCCCCAAGGACCCCCTTAATATTCCTCCAATGTTTCTGACACTTAAATGAGAAACAAATGGCTAAAATCTCTCAACAAATCCACAGTTCCTTCATAAGGCCAGTGATAAATCCAAAAGGACTTTAAAAAAACACATCACTAAGGACCCCAAAAACTTTTCGAGACACTTAATTTCCACCACACCTCCACTAGAACCAACATGTGCATCCTCAATCTCATTTTTTAAACAGACTTTGATTAGAGGCTTAGCATGGAGGACCTTGAAACCTTCTTAAAGGATCACACGAACCAACTTTAACTTGCATAGACAACCCCAAAACTTACCTCAACATCTTTCACAATCCTTTGCTATGTTTCACAGACCTTTGAAAAACCCTCAAGGACCAGTCCATGCAGTCAAACAAGGACAAGGACCTCTCATATTAAATGTCCTTTTCCAACATACTTGTAATTCAAGATCCTCTTCTTCATAATAGAACTGTCTCTTACAACTCTGTGCAATCTGGTGCAGTTGATTTGCACTTAATTCACACTTTCAGTCAAAGATACTTTGATTTGTGTATTTTTTTTTTAACCATGTTGTTGCTTTGATTTACCGAACACTGAAATTTTACGGTTAAAAATGTCACTTTGTAAAGAGGTAGACAGAAAAGAGAAACAACAGAAATAACAGCAGGACCAAACCGCAACCTAAGAACTGTTAGTACACAGGACATGATGACCAAATATAACAAGAGGGGTTAGTAAAGATTCACTGGACACATTTCTGGGCAGTATTTTCAGACAGAAGTCCCACCAGTGCCTTCTACAGGCTCCTGTGTTTATTACATAAACATCCCGAAAAATACTGTTGGGTGTAATTTCCTCAGATGAATTTTATCCATCCTGTGATTAGACTGAAGTTCACCAAATGCTGGAGCAGAGACTGAGGCCAAAATGTGCCTTATGCATGGTTCAGACCACACATGGTAAGTGTGATTATAATCAAATCAGTCTCAAAAACCAAGGCACAGGAGACACTGGTACTTATTTCTCTTGTCTCCATATACCATGACACACTCTGGTTCAATTCTCAAAATGCTAGAAGACAAGGATACATTTATTGCTTTCTCCGCACAGACTAGCTTCACCTCAGCCCTGCACTAGCAAAAATACTCTGTCCCTGAGCTTTCCATCATGTGCACTCTCTGAAGTATGAAGAAATGGACACAGATAAAACCTATGGGTATTTTTTTACTCCACATTAACCCACAGTTTTTTTAAGAAAATGACACACTGATGGGTTTGATTTAAAACACACCGATAAATAATCAAGGGACTCTTTGCACCATGTGCATTAGACTATGTGCTTTAGATCAATTAAATATGGCCCTAATGTATAATAACTGAAGGAGATACAGAGGAGGATGCTATCTGTTTGAGCTGCCCAGAAAGTCTCCATCACATATTCAAAAAGTGATGTCAGATGTTAGTTAGATTTTCTGTGAAAGTTAGTAAAACCCTGTCTACACCCAGCAACACCTAAGCAGCCAATGAGCACCTACGCTCATCTGTTGAGAGCCTGTGCTGCGATCGGACAGATTCCTCTTCAGTCTGTGTCTGTCCGAGAGCTTGATGTGGGAGAACAGGATGACATGACAGGGTGTCAGAAAATGAATGACTGAATGAATGATGAACAGGAACACAGGGGAGCGGTTTAAAGGGAAATTCCGGTGTAAGTTTAAGCTATGGTCAAACACACCGTAACACAGAGTTAGATTTATGATTATGGAAAAGCAATCAGACTGAGACGCTACCCACTGAGCTTTTTTTGGTCTAAAAGAGGTCTAATAGACGCCTAAATGCAGCCTAGATGACTGGTCTAAAAATCAGGCTACCACAGATCTAAAAATTAAAGTTTTATAGATGTTTAAATTTAAACCAAGTATAAATCTGGGCTATATCTATACTACACTGTATATTGCTCAATGGCTATCATAGTTATTTTGGCTAAGTACTTGGAGAACAGTTATGCAACTCACAGTTGCTTTTTGAAATAAATAGTTACGAAATAATGGGTTTAAGTTAAACGGTTAAATGAGTAAAAATTAGGTCTTAAAAAAGAAACTTGATGTCTAACAGCCGTCTATTGCTCAGTGGGAAGAACTACTGTGTCTGCAGCAAGACACACAAGAACTCTGATTGCATTTCCATAAAGTAATAATCATAAATGTTCTTCCTTGAACTGTGGAACTCCACTGCACTCAGTGATCGACTTGTCATAAACAGCAGCTGGTGGAAGTGAGTAGGTGAGTTGTGTTTGGTCTCTTTGCCAAAGAAACCAAGCAAAGCTAAAAAGATGTTTGGTGGCTAGTGCTACGTGCTGGAACCCTATATGTACTGTTGATGAAGTTAGGTGCTGTTCTGAGCATTATTTGTGTCTATAGAGTGGAGTATGTGGCTCCTCAGACCGCTGTGTATTGCTATTGTGCCTTCTTTACTGAAGTTGGTGGAACTACAGAAGCAAGCGGTCGGCAAAATTCACCTCTTGAGGCAGGGTTTAACGCGGTGATACGGAGTGTTTGACCATGGCTTTAACTTACGCTGGAATATCCCTTTAACATAGATCTGACAGGTGAGTGTGCATCTACCTGTGGACTGTCTGGGGACTGTCTTCTGTTGGACACCTCACTGAAGTCAGAGATGTTCCTCCTGTGACTCGGTGCAAATGTCTGAAACACAAACAGGTCATTATTTTATAAACCTCAAATTGCTGAATGATGTGGGTTCACCTCCTTCAAGCAAACCATCTCCTGGTCCATGCAACTAGTTGTAGTCTTCTTTGCAGAAGATTAGATGTTGCTCTTACAAAGTGGTGTTTTGGACCCAAAGTAGGTTCTTCTTCAAGAGGTTGTAATCTTGTTCATACAGTTTTTAAGTTTGCACTCACAAGAAGTAAGTATGTTTTTTTGCATGATGAGGTTTAGTTTGGCGGATTTTAATGTTCAAAGAATTCTTCATCTTGTTCATTCAAGTTGTATTTTCATGCACACAGATTTCAATGTTGCTCATGCAATTTAAAGTACTATTCAAGCTAGTTCTAATCTTGCTCAGGTAGATTTTAGTGTTGGTAAAGCTGGTTTCCACCTTGATCGTGCAAAGTGTATTCTTGTTAGGGCAAGTTACTGCGTTCACTGACTTTGAAATCTTGTTTACAAGTTTTAATGCTGCTCGAACAAGATATTCATTAAGTCCATAAGTTTTCTTCCTGGTGAGCACAATCTCCCCTCACACATGTTGGTGATATACTCACATCTTCAGCCACACTGTGTCTCCAGTTCCTGACCTGCAGGGCTGTCCCCTCCTCAGAAACTCCATTTCCCATCTGCCTTTGGGGCAAATGCAAACCCTGTAATCATTGAAAGGCTGATCAGTAAAGCGTGTCTCGCCCTCAAACTGCACACTGGCTGACCAACTATTGATTGTTTTACCTCCTGTAGCCTCGGGTCTAACTGAGCTCTTGGTATCAGAGCGAGAGGTTGCTGAGGACTCTGGGAAGATAACCACAGATATTTTGTGTCAAAAGATAATTAGAGACTCACAGGTTGCAGTTATGAAAAATCCACAGGTTTTATTAAGTGTTTGTGTCGTACCATTGTGAACACAGCATCACTGCTGTCACTGGACACATCCACTGGGTAATCCTCCTCTGGGAGTGGGGGCTTCAGGTAATCACAAAACAAAAAGGCTATTAGCAAAGATATTTTATTTTTACCTTAAATACCATAAACATCACATATCAGAGCTCTGACTTTTTTGCCTTGATTTCTGTTGTTCTTTAAACAGATTGGTATAACTAGAGAAGCAATCTGTCGGCAAAATTCATCTCTAGAGGGAGTGTCTAACTCGGTGTTACTGTGTGTTTGACCCTAAGTTAATTTTACGCCGTAATATCCCTCTAAGTCTTGTCTTATCCGGCTATATCACAGTATCTTACCGGGCCTCCTTGGGGGGAGGAAGGGGAGGAAGGGGACATCGGCTCAGGTGCGGTCCATGATGTGGCTCCTGAGATGGGGTTGTAATAGTAAAATCTCCCTGAGACTTCATCCGTCAGTCGCTCCCAACCACCAGAACTCTGACAGGAAAGAGTTTATTTACTAATTTTGAAAAACGTCAGTTGTCAAAGTCATATACATATGTCATACAAAGTCACATGCTACTCTGTAGAGTCTCATGTAGGATACTTTTAACTGACTATTTCAATGTACCTCATCGTGCTGATCTGTACTCTAATGAGTTTAAAAACATGAGATGCACACATGTTGATGATAACCTCAGCTGTCATTTATCATCCTCTCTCATCAACTTGTTTGAAGAACTTTGTGAGACTTTGCCTCGACTTGACGTCACACACTGCCGCCCACCCTGCAGCTCTCTCTACATGTCCCACTCTGCTGGTGCAAACTGGCATACACACACTTCATAAGTCGAACTGTCGTGGCAACAATTGTACCTGAGAGGACGTGGGAGAGTAAAGAGGGGAGGGGGAGGTAAGTTGTCCTCCTTCACCCTTCCTGGACTGGTCCATGTCTCTGGCAGGAAGGGATGAGGGGCCACGAGGGTCAGACCAGGTGGTTTGTCTGGTCAAAGGATGGAAGTAAAACACCTTACCACTGTCCTGGTCAGTGTGCGCCTGAAAATGCACAGATGACAGGATGCTGTGTTCAGGAAAGTATATACAACTATTAACAAATCACTGACTTTTCTACAGTTTAACTTTTACATTACAGACTCCAATTCCAAAAAACCTTGTTAGAACAACAACAGGTAAAAAGCTGTATAATGCTGAAAGAACAGCTGGTTAGCAACATGACTGGATATAAAAAAGGACATCCACAGAGGCTGAGTCTCTCAGAGGGAGAAATGGAAAGAGGTTCACAACTTTGTGAGAGACTGTGTGAGCAAATAGTTTAACAACTGAGTGTAAAAGTTCAAAGAATTAGTGGATGTCGTCATCTAAAGTGCATAATTTCATTAAAAGATTCAGAGAATCTGGAGAAATCTCTGCACAAAAGGGACGAGGGCTAAAGCCAACACTAGGTGGCCCTGATCTTCAGGCCCTTAGGCAGCACTATATTAAAGGGATATTCCGGCGTAAAATTGATTTGGGGTCAAACACCATAACACCGAGTTAGACACCCCCTCAAGAGATGAATGTTGCTGACTGCTTGCTTCTCTATTCATACCAACTTTAGTAACGACCGCACGATAGCAATACACAGCAGTCTGAGGAGCCATAAACAAACCTCTACTAAAACGCCACAAACAATAGCCACAAATAATGCTCAAAACAGCACCTAACTTCATCAACAGTACATATAGGGTCCCAACCATAGTACTAGCCACCAAACATCTTTTTAACTTAAGAGTCCTGCTTCTACACTAGCCTGCCCACAGTCCTGACTTGTCATCCAATGAAAACACTTCGGGCAACATGACACAAAATAGGACAAATGAGATCTGATCTATCTTTAGAAATGTGTTGCTGACGTCAAATTAAAATTTATCACTAGATGTAACTCCTGTTAGAGAATTGCTCAGCTGGCTCCCAGGTCTTACATCAGGACAGTAGTTTATACTGTTGTCATGTCTTTGAGCCAGGTGGGGTGACCTGTCGCCTGTTGTTTATAATGCGTGAGCTGTAACCGTTCATTCGATCAGAGTGGAACAAACCTGAACGTCTCCAGTTACGTCTGATTAAACTATAATGAGCTCAGGGAGTCAGTGAAACACCTGAGACAGAGCAGAGAGTTCAGAGAAACTGAAGGTAAAAACTATGAATGGCAGAGAAAAGCTCACTGAAAACATCACAATCAGGAGTCATCTCATAGTTCTCCAGGACACCTGGATTGGATTATTTTCTGTAAAGAGCTAAAATGACAGGATCATTTAAGAAACATACTGAGTAAACTTTGCCTTAATTTATTATTATAAGATTGTTTCCTTTTATTTTAATTTTTGCTGTGCTACTGACTAATCAGAGGTCCCTTTACCTGCCATCCATCAGGTGGGCTCTGGGGAGAGGCAGGGCTTATCATCCCTGCAGAGGACGACACAGAGGACAAGGGGGTGTGGTCTGGAATAGCAGGGGCGTGTTCAGGAGGAGGCGACGAGGGAAGGGCAGGGCCAGTGACAGAGATCTGAGGTGCTTTCTTCACAGAGGAGACGTTAGCGTAGATGGGCGAGAGAGGGTCGGTCGAGCTGTGATCCTACAAAAAGAGAGAGAGAGAGAGAGAGAGAAATATGAGGCTACTATTCTGCGAAGGAATATGATGTGAAGTGTTTTCTGCTGCTGCATTTCAGATCACAACATAATTATATATTTACTGACAGCAACAACAATAACCAATTGGATGTAGTCTGTGTGATGTAACTTACTGGTTTCTGAAAAGGTTTTTTGCGTATTGGGAATATACTCTCTACCCAACTATTGGTCAGTCTTTAAACAGGTGACCTCAAGCATCCTGACAGCAACAACAATAACCGATGATTTATGTTTAAATCTAAATTAACTCTCTGCATTGTGATAACATGTCCCACACCTGGTCTTCTCTACATCATTAAAAGCTCCCCTGAAATACTTGCTGCAGCTTTGGTACTGTTGTCTTTAATGCATGTAACAAAAAGTACTCTTTAGTATGCTATAACAATATTTTCTTATAAAATCAATGCAATATTTCCCATTTCAGTGATGTGAAAGTCTGTTTTTCTGACAAAATAAATTATCTACGGTAATCTGACTGTGTGTGTGGGTGTGGGTGTGTGTGTGTTTGGTGGTAGTGGTGGTGGGGGACTGCTGCCCTACAGGAAGAACTCCTCCTATGTTTTATAAACAAACACACGCACACACACAAGCACAATCAACCACATGTTTTGAACAAACAGAGCGACAAAAACAACCAAAACCTTTCCTCCCCGACTTTCTGCCACCAAAAACTCAAAAAATAGTAAATAGTTTTGTCTTCTACTATTGTAACAGCTAAGTTCATGGGTTTTTCATCATCTATGCAGGCGACACTTTTAATGTCCTGTTTCTGCTGCTGTGACTGCCCAGGTGAATGACTGAGATTCTCCTCTCAGTTATGTTTCCTTCTTAATACTCAGCTGTGTTTAATACTGGATTACAGTCTACAGTCATTGGTAGTAAAGCATGAGTAAGAAAAGAAACACCAACAACCCCAAAAGCCCTCTGAGTCCAGTAAAGTAACATTATTATTCTGTGCACACAAGACAGCCAAAGATCATAATCATGTTTGAAGGTCTTGCGCGCACTGAGTAATAATCTTTAAGAACAGGTTTTTATCTTGTGTGCACAAGATAAAAATTTCTATCAATGAAATGAATAAACTAAATACTCAAAGGTTGTTATCTTGTGGGAACAAAGTATTTCCATGCACACACAAGATAATAACTTGTGCAGAACTATTTGCAATCTTGTGTAAACAAGATCACCTCTTTCAACTAGATCATTTTAATATGCACATACAAGTTTTAACCTTGTGAGAACCAAATGTGATTAAATTACTGTGTACGAAGTTTTATTATTTTGTGCCTACAAGATCATTATCTTGTAAAAGAGAGGGCTGTCTTGTGTACATGGGTTAATATTTTTTCTGATCAAGTTATTAACCTTGTACACACAACATAGTTATCTTGAGTTCATAACTTATGACTAGTTTCAGCAAGATAACAAAACTGTGCAGGTTATTATCTTGTTGCAGCAAGTTAATTGTGTGCGCATAATATTCAGTGTGTTGTATAATATCTTGTGGGATTGAAGTTGTTTTCTTTTGCAAACAACTTGTGCACTCAAGATGATTATCATGCAAGACAAGTCATAGTCGTGTGTGCATAGGTTGTAGTCTTGTATGCGCAAGATCATAATTTGGTCTCTCCTGTAAACTATACACTGGGAACTAGATAGCAACCTGTCCAACAAGATACATCCCACTGAGCATTTTTTGGTCTAAAAGAGGTCTTATAGACGTCTAAAGGTAGCCTAGATTACTGGTCTAAAATCAGGCTACCACAGGTCTGAAAATGAAAGTTTTTTAGATGTCTAAGTTTAGACCAAGTTTAGACTAGCCGGCTATATCTATACTGCACGTTATATTTCTCAATGGCTATCATAATTATTTTGGTTAAGTACTTGGAGATCAGCAACTCACAGGTGCTTTTTAAAATAAATAGTTATAGATTAATGGGTTAAAGTGCAACATCTAGATGGATAAAATTAGGTCTAAAAAAAATTGATGTCTAATAGCAGTCTGTTGCTCAGTGGGTTCCAATGTGGGTTAAGGGCAGCAGCTTATCTTGTGAGTGCAAGTTATTTTACTTTTACAATAACATAGTTGCATTGGGGGTCAAGACAACAACCTGTTGCCTCAAGATAATTACATTAAGCACAAGATTATTCACTTTTGCCTCAAGATAACCACATTGCACACAAAAGTTAAAATGTTAGAGGTTCTTTTAACAATCTGTAACAATCTGATCACACTCCTAATGTCAAATTAACCAGCAGAAAGAGCCTGTCACATTTGATCTCTGCCTGTTGACACTGTGACAAAATCCTCTCTTTGTTTTTGTCATCATTCTCAAGCAGTAAAAATCTTCCTTGACGCAGAGTTTCAGTCTCTGAGTTTCCAGTATAAAGTTTTATTGTTGTGTTTCATCATAATTATTTCCTTTAGTTTAGACCTTTGGACCTGAGTACTTCACTCTCATGCACTAACATGTCCTGAAAACCTAATTTACAGTAAACGCCTTGAATCCTTGAGAGCAGGACTCTAACAGACTTGTTGGGACCAGTATCAGGTGTGATCCTCTGAATGTTTAACGCTCAGCCTGTCTCTTTGAGTTTTTCATTAACCTGAACACACCTGCCTCAGCTGATCAAGTGTTTCACTCAAACAGGATTTAACTGGATTTTTTTTCCATCTTTTATTCATTAATTCTTATTTTCTACCTCTCATTATCAGTGTTAAAAATAAAATAAAAGCTAAAACATGGGACAACCTCAATTTGATCTTTCAAAAACAACAGAAGAACAGTTAGACTCACCCATAATGAGTTTCCCTGACCCTTCCTGCACCCTTTAAATCCATAAAACCATTACAAGTCAGTTCTTCTGTCTGTTTCAATCCGATACTGAAGCTGCCTCAGGCTATCACACTGCAGATCTGCTCTCCTGCCCAAAGCCGCGCCCCCTGATTCACAGCTGAGTGAAGCCCCGCCTCTTTATAACAGCGACACGAAGCCCCGCCCCCATCTGCCCATACATCCCTCTGAATTTCTTAAAAGAAGACAAGCAGGACTCCTGAAAAACTCTTAGAGATCTGAATATTTCCTAAGGACTTAAACTTTCATCATTTAACCTCTGCAATGACACCATGAATACACAGTGTTGCTTAAACTGTCTCAAGGATCTTCAAGGATTTTCAAGGATCCTTGGAGTTTTCCTCTCTGACATTAAAGGAAGTTTAAAAGCCTTCTAGAGAACTTCTAAAACTTTTTAAGGATCTCTTAGCTTCTTTTTACCCCATAGCAATGATCAAATACTTAATGGTCAGGGAAATCGCTCAAGGACCCTTGAAATCTCATTGCAGTCCTCAAGCCCCCTCTCTGGGATCTGCAGACCCACCTCAAAATATTATGTACTTAACAGGAATGCCTTAAAACTTTATGTTTCAGGGATTTCTCAATGACTTCAAGATCTGGAAATTAATTAAATATCATTTTTGATCCCTACACGATATTCGTGTTTTTATTCTAATGTTTAAATTAGTTTTTATAGACTCATAAATACAAGTGTGTGTTTGTGTGAGTGAGCTGATCTGAGGTCTGTGTGTGTCTGCTGCCCCCTCCTGGTTTAATTTAGTCACCACAGACAAAACTGGACCTAGAGTAAGTACTGCAGAAGCACAATAATATCACGTTAAATGTCTAAAAATGTGGAAGAAAAACGAAGTGAAGAATAAGAGGAAAAAGATAACAAAAATATGAGGAGAGAAAGATGGAGAAAGAAAGGCAAAGAAAGGGAGGGTGGCTTTAGGGGAAGAGGAGGAGGGGAACGAATAAGAAGAATATGAAAGATAGAAAGGAGAAAAAAGTAATAAAGTAAAAGGGACATTTCATTTCTTAAAGGGATATTCTGGCATAAAATTAAATTAGGGTCAAACACACCGCAACACTGAGTTAGACACCCCCTTGAGAGATGAATGTTGCCGACCGCCTGCTTCTCTAGTTATACCAAGGAAGAACATTTATGATCATTTCTTCATGGAAAAACAATCAGACCAAGACGCTAAGGCAGAAGAACTACCGCATCTGCAGTGCAAAATGAATAACATGGTGATTATTACTTCAAGGAAATGATAAAGAAAGCATGTTTCTAAAAAGTTTAAAAGCAAGTGCTTGAAAATGTCGAAGTAGGCGGCTAAAAAAGGCCATCACCAGAAATTGGAGTGTGGAGAATGAAGACTTAACCCCAAAACTGGGTTGATATCGTGTCTCATTTGAGAGCAGACTTTGTGCAGTAAAGGCATTGTGTATTGTAGACTATTGATACCCTTGGTTCAGGCTGCAAACTTGTTCATTGTTCATATGCATACGATGTCACTATTTGTGTTGTTAAAAGTGTAAATACTTGTATATTATCTCCATATTTTTACTTATTTTACTTATTTTATCTATTTATCCCTATATTTTTACTTATTTTATCTTTTATTTTATCTATTCTTTATCTCCTCTTTACCGTATTTGCACTTGAGTACTGTAACGAAAGCAATTTCGCCCTGGGCATTATTAAAGTATTTCTGATTCTAATGTTTATTACGTTTACCCTCAAACAGGAGAAAAGAGACAATGCAAGAGAGGTATGAAAATAAGGACATGAGTGAAAGGTGTTTTATTTTACTACACAGGTATTCTACTGTAACTTTACTAAAGAAGTTTATGTCTAACTATGTCTCTGCTCTGCGATGGAGAAATTTAATATACAGTTAGAAATTTGTTCAATATATGTAAAAGCAGGATCCTCCATCTGCAAAAAACTGTTGCCTAGCTTCTGGTGAGCATAAAAGGGAAGAACAAAAACACGAACAAGTTTGAAATAAAGAGGGATAAGGAAAAAGATGATGACAAAAGGAAAGATGTAAAAGAGAAGAAGAAGAAGAAATAGAAGAGACCTGGAGAAAAAAATAAAGACGCCGACAAATGTGAGGAATGAGGAAAAAATATGACAAGTGACAAGAAGAGAGAGAGGAAGAAAAAAAAACAACTTCACATCCTTTTTCACATCCTACAATTCAGCAAAACCACAACATCACATGATCACATGGTCACATGGTCACATGATCAGACTGCTGTGATCAAATAATAATCATTAAAACTGCTGCAGTCTCTCTCACTCTTTCTCTATCTGCTACTCCTCTCTTTCTCTCTCTCTTCTCCTGCAGGTGGCGCTGCAGCCTTCTCCTCTCACAGCTTCCTGACTGACCCTGAACACATCCTGTCAGCTGTGACATCACTGCATCCTGCTCAAATCATCACTTCCTGCTGTGATGTCACCACTCTGAAAATTATAAATAACCAAAAATAAAATTTCTGAGGATTGATGATAAGAATATTAATCACATGAAATCGTTTAAGACCTGCACTATCATCAAAAATAATCACTCAGCATAATTAAGACTGAGAGTTTTAATCCAGGCCGGCTCAGAGTGGTCCTGGAGGTCAAAGGTCAGCTTGTTTCAGTCTGATGAGAATAAAAAGAGGAAGCAGCTTTTTTCTTCTTCTTCTCTGAGCTTCCTGAGTGGACTCAGCAGGAAATGACACGCTGCAGAGGGCTTTTATTTTGGAAAAAGAGTCACAGCTGAATCTGACTAAATTTCATGTGACTAATGATCGATGCGGAGATCATCTGCTAAGATTATTTCATGAAACATATTGATTCATGTTTGGTCACAAAGTACTGACTGGTGAAAGCACAGTGTTTATGGTTCATTCGAAAGATTCAGATCGTCTTCATTTGATATACTGACAGATTTATGAGACTGAGATGTCAAACTAAATTTAACTTTCTTAATTCTGCTAATCAACTGAAAGCCCAACAAATGACAGTTGGAAGGTAGCAAAAGCTGCAATAAAATTATTGACTAAAGATTTTAGATAAATAGCCACAATACATACATATATACTATATAAATATATGAAATCAGGTTGTGTCACCCCACTGGGAGAAAACTAAAGGGCTCAAAAGACCATTTTACTAATCTTTTACATAGACAACATAAAACAGGGTTATAGTCATCCACTTGTTCCTAATGGGAAGTTTTGAAGCAGGATAGCAATACACCATAAACAAAGCTCAACCATGACACCACTTTATAGCCACAAATAATGCTCAGAACAGCACCTAACTTCATCAACAGTACATATAGGGTCCCAGCCATAGCACTAGCCACCAAACATCTTTTTAACTTTGCCTGATTTCTTTAGCAAAAGGACTTAACACAACTCATCCTCTCTCTTCCAGTTGCCGTTTGTTTGTAGCGAGACCTTGGGCCAGTCCACCACAGACTACAATGGGGTGACGCAGCTCAAGGAAGAACATTTATGATCATTTCTTTATCATTTCCTTGACGCAATAATCATCATTTTATTCATTTTGCAATGCAGATGCAGTAGTTCTACTGCCTTAGCGTCTCAGTCTGATTGCTTTTCCATGTAGAAATGATCATAAATGTTCTTCCTTGAGCTGCGTCACCCCGCTGTAGTCAGTAATGGACTGACTCGCTACTAACAAGTGGCTGCTGGAGGAGAGTGGGTAAGTCGTGTTTAGTCTCTTTGCTAAAGAATTTTCCATGAAGAAAAAACAACACTTCAAAAATGTTTAATCCCTGGACAGTGGGTGCCACAAGATCCCTCAGCTGCTCAGACCAAAACTGTTTTGAATCAGGCAGTACGTGTGTATTATTTTGTTTCAAAATCTGGCAACATAGTGGTATGTGCACACCACTTCACTGATAACTCCTTTATAAACAAAGGCCAGTACAAGCTGGATTTGAGTCTTAGCTGTTACTAAAACCTGGAGCTGTTCATCCATACAGACCTGTATGAAGCTCAGAGACACAAGCTGGAAAACACATTACTACAGCGGCTTTAATGGAACTACACGTAGCAGAAGATGGCTCCTATGACCACAAAGCTGTGTAAAAAGTAACACCCCAAGCTGTGTCTAACTGTCTACCTGATTAAAGCAGCCAAGAATAAGCCTTTCAGGCAGAGGCTGAACAGAGATGAAATACAGGTTTTCACAGACTCCGGTTTGAGATAAATAAGGAGTTTTTGGAGCTGCTAATCCGACAAAGCTTCTCTCGAAGTGTCCCAGACAGGCAGAATAAAAGGGGAATGTAAGTATAATAAATCTGGTGTCTTACCTTTGTTGAGGGCACAGTAGGTATAGGTACTGGTATTGGAGCTGGTGCATGTTCAGGCGGTGATCCTGGACTCACTCTTCCTCCTGTCAGAGCCTCAATGTCAATGTTCAGGTCCTGGATGGACTCGTAGATGTGGTGTGAATCCTCCCCTTTAAGTGAATCCTCCTCACCAGTGCTTTCCTCAGGGCTGATCTCCTCCTCCACCACCTCCTCCTCCTCCTCAGGCTCTATGGGAGAGTCCTGGTCATCATGATTACCTGTGGAAGGGGAGGACCCACTGTGGAGGTCGTTGTGTGATGGGATGATCGGAACCATTGGTGTCTCCACTGGAATGGGCTGGGTGTGGGGTCGGGAGGCGGAGAGGGGGTCTGCTGGACTGAAACTGGGAACTCTAGGCTTTCCAGAGTCCCATTGGTCCTCCAGTAACCCAGAACAAGGGTTTTTGCTTGAAGGGTCCTCGACCATAGCTGAAGTTCCACTGGTGGTAGTTGTCTCTTCAGGAACAGGAGGGGGTTCATTTGGATGACGTGGTATTGGCCCCACCACAGGGGACATATCTTGGAAGTCTAATGGGACACCAAACGTGGACATGCGGTTCTCAGTCTTTCGGTATCCACTGGAAACATCTGGCCGCAGTCGAATAGTCACCTCATCACTTGGTTTGGTCTTGGGCTCCTCCAGAGTCTTAGGAACAGGTACTGGCACTGGGACTGGGACAGGGACTGGGACTGGGACTGGAGGCACCACAGGATGCAACACTGGTTCAGGACTAGGTGGATCAGCAAAGTCTAAAGGTGAAGGGATGTCTGTTGGTAGCTCCTTCACATACTTGGCAGGGATGTAGAAAGGTTTAGAGTTCGCATCACTCCGGACCTGCCACCAGTGGTCATTGGTCTTAGCCAGCAGGACATAGCGTTCATTGGGCTTGATGGAAACCAGCACTCCATCCCGACCCGGGTACTCATACTGGAACTCCACCAGAACCAGCCCAAGACCTGGAGACCACAAGAGGGAGGGCCAATCAGAGGAGAGCATTGTCGTATGAATTAGCACATGTTACAAATGCTAAAATACAACAGAAAAAGTCACTATGTCTAAATAATTTTAAAAAATGTTACAAATACCATCCCTGCTCATGAGACCTAGCATTACTGATATCTCCTTCAAAAGGAGGACTAACCTCGGCCAAGCAGGGAGGAGGTTGCCGCCATGGTGATAGCTCCAAATTCCCTGCCCCCTCAGGTAGATGGGCTGAACTTTCGGGGTCAAAGGTCACACCTGAGTGCCAGGGCCCTATAAATACAGAAAACACAACATCACAACCATAGACTGTATATAGAATGGATGCCGTCTGCCTCCTCGCTGGGTGAAGCCACACCAAGAACAGCACCCTCTGGTGACGGGCTGCAGTATAGGTCATAAATCCCGCCTCCTCCAGCAAAGCTCATGGGGCTGTAGACAAACTTTAGAAATTTATTACACAGAACATAAATTTTCTCCCCCCCGGTTATGCCAGACTGATTAGTGCTCAAGTCCTCTTTTTTGTATAGAACTCAATTTTTAAAAGTTATTAGGGGGTTTATGTTTCGTATGATTGACACTTGATACAGCCTATGGGCGTATGAAGATTGCATAGCTCCCCCGGGGGATATGCTGTTTGAGCCGAGCGTCATCACAGCGACTCTGCGGCTAAATGTGTACTATGTGGTGGAGTGCGTACAATGCTACTGCACAATGTTGGTTTCGGGAAATGGAGAAAAATCGCAGGAACACCGAGACCTCTTTGGCTTCAAATTCGTATATTGGCGGAAGGCGGAACCAAGTTGTCCACAGAATATACAGTCTATAATCACAACTGTTTCCATTTCGGCACAGCAGGATTTTAAGCTGCAGTCTGTCACCCATTTAAAGATATCAACGCCCAGGTTTTTCACTTCCAAAGGTAAACTTTAATGAGTAGAAGTCATTTAATATATTTATATCAGTCCAGACAGACTGTGAACAATGACGGACTTCTACAGTGTTGCATGAGAACCTATGAATAAGAAGTCAGAACTGTGTTTAATCTTGTTCAAAAATGCAACACACCCACCTCAGAAGGTTTTATAATTAACCAGAAACTTGTTCAGTCTGTCAAGCTCACTCTCAATTCTGAATATGTCTGAGAATTGTATATATACCCCTATATGACACACACTAAGATGCAGCTATAAGATACAGTTGCACAATTTCATGCATACTTCACAACAGATTTTAGACAACCTAAAAGTGAAAACAATGAACCATTTCTTGACACTGTTAAAGTGTTACTTTATGCTAAAACCCAAATAATTTCACTGTATTTAACTTGCTGAGAGTAACTCAGAACCTAAGCGGAATAAAACAGACTCCCAGTTTGTAGCTACTGAAAGACAAACTGAGGAATGACTGTTATGTGTTTCTCTTCTTGTCAGAACAAGTCAAACTACAATCGGCTCTGAGCTCCTCCTGCAGCTGCTGCAGCTAACGCTAACCCTCATGCCTCACTCTGCTGTTTTCACTTCATCTTCTTCTTCTTTGTGGTCAGACTCATCATCATCATCACCACCATGTGACTCTGGTGTCGCCTTACAGCAGACTCAGTTTACAGCCAGAGTCAGGTTAAAGACTCACCTGATTAAGTTTGTCCATATCCACAGCAGAAATCAAATACTCACTCTCACCTGTCTGCTCACATCTGCCCTGACTCCACTGTTCACGAGTAAAAGCCCTCCAGCACAGACAGAGGTTGTACAAGTTGTGTTCAACTTCAGAGTGACAACACTCTGAAGGTTTTCTTTCCAGACCACAGATCCCACCCACTTCACAGAAAGAGGGGTGTGGCTTGTCAGTGTATCACCTGCTAAGGTGGAAACCTGCAAGCCTGTAGCTGAGCCCTCAGAGGGATCAAAAACACTTTTCTCAGGGAAACAGGATTAGTCAGGTAAACAGGGACCAGGTTTAAGTAAACTACAGAGAATCTGCTTCAAACTGTTGTCAGTAAACACATTCTGTTTATTTTGGACTCATTTAACACTCATTTAACACTTATTTTACACAAATTTTAACGTATTTTTAACTTATTTTGCACCTATCTTTTTTAGCTTAAGTTTAAAATTAGGATCATGGCTTTTAACTTATTTTGAGATGATTTTTTCTTATTAGCATTCATTTTAAATTTACTCAATAACTTTACACTATTTCAGACTTCAGCTTTTTATCTTTTAAGGCTTAGATGATTGTTTCCCATCAAACTTGAATTCAAGTTTACCTGCCATTTTGATTTATATTTATATTTTCTCTCATAAAGCTGAAAATTTAATGTAGCTTTAAAATTTTTGAACTCATTTTACTTTTTGTTGTTAGCCTAAATCTAAATTTAAATAATCACATCTTTATTGTAGCTCCTTTAACAATTACTTTTTCCAAGGTTCAATTCAAGTAATTTCACATCTTTTAAAGTTACATTGCTTTTTATTCTTCAATTTTCTCATTAAGCTTGAATTTTATTTTACCCTTTTTGTTTCATTTTAAACATTTTACACTCATTTTTTGTTACAGAGCTTGAAATTCTTTATCAATTAAAGTTTAACATTTGAAATCCTAACACTTTTAAAATTGAATTTAGTTGTTATTTCCACTCATTTGAACTTTTTTAAACTTACTTTAACTAAAATTGTGAATTCACTAATATAATTATAATTATTTTTTGTTAGCTTATTTAACAAATTAAATTTCTTTAAAAATTATTTAAATATTTTTCACAATAATATTTTTTCTATAAGGGATGTACTGTAAATTGTAAGAGTATTACTTAATCTTATTTTTTTATTTATTAAAAGCTCCTGTGAGAAGTTTGTTTCTCATGATTTATCTATATTTTTAACAATCATAAATGACATGGCCTTCATGATAGGACAAAAACCCTTTTTTACTTTCTCCACAGCAAAAAATGATAATGAGTGACCGTTTAAAAAAGCAGGATGAAGTTTTAATGCCCAAATCAGGACTTAAACTTTAACAGGCCATGACAGCAAAGATGATGCACCCTGAATTATTAAAAGACAATAAATTCATATCAATAGTGTCATGATCAGGTAAAAGCTTTTCACAGGAGCTTTAAAAACTAAAGAAACTGTCCTTGAATTCAAGAACAGAGTAAAGGGAACGCAAATGAAAAACCATAAAATCTGTTATTTTCAAGCCATGAAAAGTGAGAATAACCCAAGAAGGACACACACACACACACACACACACAGAAAGAGAGAGAGAGAACAATAGCAGACGGCTGATCTCAGGCCTGTTCTGTTTACAGAGGGAAGCGTCTGCTTTTCCTGCCCTAGGCCGGCCTCCAAGGCTATTTTGACTCCGCCCCTTGATGACATCACAAATTGTGTGTATGTGTTTCCTGTCTTTGTAAAGGAACAATAGTGTGACTGCAGTCTCTGTGTTAAGACAGAGCTGAAAAGCAGAATGTAACTATTTGAAATTCAAGGTTTGGGTTTGTATTGATCCAAAAAAATAAATAGCTAATCAGTAAATTAAATGTTTGTTTCATAAACTTTAAAACTTCCACTGAAAAATTTAATCACAGAATCTAATACCTCTGCTGGATTTGTTCAGGCGATATCACTGCTGTGTTAGATAGAAAGTTCCAAGAAATGCAGTTCCTCATGTGGCCACTTGGGGGTTTATCTCACAGTGAGTTAGTCCCCATAGAGCCTCATGTTAGAAATGAAATATGTTTACAGTCTGTAACAAGAAACAAGCTGAGGTATTGAATCCTACTCTAGGGACTTTTGACTCGACTTGCACAAGGTTAGTGATGACTTGTACTCAGACTGTTAGATTCTTTTATCGGGTGTCAAGTCAGGACTGCGGGCAGGCCAGTTTAGCAGCTCAACAGTAGAGCCTAGCTGTTGTAACGCATGCAGAATGTGGTGTTTGTCTTACTGAATGCTAAAAAGTGTTCCCTGTAGTGATTTTCACTGGAGAGACCTGTCTGCTTTAAATGCAGTGTGGCCTGAGGGCCTGAAGATCAGGGCCATCCACTCAGGAGATGAACTATTTGCTCACAGTGATGTCCTATCTTTCCTTTTGAGAGACTCAGCCTCTGTGAAAGTCCTTTTTATACCCACTCATGTCACTAACCTGTTATAAATTAACTTCATGAGTTGGGATATGTTCCTCCAGCTGTTTTTAGCGTTACACAACTTTTTACCTGTATGGCCGTTGAAAGTTTTTACAAACTTGTTGTTGCACTCATTTTAAAATTATCAGACGTTTTTATGATAGAATAACCTCTCTTTAGTTTCAGCATCTAGTGTGTCAGGTTTCAGGCTCACCTCACCTGGCTTGTTAGCTTGTTCTGAGTTGTCAAACATTGATTTACGTGTAGTAAAGTTGTGAACAGCATCATTTCAGAGTGGTGTTTGATTAACCTAAACTGGTGTTAATCTCTTCACTCTGTGGAATATTTCAGACACTGTTAGATATTTATTGACATCATTTAGGATTAAATTTATGGTTTTAAAGTTTCTCTTCTTTTGTAGTTGTATGAAGTCTTCAGCAGAATACAGATCTCAGTGTCTGCCTCTTTAAAACCTTTGTGGAGGTTAACAGTCAAACCTGCTTTGAGTCACACACACCTGAAACACACCTGAGGCAGGTACAGTGTTGGAATGCAGCCGACTTCTCTCTCTCCCTCTATCCCTCTATTTCTCTATCCCGCTCTCTGTCTCTGTTTTTCTGTGTCGCTCAACCACACCCATCCCACATGGAATGTAACACACACACACACGCACACACGCACATACACACACCGGACTGAAGTGCATGAGAAAATAAACTTGGACTGTCAATCATCAAACCGAGGTCGAGGCTTTGTGGTAGGACACGCCCCATCGACCAATCAGGATGAAGAAAGAACCTAAAGGGGAAGTTCACCAAAGAGCCGTCATCAAACCCAGAGGATCATGTGATCTGTGACATTGTTAACCCCACAGCCAATCAAGGTCTGTTCGAACAGATGTGAAGTGCATTCAACCTTTACCCTGTGTGTGAGGGCGGGGTGTGGTTACAGCCAGAGGAACACACACTCACACACACAGAGTAAAAGGAGACAGAAATAACTGAGTTTAAATCATAAACCCATCCATGGACTCCACCTCCTGAATCCTGGAATGTTTTGAGAAAACTCAGAGACTCTGAGACCACACTGTGTTTATCTGTTTACCACACAAATACAGAAACGCCGTTACTCTCGGACTGGCAGACAGCAACTGACTAAAATCATATCATTTCAACGACCCCCAAAACTACCTCATCTCCCAACTAATAAGGTTAATTTACAACAGGTTAGTAACATGACTGGGTATAAAAGAGACATTCAGAGAAGCTGAATCTCTCAGAAAGAAAGATAGGAAAAGGTTTACCACTCTGTGAGAGTCTGTGCGCTAATACTTCAACAATTTTAGAGTCATGATCCTGAGCGTGAAATGTCAAAGAGTAAGTGGATTTCATCACCTACAGTACATAATATCATTTTAAGATTCAGAGAATCTGCAGAAATATCTGTGCAAAAGGGACAAGGACCAAAACCAATACTGAATGGTCCAGATCATTAGGTCCTCAGGGAGCACTGCATCAAAAACAGACATGTCTCTGTAGTGGAAATCACTGCATGGGCTCAGAATCACTTCCAAAAATCTTCATGATATGTAGTTAGTCGTGATTTAAAACAGTGTTCTTTAAACTGTGTCTGAAGTGGTGAATGAAAAACTACTGGCTGTGCTATATTTATTCACACTGTGCCATAGTGAAATGATGATGTGAAGCTAGGTGTCCTCATCAACATGCAATTGAACAATACCAAGAAGAACCAAACAAATAGATTAATGTTGAATAAAAAATACATATACTGTATATGTCGCCTTTCATCTTGGCATATTTGTAATACAACAGTTACTATGCCCAAGTCGAGGTAACAACATTGGCAACATTTTTGTTTTCCACATGAGAAAACACTTTACAGGGTTTTCAAAAATCACCTTGGGTGGTGTTTTCTAAAACCTCCATTTTCATTGAGGTTCCCTTTGTGGACAGGAAAAAAATCTACGCCTTCATAAATACCTGCACGTACATGAATGGGGCTTTAAGCGAAACAAAGACTGTCTTTGGCCCAGTTCAAATGTGGATATTTTGAAAACATAACTTTTTTCTGTGTTTAAGCCCTACAAATAGGCTTTTTGGGTGCAAAGTTTTTTAAAAACCTCTTTATAAGAGGGAAATTTTTAAAACTCCAACTTCTGTGTGTTTGTGTGGACATTATACCCTTAACCTTTACGTTGCAGTTGTCTATATATCAGTGGAAAGAACCACTGCAAGTTTACAAGCCACCACTACTGTGGTAGCATCTAGTCAAAACAACTGCATGTTTTAATGACGCAAGCTCCTCTAAGAAGTAATTAATTTTACCTTCACTGTCTCTGAATCTTGACTTCTGATCGTAACAACAAAGACGTACTGCGGAAAAGGCTGTGGAGTTTTATCTTGTCTCTCAGTTGTGACAAACCTTGAAAACTTTATAGTAAACATGCCCTAACTTCCTGAAGAGTCGGTGTGTATGAGAGTGACACTGAACGGAGATTAACCAGCTGCACAGAGGACTGAGATATTTTTAGAAAAGGATCAAGAATATTAAAAATGATTGGTACTTTTGCCCCTGAGTGACATCTCAATTGAGCGCTTGTGTTTCAAACAGCCTGGTTACAGTAATAAATAAGTAAATGATAACGAAAACGTGTGAAATAAATATTAGGGTTAAAAACTTTATTTGCTGATATAACTTCTCTACAATGACTGAATGCAGCTGTTTGCTGATCACTGTAACAATAATGCCATATTATAAAGCACCTAATCATAAATATGCAGCATATACAGTCAACTAATTTCTTGGTTCCTCCATATGTAATCACGCTGTTGATGTTACATATCTAAAATGAAAAATAAACGATGCCACAGTCCTCCAGTAAAGGCACCTTCATCAGCAGTTGTGTGATGTTTATAATCTAGCTGTTCAGAAGCAGGCGTAGAGTTAACAACACAGTACTGGACGCTACGCAAGACGGCACCACTCACAAACCAAATCGGACAAGTCTGTTTTCTTCAATTTGTATGATGACTGTCACATTGCGCAATGTTCTTCTGATGTGACAGATTATTCTCACCTGCTGGTCTGGCACACTTTTATCAGCAATTTTATCTGTTTCTGTATAATTATGTGAACAGGATTTTATTTCAGAGGAGGATAACCTTTGTTTTAAAAAATGGCCTATGTGTGGATTAGGCAATTGATTTCCTGGAGTTTTATCCTGGAGTTCGTCTGATGCGGTAAAAAAACAAAGATTGGAGCCTTAACTGCAGTTCAAAATGACTAAAACATGATAAGGTCTGTGTTTTCTGCAAGTTTATACTTCCTTTATCACCTCTACTCAAAGGCAAATATTACTCTTGATACTATAAATAAGATACGTTCTTACTGATTAACATCACAAATTATTAGTCGTCAGCTGAATGTGCTCTGATCTTAACACACCCATTATGACATTTCTACCAACACACACACACATACACACAAAGTCAGAACTTAAAGTCTTAATCCTGAAACAAACTCGGTCCCCATAATCCTGGTGTGTGAGTTAACTTATGTCCCCATAATGCAGGTAAACCAACTCTTCTATTTCAGTAAAGGTGACAAGTTCATGTTATTTAGTTTAAAAGAAAAGAGAAAAGTTAAACACAAAAGGAAAAAAATCACAAGGTAAAAAGCTACTTAACAACTTCACGGAAACAAACACAAGATAGATTGAAAGGTAGGTAGATAGAAAGATAGACGGGTGTGTTTTACCGGCTTGAAATGTTCAATCCAACCATCCTGCTCTTTGTGTTTTCTTGCTCTTCCACTCTTGAAGGGGAGAGTCCAAATCACAGGAACAGGTTCCTCTCTCTCTCTCTCTCTCTCTCTCTCTCTCTCTCTCTCCCTCTCTCTCTCTGGCCCCGCCCCTCCCTGACCTGCCAGTCTCAGCTTGTCCTCCCCCTCGCTCTCCCCCTTTCCTTTCCATCTTCCTGTTTGACAGAAAGAGGACATACACAGACCTGAGTTTGCACCTGCATGAACCAACGGCGCCCTCTGGTGGCACTAGTTGGTATAACATAATCACTGAGTCGCCAAGAAACATTTTTATAAATATAAAACAAAAGAAGCTAAATCAAATTTTATCTTCAAAAAAAGTGTCAAAGCCAGAATGTTGAGTAAAAACATGTTAATCTAAGTCTTGGTATGTTTGTTATGTTTCTCTTCATTTTGTGGGATGTTTTTGAAAAATGAAGAAATAATGAACTGTAAAAAGGCATGTTGGCCTGCAGGTCTTGTTTATTTTTATTATGTGTTTGATTGATTAATTTATTATGAAAGACTATTAGAGTTTTCTTCTTTCTGCTCCTTCTCATTCACATAACTGAGATTTTTCCTAATTTTTTAAATATTTTTTTAATTTTTTTAAATATTAACTGAGTGAAATAAAGTATGAACATAAAAATGAAAATTAAATGAAGTCAAAGTTATTTCCTTAAATCTTTTTGATGCATTTTGAGATCTTGCACAAGCATTTCTGTGCTTCTTCAATCTTTTTTACAGATTTTTCATGATCTTTTACTGCTTGTGTTTTTGTTTGATCATCACCCTTGTAATGTAAGAAGATGTGATCATTTCTCATGTAAGCAAGTTATCTGCTGGTTTATGGTGATATTGTCTTTCTCTGATCTCATTGTGTTTCCTCTCTTTTCTTTCCCCTATGATCCAATTCTCTCTTTCTCTCTCTCTCTCTCTCCTCCTCTCACATTTAGCACCCTCCCTTCCCTTCCTTTCCTCCTCCTCCTCTTCCTCCTCCTCCTCCTCGCTCAGTCTGCCTCAGCTGTCCTTGGTGCGGCTGTTTCTGATGGAGGCTGCAGTATTTTGCTGAGTAGCGGTGAGCCAGCATTCGCTCACTCTGCCTCCAGTCTTCAGCATCCAGTCAGTTCAGGAGGGCGCTCAGAGTCCCGGCGGGGGGGAACTACAGCGCCCACAACCCCCCACACCTTGCTCAGACTATCTCCAGGCCTGCAACTGAGTCTCAAGGAACCCTGGGAGTCGCAGTCCTTGCTAACCGGCTGCTAGTGGAGGCAGACAGAGAGAGGGAGAGAAAGAGGGTGACGTGCCATGACAACCCTCAGAGAGAGAGAGAGAGAGGAAGAGAGAAAGGTGAGTTTATCCGTCTGTCTGTTTGTGTTTTCATTTAATCACCTGTCTGCTGTTTAAGCTGTTTGTCTTCATTTTTCTATCGCTCTCTTCTCCATCTGTTCATCACCATCATCACTTTTTCATCCTCCATCTTTTCATGTCTTTTTTCCTCCAAACATCCTCCTCTTCTCTCTGCTTCTTTTGGTCTGACGCTGCATTTTCCTGCTGGAGCTTCAGTCATTAGCTGTGTGCTCTGCTGTCAATATGTTTGTTTCATTAGATCTCTCTGTGTGTGTGTGTGTGCTTGCGGTATGTGTGTGTGTCCATCTCCACCCAGTCTGAACAGCAGCTGATGGATCAATCTTATATTCACTATGTGTTTTCTTATCAAAAAGCAGTGAGAGGATTCGGAGCAAAAATCATTACAAAACAACAAAACATATCAAAATAACACAATGAGGACACACAACATGAGGTGACTCACACACACAGAACATAACAAAACAAGATGTACTCTGATAAAAAAACATAAAATATCACACGAAATCAGCAAAAGAAATCATCTAGAAAGAAAGAAATTATATAAGTGAAGACTTGACCAACACATCCTTAAAGATGGGATACAGAAGATGTGACACATCCCAAGAGCGGGAAAGACATGCAACAAGTAACAGGACAACATGAACTCAAATGACATAAAAAGACATAAACAACATAAAAGAAACAGCATTTAACAATATAACTTATCATTAGAGGACAAAAAAGACAATAAAAGAAGCAAAACATAAAACAACAAAAAGGCATGACGTAAAAAATGAAATGACGTAAAAATTATGAAATAATGTCAAATGACACAACAAAAAGAGAGACAACAGAAATTAAAAAATAAAAAATATAAGTAAAAAGATGCCTGACATAAAGGGTGATAAAATAAACACAAAAAAGAAGCAACATAATAAGAAATGACTGAATACACATCAAAAAAGATGTAAAGCCTCACGTCAAATTACATGAAGACACACAATAAGGCATCAAAAGATATGTCAGAATTAAAACTATAAACAAAAATAGAGCAACAAAAATACAATCGCAGCATTAAAAAACATAATAAGACATTAAAAAAACAACAAAAAAAGATGAATAACATGAAAGAAATCACATTAAATATAAAAAAGTTTAAGGGACCTCTAAAGTAAAGACCTGCCAAAATATCAATAAATCTTTCCTTTGAATTAAACATGAAAGAAAATTAAACAAAACATTTAAAAAAGTCATCAAATATAAACAAATGCAACACTGGGAGGTTAGTATAAAAGGTGTCTAATATAAAACATGACAATAATGTCAGCTATTAATATGAATTAAACCCTACAAAAGACATGAAATAACAAAGACACGCCTGATATGAAAAGACATGACATAAAAATATTACAAAACATTAGAGGTGAACCATACATGAAATAAAATAAAAACATAAAATAACAAATAAGAAATGAAATTAAAAGACTTGACATGACACAAAGACTTAAAGAGACGCCACAAGACACATGAAGACATGACATTATGTGACATAAAAACACATCATAACATGACAAGACATGCCACGGAAAATGACATGAAATGGTATAAACAGAAAAATCACAACTTGAAAAGACACGACATTGCATCAATGGCATAATATGGAGTTAAAAAAACAAAATTGGATAAAGACAAGTCAGGACATAAAAGGCATATCATGACATAAAAGAAGTGTCGTGATGTGAAAAACTATGTCACGACATAAAAAGGTATGTGGGACACATCATGATATAAAAGAGGTGACATTACATGAAAGAAAACCCATAATGACATAAAAAGTCATGATTAAACAAGAGTGATATTTATTTATATGACAAATACGATAAAAGAAAACATTAAATGACATAAAAACAACACTGAAGAGATTTAGATCATAAAAAGACATTCAGTGGCAAATAAATAAAGAGGCATAATGGAGAAAAACAAGGTGTGAAGATGTGTTCCAATTCAAAAACAAACAACAATAACGCAAATAAAATGACATGCCAAGAGATCACATGGCACAATACAAAAAAACATTCAAATAAATGATATAAAGGGAATCAAGCCCTATACAAGCAATGATTGAAATAGTTATCACAGGCTATAGGAAGTACAACAGGAAGCAACATGAGACCAAATGAAATGTCAATCCTTAAAAAGACATGAGCAGACATGAAAAGAAATATCACGAAACCACACAATACAACACAAATTATACAGTATAGGACACTCAAAGAAAACACATGACGCAACAGAAGGTCAAGTAAACGACAAAGAACATAAAAAATAACCGAAGACACAACATGAAAAGAATTTGAGAGAAATTAAATCAAATTAAATAAAGCTTAAAGACATAAAGCAATTAAACCTGAATTTAAAAGACGTTCACAATAAAAGACATAAAACACGTAAAGACATCGGAATAAATGACACAACAGGAGCCGATCTGACAGAAAAAATGAAACATAAACAGAAGAAACTGATGTTGGTCCATAGTCCTGTCTCAGCAGGACTTGCTGACTGAAACAGACTGTGTTTGGTTCACAGACGGTTCAGCAGGTTGGACTCTTTGAACACTTGTTGTGACAAACCTTCAGGGTTTAGTTTGTGTTTTAGATGATCAGATTTTTCTGGCTCCTCTTTGTAGTCCAGTCTTGTAGCAGAGCGTCCTCGGTGTCTCTGTTTACTGCAGGGTGAGGCAGCAGATGGCCTTTCTGCTGGGATACCTGCCCACTCCTCCCTCTCTCTCTCCACCTCTCCCTCTCTCTCTCTCTCTTTTTCTCTCTGCCTCGCTACACCTCCCTCTCAGATTCGTGTTATTATCCCCTTTTTTGCTTATCTTTCTGTCCTTGCTGTGATTGAGAGGATGGGGACATAAAGACAGCACAGATAGACGAGTGTCTTACAAGTCTGTTGAAATGAATCTGAACAGACTTTCAGGAGAATAAAGATAAATCCTTTAGAGCAGAGTTTTCTACTCCAACTCTGTGACCTCCTCAGAGAAATTAAGCTTCATAATCCATCAGATTTGCCCTTTGTGGAAATAACTCCAGCTGACTTTAGACAGGCTTTAGGAGTGTCTGCACGGTATAAATGTGCTGCCGGGCAGCATTAAGGTGTTTGGAAATGAAGCCAGTGCAGAGGTGAGAATGAAAGTGCATTTCTTCCAGTGTACACCGGGGCTTCAAAAAAATTGTGCTGTTCAGCCTGTTTCGGTCTGATTGATGCATATACACAGGAGAGAAAATCAATCCCCAACTGCTTTATCTTGGTTTGTCAATCCCACTCAAAGATATTTGATTTTGGTGTGTTTTCAGTCAGACTAACCTGTGAACATACATTTTAAGTCCAGTATCAGTCGGACTTAAAGGCATGGTTGACGATTGGAAGCAGTTGAAAAAGACTGAGCCTTTGTGATGGATTTGACAAAAAGCATCCCACCCCCAACACACAAACCTCTCCCCCTCTGTGCCAGTGTTGTTTTCGTTGACAATGACGTTGACGAAAATATTTTGTCATCGTCAACGAAAACGATAACGAGTGTTGTTTTCGTTGACGATGACGAAAATATTTCGTCAACATCATCGTAAACAAAAACAACAACAAAGAGACTAATTAGAGTAATTTATGTAACAGGTGCCACGATAAAAGGCAAAACGTACCTGTTCAACAAGAACTCTGCTGTCTCAGCGTCTATTTTCAGACCCAAATCCTTTCATGTCAAGTTCATGTCAATAAAGCAGCATTTTCTTTTACCTCTGTATAGGTATGAAGCAGCTCAGTGACACCGGCGTCCTGATTTCTGCTGAAACAGAAAGTCTTTACAGGTCCTGAAAATCCCTCAGCTCCTTCCTCCATTTCCTTCCCCCCTCCTTCTCCCCTCTCGGCCTCTCAGAGCGATTGACCTCTAAAAAACCCTCATTAAGAATTCAGCAGAAAAACTGAAGCAGACCAAGGTTTGAGAGACAGAGAGTCCTGAGACAGGAAGTCAGGAGAGAGATGACACAACTCAGCCGAGAGTAATGACCCACTTCACAAGAAGAAAACTTATAAACTGCTTAAAATGGTTTCTGTTTGTAGCCTGGGTATTGACAAATCAGGTGCTAGCCGACTTTCATTTCTGCCGGAAAAATATAGTGGATTCTGTTCCTCCTGCTTTTGCTCTCCATACAGACTGATGTCCCAGCTCCCATTGTCGGTAATCAGAGGAGGATTTCTTTCTCTCTATTCACAGATATTTGCACCAATATTTACACTGAGACACTAATCTGCTTGATGCTGAGTCATGAAAGACAATCAGCAACAATTTCCTGATTTCCCTGAATGCAACATAAATCATGAATCTGACCTCCATTCAACAAACATTTTCAAAGTTGTTTTCTTCCCCTCTTCAGGACAAACCTGACATAGCTTGACTTTTGACTTTTTACTCACCTGCATCATGATGTTATTTCAGAAAATTGAAGACCTGTGAATGACAAGAAAATCACAAGAATGTTAGTTTCTGCTTCAGGCTCATACTGCTGAAGACAAAGTGAAGCCACAATGTAAGTTACTGTTTACAGTGAAACTGAGACTCACCACAAACAGATAACCGAGAAACAAAAAAGAGTGGAGATGACAGTGTAAACTATTAAGATACTTTTTATCATTTTCTGAACACAGGAATGACAACAACAACAAAAAACACCAGCCAACTCCTTTATCTTAATACAAATTGTAGTGGCCCAAGGATGCTTCCCTGAGGGACCCCACATGGCACCATGAACAAAAGCAAGATACATTTTGATAAAAGCTGTGCCTTTTTGAAACTAATAACTTGTTTTGTATCTTTCTTTTAATATTTCGTCTCTTTGTTGTTTCCTGTCTCTGAAAAGTAACTGCTGAGTCATGTCTGCCGGCCTGGAAGATACAGACAACGTGTTTGGTGAGTCATACTTAAATACATTTAATCTCAAAGGACAGGAGTTTAAATCTGAGACTTCTGTAATTAACCTGAATATTGCAGCTCCTGCTACAAAACATTTCAAATATTAAACTTTAACCAGCCTTTATCCTTTAGGTTTTGTTTCTTTACAATATGAACTTCTGAGAATCTTTTTTTTTTCTGTAAAACTGATCCCACATATTGTTCATACAAGAAAAGCCAAAAACAGTTGTCAAAAGAACAACACAACTTTGAAAATATTTCATGGTTCCAGCTTCTGATTTGCTGTGAATTTCTGCTTTCCCATTGAGTAGGTGAAATAGTTTTGTTGTACCAGTAAAACCAAAATAAAAAGTTAATAAAATAAGGATGCACTACAAAATGTTGATCATAACAGAATTCAATTGTTTGCAAATCACTCAAAATCTTTATTTTATTGAAAATAGTGCAAAGGCAACAAATGTAAAAACTGAAATATTTTATTGTTTAATGACTTTAAGCTCTGATCATTTAGATATTTGTTTCACATTTTTAGTTCTTCAAGAACCCAAATTATCATGCAACCTATGAAAAAATGATTGGTGCATAAAACCAGGAATGAAAATAGTTTTAGTTGCAATCTTTCATTAAATACACCTCTTATTTTTCCTCTCTGTTTTTCTTTCCCCTTTTCTTCCTCCAGTCTCTAATAACATTGATGTCTCTCCCTCCCCCCTCTAACACAATTACCTCTCTCCTATATGTCCTCCCACACCCCACCCCCACTCTCCCTCATCAGTCATTTAACGTCTTTCTGTGCACCATCCCTCCATCCTCTCGTTTATCAAATCCGTGTTTTCTCTCTTGTTGTCACCTGGTGCACAGCCACCCAAACCTCCATATCCTCCCCCCTCTACCTCCCTGTTCCCCTTCCCTCCTCTCCCCCTGTCTCCCCTTCCACCCCTGGGAAATAAACTGCTCATTGTGGGGGAGGGGACAGAGAGAAAGTCTTAATGTTCTTCACATCTGGCTCCAGACATTTACTATATGGTCTGAGACAATATTAATGATAAAATGACTTTTCTTCTTTAGTAGGCTGTCTAATTCAGACCCTGTTTATATGTACCTGGTTATTTTAAAAACGGAGACATTAACCATTGTTTGCACCCTTCATTTAGACACAAACGGAGAATTCGCCCATGAAAACAATGCTTTTAAAAAACTCCGGCCATAGTGGATTCTGATTGGCTAACGTGGGCTTGAGCTTCTCGCTACACTGCTACCCACATGTTTGATATGCTCTTGACAGCATATATAGACGGGTCAGTGTAAACCCAAACTTTTCTGAAAACGTAGTGGTGTGCACACAATTTAAATTTTTTTCCCCCCTGTAAATAGAAAGGGTTAAATGTCTGTTTATGAAAATAGCCGGGCATGTGTAAACGCAGTCTAAATTTCAGAGGGAAAAAAAATCAATTTGCAGCTGAGAGGTTCAAAACTAATTTTGCAAGTTCTATTCATTTAAATCATAGTCCAAGGCTGAAATTTACATTAAAAGCACAATAAAAGCTGGTTAGCTAACTGACAAAGATAACATACAACTATGTGAGGTGTTCATGGTCCTGTCGGTTAAAATGAGAATTACGTGATATTTGTATCACCATGATGTCCTTATATGCTTCTTCCAGGAAAAATACTGAATTGGTTCTGTGTCAATTCATTTGCTTCTACAACCAATGCATGCGCTAGTATGGGTTGAAATACAAAGGGGGCGCCAGAATCAACACAACATGAATCTTCCTCACAGTATTGGGATACTGATGACTCTGTGGAACCTACAAAGTTGTAAAAGATAATCACAGTGAAGACTGGTTTATTCTGTAACGTTATTTTAATGTGTGTAGCTGCTTCCTACTACACTTTTTAAATGTGATGGTTAATACAAGAGGCTTAGTGATAAACAATGTTTGTGCTTGTGCTCATAAGTATACAAAGAAAAGTGTGAGTGTGTGAGTGTATTGGTCAGCATGTTGAATATTTGATGGCTCACTGATGGGGTGAGTGGGAGGATGAAGAGGATGAAGATAAACCCGTGCTGAAAACTTAAAGGTGTCATTATGGATACAGCTGGAGCCTCTGAAGAGAGGCTCTGTTTATGAGTTATTCATTCATGTTTTCTTGGAGTACATTTCTGCGTATCACTGAGTTAAGGTTCTCATATCTAAACTAAGGCAAAGTTTCTGGAAAGGGTTGCTCAACTAAGAACTTGAAAAATTCTCAGAACCAGCAGGGTGGACTCGTGAAAGTGAAAATAAGACTAAAACTATCTCCTGTTAAACAGCCCAAGGATGCTGCCCTGAAGGGAATTTGACCGAAATGACTAATATGCAATAAAAATATAAAGAAAAAGAAAATGTTGTGTGTAATTGTAATTTTTTAAAACAGTATAGAATAGAATTTTTAGAGACCTGAGGACGCTGCTTTGAGAATTGCCAAAATAAACTGTATAAATTAGGTCATAATGGAATCAGGATCCACATTAAGTCTGATTTGAACACTCTTACAGCGTAACTATTAACTGAAAAACTAATGTGGATATGATCTGAACAAAAGAGACACTTTTGTGTTTGTTTGTTTTGATTATCATTGATAATATTAAAAATACATCCATCATAAATATCTATCCATTGACATTTTCTTTCAAAGTTGGGCACAAAAAAATTAAACAAATACAATCTTGAAGGACTTAACAATTGAAAATGACTCATTTAAGGAGTTTATGTAACATGAAACAAATGTCAGTTCATTGAATCCAAAGATCTTTGAGAAATAAGATAACTAAAACTTTGAAGTAACAAAATTTAAGTCAGAATTTATAAAATTCAGAAATAGTTTGAGATTAAAAAAAAGCCATTGTTTTCCAAATGGTGCAGAATTTGTTTTGACATATCACCAGACTAGTTTCTGCATGAATACAGCTAAAATGTACCAACCTTTAGGATGTTTTTTTTTTTTTTTTTGTATTTACCTGTTTGGTCCAGGTAAAACCAGGTGATACATGTCTGTTCTGGGACCCTGTGTTTCAGACCTAAACGAGGCGATCCCAGAGACCGAGCTGCTCGATAACAGCATCCAGAAAGGCCGAGCTCAGCTATCCGTCAAAACCCGGAGACATCGGCCTTCCAGGTCCAGATACCGTGACAGCGTAAGCTCGACAGAGGGGGACGACAGCCTGGAGAGGAAAGTAAGGTCCATGTTCACAAGTGGGTTTACATTAATTAATGTAAATATAAGGGAAAATGCATGATGAACAGATGGTGCAGCATGTCTAGTCTAACCCTAGAGTCTAATTTTCATAAATACCCATTATCACTAAAATTATCCTGCTTATTACCAGACATTGATTTAAAAACAACTAACATCTTATGTCTGTTTTTCTGTTTCTTTGTATCAGGAAAGCCCACTACACTCGGCACGTTCACCTCTCCAGCTCGCCATACGAGGCAACTCTCCCTCCCCTGATTCGCTCCTGTCAGTACGCAGCCCCGCCTTCTCCTTTGACACATCACTGGTGAGACCAATCAAAGCTCAGGGCAGAATTTCATGTCCAAACACAAATAAAGTCATCAAAAAATAATGCTTACTTAAATTCCTCAGGTGCGTCGCTCTCCGGAGGATGAAGGAGCCCCATTGGTCACTCCTCCACGGGGGCGGTACCACCAGCTGACCAATGCCACGTCGCAGGAGGCTCTGGTGACCCCCAGCAGCTCACCCTCCAGGTCCTGCCCCTCCCCCGACTGCTCCAGGGTCTACATGAGGAGGAGCAGGAGGCCCGATAGTGAAGGTACCTCCAAACACTCCTGCCAATACACCTGCTTTTTTAGTACAACAATTCGGGATTACGTGTTTTGAGATATTTCTTTGTAAATAAAAAATGATTGATAGTTTGATTATACACCTGGAAACACAGATGCATCGAAAAAGAAAATGTGTGTGTGTGTCAGTTTTGGTTTCAGACTCGAGTCGGGACTCAAGTCCGGCTGATTCAGGCAGCCCAACCGTTGTCTTTGACAAGAAAACGAAGAGACGTTTCCTTGACCTTGGGTGAGACGCACACACAGCGTGAAACACAGAAAATTACTTTCTTAAAACCTTTTTGCACAGACTTCCTAATCCAAACTCTACTTGTGGCTACAAAAAGTAACATTAAAACAGTTGGAAAATACAAATTTGTAATTATTGACTGATTCTTCTAGAGAAACATCTGAAAAATTTATTGTTTTCTTAGTATTTTCTCAGGATTGGTGTTTTGGAGACAATACTACTACTAATAATAATAAATGCTTTTTAAGGAGCAAACACTAATCCAGCCATAATCTTAAAATACTTAAAAGAACAAGACTTTGCTAAAACTTGAGTCTTACTCGAAACAGTGTTTCAGTTCACTGAACAACTTGACATTTTATCAAAAGTTGCACAGATTTTCTGGGGTGATCATTTGGAAAAAAAGCCAAATCTTGAACACAAGTATTACTGAACCATTTCATTTGCAGTGTTTCACTTTAAATAAGAATTAATGCACATTGAGTGAGAAATCACATTGTATGTTTTTTTTTGTGACTGCGTACATCACAGTTGATAAAATAGTTTGGACCATGGATCCAAGTGCAGATTTGACTGTTACCATCCTTCTTTCTCTCTCATAGGGTGACTCTTAGGCGTTCGTATATCAGGGTGAGGAAAGATAAATCCAACAGGCTCTCTGTGGGCAGCAGGTGGGTCTGGATTACCAAACATACACAGTACAAAAGATTAACATTATGCTAAACTAACAACTCAGACAGACAGGTTTGTTGGCTGTTTTTGCATCCTCAGAGAGCCGTCTGAGAGTCCATCTCGCTCTTCAGGATCATTTGTCCCGTTCTCCTGGTTCACCGAAGGTCGGGGGTCACTCTCCTCCTCTGGGACTCCACCCTGTTCCCCCAAAAATACCCCTCTGAGCTCCCCGAGACCCCGCAAGTCCCACTCTCAGGTACAGGACCATAGACAGTCTTCCTCAATGTTTACCCTTTGTAAGCTCTTAACCCTTTAATGCAATGATCTTTGTTATAATGGTCCTGATCTTGTTTGCAATGTCTGTCTTGCAGTCTTGGGTTTTTAATTTTTCCTCCAAGATTTTGTCTTGCTCTAGCGTCTTGTTTGCTGAGGCATTTCTGCCATGAATTGAACCTCAAGTTATTATCTTGTTCACTCAACACTTCACCTTGTTCGCGCAACATATTTGATTTGCTCTGTTACAATTTTTCAAGTTTTCTCTTCACATTAGAGAAAACTAGAGAAAAGAAATGCCAATTTTAGGTTTCATGAATTCCCGCCGTTTGCACCACTTTTTTTTTTTCGTCTTGTTCCAGCTAGATAATATCTTGTCGGGTCGTTTTATTCTATGACACCTGTCAACCAATCAGGGCACAGGATTTTTTTGACAGCATAGTTTAACATGGACAATGACCACACATACAAAGTGTATCAGTTTGCAGAGCGTGTGTTTCTGTATATTGATTTTTCTGATTTACTAAGCTTCACCCGCAGCTGCCTGGATGCTTTTAGTTCAACTGCCACAACACACACACACACACACACACACACAGAAAGAGAGTCACATGATCTCACAGCTGTGGTTTGTTTTGTGGTGGATGATAAATATTCTGCTGTTAGTCTGTAAGAACAATTGATATCTACGAGAAAAATGTGTGTGTGTGTGCTGACCATAAACACACACTCTGTTTCCCCCATTTATCTTTTCTGTTGGTTTTCTCTCTTCACCTAATGACTCTCTCTCTCTCTCTCCGTTTCACCATAAAAGCTCAGAGGAAGACAACATCCATCAGAGAACTGCCTAATAGCTCTAATAGGCATTACTCTGTGTGTGTGTGTGTGTGTGTGTGTGTGTGTGTGTGTGTGTGTGTGTGTGTGTGTGTGTTTATCCTGATGAGGACTAGCCCTTTCCATTTTTTTGAGGACGGTCATGCTTGTGTTGACATTTTTCCAAGTCCCCACAAATATGAATCTTGGATTTCTTCCAGAACATTGTCCCTACAAAGTATTACAGACAGGTTTGTGTGTGTGTGTGTGAATGTATGCAAACATGTTTACGAGTTAACTGCTGACCTTAGTGTTGTCACAGCGAGCCAACATGGGACGTTTTTTTGAAGTAATTTTTTCCAAGTGTTTTCCTTTTTTTCTTTTTTAGAGAGTTTCTGAAAGAGTTTGGAGACACAAAAAAGGCAAGAACTTGAACTCTGTAAAATCTCTGTTTCTCTCTGTCCGGTAGGAGTCGGCTCTCAGTGAGGAATTTTCTCCTCCTCACACGTCCTCCTCCACCTCTCCCCCCGTCGACTCCTCCTCTAGATCTTCCCATCCATACCACACCCTGTCCCAGTCTTCTGATGAGGTAACACACAGGCTCAGAAACACAGGATTATTATAAACGTCAATGAAACAATCAAAAATACCACAAGGTGCATGAGAGTCATAAAAACTGCTCAGAGTCCCTTACCCTTCATCTTCATCCTCTCTGTCCTCAGCCTTTGGACGAGCCGTCCTGTCCAGTGTCACTGTGGACAACTCAGCAGGTCTGTCAGTGGCTGAGAGGACTCAACATGGAGCAGTACGTCCCAGAATTCAGTGCAAAAGACATTGATGGTCGGGAGCTGCTGCAGATGGATGGAAACAAGCTGAAGGTGAGGAAGAGGAGAGTCTGAGCATGATCAGTCCATCACAAACTTTTTGGAGACTGTTTGGAGTCACTGTTTGGCTCTCTCTTACTGTAAGGCTGTAAGAAGATTTAGGAGTGCCAGGCTGTTTTTGGCATGAAAGAAAAAAAGCTAAAGGTGACAAAGTCTGTACATTTTTATCCCCTCTGCAACAAAATCCCCATTTCTTTGATTTAACTTTGAACCAAAAGTGAGAAAAATAGCAGGACTCGTGCATATGGCTGCAGAATAATTTGCATGAAGAAAGCATACAACTGCATGAATCAAAATGTGGTCATATTTTATGTTTATAATGAGACCCGTCTTCGTCCTCTGCAGGGTCTGGGCGTGCTCAGTTCATCTGATCGCAGTGCCATAAAGAGACGCATCAAAGAAATCCAAAATGCTGCAGAGAAAGAGAGAAAAGCTCTGGACAAGATGGAGAAACAGAAAGAAAAACAGAGGAGGAAAGACCAGGAGCAGCGCAGGAATTGAGCTCCACCACTAGGGGGAAACATGGAGATATAGAGGGAACCTAACCAAACGGGGGACAGCCAGGTGGGGGGAAAACCAGGGGGGAGGCAGAGGGTAACAGTCAGGTGACAACAGAGAGAAGGGGGTCTTAAAGAAGGACATTTTTACTAAAATAACAAGGTCTAAAACCACCAAACAGAAAATATGATTTATTGTTAGAGAAGAAGAGAAGAGATCAAAATTATTCTTTTCTGTCAGATTTAAATTACACCCGTCTGATGTGTACATATAAATCATCATTTCAATAAAGAAATCTGTCTGAAAATGTTTGCTGCTGTGTTTTTAAATAAAAATCATCTTTAAGCAGCTTTAGGTGATTTGGGTCAAGTTTTTGTAGAGCTCTGGATCTTTATCTTTTTTTTTTTTGTTCCGTGTTTAAAAGCTTAATTTCTATTTTCACATTTTTGCTTCTTGTGTCAAACTAACCAACGGGGTGTACACAAGATAATATCTTGTGCATCTTAAGTGTAATGATGTGCATTGATACCTTAGGATAATGTCTTATGGGAACTATCTTACTGGTACAATTAAGTCATCGTGAGTGGACAAGGTTAAAGTCTTGATCCCATAAGATTATGGATTACACAATATAACTGAGAACAAGATCAAATATACTAAGCACAAGTTATCTTGTAAACACAAATGTGCAAACCAATTAAAAGTTTGTTTTTATTTCTTTATTTTCAAAAATGAAAAAACATGGACAGAGTGCTAGTCAGCATCTCAATTTTACAAAATTAAAAACAAACATTATTTATCTGAAGGAACATATAAATATATTTTTATAAATAAGTTATAAATAAATCTGTTCATCCAGAGTTTATTCAGCAACAATGTTCAGTTTCATATCTGCATACACCTTCAATAAATAAAAGGAAACAACATCATACCAACAAAAAACGTGTTTGTGATTGATTTTCCTCTGAAATCATCACTGCTGTTATAAAACCTGATAGTCTCTCCTCATCCTACAGAGACTCAGACCCTGACCCGGAATTGGCACTGCTACCTCTCAAATCTGCCCCCCACAGGGTGTTACAGCTCCATTACTGTACCCTCAGTGCCCCCCTGCTGCATGTGGGCATCAAACTGCACTTCAGTCACTATTATCCAGTACTATGACTAATTACTTAAACTGATCAGGAATCAGTTTTAGCTCATCATCAGGAGAGTTAGAGACCAGAAGAGAAGCTGGCACCTACACATCATCTAAACATCGAAGCTGAAACACAATCAACAGGCAAATAACCTTAAATTTACATTTCATTTGATCCGTAACTATTACCAATGTGTGCACACAACAAAAGCTGGCCAAAATATGTATTTTTTAAGATTTCAAGAAACGGGTTATGTTACGAAAAAAAGTAAAAATAAAATCGTAATGTTACAAGAAGCCCGAAAATGATGACCAATTAAAAAAATGTCAACAATTATCTAAATAATTGTGTTGAAGGGGAGACCACACGTTTCAGATGCTGAGTACAACGTGGTGATAAGAATCCAAACTCCACACTCTTTATTTTCATACAGACCAAAACTACCAACGTACTCCCAGAGTATGACGGTTTTATCTTGACTTAAATGCTACTTTTTTCTTCAACTGCATGAGTTTAGTCTCTTAACATTACATCTTAACTCTCCTACCACTTTTCTTTAAACATATTGAAAAATAAATATTCAATATGACCCTGATACCCCATCACAGTAACAAGGCATGATTTTATTTTACTCTTTTGTAATAAGGATCAAATTTATTAATGTTTTTTTTTTTCTTTCAGCTATGATAAATTTTGATATAAAAACTAAAATGATGTAAACTGTTCTGGGTTATAAAGAGAGCGGATCCTTTTCGTCCTGTCCTATTAAAGCTGTTGTTGGAGGCACACATTTGTAGTTTTAACGGATAAATTAATATGTAAATAAAGTTCATTTACCTGTTTCTCAGGCATCGGTTTCCGTGTTTGGCTAATGTGAAGCTGTCATCTTCTCCTGCAGCTCGTAAGCCTCCTGGAAATATGCTGGCGGTGAATTCTGATCAGTTTTAGCAGCAGAACTGGGACCAATAACCAGCACTGTGATGGGTCACTGACCCCAAACAGGAATGGTATGCGAGGTGAGGAGTGCAGCGCTGTTCAAGGTCTGCCCTTCACTGGGAGGAAGACCTTAGGTTGAACGTGTTAAAACTGGGCCAGGGCCTCAAACTCTCTATCTACAGTTTCTCTATCAACCCTCCTCTCACCTTTCAAACCCATTTTAAAGACATTCTGATCTGTTGAAGTAATAAAAAAAATAAATTAAATTAATTTAAGACACCCCACAAAGAAAATAGACATCAATAAATATTACGAATAAATAATAAATAAATAAATCTCAATACCCTGATTTCAGAAAGAAAGTGCAAAAAGGCTGACTGTTAAAAGTGTGTGTGTTGGAGGGGGTTGTTTACATTTTTGTCTTTATAATAATCGAATTTTTAAGAATCTGATTTCAGTCTGAGTCTTTTGAACTGTCCACAGATCAGCAGATAACTCGCGGTGAAATACACCTGATGAGAAAAATTTGACCTTTTCATCACTTAAGCATTTTGCTTTGAAACTTTAATCTCAGTCTGATTTCCTGTCCTGTCATGACTTTTTCCGACTATGCAAACTAAGAAAGAGCAGGAGGTTTCAGGAGCCAAGCAAGTTCAGACCTGCAGATTTCAGATCTGCCACCAACATCTCTGCAGTCCTGGAGGTTGTTTAAGCTCAACACATTCCTGCTTATTATTTTTCCTGAGACAAGCTGGGGATCCTTTAGCTGATAGATGAACGCTCTGGCTGGTTCTACATCACAGATGCAGAGAGGAGAAAACCAACATCCATAAATCAGCTCCAAATGTATAAATCTTAAATGCAGCGGCAGTCAGCGGAGGATGTCTCTCTCAGTAGAAAAAGTAAAAATGAAATGTTTCAGCCCTGAGAACTCTACAGTGCTGCAGTTTCCCATGTTTGTTCACATCAGCCGATGTTTGCATCGCTTCAGCAGCTTAAAGAGGAGATAACAGCTGATTGCATTTGATCATCCCACACTGGTGGAAATAAGACAAAAATCTCCCATCAGGCTTTGCATGAATGGCTCCTTGCAAAGTTCATGACCTGAAGACTATGTGTCAGTTAAAACAGCTTTGACCTCAAGTCTTGGTCGTCCCAGTTCTCTCCATGACTACTGAACACAGTGGGTGTGTCTTAGTGTGCTTTCAACCTTTGGGAGGTGATGGCTCTCAGGGTGCGTATCATGTCATGACAGAAGGAGCGAAGCTGCGTCAGCGTCAGGTGTACCGCCACCTGGACGTCATACCTGCCATTACGGGACAGGTCCAGATTGTAATTCTGATCCTCCTCGCCATTGCTGCTGAGCTGGGCCACGTCCTTCATCTAAAACATAAACCCAAACAGACAAAGTCAGTCGCCAGTCAATGTTTGGCACAGTGGTAGGTTCAGTGATGTCACGTCAGGTGGGTGAGGTACCTTGTTGATGTGTGTCTGCAGGTCTTCGAGGTCGTGTTGCAGGCCACTCAGTCCATTCAGTCTGGGGGACAGAACTCCCAGTAGTCCATGGAACAGCTGGCTTCCCAATAACATGCGGCTAACACACATGTCCTGCAGGGGGCAACACAAAACTGATTACTGACAGGAAATAAATTCAGGGTGAGATCTCATACCAAAACTCCATGCGGTCGTTACTAAAGTTGGTATAACTAGAGAATCAAGTGGTCAGCAACATTCATCTCATTCGGTGTCTAACTTGGTGAAACGGTGTGTTTGACCCTAAATTAATTTTACGCCGGAATATCCCTTTGAGATATTTAAGGGGATACATAAACCACTATGAACATCCAGGGCCATTTAAAAATCCTCTAAAATATCTTGATCCAGGCAAGGACCCAGTGGTTACCAAGAAATTATGTCAAGAGACAACTGTGACTCAGGAGGGTGAGGAAATGGTTCTTCATCCAAAGTTCAAAAGAATTCAAAAGATCCACCAGAGGATCTGGTGCTCCAAGAACCACAAAAGAACTGTAACAAACCACTACACAACCCTGTGAATGCCAATAGACTGCAGACTAACCAGTGAGAAGCGCTCAGATGGTGGTTTGATAACAGGTGCAGCAGGTATTCCCAGTGAAGTCACCATCCTCTGCAAATTCGTCTGGGTGGAGGGGTCAAGAGTCAAACCCTGAGGAGAACAAAAAGATATTAGAGACTTCAAAGGAAACAAAGGAACAGCCAATCAGAGTTGAGCTTGATCAGATCACTTAGATACCTCTGTGTCAACAGTATTTGAGTGCACAGCTGGTATGTCATTCATGATTTTCTCCACCAGTGTCTTTACTCGCTCGGCTGCTTCTCTAAACGATGGCGGCAGGTCAGATGATGAGCTGAGAGGAGCTGATTGAACCAAAACTGCAAACAAGAGGTGGTGCAGCAGGACAACAACTGGAAGAGAAAGCATGATGTTCGTTAAGCAACAGCCCGGGGTCCAAAGCATACCTGCCAACATTTGGGTTATAAAATCCAGGAGATTTATGCGGCACGTGCCGGACAGTTTTGGGCTTCCCTTGTAAGGTGGATATGAGCTAATTATTGGAGTATTTGTAATTAGATTGCTCATCCAAATAAGTATAAGTGAGGCTGGACATTTTTTTGTTTTGTTTTAACAATAACAAATGGCAATAAAAAATAAAAGCTACAATGTTTGTGTTATACTTTATGTTTGAGTGTTTGCAGGTATGGTCCAAAGAGTTAAAAATGTACATTTTATAAACCCACAAAGTTCCTGAACCAGCTTAATAACGCACGAGTCATGTATATTATCCATAGGGCCTGTGCAGAATAGAAGGGCTCATAGAATCCTAATTATTTTAATTGATATTCATATAATTATAAAGAAGTTTCCCATGAATTGACATGGATATAGACATGCCAGTGTCTCTCAGTTCTGCTGGTTGCAGCGAAGATTTTCTCTCACTGATCCGCCTCCATATGCCACTCAGTGTGGCACTAGTAACCCCCCATACCAGAGTCCCAAGGAAGAGGAACGTTGCAGGAGGAATATAACAAAGTTCTCTCAATAATAACTTAGACACAACAGCTGTAATTCTGCTAAAGTTAGTGTCCTCCTCTGCCGGACTCCATGCATATTTCTGATGCTTTAAGCAGCTTCTTCCTCCACCAGTCCCCGTAATAAGAGAGAGGTCTTACCGATAAAGGTGTTCATGTCTGTCAGGGCGGCTGTCGGTGTTTCGGTCTCGGTGTCTGTCCGCAGGTGGACTCGGTCAATTCTTCAGGTTCCATCAGCAGTGCTTTCGATCTTATATCCACGCTGCCGGGGTTTTCCACAGAGGGCCTCTGTGACGTTCCGTGGAGTCATCCCGTTAAACCCGGAGTGATGAAGCTTGCGAAAACTTATTACGTCAAACATCACCGAGATATCCACGCAGGCGATATTCACCAAACTAGACTCGAGGACAATCTGACCCTCTCCAAAGAAACTGAAGACCTCTTCCTGGATCTCGGGATCGCCTAAAGCTTACCTTTACCCCACAAGCCCCCTATGCCTACAAGAAAAAATCCCGCGCCTAAAAATATTCAGGGGGTGACGCGCTGACACACCTGTACTTCAAAATTAAGTCCTGATTCTTTAACAAACATCACTTTTGAGTTTCCCAAGTTATCATTATTATTATTATTATTATTATTATTATTACTACTACTAAATACAGTACTAATTATAATAATTGTAGTGTAATAATAATGATAATAATAATAATAAAAATGGTAATAATAATTTTATATAAATTGTATAGTGTTGGAGTTAGAAGCTGTTTGATTTCGTTTTAAAGGCGGTGCAGGAAGCCACATTTAACACTTTGTTTACTTAAGGTGTGTGTGACTGGCATTGTGCGTTTCCCTGTGCATGTATGTGTGTGTGTGCGCTTCAGGGTGTGTGTGGTCATATTATTCAGTCGTACTTCCTGTGTGTCAACAGATTTCCATTTTTTGAGAAATCCTGGAAAAACTGTGAGTCAGCAGAAAAACTCAAACGTTTCCTACAGGAAATTAAAAAAAGGATGTGTGGAGGAAAAGTACTCAGAGACAGAGTGCAGAAATAACAAAACTAAAGAAAGAGTTGAATCAATGTAGTTTTAAGCCTGTGAATGTAAAGTACTCCACATGATCCAAACAGAGTAAAAGAAAAAATGTTTGCGGTACCTAAAAACAACCTAATAATAATAATAATAGCAGTGCACTGAATGTACAATCCAGGCTACAACCCAGATTAAACCAAGGTCTACAACTATATTGTTGTACAAAACGTTGAGTCCACGCTTCATAACCTGTCATAATTAATGGAGAAACCTGAATGACAGAATGCCTGTTCTGGAATGACAGCTTCTATAATACTAGATTCTGGAGTGCTGGGTTCCATAATGCATGGTTCTGTAATGTGATGATCTGTTCTGGAATGCTGTTTCTTGAAGGTTGTGTACAAGACAACGTATTCCTGGAGTGTTTGGTTCTGGTTGGCATGGCTCTGGAATGCTTGGTTCTGGGAGACTCAAATCTGGGGTGCTGAGTTGTGGAAAGCCTGGTTTGAAGAGAAAGATTCTCGGTCCTGGACTGTTGGGGGTTTTAATACAGTGCGTTCTGGATAGGTGGGTTCTTGAATTCTGAGGTCTGGCAGGTGGGTTGTGTATAGGTTTCAGACTGTTGGATTGGCCCGTTGTATTATTGTTTCTAGAAGACAGGGTTCTGGAGTGCAAGGTGCTGAAATAATTTGTTATGTACTGCAGGGCTCTGACTTAAAGTTTCAGAATGTCATTTTTTGTGTGACGGTTTCTAGAGTACAGGGATCTGAAATATTTCTGTTATTCTAAGGTCTAGATTTCTAGGCTTTGGGATATGGGTTTTTTTTTAGCTGTTTTTTTTTTTTTGTTTTGTTTTGATTTGATTTTTGTTTTTTGGTTTTGTTTGTTTTCTTTAAAAGGAGGGTTCTTGATTGCTTGGTCCTAGAGTGCTCAGAACTACAATACTTTGTTCAGGAGAGCTATGTTGTAGAATGCTGGATTCTAGAGTGTAGGGTTCTAGAGTGTTGTGGTGTAGAATGTTGGGTTCTAGCAAACTGAGTTCTAGAATGTTGGGTTCTGGAGTGCTGGGTTCTAGAATGCTGGATTTGAGAGTGTTGGGTTTTAGAACGTTGGGTTCTAGAATGCTGGGTTCTAGAGTGTTGTGGTGTAGAATGTTGGGTTCTAGCAAGCTGAGTTCTAGAATGTTGGGTTCTGGAGTGCTGGGTTCTAGAATGCTGGATTTGAGAGTGTTGGGTTTTAGAATGTTAGGTTCTAGAATTCTGGTTTCTAGAATGCTGGGTTCTAGAGTGTTGGGTTCTAGAGTGTTGGGATCTAGAATGTTGGGTTCTAGAATGCTGGATTCAAGAGTGTTGGGTTCTACAATGTGGGGTTCTAGAATGCTGGGTTCTAGTATGTCGGGTTCTGGTATGTTCTGAAGAGTCTGAAAGAGACATTAGCGTAAATGGTGTAATTGCTTTAAAATGATTTACTCTTTCACAGCCCCTTTCTGATCCATGTCATTGATACAGATGAAGTTAGCTGGTACTGAAAATAAAACTACAGTTATGTTGTTCCATTTTCAGCAGAACTGATGTTTCCGCTGAAGTTAAATGTTATTGCCAGATCAAGTTTATTGCATACGTTCCGTGAAGTTTTTGAGAGGTTAGAGCATACAGCCCGAGGGAAGAACTCACTGCCAGCTGACTCAGAGGATATAATTTCAAGATAATGAAATATCCTGACATCACCGCAGGAAGAGCTTGGATTGAAGAGGTTTTTGGGAATGTGGCAATGGAGGATTCCAAAAAGGAAGGAGATATTTTAGCTTTGTTTTTGAGATTTCACCGTTGGACAAATTTCTAATTTTTTTTGGTTTAAAATTTTCTAATTTTCATCAGATATTTTGCTGCATCTGTTTACAAAAATAAGACCTGTTGAATAAGAAAGGTCTACATATCCTCGATAACTCGCTCATTATGGCCTATGCAACAGATATTTTAACTCCAAAAACATGAGCAATAATTCTATAACTAAAAATCTAAGTCTTCCCTGCTTATAAAAGTTTTTTGTTTATTCTTTTTTTTTTTTCAAAAGAAAAATCAAAAGCAAGGATAATAATTATTTAAGTAATAAAATGAAAAGCTGGAGAACACTGTGCAGAGATAGTCTGTGATTTAGTTCAAATTTGACATTATTACATTTGTACAGGAAGTATTGAGGATGGCAGGTGATTACAAGTAAGTTGTTTTTATATTCTATATTACAAATAAGAAACTGCCTCTGCCAATAGTTTAAAGCCAACCTCATAAAGCTTGTGATCTTAGTCATCATAAAGAGGCTGGCTGCACATTGAATACTGCTCTCTATTTGAGGATTTATGGTAAATAAAAAAAATGTGTTCTGCTCACATTAGAGACATTTGATTTAATTAGAAAATAATTATTTGTGTACTGGATAGAATCAGTAAACAATTAGGTGTAGTCTGGTAGGAAGAGCAGACTACTAATGTAGTCTGCTCTTCCTACCAGACTCCATTACCCAGAAATCCACAGAAACAAAAGTTGTAAACAAAACCAACGTGTTTTATTTGAGAGAGAGAAACAACAAACAGCGGCTGCAAAGGTCAGAGGTCACAGCAGGAATACACAGCAGAGAGAAAAAAGCAAGGGGAGTGGGGGATTGTGGTTAATAACTGTTTTACTAACATCAGCGAGCAGACACACCATATATTTATAATTCCTGTCTGCACAGGAGATCAGCAGAGAGGCTCATGGGAAACTGTCGTCATCATCTTCGGCCATTTCTTTAGCAAACTCCAGATCCTGTTGCTCTCTTTCCCGACGCTCCTGAACGCACCACAAACACAGGAAACCACAATATGAGGGGACTTGTAGGAAACACGGTTCTTATAGGATTAATGTACTGTGTGTTACAGGTGTGTGTGTGTGTGTGTGTGTGTGTGTGTGTGTGTGTTACCTCTGCTGACTCCAGGTCTTTGTTGTAAGCTTTGGGAGGAAACCTCATGGCCTGCAGGAGACACACAGAGTTATCGAAGTGCGATAAACTGAAGCTCTTCATCCTTAAATGGACCAACTCACAAAGACACAAAGTCTTTCACTCCAGTCATCCAATACAGCTGTGGACGAGTCGGTTGATTGGTTAGTCACAGCCACACCATGCATCTGTGTGTGTGTGTCTGTTACCTTGACAGACATGTTGTGAATGTCGAGACAGAAGGAGATCCTCTGATGGAAAGCCAGCTGAGGCTCTCTGGTGCCGTAGATGTCCATCGTCTCTTTTGATTGAACAAAACCTTTTTCGTGGTTGATGCTCGCCTCAATCACTCCATCACGGATCGCCTGATGGATACACACACAAATACACAGGTTAGTATCAGGGTATTCTGACTCCTGTGACTCTGCTTTTTTCAGATTTCAGCAGTCAGCTGATCAATACAGAGAATTTCCTCATATTAATACTATTAAAAATCAGTTTCCTGGTTACCTTGGCAACAATAAACTCTGCGTCCTCTGGGCTGTCAAGCTGCAGCTTCTGAGCGATGTCGGCCAGAGAAATGCGAGAGTATGACAGGCTGATCATACGCACACCTGCCCCAAAATACACCATACAGGTATGAGCATTAGGATCAAACACACACAGACAGAACACAGGATGATGTGATGTCAGAGGTGCACTGGGCTGTGATTGGCTCACCGGTTTTGATGACGTTGTGTCTCAGGCGAATGATGAGCGTATATGTCCCGTCGGTCTGAAACTTTTCACCAAACTGCTCCAACACCTGGTTAAACTTCGCCAGGTTACCTGTCCTCACAGCTACACAGATTAAACACACAGTACACACTTCATTTAGACGTGTCAGGAAACTTTTTTTGTTGTTTTTTGATCATTTATCATTTTTTGTTTTGGTTTGTTTTCTGTGGTGCTTGCTTGTAACAAATAAGATACAACAATAAAATAAGATGCAATAGTAATATCTAAAATCTGAATGTGTAAACAACTCAATGAATCTATTTTTATCCAATAAATGACCAAAATAATACCCATAACCTGGTGTCCCTTGTTGACAAAGCAGTCTGCTTATTTTGTTCCCGACATGTTTATAGAGAACCTCCTGATAAAATATCTGGACCTGCTGACTTTTTAAGGCCATCTTCATGATTCAACATAAACATTGAAAGACTTTAACCCCACTCCAGTCGTTTATTATTTACTACTAGTATCGTATCATAGAAAGGCTGTATAAATTCAAGTCTTATACAGCTTTAAAGTCTTATATCACAAAGATGAGAGAGAGAGAGAGAGAGAGAGAGCGAGAGAGAGAGAGAGAGAACTGACCCTGTGTGAGCAGGAAGTAGGGCATCAGTGATCTCTTGAGTGACGGCTGTCTGAACTGAAGTCTGTCAGGAATTTCTCCCAACAACAGCTCGACCACGATCAGCAGCTTGTGAACCTACAGAGAGAAGGACACACACACACACACAGCTGTAACACACCTGATATCACTAAATGTTCTTTTATTCAGAGGACTTGGTTTCATCTCCAGCGCCTCTACAGTCTCATTCATAAACTTGTGTGGGAGATCGAGATCAACAAACATACAGATGACATGTAAACCCATTTTATCGATAGCAGCGTCTTTCAGTCTGTAACACAGGGATGTAACTTCACACCCTCAAAATACGACATCACCATCAAAATCCAGAATACACAAGTTTATGTCAAGGGTGTAAAGCAGGTGTTCACAGTGCGAGCAGCAGTGTGTGTTCAGAGAGTAGCTGACCGTCTGTTTGAAGCCCACAGCGGTGTGTTGTGGAGCTTTCCTCAAAGCGTTGGTCAGAGTCCTGCGAGCCTCCGAGTACTCCAACTGGATGGCCTTAATACGACCTGCAGGGTCACACGACACAGATTAAAAACACAGGAAATCATCTTTGTGGGACAGGAAACCGCCTCACCTGTATAGCAGAGTCTCACCTGTGTAATAAAGATAACGGGCCCACTCGTTGTTGTTGGCGAGCTCAGGGAACACAGACTTGGACACGAGTTTCTCGGCTTGGTCGTACAGGTTAAACTGCAGGTAGTTCCTGAGCAGCAGGTTCAGGAGGACGGCCTGACCATCAGCGTCGTGACGCAGAGTCGCTGTACGCAGGCGAGTGTGGAGGAAACTGAGGCGAGGAAGAGCAGCTTCAGATTAGGAAACTTTAACATCTAAAAATGACACTTAGAGAGCGGAGTCACTTTATGCTGATTCACATCTGAGGAGCAGAACTTTGATCAAAACTCATGAGTGTCTGACCCTCCAGACATGAGCTTAGTCTGAACACACCATAGCTCTGACAGTTAAGCACTCTTTATTAGTATGAACACCACTTTTGAGCAGACTCCAGTGTGCATGTGCGTGTGTGTACCTGCGTATAGTGTCCAGCTGATTGAGGAACTCGTACACTCGAGCATGATAATAATAACATTTAGCAGCTACCAGATCCAGAGCTCTGCGGTTCTTGGAGCCGATTTTCTGGAGCAGATCGTCAGAAACTTTCTGAGCCTGAAACAAACAACGTCATGGTAACTTAGTCATCATCATCATCATCATCATCATCATCATCATCTTCATCCATATTGTAAATACTGGTTTTCGGTTATAACTTTAAATTTTCTTTCACACCAAAACATCTTCACCACCACATGAAAATGTTTAAAATCTAGATTATAGACAAAATTTGATGGTTTACAAATAATTTACACCCTTGTGAAACGAACAACAAAACAGTCCAAGTACTGTATGATGCTAAAAACACATGGGTATATTTCAGCAAGACAATGACAGACCACATTCTGCACCTATTACAACAGCATGGCTCTGTAGTAGAAGAGTCCTGCTGCTGAACTGGCATGTCTGCCGACCTGACTTGACACCCGTTGAAAACAGTTGGAGTATCATGACACAAAAAAATATGACAAAGAAAAACTCTGATTTGTTGAGCAGCTGAAATTTTGTATCAGGCAAGGTTGGGACCACATTCCGCTTTTAAAAGTCCAGAATCCAGTCTCCTGGGTTCACTAACTTTTACAGAGTGTTTAGAAAAAAAGAGCTGATGACACATGATGGCAAACATGACCCCAGAACTACATTTGAGAGATGATGCTGACATAAATTTTTATTAAATAATAACATTTTAAAGTCTGAACATCCTTGTACTGTTTTAAATCACACGTTGGCTGCAATCTGATTTAACGAATATTGCACAACATCTCTACATCCCAGAGCCAACGGACAAATCCTTATAAAAGACACAAAATTAAAGATATAACTAAAAGCTAGAGAACAGGTAAACAGACCTCTGTGTATCTCTTGTTGTTGGTTAAATAAACCACCAGCAGCAGCTGCAGGTAAGCCTCCACCTCCGGCAGCAGGGGAGTTGATGCTGCTTTACCCGTCCTGGGTCTGAACTGGACGTCTCCTTCCGCTGTCTCCATGGGCTGTGGACAGAGATACACAGGAGTCAAACTTTAAACAATTTAAGGGATTAAAGCCTGTTATGTGAAAAAATATTGACATTAGGTTTTCATTGTGTGAAAAATATTTAGTCGGCACAGGAGCAAACCTAAAACCCTTTGGAGCTGTTCTGTTAGCTACTTTTTGTTTGTTCTTGTCTTTTTGTCACACTGGACTGCAGCTGCACTTGTTCATTTCTTAAGAACAAACTTTTTGGTTTTTGGATTTCTCTAAAGAAAAAACTCAAAAATCATTCACACACAAACCCCTTAAAAGATAACGTAATCGCCCGATTTCAGCACCTGTATCAGTGTCTGTACAAACAATAATCGGCATGATGTAATCAATACTAAAATGGTCACTTAATGTGAGCTGAGCCTCACCTCCTCCAAGAAGCCGAGCAGGAACTCTCTGGTGGTTGTGTTGTTGGTGAAGAAGCCGTTGATGGTTTTATTCAGCACGTTGGTGTTCAGACGACGGCTGGTGGACGGCAACGCTCTGAGAGCGCGCAGCACGAAGCGAGGCTCCTTCCCTGACACCGCCTTCTCGATCTGCTTCACATGCTCCTTGATGTCTGAGGAAGAGGAGGAGATGAAGAGCAGGGAGGAGGGTGAACACAACCGGATTTAAAGAAAGAGATGGCAGGAAAACAGAAATAAGACCTCACTCTGAACATCTCAGGTGATTTCACACATTTCAGCTTTAATTCTGTCGTCTTCTAACCCCAAACACTGAAAACGTGTTTGATTAGTGATACATCTTTGCACTTTTTAGTTTTTTTGCTTCTATTTTTCATGTTTTTTGTGTTTGTTGTTTTTTTTTTTTTTATGATAGCCCATATTATTCTTATGTAGCCCTTTGGTCAACTTCAGTTGTTTTAAATGTGATTAATAAAAGTAGGGTAGCACAATATAATCAGCATCACATCAGTATCGGTAGGTGATAGTGTAAATAAAGTATCAGTATCTGCAGATATGAACATTTCTGCATCTATGTGGTTTTATAGAAATGTGTTAAAGTGTCACAAACAGACAGACCCAATCAAACATTTGAAATAATCACCTTTACTATCTATGGTAGTATCACATGCTGTCTGTCTTGGTTTATATCTTGTTCAAAAATACACTAAAAAACTAAAGCAAAGAGTCACAGTATGAGAAACTGGTCAATTCTATCACAGGACACACTTTACATTCTTTACAATATAGAGGTGTGTACTGTCCTTATCAGTTTCAGCCAAAATGAGTTTGAAATGATCAGTGTGTTGGATCTTGTCAAAAATCCGATATCATAACTCCAAAGCCATAACCATCACGGACTCCTTCAAACTCCTCGGTGCACACATCAATAACACTCTTAAATGAAAGCAACATGCATATCAAATTTACAAAAAAAGCCAATAAAAGACTGTTTTTTTTTTTTTTTTTTGCGACAGCTCAAAAAGTTCAGAGTCAGACACATCATCCTCCTTCAGTTCTATGCAGCCATAATTGAGAGTATCCTCACATCATCAATAATGGTCTGGTACGGAAACTTGGACAGTCACTCACGCACAAAACTTCAACGCATTATCAACAGATTATCCAAAATCAGCGGACACACCCTCTGATCCATAGAGACTCTGTATCAAAGTTAAGTCACACAGCAAGCTCTGAAAATCTCCTCAGACCATACACACCCTGCACACCACCTGTTCACACTCATGCCCTCTGGGAGGCGTCACAGGTCTTTGACAAACAACTCAGCCTGATTCAAAAAACATAAAGACAGTCGCTTCTTTTAAGTCAAATTTAAAAACTCACTTTTACAGACTTGCTTTTACGTGATGCCGTCTTTTATCTCTCATCTCTTATACCTCTATCTTATTTTGGCTTTACTGTCTTTTAAGCTTTTGTTTTACCTGTATTCTTTTCTTAATTAACCTTTGAGGCCTTTTATTGTTTTACCTTTTGCTCATTTCTGTCTATTCTAAGGAGACAACAGACCTTTGATGACACAGTTTCAGCTTAGTGACACCTTGAATCTATTTCTGACTATGTGAAAAAAAACGGACCAAACAGACCATCTGTAGACCGGTAAAATAATCAACCACAGTAAACTGTCTGACAGTTAGTACTGCCGTTTCAAAACCGTGTTTGATTGCCGCACTCTGGGAAAGCTTACAGTGATACTGCTCAATGTTGAGAAGAGCAGCCGCACGCAGCAGTCCTTCGTACACAGGCGAGCCGCACGCATGTGCAGTATACAACTTGTAAACATGGCGAAGGGCAGTTTTGCGGGCAGTTCTGCAGACCATGTTACAGGGATTTTTCTGCCGTCAAAGAAAACAAAGTCCGAAGTCTGGTCGTATTTCAGCTTCTACAAAGGGTCGCGAGGGTTGCCAGGAAGCTTTTGTGCGTCCCAGCAACCAGCGTGCCATCTGACAGGCTTTTCAATGCCAGCGGACACATCATTTCCCCTCGCAGATCACGACTCAAACCAGGAAAGTAAATATGCTGACATTTTTACATTTCAATCTCCAGTAGTGAATAAAGTCAGCAGCAGCACCTTATGGAGGAGAAAACAGACAATCGGTGTGGTTCATTTGATTTGTTGACATATTTTACGTTATTTAAACACCTGCATTTAGGACTGGGCGATTATCTGATCATGATCGATGATCGTGATAAATTTCAGTTTGATCACGGTGATCAGCTGTGAGCATATTTACTCGATTAAACATAGCAGAAATGTGCATCACGACAGCCAATCAGAGTCGAGCTTCTCCTGCTCACTTTTTAAGTTACCAGAGAAGTAAACAGAATGACTGAACGTGGAGCTAAACGCGGAGCTGAGGCAGCAAAATAGATGTCAGCCATGACTTTGAGTTATCCTCCGAAGATGTTATTGTTGAGAAGTTATTCAACGTCGGTTGTGTGGTGGTGGTTTGAGTATCTCCGAAGTGACGTGGAGCAGTTAAGCCGACGTATAAGGTATGTCAGCGGTCAGCGCCTTAAAAAACCGGCAACACAACAGATCTGTTTAATTATTTGAAGAAGTACTTTCCGAGTGATGATATGGAAAGCATGAAAATGTGAGCGGAGTCTGCAGAGCCTGCCACTGCTGACGGCACGAGTAGCATTAGCAGTTTAGCTACAACTAGTGACGCAGCCACCAGACCTAAGCAGCGATTAATCGTATCATCTATCATCTAATGTTGACATTTTCAGGCGTCTTCATTATCTCTGAGGGGGCGATTTGTTTATTTTGGGTCTTGCATACCTGCGAAAACACTCAGGACTGTAAAATTATTCACTGTATAATTTAGTATTTATCTATATTTGTTGTACTGTTGAGTTAAAATGTTTTTATATTTTTCTATGTTTATCTCATTCAATTGGCTTTGTTATTTACTTTGTATGTTAGTAAAATGTTGAACTAATCTCTATTTTTGTTTAGTTTTTAGTACAGATACTTTAACACAGGCAGTTTAAAAAAAATCGTGATAATAACCGAGATCGGACGATATGACAAAACATATCGTGATCACTTTTTTTTTTGTTTACATGTGGTTGTATTGTTTCATATAATAGTGTTGCTCTGTTTTATATTTGTAAAGGTAGATCTTTTTGAGCACTGAAGATTCTTACAATTTGCACAATAAGGAAAGTCATTTTATTTAACTTTTATTTATTATTACGTTTATGTTTTTCCCACTGACACATTACTTTGTACTTTGTTATTTCTAGTACTAGTGTTGATTACCTCTGGCTTTTTTAAGGCCCTGTCTGTAGCTTATCGTTCCTCTGTTATTGAAGGTTAAGGAAAATTGTATTCTGTGTGAAACTTTATTAAATGATTTCAGGGCGTGTATAAGTACCTTTTAAACATTTTGAATATATTTCAACAATATTACCGCGATAATATCGATAACCGTGATAATTTTAGTTACAATAATCGTGATGTTAAATGTTCATGTCATTACATCCCTACTTTACACAAAAGACCAGGTCCGGATGCCAGAATCTCTAAAAACCTTTAAGATGGTCTATTGAGAATCGAGGAGGTCCAGACAAAGCAGTTCAATGTCGGAACAAAAACCAGAACCTGAACCACAGGAGCAAACATCAGCTTTATTGACTTCAATCTTACTTTGACAGTTAGCTTTAACAGTTAGCCATACATGCTAACAGGCTAACTACCTCCATCCGGACTGACCCTCGTCCCGCTCCCGGACTCTCCTAACAATTTTCACATTAAATTGAAGTTTTGTTCTCACCTTCCAGAGTCAGACTGTCCAGCTCTTTGGGCTGCTTAGCCGCGTTAGCCGCCTCCTCCTCCGGCATCTCCACGTCCTGCGGCTCCGGGCCCGACTCTTTCGGCTCCTTCGGTTTCTCGGCTTTGGAGTCCCGGTCCCGACCCCCCGCTTTGTCCCGCCGCTTGGCCGCTGTTTCTTTCATGATGTCTAGAAGATAAAAAGCTCGCAGTGAGGGGCTAATAAACACAGAGATTCTCCTTTAAAACCTGCAGAGTCACCTGAGTTTACCTCAGTCTGAGCACCCCGACAATGACTGGCAACTATTATCAAGAGCGAGGGATTATGGGACGTTTCAGACAGTGCATGATGATTACCGAAAAAAGAACACAGACAGGAGCAGGCGAGAACAGAGCGATCGATTCGTTCCTACAAGTCTGTTGAAATCGGTGTGTTGTTTTCGGTCACAGATGAAAGACTGACATTGAAAGCTCATATAGCACATATAAAAAAATAAAGTGTCAAAGAATATTTTTGTTTTGAACAAGCTGAAACTTTTATTGAATCAATCAATAACTTTATTTGTATCCAATGGGGCAATTGGTTGTGCAAAAAGGAAGCATGAAAACACTTATGCACAATAATCAAAATCAAGAAAAACATAACATAAAATCAAAAACACAATTAATCAAAACACCACGAACAGCTACCTTTTCCTCCATGAATTGAGAAGGGAGATGGTAGAAGGTATGAAGGAACGTTTAAATCTGTTTGTTTTAGCAGGGGCACTCTGATCAATGAACCAGATGGAAGAAACTGAAACTGATCATGTAGAGGATGGGAACAGTCTGACAGGATGGATTTGGCTTTCTTGTACAGCTGTTTTTCATACAGATCCTGTAAAGTTTCCTGAACAGAGCTAGTTATTTTCCTGCAGACATTAACCACCTTGTTTAGAACATTTTTCTGTTTTACCTTAAGTGATGAGAACCAACAGACCAGAGAAAAAGTTATCACAGATTCAGTATAAGAATGATAAAACATGGTCATCACCAGGGGTGAATCAACCTGGAATTCTGAGAGTTTTCTAAGACAGAACAGACGCTGCTGGCTTTTCTTGTAAATTGTGTCAGTGTTACTCTCAGATGACAATTTGTTGTCTATTATAATAATAATAATAATAATAATAATAATAATAATAATACATTTTATTTGTAGAGCGCTTTTCAAAGACACAAAGACGCTGTACAGAGTAAGCAGTAAAAACACACATCAATAAGTAATAAAATTTACGGCAATATAATAAAAACATGTAATCAGGTAAAATCAAATAACAATAAAACACACATAAATGAGTAATAAAATTTGTTGAGGAGAGTGGAGGTGGTGCCATAAAAGAGACTGTTGCAGTAATCTAGACGAGATGAAATGAATGCATGTATAAGGGTTTCAGCTGCAGGGTAGGATAGGGAGGGGCGGAGGCGGGCAATGTTGGTTCCTAAATACTTGTAGGACTCTACAATTTCCACGTCCTGACCATCAATCACTGTGCTGTTGGGAGGGGGGCTGCGAGCGTCTGAAATCAATGCACATGTCCTTTGTTTTTGAGACATTCAGAGAAAAAAATGAATCCTGACACCACTTTAGAAGTTAATCGACCACAGGGCCATGGGAGGTTTCAGAACTGTTCAACAGGCTCACTATGACTGTATCATCTGCAAATTTCAGTATATGATGGTTTTCAAATGTACTACAGCAGTTGTTTGTGTATAGTATGTACAGCAGAGGTGAAAGGACACATCCTTGAGGTGAGCCAGTAGCTGTTACAGATAGATCAGAAAATTGTCCATTTACTCTCACCCTCTGTGTTCTGTATGTCAAGAAGTCCAAAATCCAACCAACAATACTACCATGTAGACTTAAGTTGTCAATTAGTCTCTGAATTAACAGATGAGGCTGAATAGTATTGAAGGCGGATGAGAAATCAACTTACAGCAATCTAACATGGTTGTTAGTGAGCTCAAGGTGCTTATAGATGTTATTCAACAAAGTTAAGGTGGCGTCCTGAACCTCCCTGCTGGTCCTGTAGGCAAACTGCAATGGGTCAAGCAGGTGTTCAGTCTTAATCAGGAGTTCGGCTTTAACCAGTTTTTCAGTTGCTATAGGCCTGAAATCATTTAGAATTGTAATGTAATGAAACTACCATACTGTTCTCTTATTTTGCCTTATTTTTGCTATGGTGTTGAAGTTTGGGGCAATACATACTTCACAAGGATAAGACCGCTGATTATGTTACAAAAAATTTAAAACGCATACAATAAAATGTACCCCTCGCCACAGGAGGGCGCCAGAGTCTCAGTCAGGAAGTTAAGTCACATTACCCTCTTATTTACTAAGTTTATCAAACTAAATAAGCTACAAAACACATGGTGAAACAAACCTAAAAAAAGAAAAGACCAAATATAGAGAGATTGTTTAAAAAAAAACCTTTAAACAAATTTAATTCCACAAAAAGTGTCAAAAATTATGCATCTGGGTCCCTCTCAAAACTATTTACAACATGACCTCTCTCTCGGCTCCTAATTGCTTAACCAACTCTGTGGGTTTAAATAACCCCGAGGGTCCATCTGCAGCACGTCTCATTATCATTATCATCATTATCTTACAGGCTATAGTCTAACAACAACAACAACAATCACAAAAGATACAAAATTGAGGACATGGCTACTATATCCGGTGTTTTTTTTTTATCAAGCAGGTGACAGGTGACAAGTGGGCGGGGCTGGCTTCGGCTCGTGCGGTCTGCTGTTCACTGATAGAGCTCGTGTCCTCGCTCTGCTCGTTCTGCCTGCAGATGAATGTTCATGAGCAACATGAAAAGGAAAAAAAAGGATTATTTTCTCTTTTTTGGGTTTTGACCTCCAGAGCTGTCCTGAAGAGATTTTCCTGACTTCCTCAAAGATCCTGTTACACAGTGGACTGGAGCTACCAGCCTGACTCCTGCTGGTTTTACTGGTTGCAGTTTTGTAGATCATCACTTTTAGAGGACCCAAAGCAGCAACACACACTGTGAGTATATTCTGAATGCCCTGTATGTACTGTATTTATTTTAGTGTAGGGTTATACAAAATTTTACATTAAAACTGCACCAAAAAATACTATTTTATTCAATGCTATAAAAAATAATATAATACATTATGACAGAATATAATTCAGTGAAACTCAAAATACTTTAGTTTGATATAATTTATTCTTACAAAGTGAATTAATGCAATAAAATATTAATTGAACAACCTAAATGAAATAATATGTTGTACTGCAATGTAATGCTAAAAGATTTGATGCAACAATGGAATATGATATAGGATAAATAGTATAATATCAAAAATATAATGTGATATAACCAGAGCCAGCCCAAGCCTCAATGGGGCCCTAAGCAAAATTTGATTTTGGGGCCTTCTATTTCTGTCAATAATATTGATTGTTGATCATTCACACACCTTCTACAGTATAAATTTAATGTGCCTGACATGTCTTTACATATGTAAGGGGTTGGCCTAGGTAATAACATAAATAATACCAATGCAACCATACAAATAATATCAATGAATGACCTATGAGTGATGTTCAGGGTGCCACATACGTTCTTTAATCTCAAAATGTAACACATTCAGGTACAAGAGCGGCCTGGGGTTGATTTTCACAACATTATGAGATGAGTGATAAAGCATTGTGTTCACTCTAAAAGTGCCATCGGCAGTAAGAATCAAAGGCCTACATCAGCAGCAGCACTAAAATATTTTTTGTTTAATTTTATTTTTAAGATAATATATGTTTGATCGTACAGAAAGCATCTCTCATACATGCAAAAAAATAATTTTTTTAATGCTCTTGGGGGCCCCCTACTGGCCGCAGGGCCCTAAGCAGGCGCTTAGTTCGCTTATACCTTGGGCCGGCTCTGGATATACCATAATATCAATTATAAATTCTTGTATAATACAACATTATATGTAACCTGTATATGTACATATATGTATATATATGTATACCATTATATGTGTTTTTCTGGTGACCCTCAGCAGCTCTGCCCGTCCCACAACATCAAGCGACTCAAACCAACGACAGAGAGGGTACAACCCACTGTAAAGGAGCAGGAGGCGCAGAGGGAGGATGCTGCCCTACACTGACGACCTGACAAAGGTAAGACCCGAAGATGAAGAAGAAAAAGAGGAAGAGGAAGAGGAAGAGAATCAGTCTGCTCCTCTTCAACTATCTCCTGATACCATGACATCCTCAAAGGACGACCCCGGCGCCCAATCAGATGCTGCCGCCTCATTCAATCAGTACATTAGCTCTGACTCAGGAGAGGAGATGGCGGCCACACTCTCAGACTCTAATAGGTTGCTGTTACCCACGTCACGTAAAGTGGAGGAGGAGCACGATGAGGCGGAGACCCAGGCGGTTGCTTCCTCTCCTGACGGACGATTCCTCAAGTTTAACATCGAAATCGGACGAGGATCCTTCAAGACGGTTTACAGAGGACTCGACACAGAGACCACGGTGGAGGTGGCCTGGTGTGAGCTGCAGGTAGGTTAGTTTTAGTTCTGATTTAGATTTGATACGCATCAGCTGGCACGTGCAGGAGCGACCTGACTTGTTGCAGGAATTGTTGCAGGACTTTCGCTGGACCTGTGACACAAACCAAAACATGCATTAAACTTACGGATAACACTTTAAAGCTTCCTCAGGTTGAAAGTTTAATGACTCTCTGTTGACATGAGAGAGTCAGGGTATATAACCTTTACTGCAACCAGTCAGCAGGGGGAGCTCTGACTACTTCAGCTTCATTACCACTTCATGACCACAGTTTGAGTGCTGTTAAACAATCAGGTGCAATTTTTGTGCAATTCAGGTAGAGATATGTTTATAGTTTTAGTATAGTTCAGGAAGAAGTTAGTCAGGTATTGATTAGAAAAGCCCCACTGCACAATGCAACATCAAGGTGACATCTATTTAATGTATTTTTTTGATGATGAGGTACAAATGTGGACGTCATTTCAACGTCTAAAAGAGGTCCGGAGGGGTTGGTTCAATGTTTTTTCAGTGTAGTTATGTTGTAGTTTAGAATACATTACATAACAATACAATATAATATAAGAACTTAATTGATCCCACATCCTCTATTTTGGTGCAGTTTAGATGTAGTTTTGTAGGGCAGCTGACCTTTGAATGAATCTCTGGTGAGAATATTTGGTTATCCTCCATTAAATCTCAGTAAGTTTAAGTTAAGTTTAAGTTAAGTTTAGTTTAACTTAAAAAACAGGCTATCTCTTACAGCTTACAGCCTCTTTTCTAGCCAGTCTGCAGAGTGTACTTTGGCTCAGAGTGGGACCTGCCCACAGCTCCACCCTCAGGTCAAACAGCAGGATTATTGTTTACAGTGTGCAGCTACAGCATTAATGTCATATCAAAGTGCTTTTAATAACCTTTTAATTAAAGTTAGCCCAGTCATCATGGTGGCCGTCTCTATCGCCATGGTGACTGAGCTGATTAAAAAGGTAAGACTGAACCAAACAACAGGAGCCTGAGACAGGAAGAGGACATTCTTAACTGGACCTTCCAAAATAAAATGGGCCTCACAACGAGTAAAGAAACTTAAAGCACCACGTGGAACAAAAAATGAGTAAATTATAAAGACAATAGTGACAAAATGAAATCAAGAACAGGATAGTTACTTTATTATTCATGGAGACTTCAGACTACATAAGTTGCTTTGCAAGAGTGTGTTATCTGGGGTCACAGCATTTCAGATTTTATAGTTATATTGGACACTGACTGAGAGCTGTGATTGGCTGAGAACGAGGAAGTGTTTGATTAAACATTTATTACTCTGAAGAGTAAATATTTAACACACACATGAACTGGAATACTTTTCAATCATTCTTTTGGATAGCTGCAGGTGTGTCTCACCTCCACTGCAGGATTTGTTTTCAGACTGATTCAAGGGACTTAAAATTCATGCCAAAGGTGCCAAAAACAAAAGCACAATGGGAGCAAATTTGTTTCTTTTGAAGTGGGGTTGTAGAGGCATATTAAGTGCATTTGTTTTTGATAAATTTTAAAAATGTAGTCAAAAGGTGTGGTAAAAATTGACCCAGTCTGCAGCCTCTGATAGCCAAGCTCTCATGCCAGTTTTCAACCCAGTTTCTTAACAAAGGAACCAAACTCACCAGGATCCCTGGTGGGTGATACACTTACTGATGACAAGTTGATTATACCTCATACAACAACATTTGAAATATATATACATTTCTGTAGGAGTACCCTGGGACATGATCTAAAGAGTTCTCCAAACAGATGCTTTAAGGCATCTTGAAGGGTATCCTAAGACAGATCCCAGAGGTACCTTCAAACGAAAAACCTATCCAGACTGAAGGTGCCTTCAAACTCACACCTATGCCGAGGTCAGGCTACACGATTCCAGCACAATTTTAGCTTAATCCAACAGTTCTAGGGTGTCAACAGTTGATCATTTTGTCTCGTGGAGTGTCGTCATAGTGATCTGCATTTTAACATCTGCAACACTACACTAAGCTGATTAGAAACTGCATATCAGATCGTCATCTATCCCTGTCTCTCTTCTTTCCATCATCCTCTTATTAGTCTCGATATCTGGTCATGTACCATTGTCAGACCACAGTCTGTCATGTGATCGTCAGTTTTCATTCAGTGACTGATGTGACAGAAAGAGGATCATGAAGTCTGATCTTGGCATATGGGTGCCAGAGTGGAACACTTAGCATACCCCAGACCATTTGCTAAAGAAGACCTTTACAAACAAGACCATGTGTCAAAGAAAAAAATTAGTCATCGGAACTTAAGCTACCTTAACACTGGCATTGGGAGACTTAGGACTGACACTTGGCACACCTTAAAACTGTTGGTAGTGGTACCCTGGCACAGACTTTAAAAGATCATGAGGGGTGACTGACAGAAGCTCAGACGCTGAATAGGTAATTAAAATGTAAAACCGCCTGTTTAAAAGGAAAGTTCTTAAGTATAAGTGCCTTTATGCTTTAGCCAAATGTTTGATGATGTTATGTCTCTGATCCTGCAGTGGAGGCTGTTTGCTATTGGCTGGCTGTTGTGACATCATCACATCACACTCATTAGTTGTATTAACTTGAACAGAAAATTATGTTGACCTTAACTATGAAGATAGTCTTTGTGTGTGTGTGTGTGTGTGTATGTATAGATATATATATATGTATGTGTGTGTGTCAGTGACGTAATATCAGTAGTGACTCAGCAGTTTGCTGTTCTGCACACACTATCTGATTTGACACTTGGCTGCTGGTTGATGTTGATAGCAGAGTGCGCGCACACACACGCGCGCACACACACATGCACACACGCACACATAGACACACATAGTGTCAAAGGTGGAGTTGATGTTTCTCAACCTGTGGCCTGGGGTCTCACTAAAAGCTCACAAAATGATATAGACTGAAACACTGAGTTAATTCTTTCACATTTGTATTTTCTGACTTTAAATTGTAAACCTCACACTCTTGAATACAACATTTTGCCCAACTGAGTCCATACTGCTTGTATAGTTGGCAGTTTTGAACACAGTCATTGACTAGTTATAGTTGACCTCTAACCCTCAGACTCATCGACTGACCAAAGCAGAGCGCCAGAGGTTCACTGAGGAGGTAGAGATGCTTAAAGCTCTGCAGCATCCCAACATCGTCCGATTCTTTGACTCCTGGAAGGCGACACTCAAAGGTCATAAATGCACCATCCTAGTGACAGAGCTCATGACGTCAGGGACCCTGAAGACGTGAGTCCACTATGAAAGCCTGTTCCTCTGGACGTAGAGTCGATCTATACCTGTACCTGACTCTTCTTTATTCTAATGGTGTCCCCCAGGGTATCATTCTAGTCCCCATTAAATTCTCAAACACAGCAGATATCTTTCCTGTTTAGCCTGTGCTGTTTTCAGTTGTACTCAAACCTCACACACTCAAGCCCCTTAATAACTCATCTTGACTTGTTTGTCTGTTTTTTTGCTGTTTGTCACCTTTAAATGCCTCAGGTACCTGCGCAGGTTCCGTCAGATGAAGCTCAAGCTTCTGCAGCGATGGAGCTTTCAGATCTTGAAGGGGCTGCAGTTCCTGCACACACGCTGCCCACCCATCATGCACAGAGACCTCAAGTGTGACAATGTCTTCATCACTGGTCCATCAGCCTCAGTCAAGATCGGAGACCTGGGCCTCGCCACACTCAAGAAGGCGTCATTCGCCAAGAGCGTCATTGGTAAGAACACAGCAATTACAGTGGGCTGTTAGGCTCAAAAATGTAGTGATTGTTATTTTTCACATATGCTGTGTCTGTTTTGCATTCAGGGACCCCAGAGTTCATGGCTCCAGAGATGTATGAGGAGAAGTATGATGAGGCCGTGGATGTTTATGCTTTTGGCATGTGCATGCTAGAGATGGCAACATCTGAGTATCCATATTCGGAGTGTCACAACGCCGCCCAGATTTACCGCAAAGTCACAAGCGTAAGGCTGCACCCCCCTGAATTCTGACAGCTGCCTGATACTTTCCTTTTGTCTGACTGTTTGTTTGGCTTTCAGGGAATCAAACCCAATAGTTTCTCCAAAGTGAAAGTCCCAGAGCTGAAGGAGATTATCGAAGGCTGCATACAAACTAACAGCAGCGAGAGGTAATCTGATCGTTCACAGCACAGCCTTCAGACTTCATGTTCACCCAAGCATTTATGAAAAAAAGCACCACCTGACGCTACCTACACAAACTGCATTTCTTTATGAATATCTTTCACCCCGCAGGTTCACAATCCAGGACCTGCTGGATCATCGGTTCTTCCAGGAGCAGCTCGGGGTCCACGTGGATCTGGCTGAAGATGATGATGGCTCAAAGGCAGCTCTGAAGCTCTGGCTGAGGATGGACCCTAATAAAAAGCTGCATGGGAAGTACAAAGACAATAACGCCATAGAGTTCCTGTTTGAACTCTACAAAGATATCCCTGAGGAGGTGGCCCAGGAGATGGTACTTGAAATGCTACATTATCGACGTTGTCGCAGTTATGTCACCTGGCAGAGTGACTCACCTGTCTCTGTCTCTCTTCAGGTGGTGCTGGGGTTCCTTTGTGAGGCAGATTATAAACCTGTTGCAAAGGCAATCAGACACAGAGTGACTGCCATTAAGCGCCAGCGGGAGGAAAAGCGCCGGCAAGAGGAACAGCAACGCTTGTCAGAAGATGCTCTGACCAACCAACAGGAAGCTGCCAAGAAAGCCGAGTCTGATCCCGCCTCCAAACCACCAGAACTGTCCAGTCAGAGACCTGCAGCTTCCACATCTGCTGCAACTAGGATGACCAATCAGGTCAGGTCTCACAGATCAGGACGTTCACAACATAATGATATTGACAATAACCATAAAAATTGAATATTGATATTGTGCTGGAAATATGCTAAGCCGTTGCTTCATGCATGCTTCTAAACAGCAGGAATCAGCAGCTGTCAGTGGCCATAATCCTCACTGGATGCAGGCCAAACCCTCAACGACAGCAACATTATCAAGGAGCAGCCCGGTAGATTCTGGGTTCAGCAGCGTCTCCAGCAAGGCAGATGGAGACGAAGAAGACGACAGGACCACCAAGCATGTATCTCAATCCCCGGCCACACGTAAGGAAACTAGATCATTTTACATACACATACAAAAAAGTGACTTAGAAACTTAAAAATGTGAATTTCATTGTCTGTTTTTTAGTTGCCACCAGACAGGACTCTGAGAAGGAAAGCTCTCTCAGCTCCCCAAGCGTTCCAGGGAAGGTTGAAGCTACGCCACCACATGTTGCTAACTCCGCCACCACCTCTTCTATCCCCACCCCTGCTCAAGTGGCTTCAGAAGCTCCTTGGCGCAAAGCTCTCCCTTTTCCCAAGCGGACTCATTCCAAACCTCCACCTCTTCCTGTTCTGCGTTTTCCCAGGGTAAGTAGAGGGCGGGACTTGGGTAAAGACAGGAGTTGATGCTACCTCAGGTTGGTGACAGTTTCAACCGGTTTACAGGCTAACTGGTGTAGACAGATACAGGCCAATAAATCACATGTTTGTGAGGCTTTGGTCAGTGGTGTTTGGTGGTTCTCAAAAGGGCAAAATAAAGTCTGGGTCTGGTTAAACAAAAGAAGAAAAGCCAGGATCCCCTTTAAATATTACCCATCACCACTGTATCCGTAAAGGAATTGTTCAACTTTTAATGATCATGTTATCCCTTTGTGAAGCTGCGTCTGTCTCCCTCTAGAGGAAAGGAGTAGTACTGATATAAAAGCTTCGAATCAACTTCCTCTTTTATCTGCACATGTGACCCATGAAAACGATCAACCCTCTGTGTCTTAACTTTTTTTCTTTTTGCCCTCGATTTTTCTCCAGAGCATTGCTGTATCCCAAAATACTGAGCAACCCAAATCTAAATCAGTCTCTGGCTTCTCCTCACCTGTTGACAGGTAACACAGAATATTTTTCTGCTGGTTTGCTTGATCGTATGACTTTAAAGGGATAACACGGCATAAATTAATGCAGGATCAAACACACCGTAACACCAAGTTAGACACACCCCCGAGAGATGAATGTTGCTGACTGTTGCTTCTGCTTCAAACCTCAAACAAAACGCCACTCTGTAGCCACAAATAATGCTCAAAACAGCACCTAACTTCATCAACAGTACATATAGGGTCCCAGCCATAGCACTAGCCACCAAACATCTTTTTAGTTTTGCTTAATTTCTTTAGCAAAGAGACTCACACACTCTCCTCAAGCAGCTGCTTGTTAGTAGCAAGACCTCAGGCCAGGGGTGACGCAGCTCAAGGAAGAACATTTATGATCATTTCTTTATTATTTCCTTGAAGTAAAAATCCTCATATCAATCATTTTGCACGGCAGACGCAGTTCTTCTGCCTTTGCGTCTCGGTCTGATTGCATTTCCATGAAGAAATGATCATAAATGTTCTTCCTTGGGCTGCGTCACCCCGCTGTAGTCCATAATGGACTGCCTGAGGTCTCGCTACTAACAAGCAGCTGCTGGATGAGAGTGGGTGAGTTGTGTTTCAAAATCAGGCAAAGCTAAAAAGATGTTTGGTGGCTAGTGCTGTGGCTGGGACCCTATATGTACTGTTGATGAAGTTAGTTGCTGTTCTGAGCATTATTTGTGGCTATAAATTGGCGTTTTGTTTAAGGTTTGTGTGTGTTGCTCTTCAGACTGCTGTGTATTGCTATCCTGCGGTCGTTACTAAAGTTGGTATAACTAGAGAAGCAAGAAGTCGGCAACATTAATCTCTCGAGGGGGTGTCTAACTCTGTGTTATGGTGTGTTCGACCCTAAATTAATTTTACGCCGTAATATCCCTTTAAGGTAATAAATGCTATCATAACGTGTCCTCATTGATGAATCTCTGCCTACAGAAAGAGAGTGTACGAACTGATCCCAGAATTCACAAATGTATATTGCCTTTGATTTCGATGTTGAAGCTGCTTTTGTCGACTCCACTTTGCATTGTTTATTGTTCTTTTTTCTGTAGCTACGCCTCTGATGTGACCTCTGGTCTCAGTGACGGCACTGATGGCCAATCAGACAGAGGCAACAAGGAAAAGCCCAGACGAACAGCTTCACAGCAGTTTAAGAGGAAAGCGAAAGCTCGTCTAAGAATTACGGGGGTAAAAACCTGTCATATCAGCTGAATATCTACATTGAATGAAAATGTGTAAAACATACTGCTACATGTTAAAAGATCTGGTGTGTTTGTTGGATTGTGTGTGTGTGTATGTTTAGGTCTCAGAACTGCAGGACCGGGTAGTTGAATGTCAGCTGCAGACTCATGACAGTAAGATGGTGACATTTAAGTTTGACCTGGATGGGGACAACCCAGAAGACATCGCCTCTGTGATGGTGAGCACTGACAGCCAATCCAAGGGCGGACATATCTTGCATGGCTCAACTTTTGTTACAATCTATTGGTTTCACCTCTTAAACACCCTGCTGAAGTAAACTGGTATCTCACTGCAGAATCAACAGTATATTTATTGTTGTATCCACAGAAATAGTTCCATCACTGCACACAAAGTCTAGGCCAAGTCGAGAATTGAGTCTCTTTAGAGGCTGTGGACCTTTTTGTTCAACTCTATGCTGGATGAAGTTTTTCACCTTATTCTCTGTTTCCACTCTAAGATCCATAGAGACTTCATCCTGCGAGAGGAGCTACAAGACTTCATCGCCCGCATGTATGAAATCATTACAAAGGCGGAGTCTTTGATTATTGAACAGCAGCGGGCCGACAGTGAGACGTCATCTCGGGTGACAGACCCCACCCTAGAAGAACCCACTGTGAGTTTAAAAAGCTTTGCTGTGAAGATGAAGTCTGTCTTTGGGTCCAAGCTCAGCTAAACAGCGACATCTGGTGGTGACATAGAATATGACAGCCTTGAATGAGTTGGGCCAAAGTCTAATAATGATTTGATTGATGATTTTTAGAAAATGTTCTCATAAAAAAGTAAAGAAAGACTGACAAACCTTTGACCCGTTTTAACACTGTTGTTCAGTTGATCTAAGTCTATGTAAATCAATCTATGTCTCTTTTTAATTAAAGCATATCGAATGAGGAAGATGATTGGGACAGGACTGTTTATATCTTGTAACAGATCTAATCCCAGGGACAAAAAATCAAGAAGAATCCTTTTAAAATCTGATCAGATGACCTCAGACATCTTTTGAGTTTATTTTTTAAATTTTCCTGTTTATCTGGAAATAGAATGATTTCACCTTTTGTCTTAAGACACTTCATGCATCTCTTTCCTCTTGTATTACTTTCATTTTAAGAAATTATTCTCATTATCCTCATTATGATAGGATTTGAAGTTTGTTTTTCAATAAATGAGAAATTGTTTTTGTTGCATTAACAGTAAAAACAAGTTACACTCCTGGTTGGTGCTGGTTAAGATCTTGGCTTGGGCCCTTCTTTTGTGGCGTTTCTGTGCTTCTGTAAATACTCTGGATTTCGCATCTTTACACGCCCATGCTTGCTGAGTTAATGGGTGACCCCGAGTTACCTACCTACCTTAATTTCATCCCATTATTTTCAGCCAATCCCAGCAGCCCAGGCCCTCTCCAGAAGCTTGTCCTCATCTTCACTTCCTGGTAAGAGAAAAGAAAGGGGCCATTTTTTCAGACACTTGATAGTATGGGAAAAGTTACAGAGTTGAAACTTTAAATCAGGAAAAAGGTGATGAGGTTGAGCTGCATCCTTTACCGTCAGATTTATCCCTACACAGGTGTTTTCATCAGGGTGTCCTTTTTCAGATGCTGCAGATTCTGACCCTTCCCCTTCAAAGTCCAGAGAATCCTACACTGACTCTGAGGTCTTACCTTCCATGAGACCACAGAGGTCACAGTCCTTCCACTTGGCATCAGGTACAGAAATCCTACCTGTTTATACATGGGCAGCAAAGTCCTGTACTTCACTTTAAACAGTCTTCTATTTTATTTGCTCTAGCTAGAGTCATTTAATATTTTTTATATTAGTATTAAGTCAAACTCCAGTCTGTTTATTGACACCCACCATTACCAATTCCTTCTCTGACTCTCTTTCCAGCTTCAGCCCAGCAGACTCCCCCATACCCTCCCCATTACCCCCATCCAGACTCTGCCCCTACTCCCCTCTCACCATTTCCTCCTCGTCCTGCCTACCAACTCCAATCTCCCCCTTACTCTCCTTACAGCTTCTCAGCCCAAAGCCCCTCCTCTGGCCTTGCCCGAGCACAAAGTAATCCTTCGCTTTTCAAACCTCCATCTCCCTCTTCAGTTCCTCCTCCTTCTCAGTGGCACCCCCCTGACCAACTTCCTCCTCAGTGGCCTCCCTCTGACCAGCCTCTCTTCTCTCTGGCTAATGTACTCTCTCTTGCCATGAGCGTGGCCCACTCCTTCATTCCCCCTCCTGGAACCCAGAACCAGGGGTATAACCCCCAGCTTCAACCTGTGTTGCCCAATTATCTTCCCCCTCAAGCTGCCCGCACTCCTCCCATGTCTCCTCAGCTGGGCTCCAAACTTCATTCCCAAAGCCCTACCTCCTTTTCTGATCCTTTCTCCTCCCAGCCTTCTTACACTCCCCCCACACTGCAGGCAGGCTCCAACTCTGATTCCCTGAAGGCGGTGCAACCTGGCTGGATCCCAGACACACTGAAGGAAGGGGAGCATCAGGGACAGGTGAGCTTTTGGGGCGGTTCTTGTTTTGACCAGGACAGAGAAGGCAGTGAGGTGTTTCCCTTGCAAATCGATAAGGATGAAATCTAGATGTCTAGAACCAGTTTTACATTCACTTATGGTTCCTGCACCACATCCTGACGAGTTCTGGTTCTAGAAGAACTTCGGGAATACCTTGTTCAGCCTAAACTTAGATATGAGGAAATGGATGAATTAAGCCTTGAGACTGTGCAGATATTTAACCATCTAGATGTCCCTCAAGCATATGGATGATCATGAGAGTGAGCACTGATTTGTTTCTGATTTGGGGATTTTGTGATTGACTTATAAAAATTGTTGGCAAATGGACAATCAGGCCTGACATTGTGCCATTTGAATTGCGTTTACATGGGCACAAATAATCGGAATAAATGACTGATCGGAATAAAAATGTGTCATGTAAACATGTTGATCGGAAGATTCCGATCCAATTCGGCTCAATCGGAAAGAAATTGTATTCTGATTGAGAGGGGCGGTTTATGCCGATCATTATTCTGAAATGCGTCCACTCCATGTAAACACTTATTCTGATTGTGACTCTCTTACCTGACTCGATCTTCAGTCTTTAGACTTTGGTTTATTTATTGAGGTCAGTACAGGAGGTTTCATTATTAACACTGTGGCATAAAACCCAACCACAGGTACCGTGTCTGCTCCTCCGATAACATAACAAGGCGTACATACAGGGTAATGATGTCACATCTGCACGCACAGTGCAACCTTTGACAGAACAGTAAAATGAGTACGCAATGGCGCCATCTCGTGACAACATTCAACAGGAGGAAAACTCCTGAATTGGAGTGAGCCACTTTTGCGTTCGTTGGTTTGTTGACAGCACAGGCGTAAATACAACTCTTCTTCTGCAGTTGTTTTAGTGAAATTAGACAAATCTGTGCCTCTAATCTGAATAAAGCTTGGTGCATGTATACGCACATCACGATCGGATTATTTGATTTTGCACCCATATAAACAGTGGATTCAGATTATCCGATCCCTCAAATATTTAATCGGATCAAGAAATTTTGCCCATGTAAACATAGCTAGTGATGCTAATCTTTCATCTCTTCCCTACAGGTGTCCTCCCATGTATCCCAGCCACCTACAGTACCTCCAGTGCAAGGGGGTAAGATAATCCTGTCTGTTGTCAATACAGAAGGCCCAGAGAGGAAATGTTGCTGTTCTGCACTTGGTTCAGGGTAAACAGGTGCAATGCTGTCGAAAAAAGAGGGGACTGATGCAACAAGTGGAAATCTAAAGAAAAATGAATCAAAAATCAATTTGGGCCTTAAATTGTTTCCTTGTGTAGGTCAGGGGTCAAAACAATCAACATCTTACTTCCACAGCCAATAGTACACTGATTCCTCTTCTGTTTGTCTTCCAGTAAAGAGCCAGTCCATCATCAATGTTGGTCGTTTCAAGGTGACTCCCTCTGCTGTTCAACATCAGGAGTCCCGCCCCCTACACCAGGCCACACCCACAGCCCACTCCCCACCTCCCTTTAGACCAGACCAAAAAGAGAGCTCAGAGAGCAGCACGGAGGACGAGAGTGAATCGGGGAGCTCACTCAGCACAGTAACAGCTCCTCCACCTGGACACCTGTTTCATCTCACACACCCCAGAGAGCAGCAGAGAGAAGAGGGGGAAGAAGAGAGGAGGAAGAGAGGGGGACAGAGGCTGAGTGTCAGCCTAGGGGAGGGAACAGCCGGCAGCAGCTTCAGCCAAACATGGAGTCGTTCAGCGTCTTACATCAGCTCTGACGACTCAGACAGTGAGAACGAGGAAATATGGGAGGAGCTGCAGCAGCTGCGTGAAAGGTGACTGATTGATCTGAGTTCTTCTTACAATCTTCAGAACAAATCAGACCAACCTTGAATAGTTTATGTCACCTGTTTTCTCAAATCATAGACACCTGGCTGAAGTGAACAACCTGCAGGCCACTCAGAAGAGAGAGATTGAGGACTTATACTCAAAGATGGGTAAAGTCCCACCCCCTGGTATCGTACCTCCAGCCGCCATGTTGAACCATCGTCAACGCCGCCTCTCCAAGACTGGAAACTACCCTTCCTCACGCAAAAACAGCCTGCAGAGGCTGGACGTGCCGCACCCTGCAGGTGAGAGGACACACAATGAAATACATCCCCATAGTAAAATTGAATGCTTTTAATTATAAAGTCATTAAAATTTTTATCTAATTCAACTTGGCCCAGGTATTATAAGGAAGACCTCGGTCGGTAGCAGCAGCAGTGGATCTCAGGAGAGAGTGGGGAAAGGTGTGACCTTTGCCCCAGGGCACAGTTTAATGGTAAGCCCACCAGGTTTCCACTGAATAGCCAAACTGTGATCTAAGAGATGCTTATTTATTTCTCATTTTCATAAAGATTAATATAAGTGACCGAGAGAATCTAGAGCTCCAGGCAGAAAGCAAAGTATTCCAATAATAAGACCTTTATTAGATAAAAAAACAGCTCCATTGAAATAGAAGTCACCTGACAATAAAGTGCAGTAAAAGAGGATGACAGGAGTCTAGTATCAACCATCTAAAATAAGCACTGACAGCTGAAGAAGTTGGGTTGATGTTTTGTTTTGGAAGCTTTGGAAAGTGCCCAACAGTGACTGATCAGTAATGCCTACTATGAGGCGCATGTCCCTCCTAACTGAAGATAGCACTATGCCTGTTGGCAAACATTGCTAACTAACTAACTCCTGGCCAATAGTCATAGAAATGGAAATGGAAAAAAATAGATTTTTTTTCTTGCACAAATAGTCCAAAACATTTTGAGGTCACAGCAATTCAATTTCAGGGGGGTCACGTGACCAAAACTATTACAATTTTGAGCCCTGGTTTGGGGGGATTTAGAGATTACTTGTTGGCTAAATATCAGTGAGACTAGTCAGAAATTATGTAAACTTTTAGGAAAACGTGACTTTTTCCCTTTTCCTTGCAGTGAGACAGAGAAGAGCCGCAGACTGAAAACATGAAGACGACCATTTGAGAACCCTGATGGTGAAGAAGAGCCGACATTGAACACATTTGTCACTTTATCAGACCTGCGGATGTATATTTAAATCATATTTTTATGAGTTTATAAACCTTTTTTATTCCTTTTTTTTTGTGGTTACAGTGGACAGTGTATTTTAAAGGGTTATTTCAGTATTTTTAAGACGGACTGTCTGAATTGCGTGTCAAGAGTAAGCCTTGATAGATGCTAGTCGGTGCCAAAGCCAAATTAAATGATGAGCAATTCTGGCAGCAGTGATGGTATCCTGCTTGTTGTGGACACACATCTTTATGGGCCCAGAGTTAACAGTGAAGAATGGGATCCACTTCATCATATCTAGCATGCAATGTGGCCAGTACACTAAGTGGTGACACAAACTCACAGAAACCAATTTTAAAAATACCAAAATGACCCTTTAATGAATGTAAATGCACAAAGTTTGCATCAGAACTTCTTTGCCAGATGTTTTAAAACATCCAGGAATAGTTGCGATGCACCTTGATACACAACAGAGGAGAGGAAACCAGAACATATAGAAATGAATGATTACATTGAATACTCACTATACCATTTCTGTAAATACTTATAATGATGTGGACATCTGATTGATATGATTTCAGACATGTTCTGATGTGTGTTTTTATTTGTATTCCTGTTTGAAGCCAATATGTAAAAAAGACTTTTATTTTCAGCACTTTATGAAGAACATATCTAACCTTAAGAAACCTCAAAAATAGTTTTTAACAATAAGAAAGTCATTTATAGAGTGTGTATTTCTCTAGTTGCTGAAGATTTGAAACGCACTTTTGATCAAATGTAATGAAATTTTCTCTTTCACCTTTTATGACCAGTTCATTTTAAAGTGTTTTCACTGTCATTTGTAACTCAGGAGGGTTTAAGACCAACTTGCTGCTCAGTAGTCTGTTCTTTCTGGTATGAGAGTTTTTATGACTGAAAAATATGCAGATCTACAAAACAATAATACCTTATATTAAATCCTCAGATTTGGCGTAAATCGAGATTTTGTAAACAAGATTAAGAACATTTCTGTTTTGAATATTCATATAATGTATAGCTTTGCTTTCTGGCTTGTGATCTATCAATTGTGGAGATTTGAAAACGTTTTACATTGTTGTTCAGTTATATGTATAGGATAGATAGATAGATAGATAGATAGATAGATAGATAGATAGATAGATAGATAGATAGATAGATAGATAGATAGATAGATAGATAGATAGATAGATAACATTTGATATTAGATATGATACATGCTTTTTGAGGAAATGTGAGTTTTATTAACATATCTGACTTACAGTCCGTTTATTATTTCACGTGTGCCTTATTGAAAAGATAATCCAGAAATTCAGTCATTCCAATTGTGTCACTGATAGACAGAAACTTGCAGCATATTGAACCATTTGCTACCTTTTGTGTTGGATTTTCAGTTTTTTCTATCTAATAAATATACCTCAAATATTTGATCAATTTAAACAGACCAGCAGAGTCATTGTTGAGAGATTATCGGGTGTCTATTGATGATAGATACCTTACCAGTCAACACTATCCAGACTGCAAATGTGTGTGACAAACAGAGACCAGAAAACTTCTTATGCTTACAGTTTTTCTCAGTCCCTCTAGTGCATTTCTCACATCACTATTAACATTTGCACAACAGTTGGTGCATTTCTCAGAACAGTTAGTACAAACTGCAAAACCTAGTGGATAACCTACAAAAGTGTGTCACTTGCTCAAAATGAATAGTTGATTCCTCAAAAGCAAGAGTTCATGTCAATGAAACCGTGTCATCAAAATAAATAGTCCTGACACTTATGTTTATGAACACGACAGTCAAATGGCTTTGTCATGTTTTCATTATGATAGTTCACTTTCTCTGTTTTCCAATGCAAGAAAGTCAGATCTTGGTCACACTATGTACTTCACCTCTTCTCCCTCTGCCCCTGTTTTGTCCCCTTCCCCTTCCTCCCTGCATTCTCACCCCTCCTCCATGACGCTGACCTTCCATTTTTGTGTCACAGAATTGTAGAAATGGTACACACTATGTCCCGCAGGTTTATATATGCTTGCCAAGTGAGGGGTTCATGGGATTCAGCTATAAGTGACTGTGGACAAGTGGCTTGTCATTGGTTACAACTAATGCTTCACACACCTCCTCATGAGTTAAAGCTGAGGTTCACCTGAGAGCAATTGTTCAATTTAGGATACGTTTTCAGGAAATAAAATGATAAAGAAATGTATTAAACTGTCTTGACAGATTTTGAGAACTAGTTCAACAATTTTGTATGTAATGACTCAAGCAATGAAATGAGGACTTTTAGTTTTATAGGGAATGAAAACTCAGCGTTCATAAGTATAGTTCATTTTGACTGACATGACAGAAGCAGATAATAATGTTATAAAACAGCAGAGAGTTGTATGAAAGTAACTGACACATGTCCAAGAGCATTTGCAATTTGTTCAGTGGAATGAGAAACTGAGACAATGATGTGCACAAATGACTCAATGTTGTGGAGTTTAAACTAATAGTTGTAAGAACTTTCATTCAGATCTGAGAAATGCAGCAAAGCAACTGAGAAAAACTGGAAGTCTCGACTCATGAGAACAGTTGAAAAAGATAAATTTAGACGGGACTGTAAACTTTCATACCATACAATATCTGACAGTTTTCACCATGACTCTCCTGTTCTCCACATTTCTGACTGACTTGCCGGCTACTCTAAACAACACACATAAAACAAGATGTTTTGGAGACATTATGGGGACAGATAAGTATCTATAAACAACGTGCATGGAGACACACTTAAACAGATCCTGTCAGGGCTAGGGTGAATGGGTCTGTTTGTGTAGTTTCCTCTGCAGCTGCCTGTTTCTGAGAAGTCACATGGTATACAGAGACTGAGCTGCAGGAGTGCAGCTAAGAGGAAAGGAATCTCAGCAGCTGTCAGACCAATCACAGAGCCTCAACTTACTTTCACTTTGACTGTTATTTAAACACAGCACAGTGTTGGACTGCAGATACAACCCTGCAATCCAAACTTCAATAACAGGTAAGACATTCTGGTTAAATCTTTGCCTCTCGTGCTCAACACTCGTCTTATACGCTTTTATTCAGGTAAATAGGTTTTGAGTGAACATGTTTTCTAAGTTAAAAGAATCACAATAGTTTGACCTTTCAGTCTAAGAAGGAATAATGCTTCTCCACGCTTACAACAAACAAACTGCAAAGTTACAAAGTTTGGTGACCAAAATACATGTATGCAATGTTTCAAATCACAAGATAAACATGTTTTGTCGTAAAATCAGAAAGCAGATGTAAACAGTGCAGATCTCGGATAAACACGCGAGAAAGCAAAACCAGAGTTTAAAGTCTGACGTAAGAATTATGGACTCTCCTGCTGTCTATATGCACGGGGTAAGGTGATCAGACGTCCCCGTATTGGTGACCTGTCCCCGGCTGAAGCTGTCCCCGGAAATGTCCCCAATTCAAGCGTTTCATGAATGAGAACAAAAATGTTGCGTTTGCACCACAACAACGGTTATTACGGTAGCCGCGAGTAGGTAGGAAGAGCGGGTAAGCATGTTGCGCGCAGTCCTGAACATTTTTTACGGGGGAGTGCACTGCTACTATTTTGTCTGTGATCACGCAGCCCAGAGGAGGGGTCCACACTGGTCTCCTGCAGAGTGTACGTGACACACTGCACAAATACAGGACCATGTGCCAGCTCTGTGGTGGTCACTTCCTCTCAGGATTTGAGTAAAACAAACATCCTTTCCTCAAGATGTCAGACACTGATATGAACGTCTCCTCATCTCAAAAGCTTTGACATGAGGTTTTACATAAGTCAGAACAGAAGTAGGGGGGAGTGGGTTAAGTTGAGCCACCCCCTGTTGCTTGGAAATGGTAAAAGACATTGATCATGTGACCAAATATTTGGGAGATGGGCATCAATTCATGGAGTCTGTGAAGGTTAGAAGCAAATGGGTGAAGGGGTTAGACATTTATTTATAAAAAAGAAACATTTTTCACTCTTGAAAGTGAATTTAGTCATAAGTTTCATTAGAATTGTAATCAGACCAAAAAATATCATTTTAAATTTGTTTTATACATCAATTGTGGTATCTATGAGCTACAACATGAGGTCAAAAACCTAGCATAAAAGTCCACCATTTTAGTTTAGAGGACTAATAAAGTCATTATAGTAGTTCAGGGGTAAGTTGAGCCATTGGTTCAACTGAGAATGTAAAGGAGTCTGATGAGAGGATCAGAGTTTCAGTTCAGATTGTTGGAATGTGTTACTTTTTCTTTTCAAAAATACAGCTGTGAATGTTCAGAATCACTTAGACATTCTCATGTTAAAATGGCTTTTTATAATAGTGTATAATTGAATAGTGTATTATAGATAAAAATACACGCGGATGTGAAGAAGTGACTGTTATTTATTTTTTTTATAACCTTTAATCCGACAGCTTTTGAACAGTCAATTTACCTCATGTTGAAAAGCTTTCATTTTACATCCTTTTTTGCTCAAGAGATGAAGTTTGCTCATTTCTCATGAAGGAAAGTAGTCTAACGCAATTTGACTGAAAGTTCTCCATAAAACTTATTTGTCTTTTTTAATTTCAGACTCTTTCTGGCTGGAAAATTAACCAAACACAAAACCGTCATCATGTCCACCGCAGACCAGCTGCTGGAGGAAATGTACACCTGGATCGAGCAGAGGGAGCAGTGTGCTAGGAAGCTGAAGACGCTGGCCCAGGAGCTGGAGTCGCTGAGGGAGAAATGTAACGCCAGTGAATGTATTGGCACCACGACTGCAGTGGTTGGAACTGCATTTTTGATAGGTGCTGGAGTGACCACCCTGCTGACTGGCGGGGCAGCTGCTCCATTGTTAGGTATAGCAGGAGGAGTGTGTTCAGGTGTTGGTGTTGGCATATCTGTGATTACTAAAATCACTGAGCACCTCTTGTCCAGCGACACCATGAAAGATGCGCAAAGGATAGAGAGGAAGGGCAATGAAGTCTCAGAAAATATCCAGAAACTGTTCCAGAGGCTGAAGAAAGAGACACAGCGGGCAAGTTCCTCTTCAGACCCCAATGACCTAGATCAGGAGATCATGAATGAAATCCTCAAAGCCATGGCCAGACGAAGTGGACTGCAGCATCACTTCATCCTGCACATGCTCGGAAAGAGACAGCACCATTTCGGTGCTGGACTAGGTGGTCCAATGTTCAACCAGAGCACATTGATGATCACACTTGGCAGTATTTTATCATTCTTCACACTGAAAGCCAGCGGGGACATATTCAAACTGATGTTTGTCAAAGGGGGTCAACAGCTGGCCAAAGAAGTCTCTAAAGTTGGACTTAAAACTGCACTTAAAGGAGGTGCTATGGTAAGAGTCTTTGTGTGGTTGGATAAGTAAGGGGTAATGTTTGGTGAGCAGCTAGCAGATGAAGCGGTGGTGAGTCAGAGGAGTCTACTCTCGCCACCTGCATATTGAAAATGTAGAAGATATAAAGAAGATATAATATGAAGATATAAACAAACTGACAGAAAGTATTTCTTTGAAAATGGCTTTGTACTGGAAGTTGAACAGCAAAAATGCATTGTAGGAAGTCAGGTAGATAAAACCATGACAGAGGGGGAAAAAGTGTCTAAAAAGCTGTTAAGTGGTCCTAAAGGTTCAGAGCTTTTAAAGTTCTGGTGTTTTTCATCCCATGGCTTAAAATATTAAAACATACTGAGTATCAGTAGAAAAAAGTAAAGTCATACACTGGATCCATGGATTGATCTTAGACATCTGACTTGTGTGATCAGGTTGTCCCTAACATTGCTCTTGTTATTCAGATCGTAGGGTTCCAAACCAATCAGAAGCAAGCATTTATTATAGCAGGGCAATTAGTTAGCAAAACAAACATAATAAATTTGCCTTCCATTGCTGTGTATCAGATATTACTGGTACTTTTTGTCTAGTGTTAATGATGTTAAAATAAAAACAACTTCATATTGATCTTCTTCTTCACCAGGCTGTCGGGGGAGTGATTGGTTTGGCATTCGAACTTCCTGAGGCGATTGATCAATGGAAAGAACTCGTCAGCAACAACCATGTGACCGAAGCAAGCCAATCGCTGAGAGACACGGCTGAAGACCTCCAGAAGATCACCAAGACACTGAGAGAGCAACTGGATAAAATCAAGTAAGTCTGGATAGATGTTGAAAAGTTCGAAAAAAGAAGAAACTTTTACGATGGAATGAATAAAAGGGCTTGATAAATGTGGGCCATGTCCACTTTCACCTTTTTTCTGCACTGGCAACAACTTTTTCAATTAAAAACCAATAACCTGATGCAAAATGGTATGTGTTTTTTACTCACTGATAGATCCTAACTTTCTATTTCCCATTTTCTCTTTCAGAGAGATTTTAAAAGATTTGGAAAAGCTGAAGAGCTACATTGAAAACAGCGACAGAAGTCACAGTCAAAAGCAGGACTTCATTAATATTGTTAAGAGATACTGTGATAATAAAGATGTGCTGGCATGGCTGTCAGAGACGTACGATACCGACATCTTCTTCAAACTTGTGGACATTTTTTACTTCCTGAAACAAGAGCTTGATAAGAAAAAAAAGAAGACAGACCGAGAGGAAATCGACATCATCTTTGTGGCACATGGATCCATCGAAGATCCCCTGATCATGGCCAACAGTCTGCTCCCTCTATCCACAATCGAGGACGTGTACCTGTATTCTCCATGGAACTGTGCTATTGATGCGTATGCAGCTTATGGTATTGCTACAGGACTCATAGAGCCTAAGCACAGGATCTTTGGCTGTATCAGAGCTAATGGCTGTCGAATCCCTGATAATGGCCATTATCCCGCCAATCTGCCCTACTACTGGAACTCTATGAAGAATACTGGAGTAGGGTTGATCCCAAACATCTTGGTTAGCCCTCTGAAAGACCCTGAAGATGACGCCTGGAACGGCTTCGTGTTTCTTCAGAATACACACGGCGAGCCTCGTAAAAACAGAGTTGTCATTCCATTCATAGTGCCAAGACTTTTCAGTAATTTCGTGACAATCCCGCTTTATGTTGTCACTCTGGCCCTGTCACTGGTGCTCTTTATCTTTCCATTCAAAGCAACCTTCCACCTTGCTGCTTGTCTGAGTCGAGACTCAGACACGACATTGAATGGGTTTGATGCATACCTGAACGGGCAGTATTCCTGCACAATCGACCACTCAATGATGTCATCCTCGATGAGACTGTATCATGCAAATCCTGGGCTGTACAATGCCTTGAGGGCTGTGTTTGATCATTAGGTCATGTTGTAGTGAAAACTACAGAAGCCCTAAGAGCTCAATAAATCAAAAGTAAAAGACGAGACAAATCTATAATCAAGACAACTATTTCCACCATCTTTATCGTCTTTAAAATCCTGTCATAATGTCCTAACAAAACCAAAAAATAACGCAAGCAAAAACCACACGATAAAAATTTGAGTAATTCTTTTCGATCCACCCGATCTCCTTTCCTAACTTTGGTATGAGGAATGCCGTGGTGTTCATTCGATTGATGACCAATGCATCAGTAGGCTTTGATAACTGATGGGAAACAGATAGTACGAAGAGCAAAAGCAGGCATACTGAAATCCACCACAACATCCCAGCTCTTATCAGCAGTAGTCCAGTTTCATTCTCTCTTTCTAAACAGATATCTGCGTTCAAGGTCAGCTCAAAATCAGTTCTAGGTCAAACATTTACACTGAGACACTAATCTCCAAGCTGTGGTTTATACCACTGAGGGAAGCCGTGGTAAGCCTCTGTGAAGCTTAGTGTTTACAATGAAACTGTGACCCACCACAAACAGACGACTAATGACATAAAGTAAAGCCTCTGAGTAACTTGCTATTTACAATGAAACTAAGACTTAACACAATCATGAATAATGCGTCAGAGTGAAGCCTCTATGTGTCTAATTATCTACAGTGAAACTGAGACTTACCAGGTACAGATGGCTTTAACTCTACAGCCTACTGGAAGAGATGAAGTTCATCTCCTGTCTGATCAAAACACCCGGTCACATCTTAATTTACTGATCGGCCCTTAACATTGTAACTGACAGAAAAGTCTTTGTTGGAAGTCATTTATGGATAATCATATTTTCATTCACAGCTAATCAACTTCGAAACAGTCAACGGCTAGTGTTTTAGACATGTTTTATACAATAATTATGCACAATACAATTCTGACGTGATGTGTAGCATGATGCATGTGAGTATTTCTTTGTATTTAGAAATCCAAAATCTTTGGCTCACATTTGAATCATGAAGGATTTATCCAAAATGTGTTACTGTATAAGATGGCCACGCAAATTAGATTTAACTGTGCATTTTGTTTTGTTTGTTAAAGTTTGTAGCTGGTTAGGGCCTTTATTGCAGCAATGCTCTCTGAGAGTGATTCAACTGCAGTTAAACCCTAACTGAGAGTAAAGAGAGTCGTTGTATCCTTTAAATGATGTTTGCCTGTATGAGCAGATTCATCATAGGCACACAGGTTATTGCTGAAATCCTGTACTTTGTAATCATACTTATAAATACATATTGACGCTTTGTAGCCTACACTAATCAATTCATGTCTGTGGCTAACAGCAGATAGAGTAATAAAGTCACTGTTTGTTGTAATTCTTAGTAAACTATGGCTTTTGACTGAATCTGTATTTTAAATGTTTAGGAGTTTTGTTAAGTTCACACTGCTGAAGATATCCAATTTCCTGATGTTTCTATTTCAAAATAAAAGCACATTGACAAAAAATTAAAAGGGGACTTTTATTGTGAAGAATTGTTGTCAAATTACCTGAGTACCAACTGAAGTAAGTTTAGCGCTGTAGAGTTGAAGTTTAAATTTACAGACCCTCCAATGACCATGAGTCTGTGTGACTTATATTAACTGAGTCGAATCCAGCGTGTCGCCACTGTTACAGCCCCAGATAATCCTCATGGGAAGCCACGGTGGCTGGTCAGTTTACTAAATTACCCAACACAGTGAAACACATCCTGCAGGTGGTGGTGCTAATTTCCAAGCCTGGTTGATTTGTATTCAAGCACATCTATATACAGATCACACAGTATTCTACTGCTTTGCTGACACTGTTCATCTTTACATACAAAATGCTCTTTTCACAACCTGCAAGAGGAGGCTGCAGTTCAGTAGTAGAGCTGATTGTCTCTCAACTAGTAGGTCAGGGTTAGAATCCAGGTCCTACATCCAGCTGTGTCCATAGTTAGTGAGTGATTGGGATTAGTTATAAACTGACGGGGCTTTACATCAGTATGTTAATGTGGTGTGAACAGGTAAATATGATGTGATATAAGAGTGCTTTGAGTGCTCAAAGGACTAAAGAAAGCACTGTATTAGCATCGCCCGTGTACCATTTACCATTCCTTTATGATTTGGTGATACTTTCCCAGGCAACATCAAAATATTATCAGACTTCTACGTCTTCATGTTCAGAGCTGGAAACCAATCTTTATAAGAAGCCCTTTGGACTCTAAAACCTACTTCTGCCCCGTCACACAAGCTCTACACTTTCCCTCTGACTGTACATCTATATTGGCTCATCACGCAGTCATAAAGAGGGCCCCTCCAACCCCCCCACCATCAAGATTATCTAAGGTCAGTTAGAAGTTCAATGAGGACAGTTACACACAGATCTTTCCCTGACTGTTTCACACTCATTGTACATGTTTTGAGTTTTAAACACACAACATATGGATCATGTGTTTCGTTAAGCTTACATTTCATGGAAAGCCAAATTTTACCCTCAAGTAGAGTTTGTGTAAGTGAAGAATTCACAGACATATTGCTTTTTTAAAATCAGAATTCAATATTTTATTTCATATTGTGATCTGTTATGTTCAAAATAGGCAGATATTCTTGAAACACGTAATTTCAACGTGATCAAAAAGTAACAGCACATTTAGCTAAGTTGTTTGGCAATAAGCAAATTTAAGCTTCTGAAAAGGTTGAACGTTTAGAGAGAGGGTTATTTTATAAGACTGTTTTATATCCTTCTGAGACCCAAAGGAAAAAAAGTGTTTTGATTTAGAATTTTTTCATTCAATAAAGAGTTAAAAAAAAAAAAACTGGGTCTCAGGAGGATAAGTGTTCGCTAATAATCAAAACATTGATTACTTTGTGATGTGTGTGTGTGTGTGTGTGTGTGGGGGGGGGGGGGCAGCAGCGCGGGTGACACTCGCTCGGCGCATAGAGCGCGCTCAGATTGTCATCCATACTCACGGATTTGCAGATAATTGTTTTTTCTTTACACTGGCACCTCACAGATCTGTGCATGTGTTTTATCTCGAGGTCTTACCTATCTATAGGAGTCAGTGAGTTTCCTCTGCAGCTGCCTGCTTCTTAAAAATCACGTGGTTTTACAATATGGGCTGAGTCTAGTAGAACTAAGTTTGGCAGCAAATCATATCAACAGCAGCCAGACAGAGGACCAATCACAGAGCCTGAACTTGCTTTCAGTTTGACTGTTACTTAAAGACAACACGAAGTTTGTTAGAACAAAGAAATCCCCAAAACTTCAATCCACCCAAGCCTCTGCAACAGGTAAGACCCTTTGTGTAAAGCTTTATTTCTCACGCTGCAGATCTTAATGAAAATACCCTCAGTGACCAGCAAACTTTCAAGCATCATAAAATGCAGCTTTTGTTTCATATTTTTATTGATTTAAATTTGCAAACTTTTAAGAACAAATCACAATTGCAAAACATAAACCAGACAGAAACTAAAATAAACAAAGAACATAGTTATAGTCTGTATGAAATTCTTAAATTAGGCACATAAATATATGATATGATATATAAGATAAATAGATAAAAGTAGAAGTGAGTATATATGTATTAAAATTCATCAAAACCCGATCCTAGTCCACGCTCCCAAGTTTCATTTCTGACTGAATAGAAATATAAATCTTTAAAATTACAGACCTTTGTAAAGGATTAAGTTGCAAAAGGTCGCCCCATGGCTGCTCAGGTGGAAGGTGAGGGAAGTTAGAAAATAAGGATTTTGCACAGTTCCTCACCTGGAAATATTTGAAAAGATGGGAGGGTGGAATTCAGTAGCCAGTTCTGTGAGAAAGCAAAATACCCCTTCCTTATAGAAATCCTTCAAACATGTCAGCCCCTTATCCTGCAATAAGCAGAAGAAAATTCAGCTTTTACATATTTAATTCACCAAACTCGGGAGAATTTATAAACAGAATTTGTTTTGCTCTCAATGAGAAGTCAAATAACTATCAGCATGTTAAAAATAACTTCTACTTGTTTATTATTTGTTGTTTTTTACATATACACACTCTAAGTCTAAATGTCTTCACATCTGAATAAAACTGGTTGTGAAAAAGTATTTTTAAGTTTACACAATCACAGAAGTTTCATACAGTGAGACTGAGCAGACCAGCTTTTTATGCTCAATGTTTCATTGTCTCCATGACCCCCCAAAAAAGTTCTTATCTCAGTGATGTGTGCTCACACACTTTCACTTTCACTTATTTAGACGTTTAGTTGTGCTGGTTTCAAAGTTCATTTCTTTAACTCTGAATGGGTGTTTCAATCTCAACAGTCAGCTCACAAAGTTTGACAAAATTCAACAGTTTGAACTAAGTGAAGAGCCCTGATGCGCCCCCTACAGGCAGGAAGACGTGAATGTCATGATTGAACATGCAGATGTTTTTTTCTTTTAAAGCTTTTTGATGCATTTGATTCCTTTCCTTGTTTAGTTTCTGCATTTCTGACTCTGTATCATCAAGTATCCTAAATTAAAATGTTTGATACATAAATGTATTGAGTATATTTGAAGTATAAAACCTAAATCTGCATACTGAGATAGGTCAGCTATGTAAAATGACTGAAAGTGTGTTTCTTTTTCCAGACTCTCTTGCTGAAAGATTAAAAGAACACATACACTTCCAACATGTCCACTGCAGACCAGCTAGTAAGGGAAATATATAACTGGATTGAGCAGTGGGAGCAATGTGCAGAGAAGCTGAAGAAGCTGGCCCGGGAACTGGAGTCTCTCAGAGAGAAATGTAACGCCAGTGAATGTGTTAGCAGCTCCCTGACAGTGATAGGAGCTGGATGTGTGGTCGCAGCTGGGGTGACTGTGTTAACTGGTGGTGCTGGAGCTCCTTTCTTGTTTGGTTTAGGGGGAGTGTATGGGGGTATCAGTACTGGCATATCTGTGGTTACAATGATCACTGAGCATCTCTTGTCCAGCGACACCATGAAAGAAGCAGAGAAGAGAGTTGAAAAATGCAATAAAATCAAGATAAAAATCCAGAAGCTGTTTGATCAGTTAAGGAACGAGAGGCGGCGGGAAAGATACTTTGCAGATCCTGACGACCTGGATCGAGACGTCCTGAATGAAATCCTAAGAGCCCTGGCCAGGCTGAGAGGACTGCATTTTAGTATCAATCAGAGGTCCTCCCAAGAGCAGATGGATACACTTGGTGGCGTTTTATCATCTGTGGGCCTGAAGGCTGATGGAAGACTTCTGGGACGTGTGCTGGCCACTGGAGCCGGACTACTGGTTAAAAAAGTCTTTAAAAGCGGAATGAGAAGAGTTCTCAAAGGAGGCATTATGGTAAGATTCTTACACAAATAATTGTTTTAATTGTTGTAACTAGAGAATTCCTGTGGGAATTTTGAAAGGGCCACTGGGGCTATTGCTGAGATTCTTCAGATTTCAATTAATGAACTCTAGTAGCATGGTGCTATTATATACAAAGAGCAAGATCACAACAAAAACATTCCTTTTATTAAGTTTTTTTTTTTAAAAGGGCCTGAGCAGTAGACTTACGAAAAACTCTCACAATTGCTCTTTTTTGGCTTGTCCCAGTGACTTCAATGCAAAACTTTTCCGCAGGTTTTTGCAATTTACGTTGTGAAAAATTCATATACAGGGGCCTGTATATGGTCCTGCTGTAAATTTTATAGCATCTCTATGGCCAGCGCCTCAGTGCCTTTGCCCCTGCGGCCCTGATAAGGATGTTGATTGAGAGTCAGTGTTTCATTGTTAATCAAATTGCTCTAAAAGTGAATCAGAGATATCAGAGCAGACCATGATTAGTGAATTGGTCTCAGCTGTGGGCCTGGCCTGAGGCTCACAGGTTGCCACAGCAACTTTAGCTGGTTGCCCATGACAATAGACGCACTGCAAGCTAAGGCAGTCAAAACTAGAGAGCGGTATTTTGACTCGGCGCTGGTCTCATGTTTGGACTTATTCTGACAAAACGGTAGTTCCTATTAGGAAAGCAGACCCTTGTCACTGTAAAGACTCCTTAAATGATTTGATATGATTTTAGTGTTTCTACAGTATAGTGAATAAAAATTTTCTAGAAAAGGAAAAAAAAAACACAGTAGAGCAACAGTGTCTCAGTGCATTTGCCCTGTGGCACTAACAAGGGCACTTGGGCACTTGGGCACTTGGGCACTATTGTTAAACTGTGGAATTTTTCTTATTCCTCTTCCGGACAAATTTCGATTCACTACTAGTCTTACAGCTTGAAGAGTTGAACGACAAATTATAGAAAAAAATGTATAACAAAAAATGTGTTTCTCACCAGGTTGTCGGAGGGGGCTTCGTATTTGGATTTGAACTTGCTGAGGCGACTGATAAATGGAAAGACATGATCCAGAAAAATCATGTGACACAGGCCAGCCAATCACTGAAAGACACTGCCGATGAGCTTCTGCAGATCACAGAGGCACTGAAAGAGGACCTGGACAACATCAAGTAAGAAGTTTTCTGATATAGCTCTCACCAAGTTAGTAGACCTACCAAAGGTGGGCAAAGGTGAGCTACAGTGTACCTGCTTGACAGTCAAGCCAGCCATGCCTCTTATTGGCCATGAAGAATTAGTGAATTAATAACACTTCAGATTGATGAAAGTCTTTAAAAATAAAGACCGACTGCTGCATCTCTACCTCACAGGCCACATAGCATTTATTGTTGAGAACGCACGAATAACAAAAGCATCCTGGAGGAAACTGAACTCTTGACAGATACCTTAGTCCAAAATGGCTCTAGAAAAGAAGTTAATTGTTTTGTTTTTTTCTGTTTGATATTTCAGTCGACTTTTCACAAGAAGAGCTAGATAAGAAAAAGGAAAGGAAAGACTGGGAGGAAATATGCATCGACTTCATCAGACATTAATCAACTGAAGAGCCAATGATCTCAGCTGGCTGTTCCCTCATCCACAACCAAAGAAATGGACCTGTAGTCTCCATGGAACTGTGCAAGTAGGGGTTTTCTGACCAGCGGTGAACACCAATAATACAGACATGAAGGTTTCAGCTGTCAGCTTTTTAGAAGCTAGTACTAACAGCAGGAAGGCCTGACAAAGGGTGAGAGACTCTTTGTAGAATCCCTACAACAACAGCACTATAGTTAATTTATAAAACATCCATTTTAAGTAATAAAGTTCTGCTTGTGTAGGTGTTTGCTGAATATAGCACCCAATCGACACCAGTCTGTTAGAGAGCTACATGAAGATCGGCTTAACAGGTTAAATATTACAATTCATATCAGACAGTCATCAGCGATATGAATGCAGAGAGAAAAAAAAGTCACCATGATGTTTAAGTTCTCAGGTAGTTCCCCTTTCAGACGCCTATGCAGCTCATGTTTCAGCTCCAGGAGACTACAGGATCCTTAAAAGCAGGGCTCCTCGATCGTGGCAGAAATCATAATCATGAATATTGTAACCGATACTGATATTACTATTATTACATTGATTATCTGTGATTTGACTCTCGTGTCACACGCATTCAAGCAACTTAAACCTCTTTAAAAATGTTAAACTCTTGATTCTTTAAAAAAAAAATAATCGTAGAAAAAAAATGTTTATCCTACTTTTTTTGTTTACTTAATTGTGTCTGTCTGTCTCTATAACTAGTTGATATAAAAGGCTATATGTATTCCCACTGAAAGAGACCATACATTTATTTTACTATTCACTTTAAGAGCTTTTATAGTTAAGTATTTTTAATCAAAACTGAATGTGCAAATTTTTCAATTTTTTAAGCTAAAATAAAATGTTCTGTCTTACAAAAAGACACAAGCTTGTATTTTATTATGATCCAGAATGACACCTCTCACTTTTAGCTGTACGGTTGTTAGTTCTAATGCATTCTTGTGACACATGCCCAGGTTTAGACACACACCTGCCTCCTCCTCCTCTCCCTGCTCTCCTCTCTCTCCCCATGGCTGCCTGATAGTTTGTACTGCTGTTGCACATTGTGTCCACCATTAATCTTGCCGATCCACACCTACGGCCTCTCCGACCAGCACCAAGCATTGCCCATTTATGTACCATTATGACTTGGTGATACTTTCCTCGGTAACATCAAAACATGAGGTCTTAATGTAAAAAAATGTTCAGAGGTGGAAACCAATCCTTATACTTTCCCCCTAAATCTGCATCTATAATTGGTTCATCACTCAGTCATGAAGACGGCCCCTCCCACCTCCACTATCAAGATTATCTGAGGTCAGTTAGAAGTACAGTTTTACACAGATATATACAAAGACATGCATAAGAGAGAACTGCTGTGGCAGGTTTTCCTGAACACCACTGTTTCACACAGCTTGGTTAACTGGTGGTGCTGGAGCTGGAGCTCCTTTCTTGTTTGGTTTAGGAGGAGTGTATGGGGGTGTCAGTGCTGGCATATCTGTGGTTACAATGATCACTGAGCACCTCTTGTCCAGCGACACCATGAAAGAAGCAGAGAAGAGAGTTGAAAGATGCAATAAAATCAAGATAAAAATCCAGGAACTGTTTGATCAGTTAAGGAACGAGAGGCGGCGGGAAAGATACTTTGCAGATCGTGATGACCTGGATCGAGACGTCCTGCATGAAATCCTAAGAGCCCTGGCCAGGTTGAGAGGACTGCAGTTTCGTATCAATAAGAAGTCCTTCAAAGAGCAGATGAAAACACTTGGTGGTATTTTATCAGCTGTAGGCCTGAAGGCTGATGGAAGACTTCTGGGACGTGTGCTGGCCACTGGAGCCAGACTACTGGTTAAAAAAGTCTTTAAAAGTGGAATGAGAAGAGTTCTCAAAGGAGGCATTATGGTAAGATTCTTACACAAATATTTTAATTTTTGTTATTACACATTAAAATGACATACACTTAAATTGTTTAAGTCATAATTAATAAACATATTTGCTTTATTATGGCTACGGGCAAACACACCGAGGCCCTGGTCCCACACAACAGTATAGGGGCCAGTGCCTTGGGCTGAGTAGCGAATGGGACGAGTAGCAAATCAGACAAATTTCGAATTGCTACTAGTCCTACAGCTTAAAAAGTTGTTGGAAAAATTATATATCAAAATGTGATAGTTGCATTGAGATTGGTGTGATATTACTTTTGATATTATAATGCTAGTCGTATTGATTATTTGAAATCTGAAGGATCTCATGATATGTACACACCCCAGCAGTAGCCCCCGTGGCCCTTTCCAAATATCCCAGAGGGAATTTTCTAGTTTTAGATGATATTTCAAAACAAAAAATGTGTTTATCACCAGGTTGTCGGAGGGGGTGTTGTATTTGCATTTGAACTCTCTGAGGCGACTGATAAATGGAAAGACATGATCCAGAACAATCATGAGACGGAAGCCAGCCAATCACTGAAAGACACAGCCGCAGATCTTCTGCAGAGTACCGAGGCACTGAAAGAGGACCTGGACAACATCAAGTAAGAAGTTTTCTGATATAGCTCTCACCATCAAGAGAAGCATCTGTTTCAACAGAGTATCTGCACTCTTTTGTTGCTGTTTCATCACCACAGATTGTATAAAACAGGGACATAGCCTTGGTCACTCATTTGTTTTCAAAGCAGCATTTTAAAACCTATTCCCTTGGCCTATTAGAAATGCTGATTCAAGACCCAGACCTAGCAAAGATGGGCCTTAAGCCTCCCTGCAAACAGATACCAATAGATAGTCACTTTACAGTCCAAAATGGCTCCAGAAAAGAAGTTAATTTGCTTTTTTGTTTTTTTGTTTTTTTCCTGTCTCTTTCAGTCGACTTTTCACAAGAAGAGCAAGATAAGAAAAGGGAAGGGAAAGAATGTGAGGACATACGCATTGTCTTCATCAGACATCGATCAACTGAAGAGCCAACATACTCAGCCGGCTGTCTGCTCCCTCTGTCCACAACCAAAGAAGTGTACCTGTAGTCTCCATGGAACTGTGCAAGTAGGGATTTTCAGGCTGCAAAAAAATATATATTTATCCTACTTTTCTGTTTTCCAGTGTTTCTGTCTGTTTGGATGGTATAAAAAGTTATGTATTACCACTGAGAGGGACAACACATTTATTTTTAATGTCATTTTAAGAACTTTGGCTTAATTTTGGTGATGGTTAATTATTTTTACAGTGCCATCAAAACTGGTAAAATATGAAGATTATTATTTTTTTTAAGCTTAAAGCTGTTGCATGTATTTTAATTTACATATATTCATATATATGTAGGTTGTAATGATCTGTGTGAAAATTAGAACTTCTCAGTGAAGATCAACACTAACACTGAATATAACTCTTTATCTGTAACCAACTGTCTTATTAATAATAAAACAGACTTTCGCCTTAAGTGTTTCGAGTTATTTATATTAACCAGACTGATTTCAAGAAATGAAGGTAACCTTAGTGTGAGGTTATTACCACTTACAAAAAACTAATGAAATAACAAAAACTGAAATGTGGGAAAAAAACTAAAACATAAATGCTTGATATTAAAATTGTCTCTGAATAGCACCTTTATGAACCCCACATACACGTGCTCTGAGGCACGCCTGCTTAGTGACATTAAACAGAGTTATTTACAGGAACTCACTGCTACGTAATGACAGCCTGAAAATTCAGTCACAATAAAAACAACACAACATGACCAGATGCATTTTGAAGATAAAACTTGCACAATCTTAAAACAGACATTGTAAAAGTGTTGGATGTTAGGAGAAACATAATCTTATATTTGCTCTTCTACAATAAGCTGTAGATTGTTCAAATAAACTTTGTTGAACCCCGAGCAAACAGGGTAAATTATGACAGTCAGATGTTTTTCTGACCAGAGTTCATATTTTGGAAACCTCGGGGAATATCACTTGGGCATTCCCTCCAGGCTACAGTAGTTTCACTTTCACCTTTTAGCACTTTATTACACCTGAATCTAAACCAGCCAATAGAAAACCAGAGCTCCACTGTGTCCACCTCGATAAAAGACGATAAAAGGAGAACTAAAGGCTCGGATATCATATTTCTCCTGCGATATTCAGCTGTCACAATCAAATTCAGGTAAGTTACAGGTTTTATTCTTTTAGAGATCATTTTATATGACTACATGATATATATTTATTTTTTCGATGTTTGCTTTTAAAGTTAAGATTGTTTCACTCAGTATTTCAGTGAGTTTTGAATTCCTAGGCCTGTTTTCTAGCCCTTTTATCATTTAATTTCACACCGATGTTCATCTAATTTCTACTTCCTGGTGTTTTTCTGCTCTTGCTTGAGGCCTTTCAAAAGTCAGGATGCTAAAAACATCAATTTCATGTCTGTGTAGAAGACTTTGTTCTGACTTATTTTTTACAGTATTTTGCTGTTTTTGGATTTAGTTCAGATTGGTGTTTTAAAAAAAACTCGTCGACTCGTCTTTTTCATTATCATCCAGTAGGGGGAGCTGTTGGAATGGCTTTTAAACTTACTGAGGCAAGAGTGAGCCAATCACTAAGACATGACAGATGGACACTTAAGGAGCAGCTCATTGAATTCAGGTATGATGTTTTGTTCATGCTATGGGAGTTTCTGGTAGAGGGTGCAGAGTTGACTTAAAAACCAGCAGATGGACACAGCTAACATGACCATCAATTTCAGGACATATTGACCAAATTAAAAAAAATAACTTTCTTATTGCTGAGTGTCCTGTAAAATAATTGTGCTGCTGCATCCACTTGAGTGTATTATTACTGAGTGAGTGTGGAGGGTTAATGCCTCTTTTGATCCCCCCAAAACAGGAAAACTCTGGAAAATGACAGGCTTATGCGCATGGCACAACAAAAGTGTGAAAATGGAACTGTCTTGCAGTGGCTACAACAAATCTCTGGATCTTCAGCTTTCAAAAAGATTGGAGAACTGTTTAGCTTCTTCAGAAGACACATAGAAGTGGAAGAAAAGAAAGACCACGGCAACATGATTGACATCACCTTATTGGCGCATGGAGCGATCAGAGACTCTATGATCCCAGCCTGCTGCCTTCTGCCTCTGCCCACCATCATGGATGTGGTCCTGTATAATCCCTGGAACTGCACTATTGATGCAACTGCAGCATACGGCATCGCTACAGGCATCATGAAGCCACAGCACAGGATTTTCATCTGTAGCAAAAAAGATAGCTGTAGTATTCGTGACGCCGGACATCGTCCTGTAAAACTTCCAAACCACTGGAACTCCATGAGCAAAGCTGGAGAACACATGATCCCAAACATCACACTCGCTCCTCTTAATGTACCAGAGGACGGGTACTTCAAAAGTTTTGAGTCTCTTACAAAAAAGTATGGTTTACCTGAGAGAAACCGCATTATCATCCCGTACATCGTCCCAGCAGAGGAAACAAAACAGGGGAAGGAAAGCATCCCCTTCTATGTTGTGTCATTGGCATTGTCACTGGCGCTTGTGGGCAGCAGGTTTAGAGCGACCGTCCATCTCACCACCTGTCTGGGTGACCAGTCTGTAAGGAAGTTTGACCAAGAGTATCTGAAGAGCCAGTATGCCTGCGCTGTAGACAACTCTATGATGACAGCTTCGTCAGACATGTTCAAGAAAAGACCGTTTTGAACTTTTTGCTGCCAATCAAGAACAAAAACTTTTTTGACATTTAAGCAGAGCTCCTTCCACACCCTTATCTGCTAAAAAACAATCTCAGACAACATGGACTACAGTCTGACAACCATGTAGCCTGCATATGTCAATATCTCTTCAAAGAGAATAACTAATGAAAAACATGATCAGATTCAATAGAATCAAAGTTTCAATAGAGTGAATAATAATGTTATTTTCTGTTTCCTTTTCCGTTCGTGAGAATATGTCAATATAAATATTAGGGATGTGATCAAGACAAGAAAAAATCTACTCACCAAACAATCAATCGGTTGGCAGAAAAAAATGACATATTATTGTTTCATCTCTAGATCAACCAAATTAGTGACAATGTAGTCAGTGCAGCCTGGCTGGTAATCTACATGAATTTACAATTAAACATTATAAGCTTTTTCGAGCATCATAAGTCATTTTTAATCACATTATGTTGAACTGACATAAAAAATGACTCTGAACCACTGTGTGTATTCATTTAACTTCTGCCTTTCCCTGATTCAAATGAGATTTTGAAAAAAGTTTACATGTAAATGCAGCAATGGTATTTTAACACTAGGACAACTAAGGTATTTATTTGAATATGCTTAACAGTTCCAGGCATTACAGTCTAGTGCACCATATTTTTTGTCTGTTGGATCGTTGTTTGTCTCTGCTTATTTTTCTTTTCTTAAATTAAAAAGTTATTTGTTATGTTGTCCTGCTGTCAAAATAACTTTAGTCTCCATTTTTTATCACCCTGAGGCCACAGCGGTGGATGTCCTGTCTCAGCACAATCATTTTTAGGGCTTTATCCCGGTAATCTCACACTCCATGATACTTGATACTCAATAAATAAATCACCTCACCTTAAAATGGTCTTTGTGTATTATTTTGGTGATTGTAAAAGTATGTCTTTGCTTCTGATTGAGATGTGATTATATAGTTTTTTCAGGTGTTTTCCCCCTCAGATTTGTGGGTTTTGCATCAGTAAAGTATATAATAGGAACTTTGTTTTAAACATAGATGCTGCAAGTGTATTTTAGCGATGCCACAATCAGAAAAGATTCAGAGCCCCAAGCTTCAAACATAACTGTGTGTGTGTCAGTGTGTAGATGTGCAGGCAGGCAAATTTTGGATAAAGAATGGGGGGGCTTCTTTGATTGAAAAAAAATCTCTTATTTCACATCATGTCATAAATTCATGTTAAGTTTCTTTAAAATCTATCATGATATCTATAAATATGTTATTTAAAAAGTAACAACACAAAAATGGGTTAAAGCACCTCACTTTAAATCTTGATAGACTCATGACAGATATTTTCTAAATTCATAAATTAAAGAAGAAACAAAAAATGTGCTCTACTGAAAAGGACAGAAAGCACCAAAGGCTGCAGTTGTCACGGTTTTCAGTTAAGCAAAAGGAGACACTGGAGATTATGGAGACATTGACGACACTCGTACATACTAGGGCCGATTATTGGGGGGAGGGGGGTTCCGATTACTGATTAATCAGCCGATTTTTTCATTTTTTTATAAAGTTATAAAATATACAGTAGATATACTGTATGCTACTGCTCTTCACGCCAACAGGAAGACTGACTGGTTAAACTCGGACCAGAAAAGCGTTTTCAACTACCCCCCGCAGATCGTTTCCTCCTCGTCTTAACTCACGTTACTCATTTCCGGTCCGGTCTCATCTGGAGACACGCAGCTGCCTCATTAAGAGAAGTAGCTCGATCACGTAATGTGTACTGTTGTTTATTCTACCGTTACTGGCACGGCTAACAGTGTAGCAAGGCTAATAGCAGGTGGCTAACTCTAACTTAAGCTCGCGTATTACATGGTGCTTCAACATTAACTCGGCGTGACCGAGACCAGCACAGCGCGGGAATATCGTCAAGTGGGTTGAACTGAAATTTGTTGACTTATTGTGTACTTCATGAACTGGTTTATTTACCGTTGAGGTGGACCACTCTCCTCCGTGCGTCCCTGAGCTGCCTGCTTCAGATCCGTCACTCTGCTGTGCTAGTTCGTGGATGAAGACTGTCATGACGTCGCTGCGGCATCTACAGGATAAGTCGGGAAACTTTTCAACTGGCGGAACATTTTCAAAGTGAAACCGAATCTTATTCTCCCAATTTTATTTCCGAAAATCGGCGAGTTTTGGCCGATTAACGATAAGTCTCAAACAGGCTAAAATTGGCCAATTTAATCGTCTCGCCGATAAATCGGTCGGGCCGTAGTACATATGACACACGAGACAAATTCACAGTGAAGCAACCAAGAAACGGGGAAAGACAGGGACTATATATACACTCACAGGGAAATGAGCAACGAGAAGCAAGTGAGACAGGTGCAGACAATCAAGAGGAGGGAAAACTGAGGAAGTAAAACAAGACCAGAAACACAGGGAATAAACTTCTTCAAAATAAAACAGGAAACACTGAAAATTGATAATAGAGAATAAAACACTGAGACCATGAGGGAAACAAACTGGAAACTCACAAGACAGGATAACAAGGGGAACTGGATCAATAGGGCACAGAAACACTAGAGAATATTAAAAAATATATATACTCAAATCACAGGGAAACACTAAAATAACAGAACATATGACAGCAATAAATCCCAACCAATAGCCAAAATACTAATTCATAACAGAAAACCCATCTATTAAAAGTTTTGGATTTTGGGAGTATTATCAGATTTCAACAAAACTAAAAACAGCAACCAGCTGCACAAAACTTTCAAAACAGTCTTAAAGGTGGAGTTAAAGTCAAATCTGGAGTCCCATTGTGGCTTAAATCCAATCCTTAATCTGGAGTCCACATCTCTAGGTTAGACCCAATCTGTATCTCTTGGCAGACACCTATCATGGACGACTGTCTGTGGTTAATAAGAATTCATCATCCTTGATGCAAAGCTTAATCTCTGCAGAGACAATGTTGTCATCACAGACGTGCAGCATCCATGCTACCGACCGATGCAGTGTGCTCATGAAATTTCCAAACTTTCTGTAACCTACTTGTCTGGTATTTAAACCCCTTGCATGTTAAACTGTGCCCAGGTTTACAGGAATCCTCCACTAAGGAGGAAATATTGACTTTTTCAAAACAGAGTTACTGTGATCGGTGTGTATTTACTGACTAACTGAGAGTAACCAAACATCTGAGTCATGACAGGAAACCTGACATTATAGTGTCAAAGTCCAAACTTAACAAATTAGGTCACTGTTAAAAAATCAATATCTGTGAAAAAAATAATGATGCTCTGTGTTAAAGCAGCTATTTGGACACATACTGAATAATGTTTATAATGTTTCTCAATCACAGAATAATTACCCAAAACAGGAAGTCCTCTGTTTAGAGCAGACCTGATTTATCTTACATAGATGTTCCTGTTTGTCCTCATAACTCGACTTGTCCAAACACAGCAAGTTGAGGCAACGCTCTGAACCGTCACTGTGCTCAGATCTCTGCAGCTACAGAAGGATGCAAGCTCTAAGGGTTTTGCTGGTCTTGGTTCCGGTGCTGTTTTCCGTTGAGCATTCTGGTCAGTCTGAATACTTCCTAAAAATCTATGTGTACACTTTGAGAGTGTTATACTTTATGTTACAACATAACTTGAGAGCAGGTTTCATTTTCAGCTTAGTTAGGATATTTTTATGACTAACCTGATGCAACAGTTTACATGAAAACATCTACGACGTCAATGTCTGCCTGATTTTGAAGTCCTGTCTCTGGTGTTTTTAGAGTAAAGAGTACAGCTGCAATTAGCGTTAAAGTTAGATTTTTAAAAATATGAAGAACACATAAAAAATGTCATTAAAATGTAAAAAAAAAAAAAAAAATTGTGTGTAAAAAAGCACAAATTAAACAGGTATGAAGTCTTAATTAGCTGTTGTTGCTGTTATGTGCTGTTATATAACAATGCACTATGATGTAATTAATTGAATATTAAAGAAAAAAGTGGCAGGTCTGTTAGAATTAAACTCCACATCATCGAAATGAGAATTTAATGTATTTTAGGCTTTTTTAAAGCAGATGCAGCTGGATAATTTTTAATTTTGATACAGATTAAGTGCAGATGAAACCGCTCATTCTGCCCTAAAGTCAACAAACCTGTGTATTCATCAAATGTTTGATTTGATTGTTATTGTTGTGGCATGAATAGACAGTGTGCTGAACCCAACAGACACACAATCAGAAGAAGACACATTAACTACAAAATAAACATCTCCTTCGGGATCTGGAAACAAATGAGGCTTTAGAGAGGATTTTCAGGCAACAGCTATTTCAATATCACCAGTGTGCTCAAACATATTTGGACTTTTAACACTCAATGGAAGAGTTCTCACCTCAGTTTTAAAAAATACGGGGAAAACAGTTCCAGGGGTTAGTCAGATCAGGAAACAACCACGTTGAAAAATAATTAGCTGGTATGAATTTTACACACAGACAGCAGCTGAGCAGAGAGCAGGTAAACATGTAGAGAAACTAAAGGGTGGTAGCATAAAAGCAAATACTTCCCGTAAACTAATGTTATGTTATAATCAATGATGCTGACCTGCAAGTAACATCATTTCCAGAAACCATTCCTGGACGTCACTAATCGTTGACATTAGGAGGTAATCCACAATAATTCTGAGGTCTCCAAATAATACTAATCTATACAAATAGTGCTGTTCTCAACAAGCCAGGTAAAATTAACGAGAGATTATTTCCAGAAACACCAACAGGGTGTTTGGAAGAAAAAACATGAAATGTCAAAACAGCAAAAGTAAATCCACTGGAGCAGAGGAAGAAGCTCAAACACTAGTTTCTCAGAAAAACGAAACCGACTGACTTATGATTAAAAATGTACACTTGCCCGAAAATTGTGCAACTTTCATAGAAAAAGAGAACAAACTTTCCGATGTGTCGAAACTTTGGTAAAACACACTCAAACACCAACAGTGGAAGTGAAACCAGCGTTACTCATCTGAAATACTTTTCTTATATATGTATATGTGTGTGTGCATGTGTGTGTGCAGAGTGTGTGCAATGTTTTGCAGGTTTTGACCTGATCCAGGGTCAGTGTCTTGAGGAGATTGGTGAAGTGGATGAAGCCGACTGCTGTCAGAACCCTCATTATGGTTACAAGGCTGCAGACGGAGTGTGCCGCTCCTGTGGGTCAGTGCGCACACGCATTTTTTGTATTATGTATAAACTTTTACATACTTTTTGTACTTTACAGTTCTACTTTTTCTAAAAACACAGTTTGATTTATGAGTGAGGGGGAGAATGCAGGAGGAGAGTTTGGCCTCTGTTCTGTCATGATTTGGCGTTAAACAAAAAGGAAAGGGCCCAAATGCAGAATGAAAAAAAGGATTTATTCCAAAAGAACTAAATAAAAAGCAAAAACTTACTTTCAAAATAGTCCAACCAAAAGAAATCCCAAAGGCACAAACACAAGGAGCAAAATCCAAGGAACAAAATATCCAGAATCTAACAAAGACACTTAGAGAAAAGAAAAAACACAGAGACCCTGAAATACAGACATGCACACTTGCAACTTACCACACACAATGATCCAACAGAGAAAAAGGGGAAGACAAGGACTATATACACACGGAAATGAGCAACGAGAGGACGGAAAACTGAGGAAGTAAAACAAGAATAGAAACACAGAGAATAAACTACTTCAAAATAAAACACTGAAAACTGATATGAGGAATAAAAACTGAGAACATGAGGGAAACCGGGTCAGACACAAACTGAAAACTCACAAGACAGGATTACAGGGGAACAGGAACACTAGGGAAAATACAAGGAAAGTACTCAGATAACCAAAACCAGGGGAAAACTAAATACCTGAATATACCATGACATGTTCATACTGTGCAAAACAACATGTGCAAAAAAGCTGAGAAAAGTTTCTTTTCAATAGTTTTTAAACCATTCAAAGCTTAAATTTAACTGAAATAATGCAAAAACACTATATGAAATGTCGAAAATGAACAAATCTGTGTGTATAAAAAATATCTGCTCATTTTCAATTTAATGCTGGCAACATGTCGTTGAAATTTGTTAGAGGAACAACCAAACTAGGGATGGGCACGGCAGTTCTTTTAGATTTACTGAATCACTAGAATCAGTTCACCAAAAAGTTTCGTTCAAAAGATTTGTTCCTCAAATCACAGAATCACTTCACGCTTGGCGGGAGAGGCCTGCGACCCCGACTTCCTGAACTGATACTCAGCTGAACGTTTCAGGATTCAGTTCAATTTATAGTTTCTGGGACTGGGAGACGAGAGTGTTTGGCTGTGTTACTTTGGCAAAGGTCCTGATACTTTAAGTGTACTGTCCTATTGTATGCCATTTATCAGGACTGCGGGTTTAATGCACTACTTGTTACATGCTGTGTCCTATTCTATGCACTTTGTTGTGGTGGCAATTTCAAAAATGATTCCATCACTTGAAGAAGTGATGTGGTGCAGTACGTTCACTTAAAAGATTCGTTTCTTTTTAACGAATCGTTCGCGAACGACACAACACCAAACCAAAACAGTTGTCCAATACCCAACTGGTACGGTTAACAAGGTTAGTATCATGACTAGGTATAAAAGGGACATTCAGAGAGGCTGAGTCTTAATGCTGAACAACCTTTACAGGTTTAGGAGCAACATCTGCTGCCATCCAGACAATTAGTTTTTCAGGGAAGACCTTCATATTTCAACAAGACAATGAAAAACCACTTTCTGCAGGTATTATAACAGCATGGCTCTGTAGTAGAAGAGTCCTGCTAATAAACTGACTAATAAACTGCAGCCTCATGACACAAGAGCTCAAATGTCTTGGCCACGCAAACGTTCTTGACCAACTCCCCCGTGAAAAGTTAACCCTCAAGAAGAACTGTTTGGTCTTAAAACACAATTTGTCAGCAGGAAGAGATGAAATCATGAACAGAACTTAAGATGTGTTGTAACTCTGATTTTCAGATAATGTTTGATAGGTGTGATGTGATTACATGACTCTGAGTAAATAATCATTATTAAGGGGGTTTGCCCAATCAGAATCAAGTACTTAACAGCCATTAATAATCAAATTGGGTTTGGTTTTTGATGAATCCAACCAGTCTGTGATGTTTTGTTGTCAGGCCACCTACATGGTCTCTATGGTCGTCATGGTCACCCTGTAATGTCCTCTGTGGGGATGGAGTGACACAGAGAAGCAGGAAGTGTTACGGCAAGGACCCGTCCCAGTGTGAGAACGCTGCAGACAATCTCCAGACCACACCCTGCAGCGGCACCTGCTGCAACGGTACGCAGAAACACACACACAGATTTATCACGTTAATGTTAGATTGGAGTTAGGACATCAATGTGCATGCATGTTTGTGTGTGTGTGTGTGTGTGTGTGTATGTGTAGCAACTGGGTGGGGCCCATGGCTCTCCTGGTTGCCCTGCTCGGTCACCTGTGGAGAGGGCGGAGTCAGGAGGAGAGAGAGAATATGTTCAAGTCCTCCAGAGTGTAGCTCAGCCTGCAGCGGTCCTTCAGAGGAGACAGGGGCGTGTCCATCACAAGCTACCTGTCCAGGTAACCCATCTGTTTGTGCTATAGAAGTCTGTTAAATTTGAGTACACACCTGTCTGTCTCTCTGATGGTCATTTGTCTGTGTCCAAGTTCATGGAGGTTGGACAGGTTGGTCTGCTTGGTCTCATTGCTCTGGATCCTGTATCAGTGGTCAGGGTGCTGGGGTTGTCACCCCGCAAAGAACGCGAAAAAGAACCTGCTCTAACCCCGCCCCCTCCTCTGACACTGTCCCACCTGGAAACAGCTGCCCTGGAGACAGTTCCCAGAAACAAGACTGCAGTGAACTCCCAAACTGTCCAGGTGAGGGTTGGACTGATCAGCCTCTTATATTGTTAAATATTTGAATGAAAAATCACCTGTGTGCTGATTGGCTGTCTGTGCAGTGGATGGGAGCTGGGGGGCGTGGTCTCCTGCAGGACCATGCTCTGTCTCCTGTGGGACAGGGATTAAGCTATCAAACAGGAGATGTGATCGCCCCGCCCCAAAATACGGTGGAAAAATCTGTGACGGACCGAGCACTCAGAGCAGCGTCTGTCAGAGTCCCTGTCCAGGTAAGACACCTGATGAAGCCTTTGATTGAAGTTAAAGGGATATTCCGATATAATTGCAGGGTAATTCTCTGTTGCGTGTTGTAAACTGCCATAACAGACATAAAAACCTGTCTCTGTGTATCCTTAAGTGGACGGGTTCTGGTCTGGTTGGTCCAACTGGGGTCAATGTTCGTCTTCCTGCATCCCACAAGGCTCAGTCCCCACCAGGACTCGTCAACGCACCTGCTCTAACCCTGTCCCTTCATCCAGCCCACAAGGGGCGAGCTGTCAGGGTGAAGACAAGCAAACAGACACCTGCAACCAGCTGCCTCACTGCCGGGGTAAGCCCAGTCTGCTGAGAAACCATGACTTTCTTCCTCTCTTGTTGAAAAATTAAGATGTGAAGGTGTTTGAGTTAGTGACAGACTGTCAGATGTTTTAAAGACCTCCAAGTGTTCACCTGCATAGACCATGTGAGAGGAAAACAGGAAATCAGGGGAACAGAGACTTGAGAAAGACACGCAGCAAAGAGTCACAGCTGGGATCTCAACTCAACCGAACTCAACTTTATCTGTAGAGCACTTTAAATACAACCAAAGCTGACACACGAATCGGAGCGGCGTCGGGGACGTTTAACCGATAGTCGTGGTTAAGAAAGAGCTGAGCCGTAAGGCGAGACTCTCAATTTACCGGTTGATCTACGTGCCGACTCTAACCTATGGCCATGAACTTTGGGTAATGACCAAAAGAACAAGATAGCAAACACAAGTGGCCGAAATGGGTTTCCTCCACAGGGGCTCAGCCTTAGAGATAGGGTAAGGAACTCGGACACTTGGGAGGCGCTCAGAGTAGAACCGCTGCTCCTCCACGTCGAGAGGAGTCAGCTGAGGTCGCTTGGGCATCTGGTTAGGATGCCCTCTGGACGCCTCCCGTTAGAGGTGTTCCAGACATGTCCCACCAGGGGGAGACCTTGTGGCCGGCCCAAGACCAGGTGGAGGGATTATATCTCTCGCCTGGCCTGGGAGCGCCTAGGAATCCCCTCGGAGGAGCTGGTGGAAGTGGCTGGGGTGAGGGCTGTCTGGGCTTCCCTCCTGAAGCTGCTGCCCCCGCGACCCAGACCCAGATGAAGCAGAAGAAAACGACGACGACAAAGCTGACACAAAGTGCTTTACATAATAACATAAAACAACAATAAATAGTTGTTTTAAAATATAATAAAAAGCAATAAAAAAGGCAATAAACCAAATGCCGTCTCATGTCAAAAGCCAAGGAATAAAAGTGGGTTTTTAGACGGGTTTTTAAAATGGACAGTGAGGGAGCTTGTCGAATGTGGAGAGGTAGGTCATTCCACAACATAGGAGCAGCAACAGAAAAGGCTCTGTCTACTCTGAGCCTCCGCTTAGACCTCGGTACTTGCAGGAGCAGCTGGTCAGCTGACCTGAGGCACCAGGCAGGAGTGTAGGGGTGAAGTGAAGCAGCTCAGAGAGGTATGATGGGGCCAGACCATTTAAGGTTTTAAAAACGAATAAAAGAATCTCAAAATGAACTCTCCATTAGAAAACTAAATCTAATGGAAGTCAAAGGTTTTATTGATCATTTTATAACTCAACTTCACTTCAAAAGTAAGTCTTAAAAGTCCTGCAGATAATTAATGTTTAACAGATTAAAGAGGTACAGACAAAAAGAGCTCCAGGTGTCTGCAGAAGTAGTCTTCAGTGACCAGGTGTGGCTGTACCCTGTCCACATTATCCCCCCTCTGTGTTTTCAATGTTTCTCCGACAGTGAATGGAGCCTGGGGGCCTTGGTCTCCTTACTCTTCCTGTCCTGTAACTTGTGGTGTGGGAGTCCAGGTGTCAGTCAGGAGATGCGACAGCCCCGCCCCCCAACATGGTGGGCAGCCATGTCCTGGGGATGGACGTCGCACCAGCATCTGTAAAACCGACATCCCCTGTCCAGGTACATAAAGGATTCTTTATTTCGTTCAGTACTTCCTCCAAAACCCAAACTTCATATGAGTTTGTAAAATGTTAATTTATGATGCAACATGTTGGTTTGTAAATAATTCAAAGTCCATATTTCAGTCAAATGGTGCAAAGAAAACACATCAAGTATAAGAATTTTTAAATTGACGTCAGCAACATGTTGGTACAAAGTTATCAGAGGAGCAACCAAACTGGTTCAGACAGGTCTCCTGGGTTCATTAAAGTTTAGAGCGTTGGTGAAAGAAGAGCTGATGACACAAAATGAAAGATGGCGCTGACATATTTTTCATAAAATAATGAAAAAAATCAATATTAACATTTGACCTGTTGTCTTTGCTCTACTTTTGCTTAAATATAAACTTTTAATTATTTGAAAACCACCAGATTTTTAGTTTTTTTAAGCTTGTGCAGTATCATCACTTTACTTTACTCTTGAACATTTTCTGTCCATCAAGTAATTTGAGTCTTGGAGTTAATTTCTGTATATTTTCAGTGGACGGGGTGTGGTCAGAGTGGTCTGAATGGTCACAGTGTAAATACCCACATAGTAATAAGTCCATCAACTGTGAGCGGATAGGCGGCAGTCAGAGCCGAGAACGCAGATGTCTCCATCGAGCTGCGAATGGAAACATCTGCAGCGGGATGGAGCTGTCACAGTTACGGGTCTGCTATGACGTCAGCAGATGTTTGGGTGGGTGGAGCTAAAATTTTAACGACATTACAATCATAGTTTAAAAACAACAAAATATCAGGATAACAAACAAGTGTGTGTTGTAGTGAAGGGCACCTGGGATGGCTGGGAGTCGTGGACTTTGTGTAGACCACCCTGCGGAGCAAATTCCAAACGTGTCAGGAGGAGACACTGTAAACCAGATTACAGCAACTACAAGTGAGTCTCTGGACCGGGGGGAGGGACACCTGTACCAGCAGGGCACCAAAGGGAAATGGAAAAATTACCTTCTGCTCTTTGACAGGAAGTGAGCTTTCTGTCTGTGTTTTTTCAGCCCCACCATTGGTCGTCGGAGGGAAAAGGCAACGTTCTCCGGGACTCCACTAGCTGACTGTGGCGCTGCGCCGGATAGCGGGGAGAAGTACCAAAGAGAGCCATGTGTGAACGTTCCTGCATGTCCTGAAAACAGATGACTTCAACGCCACAAAACTTGTTAACCAATGAATATTGAAATAACAACTACGTCCTTGTGACTTTAACAACAACCATCAGAAATCGTTAAGTAGTTCATATAACACCAACAAAACATTGGCACTATTTTCAGCAGTCTCTCCTAAATTCAAATCAGAAGTGTTATCTAACTGTAATAAAATAAAATGTTAAATAGATCCAGTAGGCAGGACAATCCAAAGTTTGGAGACCTGACCGATCTTTGTGGATAACCTGTTTTATAAAAAATACATTTTAAAGTACAAACTGCTTTTGTGGCTTTACTCTTTCTGACCTCTCTCTTGCAGTTTGACAGGGCAGATAGTAAACACTAAGTTGTCTGCATCAAGTTGAAATCTTTGGTCTCGAAAAATGAAGCTAACTGCCAAAACTGCAGTTCCACAAGTGTCCACTAGAGGCTGGTTCCAAAAGCTCCTGAAGCCAGATACACACCTATTCTGAAAAGTACACCCTTACAGCAGAAATAAACATGTTTAATGTCTGGGTTAAAATGTGACTGTGGTCTGAATAGCTCATTTCTCTCTCCGTTAAATTGGTGTAACTAGAGAAGCAAGCGGTCGGCAACATTCATCTCTCGACGGTGTGTTTGACCCTAAATTAATTTTAAATATCTCTTTAAGATAAGTGACTGGAAATGGTGTGAAGTGGAGAAAATCCTTAAAATCATTTGGATTAAAGAACAAGTTCTGATTTCTGTGTCTCTATTTCTGGACTTGGAAAAAAGAGAGAGGACTGACAAAAGCCCCGCCCACACTGTTTATTAACAGGTGATTGCACAAAAATGACAGATAACGACTCCACTGCTCCTCCACACTCTCACTTCTTTCTTCAGTCCTTCAGTGTGCAGTATTCAGACATATTTGTGCCCCGCCCCGCCCCCCCTCTCCGTGTTGACATCATGGAAGTGTCCCTGCAGAGCGCTCAGGTCCCAGCTCCAGTGTTCCCAGTGTCTGCTGGGACAAACCTCCTCAGTGTCTGAATCAGTATAGTCCAGTTTATCCAAACACCAGCTCCTTCCAGTGAAACAAAGTTCAGTAGTCTGTACTGGTTTATTTTTTGGCAAAGTTGCCGCAGCAGTCAGTGCGGCCGGTCACCTCTGGGATCCTGAGTTTGTTTTCGTTGAGGATGTTTTTTCTGTTCCTGCTGTTGGTCTGACACTGAAGCGATTTTTAGAACAATAATGTCACAGGGATCGAAAAACAAAAACCGAGACTTCAGTCGTCAAACTCATCAAAATGTGTCTGCTCTGCTTCTTTAAAATCTTCACAAATAAATCATGATAAAAACAGATGTGACAATCTGTTTATTTGTTTGCATCTTTTAAACACTGAAATGTCAGGATACGAACAAAGATCCTGCAGAAACTCAGACTGAACCAGCAGCTGTGGAGTGAAACAAATTCATGCTTTTGGAACGTTGACTGAAAATGGTTCCCACTAATAAACACAGCCCACAAATCTCCACCTGGTTAGAAACATCAAACATCAGCAAATTAAGGTTCAAAATATCACCCAAAGACATGGCACAAAAAACAGGTAAACGAGGTCCCAGTTGGACATGTTTGCTAGAACGAAGTCCCAGTTTGATTTCAAGTTCCCTTGGTCTACATCCCAAAGTTTCTCAACTACCTGTAATCTGTTTAAGCTATCGAGTGCCTGTCTCTGCTGAATTTCGGTTTTGCTGTACTCATGCAAAAGTTTTGCTACGGCCCTATTTATCTCAAATAAGCAGAATGTAACGTGATTTCATGGCAGTAAACAGGCTGGAAGGACGCTGAAATAACCACATCATGATGCAGACTAATAAAAAATCTGACACCATGATTTGTTTGGTTGATCTGCAGATTGAAAAGTAAACATCTCTTAAAAAACTCGGTTTCTGAGTGGAGTTTGGTTTGAGCATCCCTCGGCGCTGATATTCTTACATGATGCCTTTTTTTAGGGTTTATCAGCATCCTTCAAACCGACTCATAAAGTGCAAAAAAATTGGCTCAGCTCTCCGTCTCAGACTTAAGTCAAACCTACCCGATGGATGAAGTTTCTTTTTTAGTTTTCACAGTTCTTTCAAAGAAACCTCCATCAGTGTAAAAAAAAAAAAAAGAAATCTGCTGTGTCTAAATCAAACACAGAATTCAACATCTTATAAACCTCACTCCAGGATAACAAACTCTGCTCTAAATAATGTGCCAGTACATTTAACCATGAGTTCATCAGCATGACAATAAATAACTTTATAAATTATGAAACTTCGAACAAAAATAAACCGTTTTAGAGGTTTGGATCAGATGTAAGCACTGACGAGGTCTTTCTCAGTCTGAGAATCATCGGCTGTTTACTTTGTGTCTTTTTTAGTTTTAGCAAACAGAATAAGTTTAACAGTCACTAAGTAGATTTAAAAACTCAGTAATTCACAAAGAAAAACTGATATCTATTCACATGTCTTTTAACTTGAAGGTATGGTTGAGCAGGGAGAACTTTGCTTACATTCAAAGATCAGGTCATTGTTGCGCTGACATAGTGAGGGGTGATAAAAAGAAATAGCTCAACATGTGCTGTGAGGGGACACCAGAGATTCCAGAAAAGGTGCAAGACTGTCCGCTCTGATGTGATAAAAACCCAATTCACTCTGATTAAAAACAGCTGCGTCAACACATCAGGTGGATTTTTTTTTGAGTATTTCTCTGTCCACACTGAGGAGCTGGTCCGAAGTTATCAGCTCGCTTGTATTTCTCTGGCATGTGTCTCTGGACCTGCAGCAAAGAGTCATGTCTAGGAATCAAGTAAGTGACCTCTGCGGTGGGGACTGTTGCGTCTCTACATGGGTCACTTAGACCCGAGGCCAACAGCGCCCCCTGAGGAGCATCTTTACCAACAGACGAGCTGATTGCGGTGTCTCTGCTGTGGCCCCCTGCTGTTTGAAAAAGGGAATAACAGAATTTTTCATCCCACTGACTTCACTCTTCTGGTATTTGTGCTGATTTTCAACTGTTTTGTGTGGAGCTGTTTTTGAGGGGTGACTTGCATTCAGCTTGGTGTGTTTCAGACTCTAACGATTATTGATCAATTTGAAAACCCTGAAATAAAGTGGTAACTAGATAAGCAACGACTGGATTGGCTGCTTCAACTTGTTGTGTTTAGGCTCATCAATTCAGCCTGAAAAGGCCGGATAAGGAGATGAGATAGTCGCTTAAAGTTGTGTACATTCTGGTGTTAGAATAGACCTTAAATTTTTCTCAGTTCTTTTATCATGGTGACCTGTTGGTGCGCTTAACCTGGACTATGTGAATTCGTGGTTTCCAACTTGTCAAACCTGCTCATCCCTGACGAAAATCTCGATATCTCGACTTGATCAGACTTGTGGAAACAAAAAGTTCAGCCTGAACTCTCTGCTGGGAAAGGCCTCCAGTGTTACCGTTTTAAAAGAGAGTAGATCTCAGTGTGTTTTAAACTTTCAGGTTGAAGGTCAGAGGATCCCAGAGGCGACTCAAAGTGTCTGTCCTCTCTTCGAGGTTCTTTGTTTTTTTTGTTTTTTTTTTATTTTAGGGATGTAGCATCTTTGCTAACAGTGATGTCATATGTCTTTATATGGTCCAGCTGCTCAGTGATGACATCATAAGAGAGGCGGAGTCTCCACATCCCCTGTCCCTCCCCTGTTGACTCTCCGGAAACCAATCAGAGCGCTCAGAGGAGGGAGGATCATCTGAAACCCGCCTAGATACAGGACAGAGCGGAGTGAGCTGATTGGCTGAGGTCTGTGAGTCCGGTTTGGGTGTTTGATCATCCTTCAGTGATCGAGTGTCCGAAAAATCGCAGAAAAATCAGAGAAAAGAAAATAACTGGAGAGAAAAAGAGAAGGGAAAAAAGATTTGTTATCTAAAACTTTAAATATTCATTTTTTTTCTGGTAAATTCAAGAAAGATATTTTTTCTTTTTTTGTGAGATGAAGTTGTTTACATGACCAGTCCATCTGTAAACTCCAGGTGTGTTGTCAAAAACGCGACACGCTTTGGTCTGTAAATGATTATTTCACAGATCCTATAACCAGTTTACAAGCAGGTGATTTTTCTGACAGTTCAGACTCTTCTCTCTCTCTCTGTTGATCGGACCCACAGTCTGAGTTTACACCTGAAGCGTTCAGTGACTCACCTGGTCCTCTGAGCCTCCAGTGCTACGTTTGAGATGGGACCCCCGGCTGGCTGCTTGGCTCCGCCCCCCTCTCCTTTAAGGGAGGGCTGATCTCCTCCTCGGGGTCGTAGTAGTAAAACTTTCTCAGGTAGGAGATCAGAGGCCTGAGGAAAGAGAGCAAGAGAAAAGGAGGGGAGACACTGTTAGATGTGGGTGGGACAAAGATATCAATTAAATGAATATTTTCAGGACGTTCTAACTTTATGAGTTGCACCTGTATCTGTTTAGGACTCATATTCAAGTTGAAATATTAAATCAGGATCAAGCTGATCATGACACTTCCTGTTATGCCTCAGATCTCCTTTTACACTGTTTTAAGAGTCCTCAGAAGTATAGCAGCTCTGACAAACACTCACGTGGGCAGCGGCAGCTCCTGGATGTGGTCGATGCGAACCAGCTGTCTGATGCAGAAGCGACATAGATGCTGCAGAGACTTGACGCTGCTGAACCTGGATACCGGGTACAGGAGCTGGACCGGGGTCGGGGGCAGACCTGAGGACCAGTAACAGTACTTTATTTAAACAAGAGGGTTTACAGAGACAAGAAGGAAAATAATACAAACAGGACAAGACAGGACAGACAGGTGGGGACCAAAGAGAAAACTGAGGCAAATTAACAAAGAAAGATACAGGTGTGCAGACAGACAGGTGACGGTGCTAAAAAGAGCTGGAGGTAGAAGAGGACAGAGACACATTGATGCAAACAGTCAGGTGTACATGTGGCAAAGACAGGGTTAAGATCAAGCCAGACAGGTGGTGCGGATGGAGACTAGAGGATGACATTTTTCGGGAATTTCTGTAGGTCACGTGATGGGAGTCATTTTTTAATTAATCCCGTGATCGGGACGGGAAAAAAAGCAACGGGAGCGGGCAGGAGCAGGAACAACATTAAAAGATGATCATTTTCAGCCGTGTTAAACAACCAGATGAACAGATGCGTCTATTTTTGTAGTCATCTCTCAGTGAGAGCCAACACTCTTGACTGCACTAGAAAGACAAAAGAACTACAACAGTGGTTTGACTTCCTGTCACCGACTCAGAGCGGCTGCCAGCGACACACATATTACACACATATTATGTGTGTCACCCGCAGCCGCTCCGACTCGGCTGCCACTTTTTGCTAAGAAATGCAACGTTTTTTCAACATGTTTGGTTTTATTCAAACGGGAGCAGGACAGGAGTGGGAGTAATTTTGAGTGGGAGTGGGATGGGAGTGGGACAGGACAGGATTAATTTTTCTTACTCCGGTCTGGGATTGGGACGGGACGGGATTTTCTCTCTGGGAGTGGGACGGGACAGGAGTGAAAATCCGCTCCCGTGTCATGCTCTAGTGGAGACAGAGACAGATGCAGACTGACAGATGAGGCTGGAGGTTACCTGGGACTCTAGAGCGCAGGAAGTAGAGGAACTTTCCGTTCTTGGAGTGCATGATGGCTCGCTCTATGAACTCGACCACAGAGTGACATCGATCCTCAAACTTTGGGTGACACCACAGACTGAACGTTCCTGCAGAAGGGGGAGGCGGAGGGAGATTTCACAGGTTTCTTCAAAAGCAGTTTGGATACTTATTAAAGGCTTTGACACAAATTAATGTCTTAAAAATGTTTCTGTAAGAAAGTTTTTACCAGCCTAAAATCAGCAGTGGGAGCATCTCCCAGGTAATGAGGTTAATTTACAACAAGCCAGTAACATGACTGGGTATAAAAGATGGGAAGAGGTTCATCACTCTGTGAGAGACTGTGTGAGCTAATAATTCAACAATTTCAGAGTCATCTTCCTGAGTGTATAACATCAAATAATTAGCAGATTTCATCATCTACAGAACATAATATCATCAACAGATTTAGAGAATCTGTTCCAGTATCTCCGGGTGTTCTCAAGAGTCTGCAGCCTTTCTAGAATAATTTAAGCTAAATTTGAGAAAACTAGTGGTTTTGGTCTGACAATTCACAGTCTGACATTCATTTTGGAAGTCATGGAAGCTACACCCTCCTCTCTAAAGCGCAGAGGGACCACTTGGGTTGTTATCAACTTACAGTTCAAAACCAGCATCCCTGACAGTACGGGTATCATAAGTGTCCACGGCATGAGTGGCTTAAACATCTGTGAAGGCATCTGATCACACCTACACTGAATCAGGATTTAACCAATTTGTGTGTGTGTGTGTGTGTGTGTGTGTGTTACCTCTGTAGTGCTCCATGCGTGTGTGGTGTGTGACTCCTTGTGACCTGAAGCTCAGACTCAGGATGTACCGTGGGTCTGAACTGTCCCGAACCAAAAACGACCCGTCGGGTTTCCCCTTCAACTTCATCTCTGCGTCCTCCCAGTTCATCGGGCCCCAGTACCATCCGCACTGTGACACACACACACACATACACAGGTTAGCTACAAACCGAAGATTTAAGCCCATCAATGACTAAATAAATACTTGACAGCCCCAGACTTTGGCCCCGCCCACCTTCTCCAGCTCTCTGAGGCTGGTGGCGAAGCTGCCCGTGTCTGGTCGGCTGAGGGGGCAGCGGGGGGCGAGTCTTGGCGGAGGGTGCTGTCCGTCAGGGCGCAGAGGGATGGGTCTGGGTAAACCTCTGAGGAAAGTGTCTGATAAACACAGACAAGAGACAAACATCAGTGTGAGCACTCTGAAGCCCCGCCTCCATCCACACCTGCTCCTGTTATTCCCCAGAATAATGTGAGTTTGAAGCCTCAAAAATACACCAGTTTTCACTCTGAGACACCTTCATTTAATCTAAACAAATCAAACTTTAACGCAAGCTTATTTCAGGTCCAGTTTTAAGTGGCCTTAACAAGTAACTAAGCAACAATTGTAGTCCTGTTCTGAATCGCTCCCAACCGCTACAGACTGCTGCAAGTTTGAAATTCAGGTCGTTGTATGATTTTTCTGTGAAGCCAGATACAACTTTCCTTATATTATAGTTCTATGATATATGAAGACGGAACTACAGAACTACCTTCTCACCCTTCATGATCAAATATCTTCCTCTGACACACCTCTACTGCATGCTAACTAGTGTGTGTGTGTGGCTCACCATTGAGGCTCAGGCTGTGTTGGATGGTGCTGAGGGTGGGGGGCAGAGCCATTGGCCGTGGGGGCAGAGACTGCATGGACGCCCCCACACTACGCTCGCCAAACGGACCCTGCTGCTGAGGAGGACCCCCGAAATCATCTGCAGAAGAGAGAGTAAGAGAGAGAGAGAGAGAGAATGATCACACCTGAGACACACCTGAAGAGGAAACAAGGGTGGCAACAGACAGGAGAAGAAGAAGAGGAAGAAAAGTACCGAGCAGACTGAGACTCCGTCTGGGTGGAGGAGGAGGCGTCGGGGGATGAAGAGAGTTCATCCCCCTTCGAGAAATATCCACATCAACCAAAGACACCGTCTCACCTGGACATACACACACACACACACAGACACACACAGGTGTTAAAGCAGATAGGTGAAAAAGTGAAATGTTAGTGTTAGGAAGGAGATCAGAAGGAGGACGTGTGGAGGCTCCTCAGGTGTTCAGGTGTGTACTGCTGTTCTTACCGGTGAAAGCAGGAGTGAACGGCACCGGAGAGAAGGCACTGTGAGGCCTGACCTGCAGCCTGATGGAGACAGACCAACCATCATCATCATCATCATCATCACACTCAATATCATCATTAAGGCTGCACGATATTGGAAAAAAATAATATTGCGATTTTTTTCAACCCTGCGATATATATTGCGATATTAAAAATACAGTATTTTCACCAGATGACCTGAATAGCACTTAATGTTATGCTGCACTGCTGAAATCTTGAGGACAGTTAATCTGCTCTGATCTTACCTCTTTTTGTGAATGTTAGTAGAACGGCTTCTGTCTGTCTCAGAGATATTTTTAGCTTTTATTGTGCTGGGACGTTATTGTGGCAACAGGTGAACACAGAAGACGTGTTTTGGTCGACATCATCCTTCTTTTAACCGAAATAATTCCAGATAACTGACTTTCCTTTTCTTTTTGGCAACAAATCTTCATTTTCGGTGGTTTTCGCTTGTTCGTTGTTCATTTTGCGATCGTTGTTGTTGTTAGCGGTGTTGTGCCGAGAAACGCATGTCCTCCGAGAATTGCATGCACCTCGCAAAACGCGCACTGCTTATAGTAGAGTGGTCCACGGAAATGTACAATTTAAAACCCATACAGTTCTTATTTGTTGGGCTTAATAGTCATGAGTAAAGTTCCGAAAGTAATTCTCAGCGGACACACGTCTCCCTCCATGTGCAGAACATGTGCAGGGGTGGGTTTTCTCCTCCCTGATTTTGATTGACAGCTGGCAGGGTAGTCTGATTGGCAACTGAGAAGTGAGTCTGATTGGCAACTGAGTTAAGGACAAAGGCGATTGGTGGATCGCTGCACAGCACACGCAGAGTCACATGGAGTGTATCTCAGTCGGTTACCCTTGAAATTAAATGAGTTCATTCACCTCCAATATCGCAGGCTCTGCGATGTGACTATCGCACACACGTACATCGCGATGACGATAGTCAAACGATATATCGTTCAGGCCTAATCATCATCATCAGCTGCAGCTTCAGAGTCTCTACCTATCTGAGTGTCATGAGAAGACCTTAGGGGGCAGATCTAACCTCAGTGTTTCCCACTGAATCATGCTGCACCTGTGATGGTAAAGACCGCGATAAAGGTATGTGGGGACGGAGTGGAGTGAGTGGAAAAAAACCCGAAACCATCTTCTTGTTTGTAGGAGTGGGCCAAAATGTCGATTCTTCAATTCAGCGGATGTGACACGTGACGATCCGTTACAATCAATAAGTGTTCAGAAATTACAGAAACAGAATCTTGACCCTTTGTTGTCTCTTTTTCTCCTCCCCACATTTCCGGTCCCTCTTCAGCTGTCCTATCCAATAAAAGGCAAAAAGGCCCAGAAATATAACTTTAAAAAAAAACATCTATCAACTCAATAAGAGTTCTCTTTGAGAGTTTTAATTTACTTAAAATTTTCTCTGTTTACCCCTAATATCTCCTACAGTAATAAAGATTACATGTCAAATGAAAATGTTATTGTGCAATAAAAAAAACCCGCTCATATTTAATTCAATTACAACATCATGATTGTATAAAGTAGCTACAGGGTCGTGTTTCTTCTTGTGTGTCATCAGCTCTTCTTTTTCCAACACTCTGTAAATGTTAGTGAACCCAGGAGACCAGATTCTGGAGTTTGGAAAGTGAAATGTTGTCTCATTTTTGCCCGATATAGAATTCAAGCTGCTCAACACTTCAGCGTCTCCCTTGTGCAATTTTTTTGTGTCATGATGCTCCAAATGTTTTCAATAAGTGACAAAAAGGGGCAAGAGCTGCACAGCATCAGTAAATGAATATAATGAGAAGTATTAAGATGCTTTTCAAAGATGTGGGAAGATTTCAAATTGAAAAATAATAGTCCGGAAAACTTGCCAACTAAATTTACAGCCTAAACTCGAAATATATGAGGCAGTATAAAAATCCAGGACAGACATCTGCTGGGACCGAATGGGAAAAGACAGAGACAGACACAGATTTTCATTACACACTCCCTACAGAGGACAAGAGTTTAGCTCAGTTGGTAGAGCAGGGGCCCTGTGCAATAGCTTTTTGACGGATCAATTTATGGTGCTGGTCCAAGTAATCCCCCATTCTGACTCACTCTCATGTATAATAGTAATCTTTAAAGATATAACTTTGTAGAATGTTTAAGATCAGCTCTGCTCCCAGTCTGAAAAGTGTTAAAGAGACACAAACGTTCAGTCTGAAGCTGTGATTTAAGTGTGTTTACTTCCAGAGTCGACTTGTTTGGAGAGGAGGACCTCTGCTTATCGCTTCAAAAACTATTCAACTGAGAAAACCGAATCAACTCAAAGACTTTTCAAAGAGAGTCCCATAATCGCTGAGATTTGACTTCCTTCTGGGAGCTCTGGACTACAGAAAATAAAACATGAGTCCTCACACCCACCAGGTGTAAGGTGAGGAAGCAGTCAGTCAAAGAGAAACCTTACTGGTGTAAAATGTTGACACAGGTAGAGGATTACCACTTAAATACTTTTCAACACCACATAGGACAGAAACCACCTCTCTTGTTATCGGTTCATAGCTCAAAGCCAGCATGGTATGGGGATAAGAAATATCCATGACATGAGTAGCTTCCACATCTTTAAAGGTTGAATTAATGCTGAATAATACATACAGGTTTAAGAGCAACATCTGCTGCCATCCGGATGACGACTTTTTCAGGGAAGACCTTCATATTCCAGCAAGACACTCAGTGCGTTTACATGCACTGCTTAATCGGACTAAGCTCATAATTCGTTTTTTTTTTTCCAAACTGGACTTCTCTCCTTGTCCACGTATAAAGCTTATGGGGCTGTGGGCAAACTTAATAAATTAATTACACTGAATATACATTTTTCTCCCCCCTGCTTGTGGTGTTGAGTTACTGTCAGACTGGTCTGTGCTCAAGTCCTCTTTTTTTTGTGCAGCTCCATTTTTAAAAGTTATTAGGGGGTTCATGCTTTCTTTGATTGACAGCTATGTTGTTTGAGCCGAGCGTCATCACAGCGACTCTCAGCAACTCTCCCACCGGTTGCGCACAATGCTACTGCGCAGTGTTGGTTTCAGGAAATGAAGAAAAAATCTCGGAAATACAGAGAGCTTTTTGGCTTCAAATCTGTGTACTGACGGGAGGCGGAACCAAGTTATCAATAGTATATACAGACTATGGGAGTGGCACCAAGCACATGCATTGTCCTTTAATACTCTGACTGTGCTGGTTACATGGTAGAGAAAATCGAATTCCAATTGCATTATCTGGGTGTCTTAAGGTCCTTTCACACCGGGACCGTTTTTGTCGTGTGATTATTTCGGATGTCAATATTTTTTTCAAACCCGTATCCTGTCAATACAAGCGTTAACATCAGCGACGTTTTCCCGTCCTGCGATATTGCGGCATTTATTTTTTTCAGATCATGGTCGATTTTTCAAAAGTTTTGCATACTGTGTGTCCACTCCTGACCAATCAGATTGCGTGTCGTTGCGACGTCAGATTTATCAGTATATCCAACAAGGCCGACTGGCTGATTGTTTACGTATCGGAGAACAGAGTGCTTTTTGATAAAACACAAACATTACAAAGATAACGACCTGAAGGACAATTAGTGGAGAGTCATAGCGTCGGATTTCTCATATGACGATGTTTTGTGTGCTTTAACAGTTTGCTGAACGTCTTTGTTTTAACTTTCATCCGTGCTAACGTAAGCTAACGTTTGTTACCATAGTTTAATGTGCTTATCTGGTACTGGCCCCGACTCAGTATTTGCTATCATGACAGACAGCCATCTCAACACTAGTGTCTAATCAGAACTGAAAACAATCAGCGACCGTGGTACAGTTTCAGCTCCTGAACCAAGCAGTGAAACTCACCAAGTTCTCTTCTTTTTTGTAATATGGGATGCACCTATGTGCTACATTTCTTTTGAGAAAGCAAAAAGAGTTCCAATTTGCCATCACTTGAAGTTGAAGTAGACTCCATTTTTTGTCCTCTCGCTTCCACCCGGGACGCTGGTTGTTAAGGGAAGGTGCTGCCCTCCTTCGCCTCTGATTGGCTATAAGTGCTGACCATTTGGCTTGAGCGTGTGATGACGTTTCCAGCTTTTCCAAGGAGGCCGGACTTTCCCCCAGAAAAGTCAAAATTTGCCTCTGAATATTTCGCGTTCTATATTTGTGTCTATATTTGTGTCGGCCCTGGTGTGTAAGGACCTTTAACATGAGATTCTCAAACTCAGATTATAGTCGGACGAAGGTGTTTACTTGCACTTCAGTTCCGGTCTTAATTGGAGTAGGGCAATAATTTGGTTTTCTCAAGTGTCATGTAAACATACTAAATGACAAACCACACTCCGTGCGTATTACAACAGTATGGCTCTGTAGTAGAAGAGTCCTGCTGCTAAACTGGTCCGTCTGCAGTCCTGACTTGTGACCCCTTTGAAAACATTTGGAGCATCATGACACAAAAAAAATAGAACAAAGAAAACTCTGAGCTGTTGAGCAGCTGAAATCCTGTATGAGGCATGAATGAGACAACATTTCACTTTCCAAACTCCAGAAACTGGTCTCCTGGGTTGGGGAAAGAAATGATGGCACACAGTGATGGACATGACCCTGTGGCTACTTTTTAGAAACATGCTGCTGACATTAGATTTTTCATAAAACAATAACAATTCTCATTTTGAACATTTCATATGTGGTCTCTGCTCTGACTCTGACTCTCTGAATTCGACTGTCCATAAAGAGTCTGATTTGGACACCTGATTGGTCTGTGAAGGTGTTCCTGTTGTCTTATCACTTCATAAAATAATCACTCATTCATACCTGCTCCCGTCCTGCTCCGCTGTGCTGCAGGTTGACCCCCACACGTCCAGCAGACTTCCCCCTGACGACGTAGATGACGCCAGGGATGGCCTCTTGTCCAGCAGCCCCCCTGACCCTCCGCTGGAGCTCTTGGTCCTAAACAGCTTACTAAGCCGGACCTTTAGGGACCCTCCTTTCCTGGATTTCCCCCCTGGTGTCTTCTCCCCCTCCCTACCTGCTCCTCCCCCAATCTCCCCCTCCAGGACCACCAGGGGGGAGGCGCAGCGCCCCATGCCCCCTGTGGCCACGCCTAGTTTGGGGGTAGTGGCGCGGCTCTGGGGCTGGGAGCGGGATTGGTGCTGGCAAGGGGGTCTGGGGCTCGGGGTAGGGGTGGAGGATAGGAGTGAGTCAGGGGACACCTGGAGATTGTTGAAACCTGCTGCAGCCTGGGGGGGCTGTGAGCGGACAGGTGGGTATGGACAGGGTGGGGTGGTGGTGCTGATGGAGGGCCGGGGGTCTACACAAGGGGTCAGGGACACTGCAGCGCCCAGGACCGCCAGAGAGGACCTGCAGGACTGATCAGTGCAGACCCCCGCCTCCTCCGCCAACCTGTGGACCTGCTGCATGAGTCCACTCAGAGTCCCACTGGAGAACACAGGCCCGGCCCCCCCAGACGTCCCCCCTCCACCCCCCATCCGATCACCTTTCTCAGTGTCCCCCATGTCCCCCGTGTCCCTGTCCCCTCCCTCCTCCAGTCCACCCACTTCTTCAGATCCTAAACCCTCCAGTACCAACAGGGCGTCGCTAGTCTCGCTTGGGTCCTCGCCCCCCGTCCCCGAGGTCAGCACACTGTGACAGGAGCATCCCACTCCTCCCTCTCCCCCTCCCTCCCTCCCTTCACCCAGCTGGCCGAGCCTCCGGGCCAGAGCCAGAACTGGGTCCTCCCCCCCAGAGGAGCAGGTCTTCCTGGGCTCCAGCAGGCCCAGACGCAGGGCTTGGTCCAGCAGGCCTGGGGGCCACTTGGCCAGTCGGTCTGTCAGCAGGCGGTGTCGGTGACACAGAACCGACCCGGGCTCAGGGTCCAGTGTGGGGATGCCCTGCTGGGGGTTCTGTGAGCCATCAGACCCTTTGGACAGTCTGAGAACAGGGTGCCACTGAAGGAGCTGTGGCTGCAGGTTTTCCTCTGCAGAAGGGGTGCAGTGAGAGTTCTGGTCCCTCCCACCTCCAGGCCCAGGACCAGTTGTTGTGCTACCAGGACCAGATCCAGAATCTAGCTGCTGTCTCTCTTCCTGAAGGAACCCTGGGGGCGGCTGCTCCAGCCCGCACTCCAGGATCCGGTCTCCGGACCGCAGCAGGTTCTGAAACACCATAAGCTGCGCCCTCGACCCGTGCCCCCCCGAACCGTGCTGCACCGGGTAGTCCACAAACCTCTGGGCCGCTACGGCAAAGTCCTCGGGTGGCGGGGGGGACAGCGCAGCGTCGGAGCCCGGCGGGGCCTGCGTCAGCATCAGTCCGCCTTCCAGCTCTCCTTTCCCGGGAAGCGGCGAGCTGTAGTGCGGGGAGGCCGAGCCGAGGCCCGGCGGGGGGCCGCTTGCGTCCAGATCAAAGCCGCCGCCATGGTGCCCCAGCACGGACTTGACGGGCCCGAAGCCGCCGCCTCCTGACATCAGGTCGTCCGGTTCGTCCAGCCGGTCGTACTCGGCCGCAGACACGAGCCGCATCAGGACGAAGTCTGGGGACAGGTCTCCCTGCGCGTCATTCATGCTGACAGGTGCTGCTAACGTTAGCTCCGCGGCTAACGGCTAAAGGCTAACGGCTAACGGCGCTCCGCTCTTACATAACAGCGAGATAAACAAACAGCTGCTAACGGAGCTAACGGAGGCTAGCTGCTGCATCCTCCCCACGAACCGGGCTCCCCACCGGGCACGGGCCAAGAGCCGGTCCGGACCGGCCCGTCACGGTAACGGCTCCGCAGAACGACGTCAGAACATGAAGAGACATGAGAAACAAGCCCGCCCGGTACCGCCGCTCGGTTAATGTTAGCTTACTGCTAGCCTCCTACCGACTCATCCTCCGGTGAGACAGCACGGTGTGATGACGGAGGATGAGGGGAGGGGCTGGCATCGATAACCGATCAGAGCTGATTGATTAACGGAGGCTCGGTGGACCCAGGAACCAAAACCTCCATCTGCTGAACGACTCCCGGTACCAGAGAGCCTCCACGCTACCGGAGGTCTCTCTTCCTCCTCGCTCTCGCTCTCTCTCTCCCGTGTGCGCGCGCGTGTGTGTATGTCTGTGATCAGAAAAATAAACATACACATACAAACTCACACAGGTCTGAGTTTAAATGCTCCATATTTCACTCTCAAAATAATACATTTTATATATATATTTTTAAATTTAAAATAATAAAATAATTTCACTTTATCATTTAATTCTGGTTACTTTTTTTCTGATGTTTTTCGTGTATATTTTAGTTGTTAAATATTTATTTTTTTCAATTTCAAAATATTTAATTCAATTATTGTATGGTATTCAATCCTTTAACAATTTATTGAATAAGATATTGTTAGTATTATTTCTTATGATTTAATTGATGACAAATTGCATTAGTTTGACATTGTTTGAATTAGTACATTAGGGGAGAGTGGGGTAAGGTGAGCCATTTTTCATGTCTCGGATCACTACATCAAGGCGATCGTAGTTTCATCTTTAACTAGTATATCTGCATATATTTCAAGATGTTGGGCAACCCTACAAACCAACAGGATGAGTGTAAACAGAACAGTCTTGATAATATAGCATGCCAAAAAAGTGGTCTCCTGTGGTCAACTTACCCTGTGTATGGGGTATGTTGACCATAGGAGTGGGGTAAGCTGAGCCGTATCCCTACTACCCCCCCACTCTCCACCCCAGCCCTCCCTTACCTTCTCTCTCCCTAAATAACAGTCACTTCTTCACATTCATGTGTATTTTTATCTATTATGCTCTATTCAACTGGTACAATAATTCTTTTTATTATTATTACATATAACTGCTTAAAAGCTGTTTTCTAAAAAGCCATTTTTACATGAGAATGTCTTTAAGTGATTCAGAACATTCACAGCTGTATTTTTGAAAAGAAAAAGTAACACATTTCAACAATCTGAACTGAAACTCTGATCCTCTCATCTGATCTCCTAAATATTTGGTCACATGATCAATTTCTTTTACCATATCCAAGCAACAGAGGGTGGCTCAACTTACCCCACTCTCCCCTATATGGAATTAAATTCTTTAACAATTTATTGAATAAGATATTGTTCATATTATTTTAATGATGCAATTAATGACAAATTACATTAGTTTGACATTGTTTGAATTAGTATATTATTTCTTTGACATCAGGTTCAGTAGTTCAGACTTAGCGTTTGTTGGAAACATCACTTTGTCTGTTATTCAGAATTTTATGAAAACCCAACTACACCGGCAAATAATCATTATCTTCCTTTTCACAAAATATCATTTTTTTCAGTTTTCAGTGAAATATGGAGGAGTCAACTAATGGAAGAAACATGGTTATTTAATCATTGTCTCCATGTTAATGCAATGCAACAAAGACAAATTCAGAAACTCTGCTTTGGAGCAGTAATCCCCTTTATAAGAAACTTAAGCGCTTTGAGGTGGCTGATAAAAAGTACTATAAAAACTGATGCATTCTTTTTATTATTATATTTTGTATGATAAATAAACCTGCTTATTCGAGATTCAAATCACACACATTACAGACAAAATATAAAATGTGAACTGAGGACTGCATCCATGATTTCCAAAAGGACTGCTAAATATTGACTCGTCAAACCAAAGGACAGTTTTCTACTTCTCCTTAGTTCACATTATAATCACTTTGTTTGATTATTTTTGGGGTTGTTGACCTTTATTAACAGCCTAAGAGAGAAAGAGAAAAATATAAAGTAAATCATGCCAAAATCCAGACTGGCCAATGGCAGTGCCCCCCAGTCCACCTTCAACGGGCCTAGAGAAGTCTCCAGCTTTGTGGATCATATTTATATCTAGTTTCCTCTTAGCATGGTTCAGTTTTGACCTGCATGTATGGATGCAGTGATGGACTGTGTTCACAATGGTTTTTGGAGGTGATTTTGAGCCCATGTAGTGATCTCCACAGAGTCCTGTCTAGTTTAATGCAGCGCTTAATATTATGTACTGTAGATGATGAAATCCATGAATTCTGACATTTTACACTCGGGAACATTATTCTGAAATTATTGAACTCTTTGCTCACACAGTCTCTCACACAGTGGTGAACCTTGTCCTATCTTTCCTTCCAAGACACTCGGTCTCTCTGAACGTTTTACAGTCATTTAACTTATTTATTGTAATTTAACCTCATTAGTTGGGAGATGTTCCTACAGTTGTTCTTTAAGCATTACACAACTTTTTACCTGTTTGGTTGTTTCTCTTTTTCAAAATGAGCAGATTTCTAAGAAAACATTTTTTTCAGTGTGAGGTCTTCAAGATAGTTAAGATATTAACACCAAAACATTTCACAATCAAATTAAGTTTTTCATCAACATTTTTAACAGCGTCTCAACTCTTGTGGATCTTGGATTGTACAAGATGTTTACGCTTCATTCTGTGTCCTGCTCACATCTAATCAGCCCACAGAGCTAACGTGTGTGCAACTCTCAGGTGTTTCCCGTGTACCTGTCAGGTGTGTTTCTGTGCCATTAGAAGAAGCAGCAGCAGATGGTTCAGTACAATATAGACTTTATTAGTTCACTAAAGTTGAATATGAAATAAAAAGCAGATTGGCTTTAAATGATTCACAATTCAGAATAATCGAGAAGCCAGTTTCATCATGTTCAACATAGGAAGTTTGTCCTCCCCACGGCTGCCGCACCTCAACAAAATAAGAGCCCTCAGAGGTGGGAAACACTTCACTTAAAGAGAAAATCCATTTTTGAGTTTCATTTTCCTGATGACTTTTTGTTGAGAAGAGGTGAAGTGATCCAACCCCGGAGTGAAGGCGACAGACGGTACTGAACGTGCTCGCAGCTTTTTGTGATTTCTACCCAAATTTCAAACTCAGCGTCCCAACAGATCTCCCCATCAGCGAGGAGCTGAGCTGCAACAACCAAAAACAGCCAGTAAGTGAGTTCAAAAAGAAAAAAAAAAGAAAATCAGGTTGTTTGTGGCGTAAACAAACCGTCAGTGGGTGGCGGCCAAAGTTCAGCTTCCAATCAGAAGAGTCCAAAAGGTTTCAGTCCAACAGACAAGAAGAGCCAAATCACCAGAACTGCTTGGGGAATGTTTCATATTATTTTATTGTTTTTTACTTTATTTTCATCATAGCAATGGAAAAATATAACCTCATACAAACGTCTTCAATTCTCTGAATTTTTTTAAACAAGCAAAAATGGTGAGTGACCCGTTCCCAAACCAAGTGCAGCGGGAAATAAAAAAATGAACGCTTCACCAGCAGCTCACACCACGCGCTTTATTTCCGCTAAACTATTTCCATTTGGCACTCGCTCCTCGGAGGATTCCTCGTCGGCTTTTGACTTTTATTTTGAAGGAATTTAGTGCTGTTGTTGTTTGAATAAGAGCATTGAGCAGCGGAGACTGAGCAGGTGGAGGTGTCCGTCAGGGTCCATCGCCTTTTGAGTGCTCGCAGAAAGAAAAAGAAAAAAAATAAGAGCAACAAAAATCTAAAGTTTCCACAGAGTCCGCTCGCCTTGTAGCGCTGATTCCACAAAGTCTTATTTTCTTGTTGTGTTTTTATCTGTATTCCCTCCTCCCCCCTCCCCCCGGCTCGGGGGGCGGTGGCGGGTCGGTGACGTCATCGTGATGTCGTAGGAGAGCCCGGCTACAGCGAGAGAGGTGGATTGTGGGAGGAGGAGGGGGGAGTTTTTGTTTGTTTTGAATTTGGGGGAGGAGGGGGGAGTCAGAGTCCAGTCCACAGGCCGTTGAAGGGAGAGGAAAGGGGGGGAGGAAAAAGGGGGAGGGGCATTGTTGCCTGCTGGAACTGAAGGTGGTGTGATGTCATGATCTCTCGCTCGCTCGCTCACACGTCTCTCTCTCTCTCTCTCTCTCACACACAGACACTCACTCAGCTCACACTTCGTCTCACTTCTGCTTCGACCGGACGCTCGACACAAAGACAGAAGAGTTTATTCCAGTGGGGCAGTTTGTCCTCATTGTTCACTGATGTCCATCTCTCAAAAAATCTCACTCTCTCTTTTCCCCGACCGGCAGTAATCTGACAAGAAAAGAAGAAGAAAAGAGTCAGCGGTCAGACTTCGAGGTACAGTGTGTGAGGTTTATCTCACAGCTCGGTCAAAGATAGAAACACTGACAAACTGAATATCACGGGGTTTGCAATTCCGTTTCTGTGTTGGTCTCAGATGTTGTGGTTATTTTGTGCATCACATGTCAGAGTGGTGCATGATTTCTCCTCACAGACCGATCACAGTCGTCTGTCTACCACATCTCGTGTCCTACCAGGCCTGGCTCTTCAGCTTGCGGAGCTCCTTGGTGGCCCAGGTGGCGAGCGTCTTGGTCTTGGTGGTTTTGGAGCGCCGACCCTCCGTCAGCAGGTCGTTGATGAGCGGACGAACCTCCACCAGCTTCATCACGTCCTTACCGAACGCCGTGCACAGGTCACTGAACACACAGACCATTAAGATAAATTAACACAAAACAGAAAAGTTAACCTGCAAAGAATATGTTTTTTTATTTAGATCTAAAATTAAGAAAAGTATAAATGTAGCTTATTTTCTTTATTAACATGATTATCCTCACACTCGGCAGTGTGCATTAGGTAAAACAATTCGTTTTTTAACTGTTACTGGTACCAGTTTCTGTTGGTCTCAGATGTTGTGGTTGTTTTGTGCATCACACTTTCAGAGTGGTGCATGATTTCTCCTCATCGACCACAAAAACACACACATACACAAAGTAGAACCCCCCCGTCATACCCGATGAGTCCAGCGGCGTTGGCCACGACTCCGTCAGAGTGATCCTCATCTTCAGCTATGTGATGGATGAAGGACAGAATAAACTCCACCCGAGGCTGGACCAACATCACGTCAGCTGCAGGAGGGAGGAAGATGAAAGAGGGGAGATGAGAGGGTGGCGAAATACAGAAAAGGAGGTGAGGAAAAAAGGACAGAAGACAAATGGTAAGGAAAAGGAAAACAAGGAGAAAAGAAGAAGGTATTGGAGAAGTGATGGAAGAAATGTGGGGAGAATAAAGACAGAAAAGATGAAAAAGAGGGTAGGAAAGAATAACGGGAAATAAAAAAAGAAGAAAAACAAAAAGTGAGGAAAGGAACAGAGAAGTGATGGATAAGAAAAAGGAAAATAATGGAGGGAAGAAAAAATGATGTTTGATGTCTTTACTCTTTAAAAGCTACTTTAATTTCACTTTGTGTGATTTTGTTTTTATGCTTTTATTTTGTAGGGTCTCGCAAAACCAGGAAGTTGTGTGTCGCTGGGTTACAGCAGAAACTTTCTGGGTGAAAAAGACCCGAATTTCTCTGTGACGTCGTAAAATCCTCCTGAAGGACTTCAGACAGGAGGAGGAACCGACGTCACCTGGTACTGAGAACGTGTGCACGGAAGTGTGTGTTTTGTTCTTACGGTGCACGTTCTCCTGGTCCCCCTTAAGGCCCTGGATGATGCCAGTGTACGCCTCCAGACAGCCCTCCCTCAGCTCATTCAAGTAATCCACCATGTCGTAGTCCGTCTGCACACACAACCACAAAAACACACACAGGTTGTTCTGATTGTATTCTCTTATGGTGTTACACATAAGAGCTTTAAAAAAATCAGGATGCTCAGGGCTTAACTGACGAAATACTCACCAAAAACCAACAAATATGAGCCAACTACATTAGATTATCACGTCTTTAACTTTTATCATACTTGTGTATATGTGTGGGATTGTATGTTTACCTTGTCCACCTGTGCCTGAGACGCCTGCTGCAGGGTGTCTAAGACTATGTCCAGGTATTTCTTAAACTCTCCTCCGATGGCCAGAGCGATATCACCGAACGCAGAGAGGATCTGAGGCTTCACCGACCGATGGACGTTCTCGTTCTGAAAACACAGACAACGTCACATTAAAGAAGATGAACCTTTTAGCACGTTAGCACAGACAGTTGCTCATTAACACAGTTAGCGGACGCGCCCGCCTCACCCCAAGATTCTCCAGCAGCAGCTGCATGATCTCGTCACAGTAAGGCAAGATGTTGGACATCAGAGCTCTGCACAGGTCGCACACCAGACCCACTGCCGCCAGACACACCTGGAAAACACACCAACATCATCTTCAGACTGATTGTTTTTCTGTTGTGATTATTAATGTCTGAAATGGCTGTAAGAGGAGACATAGGATCAGATGATTGACCACAGTTTGACCATCACAGGGTCTTCAAAAATCAGGATTAGGTGAGGTCTATTTATAGCATCAGGTGACTGTGAGGCTGAATCAGCATTCAGGAGGCAGGAAAATCAGAACAGACTAAAAAAATTAAACTGATACCGTATAATCTATAAACTGTTAATGAAAGACATTGGAACCCAAATAGAGCTGGTCAATATGAACAAATGACTGTTACACCTATGGTGTGTCCCAAACTGCATACTTCCAGTACTGAATACTTAAAATTTTGAGTATACTCAATGCAAAATGGAAAAAAGTATGGATAGTTTGCGAAAATGGAGTAGGCAAAAGTACCTGGATGACATACTCAAATCGGTCAAGATTTTGGGTATCTAACTGTGGACACTCACCGCACTCATTTCATCAGTAAGAATGGCTAATTACACCTCAAAAGTGGATGAATGAGCCCAGGCAAAAGGTGGCAGTAATTAGCCGATGCAGAGCTAGCCGGTGACAAATTGGCGTAGAAGAAGAAATCGTGTCATCATTTCCGGTGAGTGCAACTGCACCCTTGAAACTCAAGCACTGCGCGATTAGGTACATAGTATGCTTAGAATACTCAATTTGAAAAATCTAAGTATTTAGTATGGAAGTGTCCGATTTGGGACACACCACTAGTCTTTAGAACCACCTGTCTTTCATTTGGTTTACCTCCCGCCTACTGTCACGTCTTTTGTGTGACTGAAGCTGCTAAACTCACCTGATACTCGGCGTAGTTCTTCAGTCCGATTGCCAGGAAAGGTTTGAAAGGCTCCATGTACTTCTGGAAGTCGCTGCCCAGAACTGAAACACAGAAAAACAGTCAGCCTCCCGTTTTCAACACCAACACACACCTTTATTTCTGACCGGAGAGCGGCATATGTGCGTGTGTGTGTATACCTTCGACCAGCGTGGACACAGCCATCAGAGCGTCCTCTTGAACGCCTCCGGAGCCAGCTGTGCTCTGGAACATCCGCAGCAGAGACGCCATGACCACGTCAGAAATCTGCAAGGCGTCCTGATGCTGCACCTTACGCAGGACGTTCTGCAAGGAGACACACAGGAAGCTGTCACAATAAGCGCTCAGACGCCACACACCACGAGTCACAGAGTTTGACTGACAGCTCTGGTGGCCTCACCTGTAGAGTGGCACAGAGCAGGGACTGCAGGTCGTTGAACTGGATTCTGTCTGAGGTGCTCTGGATGTGAGACTGGAGACACAGATTACACAGATTAAAACTGGGTGTTTTTCATTCGGTCTCTAAGTTCCTTGACAAGTTTGTCCTCAAAGACGCTGATCTGACCAGGATCCACTATGAACAATATACTCACTATAATAAGTACCTCATACAACCATTCTGCAAAAAAGTGAACTATCCCTTTAACCTCAGAACGTTTCTCTATAGACCTTTCTAAATTTCTAAAAAGCACCGACAAACACTATCATGACTAACACTCTGTGGAAAAGTTTGTGATTTCTCTTCACCATAATGATCCACCAAGTTTCTGAATCCGACTCTCAGTCTGTCGACGCTGATCTGAAAGCAAAAATATCTTTCCTCATCTCACCTCCATCTGCAGGACCTGCTGCAGCCTCTCCATGATGACCAGCGTGGTTTTCTGCACAGCAGGGTAACAGTCCTTGGCGCTGTTCTTCACAATCTCCATCAGAGCCTCATAGGCGGCAGAGCGAAGGTTGTTCTGGTGACCGTCGGGCCTGAACAGGACACACGGACAAAAAGCAAAGGTGATGAGACTTCAGTAACCGCTTGGACTGAGTCATTTATCAGTTTAACTTTCAAAGTGAAGAATCGTTTTAGCGCTTTTCAGGATTGGTTTAAAACCAGCTTTGAAATGTGACAGCTGCTCAAAACCATGGAGTCAAATTTAGGTCCTTAGAGGCGCTGAGACTGAGCTCACTTTTAACAGAAAATATTTAAACTTTTCATCCTGATCCGACCTTGGGGAAACGCCAACCACATCTTCCTCCCTCCCCTCTCCTTCCTCAGACATCATACTCGCTAAGAGGTGCTAAGAGGTTGTTCTCTGTGATAGTGGACAGCTGACTGGGACTTACTGGTTTAGTTTTTGGGGGAGAATCTATATCAAGGCAAAGGGAAAATACAATATTTCACTCTTATTAATTATGCTACACATTAACTGTACTAAAATATACACAAACAAGTAAAAGGGCTGCACACAGACATGCAACCCAAATAGTCTGGGGGTTCCTTGCTCTGCTCAAGGGCACTTCTGTCGTACCCAGAAGGTGATCTAGCCATCAGTCTATCCCTCAGTCTCTACTGGGACTTGTTCCCAATCCAAATCCCTACAGACTGAGCTCATGCAACCCAAACCGTCATGGTCACAGCCCACGTGTCGTGATGTGTCGTGATGTGCTCCTTTGACTCGACATGTTATGAGGACCTTCAATTATGTGTTTGTAGAACATAACTCAAACATGTTTTGATCACAGGCAGTGGGTCTGTCCTGCAGCCATTGATTGCGTGAGCCCCTGACCAATAAGCACAGAGAGCTCTGTATGCCCAAGAGTCACAGGTGCAAACAAACAAGATGAAAAAGCAAAAGCAGAATTGACAAAGATGGTGCTGTGAGACAGAGGAAAAAATTCCGGAGCTCTGACAAAAACATTGCTGCTTTTAAGATGTGTCCGGAGATGATCACAGCAGAGTGAAAAAAACAGAGAAATGATGGAAAGAAACAGCAGATGTACCGTCATCTTGCAAAGTCCTTCCACCTTTATCGGTCAAGTCATGTCTCAAATTTCTGGCTCTGACTTGCTTAATCTGACACTGACACCATCATCAGACAGTGAAATCTGACCTTTAATCCTCATCTGGTTTGAGACCCAAAAGTTGATGATCAAAAAGCTTCAAATCAGGGTTTTCTTACCTGTCTGTCGTCTCGAGAAGTTTCTGGACGATGATCTCGAAGGAGGAGGACAGGCAGTAGGTGCTCGGCTCCTCCTGATCCTCGGCGGCGTCTGTGGCTTCATATGCAGCTTCAGCCAGAGAGGAGAAAGCCTGAAGGACAAATGAACAAGTTTACTCTGCAGCTCCTACTTTAACTAACGACTGTGTGTGTGTGTTGAATCTAAACATGAAGCCCTCCACGGAGCCCACCGCTCACCCAGCACACGTTGGAGGCCACCCTGGGTTCTGCTCCGAGACCCTCAATCAGGCACTGCAGCAGAGGAGCCAGGTAAACCTCGTTGATGGCGGCTTCAGGGAGCAACTCGCAGATCCTACCCACCGTCCACGCTGTGGTGTCCCTCACCACCACACTGGGGTCCTTCATCAGCTCAATCAGGGTCGGCATCGCCTGCAGGAGGATGAAGAAAAGACTCAGAGAGGAGGATCTGGTTCTTCTTTATCTGCAGTCGTCCGTGTAGATTCTCATTCATCCAGGTCATGGTTATCTAGAAGACTTGAAAAACAGGCAACTGGACTGTGTAGAGTTGAGAAGATGTTTCGCCTCTTATCCAAGAAGCTTCTTCAGTTCTAAATTGCTAGTGTGAGGAGCAGATATTTATCTTACTGGAGAAGGGGACAGACAACGACTGGGAGGGGTTGGGTCGTAGAAACCCATCTCCAGGTGTGTCCCCCCCACCCCAAGTCGTCAACCTGAAAGGGTCGTTAACAACCCCTGTCATGACAGGGGTCTCCTCACAATAGCAATTTAGAACTAAAGAAGCTTCTTGGATAAGAGGCGAAACGTCTTCTCAACTCTACACAGTCCAGTTGCCTGTTTTTCAAGTCTTCAAGATTTATCTGCAGTCTCCTTTCAGACTTTTTAAAAGCTGTTGCTGTCACTTTTTTGTCTCCAGAGTAAGCCGTGTCTGTTCATTGGTTTATTGGATTAAAAACACACAGCATAGATGAGGAGAAAACTGTAAACATTAGTTCGAAATTTTACGCCGTTCAGTTGGTTCCTGATATAGTTGCGCTGGTTTCTGACCTGTATGACAAGTGGTTTGAGCTGGTTCAGTTCAGGTCCCTCCAGGATGGATCCGAAGGCCATGACGGAGGCGTCCCTGTAGCGCCAGTCGGGGTGTTTGATGTGTTCTTTGATGAAGGGCAGAACGTGAGGGACCACGTCGTCCTCACAGCAGGTGGCGAGCAGCATCAGACACACGCCTGCAGCCTTACACGGGTTCCAGTCGTCGTCATCGTCATTCTCGTCCTGCAAACAAAGCGGGTTGGTTGATCGCGTGCAGGATGTTGCACGGGCGGCGGAGCCACTTGGGTTGACAAAACTTTAGGTTGAGTGTTGAGTGCGGTTGAGTTGTCCTGAGGTGTCCTACCTGCTTCGTGAGGGTCTGGGTCAGGATAGGGACCAGGTACTGCAGCGCTCCTTTGGCGTAGAATTTACTGGTGTGCTCCGGAGGGCGCCCCTGCTCCGAGGCCTGTGATTGGATAAGGGATAAACAGGAAGTGACCAAACAAACTCAGCGAACGTTTATCTAAACCAGCAGATTAATATGATGCTGTCAGCTGAATCAGACCTCTGAAGCCTCAATGGCCAGGTCCATCTCCTCATCACAGACGTTGGACCAGAACTCGATTCCCTGTAAGGCCACCTCATCAATGTCACTCTTCATCGCCTCAATGGTGATCTGAGAGGAGAAGGAGAGGAAGAAAGGAAAGTAAAAGACAGAAGGGTGAAGAAGAGAGAAGAATAATTAGAGATGATTGGTGAAGAGATGACCTGGCTTGTCTGATAGCTCAAATACAGAATCCCTGATGGTATGGGGATTATAAGTGTCTATGGCATGGGTAGCTTACACTTCTGTGAAGGTGTTGAATAAGGGACAATCAATAAATTACTATTATTATTAAAATATTATTATTAAATCAATAGCTTCCATGTCATGTGACCAACTGACCTAAAATTGATTTCAAATAATAGTACTAAGGTCGACCAATAAGACATTATTTGATCAATTTTCATTGTGCCCCTTTAGTTCTTTGTGTGCTCCTTGTGAAAAAAGTTAGTGTCAAGCCCTGCTGGATGGCTCTGTAGTAGAAGAGTCCTGCTGCTAAACTCTCCTGACTTGTCACTCACTGAAAACATTTGAAGCTTCATGACTTTTAACCCAAACTTACCGCAAACAGAGCCGGACCCATGTAAGTCTCCATGTACTGATAATACAGAGACATGATCTTCACCAGGTTCTGTAAGGCTGCAACACGCACCTGAACACACAAACGTTAAAAAGAAAAGTTAAAACGACATCCGGTGAGCATTTTCAGACTGGAAAACAACTGAGTCTGTTGAACGTTTTGATAAAAACTTCACATAAACCAGTGACATCACTCACTCTGGTGTCGGGACATTGTGTAGCTTCGCACACCACCTGCATGATGAAGTGTCTCTCCGTCTGAAACAGAAACACAGTGCTGCTCAACATTTGTTCATCAGTGAGCAGGCAGACAAATGTGAGGTTCTGTGTTTGTGTGTGTGTGTGTGTGTACCTCCTTGTCGAAGTTGGCTTTGGTGAACTCCAGAGAGTTGAGCAGGGCATTGGTGGCCGCCAGCTTCACATTGTTGCTCGGCTCCTCCTTCCTCATGCCCTGGATGATAGCCGTCAGGATCTGGTTAGCATTCTCCTGCAGCTGCTCCGGATCCTGAAGGAAAAACAACAACCGGGTTAATGGTTCTTCATCACCTACAGAAACAATCTAAATCATCCACCAGATTCCTCATCCCTCTCTTTATCATTACAATCATCATCAACGCCAACGTCGTCTCCATCATGACTAGATGGAATAGAGGTTCCTGGAGTCATTTTTGTCCCTGTTTTGCAAATATAAAGAATCTTTTGTCTTTGATGCGAACATTTACTGGAAGCACGTGAAGACTCATGAGCAGCAGGGCAACATGCTGTTTTGGGTTGATTTTCTACCAGGCACACCGCTGCGTTCTCGGTCATCTGCAGAAGTTTGGATGTGTTTGCAGAGAGGCCTGCAGAGAGCCTGTGAAAGAAGCTGTGCTGTGTGCTCTGGCAGGCGGGGTCTGATCTTCCAGATGTTGTAGGGAGCATTTCGACCATAAATGCAAGGAACCACTTAGTTTCAGGGACTCTTTCTTAAAGGAACTAAATGGTTCTTGTGGCCAGTTGTTGCCTGCGTTTCTTAAGTCCCACAAAGATTAAACAAATCAGGACAATGAGGCAATACAAGTAACTGCACGACAATGCCAGGAACTGGTGGTAAGAGGATGACAAAGGCCATACCAGGAAGATGCCTCATTAAAAAGCAGTGGGCAGGCCAGCACCACCGTTTGAGCAACACTGAAGTTGACCAGTTAGCATGGAGGAGATTCAACAAGTGCTGCTTTTGATTCAACTTTGCATTACAAATAGATCACTGGGAAGGAGAAAAGTAAGATTTCTTCTGACTCCATCTTAAACCATGAGCTTGCAACTGCAGGTGAAATTAAAACCCTACCTATTGGACACATTCAGCGTTGCAAGCCCTGCCCCCCGAAATTCCCAGAACTTCTTAATTAGATTTAGACTCTTGCACCTGCTTTTGAAATGCACAGAGTTCCTCAAAAGGTCCCTGTGTTAAGCTCCTGCTGTCTGAAAACATAGAGGGTAAATCTGCTCAACTGAGGAATGGTAAGCTCGTCATCAATCATGACACCCACGTTTCAGGCAGACTTGGTGGGCATGAGGTTTGGCTGATCCAAGCGGGATTGTTGACATGTGGTTTTATGGAGCGACTGTTACAGGAGAATGATTCAGTTACTCTGTTTTGTTGCTCTCCTCAAAGACATCAGACTTGAAGATGTGTTGGTCTCAGATATTGTGGTTTGTTTTCCATCACGCTGTCAGAGTGGTGCATGATTTCTCTTCACAGACCAAATACACACCAGACAAGTTTTTAAGTCTTCATTTCAGAGATCAGAAAAGCTTTAAAAAACTTCATTTGAGTAAATTAATTTTCACTAAGAGACGGGTTTGTCGTCCTCTAAACGCTGAACAATGACTCCTGAGATCTGTGAGGTAAAATCACTGCTCAGGTGTTTAGAAACAGATTGATGCAGCAGCTGTTTGTGGTGGAAAGAAAAAGAGTTTTCTTGTAAAACCATCAGAAGCTTCTTCTTACTAAGTTATTAAGTTTCTACAGGTGCGTTGTGCATGTGTGCAATCACTCACGATGTCCTGGCAGATGTACCCGATGGCCTCCAGTGTGGACTCCTTCATGTGTTCGGTGCTGGAGGGGTCGGTGACATTAGCCACCAGTTGTGGGATCAGCTCGGGCCACTGGTTTACTGGGATTTCCGCGCAGGCGATCCCTGCAACGCACTGTGATGCCGAGCTGGGCCGGTACGTCTCTGTGCCCAGAGTCTGTAAAACCTGGAAACAGAAAGACACTCAGATGTTAGATTTCTTTAGATTAACTGTATTACTAGAAGCTCAAAGGTATTGTCTGCATTCATGGTCTTACGTAGTTCTTGATCTCCCGGCGAGCGTTGGCGTCGATGGCCAGCCATCTCTGCTGGTATTGTGTCTTTATGTCGGGGTCTTTGGAGGTCAGTGAGTTCTTCACCTGCAGACCGGCAGCAACTCGAGCCACCTGAGTGTTCCCGGGGTTCGCCAATACTTTTGACAACTCCACCAGGAATGTGGGCTGAGGGGGGAAGAGGACATGGGAGGAGGGTAAGGTTACCGAGGAAATAACAGTTAGGAGCTGTTCTGTGACTTTACAGTGAAATCATAATCAAACACTGGAGACTTTGATTGCTGACACTCTTGCTCCTGCTGCTGCCTCCACATTTAGCCTCCTGGTTTAAGGTTTTTAAAATCCTTTTACAAGAGTTTCAGTCTAAAGAACACAGACCATGATTTTAAAATGTAGAGGCCCTTACACACCGGGGCCGATGCAAATATAGAACGCAAAATTACGAAGTATTCGGAGGAGAATTTTGACGCGCCTGAATATACACATCAAGCCCGATGTGATTTTGGGACTTTCCGGGGGAAAGACGCATTCCAGGGAAGACTTTTCCCGGGGGAAGTCCCGCCTCTTTTGCCTCTGATTGGCTAGATAAGCTGGAAACATCATCACACGCTCAAGCCCTGCACTTAAAGCCAATCAGAGGCAATAAGATAAGCACATGAAACTATGGAAACAACTGTTAGCTTACGTTAGCACAGATGAAAGTTAAAAAAAAAACGTTTAGCACACTGTTAAAGCACACAAACTATCGTCATATGAGAAATCCGACGTTATGTTGTCCTTCAGGTTGTTATCTTTGTAATTTTTGTGTTTTTTATCAAAAAGCACTCTGTTCTCGTAAACAATCAGCCGGTCGGCCATGTTGGATATAGCAGTGAATCAGATGTTGCAACAACACGATCAACACAATCTGATTGGTCAGAAGTGGACACACAGTATGCGAAACTTTAGAAAAATCGATTGTTGCCGATCCAGTCTTTTTTTCCCCTGCTAATAAATATCATACACAGCAACACAGTGATTCTGTTCGCTCTATATTCTATGTCTGTCTATCCTTTTGCACTAAATTTTTACATGGAGGTCTTACTTTTTTTGCTGTGAGCTAATGTGCAATTTGTTATTTGTTAATAAATACTATTAAGTAAATTCATATCTCTGTTGATTTACCTTTTTTTTTTTTTTAACAAGGCTAATGTCAAGCCTGACGCCTTCACTAACAGGGCAAGGTATACAGTTCATTCAACAGTCATATTGGATCAGTATTGGATATTGGCCGATACTCCCAGCCAAGGTATCGGATTGGATCAGTGCATCTCTGTACAGGGTGAGAGTGATTTACTGACTGTGTTTGATCTGCAGCCTCCAACCATCAGATGGCTTGACATTGACCCACTTCCTGTCTGAAGTCATAACTTCACTTATCAGATTCATGATGAATGCAGTTGTCCAATATTAGATATGGTCTGTCTGTCTGTCCTGTCTGCAAGGTTGGCGCACAGTCTGCTTCTCGTCCGGATCAATAATGTCGCTAATATCCACACAGAGAGAGGAGTGCTGCATCATCACTGTAAATGTCCCGTGCACTCTGATGCACCATGACTCTGCACAACACTGACACAACAGGAAAGAGGAGTTCCCTCCACTATACAACCATGAACATCGTCCTCAGTGTTTCTCAGTCTGTCTGAAGAGATTTTTACACAGCCAGCACACTTCACACACTTCACACACAACCTCATCTCCTTCGGTTAAACACTCAGCACCCTGAATGCACCATGCTCCTCCTTGTTTAGACAAAAAGCTCTCTCTATATTAGGGGAATTCTTTGAACATCAACATTTACCTTCTCTGTCTCTTTCTAAATCTTCATCTTCCTGCTGAAACCTGCAGCTTTTTTGTTTCAGGGGGACAAATGTCTACTCTGATGATTGATTCCCCACAGCGACTGAGATTTAATGTCTAACACATTGGTCACCACACTCCACAGTGGATCAAAACCAGAGCTGCAGATGCTATTGTCACTTTCAGACACCTTTTCCATATCAAAAGCTGGATCCTACATGACTCACAAAGCACCTTGGCCTCTGACAGGTGACAGAGAGGCTTTTTTGTGTAGCAGCGAACACGTCACACCCTCTTTGTGTTGATGTACATTGTTGCATCATCTGTTACTGTATCTGTTACACCTCCAAACGGAGTGTCGTTAATGGCACTGCCAGCTCAAATCAACACATTAAACAGACCCAGAAGAAGAACTACACCTACAAAGTATCTCAATCTGATCTCTAAGTGTGAGACTTTTTTCTCAGGCTGATTCTGCTCGACATGAATGCAACATTTTCACACTACGGATTCACTTTCACTTCAGAGATACAGCAAACGACTTAATCTGCATTCCCTCTGCAAAGACGGATCAAAACAGTTATTTATCGGACAGGCTTTTTGAACAGCTGATCATCCGCACAGCAGGCTCCACCATCAGCCCGAGCCATTAACCTTTTCACCTGTTCTACCTGTTTTACCTGTAAGTCACATTCATCAGCTTCCTCAACGCAGCAGCTTTTTGACCAGACATGTAATCACTCCCAACAGACTACTTTCCAAGAGTCACTCGCTTCTCTAGATCGAGGATTTTGAGCCTCAGGTGAATGATTTTCAAGCTAACATGAGTAAAAGTTAGCCACAGGACAGCCCACGTCCACTGAAGCCACTTTAAGGAATCCCTTGACCACGTGTCCTTTTTTCAGTCTTTTGACTAAAATTAATTTCATAAGTTAAAAGAGCAGAGACACCTGTGGCTGATTCAGCTCCTGCTAAACTCTGACAGTGAACACTAAAAGTATCTTCAGCTAAAAGCGAGTTATGAGCAGCTCAGCTTGCAGCCCTTACAGCCCAGCCTGAAAGCATTTAAGTAACATTAATGAATTACACTTTGACCCAACCACGCCTAACCTCAATAATTACAGCAAACTGCTTTTCCCCCTAGTGTTTCTACAGATAATGACTGCTTACAGAGACCTCTGGATAAATTGAAGGTCCATTCAGGTAAAACAAGCAGCTCAGCATGCAGCTTTTTTCAACTTATACAGTGGTGGAACAAATACTGACTTTGGCAGGTTTGCACTTTTTTTTTTTTTTTTAAATGGCGATAAAATCAATTCAATAAAAACTCTTGGTCCATTTTTTTTTGCACCACTTTGTCTTAGATGGATGTTCCTCCATCTATCTATCCGACTGGTGAGACGTAATACAACTGTACTTTTTAGTTTTCCTTTCACATTTGCTTTAGGCATTTCAGCAATGTTTTGTTGGAATTTATAATATAACAAATTCAAAAATTTGACAGGAAGCTTTTCATTTTTACTGTCAGTGCACATTGGCACCAGATATCGTATACAGGTCTGGTGAACTCCTAATTATTTGTTAACAGCACTGAAAAACAGATATCCTCCTACGAGGGACCTCTGAGAAACATTGATTAAAATGTGAAGCTGTTACAGCAGAAACTCCTGAACAACAAATTTTGAAGGCTCCTTCAGTACAGCTGTATTTAATAACGGTGATGAGGCAGAAAATCATTATCGGTTAAACAATGTATCGTTTGATCATCACAACTGCTATGTGTGCATGTGCAAGAGTCACAACACAGAGCATCCAGAGATTGCATATAAACAAAATAATGTACTGTGGAGCCAGTCATTAGTCTCTGTACTCAAAATTAAAAGTTGTATCGGTGCATCCCCATTATATACACACCCTTTTTGTTTAAAGAATACAAAGTTTCTCCTGTAACAGAAATTTACTGTTATTCTCACTGTGACAGTCTCTTTGTTTTATAAACAGATGACTGAATTAGGTCATATACCTTTTTTCATTTATGCGTTAGCTTTGTGTTTGCAACACTTTAATACAACCGACATCTGTGAGCCATTGTTGCCTGCATGGTTATTGCGTCACCTTTTAATCATATCAGCTAGGCCTGAACGATATATCGTTTGACTATCGTCATCGCGATGTACGTGTGTGCGATAGTCACATCGCAGAGCCTGCGATATTGGAGGTGAATGAACTCATTTAATTTCAAGGGTAACCGACTGAGATACACTCCATGTGACTCTGCATGTGCTGTGCAGCGATCCACCAATCGCCTTCGTCCTTAACTCAGTTGCCAATCAGACTCACTTCTCAGTTGCCAATCAGACTACCCTGCCAGCTGTCAATCAAAATCAGGGAGGAGAAAACCCACCCCTGCACATGTTCTGCACATGGAGGGAGACGTGTGTCCGCTGAGAATTACTTTCGGAACTTTACTGACTATTAAGCCCAACAAATAAGAACTGTATGGGTTTTAAATTGTACATTTCCGTGGACCACTCTACTATAAGCAGTGCGCGTTTTGCGAGGTGCATGCAATTCTCGGAGGACATGCGTTTCTCAGCACAACACCGCTAACAACAACAACAACGATCGCAAAATGAACAACGAACAAGCGAAAACCACCGAAAATGAAGATTTGTTGCCAAAAAGAAAAGGAAAGTCAGTTATCTGGAATTATTTCGGTTAAAAGAAGGATGATGTCGACCAAAACACGTCTTCTGTGTTCATCTGTTGCCACAATAACGTCCCAGCACAATAAAAGCTAAAAATATCTCTGAGACAGACAGAAGCCGTTCTACTAACATTCACAAAAAGAGGTAAGATCAGAGCAGATTAACTGTCCTCAAGATTTCAGCAGTGCAGCATAACATTAAGTGCTATTCAGGTCATCTGGTGAAAATACTGTATTTTTAATATCGCAGGGTTGAAAAAATCGCAATATTATTTTTTTCCAATATCGTGCAGCCTTAATATCAGCAGAAACTTTTATTACTGTGGATGCCAATAATTAACTTTATAGGGAAATATCTTCCAGTACCACCATCATGCAGATAGCATCTTTAGTTTTTCTTTACTTTTTTACACATATTAACTAATTTCACGAGTCGTGCGTGGTTAAATGTCACGGCACTGATGTTACTGTAGAGCCATGTTAAATAAACAAGAACATAATCTGGCTTTGTGGGTTAGTATCAGGCTGATGACTGATACCAGGATGGGATATCTGTAAGGCTGTAACAGTACACAAGAGTCACGGTTCGATATGTACCTCAGTTTTAAAGTAATGGTTTGTTTTACTTTTGGGAGACATGCAACACAAAGACTCTTTCATCCTTGAAGAACGAACAGAGCTTCCTTTTTTTACACAATGTCAAGTGCAGCGGCTGTGCACAACAGCAGTTTTTGTCTGTTCATGAAAGACAAGAGAATTTTTTATCAGGGCTGTATCACCTTCAATGTGTTAAAACCCTGTGTTCTCAACAACTGAACATGGTTGTAGTACCGCTGCCATAAAAACGCCACTAGCGTTTGCTATCTCTTTAGCTTAGAATTACCAGGTAAAGGCTGTTGAAAATTGAGAGGAAGCTGCTTTTGAACAAGTGTCTTTTTCCTAACAGTTGTTGTTGTTTACATCTGCGTGGCACTGCTTCAAACGTGCGAACAAGTTGGACGCATTTCCATCAACATATCCAAATGATGCCAAGTTTGGGCAAACTGCTTTGGTCTTACTGACATGTCTTTATCTATTAATATATATATATTGCTTTATATTGAATAACTATAATGTTCCCACACAGGAGACATTAATGACAGTGAAGGATCTTCTACTTCTTGCTTTTTTGTGTTGTGACGGCTGCCATGACGTGAAAAGCATATTACGGGTGTGGTCCTTTTGCATCTTCCAGCTGTGTAGGAACTCAAATTTCAATTTCATTCTGCATCCATGCACGCTGTATTAGAAATCCTGTACTGAAACGGCTTGGTAGGAACCTTTTCACATGATTAGATCTATGAATCCCTCATGTAGGGAGTTTTTGAGTGTGTATCTGACATCTAAAAACATCACACTGAACAGTCAAATTTTTACCCTTTCTAAAATGTGATCATGCGCTCACCGTAGCACTTCTCTTGCATTATTTTGTTTCTACAACTGTGTCTACCTGCTCATCATTTTCACAGCTTTGTAACAATGAAGCAGGTTCATATATGTCGCCATTGAATTACAGGTAAGCTCTACACTTTCAGGACCAAAAACTAAATCTTAATAAGGAAAATGTGAAGTAGATAGAGGAGAAACTGGGTTGAACAATTGGTAATCTTACCCCTTAATAACAAAAATGTATTATTTTTAAACATGCACTGATAAATCGGCTGGCCGATCGATGGGCGCAGAGTTCCTCAATTTTGGGGGATCAGTGATCGACTGATCTTTACACATGAAACAGATTTTATCCACCGTTCTTATCTACCTCAGCAAAGGTCTGAAAGTCAGCCGTTGTAGCTTTTTGCTTTGCGTCAGTGCGAGCGGCATACACAACAGTTATCCAAAGTGTGATCAACCAAGCATGTTGAACCCACTACAAGGAAACCTAAGACTCAGAACAGTTGATTGGTTGTTAGTTTGTCCTGTAGATTATTATTCTACCAACTTCCTCAAACCTTGTGGTTTCCTTTATTTGTAAAAGCAAAATACTGCTGTGTACTTCATTTTGGTAAGAGGCTCAAAACAGGCCTGCAGTGTGACCTGTAGCGTAAGTATTGTTCATTTTTAAAATGTGGAAAATAAAAGACTAACGGAACCGATATAATTTAGCAGTTTGGACAATATTCTAAACTTTTCATATACTGTATTTTTCGCACTATAAGGCACAGCGGATTATAAGGCGCACCATCAATGAACGCATCTTATTCGCGTCTATTTTCATATATAAAGCACACCGGATTATAAAGCGCATTCAGCCAAACAAAACAGTCAGATAAGTCAAACTTTATTTAACGCATTCAATGACTCTGCGAGGCTACGGTAGCTGCAGTGATCCAACAAGCCAAAAGAATTTTAAGTGCGCCTTATAGTGCGAAAAATACGGTATATTTGAGAGAACTAAAGCTCCTTACACACCGGGACTGTTTTTGTCGTATGATTATTTCAGAAATCTTTGTTTTAATTCTCATCTGTGCTAACGTAAGCTGACAGTTGTTACCATAGTTTCACATGCTTATCTTATCACTTCTGATTGGCTATAAGTGCTGACCGTTTGGCTTGAGCGTGTGATGACGTTTCCAGCTTTTCTAGCCAATCAGAGGCGAAGGAGGCGGGACTTTCCCCGGGACGCGTCTCAAAATCAAAATCGGTATAAGATTGGTGATCGGCCAGAAAATTGTGATCATGCACCCCTGATTATTTTTGTCATTAATTTAACCCAGTGGTTCTCAACTGTGGGTCCCGACCCAAAAGTGGGTCGCCGACACGTTCTGGACGAATCACAAACAGCTGGTCAAAAAAGTAAATATTTAATGCAATATTTATTAGATACTTGAGGTTTTCTGTATACGAAACTTCAGTAGTTGTCTCCTCATCTTACCCGCTTCATGTGCTCTGAAATGCACTTTACTCAATAAAACAAGTGCATTTATGTTAAAGATTAGAGTCTTAAGGCTTTTTTTTTTATAGAAAATAAATTTGTGGGTTGTTTGTGGGTCACAACTTAAGGACCATGGGAAAATGTGGGTCCCTGAGTGAGACCAGTTGAAAACCACTGATTTAACCAGATGATGTGCTGCCTCCACCACATCAGATGGGTGTAGCTGCTTCCATGAAATGCTGGCGCGAGCAGGCTGCTAGTGTGAGCATACGTGAGTGTGTGTGTGTGTGTGTGTGTGTGTGTGTGTGACAGAGAAGGGAGGGGGGCAGCAGAGGAGGAGAAGCCGGGCGGGCTCCAGCTGTCCTGAGCTCCTCTTTACTCCATCCATGCTGCAGCCTGACTGTAGCATCAGGTCAGTTAGCTTCTCTCGTCTCCTCCAACCCCGCTCACTGACCCCGCCAAAAAACAGTTAGCACCATCACACTGTCACACTCACCAGGTTCTCTATCGCCGCCTGCTCCAGAAACTTCTGTGCCGCCTCCAATTCATTCCGATCTGCGGAGAGAGAGCGGGGAGAGGAGGGGGAGAGGGGTTATTCAATGTAAGGTTAGCTCGTTAGCTGACAGATATGGTTAGCCGGAAGGCTAACGCACGACTTCAGAGAGAGGGTTCAGATATGAGCTCAAACCGGGTGGTGGAGCGTGTTACAGCACTTATTCTGATCTCTACATGCAGATGTTTGCTGATATCATTCACTGATGTGTAATTTTATAGTTAAAGGACACTGATGTTACACCCAGTCTGTTCACGGTAACACCAAGAGGCTCCAACGTGCGCGGTTAGCATGCTAGCATTAGCCCACAGACACGTTTAGAGTGACAGAAATAAAGTTTTCCAGATTATCAGTCAACATTTCAAAACAGGGGTAACTTTATTCAAAGCGGTCGGGTATAATCAAAACAGCATCTCGATGAACTTTTCTCTCTTCTCAGTGTCTCTTAGGTGGCGTTAGCAGGGGCGAAGCGGCCGATAGTTTGAATGATACAAGCTAACAGCCGCTCCAGCAGGCATGGGCAGGGTCGGCACTGCTAACCGGCTACACGCAGCTGTCACAGCAGAAACATCCGCATTGTGATGACACGGCATCTTAGTTTGAGATCATCTGGACACACTGGATTCTTAATGTCCCTGTCAGGGTTTTAAAAAATCCATCTGACATGTTGCTAAGTCACCAACGTTTTCCATAGAAACTGAGGCCGAGATCTATGCTCGGTTAGCCTCAGGAGCTAACACCCCGCTAAAGCGAAGCGTTTCCCTCCTCCCTGCTTCAAACTTTCACCGGCGCTAACAACCGCCGCGCTTACTCAGCAGCCTCCACCTGAAGACGGATACAACACTGGTGAAGTGTCCGGTGTGAGTGTTTACCTGGAGAGACCGTTTTTTCGAGGATAGTGATGAGCTCCATTCCGTCCGCCGGCTGCCTCTCTCTCTCTCTTCACTCGATCGCGAGCTCGCTAGTTTCGGTTGCCGCGCAGCGCTCACAGCGGATTATATTTCTTCCACGGAGCTCACTCGGTACCAGCCTCAGGGCGGGTTCAGTCGGTGTTAATAGCGGCGTCCGTCCCTCGGTGTCGGCTCGGTGTTTCTCTCTAGGATGATGTGGGGAAATGTTAACGGCTGTGTGGCGCAGAGTAACGTCTCGTACGTTCACCGCCACCCGTTTACATCCTGTGTTGTCGGGAGGGAAAGGGCCGCGCGCTTCTCCACCGCGGAAGGATATCACGCACTGACGGCAGTAGCGACGTGCTGCCTTCAGGGAGTGTCTGACATATGATGACTGTGCATTTGGTGCAGAGGGAAACACAGCAAAGCAGAAAAAGGTCACTAAAACTGTTATACATGTTGGGTTTGCATTATTATTATTAGTTTTTTTATTGTATTATTTTTAATTTATTTTAACTATATTTTGTTTATTTTAATTTTTAATTTTATTTTTTTACTTTTTTTGCTTTGAAGATTGTTATTGTCGTTTGAATATTCTCACTGGTCATGTTGTTTTTCACTTTTCAATTTAATAGCTTGGCGAATAAATTGGTTCACATTTAAATTCACTGTCATCTTAATTTTAGCCTGCGGAGAAACACTTTCGCATAACGTAAAATTACTTTTACACCTCTAAAACAGTCTGTTGTTTTAATTTAGATTCCTTGTCATCTTAATTTTAATCAGCAGAGAAACAATTTTGCGTAACTTAAAAAATAACTATTACACCTCTAAAACAGTCTCTTGTTTTAAACATTGCAGCGGAAAGGAAATCTGCTAATTTCGAGCCGAGTATTGCTCTGAGCATGTAGTTTTGGTGTCATGACCAAAACTTGTATTTTGCTGGGGATAATGAGTGTGTTACAATAATCCTAGTCTACCATATACTCCTTTTAAGAACTCTGGTCAAAAAACTTAATAATGGTCACCATAGACTAATTTAAACCTAAAAATCTGCTAAAACCAGAAAGTGGAAAAAGAAGTTTAACTGCAAATTAAGATGTAATCCAGATATTTTACACTAAAACTTTTTTTGTTTAAACATCGAGTCGGCGATGTTAAATATTAATGGTACTGAAAAGATCAAAAATGACATTGTAGATAATCAAAAACAACTCAGAGGCCAAATCTTATTTAACTTCTAATTGTCGAGTTTACATAGGACACCTGAACGCACCACAACACTCCTCTCCCCAACCTCCCGCAAGAGCCCGTTTGCACATCTTTCGCGCGCCTCACCCCGCACGTGCACCTGAGGTCATGCGCCAATCCAGATTTTTGTTAATCAGCCAAATATGTTAATTATGTATGGGGGGGGCGAGCAAATGAAGACTGTGATCCTGGGCTTTATTTTACGAGCGGCTGGACTCAGTTAAAGTTAGTCCAAGAACAGTTAACTTCTGGACTAAGCTTTTTTTATGATCCAGTTTAACTCTGGTTCTATGTTGAAATTAAACATTATGAAAAATCCACAATGTTTGTAAAAAGTAGTTCCTGGGTCGTGTTAACCATTCCCACTGAGCACTGACTGGTCTAAAATCAGGCTACCACGGGTCTAAAAATTAACGTTTTTTTTTTTAGACAATTAAATTTGGACCAAGTTTAGACCAATTTCTAAATCTGGACTAAATCTATACTACACTGTATATGGCTCAACAGCTATCATAATGATTTTGTTTAAGTACTTGGAGATCAGTTATGCAACTCACAGTTGCTTTTTGAAATAAATAGTTATCGAATAATGGGTTAAAGTGCAACATCTAAATTCCATCTAAAATATATATTGAATCTAGACTGTTGAAATAAGGTCTACAAAAGAACTAGACGTCTAATAGCCTTCTATTGCTCAGTGGGTTGTGTGTCATTAGCTCTTCTTTCCCCCAAAACTCTGTAAAGGTTAGTGAACCCAGGAAACCAGATTCAAGAGTTTAGGAAGTGAAGTGTTGTCCCACTCTTGCCTGATAAGGGATTTCTGCTGCTCAACAGTTCCAGGTCTCTTTGTCCCATTTTCTTTTTTGCCATGTTGCCCCAAATATTTTAAAATTGGTTATAAGTCAGGACTGCAGACAGGCCAGCTCAGCAGCAGGACTTGTCTGCTAAAGAGCCATGCTGTTGTAATACCTGCAGAATGGGGTTTGGCAATGTCTTTCTGAAATAAGCAGGGGCATCCCTGAAAAGGTCATCGTCTGGAATGGCAGCATATGCTGCTCCCAAACCTGTAGGTATTGTTGAAAATTAATGAGGACTTCACAGATATGTAAGTTACCCATGACATGAAAAGTTATGACCCCCCACACTATCAGGGTTGGTGGCTTTGAACTGTAAGCAGGGTGGTCCCTCTACTGTTTAGTGGCATCCATGAGTTCCAAAAAGAATGTCAGATTCAGACTTCCAACCATAGACTGTATATACAGTCTATGCTTCCAACCCTTTGTAGAGTGGAGGATTCAGTGTCCATGATTTCCAAAAGAATTTGAAATTTTTGATACAGATATTGAGTTGTTTGAAAGAATGCGACATTGGAAAGCACTTTAGAACCAGTCCATAATTTCAAAAAAGATGAAATGTTGGGTTTTCACTATTTTAGATGAAATAATGACATACAACATGTGTCCTTTTCCCCCTCTTGCTTGTCAAAGAGCCTGAGTACACCACTGCTGGTGGGTGATGCCTGAGGTGAATGAACTTTAATGTGACCTTAAATTCCTTATGAATACTCAACTCCCAAAGACAAGTATGAGAAATGATGAGATGCACATGGCACTTGAGTATCAAGTTCACACTGTAAACAGAAGTCATTATTACTTTGTAATGCAGTGAACATTTCATTAATTATTTTTCAAGTGTTTTGGTATAATAATTTAGTTGATTGATTGATTAAAAGTTAAGTTATAAATTTACAAACACAAACAAAGTAATTTATTCTCAGACCTCTAGCTTGATGTTAAATATATTGTGGACATGCAAAAGTTTGTTTTAATTATGAAACAGACTCAAAGGATGTAAAAACAAACCCATTGCTTCTTTATTCGTTAGTCATTTTACAGTAGTCACTCATACGTAGCTGCCTTGAGTTGGTCTTTTTGTGTCTTTTCACTTTTTGTTCCAACTTCTTCCTCATTTTTTTCATCAACACAACGGAAGAGTCATGGACAAAGTATCAAAAAGAACAAAAAACAGAAAAAGAAAAACAAAAATGGGAGAAAATGCCCCTTTTCACAACAAAAACTACATTTGGCAAAAGGTGAGGAAGATGATGGTGATGATGAAGATCCAGTGCATCTTAATGACATCCAGAAAGCCAGGAGAGAGTTTACTAAGATAGACAGAGAAGAAAGCTGAGATATGTGTGGGTGTCTGATTGGATAAGAGCTTTTAAGAGTCAGGATAATTGACCAATCAGGTTCTATCTCCTCACTTGTTGCTAGGTGAAGTTTTAAGCTGTGATATGCATACAGAACAGTGAGGCGTCAATGTCACAGTTTCAAAAAAAAAAAAAAATCTAAATCACAACATAATACAAAAAGTAAAAACTATAAAAACTGACCCATCAGACTGACGACAGTAAAATGCTGATCTGATCTGATCGGAGTGTGTATGGCACAACAAGGCGAACCACATGGCAATTTCAGATTTCACTAATACTTTCATTTCTGGCCTACACAGGGCTGAAATAACCTCCACCAGCGAACAGGAACCACAGGCTAATGGAGTTAGCTTTATTGTTGAATTACCTCTACTGCACTGCTACAAAACTTACTCTTATCAATCACTCCACTGTGAAAAATATCCTAATTTACTCTGGACAGTCAAACTCACCAAAAGTAATACGTTTCCTGCGAAAGTTACTGAAAAATGCAAATAAGTTTAATTTTTTATTTTCGAAGGATGTTTCAAATTTCTGACCATTAATGACAAGTATGATACTGGGATTGGACTCTTTCTATGGGCCTCAAACCCTCTGACATTCACTAATAAGTTCACAGTGTAAACTTGAATTAACTTTGATACATGAGATTTTATTTTCTGGTAATTGGCTACAGTTGCTAACATGGTAGCTATCGCAAAAGGAGCTACCCAACAACTTTTTTCTCAGTGGTCTAATCTTAAACAAATGTTTGTTCTAAAGTTTAAAAATTTGGATATGTAGTAAACATCAATCTGCCATATTTTTATGCTCTTCTTCACAAGCATCTACTAGCTAGCTGGCTAGTTTCTGCTTAAGTTAACAAATGAGCAAATAAGTTAACAGAGTTTTCAACTTTTTGTAGTTGAAAAATGGTGGTATTGAACAGGGAATTTTTGTCTTTTAAATAAGTTCCCAATAAGTTAACGCTAGCGTAGTCTGCCCTAGTACTTTTTTCATAGCAATTTAACTTCCGATTTCCGACTTCTGATTTTTTCTGACTGATTAGTATACATATTTTAGATTTCCAGATCTTCACATATCCTGGGGCTTACTAATTACCAAGCTAAAACTAGTAAGCTAGGTAGCATGAGTAAGCCCATTTAAAGTTAAGGCGTGAAATTAAGGGAATTCATTTTATTAGCATTCTAATGTTTGTGCTAATGATAGCGAAATGATAGCGAAACTTGTTCCTTTGGCTTTTAATGGCTTCTGTCAACAATGTATTATTTTTTTATTTGTTCGTTATTTTTCGCTTTGTCAGAGTGATTTCTGCTACACTATTCGCATTCATCAAACTCTGCTGCTTTTGTGGCAAGCTAACACGGGTTAGCTAGCTGTTACATTAATAACAGGCAAAAAGCAAATAACTTGTAGCCGATCTTAAGTAAGTCAAAAAACAGAACTGGCCACTATCAATAGTTAGCTAACTTTAGCTAAATAGTGATTGTGGCAGTTTTTCTTCCTTACTTAATCTAAATACTTTCATTTTAAGTTTTTTAAAATATCTGTTTTCCTCTGGGAACAATGCAGCAGAGGTAATGCAACAGTAAGCGACATAATGCCTGAAGTTGTACAGCTAGCTCACATGCTAACCAACATGCTGACTAGCACATGTTGACCCTCACAGCTACCTGTTTGTCACGATAACTGTGTTCCATGATTTGTTTGGCTGTTTGATTTGTCATATACATTTAAAAAGAACAATATGAAATACGTTAATAACATTTCTGCCCCACCCCCACCTTGCCCTAACCCCACCCCCTCCCCTCAGTGCCACCGCCTCATGTGATGAGACAGCCAGTTCACACAAATAGAAACAAACAGCTGACAGTCACAGCAGCGCGTGCTGATATGAACATCTGGGCATCATTTATGAAACATCTCTACCCAATCAGCAGCTTGCATTGATATTTTGGACACATCGTAAGTCTGAACTTTGTTTCAACAATGATCCTGACGGTAAACTCAGGATCTGATTGATTTTTCATAAGTGAGGCCCCTGAGAAAACTACGGAAGCCCAGTTCAGCCCAAACAACAAAAAAAAAGTGTTATAAAAAACAAAAATACCCAAATTTTCAGCTAATAAATTCCTATGACTTGACATAAAGTCTGATCTTGACTTCCTGACGAATCCTGAATCATGAGTCACTTTGTAAACAACATGTGACGACATGTGAAATCAAAACATATTGGAGATTATCACAATCGTGTAGCGATAATGGCACAGTAAAACAAGATCCTGAGTTGAAACAAGATAACAAACTGGTAAACTTAGTTGATGTGCTGAAGCAAAATTCTCAGCAAACAAAATTCTGTTCAAAATCTACGATATGGAAATTCAACATCATCCCTCAAAAAGAGGTTTTGAATCTGGAAGTTAAGTTTATGAGATTCTGACAGGATAGGAGAGGAAGTCAAAATCTTGAAATTCAACATTTCATAAGAATCAAGATATTGAAAAATGTAAAACAAGATTAGATAGTTTGATCAAAATGATGGACTTTTGTTGGAAACGATAAACCAAGATTACAGCGTTGTTACTCAAGATTATGTCATAGTCCCAGAGGTAAATCGGGATTGCAATTTGGTGGGTCAGCTGGTCGGTTGAAAAAAGACTGAGTATTCAAGATTAAATAAAAAATACAAACAGCTTTAACATCTAGCTTTGAATTTAGGGATCAAGATTGTGATATTGAAACAGGATAGTTAAGGAAGTCAAGCTCTTGATAGTCAGTTCATCATTACCAAATATAATCTAGATGTCAAATTCAAGATAAATTTTGTTGCTGAAACTTGTTCAACAGTAACTTAATGTGGAGATGATTAATCCAGATTACAATAGTTACTGAAGATATTGAGAACGTTTTTTTGACAGGATCTCGATAGTAACACCACATCCCGATATAAAACAAGATTGCAAAATAAAATCTCAGTTTTAATATGAAGCAAAATACTAAGTTAGTCATTTGGAGTGAGGGTGGAGAACATGAATCAAGATTTTGGTGTTCAGGATTATAGTTCAGTAAATCAAGATCCAATAAAGATTACCAAACAGTAAATTCTTGGCAGTGAAAAACAAGATATCATGTAGTTCAAAATAAAAGACTAAGGAAATTTGGTGACGGTCATAAATCAAGGTTGCAACAAAGTTTTTCAAGATAATGAGATAGTAAATCAAGATCCAGACATGAATCAAGATTACCAGACTACATTTTTGGCGATGAAAAACAAGATATCGTGTGGCTCAAAATAATGAAATATTGACTTTTGCTGATAATCATTAATCCAGATTGTAGTATGAATAATGAGACAGTAAATCAAGATCTATGAATGAATCAACACCAACTATGTAAATCCATGTTTTGAGAAAATTAAGAAATTTGAGATTTTGATATAAATTTGTCAAGGTGAATTATGAAAAGACAAATAAAGATCATGACCCATGAAATCGGATGGAACAGGATAGTAAATCAAGATCCTTTGTGTAGGTCAAGATTATTGTATAAATCCAAATAATGAAGACTATAAATTCTGATTTAAAAAGTCAGATGTTGAAGTAAGGATTCATATTAACAAGATAGTAAATCATAAGTTGATATTAGTAATTTGGTTTGATGTGCAATGATTTTTTATAATTTCTCCTAAACTTATGTGTCTGTGTTTTTTTGGCAGAAATGGGCCTCCGTAGAAAACAGATTCAAATTCACCGATAACTGATAGCGCAGTAAACACAGGAAGAAATGTTCAGCATGTAGAAAACAAACAAAAATACAACCAAAACCAGGATTGTTGCATACAAAAAGGAGTGAGAAAAGTAAAAACAAAAAAAAACTAACTTTCTCTTTTGCAGGAATGTCTGTTTGGGCTGATGGGAGTGCTGCAGTGGATTTCAAATAAATTAAAACCTGATTCAAAAAGAAAAAAAAAAGAATACAAACCAAACAAAACTCCTGAGAAAAAGACGATCAATCACTTCCCAGAGGAACACATGGAGGGAAACGCAGCAGGTAGAAACACAAAGAGGGAAGATGAATGATTGAGGCAAATGTTGAAGACACTGAGGCTCAGTTTCAAACACACCCGGCGCTGTCGGTCTGATCACACACACGCACATACACACAAACACACACATACAGGAAACTGGAAGGGAAACACCTTTAACCAAATCCACACCTGAACAACCTTCACCTGCTAAGATGTATGGGGTCTTAAAAATACTGTCACAATAACCTGATGGAGTGAGTCAGATAAACGAGTGCCTGTTTATCTGTTCCTACTGACTGTATCTGTTTCTACCAAGTACCGTTAACACTGTGTATGCCTCTGATAAGTCTTAGCTTCACTGTATCTGTTACTGTTGAGTCTTGGTTTCACTGTATCTGTCTCTTTAAAATCTGCTGAATACAACAAGATAATGTGACTTGAAACTTGACTGCTGGGGTATGAATGAGCGATATGAAAGTTCAGAGGTTCTGCTTCGGTCTAGCGGGATTGTTTTAACACTTTGAGTGGATCTATATTAAGTTTTTAACATTTAACCCAGGCCTGTTCACACTGCAGGAGCTTACTGGTTCAGTACAAACTGGTTTCGCACATTAACACTGTCTCTGTCTGTTTGTTAAATCAATTGTCTAGTGTCTGTATACATTCATTAAGTTCCCTCTGGCAACTGTGTCCAAACTAAAGGAGAAAACTCAGAGATTGAGGGCTGTGACAATAGACGTGTGCTAAAGGGGAATGATTTCTATTATCAATCGTGTCAACGGCGGAGACTGAGTGTCAGTAAAAGGGTGTGTATGATGTATATCAACTGTGTTCTACATGATCTTGTTAAAAAGCCATCAACTGAAAGCAAATGTGAAGCATACAAAGCATTTTAAAGTAAAGTCATGACCATGAGAAGCAGAAGTGCAGTGGGACAACTCTCCTGACCTTGAAACAGTAAACGCTGGTAAGAGGTTCTCCTAAAATCAGTTTTTTAGCCCTGCCGGCACAAAAAAAACACAAAAAAGGTGATTAAACACACAGCCCCTCAACTCTTCATTTAATGAGGAAAAGACTAAACCCTGGGAAATGTCTGGAAAACTTTCTCTCATCACATCTGTTGAATAAACTTAAACATTTGTCGTATAACACTGATCTGTGCAAGACCGGACCTTAAAAAGAAACCATCTCCAGTGTTGATGGTCTGACAAAACACAACACCTGGAATTGTGCAGGTGCACTGATTTATGTTTTTTGCATTACTTCCTTGTCTATTTTTCAAAAATGAGCAATGAGATTTGATTGACAGTTGCTAGCCCCTCCCTTTCAAAAGTCTTTGGATCATGTCTTACAAACTGTTCTTGTCGGACATAAACTTAACCAATTTTTTCCTGCTGGGACAATAAAAACCTTCTCTATGAGGGCTGTAAACTGTTCCAGATTTACGTAGATGTGATGATCGAATGCAGTGAGATCTAAGTCAATATCGCCTTCTGACAGAGGTGCATGGTGCATCACCTGCCGATGTGCTAATGTCTGTCAACACAGATGATGTTTGCAGATACAGATGTTTAATGGTGCATTTGTTGTTGCAGCCTCTTAAGGAACAATTCCCAGTTATATGATGATAATTTGCGGTCTGAGAGCAGATTAATGAAGAGAACAAACTCAGCGCGAACAGACTGTTTATAAGAACCTTACCAGACTAGAAACTGAGTTCTGACCTTTCTTTGAGTGGATTTTAAAATATCGTATGTGGCATCTGTTTAGACACATAAAGAAGAGTTTATCTCACTTAAGGTGAGTGTGTCAGACCCTAAAACCCCCAGACTTCACTCAGGAGTTGTTATAAAAACAGGTGTGTTTTTAGCCCAGCTCCGCGCAAAGACTGGAAGCGGAGCGGACGCGTTGGCCTGATCTTTAGACCGATTCTGGAGAAAGTAACAGAGATGTCAGATTGTGTTTAAGATGAAACTCTTTATGGCAAACCGAAGTCTCTCCCTGTCTGTTTGGGGGTGGGGTCGTGGTCTGAGGGGTAACATCACCTTTCATACAACAGAAACTAAATCTGGAAAACATCAGATACCCATGTTTATCCTGTTCTGCAGCTACTGACAAGCAGGTGGATGTCTGGTGTTATGATTGGTCGCAGGGTGGAAGGACGGAAGGAAGGAAGGGAGGGAGGATAGAAGGAAAAAAGGGAGGGAGTGTGTGGGGGAGGTTAAAGGTCATTTACAGTAAACTACAGGTATATACACACACCCAAAATTGTACAGAGAACAAATATGTACATGCTCAGGGTTTCTATTTTTTAACTACCACCAAAAACTTTCCCAAAATATGTTTCTCCTCCTCCTCTTCCTCGTTTCCCAACAACAGGAGGAATACTGCACTGTTCCCTCCTCTTCCTCGTCTTCTTCCTCACCTGTCTGTAGTGTATCCAGGAAGGAGGCGGGGCTTGTGTGCCGTCTGGACTCAAATGTCAAATGGCGCAAAGGAGTGCTCTAGCTGTTCTTCAGCAGCGTTCTGTCTTCAGGAGGACAGGAGGAGGAGGAGGAGGAGGAGGAGGCAGCAGACGTGGAGCAGGATGAAGCAGCAACTGTGGTGGAGGAGGAGGTGGAAGTGGAGGTGGAGGTGGAGGAGGAAGAAGAGGAGGAGGCGTGTGATGGGAAGGAGAGAAGCTGTCCAGTCTCGGAGGAGAGGAGGGAGCAGGAGCGCAGGTCCACCGTCTGCAGGGAGGTGCAGCGACGCAGTAAGGGGACACACTGCTCCGTCACCTTCACACAACCTGAAAAACACACACAGCGGCGGCATCACAACACCGATCGAAAACTACAAAAAAAAAAAAAGTTTTATGAGGAGATCATTAAAGCATCAGAGGGGAAAGGCTGCTGCATCAAAGGGATAATCCCTGATCTTTAAAGGAAGACAAAATATCCTGGACAAGCACAGAGGCCAAAAATATGACAGAGACAAGGGTTATAGTTATCACTTTGGTCAACCAGTCCACTTCTGTGGTGGAAAGTACAGGTTTTGGTTGTCTTTCAGATCTTCAGTAAGCCCTGCCCAGAGTTTTGGCTGATTATAATCCAGAATTACATCCATAAAGCCAAAACAGTCAACAGTAAACTCTAGATAGGCAAAAGTGTTTGACTAATACCTTCATTTAAAACAATAATAACATGATCCAACACATTTAACTTTGTACTCCAACCATGCACAGCAATGTAAACCTGCAGCAAGAAGGAGGGAAACACAGATACAATATGATATTTTAAAAGGAACTACCACAGAGCCTAGAAGCTACAAGTCAGACTGAAAAGAAATAAACTAAAGAAGTCAAAGCTGCGGAGATAAACTGCAAACTGCACCAGAGGAACACAGCAGAGGAGTCTAAACCTCAGTCTACAGAACACAAGACTAAAGACAATCATAAATAAAGACAGGTAAACATCGAAGACTAAAATGAAACATTCCTGCTCTTTCTGTATTTGGTTTACCTGCCAGATTGATGTAGGTGAGGCTCTCTCTCAGGGGGGAGATGGGGGAGGTGAGGGTGTGCACTGTCTGGTCTGTGACGTTGGCACAGTGGCTCAGGTCTAATCTGGTCAGGTGAGGAACGTAACGCACCAACAGGCGAGACGACGTGTCCGACAGATCCAAACCGGCCAATCGCAGCTCCGTCATGTTCTGGAAACGCCCCACCCTGGTTTCCCCGTGAGCTGGTCGACCAATCAGAGAAGAGGTAAAGTTATTTAAAATTCAAAGTAATAAAGTTAAAACAAAGATATTTAGATAATCATTTTTTATTGACTTTATTTACTTTGTTAATTCCATTATTGAGAGGAACCCTCTCTTTCAAACACCTGAACTTTAATACTCTCCCATAACATGCAACAGTATTGGTGATTGGTGTTGTTTAGTTAATATCAGGGATTTAAGCTTTTAAAACTGCGATAATCTTTGAAAAAGCAAAAATAAATCAAGCGCTCTACACTATTATTTGTTGGTGATAAACCTTTTGGAAACACTCGAATAGAAAACATGATTTTATTTCAAATATAAGTTCAGTTTAACATCTCAAAGTGACTTTTGGTTCAGATAAAAACTCTTAAAAGTTCACTAAGTAACACATCAGTGTGTCATTGTCTCACCTGTCCGGGTGTCCGGTGGGGGCGCCAGCAGTTCCCTCAAGTGAGAGTCTTTCAGGTCCTCCACTCTGCTGAGGTCCAGCAGCTTCAGACAGGGACAGACAGCCTGACACAGAGCAGAGACCGCTGACCACTGACAACCTGAAATGTTCAACTCCAGGAGACCTGAAAGGGACAGGCAGGACGGGTCAGGCATAGAGTCAGGATAGAAGCCGTGTGACTCCCTGGGCAGGACATGTCTACAAATGTTTCAAATACATTTTTGTTAGGTTCAAGATCCCCAGTTCCTGCTCCGAGACCCTGTCATGAAGAAACTCTGTTCACTCCAGCAACAGAAGAAGAGTGGCTGCATTAAAACTTCTAAACCGTCTTATTTTTACTGTGCAAGTTTTGAGATTAGACTGTTCACCACCAGCGCCATCAGATGCGCCCAAGATACGAAGTTGGCCTAGGTTTATATCCGGCCTGTAGTTTTCTCTCCCTGTCCACTGTCCTGTGCTCTCCAAGTAAAGGCATAAGAATCCTGAAAATGTATGCGAACGGTGTAACCTGAACAGCTCTTTCATGAACTCCACTGACTGCAGGGGAGCTTTGCTAGTTGTAAGATAGCATCAGAACACTGGAAACGTTTCCTCTTGTGGTCTGTGTGTAAATAAATCATCGGTTTATAAACTCTTAACAGCTCAAAACTTGAAAGCATTACTTAAAATGAAAAAAAAAAAGAGTACATAAAAAGGAGTCGTAACACACTGATCAAATTAATTCAGGTTATCTAGGATCTCCTTCTCCTTTTCAATCATCGCTGTTTAGGGACAGACTAGATCACAGGATAACAGAAGAGTGCTGAAACAGCTATGAAGGTAAAGATCAGTCATTTGAGGTCCTTTCTCAACTTTTCATGCAGATAATTGCAAGCTGTCCTGATCTAAACTCGATCCTCTTGATTGAAACTTGACAGGTCCTACTCTGAGCTCGGGTTCTTCATCCCAATAAGAACTGGTAGAGCATGTGATTCAGTGTTGTTTTCGTCAGATTTCATCAAATATTTTCGTCAACGTCAGCGTCAAAAAAGGGAAATATTTTCGTCAACGAGAACAACACTGGTTGTTTTCGTTGACGAAAATATTTCCCTTTTCTTCCACGACGAAGACGTAACGTTGACGAGCTAAACATAAGTCGGAGATGACTAAAATGTGACAAGACGAAAGTGCATTTACGTTGACGGGACGAGACGAAAACGACGAACAGAGTTGCAAAATTCAGCCAGTTAAACGCTAAACATATAGGAGCAGCTTCAGTCCGCTCTGACAGCTCTCATCAGCCTGCTGTGCTCCTCCAACACACAGACACACACACACACATGGGCGCCTGCGCGCACACGCGTGCAGTTTTGTTTTCGTTGACGATGACGAAAATATTTTCGTCAATGTCATGGTTGACGGAAACAACACTGATGTGATTACCTGTAGACTGAGGAAGCGGAGGGTCCTCACCTTGTAAACGATTTATAAGCCACATTAGCTGTTTCTTGGAGATATTGGTGTACCCCAGGTTCAGGGAGACGGGCTGACGGCGGATGATACCACTCAGCATGGGGGGAGTGATGGAGCGCTGCCTGCTCAGGTCGATCTGGGTCCACAGACGTTTGTCGCAGCACCTGGAAGAAGAAGATGGAGACACATGTATCCTGATGAAACAGGATGTTTGTTTAAACTCACCGTCGGGTAAAAACTCCCGTTGAATGACGTCACTCACCAGCGGCTCCAAGTGCGGCACACCCTCATGCACACACACAGCTCTCTTTGACTCAAGTGGGTAAACACTCTGAGCCACACGTCTCGCGTCATGATGTGGGAGGAGCCGGAGTCCAGCGGCAGGCAGCTGGGCTCAGGGCAGGCGGGTGGAGGACGCACCAGGTGTCTCTCCATCTGGACAGGACGGGGCGGTGAGGGCACAGCGGGGGGACTGCGTTTCATCATCTGGGAGCGCGGTGCGAGGCGGGATGGCTGCGAGCAGGGAGAAGCCGCCATGGCTGACATCATTAGGCCGCCTCCCCCCGGGCCTCCACCTCCCCCGTTAGAGGTAGGGATGGAAGATGAGGGTGAGGTGATGCTGTTCCTGGACGTCTGGCTCTTACTGTTGCTGCGGATCTTGTTGCCCCTGCTCCCGCTGCCTTTGGTCCCGCCCCCTCCTCCCCCACCGTGTCTGTGATTGGTCAGAACGCTGCTGGCATTCTCCTTCTCCCCTCCCTCCCTCCCCACTCCTGCCCCTCCTCGTGTCCGTCCATTGCGGGCCTCCTGCCCGTTGCTGCGCTGCTTCCCCATGAAGCCGTCGTGCTGTGAGGACGGAGGCATCTGATTGGAGGAGAGGGGCGAGGGTGGGGGGAGGGAAGCAGAGTTTTTCCTGGTCCTGTCAGAAGTGGGCGTGTCCTCCTCGTCTCCATCAAGCAGCCCACTTTTACGTCCACGTGAAGGCAGCACCACCTCTCCTCCTCCCCCTCTCCTCCGAGCCTTGTCCCCTCCTGGCTCTTCCTCCTTCACCTCCTCCTCCCCCCTCCCTGCCTCACCCTCTGACTCCTCGCTGGCGCTGAACCCCAGCTCAGCGAGGCGCCGTTCCCTTTCCCGCTCTCGTTCTCGCTCGCTTCGACTTCTCTCTCTCTCCGCCCGGCCTCCGCTGCTGTTCCCGTACACGACAGGAGGAGGGGCGGGTGAGGAGGACGAAGGCGAGGAGCCTCCTCCCCCTTGCTCCCCCCTCAGGGAGTCGTCAGAATCGGACTCCGAATCAGACTCGGAGCTGGAGGAGGACGAGGAGGAGGACTCGGGCCGTCGCTCCAGCATGCACATTCTCTTAAAGCGCTCCAGTTTCTCCCTGTGGTGGGAGCGCTGGTCCGCACTCGACGTCCCCCCTGCACCTCCTCCTCCTCCCCCACCTCCTCCTCCCCCTGGCTGAGATGAAGACGTATTTGAAGAGCCTTGCAGTCCTCCCGCTCCTCCTCCTGCTGAGGAGGTGGGGCCGTTGGACTCCCCTGCCTCCTGTTTGGGTTTCTGATCAAGAGAAGGGAGAAGTTAACAAATACAGAAAACCTGAACCTGAACCAAACTAAATGAGTCCAGATTCATCAGGGGTCTGGACTCATGAGTGTGGGGCTCTTGTTAGTGATGTTAAACCAGGGACCTGTTAGAGGACTGGAAAAAACGAATGTTCTGATAAACTAATACACGATGAACATGATTGATTACATCATGCTTATACAGCAGGCGTTTCATGTATTGTTTACAAAAGACTCTCAGGTCACCCTCTCAGACCAAATAGCTTCAGGGGTCTTGATAGATTTACCGTAATTCAAGTAAGATCTAATCCTGTCCCTGATTAGAGCCAACTGTTACTGCTGTCACTCTAAAAAAAGGGGTAGTGAACTACAGTGCTGTGAAAAAGTATAAACCGCTTTACAGATTTATTACGTTTTTGCTTTTTGTCCTGCTTACATGTTTCAGATCATCAAACAATTGTAGATATCAGACAACTAAACCTGAGGAAAATACAAAGTGCAGTTTTTGAATTATGATTTCATTCATTAAGGGGAAAAAAAATCTGGAAAATTTCTGGCCATCAGTTTGTGACTTTAAGCTCAAGTCAGGGCTTGACACTAACTTTTTTCACGAGGGGCACATGTGCTCTAAGTTGAAAAAGTAAGGAGCACATAAAGAACTTTAGGGGAACAATAAAAACTGATCAAATAATGTTTGTCTTATTGATCGACATAAGTACCATTATTTTAAATCAGTTTGAGGATAATTGGTCACATGACATGGAAGCTATTGAATTAAAACAGCCTTTCTGGGAACATCAACCGGTAATTTATCGCTGGTCCCTTATTCAACACCTGATGTTAACAGCGAGGGTGCAGACTAGATTTAATCACGCTGCTCTTGCCATTCCTGGTTATGGAGAGTGAGAAGACACCGGCAGATCCGCAGTGAATATCCAACCTAAAACTAACTTCACCGCGGTATTTACACGAAAAAACATTTGTTGCCTCGGCTAATTTCTTTTATGCGTGCATGTGCCCCTAAATACATTTTACAATTCGCACACATCTATTTTTAGTTGCAAATGCAAGTGAAACGGTCGTACTGTCGTGCCTTGGCTCAAGTGCACTTGGATTGCGCAGCCGGACAATGGTCTGAATCACACCTGCAAGTCCACCTCCGAACCAAAAATGAAGGTTTTGAAACAGGCTGTTCATGCTTGAAAAACTGTCCAATCTGGCTGAATCAAAACAATCCTACAACGAAGAGTGGGTCAAAACTCCTCCACAGCGATGTCAAAGACTCACTGCCTGTTATTGCAAACGCTTGATTGCAGTTGTTGCCGCCAAGGGTGGCACAACCAGATCTTAGGTTTAGGGGGCAATGACCTTTTTATATAGGGTCAGGTTGGTTTAGGTTGGAGAGCTTTTTTCTCTTAATAAATGGAGTCATCATTCCAAAACTGCATTTTCTTTTCACTCAGGTTAACTGATATTCAAATTCGTTTGATGATCTGGGGCGATCTACACAGAAAGAGGAAAAACAGACACTACTCTGCAAGCTGAAAGTAAGACGAGACCACATCTTGTTTCCCTTCTGATCCCTTCTTGATGGAAGATCAAACGAAACCCGGGTCCTAATCTTAAACAAACAGGGCTACTGGGAGTAGCTGTTACATTTTTCAGTCGAACTCTCAGTTTCTTGGACATCTGCAGTTGTTTTCAGTCAATAACCTCATTTTTTGTTTCTGTTGGCACAAACGAGTCATAGGAGGAAAAGAGCTTTTAGTTGTTTGTGGGACAGAGAGTGTGAAGTAAAAGCTTCGTACCTTTTTGAGGCGTTTTTCGTGTGCACCTTTCATCTGAGAAAAAGAAAGAAACACTCAGATGTAACCACAGATTACAAACATGAGCAGCTCCTCCTCGTATCTGACCTACTCGCTCACCTTCTTCTTGGCTCCACTGTCCGCTGGAAGCTCCTTCTCCTTCTTCCTCTTGTGTCCCCCCTCTATCCTCCCTGCCTCCTCCAGGGAGGGAGGGGCTTTCTTTTTAGGGGGAGGGTCATCTGTGAGTTTCCAGCGTCCCACCTCTCCGTTATCCAGCCTGCGCTTCCCCGAGCCATCTGCCTGGTCCTGAACGGAGATACAGACGGAAGAACTGGTTGGTTTAGGGGCAGCTTCAGATCTTTAAAGCTGTCTTTATGCCTTTAAGCAGCACTTCATTATAGACAGACAGGACTCTGTAGTAGAAATCACTGCATGGGCTCAAAATCACACCTCTCTAGATGGACTGAGTTGAAGTCGAAAAATGTTCTGTTGGCTGACCAATCAAAACCTGACATTCTTTGTTGGAAATCATGGACGCTGCATCGCCCTCTCTAAATAGTAGAGGGACCGCCCAGCTCGTCATCAGCTCACAGTTCAAAGCCAGCATCCCTGATGTTATGGGGATCATAAGGGGTCCATGTGTAGCTTACACATCTGTGAAGGCTCCATTTAAGCTGAACAGTATATCAAAGTTTAGGAGCTACATATGCTGCCATCCAGAAAATAACTTTTTCAGGGAAGACCTTCATATTTCAAGAAGAGGATCACAAACGACATTACAACAGCATGGCTCTGTAGTAGAAGAGTCCTGCTGCTACACTGGCCTGTCTGCAGTCCTGAGTTACCACCTGTTAAATGTTTTAAAACATGTTGCTGAATTGAATTTTAAAATGAGCATGTATTTTTCATTGAACTTATCTTTTAGTTTGAACATCTGATATGTTGTCCTCAAATAAAGTCTTTATTTACCAACCATAAAACTCAGTTTTTATCTGAATGTTACTCAGCATCACAACTGTTGTGGGATTGAGATTGTATTTTTATTTGATCTATAAAAAGGGTGACTATACAAGTCATCTACAAACCCAATTAAAAGTTTGGATCTGAGTTCCTGAGGTTCTGGTCCCAGTCTTACCTTACTGGTTTTGCCCTCTTTGTGGCACTTCGGACACTCCCAGCAGTTTGGGATCTCCTCGTTGATGATTCCTTCAGCTTTACCCATCTGAGGAGGCAAACATTTCAGACACATCTTGAATAAAAACATACACTTTCTTCTTGAGTTATATCTATATCTGTTGTCTTTTCTCTCAGGTGGCTCACAGCAAGTCTTTACCATCACTTTCTTGTTTGAAAACTTTGAAAGCCTTGGGCTTCATTGCAGCCATAATTCAGATCTCTTTATTTCCTCCATGTTGGGTCTGCATCTCCCTGTAATTCTGCTGCAGTGACCCAATTTATTCCAAACCTTATTAAAGTTTGATCTGAGAAAAGAAACTAAAATCTGCATTTCTGCTCTGATCACATGTAAAGAGGAGTGAGCCTCTAGGCTGCAGATGCTGAAATAAAGACGCCATTTCTGACCTTCAGGCAGCTCGGGTGGATGATCTCGTTACAGATGGTGCACTCCATCAGAGAGAGGCTGAACTTCTCCTCAACAGAGTCCACCGTATCCTCCTTCCCTGCCTCGCCACACGCAAAACACACTGCCGTGTGAGGCAGCACAGGCTGTAAAGAGAGAAAGAGAGACGGGTGAGTCAGACATGCAGAGAGACAGGTGAAGAGAGCCCAGCGTGTCCAACACGTATACAGACATTTATTAGGAAATAAAGTTTTACAAGGTCCTGATTTGGAGCAGATGTGCCTGAATGTGTTACACTACAGCTCATCTTTATTCACAGTTTCTGCAGATGCAGAAAAGATTTGAGGTGCAGGTGCAGGAGGTATGAAGCTTTCTGTTTGCAGTCAGAGTACAACTGTCTTCTAGCTTTTCCTTCAGGGAGAAGTAAGTTTGGATGTACATGAAGCACAACACTTCTCCATTCATGTAATCCTGTATCTCATCTGTAAATGTTCAAGCATGATTTAGGTTTTTATAAACTGTTATTATCAGAAACCTGCATGCAAGCGCAGCTATCAGCCCACTTTGGTTAATTTGTATCTCCCGCTATTTTTGTCTTTTTGTTCTAAATTTCTTGTTTCCACATTTTTGTTGGTTTAGGTTATTTATGAGTGTTTTAAACATGGTTAGAGTGTTGGTACCATCGGTCAGGTACCCCTGTGTACTCTGCCGTGTCAGTCAGTTCAGTCATGGCTCTGAGATCTCCTCACCCGACACAGTGACTGTCATTATTGTTGGTTTGAGCTCATCGTCATCAAACAGATATAAAAACCACAGGAAGCTTTCTGCTCCTTCTGAACACACTGACTGACATCAACCAGCAGAGGGCATCATCCTTCACTCCCCCTTCCTCCTCCTCCCCCACCTGCTACAGCAATAAGAGGAGGATCCACCCCCCATCACGTTCATCTCCTGCTTTTTAGGAGGATCAAATATGAAACATCACCTCCTTCTCTTTCAAATTCACTTGCTGGTTCTGCCGCTTTCAAAACCCACATATAGGTAAAAAAAAATAAATGAATAAAAATAAACAAACCAGCGACAAATAAAAACGCAATATAACGGCTGTTCTACTAGCCCGCTGGGTGGTGTGTGTGTGTGTGTTTGTGTGTGTGTCAAAGCATCTCTATGAAACCATGGCCATGGATCAAAGCCAACTCACTCTCACTCTTAGCACCAGTAACCATCTCTGGTTGCCACGGAAACCCAGCATCCTCTCCTGCTGGGTTCCTTCTCTGTGCTGATGCTATTTGAAGAATCCACACACACACATATACACACACACAACCACACATACATTTCAAGAGCACGCTCCCTGCATTTGGAGATGATGTTCTGACTGTCTCTGTATGTGTGTGTGTAACAGTGTGTGTGTGTGTGTAACAGTGTATGTGTGTGACACTTCAGTAGGTGTTAGGTGTATCACAGGATTATGTCGACATGTAAATCTGAGCCTTGTTTGTGTGTGTGTGTAAATGTGTACTTGTCATTTTGAAGAGCAGATATTATGCCAGCATGTGTGTGTGTGTGTGTGTGTGTGTGTGCTGTGGTTCTTGTATCTCTATGAGGACCTCTCTAGAGTGTGAGAACATTCTGTCCGCACTTCTTCCTCAGTTATTTCTCTCTCTCTCTGACCTTTTTCTGCAATAACATAAAATCAACTTAAATCTGTGTTTAGAGGATTTATAACCTGCTGGATTAGGTATAGAAAGTTTTATATAACCTCAATGAGATAATCAATTCATACTATTCAAAGCTAAGTTTGTAGTGCAACTTTTTAATCCGTTTTCTTGTCCCTTCTCCTTCCTCAAATGACTGATCAACCACAGTTAGCTGCGCAGGGTTATCAATGAAGTTCACAGTCCAATTAAGCAGCTGGTGAAGCCGTGTGTTTGGACTAAGAGAAAAGTTAAACTCGGCTCTCCAGAAATGTCTGCAAAATAAACAGTTCATAGTAAGTTACACAGAGGCTTCACTCTGGCTTACTTCAGCATTATGACACCCTTTAAAACCTACTTTTTTTTTACTGTCAGGTCTCTAAAAAGGCTGAAATAACATCATGATGCAGATTCGTAAAAGGTAAAAGTCAGGCTTTGTCAGGTAACTTTTCAAATGTTTTTTCCTGATGCATTTGGAAGTCTGGAAATCCAATCACTGACTGGCTTTTGCAACAAAGTGACAAACAGGTTTATTTCAAATGCGGTGCAGATCTCTGTTTACAGAGAGAAACAAAAATTGTCAAATAACTACTTATATGAGGAGAGGATGTCTTTATGGTAGATTGTGTTTCTCCTGCTTTTGCTCTTGATACACTGTTCTCCCTGCAGACACCTGATTGTTCAATACTACTTGGACGACAAACTTAACTGAAACAAAACATTTTCAATGCTAAAACCCAGCTGTCCACTTATGTTGGTAAAGTAGCATGTTTAGATAAACTATATGTAAAATTCAAGGACATCAGGATATTTACAGCAGATTCAGTTCCCCATTTAGATGAAGTGATGACAGTATTTTGTCAATAGAAAAGAGATTTGATTTACAGTTTCTGTTACTTAAACTAATTATATTTGTCAAAAACCTCTTATTCCACTAAAAAAGGAAACTAGAAATGCCATTAATGACTTAAAACAGTTACTATTGTTACCCTACAAACATTATCGAAACATCACAAACAAATCAAAACGGTTAGTGTGCATAAAAGGGAGAGGGAGGAATTTACTCAATGGACCTTGGGAATGCATTTGCTCATCAAAAGAAAAGCATCAGATGATAAAAAAAATACTGCATAAGGAGAGTGATGAAATGCAGAAATTAACACTCCCTTCAAACTAACTTTAAAAAAATGTTACAATCTGATATCCCAAAAAAGGGAGACTGACAAATTCAGTAAGAAATAGAGCTGCTTTTGGCTTCATTTTAACACTTCTTGATGGACACTGCTCCAGTAAAAAATACCTAAGACCCCCAAGTTGAAGCTAAATCGAGAAGAAAAATGAAGCCAGCATTCTGGTGTAGGTGTTGAGTCCTGGCTCTGCAGGACTACAATCACAAAACAACAGACTTTACTGTGAATTCAAAGAAATAACAGGTTTAGATAACGCTGCAATAACTACATCATAATGCAGAGTTATAAAAACTGATTTGACAGGTCTGTCTGCAAGAAGGCAAGCCAACAGCTTTAAAATGATTGTTTCTTATGAATGGAGTTCAATTTGGCTGATTCTGCTGCAGCATCAGGATTTCCTGAGTTGAAAGGTTTTTAAGTCACTTTCTGGCGAAATTCTCCAGCCTTTGGTCTGAAAGTCTGAGGAACTGGATCATGTGACATCTAGGAAGCCTGAACCTATCCGAAGCAACAGTGGTGACATGTGAATACAGAAGTTGGGGACACTTTCACTGTCTGCTTTATTTGTGGTCATAGTGCTGATTATCGTGTGTGTGTGTGTGTGTGTCTCACCGCTGTGCACTGTCTCAGGAGGCAGGACTGCTTCATGCGGCCGGGCCCTCCAAACTTCTTCATGTCCTTACAGAAGTGACACTCTCCACACTCTGTCCTCATGCAGGCCTGGCAGCGCCGGCACCGTGTCCGCCTGCGCCGTGCCCCACCGCCAGCCCCCCCGCCCAGCGCCTTACTTCCCGACATCCCCGAACAAGTCAGCTGCAGACACACAGGAAGAAACATCATTATTTTAACATAAGCTTTTGTTATTATAGGTCTGTTGGAGCCACAGAAATACATTTGCTGACACAATACTGTAGTTAATATCCGAACTGTGTTGAGCCATTTGAATTCAAAATATACTGTTCAACAGTGCACCAGGTATCTTGTGACTTGCCGATCCATCCAGGAAGGCACTGTCATCGTCACCTGACCATTGAACGTCACTCTTGACTTTAGTGATAATTTTCTACAAATATGCAGGACGTGTGTAGGTCATGTTTGATATTAGTTCAAACTTGATTTTCTGAAATAGTGACAGCCCTGGTGCCTTTAAAGAAGCTGAAGTGTTTTTACATGAAGCTCCTGTTTTTGGCATTCACAGTGTCTGAAAATTTACAGAAGGATCCCGAGACATAAAACTGACCTTTCTGTGAGGAGTAAGTAAACAGCTGTTTCGTTACTCTCATCAATAAATTGGTAGTTTACCTTTAAGGATGCAGGAGACGCTGTTCTACTGCAGCATGAATGTATTTGTGTTTACTGTATGGTCTCAGTAATTGGTACAAATCCAACACACAATAGCACAAACTGACTAAATGACTGAAGCAGAGGTAGACCAACGACTTCCAGACATTAAAAGATAAAGTGCTACTTTTGAAAGTAAAGTTTATTGACACAAGTTTGTCTGCCTCTGCTACAGAAGGTGGTGACATTTCTGCAGGGCTGTCTCCTGGTTGACTTATTACATCATGTACCAAATCAGTCAACAAACATCATTCCAAGAGGCTAACAGTGTGTGCACCAGATGATGAAAACATTGCCACTGATACAGCTCTATACCTTGTGTACTTCATCTCTTGTTTACATCCTTTTTTCATCTGCCAAGGTTCTGTGTGTTTTTTTTATCCAGCTTCTTAGCAAAACATTTATGCTGTTCAGCTTCTGAGTTAAAGGCGTGCAAACTCTGGAGTGCACCTGAAACCAATTTCAGCCTAAAAGAGCCTAAACATGTACGAGAAAGTTGATTATCTATGTATGTTACTCACACCATGAGAAGTTTAAGCTAGTCCTGTTTCAGTAAAACTAATGCAACAGACTTTTTTCCAACAATGTTTAAACGCTGACTGATGAGGCTGCCTGCAGTGTCTGCAGACATAATCTGTGAATGTTTTTTATCAATCTTGCGCACTTGGATATTGGCTGATGTGGAATGTTTTAATTGCAATTAAGCAGCCTGGCAGATAGGGTTGGGCATCGAGTCTCGAGCATCGATGGGGACCGGGACTAACATTCTGATTCTCAGAATCGTTAGTATTTTAAAATTTCGATTCCAAGTTCAGATGCCTGAGACTGGCGACCAGAAAAAATAGCCGCTGAACACCAACGAGGAAGACGCAGCTAAACCCCAACAAAGAAGAAGCCGTCGAACACCAACGAGGACCAAGCGTAGAGAGCCACAGAGAGAAGAGAGTACATTGCAACCCACAGCGACTGCGGTCAAAAGTTTGGCTAACTTTTGCAGGAAGAATGAACTCTTATTTCAACATTAGCAACACTGTTATATCATGCAAAGGAGGGTGAACAACCAACATGATTAAACACCTCAGGATTCATGGAGGAATACCTGAGTGCCCGTCTTTGACGGACTTCGCAAGTCTTCTGCTAACCAGCCAGAATCAGATAAGTGAAACAATAAATTACCACTGTCTTCTGCTAACTTTGAAGCGGCAAACAATTTGTACTGTGTACGGTGGATCAACTTAAATATCCAACGAACGTTAGCCCTCATACTTTTCATAGACGACCTGACAACAAAAATTGATATTTATATACTGGTTGAAAATAGCCCTGTGAGAAATTAATAGTAAAGTCCTTAAAAAGTTAATATAATTTAAAAATTCATGGAGACGTTCAGAAATTTCATTCAAAAAGAAGAACTTTGGTTAGCATCCTCATTAAAACCATGCTTTTTTCATGTATATATCCTGCCTTTTAAAAGAATCGGAATAGAGAATCGTTAGGAACCGAAATCAAAACGAGGAATCGGAATCGGAACTTCGACCAATGAGCTGTCAACTAATTAGAGCAGGTAATTTTTCAGTTGTAAAGCTTGATTGCAAGAATACTTTCCAATAAAATATATATTAAATATAATTAGTAATTCTGGAAACGATTTAAAACGTACAAACCCCTTTAGAAAGTTACTCTGTTCCTGCAGCATGAGTAAGTGCAGTTAGTTATTCTCACCCCTAGCAGTTCCTAATGTGTTAAAACACTCTGCCGTCACTCAGCTCATCAGTAATGTGCTAACTCTGGTGTGACAGGATGAAAACATCAGCATCAGACTTAAAGCACACATTACCAAACACACCGTGAGCTAAGGGGAATTAGCAGCCAAGAATAATGAAGATGCGCATCTGGCTCTAGTGTGAGAGATGCTAACAGCTAACAACTAGCGCGTTACAGTAACCCACATTTAATTAATTTTGTGACTTAAAAGTTTTAGTTGTCAAAAGCTGTAATATGTTGTGTTGTTAGATTAATACACATGTGTATGAAAGAATAAACATAAGCCCTGCCCATGCCTCTTGAATCTAAAATGATATTGTTACGCGTGCTAACATGTTAACAGGCTAGCTGTTGTGTCTTCGCAGGCTGCAGTGTGCTTCCTCTTTCACTATCTCTCTGCTCTATAAAATATCAAAACCTGCGCACAGATGTTCATTATAATTGTGTAGAAATTCAAGAATTAAAGCAGCGGGCACTCACCTTTTCGTATCAGGTCGCATACTCCCTGGTCGCTCATTAGAAATAATATTGGCCAACAGTTAGCCCACGTTAGCTCGGCTCCAGCGCTTCCTTGTTTCTTTCTCCGCCAGGCTGCTAACTCTTAGCTCCCGGGCTGCTTCACAGGCGTCCCATCGTGGTAGTAGCTCCGTGTGCTCCAGCTAGCTCCCGGGCTAGCCTCCCGGACCCGCTGTGGGTCTAAATGTCTCGATTACCAAACTGATCGATATCGATAAAGAGAAGGACGCAGTGCTGCTGACTGAGCCGAGCCCATTCACTCCTCTCTCTCTCTCTCTCTCGCTCGCTCTCTCTCTCTCTCTGTAACTGGGTGAGTGTAGCTCTCTCACTCCTCCGCTCCGCACGGTTACAACGTGTTCTCCTCTTCCTCCCGGGGGGCTTCAAAACACCTCAAATGGCTCATTTTAACTGAAGCGCAACAATTTAAATCGACACCAGTTAATAACCCTCCGCAGGAAATAGACCCTCTGATGTTGAATATATGGATGTAATTTTTGTCATAAAGAGCAGCGCGCCGCTTTTGTTCTCCGTGTCTATTGTGTGGCGCCTGGCTCGCTGCGGTGCTGTGCGTGATTTCGGTTCAGTGTTGTCAGTCAGTGTGTTCATCTGTGACATGCTCAGCCCCCCGCATCGATTACATCACACAGGTGACTTCAGAGCCTGCTCGCTGTTTTTACCTCGGAGGAAGAGGGAGAGGGAGAGAAAAAAAATTAAATAAATAAATAAATCTGTAAATAAAATATGGGCTACGAAATTATGAACGCCCCGCCTCTGCGTGAAGACGTCACAGGACGTGCACAGCAAGGTATTCGGGAACTTGTAGTTCACATTGTGATGACGCTGTCTTGATAATATAGCATGCCAAAAAAAGTGTTTTCCTATGGTCAACTTACCCCGTAACTACTATAATGACTTTATTAGTCCTCTAAACTAAAATGGTGGACTTTATGCTAGGTTTTTGCACTCGTGTTGTAGCTCATAGATACCACAATTGATGTATAAAGCAAATTTAAAATGATCTTTTTTGGTCTGAACACAATTTTAATAAAACTTATGACAGACTAAATTCACTTTCAAGAGTGAAAAATGTTTCTTTGGAAATAAATGTCTAACCCCTTCACCCACGTGCTTCTAACCTTCACAGACTCCATGAATTGATGCCCGTCTCCTTAATATTTGGTCACATGATCAATTTCTTTTACCATTTCCAAGCAACAGGGGTTGGCTCAACTTTCCCTTTGGCTCAACTTACCCCACTCTCCTCTACCACTAATTTTTACTGGTGGCCAAGTTCATAAAAATAGCCTTAATTTTAGAATGTATATAGTACTATTCGCTATACACTCCATGGTCATAATACAATAAAACGCAGAAAAAAATAAAGAAATGCTCAGCAGAATTCATATACATTGATATAAACATCTTAAGCATTCCAAAGTGAGATGTCACGCAGTGTGGCTTTTTTTATTTGCATCCTTTTATTTTCACAGTCAGCTTTTTTTTTTTTTTGCATTTGCATTTGAAACATTCCTTTTTCATTTGCAGTGGGTTTAAGTTTCTTTTTTTTTCATCGGTAACTTCAGTTGTTATGAGCTTTCTCCATCAGAGCCCCTCGACTTTGGAACGACCTGCCAGAGGAAATAAGGCATGCAGAGACAGTCACTTCTTTTAAGTCAAATTTAAAAACTCACTTTTACAGACTTGCTTTTATGTGATGCCGTCTTTTATCTTCATCTTTTATCTGTCATCTCTCATTTCTTTTACCCCTTTCTTATTTCGGCTTTACTGTTTTGTTTTTTTTTTAGCTTTTGTTATACTTGTACTCTTTTCTTAATTAACCTTTTAGGCCTTTTATTGTTTTATCTCTCGCTCATTTCTGTTGCTCTATTTTATCATGACTATTATCATCAGGATTACCTGTTATTATTATTATTATTTTTTCTCTTTTATCTCTTTTACCTCTATCTTATTTCGACTTACTATCCTTTTTTACTTATAATCTTCTTATTTTATCTTTAGGCCCTTTATTGATTTTATTGTTTTTTCCTGCTCATTTTTATTATTCCATTTTATCATTAATATTACCGTCATTATTATTTTATAATGGTTTTATTATCATTATTATTATCCTCTTTTATACTCACTATCCTGTTTCCTCCTTTCTGCCCCCCTTTTCTATTTCATTTCTTCTTCTTACCTATTTTATGTTTTTATTTTATGTTGTAAGGTTCTTGTATTGTCTAGGTTTCTTATGAAAACTGAAATTGGACTTCAATTCAGAGGCCTTGTTTTTAACTGAGCTTTTGTTTTTATTTGTTTTTATTTTTAATGTGCTGATGTTCTGTGCTTTGCAACTGTTTGACAGAGCAAATAAAGTTATTCTAAGTTAATATTATCATTGTCGATATTGCCTTTTATATCTACTATCCAGTTTCTGCTTTCGGCCCCCCTTATAATAGCATTTTCCTTTTTTCTTTTTTATGTTTTTTTTCTTGGTCCTCATGGTATCATTTTATGTTGCATGATTCTTGTATTGTCTGGGTTCCTTATGACATGAAAATGGCCTTCAATTGTGTTTTTACTGAGCTTTTTGTCTTTTATCTGTCTTTTTCCATGTCATGTCAAAGCACTTTGTAAACTTCTGTTTTTAAAAGTGCTATACAAATAAAGTTATTATTATAAAAGTTATTGTTGTGGCTTCTTCTCCTTTTTTTATGCAACAGTGGCGGTTTTTGGCCACCGTACATTTGTTTGTTATACAAAAAAAGAGGAGTGAAACTTTAAAGAGTCTTTTCTCGCCGGGGTCTTACAGAAGCTACACACTGTAAACATTTTAACCCTCTATCTGACAGACCAAATGGGGCCCCTCTCTACTCTCCTCCTCCCCTCCCTCCCCTTCTCTCCTCCCCGTCTCCCCTCCTCCCCTCTGCCCGGCCTCTCCTGCTAGCCAGCAGGCTAGGCTAGCTGAGCGGCTAGCATCTTTCCTCAGTGTAATTAGTTGAGACGCACCGGCTCCATCCACATCACGGTGCTGTTAGGACTGAACCGACCCCGTTTAAATCCCCCCCAGCACACAGACAGAGCGCTCACAGCACAGGGACACACAACACAGGCTTCACATTATCAATCACTGAAGATGATTAAGCTCTTTTCCCTGAAGCAGCAGAAGAAAGACGAGGAATCTGCTGGAGGAAACAGGACAGGAGCCGGGGGGAAAAAAGCCAGCGCGGCCCAGCTCCGAATACAGAAAGGTAGGCTAGTTACCAACACCAGAACCCGCTTAGCTGCCGCTGGTCACCCACGAACCTCAGGGTGACACGACCCCGTTTACTGTCCAACATAGAGAAATACAGAATGAAATCAGGACATAATAACTCACTGGGGCTAACAGCTAGCAGGCTAACGCTAGCATGAAGTAGTGTTAGCTAACCACGGCTAGCTTGTTCTATATTTGAAAACAAAACGCAGACAGCCAGTCAAGAGCTGCTTCATATCAGACCGTTAGGGGCTAACACGTTAGCACACAGCTAACACTAAACAACGTCTAACCCGGGACATTACTAACTAACTATTAATCGAATGTAGCCTTTAATTACAAGGTTTCTCAGGTTGATTTTCAGGCTAAGGAAAGATAGCTTTACCTGGCTAACTTGCTGTGTCAGCTCTGTTTATTTGTCTGTTAGGTTATACACGTCTACATTCACAGGTTAACGACACTTTGATGAGCAGATAACAAGCTAAACTTAGTGTCAGTTAACGTTTTCACTCCTTATTGAAAAAGAAAAAGTGATTCCTGTTCTTCAGAGACTCACTGTCAGCCTGACTGAAACACACCTTTACGCACAGGTGATGACAAACCCTTCAGGTATTGAGTTAATGTGAGAAACTGCGGGGTGCTTCCTCCTTAGTCTGTGGGCAGATAAACACAATGCAGCTCCTCCTGTGATGTCCGGGGATGGACACACCCGATGGGCAGGTGTGGAGAGCCAGGTGAATTCAACAGTCTGACATTCAGCCATTCATTCATCCTTCACATCAAGGTTACACTGAAGTAAGAGCTGTATGTGTAAAGTAGGGATGTAACGATATGAAAATTTAACATCACGATTATTCTGACCAAAATTATCACGGTTATCAGTATTATCACAGTAGTATTGAAATATGTTCAAAATGTTTAAAAAGTACTTATACATGCCCTGAAATCACTTTAAGTTTTATTTTGAAAAAAAAACAAAAAAAACAATCCAAATTTCACGCACAATGAACTTTTCCTCAACCTGAAATAACAGAGTAACGATAAGCTTAAAAAATTAAAGACGGGGCCTTAAAAGAGCCAGAGGTAATCAACACTAGTACTAGTAATAACAAAGTACAAAGTAATGTGCCAGTGGCAGAAATATTAACATAATAACAAATAAATAAAAGTTAAATAAAATGACTTTCCTTATTGTGCAAATTGTAAGAATCTTCAGTGCTCAAAAAGATCCACTCTTACAAATATAAAACAGAGCATCACAATTATATGAAACAATACAACCACATGTATACAAAGGTGTAGTGCAGGTCTTTAAAATAACAAAATATGTGAGCAAATCAAATGAACCACACTGAGTGTCAGTTTTCTCCACCATATGGTGCTGCTCATAGACTGTATACACTATGGACAAGTTGGTCCCGCCTCCCGCCAGTAAACGGATTTGAAGCCAAGAAGCTCGTGGTATTTCCGGGATTTTTCTTCATTTCCTGAAACCAGCGCTGCGCAGTAGCGTTGTACGCATTCGGCGGGAGAGTCGCTGTGATGACGCTCGGCTCAAACAGCGTATCCCGCGGGTGAGCTACACAATCCCTGAACGCCCATAGGCTGTATCAGGTGTCAATCAAAGAAAACATGAACTCCCTAATAACTTTTAAAAAACGGAGCTTCACAGAAAGAGAGGACTAGAGCACAAACTAGTCTTACTGTAACTACATGTCAACACTGCAAGCAGGGGGAGAAACATTTATGTTCTCTGTAATAAATTTCTAAAGTTTGTCCACAGCCCCATAAGCTTCGCTGGCGGAGGCGGGATTTATGACCTGTACTGCAACCCGTCACCAGAGGGTACTGTTCTCGGAGTGGCTTCACCCAACGAGGAGGCAGACTCTGTCCATTCTTTATACAGTCTATGGTCATGATCTGCGAGGGGAAACGATGTGCCCGCTGGCACTGAATAGCCTCTCGGATGGCACGCTGGTTGCTGGGACGCACAAAAGCTTCCTGACAACCCTTTGTAGAAGCCGAAATACGCCCAGATTTCGGACTTTGTTTTATTTGACAGCGAAAAAATCTCTGCAACACGGTCGGCAGAACTGCCCGCAAAACTGCCATCCACCACTGAGCAGTCTGTGAGCTTTTCTAGAGTGCGGCAATCAAACATGGTTTTAACGGTAATTAAAAATTGAAACTGTAGTACTAACCATCAGATATTTTACCGCGGTTTATCATTTTACAGATAATCGTTACATCCCTAGTGTAAAGTGAGCTGGTTGTAAAAGTGAGATGGATTTCTGACAGGGTGACAACAACCTGTTTTTTTTTTTTTTTATATATGTTTATTAAATTTTCCAGAAACAAAACAAGAACACATGACAAAAAATAAACAAACAAACATACATTTGCCTCACACACACACATTTAAGTTCAAATGTAAACAGGTGAGAGATTCAGGTATCATATTATAAAAATAAAATAAGTAGAATAAAAGTAAAATAAATCAAGTGTACAATGCCATGCATAATACATTCATATGTTCAAATAAAGGTTCAGAGAGGCAAAAACATTAGTTAAGTAGGGCGTCATTTTCAAGGCAGCACGCTCATAGCTATGATACAAACTCTCTCGCAAGAAAAGTAGAAATATTTAAACCAACATATGACACAAAGGGTTCCCATGTTTTCATCTTTGCAGTGTAGTTTACATGTCAGGTAGTCCAATGCAACGTACTCAAGAGTCACCCTTTGATAGATAGATATATAGATAGACAGACAGACAGACTTTATTGATCCCAAACTGGGAAATTCACAAATTGCCACTGGATTGCCACTCCAATCCAGTTTAAGACTTCCTAGCACAGAACGCAAGTGTTTGATGGAGTTTCCTTCTATATTTATCGGTGATGGACAGATCAGATATGCCAACTAGCAGACATAAAGGATTATTATTTGTATTAGTAGATAGAATCTTATTAATTTCCTGTCCAATAACTTGCCAGAACTGTTGTATTTCCCAACAATAACACAAACAATGTGTGAGGCTACCAGTTTCTATTTTACACTTGGGGCACAACAGCCTGTTGACTACACATTAACAGCTGACTTTGTTACCAGCTTAAAATAAGTTAACATGAATGCTGTTACCCACATCAAAGAAACTGTGTGCAGTGTTTAGTTACATCTATCAGAGCAAACTTTGTCGAAATGGAATACAATCTTCATCAGTTTAAATTAGAGTATAATTACCCGGATAATAATATAATAATACTCTTCCTAAAATTACTTTTGGTCAGCCTGATATGATTGTGTCTGCTTAGTGCACAGATCACTGAAGCTACTGTAATTTGATCCTGTACATTTGGCTGAACTGGACCTTTACTGATAACTATATCAGTATTAAAGCTTATTAAGTTTTACTTATTTACAGGGACAAACACTCTCTACTCCAGTGTTTGTCATACACTCTGATTTTCGCTCTCTTCAGAGTCTTGGGGGGGGAAAAAAATATGAGAAGGCATCACTTTAGACTTTTTGCACTTAGTACTCTTTTTCCAATGTTTTCTGACAATCATAATGAGTTAGTTAGATTGGCATTGCTAATAAACTGATATATCTGACTATCTGTTGTTTTTCTCTGTGTGTTTTGTGCCGGTTTGTGTTTCAGACATCAATGAGTTGAACCTGCCAAAAACGTGTGAGATCAACTTTCCTGATGACGATGACCTCCTTAACTTCAGACTCATCATTACACCAGACGAGGTCGGTTTTTGTGTATGACTGTGTGTGTGGGAAGGTGTTCCTGTTTTGCTCAGGGAATACTTTTTACCTGTCGTACTCTGGCTTGTGAACGAGCTGCGAACTTATGAGGTTTTTTTTTTTCAAAATCTTACTAACCAGGATAGCTTTGCAGAACATCACACCTCAATATCAATTCTAATGATAAAATCTGAATTAAGTGAAGAAACTCTGAATTGTGAAGTGAAGAAATTTGTAAAGTGAAACAAAAATGCGGTGCAGTAAGACAGTTAAACACAGTAAAGTAAAAGTTATACACAAGAGAGTGCAGGAAAGATTCACCGTCAGGATCAGTTAAGAAATTCAGGAGAATCCATCAAAACTCCTCTGTTATGTGAAGAATAGAAACACGGTGAAGGGACAAATGAGAAGCTGTAGAGTGCAGCACAGTCACACTGTAGAGTGCACTAACTAAACACAGTAGAGTGTATTGAGATAAATAGGCCGTGGTGTGCACCAAAGAAACACTGCAGGGTGCAGTAAAGGAGTAGTAATGTGCAGAGGAGTGTAAACACAGTCAAGTGCAGTTGTAAAATGCAACAGTTTGCAAGAAAGAAACAAAGTAGAATGTGATTAAGAAATGCTGTAAAATATAAACAGTAAAGAAGAGGGCAGAGATGGGTGCATCAGTTAAGTATCGCAGTGAAGAACATGAGGAAAATGCAGAATGCAATAAATAAACTCAGTATGAAGCAGCTGAGTAACGCAGTAAAGTGCAGTAAAGAAATGTAGTGAAAATTCAAGACAAAAAAGAAAATGCAATAAATAAAGAAACAAGGAAATGTGAGGATGAGAAAATTGGTATTGTGCAGTAAGAAGTAAGAATAGTGCAGTGAAGAAATATGTTAGAATGCAATTCAGTGTAGAGTGTCAGTAAGAGCGTTGTGAGATGCACATGAGAGTACAGTAAAGACACTCAGTAAAGTGCAATAAAAAAACGTTAGATCTCAGATACAAACACGGTTATAGACGGGTTTCTGTGCAACGTCATCGCAGGTATGTGCGTGCAGCCAGGGGGCAGAAAGCGGGACGTTCCTTATTTATTTACAAGCAGAGTCAACAGAGAAAGAAAATGACAAGGAGCTGTTGTGCTGTAAACTGGACGAATCGGCAAAACAAACAATCGGCAAACATTACGACCCTGCTCCTGAGATTAGAAACATCTAAAACAACATGGACATTTCAGCAAGTGTTTTTCTGATTTTGATGCATTGAAAGACAAAGCGATTTTTTAATGAAAGGATATTTCTTTGCAATTGTGTCAGAGAGAACTTGCAAACAATACAGCATCTTCATTGATATCAGTTCACTCCAAAGCAGGCTTTGCCCCCCTGGTTGCGCACGCACCTAGTATTGTTTGTACACAAGAAACTGTTTATTTGGTTACAGTGGAAATACGAATTAGAGTGCTGCTGTAAGAGGACAAAAGTTAAAATATACAGTAGAGTATGTTTAAAACACATCAGAGTGCAGTTGTGAAATACTGTTCAATGCAATAAACATCACTGAACTGAAGAAGCAGTTTGCGTAAAATATGTCTGTAGTTTGCAATTGACAAACACCAAGAAGTCAAATTATGAGAGCAGAAGAGACTCGCAGACATCGAAGAATTGTGGCAGAGTGTGGAAAAGGAATGAAGTATTGTGCGTATCATAATGATGTTCAGAGGGGTATAAAAACAGACTGAAGTGAAAAGAGGGCAGAGAGTTGTAAAGAAATGTTATGAAACTGACTGGAATAGTAAAGAAAGGTAGTAGAAGAAGCGTCACCGGTTTCTGAAAGATTTGATTACAGAGACAAGTGATTTCCAAAAATGAAAGGTCACATAATACAAAAAAAATTACTGTCATACAACCTTTAGTTTCATCATAACCTTTAGTGACAGACTGTTGTTATAATCTTATTTTACTGCTTGTTTGTCAAGGCTTCATCTGAAAGTTAAATATAACTAAGAAATAAACGCAGTGCCATTGTTGTTTCTGTAAATACCGTTCAGAGTGTTTTATCTGTGCGTTCTTGTATTGCAGGGTTTTTACAAAGGAGGAAGATTTGTCTTCAGCTTTAAGGTGAGAAACACTGAGCCCGTCAATGTGAACCTCAGTTTCTGTGTTTAAAACAAACAAATAAACGTGTGTGTGTGTGTGTGTGCGCTTACAGGTAGGACAGGGTTACCCCCATGACCCCCCCAAGGTAAAGTGTGAGACGTTGGTGTATCACCCCAACATCGACCTGGAAGGAAACGTCTGCCTAAATATCTTAAGGTCTGTTTACCGCTGTTCAAACTGTGAATAGTTTTTTTCACCTCTCCTAAATAACCACAGCACCTATTTTTGCTGAAGCATTCACTTCTGGACAAATTTCCTTTTACATATAAGTTATTATTAGTTTATTTCTGTGTACTCATTTACTTGTAGAGTGCAGCAGTTGTTGTCCATTAGCTTTAGCATGGAAGCCAGTAAAGATCTATTTCACCTTTCAGTAACAATCCAAATATTGAGAACAAGATTCACTTCAAATATAAGATTTTCATAGAATGACCTAAAATCTAAAAACTTTCTTCTTTTTATATTTATTGTGGTTATAAAAGCAGGTGCTGGGGCCCAGAATCTCAAATATATTAGCAATTAATTCAAATACGTTAGAAATCAAATGTTTTGCTCTTGTGTTGTTAACATGCAGTCAGCTTATAAATAAAGTAAAGTTTTGTCTGTTTTGTGTTCTTGTCCACAGAGAGGACTGGAAGCCTGTGTTGACAATAAACTCCATCATCTACGGTCTACAGTATCTATTTCTAGTGAGTAAAACACAATCACATTTTTTATAGATCACATTTGAAGGGAGAGTCACCGCAGACGGTTTCTGCAGCTGCATCGGGTGTGAAAACTGATCCTGAAACTAAAGCCTGGAACAAAAACTTTACAGAGTCCACACATGAGGACTAATGATGACAGAGTGGCAAATGTAGTATCTGTAGTGTGATGTTGTCTGCAACAATGTGGTGATCAGACACACTGAAAGACTCTGTCAGCAGCAGCTAGAGTCCTGAGTCACTCTCTCACAGTCAAGCGTGATTTTATGCTGCATTCCAGTTGAATTCGGAAGTCAGGATTTCCAAGCTCTGAGTCAGAAATTCATCCGGAACGGCCCCCTGAAGTCGGCTTTCTGACTCGGAAAGTCGGATGATCCTCGCCAACCCCGACTTGACGGCAATGTCATAATTCAAGATGGCAGTGCAGTGCATTAACAGTAAAGAGTAACAGTAAAAGCTCTCGTAATGTATTATTTTTTTTTTTTGTGAAATTAAATAAGTGGTAACTGTGAACACGGTGCTATGGTGTTCGTAAGAGGAAAATACTGTGTTGTGCCTTGTTTACAACTGGTATAGCTAACAACAACTAGCAACCGCCGACAACGACTAACAACAGTTGACAACCGCTAACAACAACTAACAACGGCTAATGACAGCTGACAATCATAAACAACAGCTAACAACAGGTAACTGTAAGCGCCCATCTTGGTTTTCCGACTTGTTAACTGGAATGCAGTCAACTCGGGTTTAACGCCGTTTTGAGCTCCGACATCTAATTTCCGAGATAACTGGAACGCAACATTAGAGTTCACATTTCAGTTGTTCAATTGAACACGCTGACCAAACACTCATGTTGTTGCTGTGTATCAACAAGTGGATTCTATATTCCATCTTGCGTTTACTATTGTTGCTATGGTTGCATTTGTAGTTCTTCAGCTAGCTCACCTCCTGATTGGCTATTGAGTAGTTACACAGGGGAGAGAAGAGGAATCTCTGGAGACAATCATTGCAGCCATCTGATTATCGGGCCCTTGCAGAGTTTTTGACTTAAGGGGGGAATCCAACCGAAAGTCAGCACAATTATCTTGTAGTATGAGTCCTGCTTAGGAGATAAACACAAGTGTATTAATGAAACCTCCTCCCTCTCATCCCCTCCTATCCTCTGCAGGAGCCTAACCCTGAGGACCCATTGAACAAGGAGGCGGCAGAGGTCCTGCAGACGAACCGGCGGCTCTTTGAGCAGAACGTCTTTCGCTCTCTGAGGGGGGGCTATATTGGCGCCACCTATTTCGAGAGGTGTCTTAAATAACTCGGCGTCCCATGATCCTCGAGACCCCCCCCCTCCCCACTCCTCACCTCCCTCTCCTCCCCCTTTTCCTCACCTCCCCTCCCCCTCCATCCTTTTCCCCTCCTCAGCCCTGCTCGTTGGCAGAAGCAGGAGCTGCAGTGGCAGAAAGCAGCACGCCAGAAGACGCTTTTCTGTTTGAAATCAAAAGATGAAGACGCCCCACCCTCCCCTCTCCCTTCCTTTGTCTCCCCCTACTCCCCCCTCCCTCTATCTTTCTCTCTGTTTTACTTCCAAGACGCAGCATTTGACAGTTTACATGCCACAGGGGGACGCCGACACATGACACACACACGAACTGGACTTGAAAAGATGGACGACTGTGAGCGGCAGCCGATGAGGGTGGGGACGGAAGCGGGGAGGGAGGGGGAGGTGATATGGTTGTTCAGTGAATGTCGCTGGGATGCGTTTATGATTCAGAAAACGCCATGACACTGATGATGAGAATGATGATGATGATAGCCACATGATTTTCCTTTTTTTAATTTAGTGGGTGTGTGTGTATGTGTGTGTGTGTGTGTGTGTGTGTGTTTGTGGCGCTGACACCTGCATCCGTCACACAGGAGGCCAGGAAGACACGCCCTCTTCCCCTTGTTATATGGCAGCAAACTCCAAAACCAAGAATAACATATATTTCAGAAAGAGGGGTTTTTTTGCTTCTTCAAAAAATGCATGGAGCCTCATGGAAGCAGATGAGCCTTGAAGAGTTTTCGACATCAACTCAGCTCGCTTTTATTCACAGCTTAAGGGTGTTCAGTCAAGGGGAGGGGGGCTTGTTTGTTGCATTGAAATCATGCACGCCTTAAAAGTTACCTAAAGCTAGACAGCCGCATGGTTTTCAGACTGTGATGACTCGGCAGTTTGGAGAGGGGCCCATGAGAGTGGGTGTGGCTCATGTGCACATGGGGGCGGGGCTTATGAGCCACAGCGGACATAGATGTGAAAGTTTAGTTGGGTTGACAGGTGTTCATTTTAAATATTAAAATCTGAAATACTTTGGAGTTTGCTGCCGTTTCAAACTCACTTCTGCGCATGTACACACATACACTCACACACACACACACACACACACTCAAGTGTCGGAGGGCGGAGCGTCATGTCGGGGGGCGGGGATCAATGTGTTTGTTTAAAGGAGTCAGGGTGGGCGGGGTTTGGGAGGGGGAGGGGCTTTTTTGGTTTTCAGTTGGGTGGGTGGGAGGGTTTGGGGTTGGGTCATAAAGGGGCAGGGCTTAAAATGTTATGATTCTATTGTGTATATTGAAACCCCAGCTGTTCACATTGACTGCAATATGATTTATGTTAAATAAAATATGAACTTGAATGATTATAACTGTCTTGATATTAGTTTAACAGGAACATGAACAACCTTTAGAAAAGTTTTAAAGACTAAAATACTTTAATTAGTTACCTGTCAATTAGTTAACTGTCACCAGGTCATGTTAATGAATTTATCTTAGACTAAAGAAGTGCAAGAGTTTTTGTTATTTCAATGCTCTTTACAAAAACAAAAATATGTTTTACACATCCAGCACTCAGTAATTCAGAGAAAAACATGTTTAAAGTTAGAGTTATGTAAACACTTTAATAGCAAGCTCAAAAACTAGAGCATCAACTAACAAGTTAAAAAAAACTGATTAGTCCTTTAAAAAAGCAAACAGACTGTCAATGTTTTGGGGAATTGATTATCACAAAGTTATTGAGATATTTAAAATTTCTTACTTGTATGTTGTTTTGTTAAGATTCACCTGTTTCTAAGGCTTTTGGCTTTTATTCTGAAAGAACAGGATAGTTGATAAGTTAAGGAGCAGGGACTGACATAGGGAAAAGGGGCTACAGGCTTCATACATGTTGCGCTCCAGTGCACGTTCTTCTGGAGGGCTCAGCATTTTTGTTGGGGTGTCTTTTCTGTATCTGCATCTAGCTGCATTAATCTGTGCCCTTCTACCTCTTACAATATTCAGGCAGCCATTCAGCACCTCATTCCTGCCCAAAAAGATAACTACATGGATAATGAGCAGCAAATCTTCAGCTTTATTTTTTCAGTATTTCTCTTAAAAATGAGTCAAATAATCTGATTAACAAGCCTTTTGATAAAAAAAGAAAAAGTAAATCATACAGGTGACACAGGTTTTGTGAGAGAGGTGGGGCCAAAATCACTAAAATATTTGAATATTTCACTAAAATATTTCAAAAAGGTGTCAAAATAAAAAAAAGATGCTGCTGAAACAGTGTAAAAAAAGCTCTAAAGGACAGCATCTCAATATTTTTCTGTCCATTAAATTTTAAGTAAGTTTTGCAAAGGTGTGTCACACGTGATATCTTTATAAGTCACTTTTTATTTACATTAATTTATTTCACAAAATTTCATATATCAGTTGAACTCAGGAAATATTTTCAATCATTTTTTGTTTAGAAAATGTTAATATATGTTTCACCCATTTCCTGCCTCCAATATCACATACAGCAAACTCCAATCTTCCAAATGTAATTTTAAGTAAAACATGAACTAGCAAACATACAGTTTAGCTTCTAACATGACAACAACTCAATTTATTCTGCGTTTCTTATAATATAAGAAATATGTATAATGAATAATCAAACGCAGAATAAATGATTTTAAAAAGATCATTTTCACATCAAATCAAGACAGTGAATATAAGTGCCACATTATTCAGAGCAGCAACACTTCGACAAATCTGACAAAAATTAGAAACCAGTTTCTCATTTATCAAATTACAGCTTGTTGACAGATAATGACAGCAATATGCAATATGATAGCGTATAAATATATATATATATATATATATTTTTTTGGAAGATGAAACATTGTCTAATCAAAGTTGAAAGATGTCCTCAGCATCGTGGAAGGATCTTGCTGTAGAAAGTTTTGACAAGATCCTTCATTCTTAAAGCAAGGGTATCGTTGGTATTGTGGAATCTAGTATTTTAAATAAAAGATCTTGCTCTTAAAAAGAGAAGATCTTGCAACAATATCAATCTGTTAGAGCATGAAAAAGATCATTTTACATAAAAAGGATCTTGTTCATACATAAAAAAAAATAGGTTGTATGAAGTGATCATCAACGCAGATGAAAATGATTTTTAATTAAGATAAATATTTTGCCCAAACATGAAGGGGATCTTGTGTGCACTTAAAAAAAATCCTGTAAACAATATTTCAAGAATTTGGAAAAGATTGTGTGCAAGCTCAAGGGATCTTGTTAAAACGTAATGCAATTTTGTAATAACATGATTGGGATCTTGTTTTGATACGAAAACCAACTATTTGTGTCATAAAAGTATCTTGCGATTAAGTGAGGATCTTGAAAGTTAAAAAGGTATTACATGAAAAGGATCTTGTTTTAACATACACAAGATCTTGTTAAAACATGATACAGATTATTTCATGCCATAAAAAATGACTTATGAGTACTAATTTGAAAAAAAAAAATACTGTTATGATGTTGAAAGGATCTTGCTTAAAATGTGAAAGGATCTTGCTGAGTAATTAAAGGATCTTGTAATAGCATTGTATGATCTTGTGTATCTCTCTTGTCATGACATGAAAATGATCTTTTTAAAATGTAATAAGAATTTAGAATGTAATAAGGATGTTGAGGTAACATGAAAACAATCTTGATGTAAGATGAAAATAATCTTGCCTGAATATTAACACATTTGTGTAACAGTCACTGCTCATTGAAACATGGTATTGAAAATCTGATTGGATATTCTGTTGTCACGGTGAAGCTAAAAGTCAATTTAGAGGAACTAAAATCAGTTTATGGAGTTTTCGTCCACGTCCTCCGTGACCCCAAAGATCAGTTCTGTCCCAGTGCTTCTGTCCGCCCTGTATGATCCCTCAGTTTCCTCCCTTTCATCCTCTTGAGTTTTGACCCCCTTCCTGTCCCTCAGGTCTGGGTCCCGGTCCTTCAGGCCAGCTGGTGTTGGGTGGTCACGAGGACCAGAGGGACCTCTTTGTCTCCGGTGCCCAGCAGAGGAAATATCCTCTCGGTGAACTCGGAGGATCCGTTGAAGGCGTAGATCTCTGAGCCCGACTTCACGTTATAAAATGACACCTGACCCTCCTCCATGTCCAGGAACACACCCACCTGACGCAGCTTTGGGGGATTCTTTATCTGCAGTCAACAGGTAAAAATATCAATGCATACCTGAGAGTAGATATAATCAAAGACGGAAACTAAATCTCAGTAAGTAAATTACAAAAAATTCAAGGAAAAGGCAGCTACACCATATGGAAGCCCATTTATACCACACAAGGACCAAATAAAATATCATAATTATGATTCAAGAAATTTTCCTTTCCCTGCTCATTAAACATTTTGTCCTTTGGCAAAAAATAATGACATACCTTTGTTAGCGGCGGTGCAGTGAGCGCTCGCAGTTGGCTGCCACTCCACCAGATGGCGTAGTATCCGTTAGGAGGACTCATGTCAAACAGACCTTTCCTCTGTGCAGACTCAGTGACCACTCCCAGTTTCCAGTCCTTACTCTCCCCCACAAACACCTGCACAGGTGAACAGAGCACAGGTTCATATGTCATACATGCCCCTGATTAGTTCTAGCTGTGGGAGTGGAAACTGACCTCCCAGTAATGCCGCCCAGTGCTGAATCCCTCTTTAGCAATAACGCAGGACCAGACGTCGAAACGCTGCTGGCTGTTTCTGTAGAACTGCAACTTCTCTCCCCGCTTCACCTGCTTTCTGTCTTCAGACAGGATGAGGAAGGGGTACGCTGTCACCGGGTTCAACAGCACGTCCTCTAGATTCAAACCAACAGGATGAGACAAATAATAGTGTTTAGAGATAGCTTGAAAATATGATCTCAGAATAAGAGTTTCAATATCTGACAAAGATATTCATGTCACGCCTGTTAAAAAAAGCTGAGAAAAGTTTTGAAACCAATAAAAATATGACTAAATTTAGACAGTAAATATGTACTCACCCATGTAGACTTTGGCCTTTTTATGTCCTATAACAAAAATCAAGAAAATACTTTAACAGGAGATGAGGAAATAAAACATTTTAATGCATATTTACAGAGTTAAAATATCTAATCCATTGATTTAACAGGCACCTACCTGAGATTGGTTTGTTCTTCTTCAGATCTGGGAAACAGGAAATACAGTCATTTTTTCACATTAAAAGTCCAGATCGGTCAAACCAGATTTGAATCCCTCTTTGCAACAGTTCCTCTGATGATGTTTATGTTGACTGATGAACCTTGTGGTCATCAATCAGCTGATTTTAGAGCATCACTGACCTTTCAGGCTCCATTGACTCTTCCTCAAACTGGTGGTGCTCGCCCTCAAACTCATCATGCTTTCTGCCATCATTAGGTCACCTGATGAAACTGAAACCAAAACAAGATATTTCACTAATCAATACAACTGTGGAGGCAGCATTAAGATGAAGACACAATGAAACACACCATAGTCTAATGCAGTGATTCTCAAGTCCAAGCCATTACAGAGCTTGATAACGAGCTAATCATTTGAATCAGGTGTGTTGGAGCAGGGAAACATCCAAAACATGCAGGACAGTGGGCCTCGAGGACTGGACTTGAAAACCATTGGTCTATTGAATAGTATCATATAGTAATGCATCCAATTACACCATATCTTATTGTGTTAAATTGTGTTAAATATTGAGCCTGAACACATTATACTGAATCATATTAAACTGAACTATCTCCTTTAGTATTGACACATCTGGGCACATTACAAACTGCCATATTGAATCAAACTGTATGTTATCATAGTTTCCAGTATCCATTTGTGTTGTATCATATCACATCTTATGGCATTATATCCTGATCATCATCTCAAGAATTTGTAATGCATCATAACTACATTGTTCTTTAATGCAATTATTGTATTGTAACATAATGTATTATATCTTATTATAATATATTACATCCTCCCTGTACCTTACTGTATCTTATCATATCCTATATATCTTATTGCAGTGTATCATATTATACTGAACATTAGTATGGCAGCATATTGGAATACAACTTGACCTCCAGTATAGTATAGTATAGTATAGTAAATTATAGGATGGTACAGTATAATACAATATAGTGTGATATAGGACAGTATATTATAGTATAGTATAGTATAATATAATATAGGATGGTATAATATAGCATAGTATAGTATAGTACAGTATAATATAGTATAGTATAGTATAGTATAGTATAATGTAGGATGGTAGTATAGTATAGTATAATTAAGTATAGTATAGAACAAGATAGAATGGTATAGAATAGTATAGGCTAGTATAATATAGGATGGTATAGTATAGGCTAGTATAATATAGGATGGTATAGTATAGTATAGAACAAGATAGAATGGTATAGAATAGTATAGGCTAGTATAATATAGGATGGTATAGTATAGGCTAGTATAATATAGGATGGTATAGTATAGGCTAGTATAATATAGGATGGTATAGTATAGTATAGAATAAGATAGAATGATATAGAATAGTTTAGGATCGTATAATATAGGATGGTTTGGTATAGTATTGTATTGTTTAGTATTTGATGGTATGATGACATACTGTTGTGTATGGTTAAGTATAGTTGAAATCTTAGAAGTTAAATTAGAATAATAGTTATTTAAGCAGACATGTTTTCAGTTTGTCATAAACAGTTCACACAGATCAAAATGACTGTCTGAGACACTCACAGGACCCTCTGGAGCCTCTGGAGCGGACCTCCCCCATCCGAATGTCATCCATCTTCTCCTTGACCTCAGTCAGAGCGCTCTTCACGTCCCCCAGGTGGAAGTGGAGAGAGAACTCCTCGTCCTCATCTACATCATCCTGCTGATCCTCCAAGAGAGGAGCTGTGGCCTTTTCAAAGCTCTGAGGGGACGAGGTAACAGGTTATGATAACATACATACAGATGCTACTGCTAATTGGTTACAGTCTTATGCTAACAGGTTGATGGTCAGATGGATTATTTCTCACCAAAGTGGAAATTAAAGGAGATAAATGTTTAGTTCTGACCTGCAGGAAGCCGATGTGGTCCTGACTGATGGCTTGGACCTCCAGCGTTGCTCTCCTCTCCGTCAGCTGGCTAAGCTCTGCCTCCAGGCGATTCACATGCCCCTCCCCCTTTGACATTACAGCATCCAGCTGGTTCTCAATCCCACCAACAACCTCGGAGCGGATCCTGTCCAATGCACTGGATACTTCGTCCAGGAGGTGCTCCACCTCACCTCGCTCTCCATCTGCGTACGACTGTGCACAAAAATATCAACAACATCGATTATTTAAGTATTTTATATCATACCACACAGGCATTTGAAGGCTGTGTTTGTAGATACACGTTTTAAAATGTTCTGATGAAGGAGTAAAGAGTCTGACCTTGACTCCGTCCAGTTTCTTCTTCAGCTGCGCCACGTGAATCTCTTTCTCTTTAATCCGGTTCAGGATCTCCTGCTCTGTCCTTGCTACATGTTTCTGAATCCGAAGAAAGGGTTTGTGTTTAAAGCTGAATGTGTTCCCAAAGGATTAAAATAATACTTAAAAATATCACTTATGTTATTATGATCATATTTCCTTCTCTGTACCTGTTTGCTGAGTCTCTCAGTCTGGACGGAGACAGTTTTGTGTGTTCGATGTTCTTCCAGGACACAGATGGCACAGATACAGAGCTGACATGTCCGACAGAACACCTGGACAAGTGAACGCAAGAGAAGTAAATTAGATAGTAAAGACCCATTAGTATGTTTCTTTCTTTCTAGAAATGATCCGTCTTTCAATCTCTAAGATCCATAAATCACTTTCACCACAAACATCTGTACAACACGCCTGTACTCCCTCTCACCTCCATCAGACGGTGGTGTAGTGAGCACGTTCGGCCCCTGAGGGCCTCCTGAGGGTCCATTAGTGGGTGTTTGGAATAAAAGGGTGTGGTATGATGGGGTTGCACATGCTCAGTGCAGTATGAAGCGGTGCAGGTGAGACAGGAACTGACAGCAGGTTTTTTCAAACCCGTACAGACGTCACACCAAACCACCTCACCACTAGGTGCTGTCACAAATGGGTTGGTGCTGCTCGTGTCTGTGGACATCGTGCCTGTCTGTGTGGGTGTCCCGTTCCTGACGGGCATTGGTATCCCTGCTGCGCCATACTGAGCCTCTTTGTACTTATTAGCGATGAGGGCGAAGACTTTGTTGACACTGAGCTGAGGACGTTCGTCAAACTGGTGTTTACAGAGCGGACAAGTGCAGACCGCACTGGACGCCCAGTAACCCCCGATACATGCCTGAAATAAGAAAATAAGGTTCATGTTGTACAACTTCTAAGGAATTTTCTGGTGTTTGCTTTGAGCTGGTCTCAGGTGTTTTGTGTGGTTGTGTGTGTAAATGCTACCTGGCAGAAGTTGTGTCCACAGGGAGTGGAGACTGGCTCATCAAATATATCCAGACAGATGGAGCAGGTCAGCTCCTGCTCTGAGAACAGCTCCGGGGCCTCCGCCATCATCTGCTGTAGGACACACCAGAGGAAACACTTTTACATGTTCAGTGCCCACTGGGCAATACACGGCTATTAGACTTTATTTAGACTTACTTTCAACCGTCTAGATTCTGTGTATTTTTAGATGGAATTTAGACGTTACACTTTAACCCATTATTCAAAACTAACTGATCCTAAAGTACTTAACCAAAATAATTATGATAGCTGTTGAGCAATATACAGTGTAGTATAGATAAAGCCTAGATTTAAACTTGGTCTAAATTTGGTCAAACTTTGGACATCTAAATAAACTTTCATTTTTAGACCTGTTGTAGCCTGATTTTAGATCAGTCATCTAGGCTACATTTGGACATCTATTAGATCTCTTTGAGACTAAAAAATGCTCAGTGGGAGGTCTACCGGTGATTTCCATAGTGGGGGCTAGGAGAGACTAAGTGGAGGGTACGAAGTATCTCCAAAAATACAAATTAAATCTCTTCAAACTGCACGCTTTATCCATTTTTGTCTAATAATTCACAGAAAACAGTGGTTTAGTCATTAGTATAAGAATGCAATAAAACATGTCAACAGTTTTCTGATTTTCTTTTGCTCCTTGACCTCTGAGGTGAAAGTGTGTTTATATTACGTATTGTGCACACATGTGCACAATACGTAATATAAACATATTATACATGCTATACATGAGATTACTTGAATTCTCCTTCAAACCATTCCTAAATTACTGCATTTACCCTAAAATGAGACAGTGTTTTTTTTCTCAAAGTACATTTGAAAAAGTGGGATATTGGCTTAATATTAAATCCACTCACTTTGTGAGACCGTCAGCTTGCAGGTGATAGGATAAACTTTATGCCAAAGAGAAGGTCAAAGTATTTTAGAGACTCTTCCTCAGAAACAAAGGTAATCTGAAAAGGATTTTGTGGATTAAATTATGTTAAATTAGTGTAATTTCTGGTGTTAGCTGACTGGGCTAGTTGAAGGCTGCCATCCTTGTTTTGGTCTGTGGAACTTTCAGAGACTGTATTTACAATCAGCTGAGCTGTAAAGGTCCACTTAGAAGAGAAGCCTAAAATAGATGTTGCAGTCAGCTCTCAGTACAGAAATATGAAAGATAAATCTGTTTTGAATTAATTCATCCTATGAAGCATATTCTTGTATCTGTAGATTTGTGCTCTGAGTAACAGTATATAGGTGCTTCATATACACTTATGATCATATTCAAGTGAGAGCTTTATGTTACAGAAAGAGAGGATTAATAAACACAAAAAGCATTTACATCACTCTCTACTAACACACCTGTTGGCACCTGCAATCCTTGGATTACTTGGATACTGACACTTCAAAACAAAGATGACTTTCTATATGGATTTACTAAAGAAATTATAGATGAGTAACTCAATCTGAAATACGCCTCATGTCTTTAGGGTTAGGAGTAAACCAGTCTAATGTCAAACATGTCAATGTCAAACATACGCAGCAGATATTTAAATCTAAATTGCTCTCAATCAAACAATCAGAAACTGTCGACTCACTTTACCTCACTGGTTAGAAAAAACAAACTGTAAGAGTAAAAAAGGAACCAAGTCAGACCACATTCCTGCAAAAAAGTCTGACACAAAAGATTCAACCAACCGCCAAAAATAACAAAACACTACAGGTGAGTCACTGAGCTCTGACAGGAAGGAGGCTGCGTCCAACGAACACGAGGAGTATTTAAGACCAGGGCTTTTACTCTCTTACCAAACAACAGAAATCATTACATTATGACTAACGATAGAAATATAAGTAGACAAATCTCGTTTTCAAGGGGCTCAAAGATATGACAAATATGACAGTAATTTACAAAAATACAAAAATGTGCAGAGAACAATATCATTACCGGAATAAAAGGTAAAATAATAAAAGCTGATTGTACGAAGAGAAACACAGTGATAGTCACAGATAGTCATAACTCAGCAGTTACCTGAGGATAAAGTTTAAAGACATCGTAAAATGGGTAATATTTCTAATTCCTCTCAAACATAACAACATGAAAGATGTATGATCACAGACATTCATGTTTCTGGATGTTTCTCTCCTTTAGTGAGATTAATTTTCACTTCGAAAAACTTAAAACAATAAAATCCTTGTTTAGGAAATGACCCAGTTTCAGCAAACAATTTGACGAATCTTGAAAATGAGGAAATCTTGTTTATCCCTGCTTGAGTTCTTTCTGCACATGAAAAATTAGGTGTCCTGTATTTATTTCCCTGACATACTAAACTCTCTATTCTGCTCACATTCATTGGTTTTGGTTACAGGATTTGTAGAAATTGGATCAAGTATGTGTGGTGTTACAAACATTATCGCTACCATCTCAAACACAAGTCCTTCTCTGTTTATTGTTCCTGTTCTCACACATACTTTGCATTTCTCTTTCTGTGATAAAAATTTTCTGTTGCTTGTCTGTGTAAACTCAACTTTCACTCAACTAAGGAAACGTGATTCTGATCTGCAGCGCAGTGTCCTGCCAGAGCCGGTCAGCGTTTATTGCAGAATCTGTTCTAGAGGTGAGTTCTTTGAAAATAAATGTCACAAAACTTCATCTTTCTGCAACCTGTCGGAACGAAGACGTATACTTTGGTGTCTAGACAATTGTTTGCACCAGCATTGGCACAGCAAAGTCACGCACAAAGGTTCTTCTGACTGGTGAAGACTGAAGCCAAACCTCTTTAACCAAATCACACATTAACCAGTCAGATGTCAAAGTTCCTTCAGGTGGGCCCAGTCCACAGCAGAACAGATTTTAAGCATGTTAGAAACAGACATGCAGGGTTCAGTGATTCATAAAGCACCAGAGTGTATCTTTGTTTGCTGATCTGGACAGGCTGGACTAATCATCTTGTCCAAAACGATTGGTTTGGTCATCCTAGCACTTCCAACCAAAGCTCTATGAAAATCAGGGAAGGACTGCAGGAAGACCGAAGTCAAAACATGTCAAAGTGAAAAGAGAAACACACTATCTTCTTTGACGGACTTGGACTTTATCACTGGACAGCTCCTGTTCTCACTAAGCGAGTGGATTTTACAGTGAGTTAGCACATGGCACGGTCCTATAACAGTATTTAAAGATGAACTGGAAGCTCCTGCCTTCTATACGCCATGACGACTACCTTGTTTGTCCCTTATACGACTGCTTCTCAGGATGTGTCATGACATCGCTTTGCAAGGCATGTTGATAAGGGAACCGTTAAGCAAAAAGGCAAATGATGTTGAACGCTTGACTAGCTGTAACCAGATTGATCTGCAGATATATATATTTTTTATATCTATCTCTAATAAGACGCTTCAGTAACCAACAGGTAATGCCACTGAGAATACATTCATGTTTCACAGCCACAGAATAGGATTTTGACTAAATGGGTTAGGGGGTAAGAGCTTGTGGATTAATGGGATTTAAATTTGGATTAGGATTTTGGCTCCCCACAATCATAAAAGTTCTATGATCAAGACTGAACAATATTGGCCTATATGCTGTATTGCCTCCATTATGAGCACTACAAAAGAGAGGCTGTAGCAGTCACATGAGCTAACTACCAACTGCTGGGCTACAAAGTGAGAGACATCACTCTGTATCATAATAAAACACAAACCCATCTTGATGTTATGAAGGACATTAAACGTCATGAAAAGACTGAATGATTTGTTAGATCTTTGGCGTGTTATAAACTGTAAGCGGTGTGACACAATTCAAGTGAAATTTGGCATTTGATTCATTAAGTAGTATCACCAAAATTAAGCCAATGCTATCTGAAAAGATGTCAAATCGTGGGTAATCATTTTTGATAATCCTGATATCAATATCATTTTAAGTAATCCTGATTATGATTTTTGCCTTAATAAAGCAGGCCCCATATTTATGGGGAAGTTGCATGGACTCAAAAATGATTGAGATGGTCATTGTTTTGGTAATTTAAAGTGAGGTCTATCTTTTGAGCTTTCTAAAGTAAAATGACAAAACAAAGAAAAAAGGACTTGTGGCGTTTCTTGATCAAAAATGAAAACAAAAGAAACACACAGACATTTAAAGCAAACAAGAACTGCAACATATCAGATAAACCTGGCATACAGTTTCAAACCAAAGTTTCTGTGCTGCATGCTAATGTGTAGCAAGCTTCTATAGTCTGTTAGCTCCTGAACGATGGTTAATGCTCATAGCTCATGAGTATTTTCAACATCCACAGGACGTTTTATAGACTTCTTATCATGATGGACATGGTTTAAAATATCTCTCTGTATCTTTTAGCACATGGTGAGCAGAGCTTAGCTGTATCATCTTAGCTTAGCCATGTCAAGTTGAAATGTAAATAAGTTTGTCTGCTTCTGTGCACAAATTTAATCAGATTTAGCTAAAGATTTAAAAGATTTAAGCACTAACAAGCAGCATTAAGCATTTATCTGTCAAAACTAAACAGGAAAAAGATGTTTGCAGAAGAATCTGATCCTTTAACAGGAGTGTAAATTTCACATGTGCTTACACAGCTGAGCTCTGACAAACATCAGACAGCGAACACTAACCTGCTGGGACAGGTGAGCTGATTCACTTGTGTGACAACCACAGAGTTAACCATGCAGCAAACAGGTTCAAGCTTGAAAATCTGTCAAATCTAGAGTAAGAACTCTTCAGGTGAAAGATGATCCCGGCATGTGGGCTTTTAGTACTGTTTCAAATGATAGTTAAACCAAGGTTTTTTGTTATGACTTGAAGCTAATGTGAGGATTTTTCCTGACGTAAACCTGATCAAAGAAGGATCAGACCAGACCCCAAAGAGAGACCCAGTTCAGAAAAGAACTTCTCTAGACAAACATTTAAACTTGAGGGATAAAATCTTTCAGAGTGATCACAAAAATTAATTTACTGGATTTTCACTCTCTCCTTAAGATTAAAACAGCAGCAGTTTCTTACCTCTCACTCTGACAGTCGATGCTGTGTCTGAAATGCAGAAACTCAGGTTAGCCTGTGATGTCATCAGGAGGCGGAGACTCTCCAGTGATTGACAGCAGGTGCACAAAGTTGACAGGTGAGTTTTGCATGGTTGAGATGCTTGTTCAAGCAGCTGTAACTTTTCAGTGATCTAGTTTTTGTTTTATTGATTATTAGAAAACAGTGTGCATTTTTTTTTATAATAAATGATAATGATAGATAACACTTATAAAGTCATTTGTAGGTTATTTGAATAAAAAAATGTAGGAAAAAAATATGAAGTAAGCACAGAAAAAAATTGCTAAGTTTATGCATACTGAGCAAATACTGAAATCAATAATTTATTGTCAATCTTGATTTCAGAAAAATTTCATCTTTAATCAATACCAAAGGAAAAGATAACCTTAAATATGAAAAAAATACGGAAGAAAAGAAATAAAAAAACTCAGCTGGATTAGGAATGGATAAAATATCACTTTTAAAAATCTTCAATGTAAGTCTTGTTAAGTCTTTAAGAAGCAAATAAGGGATCATATTTGTAAAATGATTGGTAATAATCCTGTCAGCACTGTGAAAGAAGTAAAAAATCAATTAAACGAAACATGAAAATCAATGTGATATCTTTTAAACTTTATGGCGCAAACAATAAATTGTTTAAAAAAAATCTTTACTGTTAAACTTTTAAAGGTAAATCAAAGTATATATATATGTACCAAATTCTGGATTTAAAAAAATATAGATATATAGAAAATGGTGATCAACCCATTGAGCCTGAACTCGGCAAGAGTGGTTTTATTGTACCTGCCGAATGTGTGCGGCCTCTCTCATTGACATCATTTAAATAAATCAGAGCTCAGTTACTGTTAAACTAATGCCTGGTTAGAGACAGACACAGATGAGTGTTTCTGGTGTTGACAATTGAGGACAAACTCTCAGCACAGACAGGACTGAGGACATTCCTGCAGCACGGGGCGTGTGTGTGCAGAGGTAAAGGTGTGGGTATGTGGGTCAGGTGTGCGCTGGTGAATCCTGTTTGGCTGTTACCTTCTCTAATGTATGATTGGCTGCTTTGTGTCCTGTTTTTTTGACTTTGGTTTTTGTTATGTAAGTATTAAAAATACTCCTCCTTCACTGTACAGGAGTCCGTAATGGCCAAAAGAGAAACATTCGCCCGTGAGATTTTAACAGGTTTCTGAAATGGAGGTTAGATTTCAAGGTTCTGCGGTAAATTCAAACTAAAAGTAGCAAAGCCGTGTAGATGAAGGAGTTTGCGTTGGAGTTGCGTTTAGGTGGAAAACAATGGGTAACAGAAACACCAAAGGATCAATCATTGTCCCGTGTGCTTTGTATGTGAAAATACTACAAAATGATCATGACTACATGCTGAAACAACATGTGGAGGAACAACAAACAAAACGACAGATATCAATTTAGATTACAACTTGCTATAGCTTCGTTTTTTCCTGTGCGTTAATCAAATTACATTTGTTCAAGCTGTTATTTTAAATAATGTTAGCGAACTGAGCTCCTGAATACAGACCTTATCAGTTACATAAAGCATTGTATTAATCTGAAACTTGAAGCTTTCAACTTACATTTTTTATGGTCTCTTCTCGTAAATAAGGTAAACACGACCTCATTTGAAGACACCGTAGAATGCTTTCATTTTATTGCTAATCAATCAGAATCAAAAGGGAGCGGGACTTTTGTTAATGTCATTGTCAACAACGCTTTCAGAGACCCTTACAGGAGAGAAGTATAAACATGTAAACAAGCAGCAGAACCAGATGTTATTGACCGGGGTGGCCAGCCTTGGGGCTTCAAGTCAAATTAAAAAAGTAGTTTATGTTTTTCATACAATCACATCATAACTATTACAAATAACTGTTCACACAACAGTTTATAAGATCATTTAACAGTTTGAATTTGACTGTTCATCAGAATGTCCATGTCCTTGTTATCTCCACCAAACCCCATTGAGATTTTTAACATTTTAGCCTGACGATCATGAATCCTATCATCTGACAGGGTCTCCCCTTCAATTCTAAAACTTGACGATCTTGTTTAATAAAAATAAACTTTCAGAGGCTTAAAATTCTGGGTATTTTAATTAGTGAGGAAATAATAGGCTGTAATAAAACTTGACAGGATTTACAGGGGAGAATAAGTGGGGACTTGTCCTTCAGTTGAGTTGAGATCCTCCTCAGAAGTCTTTATAATGCAGCAACCTGAACACAAACAGAAAATTTTCAGTCAAATGTTTATGTTTATTACTGAGGATCACTCCAGGGGTCTACAGGGCTCAGAGGGGCTGATTTGTTGTCTCACCTGTAGAGAGGGGCAAATCCTTTGTTGTTAGCCAATGAGAAGAAGCCGCTGTGTGGAGAGAAGTCAAGGCAGCTGGCTCGATAGACGGTCTTCTTCTTTTGGACAGGGAAGTTTGAGAAGACGGTCAGGCTGGGCAGGTGGACCTGAAGGGACAAAACAGATGTGGCTCTAGAGTTTTGGCGTTGTGGGTGGGTATCACGTCCTGCTGGAAAAGGAACTCTGGATCTTCATTAAGCTTCTCAGAAGACGGATGAAGTGCTTTAAAATCTCAGTTAAACTTCATCTGAAAACTCGTTTTCTCTTCTTTAATCAAATGTTTCTGATCATCTCTAAACTTTCTCTCCATGATGTGATATTTATTCTCACGAGTGCTGCTTAGGTCACCTGTGAGAGAGATCCTGATCTGAGCTTTTGTTTTTTTTACCAGGTTTAATAAAAAAATCATCTTCATCTTACCAGCCGTACAGCCTCGTCTTCAGCTTGAGAGGCAATGGCGAGGATCTCCGAGGTGGGGTTAAAGGTCAGAGAGGTCGCTGAGGTCAGCAGGTTCATGATGGCCTTAAGAGGTTTGGGATTGGGAGAATTAAGACACGCCTCCTGGGAGTAAACGTTGACCACGCCTGACTGAGAGCTGCAACACAGAGGGGAATAACTCTAACAGGCTGTCAGCCAATCAGAGAACAGGACAGCGTATGGGCATGTCTTACCCGCAGGCGAGGTAGCGTCCGTTTGGTGACGTGGCGATGGATGTCCCCCTGACACAGCCATCATCCATGAACCTGTTTAGACACCGACTGCTGCGCATGTCCCACACAAACACCTCCCCTTCCTCTGCACAAACACACACACACACAAACACACACACACACTCTGAGGTTAATCATGTGACAGGTGGTCGATCTGTGATGTCACCCACTGAGCGGTCTCTCACCTGAGTTGGCAAAGACTTTGCTGCCGTCACGAGAGAAAGCTACACCGCTTACATTGCCGTTTATCTTCATACTGCGGACCACCTCCTTAGTCTGACACACACACACATACACACATATACACACACACACACACACACACACACACACACACACACACACACACACACACACACACACACACACACACACACACACACACACACACACACAGACAAATATTTTTAGGAAACATTTTTTAGCAGATTCAAAAGATCATTAAAAATGATTCTTTGAGTGATTTTATAAATTTTATTTTCTAGTTTTTTTTCTCTGTTCTGTCCCTTCATATCTATTTCATTTCGTACAATCGTGTTACAAAAAAAATGTAAAAAAAATTGTGTTAATAAAAAATTGGTTGAAGTCACCATATAGGAAGGAAGGAGGCGGGTTAAAATGTTTTACACTAGAACGACCTTTCAACAGGGACTAACAACATTTTAAAGAACTCTGCATTTTGACAGCAAGAACTAAGGTTTAGATTAAGTTCTAGAGGAATCTGATCCACTCCAGAAGAGTCTCTGTCAGGGGTTACACCAGGTCCAGGAACTCTCTGGGACAAATCCTGAAACCACCTCACAGTAAGAACAGGTGCTTTATTTGCATACAAAATACCAGTAGCTGTGAGGGACAGATCACACTGACTTCAGTGACTTCTTCTTTTACCAAACAACTATCCTCGACTAGTTCCCTTTTTGTCATTTGCCTAATTTGTGTGATATTTATGGGATTTCAAGCAACAGCACAAACTTTTAGCTCATTGAATAGAAGTTACTAAAAAAGAGCTAAAAAATAAACATTTCTGGTACTTTTGATCAAAATGTGTTTTAAGATGAAGAAAAAAACTAGAGGAGAAAAAACAAAAGAGGCAAAAGAAGAGGAAGTAACATGAGCAAAAAGGTTAGAAAAAGAGGAAATAAGGAGGGAAAGAAGAGGAGAAGAAGAGGGAAAGCAAAGACTGAAGAGGAGGACACAGAAAGGCAAAGGAGAGGAGGGGGTGGAGAAAGGTGTGAAAATTGAAGATGAAGCAGAAAAAATTAAAGAAGAGAGACCTTTAATGTGAGGAGATGCAGGTATCCACGGGTTCCAGAGAGCAGCAGAGCGCCCCCCTCAGGACAAACAGAGAACTCCTTCACTCTGGATTCGTTCAGACCTGACACACAAAAACACACCGTCTGTTTCTCCCCAACAGAACGTTCAACAACCATGAACCCCTGAACAGGGGAGAGCTGTGACACCTGAGTGACACCTGAGCGTGTCCCTGCTCACCTCTGACCGCGTGCACAGGAGTGACTTTTCCCTCCATCATGTCGTACACGTAGAACATTTTGTTTTTCAGACTGGTGGCGATCACTGTCTCTCCATCGGGAGTGAACGCTGCGCGGTGCACCGGGAAACGCTCCAGGTGGATGCTCTGGATCTTCGGATTTGTCTTCCCGTCCACCTGCAGGGGTAGAGACACAACCACACACATTTAGACGGTGTCTACCTGACTCTACCTCACCTGTATGAAGATCTGATCGGCTGATGAGCTGAGTGTACCTGGAAGAGGGACAGTGATTGGTCGAGGCCGGCTGTCATGACAACCTGAGCGGAGGGGTGGAATTGGACGGTGGTCAGTCTGTCCTCTGACGGACGGGTGCTGTTCGCGTGGAGACATTTTTTCATCTGAGACAGGAGGTAGAGACAGAGAGTTTGATTGGATGGCAGGGTCACATGATCAATAGGAGCAGAAAGCAGCCAAACATTTCAAACAAACTTCGACCACAAAAGAGGCAGTTTGTTCTAATTTTTACAAATTTTTTATGAATCAAAAATAAAGTTAAGTTTTTCCTTTTGTTCCCTCTGACAGCACTGATGATGCTGAACAGAGGAGAGGCCTCAAACAGGCCACACCCCCCATCACTGAGGGTAGACAATCAGGCCCTAAATTGTCGACTGTGTGTCCATCCTCTGTGAGTGTTTGACCTCAGCGGGGCGACGTACCCTGATATTGCCGGTGGGCAGACTGTCTGAAGACGCCACAAAGTTCCCCGTCCTCCTCAGCAGTTCATCATCTTCTTCATCCTCATCCTCATCTTCTTCATCTTGATTAACACATGCACCAAAGTCTGATTTTAACATCATTTATCATTTTAACCATTAAACAAAAAAAACAACATGAAACATCACAACGTCCTCCTACCTTTCTTCTTCTTCTTCTCTTTGCTCTCGGCCCACGATGGCGCTCCTCCCATTGACTTCTGGAACCTGAAACACACCTGATCAACACACAGGTACAGGCACAGGTGTGTGTGTGTGTGTAACTGTGTACTCACTGCTCTCTCATCCTCTGCTGTAGTTTCTGTTTGGACATTGTCGACTCTGCCTCTCCTCTGATCAGGTGTTTACGGAAACGATGCTTCATGTCCACTCTATAACACAAACACAGTCACATGACACACCTGAGATCTGACTCACCTGAAGAACTACAACAACAAATCATTAAGAGTCAGGATGGTGTTTAAAATGAAGATTAAAACAGCACTGATTTACTGGTTTATGGTTTACAACAGCAACAACATTACAACAGCATGGCTCTGTAGTAAAAGAGACCTGCTGCTAAACGAGCCTGCCTGAAACTGAGTGAAGAAGAAGAGGACCCCTCATCACTCACTCTTCCTCCAGCTCATCGTCCTCGTCCACCCAGGCTGGAGCTGTCTTCCTCGTCTGCAGATGTGCGTCATCCTCAGCCTCTGATTGGTCTGATTCTTCGTCTCTGATCTCCACCAACAGCGTCTCCTTTTGCTCCTCATCCTCCTGCTCAAACACAGGAAGTGGTGTCAGAGGGAGAGAAAGGTAAACACATCTAAGGTCACTCTGAATGTAAGCTGAAAGGGCAGCGACTTTCAGGTTTTTAATTAGAATAAACAGAGGTGGATGGGATTAATGCCTGCAAGACGTTGTCTAAAGAAAATTCTAAAAGTCTTGAAAAATATCATGTTTTGTTTGGAAAACATCTTTTGCTCATAAAGAAATAGCATAAATAAAATACTGTATAATTAGCTGTTTTTTAAATGGAGTCTCCAGTTGGGAGCAGTCCTAAGTGAAAACAAGATTTTACAAGCTTTAAATCAGTAATTTATCTGAATAAAATCAAAAAGCTAAATGCAAGCAAGACATACAGTAAAATTGGCAAAATTATCAATGAGGTTTGGTAGCAATGGCTGCACAGTGGTCTGGGTGGAATACTGCATTATGTTCAGCAGAATTTACTGATAAAGATGACAAGAAAGTCTGGCATAAAATTTACTTGAACATAATGACAACAATTCCCTAGAGTTAGGGCTGGGTGCTATGGTGAAGAGTTTATCACAATATGTTACCAGAACCTCCAGAACCAATATGGCTACCAGAAACATTACATGTTACTTCTTAATGTGGTGCTGGTAGATAAACAACAACGCCGAAATATCCGGAATTCATTCAAATGTGAGTGAAAGCCACAACATGCTGTCATGTACAGTTAAAGGGACTCCAATCCGGAGAAACACCAAATTGTCAGATTTATAGACGAGGTTTGGTGAGGGGCTGTACCTCCACTAGCCTCTCCAATAGCTCGTCCTCTGCCCCGAACACCAGCTCCTCCAGCAGCTTCACCGAGCTGTCCTTTTCACCCAACACCGCCAACGTCTTCACGTGTTTCTGTCGCTTTTGCTCCTCATCTTCAGAGTCATACGTCAGTGTTTGGATCTGCTCCTGCTGCTTTTTCTTCTTCTTAACCGGTTCTTCTTCTTCTTCAGTCTCCGTTAGCTTTATAACGCTCAGGTCCTCCATGTTTTACAGCGTCAGATAAACCAAACCTCACACAGAAAACTGTAGATTTATGCCTCCTGTTGACTAACATGTAGAATAATCTTATATTTGATGTTTCTACACTCAGTCAACATCAAGTGCTCCCCATGTGGATGCCTCTGTTTTCCTCATGTGCTTCCGGAAGAATGACCTCCGAACTCGGAAAGTATAATAAAAAGTCTGCCCCCTGCTGTCCCCGGACAGAACTACAAAACAGTCATTTTCATTTGTACCAGTCCTTTGCGAATATATTCGTTTATTAAAGAGTATTTTAGATGATCGAGGCCACATTTTAAATTTTAATTATTGATTATGTAGTCGACTTATTCACTAACTGTTCTTCATTGACCACTCATGACAAATGCCATTTTTAAAAAATTTTCCACCTAAAAACTTGTATTAGATTTTACATCATAAGATAATTGATACTAAACGTTAACCTGGAACTGTTTTCGATTTGATTGGCCATCATTTCAAATAGAAAAAAACACTTTTTTATTCACAGGGACTTAAATTTGCTCTACAGCTGCCACACTGAGGACACTGCCTGCAGTGTCTGCAGATATTTTCTGTTGTTTGAATTGACTTAAGTTCCTGCTGATTATTTCGAAATGCCATTAATCGAATGGACACCGAGTAGTTAGTATTTCTCTTCTTAAAATTCTCAGCTGCTACAGACAGATTCAGTAAAGAGTTCCCGATTTTAACATAAATAAACTGAAATGTTAACAAAGAGAAAAAGGAAATTCAAGCCGATGATTTCAGGTTATTTTTGTTTTTCTGCTACAAACTAAAAAATCTGAGGACCAAAGTTAAACTTTCTTATCATATAATCCACTGACACTAAAAATCAACCTTATCTGAGGTTATCAAACAGAAGCAGGGAAATGAACCCCAAACACTCACTGCGCAGATGAGTGAGTTGTTTCATTAAGTGTAAAGAGAAAATGAAGAGGAAACAGAGACCTGTTTGAGCGTTTATTTCTGCTGCAGTCAGAGTACAGAGAGCAGTTAGAGAGCATGCTGTTAACCTGGGACTCTACCAAACCAGCGGTCCCAGTTTGAGTCTAAAGCTACAATTATCACTATGGTTAGAACGACATCTGTCCTCCTAATAAGTCACTTTAAACATTATTAACATGTTAGCTTCTTTTTACAGTTTACCACTGAAGTTTACAGCAAACAGTTTGTAAGGCAAACAGGAAGGAGCGGGGCTTCATGTCACAGTTAACAATGTGCCGAAAAAAAATGTACCGACATTTTCACCTGTACATCAAACTTTTACTCTGAGCTGCAGGTGTAGGTTTTCTGCTTAGAATAAAGATGTTAAATTAACAGATTTTTGAATGAGGTTTGATGGGAAACAGCAAATAAATTGATTAGTTTTTTGAATTCTCAGTTCACAGCGAACATAATTCTGAACTTGATCAATGTTTTACAAACAGAAACACTCAAAACAGTCAGTCTAAAATTGGACAGAAGCTTTCTAAATAATATTATTTATTCTAAACTGAAGTTCAGAAAAAAATACACAAAATTCAAAGGCCAAGGTGGGAGTTTCAGTCATTCAACATTTTTTTTTCTATGAAACGAAAATCATGAATGCAAGATGCATTATTAGTTCTTCAAGATTTTAGCCTTAGGTTAAACTCTTATGAATGACACTGGAATACATTTTCATAAGATGGAAAGCATCACTATGCATTTTGATGATTCTAAACCAAACCCCATTCAAAATGTTGCTAATTTAGTGTTCTGTTATAAATAAAGAAACATGCATGTATCATTAAGACAAATATGATCATTTTGACTTTTTGCAAGAAATGGTAACAGAAAAAAAAAACCTATTTTGAAGAATCTGTGCATAAAAATTGTCACTTATTTAGAAGAAACTGTTAAATATGACTGAGAGAATAGAGGCTGGAGGTAAATGCCGTTACAGTGCTCTATGTGATTCATGTTAAACTGCGACTGAAGCTCCTGGTCACGTCATTTTATAATCACATCAATGAGGCTGTTAATCACGTCACACACCTTCAAACTAAAATGATCCGTTCATCCTGAAAAACAAGAACGAGCTCAGTCACGACCTCAAACGAAGACAATGAAAAACTAGAATCTGACCACAGAAGAAGAGGAGGAATTATGTCATGTGGCACTGAGACAGCGAGTTTTTCGAATCATTTTTTTCCACTCAGGTTCATTCTGAGTTGTAAAGATGATACTGGGACAGTAGGAGGAAGTTCATTATTGAGCATTAAGTGTTCCTTTATGCAGACAATGTTGTTTTATCCCCAAGGTTTAAAGACTGCACAGTGTAATTTTCTTGTGGTAATGGTTTCATCTTTCTGAAACAGCTTATCCTGAGCGCACAATTTAATAAACTTGTGATAAACGACTATCCTCTGGAGGGAACACATTACTTTTTGAACATTAATCATAATTTTGTCCACACAAAAATGGTTTACATTGTCGCGTCCTAACAGTAACTTGGATTTCCTCTCATCAGAGGAAACACTAAGGATATGGAGGCCTCAGCGTCACAAACATAAAACACTCAAGGATGACGTGAAACAAGAAAGAAAGGACAGTATGGAGTAAAGAAAGGATGAAGGAAAGGAGGGGAAGGGCAATTGGAGAAAGGAAAAGAAAGACAAAATGAAAGGAGAAAGAAGGAAAGAAAGAGGAAAGCAAAAGAGGAGGAACAAAAGGAAGGGAGGAAGGAGCAAAGACTGAACAGAGGAGTTAAGGTAAGAGGGAACAAAATTGGGAGAAAAGGTAGGATATAAGTGTCCTTGCTGCAGACAGAAGACTTCCTGCGCGACTGATTGTCTGTCCCGCCACCCCCAACCACATTACACCAACATTGGTATGACCTGCTCAGACCTGCAACAGGGGGGCGGAGTCAGGGGGTCAGGTGACGTTGTGCGTGTTGGCACTTAAAGACTCAGAAGACGTCCTCAGAAACTGATCAGTGTCTCTGCCGGAGGTCACATCAGGTCCCGTCTTGAAGGAATGACAGCTGATATGAAGCAGGTGAGCGTTAATATTTACAGGTGTGACACACACTGCGCCGTCTGTCTGTAAACTGTTAGTCCTCCATGTTTGTTCAGAGTGCTTCCTCTGGAACTTTCTGGACCTGGAGACTTCTGGATCCAGGAGGCCCTTAAGTGCGTCAAGATCTCCAGATACTGCTGTCAGAAGGAGCTGATGTCGGTGTGTTGGTCGTTGCAGTTTATGAGGATGTCTGAATCATGAACATTTGAACAGTTCAACATTTCCTGAAGACATCTTCATCCATGCCTGTTTATATTCCTAAATCTAGATCCTGATTTAAATCTAGACAGTTTCAGCCCTCAATGGGAGCTGACCTGTATGTGCTGGTTTTTGTGGTTTATGAGGAAATCTGGATCATAAACATCAAGAAAACAGTTCAATATTTTACTGTTTTCTCTTTCTACTTGCTTGTGTTGCATTAATTTAAAAGTTGCATAGCCTGAATAAATGGACAACATGACAACTCCCAAAAATGAAGCCAAATATCTAATGCTTCCCCCTGCAGAATGTCATAAATCTCATTTCATCCTTTTTTAAAGATAGGACGGATACACTTGTCTTTATAGTGCTTTGTTATTTAAATTGATTCTCCCTGATTTTTTACCCGAATTTAAATGTTCCTATAAGTTTGGTTTGAATTGGTTAATTGATGCTAAAGGGCAGGTATAACACCATGATTGACGGCTTACTTAAATAGCTTTACATAAAATCCAGCAACAGGTGAATTAATTGTTTCCTGACACACTCAAGATTAAATTTAAAGTAAGAAATAAAATTTAAATATCTGATAAACAGGAGTGTGCAGAGTACATTTTCACTTGCCAAAATAAACATCAATGTTGTTGCTGAGTGAATCCTTTGATTTCTATATTTAGTATTATATATTTATCAAGAGAATTCAGATATTTTATTTTCAAATGGAGACGAAGTTTTGATCAGGACTGATATTTGCTTCAGTTTACTGGAGTTATTCCCTCTGACGTTTTAAAATGTGATCATTTGTAGAAGAACTGATTAAATTTTGGGTTAAATTTCTGTGTAAAAAATGACAAAGAAATCCTCATTGGTCAGGATGAATAATCAATCAAAGATGTTGAATAAATGCTTTTAAATCTATAAAATTTAAAGAAATGCTCTATTTGTTACATCCTCACTGATTAAAGAAAACATGAATGTACGTCAAAATAAAAGTTTTCTGCTGCAATTAAACAACAACGAATTTCAAGAAAAGAGAAGTTCATGTCTTCAAACACCAATAAAAAAAGGAAGAGGAGAAACTCAACATTAGGAAAAATAATCTCCACATTTTTAAAACCAACATTAGCTGGTCGCCGTCCTTTTGACTCTTTACAAGAAACTAAAAATCTGTTTCTTTCTTCTCAAAAAAATGTTGAACCGTTATGTTCAGTATACAGACTCAGCTCATTACGCTCTCAGTGTTAAAGTTATTTTATCTCCACCAGAGTCTAAGGAGTCCCTGCAGCAGCTTCCAGCTCCACATAGTTCATCTTCACCTTCAGAGCGGCTCACAGGTGGAGCAGCTGCTTCGAACAAAAAGTGCGAGTGCAAAAAAAAAAGATAAAACTAACCTAAACAAAAACTGCAGCTCTGAGTCATGAAAGGAAGAAGCTGAAAGAAACTCGCAGAGCAGGAACCGCCTCTTCATCTTCATCATCATCATCATCATCAACCCTCTGAGCACTCTGCACAGTGTCCTGATCAGTCTAACACTGTCCTGCTGCATCAGCCAATCAGATCAGAGCTCTCCTCAGTCAATCAGCCATGAGCATAGATGAGGCAGAAATGGAGGCAATACTGTCGACAAAGCTGGACGCAGGATGGAGGGATGTATGCGTGTGTGTGTGTGTATGTGTGTGTGTGTGCATGAAGTCCAGCTGGGAAATTGTCGTCATGGTTCACCTGCCGACAGGTGGCAGTGGTGGGGCTCCTCTCATCACTGCAGGAAAACAAACAAACACAGAATCAGCTGGTTATCTTGATTGTTTACACCTGATTAAAAGTCGTACTTCGACACCTAGATCCCATTTAAACTGGGACAGCATGTACGCATTTCAACCTTCCAAGCCGGCGGCGCCACTGCGCATTTCTACCCTTTAAGCCGGGAGCGCGGATACGTCATTTTGTAACATTCTGTAGTTCTTCAATCATTTCAAATCATCATACCCGTCTGCCTCTGATAGGCGAATAAAGCGGTCGGATTCATGCTCGGATCTTGCTACATGCCTCATGAGTAAAGTAAAAAATGACGGAGGCAGAGAGCAGCTTTGGAGGAGAAACATCCAGCAGTGTGAACAACCTCTTCATACTGAGGTCTTTGGTTCATACTATCGGTGTTTTCTCTAAGTGTTGCATGACTTTAGGTGACATAAACAAACTGTCAGCCACGTATTTATTTATTCATTTTTAGTTTTCAGTTTTTAGTGCTGCTTTTGTACTGGCACTATACTATGGCAGCTGTATAACCTTTCATCATGACTGCCACTTGTTTTATAGAAAGCAAACAGTTTGTCATTCTCCAGTGCAGAGCCTTGACTTTTATTTATACAGACACTTTATTTCATTTGAGTTTGTTTGTTCAAGGTTTTCAAAAATGTGATGAAGGTTAAAATAAAAGAGAGTTATCTTGAAAGCCACATGTATAAGCTCTCAAATTCTTTTTTTGTTTCTATCTGCTACAGAGGCGGAGATCTCAGCTTTTTTGTAAACCTCAACACCTCAGAAAACCTCAGGATCTGGGGGCCCTTCTTAAAGTTGCCCTCAGGATTTCAGAGGCGTGTCTCAGACAGGGTTCAGGTCTTAAGGTGGTGGATATTTTTCTCTGATGTCTCACCAACAGGAGGGGGCTTATAAGTCAGATAATGAACTCCTGCAAAAATAAATACGGATATGAGGGTATGAATCTCTGATTTATCAGTTGTGGTTTTGATCATGGACGCCGGTTCTTAAAAGTGTCTTTACTCTGATTGTAGTTCTGGGAGAATAAAAACACGATAATGACAAAAATAAGCCAAACACCTCAATAACACTTCAGAATTTAAAACAATATTAACACATATTGTTGGTTTTCATACCAAAATACTGGTGACTCAATAAAAACAGAGGAAAAAAGGTTCAACTCCTTCAATTTCTTCTCATTTTTCTTGCTCCTCATCTCTAGAATATACAGTTTCTGCTCTTGAAATAGATGAAAACATGATTCATGTGGAAGTGAGCTCAGCTGAGTTGAGTATTTAAGTGGTCAAACTTTGTAAGGAACCACCACCGAGGAGCCTGAGAATACAGGTGTACTGTTTCTGTGTGTACCTCTGTTGGCCTTGCTCGGGTAGATCTTCGTGAAGTGTCTGTACTCGTCAGGAGGAGGGAAGTCGTCCAGTGGGTGGAACGAATACTTGGACTCAAAATCATCTGCAGAGGGAGAAAGAAAGACAACTGATCAATATAATTCTCTCTTTATTTTTCTGCTAAAACAAACTGACTCAGAGGAGGAGAGAGAAAAGGAAAAATAAGGACAAAGAGGAGACTGATGAAGGAAAAACATGAAACAGAAGAGGAAATCGATCAAAATACGGATCAATGATCAATCTGAACTCCTACATCAGAGCTTGATCTACTAACTGTATTAACTCTACTTTACTCTCTTCAGTAATTTACAGTCCTTAGATCTTAATAATCTGTGAACTGACTGAAAACAGCTGCATTTATAGTTACATCTATTTTGTTTTCAAGTTGGCAGGCTGAAAAACATTTGTGACTCGCTTATTATGAGCAGGTTTGAAACTTAAAGTAAGATGTTGTTTACTGACTCTTGACTCTGTCTCTGATTGGAGGTGAATGAAGGGCAGCACTCACCCACAAATGAGCGAGGGATGGAGGAGGGTGTGGTGGAGGAGGTGGAGTGTCCGTTGCGGATAGGAGGGGGAGGCGGGGGAGGAGCAGCAGGGGTTCGGGTCGGTGGGGGAGGAGGTTTCCCTCTGACAGGAGGATCAGAGGAGAGGGAGGGGCTACCGTGTGTCCTATAAGGAGGGGGGAGCGGCGCTTCTCTGCCCCCCGCCCTCGCAGGTGCTGCAGACTGGGCGGGAACAGGTGGAGCTGAGGACAGAGATTCACACAAACGATTAGCTGAGGTCAATCAACTCTTCAGATCTTTGAATTAACTGTTCTCACTGACGCCTCACCTGCTCCTCTACCGGGCGCCTCTCTGTGGGGGGGTGGTGGCCTGTTGGTGCCCTGTTGAGAGGGAGTGGGTGAGGCAGGGGGAGGTGGAGGGGCAGGCCCTCTGGTGGGGGTGTGGCCTCCAGGTGAGGGGGCAGTCCTCTTGTTGCTGAGGGAGTTGTGACGCTGTGGCAGATCAGGGGCCACTTCTCCACCTGTGGGACCATTACTGACCCTGTAAGGCGGAGGGGGTGGGGCCAATGTGGAGGAAGAAGAGGAGGAGGCGGGGTTTCCACCTGAGGTGGGAGGGCGTCTGCTGTTTCCAGGTGATGGAGGGGGTTTGGAGGGCAAGGGCGGGGTGTTGTTGGGTGTTGGGGGGAGGGGCTTCTCCCTGTTGTAAGCGGAGGATGAGGGCGGGGAGGGGGCGTTTCCACGCCGACAGAGAGGAGGAGGTGGAGGTGGGGCGGAGGAGGAGTGCTTCATGCTGGCTGAGGGGGAGGAAGCAGCAGAGGATGGAGAGGAGGGGGAGGGAGAGGAGGACAGGTTTGGCAGAGACGGACGCTGGGAACGACTTGTCTCCATTGGCGACAGTGCCTGAGGGGAGGGGCTGTCTGTGTCATCATGGCGATGGCTTGGTGGGCGTGGCGCTGCAGCCCGAGTGGAGGGAGAACGACCAGAAGACCCGTCTGAGAGAAACAAGAGGTCATTAAAGGTCACAGGAGATGACATTTATTTGTAATTATATGACATTTAAAGGTGGGGTAGGCAGAGATCCGTTAAAGAAGCATCTTTTTTTGTGGTGTATATACAAAAAAGCTTTTAATATCAGTCATTGATGACATCTGGCAATATAACAATATCGCTGTGTTTTGTTATGTCTGTGTGGTCAACATTTTAAAATTTCAAAGTGCTCCATTCTTTCTGACTGTAAACAAAGCCATTCCCCGCCTCCCCCAACCTGATTGGTTGTGAGGCGGACGCTGCTCCCCCGTATCGTTCAGGAGCCCAATCAAAGTTAGCGTGCTACAATATTGGACAGTAGAAACTAACCAGAAAGAACAGAAAATTTTCTGAATCCTCCTTTGGCCACGATTGCTAACACAAGCAAGAAAACAAAGTAAATATCGGAGACTCTGGTGGAATAACGGCGCTAAAAAAAGGAGGTAGACCGGACAAGAGCTAAGAAGCCAGGTCAACAATGATGGGGGACGCTTCGGGATCCTACGGACCCTGTAACCTTTCTGCTGGACAGGTAAACCACTTTAACAAAGTAAGCCAAGTGTCTGTAACAGAAGTGTTTCTTGTCAAACAGGACCTGCTGCGTGTTGTAGCGCCGCTAAACTGTTTACCTCGGGTCCTGGACTATGTCACTTTATCCTAGTTGTAGAAGTCCTGTAAACTTTGTGTTTGCTGGTAGTCTGTTGGCATCTACAGTAGCACCATGTTGACTGGGCTCCATTTGTAATTATCTGAAGTATTTATCTGCATTATATCTGAATTTAGTTGGAATGATACGAACGAGCAGGAGCGTCTGTTTGTGGGCGGGGCTTGCTGGAGCAGAGAGGGAGGGGAGAGGAGGAGCTGAGGAGAAAACTAGTTGGGAGGGGTAGAGTTTATGTTTAAGATTTCTCCCAAAAACTGGCACTTCCTCAGATCCTGCCTACCCCACCTTTAAAGGGATATTTTTAAAATAAACAAGCAAGTTTATGATTCATGTAGTAAAGCTTTTTCAAAAAACGTTCATGAGGTATCAGAAGTAAATATATGAGAGATATATGGGGGGAAAGTCTTTCAAAACAACAAGTGGCATAATCGTCAAATAATAAGAGAACTTAAGAATTACAAATGTCAATTCAATTGATTTAAAAAACTACTTAAATTTAAAATCTACAAACTAAAAGAAATATTACTGACTGAATCAAAACATTAAAAATAATGATAAATATGAGATAAATGTGCTTTTGTTACTCCTCACCTCCTACTGGTCTCAGTTTGGGGACTCCGCCCGTGAACAGCCCTCCGATTGGTGGAGCAGAACCTGACGGACTTCCAGCTGCACTTCCATTGGCTCCCCCTGTTGCTGCTCCGCCTCCTTTGGGCTCTGAGGACCACAACCATTGGACAGGTCAATAAGAGCTCCGCCCCCAGAAGGTGTGATATAATTAATCTAATCTGACGCTAAGATAACACTAGGATGACATCACAGACTGAATGACTAAATGTGTGGAGGTGATGGAGGTGAAGGGGGGAGTGCAGGTGAGGTCAGGTGACTATCAAACACTAAGGTAAAGTGGGATGAAGGTGAGCGTTAAATTTAATGAAGAGTTTACGCTCCCACGCAGCTCCGGTGACGTCATCGACAGCACGACATGAGCGACAGACAGACAGTTGAAAAACATTAAATATGACCTTTGACACCACAGGGCTGAGAGGCTACAGAATGAGTCAATACAACCATGTGCATCAGATTTTCAAAATAAAACTCACACATATTTTACACAGTGTTCAGACAGGAAGTGAAGGGAGCTCAAACAGTTGGCTGTGTTGGCCAGCTCACTGCAGACACACAGACTGTGAGTGTCTCTGAGTTCAGCATCAGCGATACTGAAATAGAGGCCAAGTGTTAGATTATGACCGAGAGGAAAAACGACTCTCTGAGCAGTGCACCATGAAGTGAGATTATCAGTTATTTACTTTAGCTACTAATCAGTCAGACTAAAATGTTTACATCAGGGTTTGACGCTCTCTTTTTTTACAAGGAGCACACAAAGAAGTTTAGGGGCACAATAAAAAATGGATCAAACAATGTTTGTCTTATTGGTCGACGACATAAGTACTATTATCTGAAATAAATTTTAGGTCTTTTGGTCACATGACATGAAAGCTATTGAAGAAAATGTTTAAAATTTGCCTTTAAAATTAACACAAATTTTTTTGAGGACAAATTAGGGAAATAAAGAGGTGTGTCTTATTGTCTGACCTTGTACTATTTTCTAAAATCAATTTTAGGTCAATTGGTCACATGACATGGAAGGTAATGAAGGAAAAAAGCCTTTTTTGAGAACATCAATCGGTAATTTATTGACGATCCCTTATTCAACACCTGATGTTGACAGAGAGCGTGCTGAGTACGTTTAACTGCGCTGCTGTTGCTATTATCGGTTATGGAGAGTGAGAAGACACCGGTAGATCCACAGTGATCCACTGTTGAATATCCAACCTAAAAACTAACTTCTAGGGCTGGGATGATATGCTTTTCTCTCGATTTAATTCTTCTACGATTTTTTGGATGCCAATTCAATTTAAATTGCGATTCGACGATTTTCTTGTCGATTTTCTCGATATTCAGTCTGCATTTTTAACACCAGTGAAACAGTAGAATGATAATGATTGTCTATTGACTATTCCAGGGACCAGATTTCCCCCATAAATACACATCACATGTGAGATTTATTCTTAAATTTGAAAAAAAAAAAAAATAATAACATAAAAACATAAAAATCAATTTATTTATGTTGTTCAATTTCTGTTGAGCTGACTTGCTCAGAGACACTCTGGGTGTGTTGAGCTCGCTTCATGGTACACCCCTTGGTCTTTCAGTTCTATAGGAGTGAACGGGTGGACTGAAGACAAGACTGATTTGGACTTTTTCATTCACGTCGTGTCTGAACACTGAGAGAAAATGACTAAAAGCTCCCTCACACCCAGCCACCTTCACAGGTGAGTTCACTCATAATCCCAGATAAGACCTTTGTTTTTTTTTCCTACCTGAGCAGAGGTCTGATAAAACAGAAAACACCTGTGTGTGAGCTTTTAGCAGACAGCTGTGGTTTATTCCAGCTATTTCCGGACATCACTGCGCTCAGAGATGTCAGATATGAACTTAATGAGAACAGCTTCATATCAAGCATTTACAGAAAATACATCCAGAGCTGGAATAAACCAGGGCTGTGGGATGTTTCGTGCAGCTCTGCGTAGCTACATGCTGTCAGTATATCAAAGACGTCACTTTAAACAATTAACTGACTCAGCATAAACAGAATCAGTCGAACAGGAGCTCTGCAGGACGCTGCAGGATCTAACCAGCCGCCCCGTCACCTGCGTGTCTTCATACAGTTTAATAATGATGATGTTTTCTTTTAAATCTATCTAATAAAAAGACTCCTGTGTCCCTGTGTGAGTAAGCGAACCAACAAGAACTAAACCCGGACAAGTTAGTATGCAAACCATCATCATGTCCACCTCGAGGAGGATCAGCGGTGAGGGAAAGAAGAGTTAAAGCAGAGATCAATCAGTGTTTTTAGAGTATAAGTCGTGACAGAAACAGTACAGATGTGGTGAGACGATAAGAGTGGAGCATAAACAAACAGAAAACATGAACAAACAGTGAGATTAGCTGATTGGGGGTCTGTCTGATTTATTTAAAATGTTTAAAATGTAAAAAGGTGTAAGATGTGCCAGATGTTTCTGTGTCTGTAAAAGATGGAGTTTGATTTAGGGGGCGAGGAAATTTAAATATTCTCCCTGCCAGTCTCTTACAATCTCTTTTTATTCACTTGAAGAAGAAATTTTACATAAAGAGGGGAGATAGAATTATTGCTCCTAATCTAACAGATGCTAACACCAATATTTAGGCCTGTTTGAGGACTGACTAGGTCCCCCTCTGCGGTCAGTCCTCAAACAGGCCTAAGACTCTATTGGTTTGATTCAGAGCTTTGAATCAGAAACAGCTTAGAGCCGCCAATCTCTTTAGTTCCAGTTCATCGGCGGCTTTTCTTTAAAGTTTAAGTGAATTAAATAATCAGCCTATACGTGTTCGTGGTGTGTGGTCAGAAAGATGGCGGCTGGCTTCGACCCTGCTGCCCCCTGCAGGCGTCCTCTAACATTACAGCATATTTGTGGTCTTACTCTCTAGCGACAGGGCAGAGCTCGTTTCTCCCACAGTCTTCTGCGGCTCCTCGGACGGCGCCCCCTGCTGTCTGGGCTGGCTCTGTAGGTATTGGTATAAGCGAATGTATGGGTGGTCTGTGGGGGGTGTTTGGCTCTTTGGTGTTTGGCTCTTACTGTCCAGCATCGGAGCGCTGCGGTCGTTCACCACCGCCACCTTCTTCAGCCGCGCGCCTTTACAGATGTCCGATAAGAGAGCGCCGCGCCCTTTGGCCTCCTCTCTGCTCAGCTTGGGGGGGCTGGTGTTGGCCTGGGGGGAGAGGGTTAATAAGGGGAGAAATCAGGTTAAAGACAGACCTTCAGATACTATGAGGGAAGTCCAAAATAAATAAAACAGTCAGGTTTCAAGATTTGGATACGGCCTGACAAGACCTAAGAAAAACTGAAGAGGACGAGGAGACAGGAGAGAGATGATGATGAGTATGACTGTGTGCTATGTTACCTGGCTGAAGGTGGGGGGAGGTGGGGGTCCCCCTGGTGGTGGGGGAGGAGGGGGAGGGATTGGCATCCTGCTGCTGTGTCACACACACCTGATCCTCCCAAAACACAAAAACACACATCAAACACCACACTCAGAAATGTTGTTTCATACAGTTGAGGAGGGAACCATGGAGCAAAATATAAACCTAATGGCAAATCAAAAAGCTGTGAAAGCTTCTATTTACTCCAAACGCTGTTTCTGCCTGTAAAATCAAACACCAGAGAGAACTTTAAAGGGATACTATGGTGTGAAATTAATTTAGGGTCAAACACACCGTAACACCCAGTTAGACACCCCCTTGAGAAATGAATGAATGTTGCCGACTGCTTGCTTCTCTGGTTATACCAACTTTAGTAACGACCACACGATAGCAATACACAGCGGTCTGAGGAGCCATAAACAAACCTCAACCAAAACGCCACTCTATAGCCACAAATAATGCTCAGAACAGCATCTAACTTCATCAACTGTACAAAACATCTTTTTAACTTTGACTTATTTCTTTAGCAAAGAGACTAAACACAACTCACCCACTCTCTTCCAGCAGCCGCTTATTTGTAGCGAGACCTCAGGCCAGTGAGTGACAGAATTGCAGTCGGCTGTTTATTGTTTTTTCAGGGCTGATGCTGATCCTACTTATTTACAGGTCATAGTACTTATAACCAATACTTGGAGCTGACATTTATTGGCTGCAAGATGAGAAAATGCAGGATTTTTATTTTGTTATTGATCTAAACTGTGCATTTTAACATCGTACAGTAAAAGACATCTGTTTTAGTCAGATATGAGGAAGGTTTTTCTAGTAATTTAACAAGCTCTAGACAGAAAATAATTAGATTCTCCATATTTTCAGTAATTCAGTCGTTTGTATTTTTTCCACATGCTGTATAGAATAGATAATATGTATTTTCATCAGTCACTTTTTCATCATTTTTAAGGTTGACCATCACTTTGCCATGGCACTGACAACAGTTAAGAGTTATTTGGTGTTTATCAGTCAATTTGAGCCCCACTTTAATAGATCCCAACTGTAACCTTGATCAAAATACATTAAACTGCAATTCCTCCCCTTTTTTTCCTTTTTATTATCAATAATTGTACGGATTTTAATAATTTCATTGATATAGTGACCGCTGAACTGGAAATATCTCCGGTACTCATCACAGGAATCTTGTCTCCTTCCCATAAAACCACTTACCTGGTCCAACAAAACCTGGAATATTTGAATAAGCAGACTCTTAAAGCTGTTTTAAATCCAAAGTTTTAATCCTGAAACAATTATTTTGTTTGTTAAATCAGGAAAAAAAAGCACCGATCTCTCTTAGCTCCGTTAGCTCCTGGCTAACACTGAGCTCAGCATCAGCACCGGCCTGACTCAATCTCTGCAGAGAGCTAAGCTAACACCTCAGCATCTTTACTGCAAATATTAATTCAGGGAATGCTTTTTTTTATTATACAGACACACTTCAACCTGTTTAAACGTAACAAAACATTTCTAACTGGTAGGCCAGTTATTTGAACGATGAGTTAGCGGACTAGCTCGCCTTGCCGACTAGCTGTGTGTTAGCATTAGCAGCAGCATCAGCGACACTCACAGACAGGTGAGATAAATCCTACCTGAACAAAAGAGGCTTCCTGCTCGTTAGCTCATACTGTGACCAGTCTGTCGGGGGTTTTCATGTCTCTTTGTGCTCTCTGGATCCTCTGAGGACAGGTAACTCTGCGGTTAACTGTTAAACCTCTTTGATGCAGAGCTCTGCACAGATTTTTTTTATTTTCCCGACAGTCAACAACCGGAGCACGTGACCAGACCACCAGGGGGCGCTCTGCTGCAGCTTCAACAGAGATGGAGGAAGCATCAATTCAGTTTAAGTACCATACTTTCTTTTTTGTGATCAAATTTTTATTGATTGTTTACAGATAGCAAGAATTCAATGGGAGGGTTACACACTTTAACCCTTTGTCATTTCCACCTCATTGGTCACATTATCCCCACCCTCTGCCATTTAAGAACATACATTCACAATACAACACAAACAGCACAAAAACAAACAAAAAAACCCTATACAATATAACAGAACAATTAAATAAATAAATAAATCACATAAAACATTTGTACTTCCCCACTACAATAAATTATTGATTTCCCAATTAAATTCAACCAACAGTTAATGTTTGGCATTTTAGCTAAATATAATCTTGCTGTGGTGTACTCGAACTGTGCAATATCCTGGTAGGAAGAAAGCCATTCCTTAGAGGATAGTGTATGTGGGGGCTTCCAGCGACAGGCGATCATTCTCTTGGCAGCTGTTTGCCCTGCCAAGAGGAGACGTCTATCACTTATTGATAAATTTAAGAAAGACGTAACATTAAGTAATAGTAAGGACTGTGAACAAGGAATAGCTTTCTGCATCAAATCAGACATAATGCATGAGATGTTTTCCCAAATCATATGAAAAAAAGTACAAAAAGTATTGTCTGAACAGAAATCACAAATAGAGTGGGTTCTAAGGTTCATTTGATGGATCGTCGAGGTGTAAGATACGACCGATGGACAAATTCAAAGTGAATCCTTTGGTGATTTGGATTTCTGGATGAAATGGTAATATTTGACCAAATAGAGTGCCAATTGAAATCTGAGGTAGCACCAATATCACTTTTACAGAGTCTGTTTAAAGGTAAATGTTTATATGAAGCTTCACATATCAATTTGTACAGTTCAGATATAATGCCTCAAATCCTGGGATTCAAGAAAGCCTAGTTGCCCTACAGTGTTCTGCATGGTGATAACTCCCCTCTTACTCCACTGAGGGAAAGAAATTGTTTACAGTACCATACCATACCTTAAGTACCATACTTTCGACTTACACTGAAATGTACTCCAGAATATTAGACGTATTCTAATATTTAGCTTTAATACTGTCCAACTGTATTTTAGCCTTTTTAATCATAAAACTACTAATTAACAAAAATTATGACACATCTCATTATTTAGTACAAAGATAATTTCAGTATTAATTTTTTTTTTGTCTAACACTTAAAAAAAGACCCTCATTATCTGACTATATACAATCTATGATTTGAACTGGTGTTGATATTTACACGAAGAAATCACTCCTTGGCTGACTCTCACTAGAGGGCACTGTTTTCTTTAAAAACTCATATCTGATTGGCTCACATTGTAAACGTCACTGTCGCAGAGCCAATCAAATCACTCACAAAACCGCGGACATTTGAAAACAGAGATGGCGGACGTTCGAGCGTAAGTCTTTAACGATGAACACTTACCGACACAAAATCATATTTAGACTCTCAATGACTTTTAAAAACATGGCCTTAATATTACACACTGTTCTGAAAACGGTCGCTGAGATAACCTAGAGCAGAATAATGATATGTTTGGACAGACTTGACTCAGGTTTATTGTGATTTTTTACTCATAGATTGGGTGGGGTTAATGTGTTTTTATTCATGAAAGTGTATATTAGTGTTTATTAATGTGTCTTGTTAATTTTTAGTGACATTTTTGTTTTAAATCGATGTTTTTTAGTGTCCTGCGGCGCTGTGATCCTGCCCTCCTGGATCCGTGTGGAGACCAAGAGCAGCCGGACTGTGCAGAGGCAGCCAGGATGCTCCTCTACTTGACGGTCTGTCTGCTAAAATATCAGGTTTAACTGTTAGAAACTTTAATTGACGCGCAAACTAAATGAATGATAAGTAGGGGAGAGTGGGGTAAGTTGAGCCACCCCCTGTTGCTTGGAAATGGTCAAAGAAATTGATCATGTGACCACTTTTATTTGGCATGCTATATTATCAAGACAGTTATGTTTACACTCATTCTGTTGGTTTGCAGGGATGCACTTGAAAATATATGCAGATACACTAGTTAGAGACAAAACTATGATTGCATTGATCTAGTGATTCGAAATATGAAACATGGCTCATCTTACCCCACTCTCCCCTATGTGTGTTTCTGTGTGTAGGACAGCAGACGAGTCCAGAAAGTTCTGTGGCGTCAGCTGTTTGTTCTGGACTCTATGGTGTCGCTGCTGGAGGGTCTCGAGTCAGCTCAGCAATTGTTGACGACACCGTGCCCTCCACAACCAGGTACAGATAAAACACAGTACACACAGAGCTAAGTAGAAATGTTTGATTTTTTATGAGCCTGTTTGTTGATATATTGCTTATGAATTCCACTGGTTAATGTGCCTAATAACCTTCAGCAGCATACCATGAAATAGCAGTTTGTTCAAACTGTGTGTGTGTGTTTCAGATGGTGGCGCTCGGGGCAGGTGGAAGGCTCTAAAAGCAGACAGTAGGTTAGGGGTGGAGGAGACAGAGACTCTTCTTGGAGCTTTGCAGGAACGAATCCAACAGATCCTGGAGAGGCGACACAAACTCACACAGCTGGTCCAACATCTGCACAGCAAGGCAACAAAACTTTATATATTACAAACACTCTCCTCTGCTTGTGTCCCTTCCTATTCTTTTCCTTTTCTTTTCTCCTCTGTTAATGTCTTTTATCTCTTGTGCTCTTATCTTTTCCATATTTCCTCCACTTATCTCCTTTTCTCATCCTTTCTGGTTGTGTGTTTTCCTTATCACATATTGTCCCCTCTCCTCATCTCTCCTTCTTGTCCCCTTGCTTATCTTAACTCCTTGTCTCCTTTCCATTTCGTTTTTTCTTTTGTTTTTTTGTTTTTCTTTATCTCCTTTGCTTCTCCTTCCCTCGTTTCCTTTGTTGTCTTCTCTACTTATGACGTCTTGTCTCCTCCCTTCATTTCCTCTTTACGTCTTGTACGTTGTCCTTTTCCCTTGTCTCCTTTTCTTTCATCACCTCCTTGTCTTTTTACATCGTCTCCTCTTGCCTATCCTTCTTTATCTTCTTATCTTTGTATCTTCTTCTCATGTCTTGTCTGCTTTTCTCATTTACACATTACCCTTTCTTTTCTCATCTCCTTGTCACCTTCCTTGTCTCCTCTGCTGCTCTGTCTCCTTGTTCACTTTCCAATCTTATTTATTAGGCTTTTCCTTCTTTGCTTATCTCCTGTTTCCTTTATCCATGTCCATCTGTGTTTCCCCCCTTTTCTTCTCTCCTATTTTTTCTCTTTGTCTCCTTGTCTTGTCTCCTCCACCGGTCCCCCTTGTGTCCTCTACTACTTCGTATCCTCATTGTTTTTTTTTTTTAATCTCCTCATCCCCTCTCCTCATCTCCTTTCCTTGTGTCTTTCAGAGGCAGCAGCATGAGCAGCTGCTAGAGGCCCTACAGACGGCCCAGACTGCACTGGAGTCATGTGACCATCAGCTGAGTCGACTGAAGGTGGAATCGGAGGCAGTGCTCAGTCGGATGATAAGCTGGCAGCAGCACACAGATGAGTGAGTATCATCAGGTCACATGACCTCTGTCTCCTGCTCTGATTGCTCACTTACTCAGCTTCCTGTTCACCTGTCAGGCTGCAGGAGTACGTTTCCAATGTACAGGACGTCATGCAGATCAACCTTCTGTCCTTCAACCAATCAGAGTTGTGCGTGGAGCTCAGGCCGCGCCCCTCTTCTGACCAGTCATCCAATGAGCTGGAGCCCCTGAAGCTGTCTGTCACTTGGTGCCACAACGACCGTTTCAGGCTGCAGGTATCTGATCATGACCTGCACTTTTAGATTGACTTGATAATGGCACCAGATCAGCAGAGGTCTTAGGATGTTCAGGATGCTTTCTGATTGGTTAATCCCTCTAAAAGTGACGGTGTCTCTGCATGCAGGTGAATGAGGGGACGGCTGGTCTGGTGGAGGACTGTAGATCGGGGAGGCGCTCTGAACTTGGCGCTGCCCTGCTGGAGGTGATGCAGTGTTACGTGGGTCAGTTTGAGCTGCTGTCTGAGATCCAAGGACTGAGATCCAGGTACGTCAGACAGGTGTTTGTTTCAGTCTGCGACGAGCTGGAAGACCTGATCAGTCAGATAAATAATCAACAACTGCTGTTGATGGAGAGATTAAACTCAGACTGACCTCAGATGAGGTCACTGAGAGGTAAACCCTCAGGAGAGTCTGATTAAAGATACAAAGAGTTGCTTAGAGATAATTAAAGGTTTAACTGAGTCTCTCAAAGAATTTAAATTAAACTCCAAAAATATGAAATGAATGGGACCCTGGCGCAAAATAAACTAATGTATTTACAGAGGAAAGTTTCTGCATAGTTGAGCACAAACACTTTTCATTCATTTTAAGACTTGAAGTTTCAGTGATGCTTATAGAAACCAGAGTTTGTATTTGAGCTTCACAGCCCACAGCTAGTCTCTGTCTGTTCACCTCTTTCTTCTGTGTGTTTATTTGTTCAGTTTTGCAATCGACTGGCGTCCTGCTCAGCGTCTGCTGGTCTACCTGAAGACGGCGTTGTTGGTGTGCCATCTGGAGGTGGAGGAGGGATACCCAAGCAGCGGACGGGCCCATCTACTGTCAGTACGGAGAGATGGACAACCTGTGGACATATCAGGACTGAAGGTAATGAACACACAGTTTTATACGCTGATAATGTTAAACCTATTTCCACACCTTTTTTTTTTATTTATTCAGTGTAAAAAATCACCAAGTATTCCCTGCAACAGATTTGATTAAATTAGATTGTGATATAAATTTGATGTATCACTGGAAATGTTCATATCTGTTGAAATTAATTAGCAGTTATCTGCAGATATGTTGATAATATTGTTCACCCAAAAAAATTTTTTTCAAGGTCTACAAAATGAAACGGATGAATCCTGATTTCAAAAGTGATCTAACATATTTTTTTTCTGTCTGTCTGTTTTTTGTCCGTTTCTCTCTCAGCCTTATAAATCTGATCTCAGTCTGACTGACTGGCTGGTTTTTCTCTGCAGCAGTCCTCTCCTCTGATCCTCTCCTCTTTTCTTTACCTCCTCATCTTTTACGTTCTATCTGTCTCCCTCTATTTGTTCCTCCTCTTAGTTTCCAACTTTAAAATATGAGTTTGGACATCTGTAAAAATGTTCATCTTTTCATCTGTTTATGTAAAGTGATGCAAAAATCACCAAACTGTAAATAAAGCTTTTACTCCAGTACAACCTTTGAATTTTGACTGACTGTATTGTCTAATATTTGCAGTAAGAAATGCAAGCATGAAGCAGTAGGCTCAAATTTCCTTCATAAAATAGGAGTATTCAAGCACAGCTATAAACAAATGACGTGATCAAAAAGCATTTTGTTCACCCCATTCTCAACTCTTAATTTTGATTATATAACTTTTTGATCTTACAACAGTTTTCAGAAACTTCATTTCCTCTGAGAGTTTATGTGTTATAATTTAGGTCACCAGTTAAAAAGGGACACCAAAAAGTAGTCAAGCTTCCAGATTATCTTCAAGAATAAATATAATGAATATGAAATAAAGATAATCTCAGACTAAGACTAAAAAGAAGGCCTAAAATAGAAAAACACGGTCTGTTATATAAATCATTTGATAGGAAATCAGCAGACCTCAAAAAGCAGCAGAAACAGGAAGACGTCTCTTCTAAAATGGGACACACCCAGTGGCCCCGCCTGCTGTTTCCTGATTGGTTAATAGTGATGCTGAAGTTCTGAGGCGTCTGACCAGTCAGAGGATGGAATGTAAAGTTGTTATGAGGCAGCGGTTTGACCCAGTTCTCCTGTCAGTGACACTCTCAGAATGGAAAATGATTCTATAGACTGCAAAAATATAAAATAATCAGGTCAAAATGTAAAATTATTCTTATTCTTATTTTCAATTTCCTCCCAGAAAGGATCAGTAACATTTTACCTAATCTTATCTAATCTAATTAACATTTTTTAAATCATTTTTCCCTTTATATAAGATCAGATAGTCAGCTTTGAGACTTTGATAACCTGAGTGTCAGTTTTTTTTTCAAGTAATTGTTTTAATCAGAATTAGAAAAAGACAGAATTTTGACAAAGTGCTGTTTTTCTGTTTTTAAAATATATTTTTAAAGTTAAAAACAACTTTTTAGTTTATTTGATGTTGGTACTTTTATTCCCCTTCATGTCCTGTTATTTTATTTTAGTTCTATTTTTTTTATTATCAAACCCTGTATGCTGAAATCTTAAGCATTGTACTGTATTTTAATTTTTGTACTTTCTTTGGCACAAATTCATTTATTAATTCTTTGAAACATTTTTCCATGCTCTACGTGTAAATACTGCAAGAAATTACTTAGATTCAGGGGAATTTTTTAAGAGTAATCTGATTGACATTAAGATTTTGTTTGTTTCTTCATGAGAAAATAATTAAATTACATTTATTGCACCAAATCATTAAAAATCAGGACTCTTTAAAAACAGCAGGTTTATTCTTGTTATATAGCAGGGGTGTAAAAGTCAAATGGACGGAGGGCCAAACAAAAAATTTAGCTACAAGCCGAGGGCCGGACTGATAGAGTGTTCATTGAAAATTTTTTAAATGACGCATATAGTCTAGTGAACCTAACTGAACCTACTGAAAACCTAACAAATAAATTCCAATATGATCAGATAAATAAAGCAATATTTTCTTATGGCTCTGTCAGTAATCTTTAATTTTCAACAGACACAAAAGACAAATTTCCTTTATATAAAAATCCCCATAACATGAACATTAAATGAAAGAAACCGGTATTATTTAAGGCACCATCGGTAGCCTATATTTTCTATTTTAGCAAAAGTGGGCTAAATTTACTTCAAAGAAAAAAAAAATAATCGCAATTTTCTATCATCCACTCAACTGAAATATTTTTAAAATATAATTGGATTGAAATACAATAAAAACGTGTTTCGTTTCATAATGTCGTCTCAGATTATACTCTTTCAGTACCGCCACACTTTCTCCACACAGAAGACACACAGGTTTTCCAGCTACCTCCGTGAACATATACTCCGACTCCCACCTTGTTTGAAACCCCCGGTTCTCAGTGTCCATCTTCCGTTTTGCCATTTTTGATGGGTATCTGAAAGTTAATTTTACTGTTATGCTGACGACTGCTGTGCTAATAAATATTGAAATGAAGCAGCCTACTGCTCGGTGCGTCACCGTTGCATTGTGGGAAATGTAGTATTGGTACGTCTAAAAGATCTGCGGGCTGCCGGCTTGCTGCGGTCTGCGGGCCGGTTCTAATAATAAATCAAGATCATCCCAGGGGCCGTAAAAAACCTTCTCGCGGGCCGGATGTGGCCCGCGGGCCTTGACTCTGACATATGTGTTATATAGTGATGCGATAATAAAGTATTAAATGATATGAGATTCAATCAGACAGATGTTCTGTTATTTAACTTTTCAGAGACAGATGAAATAAAAAGATCTAAGCCTCAGATTAATATTGATATATTTATATTTACAGTATATAATGCCTTTACAACATGAAACACAGATTAAAATACAAACATCAGAATATCTTGGTTTCATTAGATGCATTTCAAACAAAGTAGTTCAGTCTGTGCTCCTCACACAGTCATAATGTCTGCACAGGCATGTATTCATACAAAACAAAATAGAGATGTAGAATAATATATCTTTGTGTGCAGAACACAGATTCAAGCATATCTGGATATTTACAGCTTTTATACAGAAGATCTGCTGCATAATGTTTGTTCACCCTGACTCGAACACATCACCCCTCCTCCTCAGTCTCATTGGTCAGTGGGGCAGTCAGTCACTGCTGTTCCTTCGTCTGATTGGCTGGTGGTGGTGTAAAGTAGAGCACCAGAGTCTGTCTGTGGTGCAGGAAGTTCTGGATATTTTCTCCTGATGATGTTCAAACAGACTGAAAACTGTCCTCTGAGATTTGGGTGACATTTCCTCATCAGTCTGGAGCATTTTTAAAACTAACGTTAATCGTTGAGCATCTGCCTCTTTGCTGACCAGCAGTCCTAAAAAGGCAGACTGCTCCTTTAATTCAGCAGGTCACGGTCCGTTCTGGAGACTCTAATTTTTGCGTAGAGCCATGTGCTGATGACATCATCTCTTTGCAATCCTCACTGTGATGGGTGATGTTGGGATGACGGCGACATGGCAATGGAGAGCACCATATGATGTAGTTTTGTTAGTCTCTGCGACCATGGGTCTGAGTGACCAGTGACGTCACTGTGAGGTCATCAGGCATCGATGCGGAAAGACAGCAGCTTCTCAGAGTGCATGTTGTTGAGCGTCCGCAGGTCGGGCAGCTTCAGAAGCAGTTTGGTGAACCGTGGCGAGTCCACGTTTTGATGGTTGTTTCCGAGGGTGATGGATGACTTGCTGATCAGCGACCGCAGTGCTCTGATCAGGTTCTCCTGAAGCTGCTCCACCGACGCAACATTCTCAATACCGGAGCGATCTGAGGTGATAGTGGAGGAGAAGAAGAACATGAAGGGCAATGACTAAAACCCAAAACTGACAGATTTATGATAATCCCAAAAAAATTTAAATGACCAAAAAACCCGACAGATTCTGTAAATTTTTTCAGATCAAAAATGACGACTTGATCTAAACAACCTGTCGTCAAGATCTGACCCGATATAAAACCTCAGATCTGATCAGCAGACCCTGGTCTTTAAGACACACGCGCTCAGTGTGGCCCTCACCTGCAGACACCAGCACCACAGCAGTGAACAGTCCCAGCTCCTGGGCGTTCAGCTCCAGAGCCGCCAGTTTGTGGCTGAAGTCAAACATGGCTCCCAGCAGCTCGCTCATCCCCATGGCATGCAGCTCTGACAGGCTGTAGGTGGCGCCAGAGATAAAAGTCACCGTCTGCTCCTTCACGTTGAAGAGTGAGGAGAAGCGAATCATCAAGACCTGGGAGAAGAGAAAGAATGAGCTGCAGTTCCTTTACTGGCCAGCAGATGGTGCTGGTAATGTTCACAGCACACTGAGATGATTCTTTATAAAAATAACTAAAAATAAAACTGAGTCCATACCTCAAAGGTGCCCGCCTTGAGCAGGGTAACCTGGTCGTTCTGGGACAGAGTACTAAATCCTGGAATATGTTTGGCAAATTCCACCACCTCCCTGACAGCGGGGGTGAAGGAGCGAGAGAAGTCCTCCCAGATCTCCTGGGGGGCCTTGGAGGGGTCAGCGTGAGGCTGCATGTTCATCGGACAGGCCTTAAAAAAGAGCGAGAGAGAAGGAGAGAGTGTGTGTGTGAGAGTGAGCTTAGCCTGTCAGAATAACAACATCCTGACTCTGTTTTCACTGGAACACACTGTTAGCCCACATCATGATTTTATTGGATCTGTTAACTTTGGCCTCTTATGATTCAGAACCATGTCTCTCAATTTAAACCCTATAGTTGTTTGCTGGTGTGTCAGCATGTATCACATACACCTGCCTCCTCCTGCTCCATTCCGTGCTCTCCTCTTTCCACCTGCCTCCCCCTCTCTCTGCTTCTCTCCACCTGCCCTCTCCTCTCCCTGCTCTCCTCTCTTCACCTCCCTCCTCCTGTTCCTCTCCCTGCTCTCTTCTCTCTTTCTTCCTCCTCCTGTTCCTCTCCCTGCTCTCCCCTCTCCACCTGCCTCAACCTGCTCCCCTCCCTGCTCTCCTCTCTCACCTTCTCCTTTCCCTGCTGTCCTTAGAGCAATGATAGCCGACATGTTAACCACAGTAAATAAGGAGGCGGGGCTTCAAGTGCTGTTGGTGTAAATATAAGAATTTGATTGGTTCTCACCAGTATTATTCCACTGCTGTTGTTCATTGGACAGTTCTGCCCCTGAGTCATGTGGTCATGGAACCCTTCTCCTCCAAACACATTACTGTTATGCAGACTTCTCTTCCCGTTGCCATAGTGATGATGTACAATGTTCTTGCTGTTGTCCTGCGGGTGGCGCCCTGGCCCCATGTTGTTGTTATGTTGGTAGATGGTGTTAAGGCCATTGGTATGGTAACCATTGGGGCACCTATTTGGCCCCCAGTGTTCTGCCTCCCCATTGCTGAGATGGGTGTGGTTATTCTGCTGCTGACTTGGCGTTTGTGGATTGGCCAGTTTATCGTGAGCATAGAGGAAGGTCTCACGGTGAGCACGGGCAATAGCACTGATGGTGCTGTCCAATCCAGGGCTGGGGGGAGGTGAAGGGGAAGGGGAGGGGCTCTGACAGAGGAGGGGAGGAAACGAAGGTGGAGCAGGGAGAGGGGGCGGCGAGGAGGAGGTGGCAGGGGCAGGGGGAGATGGCGAGGAAGGAGCCAGGGGCAAGGCCGAAGGCTGGGGCTGGGGGGCAATGGTCACCCCTGGGCAGGGAGAGGAGGAGGAGGAGGAGGAGGAGGAGGAGGAGGAGGAGGAGGAAGAAGAGGAAGAGGAGAGGCTGGCGAGCTGGAAGTCATTCTGCAGCTGGTTGTTCACCATGTTGTTCATGGCGCTCTGCATCTCAGCCAACATCCTCTGCTTCTCACGCTTCGGGATCCTACCGAAACGAACCGCTGTAGACAGAGGAAGTGGAGAGGAAGGACAGTTGAGAGATGAGGTGACCAATCAGAATCTTCCTAGATCATCATACAGCTTCTTTCAGACTGAGGTGAACAGACAGATGGTGCAGAAACACAAGTGGGAAGACAGAGAGGTTCATAAACACAAATGTGAAATGACGGGTGTTAAAATGAACACGTGTGCACATAATCGGGTAGGAAGTTGAACAGATCCATGCATATTCAGATGCACACACAGACAGACTCCTGGTCAAATGCAGATACACACATGTACAGACAAACGTGAGGACAGGGGGACATATTCACAGATAGAGAGATGGTTAGGTATGGCTGATGCAGACAGGCAGGTGTGCAACTGTGCAGGTGAGTACTCACCATCCCGACTCATGCCCACAGACAGGCACTTCTTAAAGCGACACTGCTGGCAGCGATTCCTGTTGATCCTCATGATGGTGCAGCCCTCGTTCTTCACACACTTTTTATACTGAATGTTCTGCTGGATGCTGCGCCGAAAGAAACCCTGAGGAAAGACAGACAGGCAAAGATGCAAAACACATCAGTAAACAGCAGTCTATCACCTGTTGTCTATTTATCTCTTGGCTGATTTATTGCTCATCTTTTTGTGTTTGAGTCTCAGTTTCGTTGTAACTATTGATTCACACAGAGGCTTTAGTTTGGTTTTGAAATATTTGTCAAATGAAAGTCAGAGCCATCGTTTCTGATGCATTCAGGGAAGTCGGGAAATCTAAATGCTGATTGTCTTTAGTAACTCAGCATCAAGTAGAATGTGTCTCAGTGTAAATATGAAGAGATTATCAGTTAACCTTAACGCAGATATCTGTATATACACATATATGCAATGACATGAAGGTGAATTGTGTTCAGACTGAAAACTTTTCTATACAGACTGTTTTTTTAAAAGTTGTTCATGATGTGTGTTTGCTTTCATGAATTTATCACCTTGCAGCCTTCACAGGCATGAACCCCGTAATGGAATCCTGAGGCCACGTCTCCACAGACCTTGCACAGCAACACCATGCCGTTCAGCTCTAAAACACAGACAGTAACACACACCGTTAGCACCTGAAATAGAGCCCCTTTGTCACATGTGTGTTGATTAAGAATCACATTTAGTCCCCTCAACACTATCAGTTGACAAGTGGGTAGATGAGAACACTGTTGCCATAGAAGCACTACTGTCAGTTAGAACTACAGGACTATTTTTCAAAGTAGTTAGCCTGTAGTTATAAGTCTGTTTTGCCATCAGCTAACTATACTTTATCACTTACATAGTGAGTGTTAATGGTTTGTCTGTCAGGTTCTTACTGGTCAGACTGGCCACAGACTTGCTGGGTGACATCCTCAGAGAGCCGCCGTCGTCTCGACCTCGAGGTGAGCCTCCTGCTGAAGAGGAGGCTGAGGAGGAGCCATCATCTCCTGCAGAGCCGGAACTGGAGCTGCTGTTGAGGAAGGAGGGAGTCATAGAGGAGGAGGAGGAGGACGAGGAGGATGAAGAGGAGGGAAACCCAGGCTGGGAGTTTGAGTTCTCGCTGTACATGGAGACTGGACTGGTCCGAGGCGGGGAACCTCCACAGGAACCCACGTAAGAGATCACACCTCCTGCAGAGAGGAGTAGAGAAAGCTGCAGTCAGAGGGTGACCAGAGGTGAACAAATACGTCTGACTAAACACTAATAGCAACAGTTTGAACAGTGTGTGTGTGAGAGAGTGTGTGTGGGGGGGTAAAACAGGTGTTTTGTGACAGATTCTCATTTTATGGGGGCAAAATCAGAAAAAAACATTCCTGTCTGCCTCTGACCCGTGAAAAAACAAACCAGGAAGAAAACAGATCACACTGCCTGCAACTGGTCTGAGATCAGTCCAACGGCCGCACACTGCCAGGCCTAGTGTGTGTGTGTGTGTGTGTGTGTGTGTGTTTAGGGGGTATTTATGCTAATTTTATGCAGCTGCTTGAGTGTCGTGGTAACTCGTATCTGGTGGGCAGCGAGGGGAGGGGCTGTTTTTGTGGTAAAAGTTGAATCCACTACAACTTTCTAGGAATTTTGAGAACAGAGGGAGGAGGGGGAGGAGCAGGGAACAGCCTGAGGCAGAGGAGAGTCTACCTCACCCTCAAGCTGTTTATGTGAGCAGTATACTGTATCTCTTCCACTGTGTCTAATCTGTGAGAATACATGACGTGCATTTCCATGATTTCTAGAAGATGAAAATCTAATGTTGAGCATAAGTGAGCAACAGAAGCTAGAGCTACAGAAATATGAAATTTAAATTCAGTCTGTCCAATTCTCATAGACAGAGGAATGAGACCCAAACTGTTCATGTGCCAGGCTGTAAGCATGTTTATTTCTGCTGTAAAGTTCTAACCTGGAGCTCTACTGGGACATACCCTCGAGTCGACACTGGAGGAACTTCAGCTTTTTGCAAATTCTGAACTAACATTTTATCACCCATTCCCAGATGGTTCAAAATCATTAGTTCTCTGTCCTCATCCCTACTTTTGTGAGTTCGTTAAAAGTGCTCTGAGAAATGTAAGTACAGTTCTCAGAATGCTTTGGGGTTGCTGCTGGTGATCACTTAACATAAACAGGCCTTAACTGCTACTGTAAAACTAACCCTCACAGATCCTATTCCAGTAGATTCCTGGATGTTTTCTTAGATGAACATCAGCCTTATCGACTCCCTCTGTAACTGTACAACAAACCAAGTGTTATCAGAGCATGTCTGCTGCCTGTGTGTGTGTGTGTGTGTGTGTGTGTGTACAGAGAGCAGGTACGGTATGAGTATACAGGTGACAGCTCACCTGCTGTGCAAGTCTAAACTGTCTCTCTATTCCTGCAGCAGCTCTAACTCTCTCTCTCTATCTGTTTCCCACGTGTCACTGCTGCACGTGACGCCTGGGCTCAGTCTGCACGCCTGTCTGAGAGGTGATAACACACACACACACACTCCTCCTGCTCCACACATTCAGAGAAACACTGCAGCATTAAAAATGCACTCATAAACACAATCGACACGTTGATGAGTCAGACTGATCGACACGTGCAACTCAGAGTAATTCATATCCGTCATGCTGATGGCTGAAATCCTTCTCATGGTCACGTGACATTTTTATGAAGCAGCTCCACGAGTAACTTTATGGTTAAAACTCCTCATTACCCCTGCACACAGACAAATCTGTATCCTCGTGTTTGTTGGAATAATCTCAGGTGTTTAGAGGACTGATAGAATGTAAACCGCACAACAAGGTTCATTTCAAACAAACAAGATTTGTATCAAAGTTTACACCAAACAACAAGCCCCTGAACTGAAAACGAAGCCAACATGTAAGTCCAAAAACCTGCAGAGTGATCTGATTTAAAAAGATGAAACTTTAGCAACTTCGTCTGGATCCATCTGATTTAAGTCCGTCTGGAAACAGGCACAGAGGTGAAGCCGAGCTGTTGTGCTATCAGTACTGCGGTCTGTCAGTCATATCAGCTACAACAGTAAATATGCAAATTCATGCATAACCTCAGCCCTTAATACAAGATCGTACAGAACATTTAAACATCACATTTTCTAGTCAGCACCAGAACAACCAGTTAGTTAAACTAGTTTATATTTTTTATTATTCTAGGCCCAAAATGCCGGGTAAGTGTGGTACCAAAGCTGTGGCGACTGGTGAGCCTTTATGTTCCAGGTGTAAACGAACACAGCTGACAGGTGGTGTGTCCGCGTGTGGTGTGGTTTGGCAGTCTGTTGGTCTTTGAAATAGAGAGGATGTCTTCTGAAGTCTGTGTCCAGGTAAATTGGTAACTAACCACTTGACCAGATCAATGAGTAACCAGCACAAGCGTGTGAATGTTAGCCTGCTAGAAGGACTGATAGCTGGTGGTACTAGCTCTCCTAGTGTTAACCAACTCCGCAGACCAATCAGATAATGTTAACCTGCAAACTCTGGAAATCTGTGTCGTGTTAAATTAAATTTACTTTGGACTTTTTTCCTGATTTATTTAAACATTAGTCGTTTTTGTCTAAATAACTGATTGTGCATTTACTTTGCAGTTTGGTTCAGTGCGGTATGCAGTTATTTTTGTTCCCATCTACAGAAGTCGGGTGGATACCCAAATAACTGACCTGTACTGTTCTGGAGTATCAAGTGTACTGGTCCGATCAAGATTGTGCTGGATTACACCTGTCTAAATCTGAGTTTATCTAATCATAGTCTTGCTTTATTTTACAATTTTATTGTTATTATTAACTATGAGGTTGTAGGGGATTTATTATCAGGTGCCTAATTTACACAAAGGCCCCAGCTGAGCAGAGAGAGGGGCTCAGGGATGTTGGAAAAGGAGGTAGACATAGGGCTCTATGGGAACTGACTCACTATGGAGGACAGCCTCTAATGGACACCGGAAGAACTGCAGTTTTTGTTTGCTAAAACAGCTGCTTTAAGTGGATTTTTTTTTAATAAAGGGGGTTGTTTGGGACTATTTTCAGCAGCGGATGAATGCACTGATGGATTACAAAATGTGAAGAGAGGAAGGTAGAGATTTAGCACTTCAGTGTGGATATTTTCGGTTCAGATTATTAGCCTGAACAGAAATAGAAACATTGCAGTTTCAGTGCTCTAGATACTGTATTATAAATGTGATGATTTAGGATCCTGCAGCAAAGTGAGGGAAATAACAGGATCATGCAGCAGTGTATGAATATTATAGATATGTGTCAGTAATATGTTCCTCCCCCTCTCATGCAGACTGAAGGGAGGAGTGTGTGTGAGTGTGTGTGTCATGCCCCTGAAACACGTGAGTCGCCCACACAGCAGACTCGGCAACGGGACTGGCTCGAGTGGGACCCGCCCACACACACACACCTCCTCCTCCCTCCGCCACACTCTCACGTTTCCTCCATTCATCAGCGCGCACACAAACACTGAGGCTGGGCTGGCATACTTGCGAGGACCTTCCCTGCCAGTCTGTGATAAACCCTCAGACAGCCTGTAAGGAGCAGGGGAGTGAGCCCACAGCGTAAACTCTAGCAGCTGCTCACCCTCTGATAAACATTGAGTGGAGACAGTCTGGATGGTTATAAAAACTCAAACTGGAGTCAAACCTTAAATGAACCACAGAAGAGTGTTACTGCCTTGCTCTAAGACACTAAAACCTGATCATCCTGCAGTGAATGGTTGCTTGGATAGATATGTCTTAGATATTATTGATTCATGTTACAACAATGGAAGTGTTTGAACATTTAATATTCTCAATAGATATGACGTTACTGAGAGATTTACTAAATGTATCCTAACGTATGAATGCATTTGTTGTGAAAGCAAATGAGTAGAATACAAATCCTCTTTTTACTCCTTTTCTTTGTAAGCAGTACTGTAAGTATGTTTGAGGAGGAGGGCCAAAAATCTCAAAGGGCGCCCACTGTGTGACATAAAAGACCTTAAGATTACAAGCTTTAGGGTACAATCTTTTAGTACCTTCTCCACATATTATCTTGTAAAAATACCATCTGGGCTTTTTGCTCCCATGTTATCAACTATAAAAAACAGCCGGAGGTAATTTGTTAACATTTTATTTGCTAAAAAAGCAACAACGGAGCCATTTGTTTATGTTGTGGCGCTCTAAACTAGGAGAATTCACCATGATTCTTCTATTTAAGTCCTGAAAATATGTACAGATTCTCTTCTGACATACTGACCTTGAAATTGCCTCAGCTTTACTTATATCTCGGGTTAACGCCTTTTCATTGTTAGCCTTTTAAAAATTAAATGAGATGACTGCCAGTTTCAGCTTCAATCATCCTCCTTTGGTCATCCTTTACTTGTCTTGGCAAAGAATTGCGACTCCCTTACTGTTGCTTAAAGCTAAGAAGTAAAAAAAACTGCCCAACCCAATCATATTTGAATCATTGAATCATATTTTATCAAATAAAAATGACTTCCTGGACACGTGCATTTAAATCCACTCTGTAGTCACGTCTCTACCACGCCATCTGTGACCCTCTCCACACATCCGCGCCTTTATCCTCACTCATCTGCTGCTCCATTCAGCCTCCCTCATCACTCATTCATTCACAGCGCCCTGCCAACCACGTTACAAACATCATCCAATCAGGTTCAAGCAGGTTGGAAAACAATCTGAAGAGTTAAGATGCTAACATGGACATTTTTATTTCTGTGATGCAGAGAGTGTGAGGATTTCTGACTATTAGAGGAGGGTTTTCATTCTCGCGGTGGACTCATGTTGGGTTTCTGTAGATCCAACATGAGTCCACCATCCTCTACATCTGCGCCTTTTTAAGTATCCTGCAGTAAAGATCCAGTCCAGCACAAACTGGTCCATGTTCGCCTGTGGTAACCAGAGCGGGAGGAGAGGGGGGGGGGGGGGCTTGGATCATGCTGCTGCTCCACTTTCTCACACAAAGGGGGGCGGGAGGGGAGATACACCAAGTCATGGTCTCACATGTTAAACAGGCACCGAGAGGAGAGTAGGAGGTGCTGTGGTCTGTCTCTGACTCTCACTGTACAGTTTACCCCAGATCACCTGCAGACATCACATTATTTAGACACTAGCCACACACACTCAACACACACTCGTGAACTTATTATACAGGGTTTTATACAGAGTGAACTGCAGGATTTAATGCAGGTGGAATACATGCATGCTAACCAAAGAAAATACAGGTTTATGGACGTTTCTAATGTGAAAGAATAAAAGTGTAACCCTCAAAAATCAACATCCGTGTTAAACAATTTAAATATGATACGTGTGTTTAAATATTTATACTGAAATGTGCAGAAGATGATGATTTGAGGTAAACTTAGAAATACTCAGAGTTGGAGGTGTGGAGGAGAAATTACGCAATGAACTGAGTCCGAGCAGCAGCCAATCACAGCCCAGGCTCAGGGAAAACAAAGCGCACATGGCCCGGTTTGCAGCTCCATGTGAACCGGTAACGGCTGCTGTAGTGAGAGGAGGACACACACACACACACACACACACACACACACACACACACACACACACACACACACACACACACACACACACAGTCCACCTGACACCAAGCGACCCAGCGACCGAGGGCTGTCATCGTGACCCAGTTCCTCGAAACTCTCCCGGAATCACGGTGTCTGTCCCCGTGATGCTCCTCCTCAGACTCCCGGACATGTGGCGGGTAAACGGGCATGAAGCCGCAGCTAAACCGGGACTTTAAACCCTTTGCTCTCCGGTCTCCATAAGCATTTATTCACAGAAACACATGACTTTGACTTTGAGTTTTGAAGTCTGAATCTCCATTCATCTGGAGGAGGTCACCTCAGATGTCACCAGCAGCAATATGAGCGGCTTTCCTCCGCGTTTGTTTCTTTTATCGGACTATTTCTAGTTTTAGGCACCGCTTCCGCGCACAAATCGCTACATTTCCAACAACTTGAACGCACTTTATTCAATCTTTTTCAAATACATAGATGACATTTGTTGTATGTTTATAATTCGGCTGTGAAAATGAACCCAACATTACACCACGCTCAAGTTTAACCTTACATTCGATTAATGACAAATTACGTGCAGGTGCGTTTTCCGCGCAGCGTGCCGCTCCAACTTACAACCTGCCGCTCCTGATGTATTTACACATTAAAACAAAAAATATGAGTAAATAGGAAAACTGAAGTTTGAACGCGTGTACTAAACAACACAACAACTAGTACACCCAAACACAAACTGGTTATACACAGCTCTGATTGAAAGAGTTGTAGGTGAGGGGGGAGCGAGCTGTTTACCTGTGCTGCTGAAGCTGTTGTTGTTGTTATTGTTGTTGTTGCTTGTGTCCATGGCAGTCTCGGTCATCTTCAGCTCCGGGAGCGTTTTTCAAACAATCCTGGATGTTCTCTGCTCAGCATCACAAACGTTCATGTTCAGGAAACAGAATTGAACACCACAGAAGAAGAAAATAAGGCGCCTCGATTGTCTCGCTATGTTCTACTCTGTCTCTACTGTATCTATACCGATGTCTCTCTGCCGCACGAGGAGTCTGTCATTTGCTGCACGCGCTGTGTTTTTTTCAAACGGGGCGCGCGCAGCAGGTAGTGACGACGTGAGCGTGCGAGGGGCCGTCGTGCCCGCACGCGGCAGAAAACGGGACCATGTGACCGCTGGGAGAGCCTCGTGCCCCAGTGACACACTTTCTGCCCCTCCTCTCAAACGATCCCGGAGCACGTGGAGCGGCCCGCTGCTCTGCGGCACAGGAAGATTGTGGGTAATGTAGGCGAAGAAGTGTCACTCTTTAACGAGAAAAACTATGTGTATAATAAACCCCAAACTATTCACAATTTCACCGCTTAAGAGAGAGTAATACCGAGAATAAAGATAGGGTAGGTTCGAAAAAAAGAAATTTGATGAAATATTAAAAAAATCGATTACTGGTTTAGACTCACAAAGGGGCTCGTTGTATAAATGAACCCTTCAGAGGTTAAATGTGGTAATGTTATTGGTTTGTTTTATTTTTTTAAAGCAAAAGTGAAAATCAGGGGAAATTATTTTAATGTATATTTAAAAAGAAATGAATAATAAACTTTAAAAAAAAAAAGATTGATCCAATATGTATCAGGTTACTGTCCCCTGATATTTGCAGAGAAGATAAAAGTAGCCTTAACAAAGAGCCATTTCTGTGCTGAAGCTCCTGTGAGGAGTTTAAAGATGGTTATGAGCTCATGGAGGACTAGAGTATATGAAGCACATACTATGACCATGGAGAAAATGCTATATTCAAAACAGTCTATATTTACCATCAACTGTATATTAAAATAGACACGATATATGTCAATTTACTCAAAGCCTAAACATTTTTTGTGGAATTCAATTTTGTGAACCTTTTCAGAGTCAAAAAAATGTTTTGTGTTTAGTTAATTTGATTACAGTTGATCCTTTGGGCCTCAGTGTTGTTGGTATGTTTTGAGGAGTGCTGGCCTTTAAACCTAAAATAAGTCTTCATAAATTTGAACATAGTGATTGCTGGTGGACATTAAAAAATGTGTTTCCTGTATAGACTGTAAATAACATAAACATTATTCTGACCACTGAAAGATGAGACACAAAGAACAGGTTTGAATAAATCTTTATTTAGTGTTTCACAGACTGTCAGCTGCACCAGTAACACACAGCACTGACTCTGACACCTACTTCTTAGTAGACATAGAGAGATCCTCTCTGCTGAACCAGCTCTGGCAGGTTCCTCTCCACATCACGGAAATACTTCAAGATCTCACGCTCTTGTTTCCCATACCTCTCCTCATAATAAGCATTGTAATATTTTGGAAAGTCCCCCTTGCTCATCTCACGGCACCGACCTTTTTCATCCACGAAATAGATCCCGCCCAATCCCAATTCAGGGTCAGAGTAGAAGTAGGTGTCACACTTCTTTTTTATCATCATTTTGTGCTTTTCGAACACTGCCTCCAGGTCATCCTTGTAATCCCTGATAAGTCTCTCCACAGGGTCACAGGTTTGAATCCCTCCCAGTCTCACCAGGTGGATCAGCATCTGGACATGGAAGGCGGCCCCGTTCACCCAGACTTTCACAGCCTGATTGGTCACATGCTCGTCCCTCAGAATGGAATTCTTCAGCCTGGTGAGGGCGGTGCTCAGCTGGTCCTCCATTCGATGGATGCTCCTCCTCAGCTCTGTTGTGTCACCGATGTACATCCTGTATCTCTTCAGACATTCATCAATCAGATTCCAGACCTCAGAGCTTTTCTCCTCCGCAAACACGGATTGCAGGGCCTTTATGGTGGCTTCCTCAGATGAAGTGGAGGCGACCATGTCAATAAGGACGGCTATAGCCAGTGCTCCAAGTCCCGCCAGCTCAGGTGCATTTGTGAAGGGGCCCAGCTTCTCAGCCAAATCCTTGATCCATTTTGCAGCGTGATCACTCGCCCTTGTTCGCCTCTTTTCATAGTGTTGCTTCAGAGAGTCTGTGGATGACAGACTACAGAACTTCAAGATGCTCTGACAGACCTTCAGATCCGGACCCTCTTCAATATCTCTTGTGAAGTACCTCAAGTCATCCTCTGAGGAGGTGTCGCTAGATGAATTACCCATTGTCTGGTTTTTAGGGTTAGATCACAGTTCCAAGTTAGAGAGTTTGTGTCACACTGCAGGATACAGAAAACATACAAGGAACATTTTTTTTCAGTCGAATCTGACGAAGCAAAGATCAGTCATCATCACAGTCAGAGCAGTACGACAGAAAGTAACTTTAAGATTACATTACCATTAAAGTTACATATTTGTGTGTTTACAGAGCCCTTCAGGTGCCAGATCAAGAAAAAAAGCGTGCAAATTTTACTTGGCACCTCTGGGATCCATAGGTGTGTTTTATGTAGTAGTCTAACCTGTCCATCAGTGACAGGGCTACCCACTGAAATCATAGCTTCTGACTCTGCTGTCTCACTTTACACAACAGGAGCTGTCTGATAATGAAGCCCACAAAGAGACTCTGATAGTTGCAGAGAGCACTGATGGTGTCCTTCAAGTACAGTAAGTGTTACACCACCAATCACAGGGTGCATGTCTAAGGTTTCCTTTTTCTTTTTTCGTCTGCACCATGCTTGCCAGTCCCCAAGAAACACATTGCCACACCTCATTATATGGTGCTCATTCATAGGCAGGGATTTACAGTATGCTGATTTCTGACAGCTAGAGCACTCATTTTAACACTGATTGATATTTGTAATGAGGCTGGAGTATGTGGGGAGCTAGTGGTCTATTGCACTTAATAACTCCAGGAAAGCAGGTAACTTCATTGTTTATAGATGACAGGGTAGGACACTATCTAAGTTTCATTCTGCAATACTGAACATTGCCCCATACTATGCCAGGTCTCCCAGGCACTGAATTTACTAATCATACATAAGTAGCAGAAAAATAGGCATCACCTGCATCAACTATTTACTTCATGGTCAGAATGTAACAACATGGAGTCTCTGAGTAACAACTTGTCTCTCTCACAAACCAAAACAGTGTAGGGGCGCTATCTTGTGGCCTTATTTGGTACTGCAGAAGCATAACATTAACCAGTCATTGGCTGTTGCGCATTCATGAACACAAGTGTCTTCGATCAAATGTGTGGTATTGTCCGGTAATAATTACCTTTATTTTTTAGTGAACACGTAAACTGATGTACACAATAACGTGAAAGAGACTAACAGTATGTGCTAATGTAATGGTAACGATATGTGAAATTCTGAAATGTATTTTTTTTATTTAAAAAATACCCGATTAACGACAGATTAATTGATTAATTGAAGGTTGCCATACTCCCAAATGAAGTTAATTGAAATGGGAAGTTACTGAACTGTGCAGTTATTACCTGTTATAGCCAGTTTTAAATGACAGAAATATTCTTATGAATAACATTAGGGCAGGTTTTTTTCAAACCAAAGGTTGTAGCACTTCAACAAGGAGTTAATTTATGTATTTGTGATATTCAGTGATTATTCCTTAAAATTGTGCAGTAATTATTAGTCTTCAGTGATAACTATAATCCCATAAAAACAGATATTTTCCAACTTTGTGCTGTAGTCCTGTCAAGAGCTTGTTAGGAGACAAGAGAGTCTTGATTACATTGGTTAGGGATCATTTAAAGGTAAAAAAATTGCTTGTAGCTTACTGATAAAACAGGTTTGTAACCTGCAGTCGATCTAACTATATAGTCGATCAGACACCGACTCGGTGACTCAGAGGAAAGCATATTCACGGTCACATGCCAGGGTAGGCTAACGCGCAATTGAATAGTATATTTCATGAGGTAGACGCTGACGCACTTTCAAAGCGTTTAGTAGTTTCATATTTCCTCAAAAAAATAAACCAAAGTAAACATACCATGTAGCTAGAAATCTTTAAACTGTCCGAATATAAGAAATTTAGACGTCTCACATCGACATTTACAAAAATACTCACGAATTTTCTCATGACTCCATCTTAAAAGTACTTCGAAAACTCAAAAGTCTGACTCTGGTCTTATAGCTGGGCCACACCCTGAGACAGGAGGCCCCAGGACCGCAGTCTTACCCGGGGTACAGCCGGGAGGGTCGGAGGGACTGTAGGTAAAGGTCCGGGGAAAGCGAAAGTACAGTCGCCACTCACCTCCTCCCCAAATCCTCAAATTCCCAATTCCTTCACTTTAACTACTTTTCACAGCGAGTTTGCCTTGTTTTTAGATGTTAGTAAAACAAAAAAAAATACATAGAAGCACGTTTTCAAGGCCTACAAACCTGGACAGGCCGGCGGAGGCAGATAACCTTATCAGGCAGCTTTCTCCTAAGAATGAGGAAACAGTGACGGCCCGTTATGTGAGGAGCTGTATACATTCAATGGTGAGGAGAAACAGCACCACGGCGCCCCCTGCTGGCGAAGTGCACGGAAAGCGTCATACTGAGACCCCCTTTTCTGTTATCCGGAAACAGCCCCCCTGGATCATATCCTTGACAGCAGCCTTTTTTTTTACTGCATTAAAGCCCTTCGAGGCACAGTCCCCCAAGATTCACATCATGATTAATGTCCCACAGGGTGAAATAAGTCATGCACAAACTGTCATCATATGTTCTGTTTGAGTTAGTTTTTCCCTGGTTTTGTGTTTCCCTCAACTGTATTTTCTTACTGATTTTCCCTAGTGTTTCTGTTCCCCTGTATCCTGTCTTGTGAGTTTTTAGTTTGTGTCTGACCCTGGTTCCCTCATGTTCTGTTTTCAGTGTTTCCAGTCTTGTTTTACTTACCCATTTTTCCCTCCTTAGTGATTGTCTCCACCTGTGTCTCTGTGTCTCACCTGCCTCTCGTTGCTCGTTTCCCTGTGTGTATAGTCCCCGTCTTCCCCTGTTTCTTTGTTGGATCATTGTATGTCGATGCCTCTGTGTGACTCCAGTGTCTTCTTGTGGTTTTTCACCCCAGTGTCTTGTGTTGGATTTTGCCCCTTGGGTTTCTGCCTTTGGGAGTTTTTCTGTTGGACATTCAATGTAAGTTTTTGTTGCTTTTTATTTTCATTTTGAATAAATCATTTTGGTTCTGCACTTAGGTCCTTCCCCTTTTTGTTTTACCTGGATATGTGACACAAACACAGAAGAACAATCAAATAAGATCCAGATACATATCTTTAAAATATGACACAATACATTTAACACAATAAACAATAAAAAATATCAACAGCATCAAGCAAACAAACAGAATAAAGGTCCTTACACACTGGGGCCAACGCGAATATAGAACACAAAATTACGAATTATTCTGAGGTGAATTTTGACGCGCCTGACTATACACATTAAGCGCAATGTGATTTTTCGACTTTCCAGGGGGAAAAAGGCGCGTCCTGACTCCCGGGTGGAAGCGAGAAGACTGACACAACAGCAGACTGACTGTTTTTCAGTTCTGATTAGACACTTGTGTTGAGTTGGCTGTCTGTCATGATAGCATGTACTGAGTCAGGGCCAGTACCAGATAAGCACATTAAAAAATACATATGGTGTGTTGTATCTGAACAGGTTTGCTTACGAGCTAAAGTTACTTAGCACAGATGAAAGTTAAAACAAAGACGTTTAGCAAACTGTTAAAGCACACAAACCATCGTCATATGAGAGATCCAACGCTATGACTCTCCACAAGTTAATAATAATAATAATAACAAGAATAATACATTTTATTTGAAGCGCCTTTCACGTCACTCAAGGACACTTTACAGAACATATAAAACAATAATAAAACACTATTAACAATTAAAGTAATTAATCATCAAAACAGTTAAAATCAACAAAGCAACATTAAAACATTTTACATAAACAACAGCAAAGGAATAAATAAAGAAATAAATAATACCAAGTAAAATTAAATTAAAAAAGTGAGTTAGGGGTGGTGGGATGGATAGGCCAGTTTAAACAGGTGTGTCTTGAGTTTGGACTTGAAAAGGGGGAGGGAGTCTATGTTGCGGATGTGTGATGGTAGAGAGTTCCAGAGTCGGGGGGCAGAGCGACTGAAAGCTCTGCCCCCCATGGTGCTGAGGTGAACAGGGGGCACAGTGAGGTGGAGAGAGGAGGAGGATCGGAGGTGGCGTGATGGAGTGGCGATGTGGAGGAGGTCAGACAGGTAAGGAGGGGCGAGGTTGTGGATGGCTTTAAAGGTATAAAGGAGGATTTTGAACTTGATTGATGTGGCGGAGATGGAAGTAGGCAGTCCGAGTGGTAAGGCTGATGTGGGTTTTGAAGGAAAGAGTACTGTCAAGGACGACACCCAGACTCTTGACCTGAGGGGAGGGGGAAACTGAGGAACTGTCGATGGGAAGGGAGAGACTGTCAACTTTGGATAGGGTGAATTTGGAACCTACTAGAAGAATTTTTGTTTTCTGACTGTTTAGTTGGAGAAAGTTGAAAGTTAAGTTGTCCTTAAGGTCGTTATCTTTGTAATATTTGTGTCTTCTATCAAAAAGCACTCACACGTAAACAATTAGCCGGTCAGCCATGTCGGATATACCGGTGAATCAGACGTCGCAACAACACGCAATCTGATTGGTCAGAAGTGGACACACAGTTTGCGAAACTTTAGAAAAATCGACCGTAATCCGAAAACATAAATGCCGCAATATCACAGGACGGGAAAAAGGCCCCTGATGTGAACGCTTGTATTGACAGGATACGGGTTCGAAAAAAAATATTGACGTCCGAAATAATCGAACGACCAAAGCGGCCCCGGTGTGAGAGGACCTTAAGTCTAAGCTTAAAATGAAATGAAAAATTTCTCCCATGAAATCCCAAGTGCAAGGTGAATGTGCAATAATAGTGCAACATTTACAGCCCAGGGTCTAGCTGCTGTTTCAATGTGTTTTGAATCAGTTAATTAAATTATTAGGGAATTTAGAGGTCATTCAAGAGATGTTGTTTTCGGGGCAAGTTTTAAGTTTAAAAATACAATTTGATACATAGTATATTCTGTTCCACACTCCAGTCCAGAAGGTGGTGGTAATGCACCCAAGTTAATTTCCAACTGCCATAAAACCAAAGAACAAGAAGAAGTTCTTTAAAAAAAAAAAAAAAAGCTTTTCCTGAGTGTGGAAAGAGGAAGAGCACGGAGAAAATATCAGTGTCTCAGTGAAAATCTTTATTGAATCCAGATTTTTGTGATGGAGGTCCCCGTACCCGATCGCGATTGGAGGAGCCCTCAGTTCCGGCAGAAAGTCGTCGCTCAGATGTGAGATTTTTGAGTTTGTTTGAGGTGTTTTAGCTGAATTTTTGTTTCTGTCCCTTAGAAAACCACACCAACCACAGAGAAGAGAGCTGAACCAGGATCATAAAAACAAGGATTTAAGTCGGAACTGGAAAAATGTGAACAAAAACCCCTTCAATTACAGGGAAGATTATTTAATTCTGTGGACTAGAGACATTTCTAATCAGCACTGTATTGAAGCAACAATCATGGTAGTCAATATTAATTAATTTAGTGTCTAATCCTGAAGAAATACTGTTTCCTGTTACTGTAAGAAAAGTATTGTTAACAGCAACAGATTGATTATCATTTAAGTAATGCAGGTTAGGATTGAGTAAAGCAGGGTGATTTCTATTTTTCCTTACAGAGAGGAGGCCATGAAGAAGGCAGGACCCTCTAATACCAAATCAAGCAGTGACATGGAGAACCATGTTTATGTCAAAGCTAAAACCAGAGTGAGTACAGGACCACAGGAGGGTGTGTTTTAAAAGCAGAAACCTCTGCTCTAATGAAAGACTGTTATTAAAGGTTTGTACCCAATAAAAACATTGATTATGACTCTTTTCCAGGAGGAGTATTTATCTCTGGTGGCGAGGCTGATCATACACTTCAGAGACATCCGTGAGTGTTAAAATGATAACCCATCACACTCTCTGAGCTGATACACTACATGAAAGTCAAACAGCTGCTGGTTAACTCGTGTTTTTTTAGACGATAATGGGAAGTCAGGGTGCTGCAGGTGTCACGTGAAGTGAGTTAAAGAAAGTTAGCGTGTTTTGAAAAGCAAGATTACACATGTGCAGGCATGCAGACAGTTGTAATAGTTGAAGCCTGTCAATAAAGTTTAAGTTCAAGCCAATGAATGTCCGCCGTCTATTACACTGGCAAAATAGCAACTCATTAAGCATATAAAAACGCCACAGCTTTTACTTATACTGCTGTACCTTTGTGTCTTTACAGATAAAAAGACTCTTGGCGGTCCAGGTCAGTGGATTTTGTTTCTGTCTGTTCTGTCTCTCTCCGTTTGGTTTTTCTTTGCTGTGTTCTGTCTTCTGCTGACCTGTCTCTACCAGTCTCATGGTGTTCATGATTTCTGCCGTGCATGGAGCTGCATAATATTGTCTATTGTCTACCCTTCTGCTAGTTCCCATGAATGCCCTGACTAACCTGACAGGGGTTGGAGGGGGCCCGGGCGCCATTGGCATGGGGCCTCGCCCCACTGGTGCTCCAGTGGGTGGCATGGGGGCCATGGGGCAGATGTAGTTAGGCCAGCATGCCATGGCAGGGGTGACTGGAAACCCACAAGCCAGTGAATGTGTTTCCTCCGTGTGGTGTGTGTTTTCAGTTACAGGTCATCCTCAGAGCGTCCTTGGATGCTGGCTGCTTCTAAACTGCATATTTTGGTGTCAGAGCCAGTCTTACTTTCAGTCTCCGCTTTGGCACGTTGTGTGTTTGACGCTCCAGAGCTTTCCTCTGACTTAGCCAGATGCCGGGTTTCTCCTTCATCTTCCTCTCGCTCACTCTTTAGTAGAGGGTCCAGGCCAGCTGCAGATACAGCAGATGGTGCAGGCGCAGCAACAGTCCATGCAGTTCCAACAGTTCCAGCAGGCCCAGAACCAGCAGCAGCAGAACCAGGTATCTGAACTCTGTTAACTCAAAGTGCAGGAACATGGATCTATCACACTGTGGGAAGATCACCATATACCTCAGCTTAGCTCTGATACTGAGGTGGTAACTGCTGAAACCCGGGGTGTTGGCTACAAACCTGTTTGTACTCTGTTGATGGGACTGCTGTCTCTTCAGGTGAGTTTCAACTAAGTGTGATCAGAATCAGCTTTATCGGTCTGTATGTCACACATACAAGAAATATAACTCCAGTAAGCTCTGACCTCTACATACAAACATTGAACCTGAAATATTGTAAAAATTACAATCATACTGGATTGTATCTCTCCAAACCTGATTTTATCTTATAATTAAATTCATGTACATTAATGCATCCTATTCTATTTTTTTGCACATTTTTTCCATACCATGAAATCTTGGGTGTTATAAGCTGTCAGGGTTTTTAAATTGGTACTCAATTTACACAAAGACACCAGCCCAGCAGAAAAGTTGATGTAGAGGGAGAGGGAGATCATAAAAGATGGAATTTTCCCCATACCCACATCATATTTGATACTTAAATCAGCTTCTGTGCAGCCAAAAGGAGTCATAGTTGTTAAGAAGGTGTGTTTTGAATTTGTCTGTTTTTGCACCTGTACATTTGCGGATACTTCTTGTGTTTGCAGATGCACCAGACAACAATTCAGCAGCAGCAGATGGTGCAGCTGCAGCAGCACCAAGCTCAAGCTCAAGCCCAGGCTCAAGCTGCAGCACAGGCACAGCTCAATGCAACTGCTGCAGCCGGAGCTGCTGTCCCTGTCTATGCTACTAATTGTATTCAGTTTCTACCCGATAGCGACTGGAGGAGCCCTCAGTTCCGGCAGAAAGTCGTCGCTCAGATGTGAGATTTTTGAGTTTGTTTGAGGTGTTTTAGCTGAATTTTTGTTTCTGTCCCTGCGTGAGTCTCTGAGCTAACAAGCTAACACCAACCACAGAGCAGAGAGCTGAACCAGGATCATAAAAACAAGGATTTAAGTCGGAATTGGAAAAATGTGAACAAAAACCCCTTCAATTACAGGGAAGATTATTTAATTCTGTAGACTAGAGACATTTCTAATCAGCACTGTATTGAAGCAACAATCATGGTAGTCAATATTAATTAATTTAGTGTCTAATCCTGAAGAAATACTGTTTCCCGTTACTGTAAGAAAAGTATTGTTAACAGCAACAGACTGATTATCATTTAAGTAATGCGGGTTAGGATTGAGTAAAGCAGGGTGATTTCTATGTTTCCTTACAGAGAGGAGGCCAAGAGGAAGGCAGGACCCTCTAATACCAAATCAAGCAGTGACATGGAGAACCATGTTTATGTCAAAGCTAAAACCAGAGTGAGTACAGGACCACAGGAGGGTGTGTTTTAAAAGCAGAAACCTCTGCTCTAATGAAAGACTGTTATTAAAGGTTTGTACCCAATAAAAACATTGATTATGACTCTTTTCCAGGAGGAGTATTTATCTCTGGTGGCGAGGCTGATCATACACTTCAGAGACATCCGTGAGTGTTAAAATGATAACCCATCACACTCTCTGAGCTGATACACTACATGAAAGTCAAACAGCTGCTGGTTAACTCATATTTTTTTAGACGATAATGGGAAGTCAGGGTGCTGCAGGTGTCACGTGAAGTGAGTTAAAGAAAGTTAGCGTGTTTTGAAAAGCAAGATTACACATGTGTGCAGGCATGCAGACAGTTGTAATTGTTGAAGCCTGTCAATAAAGTTTAAGTTCAAGCCAATGAATGTCCGCCGTCTATTACACTGGCAAAATAGCAACTCATTAAGCATATAAAAATGCCACAGCTATACTTATACTGTCGTACCTTTGTGTCTTTACAGATAAAAAGACTCTGGGCGGTCCAGGTCAGTGGATTTTGTTTCTGTCTGTTCTGTTCTCTCTCTGTTTGGTTTTTCTTTGCTGTGTTCTGTCGTCTTCTGACCTGTCTCTATCAGTCTCATGGTGTTTATGCTTTCTGCTCTGCATAGAGTTGTAAAATGTTGTCTATTGTCTACACTTCCACCAGATCCCATGAATGCCCTGTGTGACCCCTGAGCTGCAGAGCTTTGGTCAGAAAGCACAAGAGACATCGATGGAGTCTATGATGTTTACTGAAGAACTGTGCAGCAATGTGTTCCTGTACAATGCAGTTCTGAAAATATATCACAAGAAATAAAGGACTGAATTATCACTGTGTACTCACTGTACTGCTTTAAATGTGCAATTAAATACAGTAGGCTTAGCAACCAACTTCACAGTAAATAAAACACTATTATCACTGTAATCACTCAGTATTCATGAATGTAGCTTTAAAAGGGATATTCCGGCATAAAAATAATTTACGGTCAAACACACTTTAACACTGAGTTAGACACCCCCCCCCTCGAGAGATGAATGTTGCTGACCGCTTGCTTCTCTAGTTATACCAACTTTAGTAACAACCGCAGGATAGCAATACAGAGAGACACACTCTCAACCAAAACGCCACTCTATAGCCACAAATAATGCTCAGAACAGCACCTAACTTCATCAACAGTACATACAGGGTCCCAACCATAGTACTAGCCATCAAACATGTTTTTAACTTTGCCTGTTTGCCTAATTTCTTTAGCAAAGAGACTAAACACAACTCACCCACTCTCTTCCAGCAGCTGCTTGTTTGTAGATCTCAGGCCAGTCCATTAAGGACTACAGCGAGGGACGCAGCTCAAGGAAGAACATTACTAATCATTTCCTTATCATTTCCTTGAAGTAATAATCATCAAAATAATCATTTTACACTGCAACAGTAGTTCTTCTGCCTTAGCGTCTCGGTCTGATTGCATTTCTATGAGGAAATTATCATAAATGTTCTTCCTTGAGCTGCGTCACCCCGTAGCAGTCTGTAATGGACTAGCCCGAGGTCTACAAACAAGCGGCTGCTGGAAGAGAGTGGGAAAGCTAAAAAGATGTTTGGTGGCTAGTACCATGGCTGGGACCCTACTGTTGATGAAGTTAGGTGCTGTTCTGAGCATTATTTGTGGTTATAGCGTGGCGTTTTGGTCAAGCGTGTGGCTCTCTGTATCTGTATATCGTGAGGTCATTACTAAAGTTGGTAATACTAGAGAAGCAAGCGGTCGGCAACATTCATCTCTCAAGGGGGTGTCTAACTCAGTGTTACGGTGTGTTTGACCCTAAATTAATTTTACACTGGAATATCCCTTTAAAGGCATGGTTGACGATCTGAGAAGCAGTTTAAGTAAACTGAGCCGTTGAGGCAGATTTGAGAAAAGCGTCCCACTCCTCACACACAAACCTCTCCCCTCTGTGCGCCACGATACCTCCCCCTCCTTACCTGTATCGCCCTCCCCATGACACACCACCTCTGGCAGAGCAAGAAACTGGCCGGCAGAAGATCCTACGCTAGATTCAAACAGAATTCACCATGTCGGACTGCCAGTGACTAGCTGCAGTAAACGCTAGCTCTGCTCGTGAGCACCGCCTGCAGCTGCCTGGACAGCAACCATGTTGACATTTCAGAGAGTTATTTATGTAACATATGCCACGATAAAAGGCAAAAATTACCTGTTCAACAAAAATTCTGCTGTCTTGGTGTCTGTTTTCAGGCCCAAATCCTGGCGCAGCTTTCTCCACCACTTAAAGGATGATCCGATGTTTATTCCAGTTAGATTCCTCACTTGGTCACATTTCCTCTTCGACTCTGCCGTTTCTTCTGTCAGCTTGCGTTTTCGTGACACTTTTGGCGGTGGGGCAAGCAGAAGTGTTTTTTTTCAGTCCCTCTCATCACAGCTCCTGTAGCTAAGCCGCTATGCTGCTTTTAGCCGCCAAGAGCTCCGAGGAGGGCCGGGTGAGAGTCTGAACTACGGAAGAGGGGTGTGTCGAATACAGCGAGGTGATTGGATGGAGAGGCGGAGCAGCAGATTGACCAATAGGAACCGTCAGGGAAGGATGGCTCCCATTGGTCAATGTTTTTGCAGCGCCAACGGACATACGAATTCATTTAATCTCAGTTAGCTTTTAGATGCTAACTCGCGATCATGCTAACGGGTGAAAACGGACTTTTAATGATTGTCAATATACACTAGGAGCGACGCAACACTATCAGAAAGGTAAGTCACATGTACACATTCATTTCGCATCACTATGAACGTAACTTACATCGTCAGTGACTGCCATACCACTGTGAACAACAGGTCAAGCGCAGACCGTATAGCAGGAAGTGAAACTGCATAAATTGTCTTCAAAATAAAACGCTCACTTCAAAATAAAATCAGTGGCAGGAAGAGTGCACTGTGGAACAGAGGGGCAGACTATAGACTGTATATATTATGGACAAGTTGGTTCGGCGTTCCGCCAGTGTACGGATTTGAAGCCGAAAAGGTCTCGGTAATTTAACAATGCAACAATACCGGTAAAACAAGTCGGAAAACAACGCTTACTGTTGTAATGTTTAGCTGTTGTAGCAATAGCAGTCTGACATCAATGTAGCTATCAACAGCTATAGCCACGTTAACTAGCTCGTCATAACGCACAATTTTAAAATGCTGACAGTTCAAAACATAGCTAATATTTACGTGGTGTAGCGTAAGTTTAATTATGAAAATATTAAAATCATACCCCTGGCGGAGTGGGATATATGACCTATACTGCAGTCCGTCACCAGAGGGTGCTGTTCTCAGTGTGGCTTAACCCAGCGAGAAGGCAGACGGCGTCCATTCTATATACAGTCTTTGGGGCAGACATTATCTTACTGTACAGACCTCTGCAAAAAGTAACCGTGGTCAAGCTAGCAGACATTCGCTTTACCATGGTCAAACCAACGGACACTAAAATTAGCGTACCTGCGTGTTCTATCCTTTGCGGTAAATGCAATTACATGACCCAAAACGAGTGAGCAGGCAACAATTGGACTTCTGGTTTTCAAAATAAGATGCTAAAAACAGTGAATGAAGAATTTCGGATATCTAAATGTTTGATATCTAACGGTAATTTCTGGCAATGCTTAATGTTCATGTGTATAAGACATCTCTGATTACTGTCAGACTGGGAATTATTCATTTTTACTGTACAATTTTTGAGAAATTTCACATTGAAAGTCCTAGATTTATACTTTGAAACAACACATTTCTTACTTTTGTGACACTGTAAGAGCAAGTTGCTCCGTAGTTTCTATAAATGCTTGATGTATCTGAGTAGGAGACATCTCTGACTGCTTACACACTGAAAAGTATTCATCTTTACTGTATCATTAAGGAGAAATGTCACTTTAAAGTCCTAAATTTGTACTTAGAAATAGTTACATTTCTCATTGTTGATACTGAAAAAGCAAATTGCTCCAAAATTTCTGGAAATGCTTGATGTACTTGAGTAGAAGACATCTCTGACTACTCACACACCGAAAATTATTCATTTTTACTGTATCATTATGGAGAAATTTCACATTAAAAGTCCTACATTTGTAAAGGAGAGAATGACAATAGCTGTACAAAGAGCTATCTGGTTTGGAAATGTCTTTATTTTCGCTAAAAGCCACCTTTCGACCTGAAGAGAATTTCGAAAGCTTTGGAAACGCAGTTATAAAGTTTCTTTATCCATCTGCTCTGTATGTGAAAATATAAAATAACGCAATAACTCAGCCCATGGAGGGCAGCATTTCGCTCCTCGCGTACAGCCTGCCGGAAATTTATTACAAGTCGAAGAAGAAGAAGAAGAGGCCATTTTCCATAGAGCGGAAAGAGGAAGAGCACGGGAAAAAACATTAGTGTCTCAGTGAAAATCCTTTATTAAAACAGATTTTTGTGATGGAGGTCCCCGGACCCGATAGCGACTGGAGGAGCCCTCAGTTTCGGCAGAAAGTCGTCGCTCAGATGTGAGATTTTTGAGTTTGTTTGTGGTGGTTTTAGCTGAATTTTTGTTTCTGTCCCTGCGTGAGTTACTGAGCTAACAAGCTAACACCGACAACAGAGCGGAGAGCCAAACCATAATCATAAAAACAAGGATTTAAGTCGGAATTTGAAAAATGTGAACAAAAACCCCTTCAATTACAGGGAATATTGTTTATTTTTATAAACTAGAGACGACATTTCTAATCGGCGCTGTATTGAAGCAACAATCGTGGTCGTTAATATTCATTCATCCAGTGTCTCATCCTGAGGAAATATTATTTTAAGACCCATTACTGTCTAGACCAAACTCGTGAGTTTAATATTTACTAAGTCCCAACACCAATAAAGGATCAGAGCCACTCTTTTTCAGGCTCAATCTACCACGATAGATACACTTTACAGCATTTATTGAGTCACCAAGGAGAGGGGGAAACTCTTTTAACAGGTAGAAACCTCAGGCAGACCCAGACTGATGTTAGACAGTTATCTGTCAGGGCTGAGCTGGGACGAGAGAGGAAATAGAGGGAGATGGACAGAGACAAACAACAAAATCTCAGTGCTGTTATCATACTGTCACAGTAATGCTGGCAAAAGGATTTATTGTTTACAGCAACAGATTGATTTTCATCTGAGTAATGTGGATTAAAGTCAACAGGTCCAAGAGAAGCGCTTAAAACACTGGTTATGATGATAGAGGTGACACTATAAATTATGCCAATTGAGGTAACGCTAATATGCAAATTAAAATTACAATTAAAACAGTGATAATAATGTTTGAAATTATATCAATAAATTTAATGTTAGTTTTTTTTCACAGGGATAATGACAGTAAGGCTGGAAAGAAGAATTAAAGCAGTTTGAGTCTGTCAGGTCCTCAGCAGCAAGATGCCTGCAGTCAAGTATGAGTATGAAGCAGTGTGATTTCTATGTTTCCTTACAGAGAGGAGGCCATGAGGAAGGCAGGACCCTCTAATACCAAATCAAGCAGTGACATGGAGAACCATGTTTATGTCAAAGCTAAAACCAGAGTGAGTACAGGACCACAGGAGGGTGTGTTTTAAAAGCAGAAACCTCTGCTCTAATGAAAGACTGTTATTAAAGGTTTGTACCCAATAAAAACATTGATTATGACTCTTTTCCAGGAGGAGTATTTATCTCTGGTGGCGAGGCTGATCATACACTTCAGAGACATCCGTGAGTGTTAAAATGATAACCCATCACACTCTCTGAGCTGATACACTACATGAAAGTCAACCAGCTGCTGGTTAACTCATGTTTTTTTAGACGATAATGGGAAGTCAGGGTGCTGCAGGTGTCACGTGAAGTGAGTTAAAGAAAGTTAGCGTGTTTTGAAAAGCAAGATTACACGTGTGCAGGCATGCAGACAGTTGTAATAGTTGAAGCCTGTCAATAAAGTTTAAGTTCAAGCCAATGAATGTCCACCATCTATTACACTGGCAAAATATCAACTCATTTAACGTATGAAAACGCCACAGCTCTTACTTATACTGCTGTACCTTTGTGTCTTTACAGATAAAAAGACTCTGGGCGGTCCAGGTCAGTGGATTTTGTTTCTGTCCTGTTCTCTCTCTGTTTGGTTTTTCTTTGCTGTGATCTGTCTTCTGCTGACCTGTCTCTACCAGTCTCATGGTGTTCATGATTTCTGCCGTGCATGGAGCTGCATAATGTTGTCTATGATGTCTACCCTTCTGCTAGATCCCATGAATGCCCTGACTAACCTGACAGGGGTTGGAGGGGGCGCGGGCGCCATTGGCATGGGGCCTCGCCCCACCGGTGCTCCAGTGGGTGGCATGGGGGCCATGGGGCAGATGCAGTTAGGCCAGCATGCCATGGCAGGGGTGACTGGAAACCCACAAGCCAGTGAGTGTGTTTCCTCCATGTGGTGTGTGTTTTCAGTTACAGGTCATCCTCAGAGCGTCCTTGGATGCTGGCTGCTTCTAAACTGCATATTTTGGTGTCAGAGCCAGTCTTACTTTCAGTCTCCGCTTTGGCACGTTGTGTGTTTGACACTCCAGAGCTTTCCTCTGACTTAGCCAAATGCCGGGTTTCTCCTTCATCTTCCTCTCGCTCACTCTTTAGTAGGGGGTCCAGGCCAGCTGCAGATACAGCAGATGGTGCAGGCGCAGCAACAGTCCATGCAGTTCCAACAGTTCCAGCAGCAGCAGCAGCAGCAGCAGCAGCAGCAGAGCGTCATGCAACAGCAGCAGAACGCCATGCAGCGCCAGCAGTTTCAGGTGCAGCAGCAATTGAGAGTGCAGCAGCTGCAGCAGCAGCAGCAACAACAACAGCAACAGCACCACCAAAACCAACAGCAACAGCAGGCCCAGAACCAGCAGCAGCAGAACCAGGTATCTGAACTCTGTTAACTCAAAGTGCAGGAACATGGAGTTATCACACTGTGGGAAGATCACCATATACCTCAGCTTAGCTCTGATACTGAGGTGGTAACTGCTGAAACCCGGAGTGTTGGCTACAAACCTGTTTGTACTCTGTTGATGGGACTGCTGTCTCTTCAGGTGAGTTTCAACTAAGTGTGATCAAAATCAGCTTTATCGGTCTGTATGTCACACATACAAGAAATATGACTCCAGTAAGCTCTGACCTCTACGTACAAACTAAATTCATGTACATTAATGCATCCTATTCTATTTTTTTGCACATTTTTTCCGCACCATGAAATTTTGGGTGTTATAAGCTGTCAGGGTTTTTAAATTGGTACTCAATTTACACAAAGACACCAGCCCAGCAGAAAAGTTGATGTAGAGGGAGAGGGAGATCATAAAAGATGGAACTTTCCCCAAACCCGCATTATATTTGATACTTCAATCAGCTTCCGTGCAGCCAAAAGGAGTCATAATTGTTAAGAAGGTGTGTTTTGAATTTGTCTGTTTTTGCACCTGTACATTTGCGGATACTTCTTGTGTTTGCAGATGCACCAGACAACAATTCAGCAGCAGCAGCAGCAGATGGTGCAGCTGCAGCTTCAGCAGCAGCAAGCCCAAGCTCAAGCTCAAGCTCAAGCTCAAGCTCAAGCCCAGGCTCAAGCTCAAGCTCAGGCCCAGGCTCAGGCTCAGGCTCAAGCCCAGGCTCAGGCTCAGGCTCAGTCTATCCAGCACATGGTGCAGCAGCAGCAGCAGGTTCAGGCCCAGGCTCAGCCTCAGCCAGGTCAGATGCCTCCACACACTCAGCAGCAGCAACAGCCTGGCATGGTGCCTCAGTCTCTGGCTGGACCAATGACATCAGCTCAGCACGTCCCCATCAACTCACTCAGTCAGCAACAGCAGCAGCATCAGCTCAAGATCCAGGCCTTTCAGGTGAGAACGCTGCCCCCTGCAGGTGTGTCTCTGCAGTAGTTATCTACATCTTTTGACAGATTTTAAGACCCCCTCTTTTTCCAGCTTTCAATGACATAAATGACGCTTAATTATCTTATCTGTTTTGCAATGTTCAACATATAGAAAGCAGCAGGTTCTCAGTCTGGAGGGTCAGACCTCTGCTGTTCAAACACAGAACAGGCCTCTTATGGTCGTGCTTACCAACCCCCTCTGCTTGCATGCTTTGCTCTGTGTGTGTGTGAACAGGCCCGTGCAGCCTTGCAGCAGCAGCAGCAGGTGCAGCAGGCACAGCAAGCAGCGCAGCAAGCCGCAGCACAGGCACAGCTCAATGCAGCTGCTGCAGCCGGAGCTGCTGTCCCTGGACAGGTGAGAATAAAACCGCCTCAGGCTCAGGTGCTCCATGTGTAAAACTTTACATAACCTCACGTGACGCCTAGCACATCCAAGTCTGTTAGTGGGTTAGTGAAGAAAAAAAGAAAAAACATCCACTGGGGACAAAATACGACCTTAAGATGTCTGAAAACTTATCAGGTCTCAAAGACTTTGGCAGTTTTGAGGATTACTTTTACTCATTCTGAAGTTTTCTGTTTACAGACTTGTTGTGAAATAATAAAACATTTAAAATCAAAGATTCACTGACACACCTTTGTGTAGTGGCACGTTTGCTCAGAATAAGTGTTTTAAGGAGTTCATTGCATAAAACATTTGCATGTATTTAAAGTTAACAAAGTGAAAGTCCATAAACCACAGTTAAATCTCAATAAAGGAACACATTACTCAAACATGAGTTTCAGTGCAGCTGCACCTCTGGCTTTGTGTTGATCAGATAAATAAAGGTTCAACGCTGCAGAGGTCCTCAGAAGTGAAGAGAAGTGTGTGCTGCAGTGTTCATGTGTGTGTCCTTTCTGCTCACCTTTCCTGTCCTGTCATGTCTCCTCTCCTGTAATGTGCCTCCTCTGAAGCTGGTCCGTCCTGGGATGATTCCTACCCGGATGCCCCGAGCCGCCCTGAACCCCTCCATTCCCCCTCAGAACACTGCCGCTGCTGCAGCGGCTGCTGCTGCCGCCGCCGCTGCAGCTGTTGCAGTTGGAGGACAGCAGATGACACAACAGGTATGTATCCCTAGTCTGACCTCTGACCCCTGCCTGTCCCATTCACAGTGTGCTTCTGTTTGTCAGAGCGTCTTATCTCTCTGTGCCTTATGCTCCTGCTTTTCTGACGTCAGATGGTTCAAAAGTGACAAAACTACTATTAACATAGAGATCAGACAGTGATCCTCTCCTGACTGTTTACCTGCTGCACACCAAAGAAATCATCTGAAAATTTGATCTGAAGTCAAATACATGATCTCAGATTACGGTCCAGTACACATGTGTATTTTTATCAACAAATATCCAACCCCCCCCTCTAAAAAATGAAGTCACATAATCACATCATTGTTTTCAAGTAAAATCTCATCCACACAAATCCACATAAATGTGCTATTGACCGCTGTTAAAAGCATGCCAGACCTGGGGTTGGTAGTATTTGCCGAAAAGTTAGACCCATTCCATCCAATCAGAGCAAGCTTCCTCTTGTCTTCACTTCCCCAAACATGAAACACAGTGTCGTGTAGTTTGTTCATGTGGACCGACACAGAGGTGCATAGCTTTTAAGTATGGTTTTGGAGTATAGAGTCAACAAGATTTTTGCTACTCACAAAAATATATATCCTGTTTATATCTGTGCCGTCCACTGCCTGACTTAAACAAGGGTGGATAGTATATGACGTTTATCTATTAGTTGTCGCAGACAATAATGTTTGGGAATTTAAAACTCTGGTTATCTATGTCCACACGCAAAAGCAAAACCAGAGTTTTCCAAAATCTTCATATTGGTCGGAGTTTTCCAAAAGTACAGTTTTTAATGATGTAATCCTGCAGTTTCGTGTGGATGGCAGGCCAAAAAGTATGAAAATATATTTGTTTTAGCAAATACCTTGCTACATGTGGACTGCTGAAGTGTTGCTTCAGCAGCTTCAGCTTCCCCTCCTGTGATTGGCTAATTTGTGTCCAATCACTGTCCTTTGCAGGTGCAACAGCATTCAATGATGTCATCGCCCTCACCTGTGCAGGTGCAGACACCACAGTCAATGCCTCCCCCTCCTCAGCCGTCACCTCAGCCCCCCACCTCACAGCCCAACTCAGCCAGGTGAGCGGCTGGTCACATGACATGTCTGCCTCAACGTTCTCGTTGGTTTATGTTTTTTTTTTTTTAACCCCCTCCTTCTCTTCCTCTCTGCAGCTCCGGTCCCACCCCGTCACCGGGCGGGTTCCAGCCCAGCCCATCCCCTCAGCCTTCACAGAGCCCAGCCAACAGCCGGACCCCCCAGAACTACGGAGTCCCCTCTCCTGGGCCACTGAATACTCCAGGTACTGGTTTACAAAAATACACCTTATCAAGGTTACAAGAAACAGAGTGCAAACTGAAACTTCAAACCAGCTCCACACACACACACACACACACACACACACACGCTGTTCCAACCTGCCAGCTCCAACACTGTACATCACGACCTCCTCCCCACCATTAAAGGTTTTCTTCTTAGCAGTTGACTCGATGTAAACATACTTCTCTGAGAACCAACATTCAAATAAGCAGTGTCCCCTGGTCCTGAAGCATGAGGCTGGTGCTGAAGTGCTGCAGTCCCTCCATTGTCCACTAGAGGCTGTCTGTAAACACTTCAGAATCCACACACACCCATTCTAGAAAGGTGCAAAAATAAACATGTTTACAAACAAATGAAGACGTATTTGTGGATGTTTGCATTAACCGCCTCCTCCTTTCCTCTGCTGACCTGTTCTGCAGGTAACCCCAGCTCAGTCATGAGTCCGGCCGGAGCCACATCTCTGGAGGACCAGCAGTACATGGAGAAACTCAAACAGTTGTCCAAATACATCGAACCTCTGCGGCGTATGATCAACAAGATTGACAAGAATGAAGGTCAGCCTCACAGCTCACAGTGGCTCTTTATTTATCGATACAGGTTATTTGTTAAACTGTTAAGTTTTTATGCTGATTTCTAGTTTGGTACCCAGTTGATACTCTAGCCTCATCAGGAGAAAAAACTGCTTTATTCCCTCTGTTCTCTGAATGTTTTAAGATGTAATAAATGTAAGTGTCTCTTTGGAAGGTAAAATCTGAGCCATGAGATTTACCCTGACAATCAGAGTCCAAGGCTGTGCCTGAAATAAATCACTCAATCCCTAACCCCGATATGGGGTTTCACTATATAGCTGACTATGTAGTGAGCTCAATCACCGGAGGTTTCGGGCACTACATGGCAAGACACAATGCATGACGGGATGCCCACCACCGGTGAATTACCATCGGATGGTCACTACATTTTGCAATGCTTTTATGGGAAATTTTGAGTCGCCTATATAGGGCACTGGAATTGATCACTGAGGTTTCGGACACCCCTCAAAATGGCGCTAACTCCCATTTAGTCACCTATATAGGGGTTAGGGATCCATTTCGGACACAGCCCAAATAAGATAACAATGCTAACATCATATTAATAATAGTTATTATGATATATTGTATATATGTATAACTGAATTAGTTTCTTTTGTGTGTTTTTGTTGAACAGACAGGAAGAAGGACCTGAGTAAGATGAAGAGTCTGTTAAATATCCTGACTGATCCGAACACGAGGTAACAGCTGATCACAGTGACACACTCATTCTAATCACAGCAGACATAGGAGCAGCTCAATGAATGGAGAGATCATTGAGAAGTGTCACATTTATCAGCAGCTTCTTTAAAAAGTGATTCACAGGATGTGAGTGTTTGGGATTAATCTCGAATTCAACTTTTTTTTTTTAACTGAGCTGGCTTTTAAAAGCACTTTAAGAAGGATAATGAGCTATTAAAGAGGGGGTTGTGGATGTCACCTCACATGCTGTAAGAGGCAGGCTGTTTCTCGCCGAAAGCACAGAGGATCTAGTAAGGAGAGACTATTGCAATGACAACATTGGTTGTCAATGTGTGATCGTACCGTTTTGATCACTTTACATCAATTTTCTCGGATTATTACAACATACGTTAACCTTGTGATTTGACAATATACATACATCGAGTATGGACACCAAACTTTGCATTTCATGTTGCAAATGTTGAAAAGCCTTTAAATACCCCCCATCCCCCTTTAACGAAAGGGAGAAAAAAAAAAAGATATTTTCATGTATATCCAGCTATTGCATCATCAGAACGCTGATATCACATTGAGGATTTTTCTTGTTTTTTTCTTTTTTGAATTTGAAGAATTATATATTGAATATATAATTTCACATTTTTTTCTTTTCTCTTGTCTTTCTGTTCTTCATTTTGTCCTTTTAACTTTTCTTTTTTTATTTTCTGTCCTTTAATTTCCTTTTTTCTTTTATTATTTATTCTCTTTTCATTTTCCTGTTTTCTCTTTTCTTTGTCATTTCTTTTTATCTTGTTTCGTCTTTTTTCTTCCTTTTCTCTTTTGAAGCACTTTGTGACCTTGGTTTAAAAAATTCTACAGAAATCAAGTTTATTTGTTATTATTTTAAAAAATCACTTCTATGTTTCTTTTACCGTGTGTTTTTTAAATTAAAATTGGAACATAATATATCTGTAAATATTTCAGTTATACATGCTGTGTCTATAAGAATTCTGAAAGTTGACTTCTTTAGAATAAATAACTTTTTAAGAAAAATAAGATTTTTTCCCCAGTATTCTGATTAGATTCACCTGTTGGCAGACTTTACTTGTTTTTTTGTGTTTGACCTTTAGGTGTCCACTGAAGACGCTGCAGAAGTGTGAGATTGCCTTAGAGAAGCTGAAGAACGACATGGCCGTGGTGAGGACGTCTCCTTCTGTCCAAACTTGGACTCTGCTTCAAACCGACATTTCTGAGACACAGACATGATGCTGTTATGACAACATAGCTGGCTCATAAACTTATGCATGCCTGCCCACAGTCACCTTTGATTACTTCAGTTCACTCTCAGCATGTCAGACAGACAGAACTTTGATAGAACCTGATTAAATTCAGAAACTGTAGAGAACTTAAGAAGGACAAACAGAGTATTTGATTGACAGGTTTGATTGACAGGTTTTTTTTCTTCATTTCAGCCCACACCCCCTCCCCCTCCAGTTCCCACTAAGCAGCAGTACCTGTGTCAGCCACTGCTGGATGCCGTCTTGGCCAACATCCGATCGCCGGTCTTTAATCACTCGCTGTACAGAAGTTTCGCCCCCGCCATGACCACCATCCACGGCCCCCCTATCACGTACGGCACCCTCTGAATCACTTTCATCATCAGTCATCACCTTCATCTGTCAGATTTAATCACAGTGGGTTTTATGCTTTCCTTGTGGTCAGGGGTCCCATGGTGTCTGGCAGGAAGAGGAAACACGAGGACGACGAGCGTCAGACGATCCCCAACATCCTGCAGGGGGAGGTTGCGCGCCTCGACGTCAAGTTCCTTGTTAACCTGGATCCTTCTTTCTGCAGCAACAACGGCACCGTGCACCTGGTCTGCAAGCTTGGTGAGGCTCACACACACACACACACACACACACACACGCATGCAGATATGTACAAAAACACATCGTCTGCATAACGCATAATCATTTTTTAATAGATTCAGACTTTTTTAAGTGCGAATGTTGTGTGTTTGATAATGTATTATTATGTATCTGTTGTTATCTGTAGTTTGTTGGTCATTTGTTTGTTAATTGTTGTTTATTTGTTGTTGGTTGTTTGTCCTCAGATGATAAAAACCTGCCAAGCGTTCCTCCTCTGCAGCTCAGTGTTCCTGCTGAGTATCCTGATCAGAGTCCTTACTGGGCCAATGATGGGGAACAGTACGGTGAGACACACAAACATTAGACGCAGTCAGAGCTCACACTTGCAGACTACAGTTTTAAACAGCAGAGAAAGGATCTACAGTTGCTGAGACCTGAGAGGAAAACTGATGAAATTAGTGAAGTCTGAAATAAAGACTTTAAATTTGGTGCTTTTAATGAAAAGATATAAACTCAGTGTAGAAACTATCAGACCCTGAACAACACCAACAATCACATCTGAGCAAATAAAGGCGTGTCGATGACAGAGGAGAGCTGAATGTTGAGAACAAAGTCATAAAAGCAGATCTACTGGGTTTATTTTGAGAAAAAGGCAGAAACTTTAAGGGGCACAGCTTCAAATTTCAGTGAATTTTAGGAGTCAGACTGCAGTTGAACATTTAAATTCAGTGTAGATTACAAAAAAAACATTAACGCAGAGAATTAAGTTCAATCGTTAAGAATAAAGTTTGTAATTAAAGCAAGATTTGGGGAATGAAGTAGATGAGAGAAATCAGCAGATAGTCTGAGGCCTCTACAGATATCGTTAAAAATGTTTTAACTCTTTTCAATAGAATAATTCTGTCCACAGCAGAGGTGTTTTGGGATATTTACCTGTGGATATTTCTGTAACTGACCGACTAGTTTATTACTAAAACCACCAGTCAGTCCTGTTAGTCATTTTCCCTGGCCCTGATGTGCAGCTGAAAAGAGTGTTTTACTTAAAAAGGCCTCTCTTGTTGTTTTTTTGCTTTTTCTGATAATGTGATTTTGAACTGTCTTACGTCTTTGTGTCACAGAACATTATTGTCGTAGTTTTGAAAAGTGTAAATAGTTGTAAAAGACAGACAGGTCCTAACCACTGATGTCATTATGTTCTGGTCACATGATCCTCTCCCTCTGATCCCTCAGGTGCGAACAACTTCCTGCAGACAGTACATAAAAACATGACGTCCAAACTGCTGCAGCTACCCGACAAACACTCAGTAACCGAGTTGCTCAACGTCTGGGCTCAGAGCGTCCGCCAGGCCTGTCTATCCGCCGCCTGAAGTCCCGCCCACATGGACCTTCCTGAGATCACCTGTGTGACACAGACACTTTTTTTACCCAAACACTATAGCGAGACTCTGACAGGTTTATTAGACGTGTAAAATAAGAAGCTGCTCCACCTGCTGGTGGCTTTCATTCAATAAAAGGAACTGCTTTGTCGCACCTTCATCTAAATTCCTGAACGCACCACGAACAGACTGTTATGGAATCCTGATGGCTGGTGTTACTTCTGATGCATTTTGGGTAAATTAAATAATGTTTTAATATCAGACTGAAGGAACTGCTCAGCTGCAGGTTTCAGGAGTTTACATTTATCTATTGTTGATTTCTGAAACAACAAACAAAAAGGGTTAAGACATAGCCTGTGAACAGCTGAGCACTCAGTTTTCCTGACATTACTGTGCTCCCTGAAGGAGGCACAGGCTGGACTGATGAGTTTGGACCTCAGAGGGACTCTAATGTAAAAAAAACCTGAAAATGTTTGTTTGCTTTTAAAGTAAAAAAAATGTATTTTTTTGTCACAATTAAACTTTTCAGTTTTGTCTTTTGAACCGGTTTCAGTAGCTGACATTTTAATTATCACTTCACGAGTGTAAATTTCCAAGTCAAGGCCCAACGTCAGCACTCATATTCACTGATTAGATAACAAATTATTCTGTAATTCCAGTGTAAACCACAGTCAGCGATAAACTAAAATTTTCATGTGTTCATAATCCAATCAGAAACTTACGGTAATCTGTTGGTGGTTAGTCTCGGTTTCACTGTGAATAGTTAGTTACAAAGGGGCTAACTTTGTTGTGAATTGTAACTAATTAGGCTTCATCTAGTTTTTGTCTCATTTTCACTTTTTATAGTAAATTACAGTCCTAATTTAGTCCAATTTATACATCAAAACTCATTAGTTTTGAGTCTGTAAACTGTAAGTAACGCAGAGGCGTAATTTGTTTTCGGCGAGTTGTTCACTGTTAACAGCAAGTTGCATGCACTCTGACATATATTTGAGGATTGGAGCCACAATAGGGGAAAAAAATTAGATTATCAACCCTGGGAGCAGGTTATGATGGATTGTGTTCTCCTGCATTTGCTCTCCATGCAGATGTTTTTTTCCTGTAGACACTTAATTGGTCTCTGCTTTTTGATTCATAATGTTTTGTTACAAATAAGTGACCCCGTTTGTACAAAACAAGAAAAAACATTTTATTATCATGAGGAAAATGGTAAAAAATCTCAGCAGAGTTCGTGAAGTATAAAAAATGTCGGCATGTTGTACTCTCTGTTTCAGAAGCTGAGAGAAAACGCTCTGTACGACAGGTTAGTGAACACATCGATGTGGTCGCTGCTGCCGCCCACCGTCAGGACCTGAAACACAGACAGATTTATGTGCCGTTTAAGAAGAGCTTCACACACAATCAGGTGATGGAGGCTGTGGTGCGTTCACTGACTCACCCTGTGCTCAGTGCTGTTGCTGTTGAACTGCAGGGTGTTCAGGCTCTGCGGTGTGCAGGGAATCTGAGCTTTGATGTCTCCGCCCAGCAGACAGTGAGACACGAACGGACCTTCACCTACAGACATGATCTTCAGGATGAGACAGAGGAGGAGTTAATGTCACTGAGACTGAACAAGATCGGCCCTAATGCAGATAAAGATCTCCTAAAAATCTCAAAAACAAGATTTAAAAGAAAAAGTGGAAAATACAAAAACTATCACATAAGTTTAAATTATTAAAACTTCTTGTCTTGATGTTAGAGTTTTTATCTTTTTAAGACCTTCTAGAGCTTGTTACGGGAGCTTGTCAGAGGATAAGAGAGAGGGCTCACCATGTCCTGGTGGAAGACAGCCTGTCTTTGACAGCCTTTTAGAGGAAAGATGGAGGTTGGAGATAGAGAACGGAGATGCCACAGGGACAGATGCGGTCCTCCACCACACAGCTGGATAGACACAGACACAATTTAAGCTCTTACAACAAAAATCTGACTGCTTTATTACTATTTAAATACAGTTTGCTGGAGGAAATATGAGGAAAATCTATGTTAAGAGACAGAAACTATTTAACAGTCCGTGTTAAACTTAACATGATAACCTCAGAAACTTAAGAAGTATAAAATTTGAGAGTTTCCTCACCATCCAATCAGAGTCTGTGGTCACACAGCTGATCCATTTCCCATACTGAGGCCGAGCACAGTTCTGAAACATGAACAAAAACTCTAAACATGAATAAAAACCTTTAAAAAAATATATTAAAACTCTAAAAACAAAACTCTGAACTCTTAAAAAGGTTAAAACTCTAAAAAAATCTAAAAATATGAAGTCCAAAATCTAACAACCCCACAAAACTCTAAAATTGCTTTAAATACTCAACTTAAAAAAACTAACAACTCTTAACTCTAAAATATCTGAAAACTCAAGAAAATTGAAAAACTCTGAAAGCGCTTACAAACTCAAAACTCCACTCTCAAGGCTCAGGATTTTACTTAATGAAGCTTATTGTTTCACATTACTGAGTCTTAATGGTTTCTTTTTGATGGTAGAATTTTTATAATTTTTTATAAATTGTATAAATTAGTGAAGAGAGAGGAGAGGAGTGCTCGAGAAAATAAGACATAAGGAGAAAAAGCATTTAAAGATGATCATCTGAGCTTTCTCACCTCGTACTTGTAGACCTCGATGCAGTGAACACTCTGACCTGTCCGGCTGTCTGAACACAAACATCACATCACACATATATTAATATATACTGTATATATAAAAAACCTGCTGTTTCCATCCGAAACTAACATGTCCGCCTTTCTCACCCCACATCCTCACAGCTCCGTCCTCCCCCCCGGACAGGATCTCCCCCTCCCTCTCTCTAACACTCACACAGTGCACATAGTCCGAGTGACCCTGCAGCACAGCCTGAAAACACAGAGAGAGGGTCTGTTAATCAACACCACAAACTCCTAAACTAACCAGTGAGAGGGGTTCAAGGATTTTTCAGGACAGACCTTGAAGACTCCATGTTCCAGATCCAGGATGTGGATGTTGTTGTCTCCTCCCCCGACCACCAGACTGTTGTCCTGAAACAGAGAGACAGAGCTCAGCCTAGACCCTGAATGCACCACAGACTGAGACAGAGTTTAATAACCAGGATCCAGGACTGAAGAAGGAACGAGTTGGACTGTCTAGTTCAGTTTGATGCAATTTGACACATTTAATAACAATTTGGTGGATGTCTGCACAAGTTGGTACAGTTCAGTGCAGTTGGTTTCAGTTTGGTACGGCACTTCACACAGGAAGCGGTTTGGCTGGGTGACAGCTCACTACTCTGTTCCTTTTTCCCATTATGACAATACAGAATCAGATTAAATCTAATCAGATTAGACTGTTAGAGACCAGAGTAAGGCCCGTTTTTCCCAGCTTTAGAAATTAAAACTTAAATAACTGCACACTGTACTGATCTAGACTGGGGATTTCTCGAAGATGCAAAAAAATGGTTCAAGGTCAGTTTGAGGGGTGTTCAGACTCACTCTGGGGTTGATGATCATGGCGTTGATCTCAGGGATCTCCAGACTGGATCTGAAGACAGAAACACATCAGACGGCTCAGAGCTGCAGCCTGCAGACAGACTAAGAGCCAACTGAAGGAAGGAAGGAAGGAAGAAGGAAAGAAAGCAAGAAAGAGGGTCTCACTTGTAGTTTGGTCGTTTTGTCCACATGGGTTTGACATTCTGAGGAGACAAAAAGACAAAAGTCAGACAAACTCAGCAGAGAAACTCTTTCCTGATCATACAGAGAATTTTTGTAAAACTTCTCCTACAGCTGCATCCACCTTCATCTCTTCAAAGCCGCCATCATTTGTAGGCTCGACACTATTGAACCCCCATGTCTTAATGGCTTTTTCTACCAGAATGATACTGATTGGCCGTTCATTCTCTGACCAGAAATGGATAAAACAGCTTAAAATTTTGCAAGATGAATCTGTTTGATGACAGACATGAAATCTGGCGGATTTGTCTGCTCTGAAAAGTCAGCTTCAGGTCATCGAGACACTAAAAATGCTCTTAAAGTTTAAAATACTACAATTTCTCTTTATATGAAACTCTTCTGAGTTGACCTCTGATCACCAACATACTTCAGTTTCTCTTTTCATTTATTCTCTGTCTTCATCTGTGCCTGAGCCCTTTAAAAAAATATGTATTTTTAACTCAATTTAAAGTGACAGTCACCTTCTTGATCAGTTCGTTCCAGCTCCAGGCACTGATCTCTCCATTCCCAGCGCTCAGGAGGTGACAGTTGGTGGAGAGCAGAGAAAACACAGGGCCCTCATGAGCTGATGGAAAGATTAGCAGTTATATTATTCTGTTTGTTAAAGGGGCATTGCGCTAAAGTTTGCCAGTGTGTGTGTGTGTGTGTGTGTGTGTGTGTGTGTGTGTGTGTGTGTGTGTGTGTGTGTGTGTGTGTGTGTGTGTCTGCTCACCTGTGAAGGTGAGGACGGGTTTCTGACTTAGAGCGGTGGCGTCTGGACTCAGAGCTGCAGACAGGCTGGGACAGTTCACACAGACATTATTATAGTTAACACACCTTCACACAGACAAACAGGTGCATATGTGTGCGGTCTCACCTGAAGAGGGCAATCTCTCCGTAGTTGTTCCCGGCTGCCAGGAATCGACCGCAGGGGGAGAAACTCTGAGAGAAGACGGACATGTGCAGCAGCTGCAGAACAGAGACCACACACATCAGTCACCTGGATCACATGTGAGAACGATCACCTGAGCGCCTGGTGCCTGAACTTGCTGCTGTGACTAATGCTGCTCCACTCACTGTTCACTGAAGGGTTTTACAGCTTTAATTTCCTATTTTGCTTCCCTCTGGTGCTTGTTTGGATAATGACACAAACACACAATTAAACTGTAAAAACACTCATAGAATTGGAGTTAAGTTGTTTTTTTCCCCCAGTTTGTATTGTGAAAAGAGCAAAAAAAGAAGACATTTTCACCTGAAAATCTTGTTAATTTGAATTTTAGTTTAAATTATAGAAATACACTGGTAGACTTTCAAAAACAAGGACTGTTTCTAAAAGACATTTAATAATTTTGTGTCCAGAATCCTGTTATTATCTATATATTGTGGAAAATGACAGCGGAAACCGCAACAAACTAGTAATAACCTTTTGGTGCTGCTTGGTAAATACACAGTCACAGTGAGCCTAGAAATCACATACAGACCCTGAAAGTTAATAACAGCCAAAAATCTGAGCACACTCCGAGTTTAAATCAAGATTTATAAAAAGAATAGTACAGATTTGGGCATTTAATATCAAAGTTACAAATGCCATTTAATCCTTTAGGTTATTTTAGTTGACTCGTGGTAAAAGCAGCCTTTTAAGTCTGTCCATCACCACCCGATTCCCAAAGCAGACTTTCTTTAATGTGAATTAGAGGTTTAAAATGTTCTGTTCAATGAGAAATTCACTTTTAAGGTGAATAACAAAAAGTCAACAGAAATATGAACGAGGATTGGTCGAGAACTCTTTCTCTCACTCTCAACCCAAACACGGAGTTCTCTTTATAATTTCCTCTCTTCTGTGTGTGTTTTACTTTAGGACAAATGTACACAAATGTACACAAATGTACCCCATGCTCAAGCTGTTAGCGACATTTCCACCAACACACACAGACACATAGGGTCAAACAGCCTAAAACTGAGAGCACAACTCAAACACAAGATAGTGTTTTTTGTTGGTTTTTTTGCTCAATAATCAGATAATCGATCAGATTAATACAGAACAGATTAATTTACCTCTACGGGACCCATACTGCTGCTCCTCTTTAACGACCACCCGGAGCTCAGAGAGGGAAAATTCGGCAAAATAGCCAGTGCAGTTCGAAGAGGGAGAGAATACAGGCGAGGAGAGATGACGTATTTTCCCGAGGACAATGCATTCTGGGACATGTAGTATACAGCGGAGCAGTTGATGTTTGACCTTTTTGACCAGAGAAACTTTCTTTTACGGATATTTATTTTCATTCCAAAGCTATTTAAAGTGAAAAATGAAAATAAAATTTCTCAAATATCCACTAACTACGACGGAGTATTAGGGCCACGTTTAAAAAAAAAAGAGACTTTGAGATTAAAGTAGTTAATTGACGAGAATAAAGTCATTACTAACAAGAATAGTCATAGTAAAATCATTTCTCACGAGAATAAAGTCATAATAAAGTGATTACTTAAAAGAAATAAGTCATAGTAAAACTATTTCTTTTGAGAATAAAGTCGTAATAAAATAATTTCTTACGAGAATAAAGTGGTAATAAAGTCATTATGATGCTTATGATAATGTGGTGCTGATGTGCCACAAGGTTAAGTATCTCCTTGTTTGAGAAACCTATTATTGAGGTACATTTTCACAAAATGCTCCATGGCTCTCATTTCAACAACTGTCATCTTAAACAACAGGTTAGGATATATTGACTTTATTCTGACTTTACTCTCGTAATAAGTGATTACTTTACTATGATTTTATTCTCGTCAGTAATGATGTTATTATGACTTTATTCTCATTAGGAATGACTTTATTCTCATAAGTTAATCTCTAAGTCTTACATTTCTTGTTCTTAATGTGGCCCTAATACTCCGTCGTAAGTAACTATGATTTGATTATGTCTTGTTTTTTCAGTGATTATGCCTGAACCACCCAAACTGAGGAACATAACAAATATAAAAACAGGTAGGATAATGACTGTTGCCTCTTTTAGTGAAAGAAAGGTATAAATTCTGAAAATAAACACTGACAATTATTTAGAATCAAAGGTAATTTGGAAAGACTATTTTTTAAAGGAGAATGTTGTGTTTTTATGAATTTTGATGTTTAAATAGGATAAAAACATGACAAAAATAATGTGTAGAAGAACTGTCATGTTATTATAAGTGTCAACATTGGTAAAGTTCAATTTTGTGACTTATCAGCACAAGAAAGGGCTGAGGGGACATTTGTTTTACCTTGGCTGGCTAACCAAAATATTAAATGAGCAGAAACATGTTCACCTACATATTGACAAGCTACAGTTACGAGGCTCTGCAGCTTCCCACTCAGTATAGACGTCTCAGCAGCTTCAAGTTCAATATGGATGTCCCTGCAGCATGGAGGTTGATCATGAAACTGTGTGTGTTAGACTGTCAGAACAAACTGTCTCTGGGGTTGATAATCATAAATCAAACCAAACATAGCGTGCTGACAGTGTTACCTCTGGACCACTTGAAAAAGTAAGTGGTGTTCCCCCGGGCTCTATCTTTAGACCACTGTTATTTACAGTTTGTATCAAGAATAGCACCCATAGTGTTAAAGCTGCAACTGCGTTTGAAATGACATGTTTGTCTTTTGCAGCAAAAAAGAGACTTATTGATTGCAGGTGTTGGAAGAGGATACATTTGGCTCATTCTTTGGCTCGTACCTTTTTGTCAGGTTGATGAATGTTATATTTGTGATTATGTGCCCTGTGTCTGTAGGCTCGCTTTGATGGATGGTGCTACTGCCAGTCTCAGCCAGGACTCTATTTAGAGGGTTTTCAGATTTACAATGCTTTTCTGTCAATCTAAACGTCAGAAAGTAATTAACATGTCAGTGAGTAGGGGAGAGTGGGGTAAGTTGAGCCAAAGGGTAAGTTGAGCCACCCCCTGTTGCTTGAAAATTTTAAAAGAAATTGATCATGTGACCAAATATTTAGGAGATGGGCATCAATTCATGGAGTCTGTGAAGGTTAGAAGCACATGGGTGAAGGGGTTAGACATTTATTTCCAATACAACATTTTTCACTCTTGAAAGTGAATTTAGTCTGTCATAAGTTTTATTAGAATTGTGTTCAGACCAAAAAAGATCATTTTAAATTTGTTTTATACATCAATAGTGGTATCTATGAGCTACAACATGAGGTCAAAAACCTAACATAAAAGTCCACCATTTTAGTTTAGAGGACAAATAAAGTCATCATAGTAGTTCAGGGGTAAGTGGCTCAAATGAGAAAGTAAATTAGTCTGATGAGAGGATCAGAGTTTCAGTTCAGATTGTTGAAATGTTTTACTTTTTCTTTTAAAAAATACAGCTGTGAATGTTCTGAATCACTTAAAGACATTCTCAAGAAAAGAAAAGAAAAAACACAATTCAAATTTTGAGAAATAAAACCAACAATGTAAAAGGTTAAAAAAGACACAATATGAGAAGACAATAATAGAACATTTCACAGGTTAAAAGCCAATTTAAAAAAGGTATGTTTTAAGGAGTGATTTGAAAGTATGGGGGTCTGTACAGTCTCAGATGGGTTTGGGAAGTGAATTCCAGGAGAAGGCTCTGTCCCCCCCTAGTTTGGTGCTTGGTCAGAGGGGGTAGGGCAAGGAGATTTCCCTCTGAGGATCGGATAATAATCAAAAGAATCATTGTACCAGTTGAATTGCGTTTAATAGACAAATAAACAAGAATGTGTGAAGTGACTGTTATTTAGGGAGAGAGAAGGTGAGGGAGGGCTGGGGTGGAGAGTGGGGGGTAGTAGGGATACCGCTCAACTTACCTAATACACGGGTTAAGTTGACCATAGGAGACCACTTTTGTTTTGTGTGCTGTATTATCAAGACAGTTATGTTTACACTCATTCTGTTGGTTTGCAGGGATGCACAACATCTTGAAATATTTGCACACTAGTTAGAGACAAAACTATCATGGCCTTCATGCAGTGATCAGGAAAATGGAAATTGTCTCATCTTACCCCACTCTCCCCTTATTAAGTAAATAAACAAACAAATAAAGTGACCTAGGGGTGTCATTTCCTCCATCCTAACAAGGCTCGGTTCGTTTTGCAGGGACCCGGCACCCGATCAGTTTTATTGTTCTATTAAGGTGACGACAAATGACCCATGTGAGCTCTGTGTGATATAAAGAGAGACCCTGCATACCCTTTAACCTAAAACCACCATGTAAACCCGAACCGGAGCTTTCCTTCGCTGCCGTTTTTTATCCTGCGCATGATGACGCGAAAACGCGTGCGCTCCGGCACCGCGCGGCTAGCAGCGGCAGCGGCAGGAAGTATGCTGTCGAAGCGACGGTAGAGGGGGGAGAGCCAAGAACCAAAAGTCGGTGGTAGAAGAGGAGGAGGAAAAATAAATAATCATGCCTAATCCGTGAAAGCCGCACATTTTGCATCTCCACGCCGTGCATCGTTCACGCCGTGGACGCAAAGGCCGATTGAGGGGTAAGTGTGGAGCGGTAAAACGGCAGAAAAACGAGGTTTTTCATCAAAGGGGGCCGCGGTGTGTTTGTCGAGATCTTTGTGTAGCTCCGGGCTAGCCTCGGGTTGCTAGGCTAGCTGGAATGCTAATCTGCGGGGAGGCTTTTGGTCTGCTTCGCGTGAAAAAAATACAAAGGAGTTTTACTAACCCGTGAATATTTGCGTTTGTTGTGTTTGTGTGATTTGTTTACAGTATTGTTGTTGTGAACTTCCGTTTTAGCCGTTTCGATCATCGCGGGGGGGGTTGCTAACTAGCACAGGTGCTAATGCTAGTTTTAGCTCGGCCATGTATCCGTCCGTCTTTTTGCACATTTATTGCAATTTAGATGAAAGCCTCCAAACAACGTGGGGACTTTTTGTTTGTAATCACACGTTATATTCGTTTTTCAGGAGAGCTCACTGGCTGTATGTGTTTGCTAGCGGGCTACAGGCTTGTTTGTGGGGCTGAAAAGGAGCTAGCCTGTTAGCATGGGGAAAATGGCTTGCTGCTCGAAAGCCATTTTCCGATGGAGATGGGGTCTCAGTGAAAGTGGGCTGACTGTAGGTGTTGTCTCCGCTCTGCTGGGAGCATCATGTCGGATTTAAACTGCAAACTCGGCATGTTTTTCACGGCTGCTCTTCTACCGATGCCCCGCCACCCGTCCGGCCGGGCTCGAGTGTCTCTCTCCCGGGTAAATCGGGGAGTCGGCTCGAAGGAAATGTCGGCGGTGGGTCGGCGGTGAAATGCCGCTTTTGTCCCTATAAATTCATGCTGGGGCTGAACCCGAGCGAGAGGAGACGGGCCAAGGTCAGGGAGCTGTGTTGCGGCTGCAGAGGCTGTTAGAGACTCAGACCTCTGTGTGATGATGGAAATGAAGAGAAGAAGCAGAAAAAGAGTTTAATGTCGGGGGTTAAAACACCGCATGTGTGGGAATAGACCCGAGTAATTTGTGAACGAAGGGACCAGGTTTGAATCCAGGCTACCTGAGCCCGCTTCAGGACCACACACGGAGAAACGCACCGACTGTTTGTGGATAAAGCGCAGTTTAATGAATCAGGCACGTTTTGGAGCGCAGACTCGGTTTGTTTACATTATCTGCAGCTCAGAGGAAGAAAAAAAAGTTGAAGGAAAAAACAGAGAGGGTTTTGATTGGCTGCTGCTGCAGAGAGGAACGATTCAAATCTGTTTGTGAATGAGATGCTTCATTTGGAAAATCTGTGTTTGAGTGCAGATTAATCTGCTCTTTATTGATCCGCAGCAGGATTCCGTGATGTAATGTGAGGCAAGTGACAGAGATGAGATGTTAAGTAGGATTTAATAATTAAAATGACGATTGCATTAAAACAAATCGGGGGGGAAAGAAATCTGTTTTTCGTGTAATATTAAACCAGTGAGCATAAAGGTAAAACATGCAAACTTGTACAGTAATGGAGATGTATTTTTTGCATTTTAGATACATTTGGGTGATTTCACCAATATGGTTTTACCTGCAACCTGTAAATGTCAGTAATAAGTCACAAGCGCCTGGCTGCAGACACAGCAGAGCTCTGTCAGTATGTGTGCAACTGGAAAATAAATCTCTGCCTTGATCTTTCCTGTTATCAGAAAATCAAGCAATCTCCAGTGTGAGTCTTCGGGTCTTTTTCACAGGCTCTAAAAGTTAAAAGACTTTCATAGTTGTGTGTTGTTAACCAAAACATTTTCACCAGTTTGAATATTATGAAGTGATTATTTTTTTATAAGTACAGATTGTGGAACATGGCTGATTTCAGTTATTTTAATAGATTGCTAGATGTTGGACAGTTTAAAGTGTTGTTTATGTCGTTTTGTTTTGGAAAAATTTGAAAAAGTCTTCAAACTTGTGAAAAGGAGATGAACAAGTACAACATTTACTGCTAATATTGCTTTATATCCTGATACCATCTGAGATCTAAGTGGAAGTCTGAAGTAGTGAGAGAGTTTTCTACCATTGTATCTCTAACATCCTTAAATATGTACTTTTTACTATAAATTTTAGAAATCTCAAACATGTCTGTGCTTCTTACAATGATGATAATAATATTTTTTGATGTATTATTTTACACCTTTGGGCCTATTGCTAAAGCTGAAATAATTTCTTGGTAACGGATGATTTTAATCTGCTGGCATCTAGAAAGTAAAAAAAAAAGATTTTTAGCAATAACATATTTGATTTTTATCATTTGTATCATTAAAACACATTCCCTGGCATATACTTTACCTTTTGCCCAGAAATGCTCTGTAGTTCCAAAATTGTAAATATCCTTTAATTGTTTGTTTATATTGCAATCAAGGTGTAGTGGAACTCCAAGCAAGTTCCTGCAAATTATAGAATAACAGTGAAATTTTCATTAAGCTCCTTACACATCAGTGCTTGTTATTTAATATTTACATGCACGTGAAATTGATGATTAAATTAGGACTGGAGTTGAGTAGACTTTTAAAACCTAATGTTGCCTTTTGTGCAAGTTTTAACAAGAATGTGAGTTGTAGGTTGAAGAAGAAGTGGTCTGCAGTGTTTGATGTTTTAATGGTGCCTTCACATTCTTCAGTGACTCTGCTGTTTGGTTTTTCTTTGTCCGGCCTCACATCAAACATCTGGTCGAGCCCTGCTCCTCCTCCATGTTTACTCTGACCACTTCTTTATTTTCCTCCTTTTAACTCTGCTGCTCCTCACTCTGATTCTGACTGCTCCAGTTCTCACAACAGATACTGTAGTGAGATATGGCAGGTTGTTGTCTGAGTATTTGAGAAGATTTGAAATAGTGGGATTTTGTGTTTCATTTAGTTGTTGTTTTTTCATCTGTAACAGTTTGTTGGAAATACCTGTGCAAAATAAACCTAAAATGTTTAAATAGCGCCACAGTACAGTACAGCAATTTCTACTTATTCTCCAGGCCTCCAGGGAATTGGAAGTTCTCTGAAATCCCAGGATAACCAGAGAGAGATTGGTGATTCCAGAGTTATTTTTTATCTTTTGACCCTCTCAGACCTGGCGGATGTAGTTTTGGGAATGTAAGTTTTCAGCTTGCTAGTCTTTGTCAGCGAGTGCTTGTCTGACAGATTTGGGCTGCAAGTCCCTCTTATACCTGATAGTCTAATTTCAGACAGGAAGTCCAAGTCTGGTTATAGTCTGTTAGGAAGGATCTGTTGAGTGTTCTTGGCTTGAAAGCCTAGTTATTTCTTGGTTGGATGATTGCTGTCTGGTGGTCTCTGGCCAGTACACCTTAGTCAAGCAGGGCTACGCTTGGTAGACTCTGGACCAAGTAGCAAAGGCTTTAGAAGTTCACTGCATGCCAATCTCTATCAAGTAGCTTCGGCCTGGAAGACCTTTGGTTCTCTCCTCTATTTATGTTAGATTGTCTCAGTCTGGTTGTTCTTGGCAGTTGGTCTAAGTCAAGCAGTATTTGTCAGGTAGCCTTTGTAAGGCAGACCTGGGTTGGGAGTGTCTGTCGCATAGCCTGTTGGTCATAGTCTGTTAGTTTCTGTACAGAGCACTCTTATCAAGTGGTACACAGCTCGTAGGTCTTGGCCCCTCTAGTCTCGGTACCAGAACTGCAAAGTCTCGGAAGTTCTTGTTATGGCAAGCTTCTTAAAGATGTGCCTGTCTGATATCCTTGGTCAGTAAGTCTTTACAGCCTGGTAGTCCAAGTCTTGTTTTCATCTTCGAGTGACTTGGTTCGACTGTGTCATGTAGTATTGGATCTGTAAGCTAGACCTTCTTTGGGAAGGCTGTGTCTGGCATTCTTGGTCTGGTAGTTTCAGTCAAGTAACCATGGATGGGGGGCCTGCTGTTTTATCAGGTAATCCAAGCCTGGCAGTCTTGGTCTTGTAGTTTGGTTCTAGTAGACACAGGTCATATAACCTTGACCCGATAGTCTTGGGATCATGCAGTCTCAGCCTGTTAGTGCACAGCATGATAATCTTTATCTGGAATCCCCTGCCTTCAAGCCATTGTTCTAAAGTTTCTTGGCTTGGTGATCTCAAGGTGTTCTTGTTTACATGTCAGGTTGTCCTTGTCAAGTTGTAGACCTGGTCTAAGGGCCTCTGTAGGATACTCTGTCTGACATTCAGATTCTAGTATTCTCATTCAGGTAAATTAGACTTGATAGCTTCTTGCTTGGGTAGTCTCAGAATGCTCTACTTTTTAAAGTTGTTTTGAAGGTCCCTGGACCTTTAAGTCTTTGGCTTCCCACTTGGGAGGCACCAAAACTTCTTTTCGTCTAGTTGCTGTCAAGTCTTTTTGATTAGATGGTCTCTGCCAGTTGGTTCTGTCTTAGTCTGGGTGTCTGGTCCACGTTGTCTTCCTTGTCTTGGTACTGGGTCTTTGGTTGCATGAATCAGCTGGCTGCCGTGTACTGTCACTGCAGGAGTTCATGGTTGTTGTTAGCACCGGCGGTTTTATCTGTAAAGCAGAATGTATTTCTTGCAACAGATGTATTGAATGAGAGGCTAGACATGCTGATGCATAGTTCTATTACAAAAAAACAATTCAATTTAATGTCCTTATGTGGTTTAAAATTCAAATATGAAAGCTTTATTAATTTATTGGTGGCCTTTTCAAGCAGAATCTTTTATTTTTATACTTCTGTGATATGTCATTCGGAATAACAGCCTTTCTGATAAGAATAATTAAACTCAGCAGGGGTTGCTCTTTACAATAGCAAACAATTATACAAGTTCAGTTTGAAGGTAACACCTCAACTTTAAAATCGTGTACTTTTATTGAAATTCAGACTAAGAATTCAGACTAATTAACAAGAGCGGAGCTGCTTTATTCTGAAAACAGAACAGACTGAATTCTGCAAAATTAAAGCAATTAACATGTATTTGTATGATTGTGTTTTAAGATTTTTTATTCAAAATGAGGACAGTGCTCGTGTGTGACTTTCATCTCATTTTAATAATGTTCTCATGACACCTCTTAGACCAAATCTTATTGAAAAAATAGCAAATACAACGCTACAAGGCTTTTAAAGAGGCTAAATGTTCAAAACCAGAACAATTGTAGATACATAATATTAACAAACTGAAAATAAGTCTGTTTTCTTCTTCTCATAAAATTAATTACTTTCTCACATAGTTTATTGATTGCAGGTCTCGTCTGATACTGTCTGTGAATTCTACCTGCTCTTATCTTCACCCTGCCCTCCCACCTGTCACACTGCAGCATGTCTGTGTGTGTTCCTCCCCTTCACTCCCTCCAACCCCCTCCCCCCTTTTCTCTCCCCCGCCAATCAAATCCACCTCCACACCTTTATTTTCCACTGCTCTCCTTTTTCATCCTTCGTTTCAGACCTGAACAGGCAGCCGCCCTTCCCCCACTCCTCCCTCAGTGCTCCCTCCTCCACTCCCCTCCTTCCCCACAGCTACCCTAGTGTGCTTCTACCCTCCTCTACTGTCAGACTTTTAGTTTTTTTCTATAATGACAAAAAATTTAAAATACTCATTTCAAATAAATGAATGTGTTACGGTGCATTGTGAAGTTATGGTGGAAGACGTCTCAAATAGAGGATTTTCCCCTCTTTATCTGTCCTGAATTTGGTCTTTAGTCCATCTCAAAGTCTTTTAATATGATTTTAGAGCATTTGCAGCTCCTAGAGAGGTGAAACCTGTGTGTGTAAGAAAGAGGTTTGTGCAGATTAGCATGGCTGCTGGCTGTAATCTGTCACAGATTACAGATTAGCCCGTTAAAACTGTCACAGGTATCGACTCACTTTAATCACCTCTAGTCCTTAAGGAGCTATTGATCCCATCCTATACTCTGTGTGTGTGTGTGTGTGTGTGCGTGCTTGTGTATGTGTGTGTGTGTGTGTGCTTGCATACTTTATTTCAGTGCTTGAGGCCCAGCAGACCTCCTCTTTGTCTAATTATTAGTAGACACACCTTTCAAAACAGGCTAAAAAAGTGGTTTATTAATGAAATGAAAATACAAAATCAAACATGAGAAATACCTTGATTAAAATTAAAAGGGGCCAAAATTACAACATAACAAAATATGACAGAAATAAGAAAGACTTCAAATCATAATGAACCTGTCAAAGATATGAAATAACAAAACAAGGTAGATTTGAAAAAAATGTCTATGGATCCAATGAGATCAGATAAATTGTGGTGCTCATTTAAGTCTTACCACAGAGCCTTTCTTTGTAGTCTACACCTGCAGTGCATACAGATTATAGTGTGAAAATTATTTGCAGAAGATTTGTTTTCTTCGTTTTTGTTTTGTACCGTTAGAAAAAACATCCTGTGGCTTGTGGTGCAGATTGAACATCACTCTGAACGTAGACAGCAATGAATGATTACACCTGAGTAAGTTGATATGTGATTATTAGTTGAGTTTGCACAGTAGCGCTTCCCCTGTACTCTCCTGACTGAACACAGTGTGACAGGAGAAAGAGAAAACTTGGTTTGAAAGCAGGAAATAGACTTGAAAAAAATCAACATTATAATACTAATATTACTTGTGTTCTTAAAGTTTGCAGTTTTCTTAAGCACTTATCAATACTGCATTTGTTTGGTTAAAAAATACAGTATTTTTCATACAACCATTCATGATATTGTTAGTTATTCCTGCACTTACTGACCCAAGTAACAGCTGTCAGCGGCACAGTGTGTCTTTCCCCCTTTGCACACAGGCTGGTGATGGCGGGTTACTATGGAAACTTGAGGCCTTGTGTCTGTCTCACAAAAACTTTCTTTAAGATCTTCATTTTGCTGACTGACACATACTATGATTTATAGAAAAAGTTATTGAAAAGGATCTAAGCGGCTTCGATTGCAACTACTAAAACTGAAGTAATTGTATTTAGTTGAAAAAGCATTTGGCCACTACACTGTGTTTTTCAAGGCTACAAATAAGTTTATAAGCATCATCTTATCAATGAATTAAGATGATGTAACTTGAGTGATTAGCAGCTAAATGCACAAATAAAGGGGTCATGTGTAAAAAAAAAAATACAAGAGAGAAAAAAGAGTAAATAAACGCCAGAACATAAGTGAGCATAAGTGTTTGCTGTTTTGGTTCTATGCCTTGTAAGATGTGAATTTTTTTAAACAAGACGTAACATGATTGGTTTTACAGTCACAGTTTTGCTCTGAAAGAGTAATAAAAGAAAAAGAAGAGAAGAACATCTGCAGCCACAGAAATATGGGCAAAGTGTGGTGGAGGATTAATACTGTATATCAGTCAGCTAAAACATAAAATATATACTTGTTCAAGAGTTCAACATGTGCGAGCTGCTCCCTGGGGGTGAAGTATACAAATGAGAACATGTCTGAATTGTTATCTGTATAACAGTCCAGTAGAGGGCACCGTAGTTGTGATGAAGACTGGAGTCTCTCCCAGTTTATTCTTCATCTTTCCACCCTGTCAGCAGGTGCAGCGTCCTCCGTCAGAGCATCACGTGATGTCAGGAACAAACAGCAGAGAGTCAATATTAGACAGTCAGTAGCCTCTCTGCAACATTATTCACACAGACAGACTGCACACTGTCTTCTACGTCACTTCTTCTATGACTTTAATAAATAGATGAACCAGTGCAGAGCATTTACTTCTGTTTAATTATTAGTCCAGACCAAATGAACAGCTGTCAGGGAAGAAAAGTGCATGTGAAATTTCTTGCACTGGACTTTTAAAACAGTCAAGGTTATTGTCTGAAGTGCCAGGCACTAGCTGCTTAATATCCTCATTATTTTTCAGTGATGGTGCAGAAACCCGCAGTATGAGCACTTTCACTGCTGTGAGACCAGCAGCTGTGGGTCTTTGTGGGTCTGTGACTTTTGATGAAGCTGCTGGGTGGCAGCTGTAGGAGTTTGTTGATCCTGTGGAGGATTTACAGCCTGTCCTCTTTACTGTGTCAACAAAGGTGTGTCCTAAGCACCAGGTGGTGCAGGAACTACAACTACACCTTGCTCTTTGTTTTAACAGTATGAAGAGCAAAAGAAATTTCCTTTGTTAAGATAAGATGACAAGTATTAGAAAAGTGATTTTTTTGATGTTTGATAGTTAGACTTGAGGCCGTGTGATATGGTCAAAAATTATGATGAATTTTTCTCAACAGTCAGTATCCATAGTTATCAATACAAATGTTAAATCATTTTTTTCTTCCTGATTTAAAGGCTTAATTTTGCTCTTAAGTGAAAGCTCCTAAATGAAAGAAATTCTGACATCTCTCATGGCATGAGTGTACATGTATTTTTCAACATTTATTTAATAAGGTGATAAGTTAATTTCAGCCATTTTTTCCTATTTGTTTTAATTATTATTTACTTGTTGAATCAGCATAATGTATCAGCAAACGCCTGACATTATTGGTATTGGCCACTGAAAAACCGATATTAGCCAGTCACAAAACTGAAGCTACATTTGTAAGTCCTATGCTTATTTGGGACTGTCTTTTGGCTTTTGGTGTGTTCTGTCAGGCCATATTGTCCATCATGTTGGAAAAAGTTATGGAAAAGTGGTTGTTATTGACTGCTTTAGATTACCCTGGTGTTCATGATTTCTTGAATCTTGATTTCTTGTGTCCAAGTTGACACTTACCATTTACCAAACTTAGCTTACCCTTTCCTTTCTCTGTCTCCACAGTGAAACCTCATTGGCTGCTGTGGTCCCTGCAGGCCCACCGTCTTCCAGGGTGGGCCTAGAAAGGCTGGACCGGCAGTGACGTCGCTCTATGGCCTCCATAGCCCCCCACAGCTGAAGAGCTAAGCCCCCCTCTCCTCCACCTCCCTAACATCACTGTTCATTGCTTTGTTGTGAACTGTGATTCCCACCCGAACTGAATTGCTTTAGAGTACTATGGCAATGCATGATATGAGTCGTGCCAAGGGTTTCCCCTGTAAAGATTGTGATATGGTTTGTCCGAGTACTCCAAGTCTTCTAGAGCATATGAAAGCACATTATCAGCAAGAAGAGACTGGTCGTTTTGAGTGTGAACAGTGTGGACGAATTTACAAGCACGCCGCTAGCCTCGCTAATCACAAAAAATCTCATGAAGTAGGATCCTTCCAGTGTCCTGTTTGTACCCGTACCCTTCCTAACGCAGTTGCATTAAAGAATCACCTTCGTATCCATACTTTGTCTCCTAGTAGTGCGCACACGGAAGAAGAGAGCGAAGAAGTACCAGAAGAAGCGAGCCACGACGAGAGGGACTACAGTCTCGCCCAGGACCTCTCGGACGGGTTTGGGCGTTCTCATTTGAATAATAGTGGTATGGGACATAGTGTCCTAGAAAGCCACCACTCAGACGAACACGGAAAAAAAGGTTCCCCGGAATCTGACGACGCTTGGGACAGGCCGTTTAAGTGTGACCAGTGTGACAGAACGTATCGGCACCACGGTAGCCTAGTGAACCACAAGAAGTGTCACCAGCAAGGAACTTTTAAGTGCTCTGTGTGTTTTAAACAATACAGCAACCTGGCTGCCCTAAATAGCCACGAGAGAACTCACTCGAAGTTCAAGACCCCTGGAGCATCCATGGTGAGCAGCAGCAGTAGCAGCAGCAGTGGCGCGCAGTCATCCCAGAGTGACGACACTGCCTCCTGTTTCTGCCACTTATGCCAGATAGCGCTGCCGAATAAAGCAGACTTCCAGGAGCACATTCTGCTGCACAACACAGCCTCACCCTCCTTGGGACTACCACGCAGTTTCCCTGGCATCATGCCGCACAATCTGAGTGCAGTTCGGTCCCCAGCATACACCCCTGCTCTGGGGGACCCACTGCCTCTTCCACCCCTACCCAGTGAGAAACGAGGTCCCTATGATCCCATAATGGGTCCTCCAGTGAACAATCCCATTTACACATGTGCATACTGTGGCGCAGGACACCCGGATCTGGAAACGTTAAAAGTCCACTATCTTACTCATGATCCCCACCCTGCCTCCCATAGCCAGGACAACTCCATCCTGAACTCAGACACTCTAAGCTCTGGATCACAGGGTTCGGTGTCCTCACCCTCAGGAGGCCGAGTGCCTCAGGCCAATTCTCCAGATGATGGAGAGCGGCGCTTTAAATGTGGAGAATGTGGCAAAAGCTACCGACATGCAGGGAGTCTAGTTAACCACAAACGCTGCCATCAGACAGGCCACTACCAGTGCACCATTTGCTGTAAGCAGTACCCTCACCTGGCAGCACTACACAGTCACCTAAGGAGCCACAAGGGACGTAGCTCAAACCAGCCTTTAAGTAATGACAGTAATGATTGGCTGTCTCCAGAGCCCTTAACCCTGGACTCCCAGCAGAGTTATGTCCAGGAAGGTAGCGGTGCAACAACTCCGATATCACTGCCAGGAAACCTTGGTGATGCTGCCCATTTTGTGCCAGATGGCGGACACAGCAGTGGCCTGGACTCCCTGGAGTTCCATGATCGCTTTGACGGCAGCTCACTTTCCCAAAGTAACTCCTCTCATCGTCAGGCTGATAGACATGTATGTGCAGACTGTGGTGAGATGTATGGAGACGTATCTGGTATCAAATCGCACATGTGTCCCCGCCGCAGCCAGCAGCCCCAGCAGCAGGGCACCATGTCAAACGGTTTCATGGGGAACATGAACTACCACAACTCGAGTGGGACGTCGCTGCCTGCCGGCAGCTCCAGTAACCTAAAAGAAGGAAGCAGCCAACGGCAGTACTCGCAGAGTGGAGGAAAGAGAATGGGTAGTAATGACAAAGATGATGATGATGATGGAGAGGTGTATCAATGCTCGGTTTGCGGAAACCACTACGCAAGTCTCAGAGCTCTCAGGAGTCACCTGCGTAGCCATGCCAATAACCCAACAGGACCAGGACCTTCCAACCTGGAGCAGGAATGGAGGATGATCTGCTCCACCTGTGGTCAGAGCTTCTCCAGAAAGCAGGATCTCCTGAATCACCAGTTAATCCATGGCCCTCAAAGGGGAGATGGACAACAGGGGGGCATTGGAGGCAGTTCCGCTAATGGCAACAACAAAATGGATGGGCGCAATCATATTTGTGTTGACTGTGGCATGTTTTTCGCTGACCGGCACCACCTAATCACCCACCTGTGCCCTGGTAAGAATCGGGGCAATTCAATGAACAAGCAGGGCCTTAATGGAGCAAAAGGGATGTCTGGAGGAGATGGAGTTGCTGGGGGAAGTGGTGATGTCAGTGGAGATGGTCGTAGACCCATGGTTGACCAAAGTGACAAGCCACACAAATGTGACCAATGTGGACGAGGATACCGACACCCCTGCTCACTCCTTAACCACAAGAAGTCTCATAAAACTGGTGTCTTCCGTTGCTTGGTGTGCCAGAAACGCTACTACAACCTTCTGGCTCTCAAGAACCACCAAAGGACCCACTTTGATCTGAAAAGGTAGGTTTCAAATTCTAGACTTTGAGGTTTGCATGCCTTGATCAGCTTTGTTTGGCTTTACTGGATTTTATCAGAATCAACCTCAGTTTTTCAGATTCATTTCTAAGTGCTTTCTTTACCTCTGCTCATTCTCACTGCAGGCACAAGTGCGAAGAATGTGGCAAAGCTTTCAAGATCCAAAAGCAGCTGATCAACCATCTCCGTCTTCACGAGGAGCATCGGGCCAAAGGGCTTGTTCGGACGGGTCCAAATGGCGCCCGCTTCCAGCAGCCTGGTCCGTCACAGTTGCAGAGTATGGGCGGAGAGACATCAAAAAGCCAGGTGATGGGTATGAAATACAGCCACCAAGGATTCAAAAAGCCCTACTCTTCCGCTGGAACTTCCAGGCCTCAGAAGTTTGATCCAGCTGAAACTGGACGGCGGCCTTTCTCCTGTGAAGAATGTGGAAAAACGTATCGCCATGCGGGCAGCCTGGCTAATCACAAGAACCTTCACAAAATTGGGGAATATCACTGCAATGTTTGCAACTCAACATACCCCAACAGGCTGGCAATGAAAAACCACCTACGTCTTCACTTTGCCCAGAAGAAGCACAACTGCCAAGAGTGTGGCAAAGGCTTCCGTACTCAGAGACAGCTAGCTACCCACACTACAGCAGGCCTTTGCAAGGGTCCGCAAGGCCCCGGGGCTCAGATGGACTTTGAGTGTGATGGCTGCTGTGAAGGCTTTTCCACGGCCGATGAGCTAGCAGCCCATGACTGCCCGGCCCAGCACCTGCCTTCATCCTCCTCCACCAACAGCTCTACCAACATCAGCATGGAGAGAAGCTCTGTGGATCTGGACTCTGATGAGAGACCCTATGCCTGTGACCTGTGTAGTTGTGCCTACAAACATGCAAGCTCCTTGCTAAACCACAAGCACACCCACAAGACAGGCAACTTCCGGTGCAATTTCTGTGACAAGCCCTACACCAACTACATGGCCCTGCGCAATCATATGCGTATCCACACGCAGAGGAAGAAGCACATCTGCCACACATGTGGGAAGGCCTTCCGTCTGGCCAGGTTCCTCCGCAACCACCAGAAGGTCCACGAGGAGGGCGCCACCCCCTTCGGCTGCCCCACCTGCGGCAAGAGTTTCCAGGGGAGGTCCGGTCTGGCCAGGCACCGCTGCGGGGACAACCAGGTAGGCATGGAAGTCAGGAGGAAGCCCGCTGCACCCACGGGAGAGGGAGAAGAGTGTCGGTACACGTGAGTTCTCGTCAGTTGTTTGTGATTCTTCGAAGTTGAAAAAAAAAATAGTGAAGATAAATTTAGGTCTCTACATGTCTATTACAGGTATATGATCTCCAATCCGGCTTCCTTGGGACCATTCGCGTGCCGGAATTCGGATTTTTCTGAAGTTTGGACAAATTGAATTAGTGGAGAGACCAGATAAGTCAACCCTGTTTGCTTTCAGTTAGAATATCTCACACACTTGAGTTTTTCAGGCTACCTACAATCAACATGTCATGTTCAGATGTTTTGTTTTTATGCTTTGTTTTCTCAGAAAACTTTGACACAGATAAAAGTAGTGTGTAGCATATTGGCAAAATATAACGTGTTGATGTTGTGTGTTCCTTGCTCTTGTTATGATTTTGATTGTAGTCTTTGCTTTGTTTGTGTGTGTTCTCTTCGGGTGCTAGACATACTGGCTAATTATTTGACTAGAAAATGCAGTTATGTGAAGAGGCTTTTGCATTGTGTTGTCTTGGCAAACTGAAATCACAGGGAAGATTAGGAAGTATTTGGAGCTAGCTGCACTGCACATGTCAAAAGGTTAAAACCCTTACTAGCCAAAGGATTATTTCATTCAGCACAGCGGCTGAATGCGGCTGCAAGCAACTACAGTTTGGCTTGGTATCGGTCACTAAGGCATGTCTGATTGATTTTCCAGCACTGCAGATTTTACAAATTAACCCACAGAAAGCTGTGAATGAAGGTCTGTAAAGCAGTTCCAGATGTGAAAGGAGCTGTTTGAAGCTTGTGTTCATTTGTGCAGTGCAGGAAGCAGCAGATACCTTCCAGCTCCCTACATGAACCCCAGCTGTTTGTCCACAATTTCTTTTCCCATGTCCCCCTCCCCCACCCAGCAGTCCTCTCCCCACGACCTACGTAGAAATCAGAACTTTAAATGGTACACCACTTTGTAATAGTCTTCTTTAAAGCTTTAAGCCGGATTTCAGATCATATACCTGTATGTGCAACATCTTAGATGATGAGTAGATAACCAATTCTTAAAAGTGGTAACCAGTAATTGAGCGTACACTAATTTGGCTAGAAAAGTGAAAACAGGAATGACACCATCTCCTGATACTAATCTCCTGTGTCCTTTCCTTCTTTCCTTGCCCCACTCCCCGTCCTCCCCTCTTGTTTTTTCTTGTTTGTCTCTGCACAGATGTGATCAGTGCGGTCGCTCCTACCGCCATGCCAGCTCCCTCCTTAACCACAAGAACACCCACACTGTCGGCATCTACCACTGCGCTGTGTGCCTCAAGACCTACTCCAACTTACTTGCCCTGAAGAACCATCGCCGTATCCACTCTGAGACACGGCGCCACCGTTGCCATGACTGCGGCAAGGCCTTTCGTGTCTCCTCCCAGCTCTACAACCACAGACGTGTCCACCAGAAGCAGCGGGAGCTGACTTGCCGGTCCTGCCAGCGAGCCTTCCCCACGCATGCCAGCTTCAGGCTCCACATGGAGATCACCCACGGACAGGCTCCACAGCCCCGCCAGCCCAGACCCCAGCAGCCCCGACCGGGAGGCTCCCAGGAGCTGGGCTGGGGGTCCGGCTTGGACCTCACCTTGATGCAAGAGCAAGGACTCAACCCTAGTAGCATGACCAAAGCCCGCAGCCGAGGGGGCACCAGTGAGGTCCTAAAGCCCCACGTCTGCAACCAGTGTGGGCGCTCGTACCGCCATGCCAGCTCCCTGCTCAACCACAAGAACAGCCACAAGACTGGGACATACTTCTGCAACTCTTGCCAGAAGGAGTTCCCCAACCTGATGTCCCTGAAGAACCACCGACGGATCCACACCGAGCCCAAACGCTACCAGTGCCCCGACTGCGGCAAGTCCTTCCGGGTGTCCACTCAGCTCATCTGCCACCGGCGAATCCACACCAAGGAGAAGCCGTTTTCCTGCCAGCAGTGTGACAAACGCTTCTCGTCCAAGTCCAACCTGAGGCACCATATGAAGGTGCACTGGAGCTCCACGGCGCCCCCTCCCATGGCTATGGGTGCGCCCAACTTCCTGGGTATGCCCGGCGGCCCCTTCATATAAGTTAAGGGATGAGGGAGGGGGGATGTGGGTGAGACATGGGGAGGGGGGAGGGGGGGCAGTCACATGCCAAGGTTTCTGGAGGTGCCAAAACGTAGCTCTTCCTCCTGCTCACCCTCCTCTTCCTCATGTTCATGTGTGTGTGTGTGTTGAGTATGTGTGACAGACAGGGCCCGTAGACTCACAGAAAGAGTGGGAGAGAGGACATGAAACGGACGCCACACACACATCACACACGCACACAGGACAGGACAGGACAGGACAGGAAATGGGGGACGTGCATACACACACACTCCTCCAGAGGCTTCATGGCGGGCGTTGAGACAAGGCTGTGGTTGTAGATCAGTCTGACTGACTTACACGAACTGTGCACAGACGTGTTGTGGTTTGAACTGTATAAACTACATGAACTGTACTACACCTGCCTTACTTCCTGCTGCATGTCGCCTGTACTGCTCTGTGAACCTGTGGACCTTGAAGCCTCGCTCAGCTGCACAGACTGTTTTGTTGGAGTTCACTCACGCTGATGAGTCCGGCTGTAGAGACTGTTGATTGACAGACTGAGTGTCGGCAGAGCTGCTGTGAGGGTCCAGATAAAGGCGTGAGGAAGTCAGCTGCTTGTTTTCCAGTAATGAGCCATCTTGGTCATTAAAACCTGGAAGCTAATTGGTCCGTTGCTGCAGTTGGTTTCCTGTCTCCCCACCCCCATCCTGGTTTCAGAGGAGTTTTGTCTTGATGGACTCTTCTCTCGTGGCCTTTGTCACAATGTTTTTAATCCATATTCTGACTGAGTCGGTCTCAACAAGGTTCAAACTGTTTTATTTATGTGTGACCAACATGTAGTGGATGTTCTGCTAAAGGGAGAGCGGGTTTATTTTTCCTTTTTGTACCTTTATGGCTTTGCAGGAGACAGAAAAGACTTCTCTGAGCTGTTAGGGCTGCAGACGGGTTATTAAAGTCCTGTTTCAGTGTGTGCATGTCCTGCAGCACTATCGTGATCTTTATGTTCTTGTAGCTCTCAAACATCCCTCGTTTACACACACAGATTCAGCCACAGCAGGAGTTTATTGATGTGTTAATTGTAAAAAGTTCATTTCCAAACTCAGCTTATTGCTAATTTCCTGTCCATCGTAAAGGACCTTGAGTCTCCAACCAAAGCTTGAGGCCCTCCTTCAGAGCAGCTCATGGCCTTCATTAATAACTGGATCTTGATTAGCTTTTTTAGAGCTAAAAAACAGCAACTTATTTAAATTTCAGCAAGCAAGTACATAAAAATCACAAATCACTCCAGATGGTGTAATGAAGCTGGTACCACAGCTCAGAAAAAAAGAATACACTGATGAAGAATAGTGAAGCGCTTCAGAATAAATGATAATTGTTAATGAGGGGTTATCAAGTCGATACAACTGCAACTGAGACGTGTTCAGACCATAATAAAGCAAGTTTTAAATTTGTTGTGACTGGGAGTGCAGTCGGGTCACACCCTCTAACTCAGGTGCACTCAGTCACATCAGATTGGAAAACCAAACTCCATTCACTAAAGAGGCAACTTAAGAGCTACCTGCTTGTTGTCAAGCATGACAAATGTTTTTCAGCAGGTTTTTAATCTGAAAACTTCCATTAAATTTTTGTAAATTTCAGTTTTCTTTGCCGATGGCACCAGAAGGGATGATATTAACAGTTTTATTTTAACCAGTCCAAATCGACACAAATAGTTACAAATAACTTTGGAAATATAAAGCTTTGGAAATAAAACAGAATTTGTGCTGTTTTTAACCAAAAATTCCCAGGAAAAAGCCGAAGGGGTTGATTTGACACAGACAAAGTAAAGAAAATGACAAATAAGACTTCATTTTCTGGTTAATTCCTATATGCTCTTTAAAAAACTCAACTTGGCAAATTGTTCTCACTCATGTGCTAATTTTTTTATGTGCAACGTATAACGATGCAAACGTTAATTTAAATCTGTTATAGAGAGAAGAGGAGAGAGACAGTGAGGATCTCTGTTTACTTACCGTTAATCCCAACCCTGAGTCTGATGACAGAGCTTTTAGTAACTAACGTCCACTATACATCCAAAAAAAGTAAACTGTTAAATACGGAGAGCACAGTCTGCAGACAGACACTCCACAACACACCTCTTACGCCTCTTTTGTGTAATAGATGCTAACTCAGAGGAAATATTTCACTGTGGTGACTTTATTTTCAGGGAAATCTTATTTATTTTGCATTTTATCAGACTGTTATACATTAAAAGTGAAATGTTGGTAGAGATAATTAACATTTTCTGTACCAGCTCAAAGTGCAGGCTAAAAGTTTAAAAAAATATATGCAACCCTGTTTCTCCTAAGAGTTTGGAGGCTGTAAAAATGTTAGTAAAAGCTGAGTTTGACGGTGTACAAATCCTTTGAAGCCTAAATTTAACTGAAAATAGTGCATAGAAAATACATATGAGAAAATCTTGTTTCACAAAAATACCTGCTCATTTTAAATCTGACCCAGCAACATGTGATATAGAAAGTTGTTTGAGGAACAACCAAACAGGTCTCTCTCTCTAAGAGAGAATAGTTGAACAATTTCAGAATTACTTTCCTGTGTGTAAAATGTAAAAGAATTAGTGGAAATCATTATTAATATTACCACTATTATAAGAAGTTTTAGAGTACAGATCCTAGAGATCTGACATTTTTTTTGTATACCATGGATGCAGTATTCTTGGCCAACATTTTCCTCAGTATCCAGACCCCTTTTGGCCTTAAATGAAGCAGTTTTAAGTGATCAGGAGTTATTTTGTCACTGATATCTAAAATGTTTGACTTTTACTGGTATCTATCAAAAATCCAAATCTGCTATTGTAACGTTTTCCAAGTTTGGTGACTTATTGAATCTTTCGGTCCCAATTTCCCACGTTTGCTACCCCGTCACTTCAGCTGTCTGTCTGTCTGTGTGTGAGAACGAGGCATCACTCCTGAGTTCTTGGTATCTGTAGCGTCCCGCCAAGCCCTGATCTGTCTCAAACATGCAGCTGGACTCGGCTGAAGGCTGAAAAAGGAGAAAGAAACCACGCTGAAAGAAAAAGCAGGAGGAGTGAAGGGAGAGAGGTGTAAATTGATGGTTCTGTTTGTATCGTATCGTATCTGACTGTATTCTCTGCAGAGCCTCTTTTATAAGGAGAAAAGACGACACATCATTGTAGTAATGCATTTATTTATATTATTATTATTACTATTAACACTTGTAATGGACGGCGCTAGTCTTTAGGATGTGTGAGTTTAGAGCTGTGTTGATGTAACCCCTCCTTTTACCCACAATGCCCCTGTTCTGTGGAGACGACGGACTCTCTGAGACTCTGCGAACATTTATGGAACTGTACACGATGGAAAGTGTTTTTCTTGCCTTTTACCAAGTGATGTTGTGACGGTTTTTCTCAGTCCAGCCTTCCCATCATCCCTCTCTGTCATATTTATCACCACCAAGTTTGACCCCTCCTTCTGCCTCAGTGTCCGCCCCCCTTTTTTCCTGATTCACAAAGTCAAACTCACATTAAAAGGGACGACTCGTTGACGCTCCTCTTAGGGGAGTGAGTGCATTAAGTCCTCATCATTTGAACCTTTTTTATGTTACACTTTTATGGTAACCTCTTGTATTTATTGGTGTTATTTTTTCCTCATATTTAATTGCGTTTTATGACTATTTGAAAGCCTCTGTGTGTGTTTTAAACCACAGTTTGTCAGCGTTTTCAGGAGCACTGGTGCTAGTTGAAAAAAAAAGAAAAAGTCAAAGCCGTGCAGTGACCGTCAAGTGCTGTAGGAGTCGATGTGATCTTGATCTAGAACACAGAAATAATAACTGTACATTCTCGACTTTATTTTTGCATTTTCCTCCTCCACCATGTTTGACTTTGCTTTCTGAGTGCACACTTTCCCGCCTGCATTTCAAGTAGATTTAGAGAGAAGAAGAAGAAGAAAAGATTGGTTTGGAACAACTATAACCCTTTTTTTTTGTTTTTGAGTTCTAACATTTTGTTTCCATGCATATATATGTAATGCTTACTATACACTTTTATAAACTATGTTTTGATAATTCATTTCTTAACAGAAAAACTTGTCCATATACTATAACCCTTACTGCTGAGTACTGAAAATAAATAGCTGAAAACAAACCCAGCTGAGGTCAGTGTTTTCAATCCATCCATCTTCCACACTTCCTTCACTTTGAGGTGGTTTTATCAGGATCACCTGTACCTGTTGGATGCAGACTGATGTAACAGATCAACATTTTTCAAACCCCACACTGTCAGAGAGATGTTTAAGGGCTAAAACTGAGATTTACAAAGCTGGACTTAAACAGATTTCTCCTCCTGCAGCAGGTAAAACAGCAATATGTGCATCAAAATCTTTGAACACCTAAAGACAAAAACTATCATCACATTTCTGCCTCCAGATGATACTGAACAATCACATCCCTGATCCACATTTCATTAAAGGCAACTTTAATGTCTTTTAATTTGTAATTGCTGACCAGAAATAAAAGAGCATTGCTGACCAAAATAAAAGTATAGCTTTTAACATATATGAACAAAGTTTAAAATATTTCCACATATATAAAATACATTAAAAGTAATGAGCATTTACATTTTCCACAAGAAACTGAAAAAGAAAGGCATGATTTTTGATGCTCAGGTATTTTCTGAGGTCAGTTTAAAAAGATATTAGGTTCATTATGCATTAGATACTTTTAACGCATACTATTAAAAAATACTATTTAAAAAATGGCCATACTTCTGCTTTTCAAAATAAAAGCCCCATCTCTTTTTCTGTTAGGACGCCCCTGTTTTTGCTGTCATTTTAATTGGAAAGTATTTTCGATAAATGAAGTAACCTTCATAGGTCTTTATTAGAGCTGAAGGTGGACTTTAGCTGTACAAAAATGTCATGAATCCCACTGGCTGCAGGTAAGCGATGTTAATAATTGGATAACATCAGGTTACAGAAAATATTTCTTCTGTGATCTCTCTCTCTCTCTCTCTCTCTCCCTCTCTTTGCAGCATCTCTGTATCCTTCTCTCTGCTCAACTGGTGTCTGTCCAGAAATTAAACACCTGATTTTATACCTCAGAGATCTTGTAACACTAAAAGTATTCCCTGATATGAATAAAAACAGATGTTGTAACATAACATTTACACTGCATAAATACAGCTCACATGTTGCCAGTGTGGTTTGTGACATTTTTTTTTTCAAGAGAGCCAAATGAAGAGCAATGCAAGTGACTTAATTTTCCAAATGACTGCTCTGGATGTCAATCTAACCAGGACTGGAGTTTAAGGTAGACAGACGTAAGCGGCAAATGTTACAAACTAAAGGCCAAAACTAAAGTCTTAAAGGGATAGTTCAGACGATTTAAAGTTAGTTTATGAGGTTCTTCATGTACGGCATGCAGCTCTGTTACTAACGACGCCACATGAATATGTACTGTATACTAGGACTGTTTTTAGCCACAGACTGATCTTTATTTACTGTAGATACAGATCACTGAGACATAATGCTGACTCAGCTCTGACTGTGGTTATTCAGCAGTTAAAAATCCAGACAAAAAGATACAGTAAATCACAACAAAATATGATCAAAATATACATATAATGTGCAGTCTTCTTGAATTTTGTGTAAATCTGATACATGGAAATGAGATAAACCACAGAAAAGTAGAGCTCTGTATTAACTTTACCTTATTTACCACAATATTCACCTCCAACTATAAGAAAAACCGACTATCAATAAATTATCAACCTTCAGCCTGTTACGTGTAATGTTCATGAGAAAAACAGCTGCATTTGTTTTAGGCAGGAATTTCTTATATGTTAGAAGGATAGACCAAAATCAGCAGAGATGTCTCCTTATGTTCTAAAAAAGCAAATAAGACTATCAGAGGGAGTCAGATTGTTCAAAGAAAACGGCAAAAACAACACTTTTTTACAGCTAATACTGTGAATGAAACATTTGACTCTACAAATAAACCAGAATGATTTATGTACATATACATACACATACATAAACACACACACACAGGATAATATATGATTTCAGAAAAGACAGAGGAGACCCAGCTTTCTCCACAGCAGCTGACACAATGTCGTAGTAGTGATAGTTATGGTCTAACACTGTCTTCATTTTCTACATCATACTGTTGTTATTTTGCCAAAATTAAACCCATTATTGCTTTTCACCATGATAGTTGTTTCTGTTTTCATCACTATCATTTGTTATCATTGTTTTAACTAATATCATTATTATTTTTCTATCCTTTTAGATCAGCTTATTTTCTTCATATTATTATAATTATCACTATTTTTAAAAATTTAAATCTTTATGATTACTCTCAATATCATTATCATTACCATCATCACTGGTACACTTGTTATCATAAATATCATAGTAATCGTTATCGTCATTTTACCTATTATTCTTATTACCACCTTCATTACAAGCATCTTCACCTTTTCTTCCTCATATCTTTATCTGACTGATAGATCATTTTTGCTTGTTATTCCATTAACCTTATTACTATAATTTTGATTATCATCATCATCATTTTCACCTCATAATTATCATTTTGACCATTTTTTAAATTATCATCAACATTTATAATTTGATCATGACACCCTATATCATTATCATCACCATGACTATAATGTGTTCATTATTACACAATTTTAATAGTTATTATTATTATTATTATTATTATTATTATCACCACCACCATGATTATCGTCAGTTATATTTTTATAATTTTTTTAAACTGCTTATTTTCGTTGTCATCAATTTCATAATCACCATTATTTTTATCATTCTAATTACTCTCGTGTCATTGATTTTTGCTGCAGAATTATGTTAAAAGTGTCATTATCTTTTTTAATTTCAAGATTTCTTTATAACTTCTTATAGCTTTACATGAGCAGGATGCTTTGTTGTCACTGTAGTTTGGTTTGTTCAGCGACTGTTGTTTTTCTGTTTTAATAACAATAACATGAAAATCTTTTTCAATTAAATTAAATAAGAATTTTGGTAAGTTTTAAAAAAAATCACTTTCTTTTGTTGAGAACATCTTATTAAAATGTGATCACAGGATTGTTTATGACTCCAGGTTCTTTCAGAATGATCTTGTTTTGTTGAAAAAAGAAATCTGATCTATAATCGTCAGAGATGAAATACACTGATTTATTTCTGTAAACACAGTGAACAGATTTGGTTTTCTTGTTACTGTAAAAAGCTTTTTCTAAAGATGATAAATATATAAAGTCTTTTTTGTAATTGTTGGAAAGACGTGACACTGGGGGTCTGACCTTAAAACTGTGACCTCTTAATGTTGTTTGTGGGGTCACTATTTGTGTTATTTTTCGTTATTTATATAGTTGTTTATTTTTTTATATTGTTTGTTAGTATTGGTGTCATTTTTCATTTTGTTGTATGATTATTTTATGAAATTTGTGTGTTATGATTGTGTTGCACCCTCTCGTCCTCTCTGTAAACCTCTCTGATTGGTTGCAAAGAGCTCAGCGATCCCCCCAAACTAAGTGGACTTGAACTGATGGGCTCTGGAGGTCTGCAGGTGGACGTTTGGGTTCTGGTTAAAGGGGGTCTTTATTTTTAGACGCTGCCGTCAATCATGTGTCAGATCAGCTGTGAATCACTTCCTGCTTGTGTAACATTCTTGCTGCCCTCCATCTGAACTAAATCCTGCTGTTTGTCTCCTCAGATCTGAGCCCCGCAAGTTCGACCGGCAGCACCCGAAGCTTTGTCTGCACGCAGTGTGGGCGCTCGTACCGCCACGCCAGCTCCCTGCTCAACCATAAGAACAGCCACAAGACTGGGACCTACTTCTGCACCTCCTGCCAGAAGGAGTTCCCCAACCTGATGTCCTTGAAGAACCACAGGCGAATCCACACCGAGCCCAAACGCTACCAGTGCCCTGATTGCGGCAAGTCCTTCCGAGTGTCCACGGCGCTCGTCTGCCACCGGCGAATCCACACCAAGGAGAAGCCGTTTTCCTGCCAGCAGTGCGAAAAACGCTTCTCATCCAGATCCAACTTGAGGCACCACATGAAGGTGCACTGGAGGGGTCCGCCGTCGTCCAGAGGGAGGTCCTCCGCCTTCCTGTCCGTCTCCTCTAGATCTTTCATTTAGATGTTTGACCTCGCTCTAATCCATCCTCATTTTTCAGCTTCAGGAGTGAATCGTCTTCAGAGACAGACTGTGGTTGGTTTGGTCTGGTTAGGGTTTCAATCTGATGAGAAACTAAAGGTCAGACAAACAAAACACTAAACACTGAAATTCAATTTCAGTACTTTTATGTTTTTACAATACTTCACCAGCAAACCATCAGTCTGAATTTCTGAGCTTTGAACTTCTGTCTTTGATTCATGGCCTGAAGTTTCAGACTTTGATGAGTGCTTTAGACGTTTCTAGATCTTCAGTCTAAAGCTGTAGATGATGTGATTTCAGTTTCTTTTACAACCTTTCGAGAGATGAGACTTCAAACCACATAAATTCAGATGGATGGATGATGAAATGGGATATATATATATATATTTTTAATAGGACATGTTAGGATTGGATTCAAACCCCGACTTTTCTTGAATACGACAAACAGAACAAGTCCTCTGTGATGAACTTTCTGTGGACAAGACTGAGGAAACTGATGTTTTCCCTTCATGATCTTGTTTCATGTTTTCTCTTTGAACTCTTGAACATTTTTAAACAGAAACAATGAAACTTATGAACAGTAATGATAATCTGTCACAGACTCTGTTTGGAGCTCAGGTTCCTCCGTCCTGAATCATCCACTCTGATTTCGCTGTCAAAGATGAACGTCTTTGTAGACCGTTTCAGAGACTGGTCTGCAGGAAGAGTGGGTGGATTGTGGATAATTTTTTTTTCTCCCCGTGGCACTCATCTTTCTCAAACTCGTTCTTCCTCTCATGTTGTAGTGAGACTTTGGCAAGCAACAGTTGTCCTCTTTAGATAAATGGAGTTTAGAGTTTCAGGTTTTGGGGTATTTATTTTTGTTTTTGTGTATTTTCAGACTTCTAAAAGCTTAAAAATTTCTCACTAGCCAGAAGATTTTGACTTCATCAGTATCTGCTCATAGAGTTTACTCTTTTAAAGTCCTTTTATGACCACTAGTTTCTGCTCTGAAGTGTTGCTAGATTAGTTTTGGTCAGAGGCAGTAGTTGAAGTCAGTATTGAATCATCCATTGGTTTGACTTTTTACCATTTCCAAGCCTCAAATTCTGGATTTTAGCCATAACTGTGTTTGAATTTGAGTATTTGACATTTCTTCGTTATACGGTAAATTCTCTGTTGGTGCCAAAGTCTCAAAAATGTTAAACCCTGACGACATGAGAAGGAAAAAAGAGCTCGAGATTTAAATGAAGTTCTTCCCAAGCTGCAGTCAGAGGACAATGTTGTCTGGATCACAAAGCTTTTGTCGACTTCTGTGATGTGTTCAGGATCACGATTCTTTTATTCCTCACAAACTGTTAAGATTCAGCATTCAAATCTGAAGGACATTAAAATCTTCGGAGACTAGAAGATTATGTGATCTGAACTCTGCTGAGGGTACAAACTGTGTGTTTTTCCTCGTCTTTTGTGGACATGTGAGACGCAGAGAAGAAGCACTGAAGAGAAAACTGCATAAAATCCTAAAACATGAGCAGGAATCAAACTGTGAACTCCTGTTTTGATTCACAAACAGAGCAATCCTTTCTGGCATGGCGGAGGTCAAACTCTGGACGTCTTGAGAAAATTTCAGGTACTTCAGTCAAAATGCGAATGGACAGCTTGGTGGGACGTTTAAGGACAGTTGGACAAACATGGTTCTTCATGGAGAGTTTGAGTTTCACCTACAGCAGCATTCAAACCTGGACATCCTGGATCAACACATTTCAGACACTCTTCAGGTCGATTCAGTGTGTGTTAACTTTGAACACCAAACTGACGGATATGGAAGTCCATTAATGCCACACAGCCAAAAAAAAAACTACTGTTGAAGCTTGATTTAATGACAGCTGAAAATCTGAGAGTCATTAAAAGCATCATTATCAGACTTACACATCTCACAATTGCTTTAAGGTTAAGTCAAACAATATTCAGTAACGTGAATATTAAAAACAGACAAAATCTTCAGTGTTAAAACTTGAGTTATTTTTTGTTTTTAAGACTCATTTTAAATATAATTACTGCAGGTTTTATTACCGTTTTATCCAACTTTGTGTGTCTGGTCGTGATGTTTTGATTTTATTACTGTGATTCATAAATTTGATATTCAAGATGCATTTTAGCCCCAACAAATCACAGTTTATGGATCAACACAGGGTATAATGAGACTCTTGCTTTTTGTAAAGGTTTCTAATCGACTTCACAATTTCTCATTTTTACCAAAGTGTCAACAGGCAGAGGGTAAACACGCTGACTTTCATTTCCCTTTTTTTTCTTTTGTGAGGGTGATAGTAATAAATCTGAGACTTTATTTATAATCAAAAAAGCCTTTTGATAATACAGAATCTTAAATACACAACATTGACTTCTATTTTGACTTTTTCATATTTCAGCTGTCCTGTCATAAAGATGTCAAGATCTTTGAAAACCTTTTAACTGATCATGATGATGAATTATTTCTCTGAGTTAGGAGACATTTTGTTTTGAACTGAGAGAAAATCTAATGATCTTCTAAAAGTTCATCAAATTGGTCTGAGAGTTATTTTCGTTTAAGACTTTTTTCTTCAAGTTTTCTCACATTTAAAGCTCCTGTCAGGATCTTTTGGATCGTGTTAATTTGGCTGTGACGTTTCCGATTAACGAATTTGAAATGTTTGCTGATGGTCTTGTTTGTTTTTGAGACATCAGTGTCAGTGTTGGACTATTTTAGGATTATCTGGGAGCTTCAGTTCTCACAGCCACATACTACTGATTTAGCATGTAGACTTGTATTTGTAGGTTCACCGTTTCTCTGATTGTTTTAACTTCCATCCATTTAAGTTTAATTTTAAGTTCCACATAAGTTTGCCATAATAATAAGGAATCATTTTTTTATGTAATACCTCATTTACCTTTTGAGAATTAAACAACAAACAACTCAAAATAACAGGGTACATTTTCTATGAAATAGAAACATTGTAATAGAAAATATAGAGACTGTAGATGTTTTTTAGTCAGATGGCATTAATGGGCTTCTATAACTACCTGTTCACCTGGATTTTGTCATCTTTCTCTCAGACTTTAGGGATTTCTTGTTCAAACAAAGCTGATGTCAGGAGCCATCCAGTTTTGTTTCTGCAGAAATTTATCGGTTTGATTTCACGTTCGACGAACACTGGAAATATTTATAACACCAGTGATTTTTCCTGGTCTGTCTCCTGTACTTCCTGTTTCTGTGCCCTCAGTTTGATTTTTACTCTGTATATGTGTTCTTACTCTGTGCCTGATAGCTCACATATATCCATAGTTAGAGGGTTGTGGTACAAACTAAAGACATGTAGAGTTTGAAAAGTGATGATGTGATGATTAATGTGTGTCTTCTGCTTTCACTGTGTCACGACCTGCAGGATCTAACTTTACTAAAGTGGTTGAGCATAATGGGTTAGATATGGTTTCTATATTTTAGGCTGAGTTAATCAGGTGAAATGTTGTAAAAAATGATCTGCAGTAACAGTGACGGACATTTTGTATCCCTGTATTTATTAAAACGACTTTTATTTAGCCTAATTAATAAATCACTATCTTAATCAATCATTACTTCATTTATGAGAGCTCCAAAAGGGAAAAAAAATTCCAGAATCTCTAAAAGTTTGTTTGGTAAGTTTGGGAAAATTTGCAAAAATTCAGAAAAGTTTTGTCACATTAATTAGGTCATCATTTAGAGTATGTTTACGATGTCTTATCATAATTGTTCATATTTTAAATACACAGCTGCAATAACAGCTCTTGTGATTATAAACATCTCATAATTTTTTATTCTGATCTTTCAGTATAAGAAATAATTAAAATTTTTCTACATATTTAAACATAGAAATATTTCTTATAAAAACCATGACTATTATCATGATGTGGATTTTTTCATCATTATAAGAAGTTTCCACCACATGATTAGAAATCTTTTCTTCTTATCCTGACTTCATTATCTGACAACTCAATATCTCATAATTAAAAGACAAAATCGCAATAAGAAAATATCTTGTTGTTTAAATATGATGGTGTTTTTATATTTTATCCATATGAGATGAGAACTGCCTCCTCATGAGATATTAATGAGGTTAGATTCTCTTTTTAAATTCATAATGAGAATTGAATCTTGCTTTTTTAAGATTAACTTTATCTCATTGACGCTCCTATGAGGAACTCTCAGTCTGTGTCAGTTTTGGCGCCCCTCTGTGAACAAAACAGTAAAGCTTTAAAGTTAGGCTCCAAATCATTGAACCAGACTAAAGTTCGTATGTTTCTGAGAACATTTTCTAATTACTACAAAAATATGTGATTTTCTGCTCCCAATTAAAACACATCAGGCAAAGGTGGAGCCAGATATGTAATCCTGGAATCTGATTGGCCACCCTTGAATCCTAAACCACGATTGGCTATTTGCCTTATCAGAGGCGGCACTTACGTATATTATCTAATGTCTGTCTTGATTTGAAAAGGCTGTAGAAGCTTTACAATGTGCATTTCAGTGTGGCTTTTCATCCTCTTTGAAGTCCTAAATGAAAACATTTCAGCAGATTTTAATGTTGTCACTCCGTCGAGTTACATTAAAATGATTTTTGTTCAGATTCTTTTGTAAAAGAGGTTAAAGCTGATGTGATTGATTAAAAAAAAAACTCCCAGGGTTGAGGGACGCTTCTGATGTTTACCACCCTGGCCACCCTCAAAGTTATTGCACCTTATTGGCCACCCCATATCCAAAAAGTCTTGCTCCGCCCCTGATCCAAGGGTATTGAAATAATGAGAAATGCATAATCTCATGTACATCAATATTTAGATTATTTAATCCAAATAAACTGAAAAAACTGCACCTTTTCATCCAAAATCAAATCAAGAAGATTTATAAAAGCTCTAGTGTTATAATTCTTGGAAATTCTTCTACAAATGTGGAAAAGTGATGAGATTGACGTCCTAACAATGAGAGCTTTTTTTCTTTTTATCACTGTTTGACTTTTAATTTTATGTATGAAACACTTGACTTTTATTTTCTGATGCATAAAGAAAAAGGAAATAATCGGCATGCCTTATTACTCTAGGAGCTGTGCACATGTGGATTTTCATCTGGCCGTAAGATTTATTATTTAGAGCAGGTTTAAACTGTATCATTGTGCATGTTGGTTTTATTCCGCTGATTTAAGTTTGGGGATGCAAAATACCAGATCAGAGTGATGTAGAGGTGTAGCAGTAGACTCTTGGTGCTGTCTGATTAGATGATGTATTGTCATTGTACCTCTGTATTATAACCTCTGTATGAGCTTTTATATACAAATAACTGTAGATGACATTTATTTCTACCTGTTATAAAAGGATGTTTATGAGACTCAACGCAACAATGGTTTGAAATGTTTTTAAGTCATCACAAAATATCAAGGTGCTCACATGACCTCATTAAAAAAAATGAAAACATGAAATTTGAAAAACTTGTACACACCTAAAAAATTTTAAACTGGTGTACTTTTCTTGATTTGAACTCACAGTCAAAGGAGGTCTCGGCGTGAAGTCGGTCTGTACATAGCTTCTTCTGTATGTTCTCACCTGCTTTTCACACAAAATTGAGTTTTCGGTCACTGAAAATGGATGCTTCAAATCATCCATCCTTTTACGGTAGAGATTTTAAAATTCAGCTCTCTCTGTGTGTTTGTATAAAAGCTGAACGATTTCAAAGGCACCAAGGTTAACGTGCACATGGCATTTGTTGTTTACATGTATTTTGCAAGTGCCAAATTGGTCTCTCAGTGACACATTGCTGCACAGTACTAGATTCAGCTGGTGTGAGGGCAAATAAATGCATCACGTCCAATTAATGTGCATATGCAAAATATTCTACTGTTATGTGACGGACTGATCAAACATTATCACTACAACCTGTCTGGCATGCTTGGTTAAGCATTTCCAGCTGTACTGTCATGTAGACAGAGCAGGAATAATCCCGGGTGTGTACTAGACCCCACTCTATCAGTCTTACTCTGAGAGACATATATTTATCAATTACATTTATGCTTAAAAACATCTTATTAATCAGTTTTTACTTAACCCTTAGATTTACATCCTTTCTTAACGCTCAGTGGCTAAAAACAGCCACTGACATTGACTGCTGTAAAAACATATTGGATTCATATTTTTTTTCCAGATTTTTTTTATATGTATCGCTTGATTAATTTCTGCTCTATTCAAAACTAGTAAATGTTTCATTAAGAATCCAAATCTTAACCCTTTAAGGACCCATTTAAAACATAAAGTCACTAATATTGGGAAAAAATGGGAGGAAAATGACTGATTTTTATTAGATTTATTTTCTACCATATCAGTGACATTATGTTTTGAATGGACCCTCAAAGGGTTAAAAAAATGTTTTTAGATGAAACATTTACTAGTTTTGACCAAAGCAGAAGTTAATTAAGAGATATATGAAAAAAGTCAGAGTCAGAGTTAGCGGCTGTTTTTAGCCACTGAGCGTTAACAACAGATGAAATTTGGCCTATGCGTTTTTTTGACCTGCTGAAAATTTTGAAGTCATATTCTCAAATTGTCCATCAATATAAGCATCTGCACAAAAAATCATCCCATTCGCTGCTGTAAAAAACATGAGTTATGTGGAAATTAGTGGCTAAATTTCACCCCTAGTGGCTGATTTTAGCCACAGCGTTACACAAGGGCTGACCTTTTTCTGTCTTGTTTGCTCACAGCAAACATCAATACTTAATGTGTGTGTAAAATGGGAGATTATGCACAAAAATTTTACATCTTTTATGACAAAAGATAATCTGGAAGAGCTAAAGTCAACTGAAAAATATTATTTCAAGAGGCTTGGGGATTTTTAGAGATTTCAGCGTTAGTGTTCTGGCTGGAGTTCATTGACGTAAAAATTTTAACCCTTTATTGCCTGTTGTATCATATTTGATGCATACTTTTATATACTTCTATCTAATCAATATGATCAACAAATTACTAAAAAAAAAACCACCTGAATACAGTCCGATAAATGATAAAAATGTCCTCTCGTAGTTTATCAGTTTCCATAAACATCTATTGATTCAAACGTGATAAATAAATATATTTGTTAAAATTTAAGGACATTTTGATTTTTTGCTTTTCAGTAGTGAGTGAAATAAACATTTTAGCTCCCCCAAAAATTTGAATTTTCTGGCCTTAATTTGTGGTTTCAGGCATTAAAGGGTTAAGGAGGAAATCAGGAAAAAACAGGCTTGTACATTCTGGTATTTTAAGGTGCGTATTAACATCCCTGTCATGCCTTGTCTGCAAATTGTAATGTATGAGGGCTGATAGACCATATTTATGTATTATCTCATTTCTACAAAGAGAGTTAAAGATGGTAGGGGCAGGTAGTGCTGGAGCAGGCAGCGTGGGGCAGCGCTGTGTATGTTCATGTCTGAATGTCTGTGTGTAAAGCTGTGTTAATTGAATGCTGGGATGCCAGTATTATGCTGTTTCAGGGTGCAAAGCAGCGATGGAAAAAATCCATTCAATGACTCCTGTTGCAGAATCACAGTGTGGACAAGGATAGTGAGAGTGATTAAAAGAAGAAAAAAAAGAGGAAAAAAGAAAGCAAGAGGCAGCAGAAGTACACTGAACAATCCTTTTCTTTATTCATTTTTTGTTTCATTTCAATATGTCTGTCAGGGTTTGTTTTTTTAAGTTTTTATTTTAAATTAAAATTTTGACACACTTATAAAAGACAGCATCTGCATAGAGTTGTCATCTTAAAGATCCATGAAGAGAGAGAGAGAAAGGGGCGAGGAGGAGAGAGAGAGAGAGATAGAGATAGAGATAGAGAGAGAAAGAGAGAGAGGGAGGGGAGGGGATGGGGGAGGCAAAAAGGTAAAGTAGGGGGGAGGGGGAATACTGGCACGTCACATGAACTAAACAGAACAGCCAACAGCAGTACGAGAGAGGGGGGAGGAGGGGGGAGACAGGGCTGGAGGAGAGAGAGGGAGGGAGGGAGGGGAAGGTGCTTTTTTGTAGGGGGGGCAGAGAGGGGAGGGGAAGGGGGGGGGACAGATCGCTTTTACATTACGCTACGCACACATACACACACACAAAAAAAACGGGACACAAGTTGCATTTCCGGTCAAAGTTGCGTGTAGAAAGCGATGGCCCTGTCCTCTTTTTGTTTCCTTTTTAAAGTTTGTGAGTTGTTTTTATCAGACCTCACTTCTCCGTCTCTTGCCTGCCGTTTTCCCAAAGATGGCTGCCATCTTTGTTCATCTATCTACGTATGGTTTCACTCAGTTAATATGGTTATAGAACAATTACAAGGGTGCTGCGTTTGTGGCGTCTAACATGAGTGATTTTATTCCTCGGTTCTCTGTAGGAGGTCTGAGCTTTGCGACCTGGACACTCCTGCATGATAAAGAAAGCCCTTGTTTCTCTCGATATTGCACGCTGTGTAACAGAAGGCCTGTGTGAGGCAAGAGACTGGGCCTGAAGTTAGGTTAGCGCTGGAAGTGCAGAGCTGCAGAAAGACTACTCAAGATTTAGTAAATTTTCCTCACCTCTAAGATTGTTTCCTCTATCCTTATTTCTTTAAATCTGTCAAAATCTTATTCAAAGTTTGACTTTGTTGAAAAAAAAAAACTGAAGCTCAGGCCTTGAAGAACGGGTAAGGACTGATTCATGGAAACAGCCATATGAAGGAAGACAGTGGTAGACATTTGAGGTACATTTAGAGGGCTGAGTGGACTCAGAAACACATGATATGGTCATAAAAACTGCTCAGAGCTCCATTTGTGCATTTAACACTGATGATTTCAGCCAACAGGTAAATAATGCTGCTGAAGCCATGGCTTGAATAAGTTGGCATCGGTGAATCCTACTTCCTGTGGTTGCCTGGACATGATTAGATGAACCACTGTCAGTTAGGAATCTTTTGCTTTTTAAGTAAATAAAAACTGCGCTAATGGATGCACCGTTTATGTAAAAGTTAACTTGATTGGCCTCTAGTGGGTTAAGCTTGGACTACGTTTGCATTTCAGGGTTTGACTATAATGGTGAGGCTTGTCTACTCTCTACAGGACAGGGTGTGGGCTACAATCTGGGGGAAACAGGCAGGTAAAGAGACTGTGTTTTAGGTTCGTCATTTGGCAAGCTAGCTGCAATTGAGAGTGTTGAACAGAGAGAAAGAGAGAAAGTTCGGAAAACCCGCTAACAGAGCCTTTAGAGTGAGGAGGCAGGGTTTATTATCCTAATATGGAGGGAAGCACTTTCATCAGAGGAGCCAGTGGGCGGTGCCTCTGGAGCTGGGCTGATGGACGGAGGTGTGGCTGTGGCTGTGTTTACACCAAAGAGGCCAATTTTGTCAAAGTACCCTCTGTTAGCACAAGATCTTTTCATTTCTGTCTGAATCAGTTTGTAATTTGTTTTGACAGAAATGAAGAGATCAGAGCGACGAATAAAACGAACAAAAGTGTTTATTTGTGACTGATCTCTCTAAAAACACTGTTGTACAGTTCCTTTGCATCTTTGTAAAATGATGATTTCAGCGGTTTGGTGTAAACACAGGGTCTGATCTGAATATGACGGACGAGGACGCTTGACGCTATGATTCTCTTCCTCTCTGTTGTTCTCTCACTGACAGAGATTTAAAGGAACAATGATTTTCAGGAGGGTAGAGGGTGAGGACAGGTGATGTCTTAAGGGGGAAGCAGAGTGGCGAAAAAGGACAGAGATCGAACTACGTGTCAACTTTGACGGGAATAGATATCTCAGTAGATTTATACATAGACATGCAAGTCATTTTTTCTCTCTTTGAAGTTATTTACAATAATTACATAACACAAAGAATCCAGTTTCAGTTTGACAAAATTGCGAGCATTCAATATTCAATATTACTACTATTATTTATGATAACATAACTCCTTTTGTACTTCTTTAAATCATTGCTATTATAGATTCGTCGTAACCTCCCTTCGTATGTTTTATGTTAGTTTGATCACTTTGTGTGAAGCGTTCGCTCTCCTTCGGGTTTTTGCAAATGTTTTACTGCATTTTCATTTGTCATTTATGGAGTAATAATAATCATAATAATAAGAATAATGACAACAATGTTATTTATTTATCTGTCTTTTCTACTTGCTATGGCAGAGACCGTGTGGGCGTGGTCTATCTTAATGGCCCCTCCCCCCGACTCCTCCCACCCCTCCCACTAGGGAAATAAACACTGATACAAACTGAAATACTGTCTCGTTTACGAGGAGAGATTAATGGGTGAAGCTTCACGGAATAAAAATCAGAAACAACGAAAGCGTCACATCGTAGCCGCTGCTACTGACAGGAGCAGGTCAAAGCCACGGAAAACAAACATTTCATTTAAGCATCATCCAGAGCGGGGCACCGAACAGGTTTTGGTTTTTGAAAATTGTTTCAGGAAGACAAAAATCATCATGGAGTAGTTTCATAGTCCGCCATCAAAGGAACAAAAAAGTACAACAATCTCAAACCCTCAGTTTCTGAATTTAATCTCTGCTCAGACACTCGTCTACTGGAGTTGTCTGCAGAGATAGTGGCTGACGTATTGCATCCACACGTGTCTGTGTTCATCTGACTCTACGAGGACTATAAGTTTTGTTTCGTACATGTGGAGCAATACGCCAGGTTTCTTCAGAAAACAGGCTAACAGCTAACAGCTAGCGGTAAGTCAATCTTTGGAGTGTTGATGTCGCACCCAAACTCTCTCCGGGTGATTTTTTCCTGCTTTCTGCACCCCGCTCCGTCAAAAACTGTACACAGCCAACAGAAGCAGAAATGGCTACAGAGCCACATACATACAGTTATAGAAATGCAGTGTGTTTGTGTAAGGTTTTTATATATATATTCTTCCCTATATATGTAACTTCAGTTGACAAGGCTGCAGTCCTCTCTCACACAGAGGAAAATGCTCACTGCAGGTAATAGGAGCTAGTTAGCTAAACAGTCAACAAGCTGTTTTGCAAATGTAAGTTCTAATTTATGCTTCCTCTGCATAAGCAAAGTTTGGAAGCTTAATTGTTTTTACATGAGCTTTCTTTATTTGAATATTAAGCTAACGTGAATAGCTTATCTGTGGGCAGATTTGTTAACCTAATTAAAGAAGTGCGAAACAGAAAACTCAAGAGTAATTATCGTACATGAATTCACTGATGATTGCTGAAATAAAAACAAAATCCAATTTTGGAGAAAAAAAAAGGCTAATGCTAAGGTTAGCAACACTTTATTCAATAACTTAATACGTTTTATTGTAATTGTTGTTGACATTTACAACACCCTTGTTAGGTGGCTCTGCTAAGCTTCGTGAAACACAATACTAACTGCATTGTTGACACGAAAACTGTAAAGAGTTTTAAGAGAGGAGGCTTCAGTTTGCTTGACACTTGGCTAGCTACTAATCCTTAACACCTGCAGAGTAGCATTAACCCCAACGTGTGAACACAGAGACTGATAAACAAGCTGTACATAAAATGACACCAAAAAAAAAAACAAGAAATACAGCAATTAATAAATATAATAAGAAAGCACCACCATTGTCTCCGTATATGCCTCTAGTGGAGGAGAAGTGTACGTTTTCTAGAAGTGTTCACAGATGATTATGTGTCATATTTGTGCACTAAATCAGACCACAAACTAACATCTACAGGTGAGAAAGAAAGAAAAGGGGACGTGGAGGTGGACATCGTTGTGGCATGAGATAAGTATTGAGGGTTTTGGTCGGGTTGATTGGTGTACAGACCAACATGCAGTGAGGGCTGGTGTTGGGCAGGGGGGCAGGGCTTTTTGTTTCATCGATATGTTAGCATTTGATGTTTTTGTGTATTTTTTCACCATTTGTGACGAACATCTCAGTGTAAACTTGACTCAAGTTGTGCTCTTTGATAATAGCGGCAAACATTTTGAGAACACATGAGGGGAGGGCAGAAAACGCTTTGGTTTGAATCGTAATAAATATAATAATAACAGTGATCTTGGCGTCTATAAAGACTACTGATTTCGTATCTATAATTTTCAGAAAGAAACAAAGAGGAATTCATCAAACGGCTGTGAAACCTGTGAACCTGCCATCGGATGCTTCGCACATCAAAACAAACTCGTGCTGCTCCGACACAAAACACGCACACAAACACACACTTATGCACCAATCTTGTTTGACTGAACGGGAAGGGACGCATGCTGCACACACACAAGGCCGAGTGAAGGAGCGACGGGAGGTTAACCCACAGGTTTACAGACTTTTAGTGGTAATGGACATTTGCAGGGATGATTCCTCCACAAAAACACAACACAATTGCAACCATCAACGCATATAATCAGAGGAAATGCTAATAGAGGTTGGGCACCCAGTGGGAGGTTGGGAGGTTGATGTCAGGGGGTCAGAGGATAAGCAGAATGGCTCGAGTCGATGGCAAGGTTTTGAAAATTTTATCTTTCACATGTTGAAATATCAACTCAGTCTCTGAACAGAACACCTAAAAAGTCCAGGTAAAGTTCCAACTATGACGGAAACAAAGCGTGTTGACGTGTTACGCCAACATGTATTAAGTTCCATAAAAAACAGTGGATTAGAGCTGCTAAGTTACGTGCTAACCAAAGACAGGTCCGATGAGCAGTAAAGTGCACGACATGGAGGGCAGGTTGGGGGTGGGTACAAAAAACACCATCATGCAAACTCCACAACGCTTTTGCATGCCTTTTTAGTTATTATCATCATTAAACACACCAGGATGGGCAGGGGTCTGCCAGGGAAGGGGAGGGGGCAGATTCCCAGTCCAAAAATGTGTCTTTTTCTACAACCAAACAACTACAACACAAACAGGGGGAGGGAAGACAAAGGGACAGGGGGACTGAACACTCAGACAAACTTTCAAACCTTCACCCAACCTTAAAGCCTTAGTTTACCAAATTTGTCTGCTTTTCTTTCCCAAAAGGAGGTGGCAGGGTTTGATGTAAGGTTACCAGACAGGGACTGAAGTTTACAGAATAAACAAACGCATACTGTAAATTAACATCACTATCAACAAGCTGGCTGGTGCTACGACAGCATTCTCACATCAGATTTAAATCCGCCGCAACCACCGCCGCCTAACCATTGCACGACTACCACGACGACCGTGACGTCAGCTTGACCACCATCGACCATCAAGAACATGTAACTTAATATGAATTATGAGGCTGGATTTATGCAAAAAGTAGCAGGTGAGGAGTGAAGCACTGAGGCGGTAAAATGTATGGATGAATGTATGGTTTTTCAAACTTGCTTTGTATATATCTAAAAATCCCAAACCTACAACTCAAAGACAGTCTGGCAAACTGGGAAATGTAGTTACAACAAATATATCATAGCTTAAATGACAGGGCAAATCACTGATTGGTGTTTTGTCTGTTGATGGATAGAGTCAGTGTGCACTACAGCTTTAAAAACCACCAAAAAGCACCTATCAAGACAAAAATTAGCGACTATTACCAACAACACAACTGCAGAGAAAAGTGCAAATTTTTTACAAGTCTTTTGATAGTTAATTTGAACAAACATCTATTGGATTTTGCTGGGGGTGTTTTTCAAGCTTTGGTGAACACAGAAGTTAAGTTTTGGTGTTGGAAAGTCAAAGGATGACGTGAAAATTTATAAACCTGATGCTAAAAATATTCTTATTTTATCTAGTGACTACACAGCATTACAGACACCTATGACTAACAGCGCTATTAACCATGACTGCCAAGAAAACACACTATTTTAACAGAGCAATGACTACTTCTTGTGTCTAAACCTTGTCCTGGAATCTAGCAATATCATTAGTATAACAATAGCAGCTATTGTAAGTTTGTGTTGGGCCAAATGTTAGCCATACATGGCTCTGGTCTTTGCTAACTATTTTTGTCACACACTGTTTGCTTCCTGTTGATAGAGCTGTTCAGTGATTCTTTCAGGAGCCAGACATTTCCTCACTTTGTAAAACTGATTTCGGGCCAGAGTGTAAACAAGGTGAGCTAACTAGCTAACACTTTTGTCAAACATAGCCAAACTATGACAATCAGATTTTATTGCTTTGAAACAAAGAGGAGTTAGTCTTTTGTGGTGTTAAAGGTAGTATTTGTGGTTGTTGTAACGCAGACAGTGACAGTGCAGGATTGCTTGTGTAGGCCTCAACAGAAGCGTTGTGCCTCCGTATCACAGAGCCTTTACACAGACTAGCAAGCCACCTAAAACCACTAACTCAAGCCAGAGTGAGAATGCCGTGCAGAAATTTCGACCTTTAGTGTCCAGTTTGAGGCAACACACCTGCATGGCTTCTCCACCTAGACTGCATCAACAGTAACAAAAACAAAACATGCGTGTACATCGCATAGTAACAAACTGAAACAATCTAGAAATCTGACTGTTGCAGCAATATATATTTTTTAACTGAAATCCATTAAGCGACGCTTATTTAAATCAACATGATTTTTTAGTTGTATTTCTGCTGAAGGTAGCCATGCTGGTAACTGCTAATGTAGGGTAAGTTAAAATATAAAAATGTTTGAATTGAGCCGGGACAAATCTGGCATCGTGACATTGCTACACGTTTCCAAAACGGGACGGCTCCCTAGAAAAACAGGTAGCATTTAAAAGTTGTACTAAAACTATATTTGTCCAACTTTTAATGTCACACTTGCCCTTTTTATTTCTGAGGTTTCAGTCTCTCCCAAACACTGGTTCAGACACACAGAAAGTGTCTTTAACATCAAACATTTCTACAGGATCTACACACAACACTATATAACATGCTAGGCAACAAGTCTAACACTCACATTGAGAAAATGCGTGGCACTGCAAAGTATAAAGTGTGTGTTTGGGGGACTTTTCACTGTGTCTGTATGAACTATGTATGGACGTGTTCAGGCGTGTTGTTGACAGATGTGGATGTGTGTGTGTGTCACATGTTCTGCCTTCCTCAGAGACAATCCACTAACAGGAAGTGCCTCACCTGTTCGGTAGCGCCTGTGCAATTGAGGCATTCTAATTAACAACCACAATCCTCAACACACAGTCAGGGGATAAATGGATGTTGAGGGGAAAACAGGCGAATGCATCAAACCAGACTAAACTGCTAAATGATGTCAGGCCGATACGTCACGGGACACGCCACGCACGCACTAGAACAGCAGCACCACGGAACAACGAAGCAACAAATGATCCCCATAAAAAATGAATAAAGCAATCAATGATACTCAGGTAACCAGGGTACGCCAGCATCATTAGAGTTTCTATATCTTCTGTTTAAGTTATTCTGTTGTCTAACTTGTTTGTTAGATTTAAATGCTGTATTTTAGTTTAAGTTATTGACTTTATGTGTTCTCTTCATTTTTAAGAATCTTCCAGGAGAACAGTTGCAACAGCTCAGAGATGACAATATATTTTGGTTGGGATGAGGAGCCTTTTGGTGCTGGAACGTGAATCCCTATCTTCATTGGGTATCGTGGGTGTGGGAGTCGGGACAAGTCCTCTTCCTCTTATCTAAACTGCATAGATTGACAGCCCGTCTTCTCCCACCCTCTTTAAAACCCTCCTCTTCCTACCCCCCTTCCTTCCTACCGTTCACCTGTCAGTCAAAGTTCACATTTTCTGCCGTTGGTCAATCAAATTTGCAGGAAAACCGGAGACCCTCCCTCCCCCTGCTCTTTGGTTGGATAGGTGTGACAAGAAGGGGAGGTTGTTGTTGTTGTGGAAACCTGCCACGTTGAAATGACACCCCCCTCACCAAATAGTGTTTCCTAACCATTGAGATGGTGTGGTAAACGGATCAGCGGGCGGGTGTCATGCGAGAGGTGTGTGGCAGATCGGGCTAAGCCAGTTTAAACTCATTTGACTGGTTGACTGAGGTGAATGACAGGAGTAAGCAACCAATAAGAGGTCTTTTACAAAGGGTGGCCGAGCCAACAGCAGGGTCGGACCCTCCCTCCAAGAAACACGGGGACAAAGTTGGTTCTACCAAAGCCAGAGGGTGCTCATCCGGCAGGACGGCATTCCAGAACATTCTACAGATCGCTGATGGCATTCCAGAATATTCCAAAGGCATTCTGGAATGTAGTTGAATTACTAATGTCTTTTCCTTGATAATCTGACGATGCCCTGGAACCTTGCTTTTTTCTGTCAGTGTTCCGGAACCTTCTCTTTCAGAATGTAGCGAGTTCTGGAGCTCCAGAATATTCTTCCAGAGCTAGAGGGATTTTCCTTTCTGAACTTGAATTCCTGACACACTGATTGAGAGCGTGCTTAGTTCCAGGACACAAAATTAAGGGAACAACTCTGCTCTGGAATGCTTGTCCTACAGAACTCCCACCCAGGAGCAGTCACCACCACTGTCCTCGGAGACTCCCAAAAAATGAAAAAAAAAAACAAACTGTTAAAATAAGAAAAAAGCAAAACAAACAAACAAGTAAATATCATATAATAGGTCATAATTTTTTTACAGGTAGCTAACCCATGTGTTGCTTCATATGTTCAATACATTTACATGTACATCTGTAATAAATAGTAGGTTAATCTGTACCCTCTTTTGTATATGTCATGTATTTAAGTCAGCTATAGCGTGATGGCATTTTTATTGTGTTTTTTGTCTTTGTTTTTTGAACCCCACCCAACCCTGCGGTATGTCCTCCTATCTGTGATTGGATTGTTATCTCGTCCTAGCTGATTGGTTATCTGTCTTGCATTTGTGTTTCAAGTTTTTGTGTTGTTGTTGTCGATGGTGTTTCTTTTCTCTGCTGGCGGTCGGACGGTCGGTTGGTGTCGGTCGTCACAGCGGCAAGGGGCGGAGCGCCTTAGAAGCCCAGTGTGCCGCCTATGGTCGACGCCAGGACCACGCCCAGGATGACGCAACAGATGATGATCATAATCTTCTTCTGCAGGGGGGGAGATGAAGGACACAAGGTGTTAGTGAAGATATTTGTAGAAACACAGCCTATAACCAATGTTTTGAACTGGTTTGGTGTTTCTTAAAGCTTTCCAGAGGACCTCTAACCTTCACAGAACCAGGTTTTTTGACCTTATTAAACCAACATGTTACCTTGCGGGCCTGGCTCTGGTATTTGACAGCCTTCTTGGTGTCGGATACGGCTCGCTCCACGTAGTCAACGGAGTGCTCCACGTTGTACTCAATTCTGTCAATCATCTCTCCCTAAAAAAAGCCACCCATCCCAAAGTTTAACACCTGAGGCCTGAAAAAACAGAAAGGACGCCACACATGTGGATTAGCATGACACAAACCTGGCTCTCGACCAGCATGGCCATGTCGACAAACATGTCGTGCAGCTCGCGGATGCTGTTTTCCAGCTTGATGATCTCGGTATGTCGGGTCTCAATCTCGTTCAGGGCTTGCTTGGAAATTTGAGAGTCCATTTTGATCTGCAGGAAGGGGCAGGTTTCATCACAAACATTATTTAGCAGACAGTTCAACATCCAAGGGAGAGTAACTGAAATTCATAGAAATTACTCACAAAAACCAGGAACACAAATCAAAGCGAATGTCTAAATTCTCTTACTTTGGGGCAATGTCAAACCAAACAGTTTAGAGGGGAGTCTTCTGAACGTTGTCTGATCGTAGTAGAGGATAGAGGATGATGCTTTTGACAAACACCACTCTGTTGCACTCTAAACAGCTCTCATTCATCAGTTATGTTTCTAATTACTGTGAAATGTTTGGTAAAACCTTCTTATCTTTAAAAAGCCTTTAAACCCTACATATAAAATGCTTTCATGCTGCCATACCTTAGCATAAAAACACCTTCTAGAGCTCTGTGTGTGCACCATGGTGACACTTAAAAATAATTTAACTACTCACAGTAAATCAGCTCCTATTACCATGTTGTGACCAGAGACTGTATATAAGAAGTCGATGTTGCAACCACTTTAAGAACTATGGTGTGATTTTTCCTGTTTTGGCATTTTGGTCATCACTATTTTGTTTTCACTGAGGTAGTTGTGACTGTATCTGGTTAAGTGAAAGCCAAAGAGGAGTGAGGAGCTTTAGCAAACACTTTTCAACTGCAGGAACTTTCCTTAGAAACCTGGAACCTCTGTCTGTTTTGATAGCAGGAGCCTAAATTTAGCTCTGGGATACTTGATCTGCCCTTTGAACAGTCCCTGCTCATGGAGTAGTACATTCCAAATGTCTGGAAATTACGGGGGCAGGCCTTGAAGACGATCTCATTAATTTACATATAAAATACTGGTACTCAGACACAGAGAGAAGGGCGGGGAAATGATTGTACTGGAATGTTTCCCCATAACCTGGCATCATTTGATTAGTAAGACTTTGTATTACATGAGTCACTCAGTTTATGTGTACTTTGGTCTTTGCTGGAAACAATCTTGTTTATATTGACATATACTGAAATATGAAGGTCATTGTCTGAATGGCAGCACATGCTTATCCAAAACCTGTATTGTTTAGCATTAATGGAGCCTCTCCAGATATGTATGCTATAGACACCATCAGGGATGCTGGCTTTGAACTGTCAGCTAACAGAGCTGGGTGGTCCCTCTGCTCTTTAGAGTGGGGGATGCAGCATCCAAAATGCCAAACTTTGATTTCTTTCCCCAACTCCCCTGCAGTCCATTTTAAATGGGCTCAGGTCCAGAGAGGTCTTCTGTGTTTCTGGATCATGTTTCTGTCTGGTTTGCTCCTGGCATGGTTCAGTTTTAACCTGCAGATGATAATCTATTAAAAGTGTGCTCATGAGCCTCTGGTTTGTAGTGTACTGTTGGGCTGATTTCCTGACTGAGAGCCAGACTAACTTACCCTGTAAAGAGTAACTAACACCAGGTGTAAACCCTTGCTTTTGCTAAGCTCTACTGGCTGATGTGACTGCACGCTGTGACAGCACAGGTGACTGCCTTCAACCTTTAGAGCTCAGTCAAATGTTTAGTTTCCAGTCTGGTGTTCAGTTACTGACCACAAGTCTATGTCACATGACCCTGAGGTCATGTGGCCTCAGTGCATGTCTGAGCTTTAATTTAAAGGGGCAGATCAAACCAACAGGGGACTCCACTAAAATAAGAGCCTGACAGTGCAGTGGCTAGCATCTCACACATCCTCCCATCATCCTTTCTGCTGTGATATGACAAAGGCCATGTTCACTTGATGTCTCAGCGCACCTCATGGCCATTCTGTATCGCCGCCATTAAACCATAATGATTGGCGGTATGCAGAATGGCTCAGGTTAAAGTGACCCGGCTCAGCCCGGCTCAGGTGCGGTGCTTACATCATCGGTGAAGATGGCCAGCTTGCCACTCTCCAACATATCCTCTAGTTCCTCGTTGGTAGTGGTTCTCCCAGCTGCAGACAGAAAACAGAAACAGAGTCTATGGTTAGCATGTAATATACCGTGAGCACCCCCTAAGTCACATGGTACGTCATGGTCACATGATGTATGCAACTTAAACATAGTGCTGGTGGTTATGTGAAGTCTCACAGTTCTAGTTCTAGAAAAGGTTTTTGGTTCTGTACCAATGGCGCTGATGAGTTCCCATCCACAGAGGCCAGAGCTGCCAAGCGTTACGCTTTGAGTGTGACAGTCACGCAATTTGACCCATTCTCATACCACACCCCATATTTGACATTTCTCACACTTATATTTTCCCCTTCAATACTCTGTATTTAATTTTTTAATGATAATAAACTTGGCTTGCCATAGTTCGAGTAACTCCGATGGCCTGACCAAAACAATCAATCGCAGAGCAATTCATCAGTCCTTTGTACCCAAATCTAACCAACCAAGGAAGACACCATGCAATATAAACCAATCAGAAGCAACATAAGGCGGGTCTAAGGCGGACCCTACAGAAGCTTTATAACTAAGACTAGCATTAGGAGGCCACAGTGCAGAGAGAGCAGCTGGCATGGAGGCGAGGACAACAGTCTTAAGGTATAAATCAACATCATGACACTAAAGTCTTACTCTTGTCATTTTCTGAAACTTGGCAGCCCTGAGATGCACAAGGTGAAATCTGTCCGAGGGACCCCTAACCGTGTGTCTTGCACACACAATGGTACCCTACAGGCGCTTTACCACTGTAGAAAGCGGGCTCTGTTTAAATGTACCCCTTCACTTCGTGTTTAAATTAAAACTCTGCAAAATGTTTTAAGATACCAATCAGTATCACTCTCAAGGAAACCCTAAACGTCTGTGACAAAGTACTTAACAGCATCAGTTGCAAGGTTTCCCCAAACTTTTTCTGAAGTTACCTAACAGTAGCTGCACAGATGTAGCATATGGACTCTGTGTTTAGGTTCCCATCCACTCCTTGTTAGAGGTACTCTGGCGTAATGTTTCAAGGTTTCCAACAGTGTCGCTTTAAGGTACCTCTGAGCTTCTGTCTCAAGGAACCATACAGCTCTTTAAAAATACTGTTTTTTTTTAAACATTTAAAAGTAACCTATGATGTCTGTATTAAGGTGCTTTGAGGCAAAAGCCAACACTTTATGATAACAGAAGAATAAGAAATAAATAATTAAATACAAATAAAAAAGCAGGGTGTCAAATAAGATCAGAAATTACAATGAATTTAAATGAGTTTGTATATTTAAATCAAAGTGTGAGTGTGTTTCGCTTGTCTGTATATAAAGTCAGTTGGACTGTGTTTCCATCAGACAGTGTGTCTGTATTTATTATGTCATGACTTACACAACAACTCAGACAGAAAGTGAAACTGAAGGACTGTGAGTGTGTCTGTGTGTGAAGGTCAGACTGTTGAGAATAAAATATATGCTGCACCTCGGCAGTCTGTTAGTTTATCTGTCTGAATCAGCTTTATGTGCTGCTATTTCTGCACTGCTTCCTCTGTGTGTGTCTGTGTGTATTTGCGTATTGAACTTTGATGTTTATCTACAGACTTGAGTCGACCTTGTTTGTTATCTAAAGCCTGATATGCATTAAGAGATTTCTCAAATCTTAAACGTAAGGGATCCTGAACATGAATATTGAACAGTTTGGTTTTTCCAGTGGCGAGTGCAACTTCTAGTGGCCACAAATCAACAAATCCGTCCTCCATTTCTGACATCTGTTTAACTGTCTGTGTTTACTGTCGTCACCACGGTTGTGTTTGCTGTGCTTCCTTCTACAGTTAGCTTGCTTCCGGACTGGCTGTTGTTTTATTGAACGGTGCTTTTGAGCCTCTAAGTAGGTTCAAATTTACTGCGTTTACCAGAGGAGACCATATGATGGCCCCCTCTTGTTACATTCCTGACACTGTAAGTTGAAAATTTCTGAAAGCTTCAGGTCCATAAGTTCACAAGTGTCTAAAAAGGTTCTGAGAAATGGCGGAGTCAATGGAATCCCGTTTACATTTGTTTTTTTTTTTGTAGGATGGTAGGGAAGGTCCCGCCCTCCTTCGCCTCTGATTGGCTAGAAGTGCTGGGCTCTGAGTGGTTATTCTTAATGGCTGTGAAAAGTCGTCTGTCGGGTTAGTGTTAGGGTTAGGAGATTTAGAAGTGCAATAATGTTCTGTAATATTCTGTTCGATGTACAGAGCCGACAGTCCGTGTTTGGCTTAAGCGTGTGATGACTCCCAGCTTTTCTAGCCAATCAGAGGCGAAAGAGGCGGGACTTTCCCCTACCGTCCTACGGTGTCATATAAAAACAATATGTTTTTATGTCATGTCTGCGTCAGGTGTTGAGTTTTATGTTTTGCATGGTATGTTGTGTACTGTGTGTGTTTTTTCATGCAGTAGTTTAGTTCGCACTCACTGATCTCCAGCTGTCTCTGGATGCGGTCCTTGCAGCGGTCGCGGTACTTAGACTGCGTGGTGTTGTACTCAGTCATCACCTCCACAAACTTACGTGACAGCGTCGAGTGCTATAGACACAGACGGGACACAGAAGAGACACGGAAATAAAGATAAAAAAGAACGAATGTTGATAACATTTAATTACAATAAATTGGTGAAATTATGAACAGATTCAGAACAAGCACTTGTGACTTGGTTTACAATCTTAACACGTCGAACTCGTGTCATCAGCAACGACTTAAATATCAAACCAATTAGCCCTGTTAATGGGAATTCAACTTTCTCTTTTCTTGTACCGACCCTGGGCTTACAGAATGTATCACTAAAAACTGGTTGTTATCATTCCATAAGTTCCAATTTTACTCTCTTTCAATTCCAACACAATGTAAACTCTTTGGTTGTGTCCGAAATGGATCCCTAACCCCTATAGAGACGACTATATGGGGGTTGGCGCCATTTTGAGGGGTGTCCTAAACCTGAGTGATCAATTCCAATGTCCCATATAGGCGACTCAAAATTTCCCATAGAGCATTGCAAAATGCAGTGACCATCCGATGGTCACTCACCAGTGGTGGGCATCCCGTCATGCATTGCGTCTCGAGCGGCAATTCAAAGATGTAGGAGCTACTATATAGGAGCGTCATATAGTCTCGTGCACAATATGACGCAGCAAACAGTATTTGGCACGAAAATATAAGGCCTTTTAAATAAATTATTAATTCATTGTTTTTGTAATTATTTGTTTTTTATTTCACGGACATCCTGGAAAAACAAATACATCTATACAACATCATAAAATTCAAGAGATGTGAAAAACAACAGCCGCAACTTCTGACGCGGCAGTCTGAGCAGTGACGTCACAACGGTGCACCATGTAGTGTCCTAAATTTCAGATGATTGAGCTCACTACATAGTCAGCTATACAGTGAAACCCCAAATGGGGGTTAGGGGTTAGGGATTGAGTGATTCATTTAGGACACAGCCTTTGTCATCCCACAGAAATATTTTGCTCAAAACTTCCTGAATCTATCAGAAGTGGGGCTACAACAAAAATACTAAACCGGCAAACTGACATTAACACAGAGGGATTTGAACCTTATGTATAAAGTTTGAGGCAGTTTGGATCCTTTATATTTGTGTTTAAGTAACTTCCTGTTTACCTTTAAAGGTACTTTAAAAATGCTGACTAAGCATCACAGCATCTTTATATTCAGTAGTCGGAGGAGTCGTACATGATGTGTTCACACTGTTACAAATGTTTATCCTGTTAATTTAGGTTTCATCTCTCATAGTGAGGATTTACATGGCGTGTGTGTGGAGTTGGTGTGCCTAGTTGTGTAAGCGGATGATGCCGCAGTTCTCTTCTCCTCCACCAGGAGGCAGCAGGGAGAAGCCTGCTGGGAGGAGAGGGGAGGCAGCAGCCAATCACAAAGCAGAACACTGCAGGGTCACATCAGAGCAGTCAGACAGCAGGCAGAGAGAGGACAAACAGCAGAGAGGGGGAGAGAGAGAGAGAGAGAGAGAGAGAGAGAGAGAGAGAGAGAGAGAGAGAGAGAGAGAGAGAGAGAGAGAGAGATCTTCTGCTCTGCTGTTTGGACATGATCAGTGTATTTTAATGCAGTAAAATCACTTTTTCTACACTGTAAAAAATGAAGATAATTTAAAGTAATGCGTTTTATTTCCTTTATCTACACTTTTTTAAATACGCCCTGATGTCCCGCTCTTATTTGCCCTGTGAGCGAGGTGTTCAAGGCTCTGTGTTGATTTGAGGAGCAGCTATCAGTGAGTCAGCATGTTTTTGATCATTATTTATAAGATATGGATGATCACCGGGAACGGTTACCTGCTCAATGTAAAAAGTACAAAAATAAATATGGAGGAAATAGAAAAAAATACAGCCAAACAGCTGCTATACTTCTACAATTGTGAATTTAATACTCTTTATGACTTATAAACACAAAGAAAAGTTTTACAGAGAGAAACTGTTTACGCTCAAAGGTTCAGATTAGCATCGCTCTAAGAGCAGGGGCATCTCTATGAGGTGGCCGGAGAGAGCGTGCAAGCCTCGGCTTAAACCCGCTTGGCTGACTCCAAATAGCTTAAATATGATTGACTATAAGCTTTGTCAGAGGCAGGAGACATAATAAAAAAAAGTTAAGTTTCTGAACTGTGTTGCAACAAGCTGCAGATCACCCACTGTTTTTGCATTTTAATGTAGAACATTTTCCTTTTTCTGAGAACTTGTTTCAGTGTTCGTTTTAAAGGTTAAATATGAAGCCGAGACTCTCAGGAGAAATTAACAGAGGAAGAAAAGAACAGAATTAAACACCTCTCCTGATGATCTTTTTGATATTTCTCTCATTTCGTCCCTTTGGGTTGAAGTTTTTGTTTCGACTGAACCAGTTCTGTAGCTTTGTAGATGAGTTGCTGAACCCGTGGAAGGCCCCCTAACTCTCTCACCTGTGTCTTGCGAATCCTGAGATCCGCCGATGATCTGTTGAGACCCTCCTCCTGCTCGATGCTCTGCTCGATTGCTGCAGAGAGACACACAGCAGACTTTTAGTTAGTACTCTTATTGACTCAATACAAAGAATTCAGCTCAAACACTTAAAAATTCATATATAACTGGGAAAAGAGTATAGCAAACATAAAGCAAACAGAGCTTATTAGACTGTAGAAGAATGGGGACTCTGATGGGGTTTGGTGGCTATGATGTTTGAGATGACTCTGGTTAAACATCCTTTCCCTCTGTAACATAAAGCTCTCTCTCTCTCTCTCTCTGCAGGGATCCTTTCTGTGATCGTGTCAGACTCCAGGAATATCAATCTGAGCCTGTCAGAGACAAAAACTACTGACACACTTTAAGGATTTTGACACAGATGTTACAGTTGCTGCTGCAGGAGGAGGAAATCTGCTGGAGATGTTGTTTAACTATTCGCAGCTATTAGTCATTCAAATGACTAAATACAATAAAAAAGAGCGGGTTTAAAAATACAAGAATTTCCGGTGAACATTTGGCTGATTTTTGAGGATTTGTTGTGTCCACAGCTCTGGATTATGTGATCATCCTCATTCACAGCTCGGTATTTAACCTGCTGCCTGCCCACCTCCACCTCGAAGGAAACAACACCTCTCCTCCTCCTCCTCTTCCTCTTCCTCCATCAGCATCACCTCATCACTTAGACTTTATTATTCAACCGGGGAGACACACTTTAATAAAGTGTGTGGATATTCTTGTCTGCAGACGCCCACAGGGCCGGTAGGAACTCTCAGAGTCAGCAGGACGAGGATGACGCTCAGGTCCTCAAAGAAATCAGCCACTACAACAGCCAGATCCTCTCTGTAACGCCCCCTTTTAGCCAAACTAATGAACTTTGATTTGACAACGAACTATAAATTTCAGGATGTGTTCAAGAAAAGACAATGAGCTTAAAAGCACAAGAGTATCAGATGCACAGTCCATGTAAATATGAAGCTGTTGGAGCTCTTTTGCAGCATTTTTCTGTCTTTTGAGAGAGAGTTGGATTAAATCTGACAAATATCCTCAAGTGATTTCATTATGGTCTTAAGCACTGATTTAAAACTTGGAAATACAGAGACAGTTCAAATAGCAACGTGTTTCAGCTGCAATTTAGAGGTGCAAAGTTACACTAACAGAACACATCACTGTTTGCAATGTTGCCAACTCCTTAGTGAGGAAAGTCGTTAGTGGCCGTTGTAAAAGTCGCTAGATGACGTCATCGCCTAATTTGTATAATTTATCAGTCAAACCCGCTGCCGACGACCACCTCACCCCCACTCCAATCCCAAGAGAAGGAGGAGGAGGAGGAGGAGTCTTCTGCGGCTTATCTGTGTGTGTCTGTGTCTATGTTTTTGATGCACATCGGCTATCCGTTGAGAAGAGTTTTTTTTGTTTGTTTTTCTATCTTTTTTTAATTTTATTTTATTTTTTATTTATTTATTATTTTTTTATTATTATATCCGTTGAGAAGAGTAACATCGATACCTGTGTTCATGTTAGAGTCTCTAAACTCCAGAGGAAATCGCTCGATTTGTCGCCAGGCGCTTTTTTGAAAATAAGTCGCTAGGGAGGTCTGAAAAGTTGCTAAATCTAGCGATAAAGTTGCTAGGTTGGCAACACTGACTGTTTGAGCGTAACTGTCTGCGATTCTGGTTTTTGAAATAGCTGTCTCTTGTTCTTTAACCTCAGTTTTGTTGCACTTAAAATTCGGAAAAAAGAGTTAAAAGTCTTGAGGTGATGCTGGTGCTTTATCCATTTGGCTCTAGCCACTTGCAAAGATGCAAACAGCTAAAACCAGCTAATGCTAAGTTAACCTCCTCCTTCGAAATATTAACCACCTTTGAATATTTGCATCACTCAAACTACAACCTCAGTGAGCACATGATAAAATCAGGTCTGAATCTGGATTTGAACAAAGCTGTTGCTTAATGATGATGATTACGGCTCTATTTTTGGGAGTTGGAAATTCTGGATCCATTTTTTTTTTCTCTCTGTTGTTTTCTGTTTAGTTTTTGATTTCTCTTGTACCCAAAAAGTCTGTGATCGATTTAGTTCTTAGATTATGTTCAATGCCAACTAAATGGCAATCGCTTAAAAGCACTTTGGAGCCACAGTCTGGGATAAAGTGGGAAAAAATAGGTGGACTTACAAAAGACTTTGGCTATGAAAGGTGAGAGAACGGCTATCAAGGATGTCTCGGTTGTACAGAAGTTGTCAAAAAGATTAGAGTGTCTGCAAATAAACATTTCTGTAAGTGAAGTCCTGTGAGGTTAGATGAGCTCAGATGGGTGTATTAACAGACTTAAAAATAATTACAGCTGATAATTAATTCATCAGTTGGACCCACTGTGTGTCTCTGTGTGTGTGTGTCTGTGTGTGTGTGTGCCAACACCATGGTAACTAGCTGCAGGTCTGTCCTAGTGTCATGTGAATCTCGGATGTCAGTTTGTCTCCAACGAGTGATGAGACGAACTTACACACTTATATAATATTTTCCACCCTGTGTGTGTGTGTTTGTGTGTGTGTGTGTGTGTGTGTGTGTGTGTGTGTTTCCTGGCTCTTAGCCCAGCTGCTCCCTGCTGAATCCATGATGACTCAGCAGTATTTCACAGCACTGATGGTGTGTGTGTGTGTGTGTTTGTGTGTGTATTTTGTGTTTTTCATGTGACAGCGAGATAAAACTGGGTGAGTAAGCAACAGATTGTGTGTTTCAGTGTGTGTCCATTTGTGTGTGTGTGTGTGTGTCGTAGGACATCTTCAGACTCCTCAGTCTTAAACTCAAAATGATGTTTTTCTTACATAAGAATCACATTTTTCAGAGTCTTTGATTAGATTTATGTTTAAAAGTTCATTTTAATATTTCCTGACGACCCTGTTAGAAGCTTTTGACCCTTGTTGTTGTTATTCGGTTTCTCTCTTAGCTTTACAGAGACCTCTGAATGTAAAACAGGTGCCTTACATGCCTAACCCTAACCCCTGCTGTACATCAATAAAGCTGGACATCAATGCTTTAGCAGACAGTGATTCTGTCTGCTTATGTGCATGCATTTCATCCTTATCTACAAAGGGCTGCTAAATTTACTATTCACTTCCAAGAGTCTTAACTGAGTCCAATTTGATTCAGGAACATGAAATAAAACTTGCAGTATAATGTGAAGCTTTAAGCTCCTTCAGTGTGTTTAACAGACTTCAGTGTCTTCAGTGTTTAAACTAAGTTGTGATAGTTATCGGTTCATCCATGGGGACTCTGCAAACAGAAGCTGCTAACAGCTAATATGGCACAGTGTTAACTGTGCTAATTAGTACCACATATAAACAAATATAGACTTTAATGAAGTTGTAGCCCACAGCTTACTCGCTCTCTGCACAGTCACATTACACTCTCTGTTTACATCCCCAAAGCTTCATCGGCTGATGCTCCATGAATACAGAGTGAGAGCAAAGATAGTAGTTTGTGTGGGTTAAGGTGAGCTCATGTTTTGCACATTTAACAACATTTTAAACAAAACTCTCCTGACTTCTCTTTGAAGTAAGGAATTACAACTACGATTGCATAAGAGCTGGTTCGCTGGGTGTAATGTTGATAACAACAGAATGTGGTGATTTGTAAAGAGTTTGAAGACTATAATTGAAAACGGTGCGTTTACAACATACTGTATGTAAGCCGGCACATGGACAGCAGTCATGCTAAATTACTTAATAATGCAACAGCTATAACTTGGTGGGCTTCTTCCTGTCTTTCCCTCTGAGAGACTCAGCCCCTCTGAATGTCATGTTGCTAACCCTGTTGTAAATGAACCTCATTAGTTGGGAGATGTTCCTCTTACTGATTTTTTTGTATTACACAACTATTGACCTGTTTGGTTTTTCCTTTAATAACTTTTTACAAATATTTTGCTGCATCAAATTTGAAATGAGCAGAAATTTTCATCCAACAGTAACATTTTTCAGTTGAACATGTTGTCTTGGTGATTTAAAGGCCATCAGATTCCATTTTTAATCGCCATTTCAGGTTTCAGACTCTTACTGAATCGTGTTTGTTCTTATATGAGCTGCAGCTCATTGAATCAGCTGTTCAGTCCGGCTCTGAGGGTCACTCAGTGTGTTTAACACTTTTCAAGAACATGGATCTGCTGTCGGCAATGTGGGTGGGGCCTATTTGCTCCAACCACACCCCTTTCCCAGAGGCCTAGACATCTACAGTGGAAACACGCTGCAGAGTGTGTGTGTCTGTGCGTGTGTGTACGTGCGAGGGAGAGAGAGGACAATAACACTCAGGCCTCGTGGGGTTTCCAATTATAGTTTTATCTCCAGCATCACTGCTATTCTCAGACTGCATATGTACAGTCCATGTGTGTGTGGGTGTGGGTGTGTGCATGTACATGTGTGTATGTCTACATGTGTGCACAGACCTTTGTGTGTGTGTGTTGTCCAACCTCTGGCTGTTCACATTAAAGCAGTGATGTCCTTGAACCTTCAGCATGAACCAACACTGTGTGTGTGGGTGTGTGTGTCTGCATTTTCAGTAGCTTTAAGCTCATTGGCCTGCGTCTGCATGTGTGTATCAGTGTGTGTGTGCCTGTGAATAAGTGTGTGTGTGAACCTGTCTTAACGATTACAGCTTGATAAATCACGGCCATGTTTCGGACTGTTTTTTCTTCTTCTTCTTCTCCTGAAGGTCGATGGTCACTGGCAGAGCACACAGTGCCGTTAACCTTCTAATAAAGGAGTGGATGAAATCTTCTAATATAAAGCATGACCGCAAACCTCGTGATAAAACGCTGTGTTAGGTAATGTCACTGTCTTTAATAAAGGCCTGGCTACTTCACCTGAACTACATGGAGTTACACTTATCCTCCATATACCGTAAATCCTCCAATAAGGGTGCACAGTTAACCTCTTGTACAACACTGTGTGATCATAAATCTTCTAATAAAACACTTTATTAAATTGGTCAATGTCCCAAATAAAAGCCTGGTCTGTTCATTTGCACACACATCACATTACATCCACTTCCCTTAGTCTATTGGTTGATTCAAAATTTTGCCCCTGGAGATTCTTCAAATGGGGCTCTTTGTGTTTATTTGTAATTATTATAATGTAAATGTCATACTGTAACATTTCCTTAAGAGAAATGAAAGAGCCCTAAGGAACCCTAACCTCTGCAAATCTCTGCATTGGTTACCTGTGTCTTTTAGAGTAGATTTTAAGGTTCTTTTATAAGTTTTTAAAGCTCTTAATGGTCTTGGTCCTTCTTATTTGTCTGATTTGCTTTTACCTTATGAGCCTGGTAGAGCCCTCAGGTCTTCAGGTGGTGGTCTTTTAATTGTACCCAAAGTAAAAACTAAAACATATGGTGAATCATTGTTCCAAAATTACGGTCCTGCAGCCTACCTACAGATCTGAAAGCGACACCTAATGTTCATATTTTTAAAAGTAAACTAAAGACCAACGTTTTTAGTCTGGCTTTTAGTAGAATTTTGTTTAAATCTTTCAATCGGCATTATCCGTTTTTAGAGTTACTATTTTGTGTTTTATTACCTGTTTTTCAATTTACTTTCTTTTATTGTTTGATTTTAATGCTTTATCGCCTTTATTATATTTTATCATGGTTTTATCGTTTTAGTCCTAGATCCAGTGTTTCCTCATCTTTTTTTTACCCAAGATAGCGTTTCCTCAGTCATCTGTGGCAAGTTGAAGAGTCCTCACCTGGTCTTTTGTGTATAAATCTGTGTGTGTGAGTGTGTGAGTGCTGTATGTGTTGAATGGAGGTTGGGAGAGTGGGTGGGGTTTGGTATTTGTATTTATTTTACTTTTTAATATCCTGAGCGAATTTGAATTCCATGTATTAAAGTGGCTTTAAAAATAAAATTAGATTGATTGATTGATTGATTGATTGATAACCCTAACCTGCGTTGATGTTTATTTCCATTGCTAAAGCTAGCTCAGTCAGCTGTCATGGTGTAGTCCACATTCTCTAAGTGTGCCGTCGCACTGGCCGCACAGAGATTTGACGCAGTGTGCTCTTCCTAGATTCCTGTGGATTATTGCCCAGGATCACCTGACTCCTTTGTTTTGCGTTGGTTGCATGTCCAAAATAGGTGAAATATAAATAATCAAAGGAATAATAGTGTTGTAATGGATCTTGGTTTTACACCCCAGCTTTTTTGAACTCTTTGAGTCTTACACCTGGATCTGCTGTTCTTTCAAGATTTTGGACAAATTTTTTATCTTAAATAATTTTTAACTTCAGTTTCTTAGACTGTCATGAAACTGCTTCATCTTTCTGTCTGTATTGATTCATTTTTTCACTCAGTTGATGGTTACAGAAAACTGCACGTTAATAGACACTTCTGCACATCTTAGCTTTGCTTCCAGACCCCGTTTCTCCTAAAGGCTTCACTTTCTGATCTCTTTATGCATTCGCATTTTAAAGAGGAATACTCTATGATAATAAGACTTCAGACACAGAAACGGGAGAGAAGTTCAGATTAAAGGAGCCTAAATGAGGTCTCCAGACTCTTATTAAGCAGAAGTCATGGCTCTATGAATATTCATGGACCTATAATGTCAGGTTTTGAAAGGACTGGCTGCTACAAGAATTATTCAAGGACTTTTCAAGGTAATCTTCAGTGTTTAAATTCTTACAGAACTTGAGGCACACAATGCTTGCGTGGCTAATGAACACTGTCCTCATGCTTTTCAGGTTGAAGCAAACCCTCAGAGTTTCCCTCGCCGCCCAGAGATTTTCAATTTTCAAACCACGTCTGAAAGTATTTCTGACATCTTTCTTATCGATGAGTCAGGTAATTTAAGCCGACTCTACCCTGATTTCACTGTCACTGACAAATTTACAGTGTCAGAATAAATTCACAGAGCTACACTGGAGACGTGGTTCCTCTGTCATCTTGATAATTTCACTGAAGGGTTGTAATAAAAGTCAGTCCAAGCTGTTTGAAGTCAGTCTTATTTTGTCTTGATGTTGAGACCGAATGATAATTTCTGTCTTTATAAAAAATGACAAACTTCTCTGTGTAGCCAGTAACAGAGATATTGTTGAGTGTCCTAATTATCTATATATAAAGCCACTGTGTGTTCAAAGCAGAGATAAAAAAGTGCATGCTTCAGAAAAGGTGCTTCAATGTTGACTTGTAGTGTTTAGATATTCATTTGATGTTTTTATCATTTCTTAATTTACATATAGGATAACTTTTTAGTGTGATTGTGTAATCATATTGACCAGAAAATAACAGTTTTTTTTTACCCCTCACTAAGCATCTAGAAAAAGTAAGATTGTGTTGGATTAAAATCCACTCGTTTCGTGAGACCAGCAGCTTTCCGGTGATAAACTCTCAGTGTTTCTGTGACATCCAGCAGTTTTTCTATGCATCAGAGCCGATGGGAGAATTCTAGAGACTGTCCAGAATCAGTCCCTCAAATAAAAAGGTAATTCATGATCACTTATGGATTCATTTTAGTGAAATAGTGTTATGACTATGGTCAGCTGACTACACTAGAAAGAGGCTACTGTCTTTGTTTTAGTCTGTTGACTAATCAGAGGCTGTATCTGCAATCAGATTAATCCTTTTTAGCTTATTCTAGTATCTGTAGATCTGTGCTCTTTCTGTGCACCAACATATGAATACTTCATATACACGTGGTATTTTTTTTACTTTAATTCAAACGTCCTTTAACTGGATTTTATTACATTGTTTTGTGTGTCTTCATAGGCTGCAAACTTAAAGTCTGCTGATACCTGATTGGTTGATATTTACGACTGGTGAAGCACTACCTAGGTTTTAAAATGGTTTAATATATAGGAAGTTAATTTGCTGAAAGTTCATTGATAACAACAATGGTGTAATAGGGTGGTGGGATGGGATTATGTTTGAGTATAACAAAATGTATTTTGAATTGTATTGTGTCTTTATTTAAAATAATTAAGATACTTTGTTAAAAAAAATATTATATAGAAGTTGATAAAAAATTACATCACTGTAAAATGTAGACAACCAGCCTGCTGGTGGCGCTAGAGGAGATGTTAGATAGAAACCAATGGGAATATATATCCCTGTGAAGAGGCAGTCAGGTTCAGCTCCAGACTCTCTGCTACAAACAGGTTGATTTAGTCATGGAGGTGATGCGTTCAGGGACAGTTTGCGTTCTCCTCATTCATCACAGAGTCTAAAGTTAAATGCCTCCTTTGCTTTTGGTTGTAATTTTTCTTTGTGTGCAGATAAAAACTGGACGGGTTTAAAATCAGATTGTTTGGCAGAGCGGTGAATCCTGCAGTGACCTCCACACCTCCACTGAATCATCACTTAAACGGTTTCACACTGTCAGCTGGAGCTCACCTGTCTGCACCTTCATCACCTGATCCTCTGAGAGGCTTTCTAAGAACGTACCTTTTAATTTTGAGCGGACTTTATTGGCTGTCTTCTTGATGTCAGCTGTGAGGTCCTCCAACTCCTGCTTGGTCTCTGTAAAGAGGAAATAAGACAGAGGTAGAGAAGTGATTTAGCAACAAAGTTAAAACATTATGACATTTTATCCCAACATTTATTACGGCTCTGTTTCGTTATCTGATTTTAGGGCCTCAGCAGTAAGGGTGTGAGAACCCTTTACGCACCACTCATGAGATTATTCTCTCTCCCAAATGAATGGCCTTTTTGGAGGTCTAAACATGCCCCAAAACTCACCCATTGGGCGTATGTGGATTTAAGATCTTGCAAGTGCTTTGTGTGAAAACCTTGAGTATAGTTGCTCTAGAGCGCCCTCATGAAATCCTTCCCAAAGCACTTATTTCACCTACATTTATAAGCTACACTATGCAAATATGTCACATCAAGACCGACAAAATAAACCCTCTTGCACCCATCTTCATAAAGACGCTGTTCATTGTGGACACACTAGAGACCAAAGGTTCTCAGAAGCTTGAGTTTTTGTCATTGAGTGTGGTTAGACCCCTAAAACCTCTAACCCCTAATTTTCACCGCATCCGAAACGGCTCCAATCAAGAACAGCGGCGGTTTTTGCCATCCGCCAGTTCCTACCGGATCTGTTTGTGAGGCGAATTTCGTGGCAGATTACAGACAGCGGTAATCACGAGAACTCAACTCCGCCCGTTTACATGGTGTGAAATATGATCCGCCTGTTTTATTATAAAAAGAAACTGGATATTTTATTTTGTGTCTGTGCCCAACTTCCTTTCCAGCACGGGTTAATCTGTGCTGAATTTATCCGCCATGCTCTGGCGTCCGGAAAAAATAGAACTCTTGCGATTGGCTGCGGAGTCTGGCGATCCACAGCGGATCCCAAAACAGCCGATGGAAATTGACACATTAACTTGAATGGTAACGATCAGCTGCTATGATCGGCGGATACAGCCTTTTCATAGCCGTTCCAGATGTGGTGGAAATTTGGGGTAAAAGTCATTTTATCTCAGCCTTGCGCGCTCCAATCTGACCCAAACTCACCATTTGTGTAAAAAGGTCAGGGCTTGAACACATTCATGTGGAAAAAATTGATCACAACCACAGCGTCCCCTAGCGGTAGCACTAAAAGTCAAGCTTTCACTCTTTGATTTGTATTTCCAAGCCTGTTGGAAGTATGTTGAGCATATCAGCATAATTTATGTCTCTGAGATAGCTCCTCTTTTCATATGTAAATTCTAGTGCTTATGTACTGTACTGTGGTTCCTGTGTGTCTGTGCAGGCAGCTTGGTGTTTTTGCTGCCATCTTGACCAGATCTCCCTTGAAAAAGACTTTTTTTTTCTCAACGGGACTAACCAGGTTAAATAAAGATTAGATTAAAAAATACATATTTGCAGAAGGGTTTTCCCAGAGTTGTCGAGAGAAAAGCTCGAGCTCCATATTCATTTGTGCTTGTGGGTTACATAAGAAATCTTGTGCATTTTATTTCATTCTGACTCTGAGACTCTTAGGGTCTGACAGTCTGAAGCACCGCATTGTGTATTTTATTTTATTTTATCTTAAATCTGAGCATCTGGCATGTTTGGAGTGTGTGTCTCAGAAACTGAATTTGACGCTCAAAAAGGTCAGAACAGAGGAAGAAGAAGAGGATGTGAAGTCGGTGTTTGATGATGTGTGTGCAGAAACAGTAACATCACATCATGTCAGCCATGTTGGAGGGAGGGAGGCCGTGTGTGTGTGTGTGTGTGTGTGTGTCTGTGTGCGTGTGTGTGTGTGATAACTGCAGCAGTGCAGTCAGATTTACGAGCGCTGCAGTGCCATTCAGCCTCCCCTCGCTCTGACTCACCCCTCTCTCCCCCTCTTCCCCCCTCTCTGTCTGACCGCCTCCCACCTCCTCTCTGCTCTCTTCTGCGCTAGCTGCTGCTAGCACTAGATGCTAAGGCTATACTGGCCTCACATGCTGAAGCTGAACACTGTGTGTGAAACAGTAAAAGACTTCCTCTGATTGTGCAGAAAAGCTGCTAAAAACAGGATCAGATTTAGTGCTGGTGGAGTTATCTATAAGAGGGATTTGAGTGGGTTTTTCACACACACATGCGACTTCAGTCATAATTTTCTAAAAATAAGTTTTACTTTATAATTTAAACCTTTAATATTGTAAGAAAAATTTATATTTTGTGACAAAAATAACATTTTAGTGGATTAACATGATTTAATACATATAAAATAAGCATTTTATTTTATCTCTAATCCAAAATTATCAATTTATTTTGAACCTGCTGATTGGCTGCATGCTAAAACATGATCTTTTGATCGACAGTTCTAACAGCCAATGAGAGGCAGGTGCTGGTAGAAATGGAGCGATCATGCACGGAGGAGTATCCAAGTGTTTATGGTCGTCTGCGGTTTGGAAGTGAAACTACATCAGTCCCCTCCACTCTCACTACAACTCCCATCATGCATTATTCAGGCTGAAACACTGGAATGCATTTAGTGTGTTGGTGCGCTGCAGCGAGGAGCAAGTGACCCAGAAGTGAGGAGGAGGAGAAGAAGAAGAAGAGAAGTGACATGTCTGCACCGCAGGGAGGAAGAAGAGTCTGAATGTCGACTCAGTTTAACACGGCACGATTTTTTTTACACAACACCGGTCTGATCTGTGAGCCAATGTTTCACCCTGAAATGACAGAGTCTTCATCACAGCACGCTGCATCTTCATCGCACATCACTGACCGCTCATTTGTAGGTTTAGGCAGTTTAAGATTCAGGTAAACTCATACTTACAGAGAAGGTGAGGCCTTTTAAAATACAACAAAAATAATAATGCCAGACTTTCGAAACATAGTTGACAATAAATGATCCTAAAGGTTGATTCTGATACCACTTACATGTAATGTACAACTGCAGCTGTAGATTTATAAACACAAACACGACCCTTAATTTTTTTACTTTGTCCTTTAACTGGATCAAAATATTTTTTCATCATCTGAACTGTTTTTAATACAAGCTAATGACGCTAACAAGGTGGCAGCTCAGCTTGCAGCCCCCCTGTTGTTTGTTTTCACAATAGAGGGACATTTATAGTGCAGCCTGATATGCTACAAAATAAAGTCGATAAATTTTGTTCCAGCTGACCAAATAAACTGACTACAATCTCTATTATTATCAGGACATTTATTAAATGGAAATTAATAATGATAATAAATATCATGATCAGTACAAGAGAAATTAACATTATCAAAATTCTTAATGAGATTTATCACACATTATAATTCTGAAAATAATGTTATATATATATATATAACCTAATCATTTTTTTCACCATAAATCAGAAAAAAATTGTTTTATGTCAGTGTTTGCACTTTTTTTCTTCTTTAAAGGATGAATGTAATTTTTTTTCACTAAATTTTATGAGCTGATGCTGACTTTCCTTTAATTTTTGAATTTTTGACATTTTACCCTTTTTTTTGTATATTTTACATGAAAAACGAGAGCAGAGACTCTATCCATCATCACTCACATGTCTGCAGGCGTTAACTCTTTCCTCTCCTCGCAGGTAAACTTCAGGTTTAACACCTGAACCAGCAGAGACTTCACAGCAGCATGCAACACAAAAACACAAAAACAGACAAACAAACAAGGATGGAGGGAAGGGAGGAAGGGTGAGACATGGGAAGGAAGGTGGGAAGAAAGGAGGAACTGAAGGACAGGAGAAGAAAAGGAAAAAGAGACAAATAAGAAAATACAAGGAAAAATGAATGGAAGTAAGAAAGCAAGGCAAAAAGGAGTAAATGAATAAGGGAGAAGGGAGGGAAGAAAAGAAGAGGGGAGGGAAGAATTGGAGAGAAGGAAAGGGGATAAGAAAGAATAAAAGAACGAAAACAATAAAAGAAGACAGGAAGGAGAAAAAGATGGAAAGAAGAAAGAAAAAACAGAGAAAAGGACGGAGGGAAGGAAGAGAAAGGGTAAGAAAGAAAATAAAGAAAGCAAATAGAAAGGAAGGAGGAAAGAAAGGAGTAAGGGAAGGAAAGAGGAAGGAAAAAAGGAAGGGAAGGAAAGACGCATGAAAAGAAAAAGAAAAGAATGAAAGGAGGGTAGACGGGAAGGAGGGAAAAAAGGAAGGTAGAAGAGAAGGAGGGAGGAAGGAAGGAAAGAGGGAGGAGGGGTGACAGAAAGGTTGAAGGAGGGAAAGAATTGAAGACAGGTAGCAGAGAGGAAGAGAAGGAAGAAAGGAGAGAAGGGAAGATGGGTGAATAGAAGAAGGGATGGAGGGATAGATGGAAGAAATAAAAGATGGAAGAGGGGGAGGAAGGAAAGGAAGATAAAAAGGAGGGATGAATAATGGCAGGAAAGAAGGAAGAGAGGACAACAGTAAAGAAAACCAAGAGAAAGGAGAAAGGAGGTATGAAATAAGAGGAATTATGAGGATGTAAGGAGGAAAGATGGATGTAAGGAAGGGAGAAAGAGTACGTAAGAAAAGGAGAAAAGAAGAATGACAGGGAGGAGGAGAGATGAAGAGACAAATGAAGGAAGGGGGAAGAAAGGGGAGAAAGTAGGAAGGATAAAGGGGAAGAGAGGGAGATTAGGGAAGATGGCAGGAATAGAGGAGGTCCAAAAGAGACAAAAAAAGAAGGAATGGAGGAGAAAGAAAAGAAGAAAAAAAAATCATTGATCATGCATGAACAGAAAACATCCACATGCAGAAAATCATGAGATACAACCATGCAGAAAAAAACACCAGAGGACGGACGAGTGTTTCTCATCCTGAGGGTTTATCAAAGAGGTCTGAAGAGACGATGAATATTTAAAAAAAAAAACCACTCTGATTCACAGCCGGCCGGCGTCCAGTAAGGAAGCCCAGAGCTGCCAATATTCAGATTTAATCATTTACAGCAGACAGAGAGCAGCTTATATGAGGCAGACGGCAGCAAATGCCAAAGAGGGGCGGGAATAATGCCAGTCTCTATCCAAAACAGAGCTTAGAGATAATGCTATCAATTAACCATACAGAGCTCAGAAATATAACCAGCATTCAACAAATACAGAGTTAAAAAAAAACAGCATTTAATCAATACAGAGCTCAGACTGAAAACCCAAATTTAACCAAACAGCACTCGGGAATACACCAAAGACAAAGTTAAACCTAAAATGAGGCAAATTGAACTTGTTTTCTTCCTACTGTCCAGCAGGTGGCGCCTCAACTGGTTGCAGTCTAATTTTTTAGCACTCCATGAGAAAATGTTCCTCCTTTCAGCTGATTTATCCCCTCAATGAACATTTTTCTAACAGGTTTATGGTCTATTTATCTAGTTAAAATTCTTCTTCATAAAGCATGATGTTAATTTAGGAAATTATGGTCCAGGGGAGGAGTTAGGGCGGGGCTTACTCTGATTGTCATAGGTTTGGTAGTATAAAAAAAGACACTCTGAGGTCTGAGCTTAATACTATTAAATTTAATTTAACATTTGACAGTATCCTGACTCTTACATTATAACGGTTGTACACAAATTCATCAAACTGTTTCTGCCCAGCAACAAGCTAAAAGCCATCCTGTCTGACGTCTTGAGATGAACTTGGAGGAATCTCTGTATCTAATCTAATGATAGACCTCGAGGCTGGATTTGTTTGGTGTCTCAGAGGATGTCCAAACTCAGAGAGCTGGGTTATTTCTGTGCCCCGCCCCTGGATAAAGATGAAGCGATTTTCCAGGCAAGCTCCTATTTTATCTTAATTTTTACAGTGTAGCATTTGTGACAGCACAGACTCGGCTCGGGGCTTCAGCGGTGACATTGAGTCAGTGCTGCTGAGTCACAGCGAGCCGGGGTCACGATGAAAACACAGAGCTCTATATCTGTATCTGACGGCTCTGATTTTAACTGACGTGTCAGGAGGAGGTGGGCCGAGGTGAAGGGAGGAAAATAGGAGGGAAGGGATTAGGGGGGGAGCTAGGGAGTGAAGAAAGGAAGAAAGGTTGGAGAGAAGGAAGGAGAAAGGGGGTGCAGCTTTGCAACTCAGCATAGCTATTGTCCCTAAATGCTGATTGGTTCCAGGAACTTATGCTGAATTCAGTAAAATACTACTTTTTTACACCAGACCTGCAACTTTAAGGGTTAAAAAAAGAAAAGCAATTAATAAAGTGTATGGAACTGCAGTTCCTTAAATGTCCACTAGAGGCTGTGTCCTACAGTGAGTCAGTCCCCATAGAGGAAAATGTTTAAACTCTACAGTAGAAATAAACACGTTTCCAGTCTGAAAAACACACACAATTTGGGGCTCTATAGATTAGTTTACAGTTCATGACACCTGAACAGATCGAGTTTATCGAGAACCCACCTCTTTACATCAGATTAAAGATTTAAAGAATGGTTAAATAGGGGCGTGGCCTTTTTGATTGACAGGTCACCTTATTTGTTGAGTGTCTGAAGTTATCTGACCTGCCCAGTTTATTACAGAGCATCTAAGAAGTCGAAGGAAACACAAAGCTCCCAAAAAAATAAAAAAGGTCCAAATTTGTTTTTTTCTTTTTCCAAAACCTCAGTAAGTGTTGGTCCTCACAGGTATGGAAAGGTATCAGAGTGTGATTGTCTTACTTTCGTCAGGGTTGGGTGCGGCCAGGATGGCGCTGTGCTGCTTCTTGACCTGCTCCACATCCTCCGACAGCTTCTCTATACAGCCTCTGATCTCCTCCACCTGCACACACACAAACAAACACACGCACACACACACACACAGACAGACAGACACACGTTAAAAACAGTTCATAAACAACCAGTAAAACTTTCCAGTTCCCTTCATCTGATGATCAGCTTTTCCGCAAAGACAAAAACTGAAGACGATGATCAGCTCTGAAGCTTCCTGCCCTCAGGTGGAGGATTAACACCAAATCTGTGTTTCTCTGTGTGTATGTGTGTGTTTGAGTGTGTGTGTGTGCACTGTGCCAGTCGATGTCTATCGGCGGAGGAGGATAATCTACCCTCCACAGTGGACTGAAGGTCACCGCTCTCCCACGCCACAAACAACTTCAGAATTTTTCCTGCTGAGTTTAAAGATTTTAAATGAAATTTTGTTGAATTTTAACAGATTAAAATGTTCAACTGAATGATCAAAGGTTTTAAATGTTGACAGAAAACAGCGTAATTAAATAAACTAAATAATAATGTACCTCTGCATTCAGATAATACAGACTGATGAGCACGTTCATCTTCAACTCTTTAGACGTTTTGATATATTTCACTCTGACCGGCTGGTTTGTCTTTTGTTCTCTCAGAGGAGATCTCTACCTTATACTCTGTTAGCTTTCAGTTATAATCCAGAATTACAGGACCATTTTAGAAACTGAGCTTGTGTGCAGAGATATTTCCTCTCTGTTCATCTCTTATTTGGACATTGTCAGACATCACTTTCTGCATCAAATCTGCAAATAGAGGAATTTTGTGTTGAATGGTCCCACCAGAGTAAGAAAACCAAAAGAGCTTTAACAGTTCAAAAACAGGAATCTAAAAAATAAAACATTAATCTAAAATCTAGATAATAATTTCTTTATCTGAATAAATTAAAGCATCTTTTGTTTCACTAAACACCCAGAATATACACTGTGTTGGATGTGTATTATGTGTGTTTGTGCGTGTTTAGGTCTTACCTGTTCAAAGAACTCGTCCATGAAGTGGTCCCTATCGACCTGCACCACCTCCTCATCATCATCGCTGTCCTTAGCCTGCAGACAGAGAGGTGAGGAAGAAGAGATTTAATCATTTCATCTTTATTAATTTTCAGCAACACATTAAGATAAGAGATTACTGTGATTTCTTCTCCGTATTAACAACGGCTGACATCAACGAATTGAGTTTTTTGATCAGAGACCAAAACTCAACCAGAGTTGGTCTGTCGGTTTGTCAGGTTTCTTTTCTTTTATAGAGAAACAAACAATTCATAATCTCAGGAACCGATTGAACACAGAGCTGCAGGTTCATCTGAGATTATAATGAGAAACAGGGGAAAAGCTGATGAATCCAGAGGAAACTGACATGAAAAACCAAAAGGTAGCTCAGTAACACAACAGTTTTGCCCCAGAGCACTAAAATCATCTGAGACCTCATTTCTTTTTAGGGATGAAGAAAAGTGCCCAACATAAATATTCAAACCAGAAAAAACAGGAAGTTTCTTTTTTAGATTTTTAGTATTTAAACTAAAACAACAGAGCCTCAAATCAAAGTCTGCTGTGTTACCCTTACTGTCAGTCTGCACTCAGGTGAGCTCAGGTCATTCAGACCAAAGCAAACGCTCTGTGAACGTAAACAGTTTCAGATTACACTGATTTGCTTTCTTCGTAGAGTGTGTGTGTGTGTGTGTGTGTATGATAATAAACAGTTTGTTGCATCAATAATGTGACATGGTGTTTCATCGATGAACCTGACTGCTTCTCACAGTCATTATAACTTGATTCCCAGGTCACATCAGCACAACACAATCCTAACACCTCAAACTGGAGACACAAACGAAACAGCAGCATGGGATTTACTTTGAAAGTCACAGACATGATCCATTCACAGGAGATTAAAAACACAGACATCCTTAATCGACGTTAGATGGTTAAATGGATCATTTGTAAAGAATAAAAGCTGTTTAATTCCCTGAAATGAATATTCAAACTGGTTTAAATGGTGATCGGCTGGTTTTAAGAGCAGAGGTCAATCATGTGATCCGATGAGGGTTAGCCTTGCTAGCTGCTTAGCATGTAGCAGCAGCCCGCCTGCAGCTCTCTGTTTCTGCATCTCTGTGTGCACACTGCAGCCCGCCTGTCCCTCTGTGCCCTCTCTACTCCCCCCTCTGCCCTCCCCCTCCTCACCCTGCGTCACACTGACTCTGCAGAAGACACACACACCCACACACACACACACACACTCACACTGAAGATGCCACAAACACAATAATCTCCCTCTGACTGCTCAGAGTCTGAGACGATCAGACGGTTTAACCCTTCAGAATTAAAATCAAGGTTTTTTTATTTAACAGCTTTTATCACTTCATTTTCTACATTTTCACACCATATAAAAATCTGAATTATTGTATTTCTGCATGTTTTAAACCTTTTAAATTTCTGCAGTTATCTTTGAACTATCAGCTTGAGGATCCTCTCTAGTGTTAAGTCCATTCCAGACTAGTAAAGAAAATAGTTTCCCGCTGCATAAACACGCCAACTAACGTAAGAGAGGTGGGGTTTCCTTCATGTCATTTCAGTGTGTTTTAATCAAACATGTCGATTTCGACCCCACTGTGACTTCCAGGTCTGGAAACAGGGCCCCTGAAAAGACCCATATTGACCCCTAGTTTTGGGGAGGAGGACACGTTCATGTCAATAATTTGATTTTCTCAGCTGCATGTATACGTGGACAAGGAGAGAAGTCCGATTCAGGGTGAAAAAAACGAATTATGATCTTAGTCCGGTTAAGCCATGCATGTAAACGCACCGAATGATACAAGGTAAGTATGAGATTGGAGCAGCTCCAGTTGGCTGCTTGAACTCGCTCTCAGAGCTACATTAGTTAGACCAGAGAGTCAGTCTGACAGCTCCTGAGGTGGACTGATTTCTCTCAAGTTATCCAGTTTATGAGTTGAAATCATGAATCAGAGGAGCCACCTTAAAAGTCAAAATGATAACTATTATTTCCTCTGGATGTTCACTCATTTTTTTGTTATGTTTTGCACTTCAGTGCCAGCGTACTCTCTTTGTTAGATCAGCTGAGCTGCCATGAGTCAGACTGGAACGTTCCTTTAAAACCATAAACATGAAATAATCTCCTCTGGTGTCTTCACCTGAATCTGCACCAGCATCCTCCATTCACCTGCCAACACACCTGACTCCGAGTGTGTGCGTGTGTGTAGGTGTGAGTGTGATAATGATGCTGCATGCTCTCAGTCTGTCTGCTTCACTTCTGCTCAATGCCAGAGGTCAGAATATTCCAGCATCCCTCACACGCTTGCATGCTGTGCACACGTAAGAATAATGGTTTGGTCTGATGATCTGATTGGTCGGTTTTTAAATAATAACCTCTCTAACTCTTTTTTTTTCATGCGGTGTGAATCTAGAGGAGAACTTTGATTTAAGCCGTGCAGGGACGTACAGGCCAAACCTGAGGCTGTACCCGGGTCACACAAACCCTTTAGTGACCCTCTAAAGTCCAGACCTGCAGAAATCACTAGGGCCTGTTTCTATGAATGCCCCAGAGCATGATGGGAAACAGAAACAGAGACAAAACAACGAACATGTCTGCAGAGCGATGATAAGACGTGTGACAAAGAGCTGCTGACACACACACACACACACACACACACACACACACATACACACACACACACACACACACAAGTTTTACACACACACTCTGACATCTGGATGTCTCACCACTACCAAGAGAGAAGAGGAGCAAAGGATATGTGATACATTGTCAACATCAAAGGTGCCTGTTTGACTAAAAACATATCAGGATCAGGATCAGAATTAGGATCAGAATAAGGATCAGATTAGAAATAAGAATCATAATCAATATCAGAATCAGAATTCTATTTCGAACCAGGATCAGATTCAATCAGGATCAGGGTCAGAATCAGATTTAGAATCAGAACAGAAATCAAAATCAGATTCATAACCAGGATCAGAATTTGAATCACTTTCTGAATTGGAATGGCAACAACAATTAGAATCAAAATCAGAATCTGGAGCAGTGTCAGGATCAGAAACAAAATCAGGATAAGAGTCAGATACAGGATCTGGATCAGAATCAGGATCAAAATATGAATCAATAATAGGCATCAGAATCAGTACGAATCTTAATTTGGGGTTAAAACTGGGATCAGAATCTTGATCAGGACCCTTATCTGGGGTCAGATTGGTTCAATGCGTTGTATGTTTACATATAGGACGTGTCTTGGAGCTAAATCCTGATCACAGATCAATAATAGAAATGACAATTAAAATATAAAAAAGTAAAAATAGAAATAAAAGTACAAAAATCATTCAACATTTTTTCACCGCAGCTCTTTGACTGTCACGAAACTTTAACTTTGGAGATAATCAAAACACGACAATTTCACACAAACTGCAGAGAGGAGATCTGATTTATGTGTGCAGAACGTCTAACCCTGTTTGCCAAGTCTTCTCTTATTCTAACCCTTTCCTACAGTGTTTTACTGGTCTGTCTATGACCTTTGACCTCATGGACCTGCTGGACGCTTGTTAGTCTTCTAAGTCAGAAAATAAAAAAATCTGTGAAATAGCCAAACATAAAACCTCCAATCAAAGTTAACCAAACACGGATCCTTCAGTAAAATAACTCACTGTAAAGATGAACATCATTTCTCCTTCTCAGTGTTTTTTTTTAGTTTATTCCATGGATGCATGAACACCTAAACCATCACTGAACTTCTGTTTCGTTTGAACTAATCTGCAGTGTGTGTTTGATATGAAAGCTGATCATGTTGGTTGCTGCAGAGTCTTAATGAAGCCAATCAACGTTTCTCCTCCTTGTGTTCATTAGACATTAATTCAGGCTTAACCCTGCTCGTTTTGAAGAACCCTGTGGGCTCAGGAGTGAAATAAAACACCTCAGAGGATTACAGGATGAAGTTTCCCTCTGAGATTCAGAGCAGGAGGAGAAGAAGGGAAACCCCAGATACGGTAAAAGTACCTCAGACTCTCCGATAAATGTGTTTAGTCTCAGAGCAGAAAGTTTGTTTTTCCTGATTCCCCCGCAGCACTTAAATGCACCACGTCAGTGAAAGTAGGTCAGAATAAGATTCAGAAACTGAGACAGCTTCATAATAAAGATTAAACTGAAATCACGATCACTTCATTCATCCTTCAGAGTCTGAGAACGAGCCAAAAAGACTGAAACTGATCTCACAGGGTGCTGTGACCGCTGACCTTTCACCTTCATAGTCTGGAGGAGTTTTAGAGGCAGGAGCAGACTCTGAGACTCTTAATCAAAAAACAAACACTGATGAGTAACACACTGAAATAATGAGGATCAAATCAGCAAAACCAAAGTGCATTTACTGGCTTCATCAGTGACATTCATTCAGCAAACCGTACGACTCTGCGAAATCAGACTCGGCAAAAAATAAGAGAAGCTGAGGAGGAAGAGGGTTTTTAAAGATTTTTAAATCCAACAACCATCTTAACATTTGATTATCGGATAGCAGAAGGCAATCATTTGCAATTTGGACAAAATATAAATGTTTGAATATCAGTTGCTGTCAATGGAAACATCTAAATATGCTGCATTTTCATCCCTCACAAACGCAGCAGAGCGAGACTTCTGCCCATCTTCTAATTTTCTGTGACAAATATGCAGCCCACTCTAACGGTGTTCAAATATATAAATGGAGCTAGAGGAGAAAAGTAAGATTCTGAGGTTGAAGTCTCAAATTTGAGAGCGTAAAACAACAAATTTGTTAGATAATTAAGTCGCACTCTGGCACCAATGCGACTGTCACACCTCCTCTCTTGGTGTCATGTTGCATCCTCCATTTACTGGCCAGTTTCTGCAGCGTGATAAAAATGTTCAAAAACGAAGTGACAAAGTTGCTAGGGATACTTTTTATCCGAGTTTGTGTTTCTCACAAATTAAAATCATTTAAGAAATGGGCAACTCTTTCTCTCACACCTGTGACTACTCCACATACAATTTGTGACATTTTTCTCATGCAAATTTGCAACTTTTCTCTCAAAAAGTTGCTTCTTTTTATGGAAAATTTGGCATTTTCGTTTTCAGGAATTTGCAACATATTTCCCACAGGTTCGCAACTTTTTTGCTCTCAGAAACACCTTTTTTAGACATATTTTAAACTTTATCCTAATATATTTGCAACTTTTTCAACATCATCCTCACACATCAGCATCATTTTATTACAGATATGTGATCACTGTCTAACAAATATGTGACTTTATTGACACAAAAATGTGACTTTAATCTTTCTGGCTTGCTTTTCTTTTAAGTAAGGTTGCCTTTCTTTTTTCAAACAGGACATGAAAACAGTCTCTGCTGGTGTTTTATAATACAGCATAAAGAAAGCACTTGATCATTTCTCTGCCTGTGTTTCTCTAATACATTATTTCATGAATCTAAAGTACTGCAACTCTCAGTTCATCTCTCTCTCTCTCCCACACACACACACACACATATACTGAAAGGTCAAAGGTCAGCAGCCTTTGAGGAAATGGAAAGTTTGATGAATAATTCATCAAAGCTGAAGAGACGAGCAGAGACTGAGAGCTGCCGAGGATTCACCAAGGGACGCCAGAAGAACCTGGACTACAAACACACGGAGAAAGATCTGACCCGGTCTATATCGAACCCAGGTCTCTGTCTGACCCAGGTTGATACCTGTAGTCTGGGCTTTGAGCAGGAAAGGCAGAACTCACTATGATTGGCTGCTGCTGCTGCACTGATGTCATCACCTGTCGGATCTGTGTGAGCTGAACCTGTAGATGCTGCTGGGCTCTGTGTGTGTTTGATTGTGTGTCTCTGTGCGTGTGTTTGTGTACAGTAAATACAGAGCAGAGAGGTCATTAATATTTTATCATCTCCTCCTCTGATGGGCTTTTACAGTTTTTGTCCCTCGGGTGTTTCCGTAGTTACAGTATACTCAGGAAAAGTGAAGCTCTCACAGGGAGACTCTGAGCCTTAAAAGCAGATTCAGTTTTGGCTCTGTGTGTGTGTGTGTGTGTGTGTGTGTGTGTGTGTGTGTGTGTGTGTGTGTGTTTGTGTGTGTGGTTTGCATTGCTGCTTTCAGGAAATAGACACCAAGTCTAAAAAACCCTGACCTCCGCCTGAAGGCTTTTTTTAGATGCAGAAATCTCCACTAGGAATAAAAAAAATAAAATAAAACAATCTTAAAATTTTGGACACTTTACAGCCTGATATTGTCTGGATAAAAGGGGAATTGGGGGATATTAGAGAGTTTTATTTTTCTAGAGGTTATACACTGCAAAATGGTGAGTCTAATTTCATATTTACATGGAAGTTTGAAATAAAATGGTCAGGATTAAGCTGTGACCTCCACTGATTAAATATAAAGCTGATGTAGAAGTGCTAAAAGCTGCAGTTCTTTGAGAGTCCACTGGAGGCAGTGTGCAGAACCTTCCAATTCCACATACACACTTACCCCCAGTTTTCACCGCATCCGGATCCGTTCGTGAGGCGAATTTTGTGGCAGATTACGGACAGCAGGAATTGCGAGAACTCACAAGAACCCGCAGATTCATGTGCAATCGTGCGATAACGAGTTTTCTCTATAAAGTTAGCCACATAACCATATAAGCAGTAGATTGTGTCCTTCCAGAGGAGGAAATCTACTTCTAGACTTCTAAAATCTGCTCAAATCATCTCCTCATCCATGGTGTCATCGGGGTGAAATTTGTCCCGGCGATCCGCAGCAAAATAGAAAGAAGCTGGTGGAAATTAAAACATTAACTTGAATGGTTACAATCAGTTACGATCAGCGGATGCGGCCTTTTCGTAGCCGTTCCGGATGCGGTGGAAATTGGGGGTTATGCTGAACAGCCCATTTTTAAATCCTGATTAAAAAAGTGAACAGACATGTTAAGGTGAACAATAACAGTAGGCTGAACAGGTTTTCTTTATATATTGTGGCTTTTAAATCATTTAGAGTCTTTATGTTTATGTCAAATCATGGGTATTTGTTTGTAATAATCAGTTTTAATAATCATGATTTCAGTATCAATCAAAATAATTGTGATGGTGATTTTTGCCATAATCAAGCAGCCCTACACTCGGTCTTATTCAGACTAAGCCCCGGTGTGCAAACCAGACAGTACGTCGTATAAAGTAGCAGCATATACAGACTAACTGATTTAAAGAGAAAACACCATGAACAGACGCCCAACATTTCATCAGATCAGTGGTTCACACAACAGTAAAATCACTTTCAACATTCGATAAATCAAAGAGCAGCTCTGACCCTCCAGCTGTTAATATAAACCGTGTTAAAGCTGCTGTGAGGCGCTTTCGGGCTGTGTCGATTCTGGCACGCCCTGAGGTCAAAGATATACATGTCAACACTTTGCTGATCTTGTCCTGATTGTATGTCTGATAAAATAAAACCACATTCTGCTGTCTGTCAACAGTCAAACATGTTACTGACGGTAACTCGGCTGTTTCCTCCGCATGCTGAGGTCTGAAGCCTCCCCGCTAACACAGGTCTGAGGGATCAAAATCTTTTACTGATGGTCCTGCATGCTTTTACAGTCATGAAGATGCATCAGTACGAACAGAACATCAGTCTGTTAAAAACTCCTCACAGGAGCTTTAAAGTCTTTATCAAGATATTTAAGTAAACAAAAAAAAAAGTAAATGGCAAAATAATGTTTGTTTTCCGTTTCACACACTTTCTGTTAACCTCATTTATGTAAATTAACAAAACTGCCACAGGGAGGAAACCTGGGATGTATTTGAGGGCAGGAGCAAAAAGCAGGAAAAGCAGCAGAAGGAGGAGGAGGAGGAGATGGAAGGAGAGACAGAGGGAAGAAAGAGAGGCCGGGGGAGGAAGGTCACTGAAAGACAGCGGGGTGTATCTGTGTGTTTGTACCTGTTGTAAACAAGCCTGTAATAAAGCAGCAGGACTGTGTGTGTGGCAGCATGTATACACACAAACACACAAATCCCAGCCTTAATTAGAAACCAGCGGCTGCACTTTGACTGTAGCTGTTTGATTATTATTGATTGATCACAATAACTGCAATAAAGAAAACAAGCGGTGCACTGAGAGACAAATCAAAGTTTTCACTTTTATTTCTATGTTTGTGTCACGTGACCTCTCTGGCTTTGAACCATGAACTTTGATTTAGCTTCATCAGACCACAGGACAGGTTTTCACCTCCTGTTGAGTCGATCTTAAACGGGGTTAATGTTGCAAATGTAAACAGAGCATTTCTAACAAAACTATGACTTTTCCGTTTCAGCGATTACTCTGCTATTTTTGCACCATTTCTTTTTATCAACACCTGCTACTGTTACTCTATCCTCAAGGAATTGGTGTTGTAATATACACTGTGCTGTTTATATCTTTAATATGCCTCTTATATATGTACTCTGCGTGTCTAATAAAGGGTTAATGTTTGCAGTCAGAGCAGGATAACAGAAACCAGGTCATGAGGTCAGGGGAGGTGAAGATGAAGATGAGTACCAGGATGAAAATGAATTATTTTTATTATTAGGAGAGATTATTAAGACAATATTTCTATAAAATCTGGATTATTGTCTAAATATTTACCAATTAAAATGTGTGTGTTTGCGTGTGATGTTGCTAATAAAGCTCAGCAGTTTGAATCCATAAACGTGACAACACATGTGTGTACATGCATGTGTTTATGAGCAAATTAATGTGATTAACGTGACTGAGTGAACACACAGCCTGCAGCGGGCGAGCGAGAGAGAGAGAGAGAGAGAGTGTGAGAGAGAGAGGAGAAGATAGAGGAGGGAGGGAGAGGAATAAAGATGGAGGAGAGGGAGAGAGGGTGGGGGATGGGTGATGATAGAGATGGAGAGACGGAGGGAGAGGGCGAGCAAGCAGCACATACAGCAGGATGGGGGAGGGGGAGAGAGAGAGGACAGTATTCTGCTGCTACACTGTAAAAAACGGACAGGTTAGAAATACTTCAGCACTGACTTCAGTAACGTTAAGATATGTAACATGAATATATTGAGGAGCTGTTCTTATACAACCCTGAAGTGATGCTGTGAGCATAACAATATTCAGCGGTGTCAGAGGTTGGGCTCGCTCCTGTCTTCATGATTACTCCTTTGACTCCTCGGTCATAGTTTGCACTGACTGCAGCTGTTCATACATCATGTTGTTGTTCTGCAAAGAACATACGTGGAGGGCTTTAATAGGGGAATCAATAAATGACAGTGAAGGCACCACAAAACCCCGCAGAGTTGTATTCTAGAGAATAAGAATCACCACTGAGGATGAATTCTGCACATTATGCCTTAGCACTTACACACTTCACCGTTACACAGTGTGTTAGTGTGTGGGTGAGAGGCACAAGGTGAACCCCACAGACTGTATAATCATGACATCTGTCTGCTCTGAGGCTACACGTCAACTCCTGCTTCCCTCTATTTCTCCTCTGTTACTCCCTCTGAGAGAGGATTATTGGAGGAAAGACTACAGCCCACCTTCACTCCTCTGAATGTTATATTCTGCAGACGAGTCATAACAGAGATGTAACTATTCACCGCCAAAGAACATGCACCTGTGCATTAATAAAGATTAAACAGAGCTCTGAGCAAACTGAGCAAAAATCAGACAGTGAACAGGAAATCTGCGCTTTACTGGAGAAAGGATGACAAACATGGCAGAGTAGGACTGGGCGATTATATGAACATGATAAATTTCAGTTCGATCATGGTGATCAGCTGTGAGCATATTTACTTGATCAAACATAGTGGAAATGTGCGTCACGACAGCCAATCAGAGTCGAGCTTTTCCTGCTCACTTCTGTAGGTTTCTGGAGAAGTAAACAGAATGACCGAACACAGAGCTAAACGTGCAGCTGAGGCAGCAAAATAGATGTCAGCCGTGACTTTGAGTCATCCTTCAAAGATGTTATTGTTGAGGAGTTATACATTGTCGGTTGTGTGTTGGTGGTTCGGGTATCTCCAAAGTGACAATTAAGTGCAATTAAGCCGACGTGTAAGGTATGTTGGCGGTCAGTGCCCTAAAAAACCGTCAACACAACAGATCTGTTTATTCATCTGAAGAAGTTCTTCCCAAGTGATTTTGCGGAAAGCATGAAAATGCGAGCAGAGTCTGTACAGCCTGCCACTGCTGATGGCATGAGTAGCATTAGCAGTTTAGCTACAACTAGCGGTGCAGCCAACAGACCAAAGCAATCAATCAATCGTATCATCTACGCTTACATCATCTAATGTTTACATTTTAAGGTGTCTTTATTATCTCTGAGGGGGCAATTTGTTTTTATTTTGGGTCTTGCATACCTGCAAAAACACTCAGGACTGTAAACTAATTCACTGTATTATTTAGTATTTATCTACATTTGCTACAGATGCTGTCTAAAAAAAAAATTGTGATAATTATCGCGATGGCACGATACGACAAAATATATCGTGACAATTTTTTTTTGCCAAATTGCCCAGGCCTATGTCAGAGTCAGCAGCAGATTTTTTCTTACTTTTAGATTCAGTCCACTTAAATTGCAGTTTTCATGTTATGGAAAAGAACAACAAAACACTCCAAGTTTAACGTTTCCTACTTTAAACGTGTCAGTGTAAACAGGCCCTAACTCGAGCTCCTCAGTATCTGATTAAACTGACTGAAAACAGTTAAACAGCAGCATCATTTTTTACAGTGTACTTCAGCCTGTGGGCCTATTTGATGGACTGAAGGTTAAATTTATCCGCCACCCAAATATCTCCTCACATGAACACGTCAATGCTCTTTCATCCATCCTCCCATTCATACCACCCTTCCATCCTTTATTCCTCTCCTTTATTCTCGTTCTTCCTCCTCCCTTTTTTCCTTTTCTTTTCATTTCCTAATGTTACTTTCTTCCTCTCTTTGCTTTTTAACTCGTGCACTGTCTCGTATTTTTCCTACCCATGTCTCTATCCTTTCCCTCGTTCCTGCTCTCTCCTCATTTCCTTTCCTTATTGAAATCTTTTTTATCTCTCTCTCTCTCTGTGTCTCTCTCTCTCCCGTCATGCAGACTTAAATCAGGACGTTGACCTCAGGTGTCAGAGTGTGTGTCTGATGCCAGCTGAGTGTGTGTGTGTTTGTGCATGCATGGATACACACTCCATTTCACTGGATGTGTGTGTGGTTGTGAGTGTGTGTGTGTTTGCAGCAGACCATGCCAGCAGTGGGGCGAGTTACCCACAATCCTCTGGGATCTCTGGCTCTACCCAGAGTCCATCTGTGCTCTCTGTGACCGCTCGCTGATTTCTCCTTGTAGAAATGTTTCGTCATTGATCTGATTTTTATTAAAATTTCAGATTTTTCTAGGAAGTATTTTTTTGTGTAACCTGTGTTTTCAGATTGGTTTTGCATTTACTGCCTGTTTAATTAATGTGACTCTGTTTGACAGTCACTGTGAGGTCTGATCTTCTTATGAGCACATGAATGCACCACGGCACTCATAAATAAACGAGTTTAAAATTTGTGAATTGGGCGGATTTTTACAGAAAGAGAAGATACTGTCCATGTATTTCCTTTACAATATTTTACTCAAACATTTAATTTTGTTTTGAATCAGATAATATGATAAATCAGATGATTATGGGTCCTAATGTAGACTGGTGTAAAGCATCATGGCGTGCAGCACAGGTGTCATTGTTATTTTCGCCCAGTGCACTCGACATTCTCATGCTCTGCACTCTGGCTGTGTTAACAGCAAATTAACTCATGTTGGCGCCTGTGGGTGAGTTGGTCTTTAAATGAGGTGTGGTCAGGTGTAAAGGTGGTGTATAGCATCTGTGCCTCAGACGAACAAGAACCCAGTTCATGTTGCAGTTCTTTCTGATATACAGGGGGCGCCTCACAGAGATAGTCAGATGTATTTTACCCTCGTGTCCATACACCATGATACAGTATGACGCTGATCTAAGGATGCCACAAAACTACGATAGCCTCGAACTGCATAGATGATCCAAAATGTGTGGACTGAGACCGTCACCAAGCTCTCCATCATGTGCACTTCTACATTTATGCAGAAACAAACACACAAAACCAAGAGGTGTTTCTTTTTTACAACCCATAAGCACATCTGCAAACTATGCGTACGACCAACTATGATGAAAGATAAAAGTATCCAGAACAAAAACTAAAGCCGAAAACATAAAGGATCTGTATTGAGCGCGTTCCCTATAAGCAGCAGTCTAGTTTTATTTTGAAATACCACAGGACATGCCTGTTTTTCATGCTTGAATTCCTGTCTAGAACGATCTCCTCAGTGTAGATTGACGCACATTGGAAGCGTAGAGCAGCAAAAATATACTCTACGCGTATCTTTAGCAGTGCTGCTCTCACGACAGATTCTGCGACAGAGCTGATACGCGTCCTGTATGCTTTGCTGAATTGATTAGAATGGCAACCTATTCGCTGCATGATGCACGATGCTGCTACCACGCGACGCTGCTACCACGCTCCAAATACGCATCCTGTATGTTTTAGTCTTAAGTCATGTGATCCAGCTGCAAAATAGAGTAAATAACAGTGGAGCATTCTTTGATATAAAGTACAAAGATAGTTAGTCATTTTTAGATCCTGACTGATTCTGTCCAAAGGTCAAACAGAATGACAGCAGAGTTTCTTTTGAGTAGAAATAATCTGAGAGTTTAGCATGTTTTATTAGATAAACTCGAGTGAAACAGAAAAACATCTCTTATGTGAATGTCACACAGCTGTTTGGATTAAAACGGTTTTATCATTGTGATCAGTATATCACTTCATTGACTAATGTTTAAAGTTTGACTGCTGATTCAGTTTGTTATTCCTCTGAGTCAAATTTGTATTTTTAAATCTTATTCTCTGAAATTGACCCGATCCCTGAAGCTGGACAGGAAACAGATGGAGGACGTCACTGAATGGGAATTTACTGTGTTCACCTCCATCCTGACCAGGTGTTCAGACTGCACATAGGAAGAAGAAACAGACTGACACACACACTGAAACACACACACACAGCAAACATACAGTCTGTCTTCTTTATTCCAACGTTCCTATAAATAAACAGTCAAACTGCCGACAGCGCCAGAGGGATGAGCACAGGACAAAAAGAGACGCAGAGAGAAGACGGAAAGAAAGAAAGCAGAGGGGCTTTTGGGGTGGGCTAGTAATGGACTGGAAGACTCGTCTCCTGTGACGTAACATCAACAATTTATAAATGCTGTCTCAGACCTTCATTAGGTCCACCTTTTCCTCCATGTCAGCTCTGCTGGTTCCAAGTCAGAACCCAATCTGGATCCAGCTATTTGTATTTTGATGGAGAGAAAAGAGCAGCTCTGAAGTAGCACCAGCTCTCTGTTGGTCAGCAACACTGGACCACTTTTATCCCTCCTCCTGTGTTAGGGTCTGCACCGACCTGTTTTTGATTTTAAATGCTTAAAAGAACCACTTAAAATAGGTTTTTCACATCAAGACTTTTTGACTTTGTCAGGAACCTCAGTTTCAACAAATTGAAAATAAAAAAATTAAATTGACTTTATTATAAAATGCTCTTATTAAAGTTATGGCACTTGTTGTGTTAGGGTTGCTGTTAACCCGGTTAGATTAATATCTAATAGTTAGAGCAAAAACTGAAATCATAAATGCACTGTCAGGCACCACACTGACAGTCAGTTCTTTTCCAATCATATGAGATTTAGGAAATTCTCATTTTGCCCTGTTTTTCCCTGCACAAAAAACAACATTGGGCATGTCCAGACATGTGCGATCAATTCAGTATAGATGTCTGTGTGAGGGGTATACTGACAAAGAAAGGCCCAGAGTACCACAACAAAAACTAGTATAGTCAATATTTTCATGGATAATGAAGCCTAACAAGGTAACCTAGAGATGAAAACCAAACTGGATAATAGAGAATTGTTTTTAGTGTAATTTACAGCTGATTTGAGACACGGGTCAAAACCGACCCTTAACATAGTGGGTGCGTAGTAAAAGCTAACACAGAAGGAAGGTTAACAGGGGTGCAGGGTTTCTATCAACACATTAAAACAAACTTGAACTTTGTGTAGACCATTAGTTTAAAAAAAAAATTGTGAGTTCTTGCAAAAATCTTTGTAAGGAGTGACGATGCATGTCAGAGCTGAGCTGCAGTGGTTTGAGGAGGATAAACCAGCTGGCGATTGAGGAATTCAAAAGGACAAATTTCTGACAAGCTGAACTGCTGAAAACAGAAGACCCAGAAGAGGTAATGGTCAAGGTAGTGACAGAGATTCACTGTAAATACTGAGTTACTCAGAGGCTTCACCCTGGCTTACTTCAGCAGTATGAACTTGAAACAGAAATTGATGTTCTTGGGATTCTCCTTTAATCAATGGGTTTTCAGTTGGCTGAAATAACAACACCATGATGCAGATTAGTCAAAAGTCAAAAGTCAAGTTTTGTCAGGTCTGTCCTCAAGAGAAGAAAAACAAGAAAACAACCTTTAAAAAGTTTCTTGTCAAATAGAAGGATAGATCATTTGACGTTTGTGTGACGTTTACTTCTCAGTATCTATAAGATTTGTGGCTTAGAGGGAAACCTTCAGTTAGACAGGACTGATAGTTTCACCTGCATGAACATATCTGTAGATCACTGTTAGACTACCAGCGATCGGGAGGAGATGTCATTATGGAGATATGTGTGGTCAAAAGTACTCATGGCTACTAATTTACTATAAGCAAACTGGAACACTGCTCAGACTGGAGTCCAGCCTCTGAGTCCAGATTCTTCGTCTGAAGCACAAACTGTTGATAGAGTTTAGATCAGACTGTAGAGGATCACATTAGACTGTCTGAGGAGGTAAGCTGCTCACGGCATAATGTATGACGACCTGAACAATATCCTGTAATAAGACTATGTGCTTATAGGTGTAATGTAGACTAAAAGAAGAGTTTATGAGGGTTCAGCTGACACACACACACACACACTCTCTCTCACACACACTGACACAAACACACACACTCTCAGGCCGCCTGCCAGCCGCCACCCGACTAAAAGAAGGAGATTATCTATTGATTCTATGACTCACTGCATCCTGGGAAAACAGATTACCCAGAGTGCTTCAGTGCTGTTGGCTCCTGCATCACACTGCTGCTGCTGCACTGAGGTGAGGGCTCAGTATATTTCATAATTACTAATAAATTATTATTTTAGCTTGGATGAAACGCCTGCATGAGTGCGGCTCTCTACTGTTTTAAACTTATAAGGTGTATTTAAAGCTGGTTTCTGTCCAAACTGCCTCGTTCATCTGTAAGGTTTTTTTAAATCACAAAAAGAGGAAAATATAAGTTAATATTTGATCTTAAAAAATTAGCTCAGTATCAGTTTCCAGTTTATGGTTTGTGGTTAATATGGTCTGAATTCTTTTACAAAAATCCTCTAAACTGTCTCTAACCTGTATTGTCATTGCACTCTGTGGAAACATAAACACATCAAGGCATCAGTTAAACAAAGTTTGGAACAAATCACAGAAATTTAATATATTATTTGTACTTTTCAGGAGTTCTACTTTGGCTGCTTTCTCTGTCTCTTCAATTTAGTTTCATTTCAGGTCTATGGTAACTCAAAAAAAAAAAAAAGGCAGCAGAAAGACGGCTTACCTATGGTGTCCAAATAATGTGATAAAAAACGAATCATTAATTTCAGATGTACACCTCATTGCTATTGACATATAAATCTGATTTGACATGTGGCAAATTAAAAATTATCTGCACGTCCTAATTTTGCATAAACATTACTTGTACCTGAGATCATACGCTGGTTGTTCCTTGTTTCCATCTCTTGGTTGCATATAAATCAGCTTTATGCCATAAAAAATTCAATTTCTCATTTGGGTTTGAGATAAAGTACACGCTTGGTTTCAGAAAGTTAATTTTAAACATCTAGTTTCTTGTAGTTTCCTCAATTGTTTCACACAAGACAAATTATTTTCTCAAGTTAGTATTCGAGCATACAGACGTCATAACGTGGAATTCCCCAGGGGTCAATCCCGGGTCCCTTGTTTAAGATTTAAGATTTCATCATTAATTGTTTTACATCACTGCCTTACAACCTCAGCAGCATTTCAATGTTTTTATCCTTAATAAATTTGAGTATTTTCATAATTATTTTTAAAGTATTTTTATAGGTTCAGAAATCTGAATTGTTGAAATATGTTCACTGAGTATGTTGTAGTGTTTCCCCTGAAACATCTGTTAAACCCCCAGCAGCACATCTGACTGAGCTTCAATGAAGTATTGATCTATCATTGATGAATCACACCAATAAACATCACAGCTGAGCTTCACAATCAGAGCTGCTCCACAGAGTATTGATCGCTGAGCATGGTTAAATGTGCGATTTATTTGAAGGCATGAAGCTGTTTGAAGTATTTTTTATCCTCAGATTCATTTTTATGGCTTTTTGACTTTTGTTCGTTTGTGATCTTGTTTGAACTCACTCAGAAACTCTTCAATTTAGATTTTGTATACATATTTATCCTGTTAATCTTTTATATAAATTCTGAATTTAGTCTTTCCTTATTCAGCCCTCAAATTTCCCAGACACTTCTTTATAAAATTTCTTAACTTTATTTTTTCATGTGTTATTTTTTCTATAATGTTGTTAATTTCAGAGTTTACGATGTCATAAGTCTGAATTTGATTATAAAACCAGAAACTTCTTAAACATTCGGAGAAATGTGATTTAAACAGCAACAGTGAGTGCAATAAATCTGTGCTTGCGGTTTTTTCAAAACGAGAGGAAATCAGCTAACTAATAAGATGAAGCTGTATTGGATTATTGACTGATGAAAGCCACACACACACACACACACACACACACACACACGCACACACACACATTGATTGTCTAGCATGGACACAAGTAACACATAATACTGCGGGCTCCATTCAAGTGTTTTGAGAAGTTTAAACAACAACAAAGTTTGAACAGGTTATTAGACCAAGTTAAAGGACAACACTGAGTAATCTGAAGGTTTTATCTCTGTTAAACACAATTATGCTTATTGAGCTAAACTGGGCTAAGCTAAGCAAAAGCAAGCCTGTAGATACCAAAAACTATCCTCTTAAAATGCTAAATTACACTCATCAACTCAACAAAACTATGAAATTCAATAACAGTTGTGCCCAAAATACATAAAAAAATCCAAAGTACATGAACCTATTTGAACCAGTATTGCTGTTCGTAGAGATAGCAGCGTCCAGTGACTTAAGTTATGGCCAGAAAAGAGTAGGAGGTATGTTAAGGGTGATCGTCGTGCACGAGACTTAGGACTACAAGACTTAACACCAGCCAGTGGAAAACCACCCAATACCAGGGCTTACAATACCAAGCTGCATTAAACTGTGCTGAACCAGACTGGACCGCTTGATAACAAATCTGAAGTTAAGTCCTGTGTGAAACCAGAATGTTTGTTGATTTCTCAAAATCTTATTTATCTACTTTATGAAGTTAAGGGATCTATAAAACACTTTTTTATCAGAACAATTCAACATCTTTGAAGACACCAAACTCATCACGACCAACTCCTGGAAACAAGAAAATCTGTAAAAACTAATACACATTAAATCAGGCCCTTTATTCTTGAACTCGATAAACTCACAAGTTATCATTTCAGAGACTTCATTCAGTGTCACAGTTCAACTCAATCTGTGGGTGTCTCTCTCTCTTTTTTTATGCTCAGATTAAAAGACTTTGAGGCCGAAAGACACATTTTCTGTCTTTGGCGTGACCTCGCCTTCAGTTATTATTCCTTCACCCTCTCCAGCTGTCTGCTCTCATCTGACAACAAGGAGTCTGATTTCTGCTCCTCTTTGCTCCTCTGATCCACATCAACACGCTCCCACCTGCTCTGAATATGAAGCACAGAGACAGATCAATACTTTGCAGACGATTCCCAGGTTTATATAAAAATATAACCAAATATTTACACTTAGGAAGAAGAGCATTCAACGTGCTTGAATTTCCTTCAGCTCACTTAGAACAAACTTAACTAACCAGTGTTTGAATCCAGACAGTTGAAGTTAGATTCCTATCTTTGCGCCTTTTGGATCACCTGTTAGCTAAGATTAGGACCAGGATTTCCCAACACCATCTCTGCAGTCGGTACTGTCTTCACTAAGTCTCAGTTTCTTTCAACCTACGACTTGAAATGGTGAAATGGTGAATTCTGGCAAACTACAACAGACCCAATCAAGGTAGACTAAAGTGAAAAATTGGTCTGAAATCCAATCAGATTAGTGTCCAAACAACAGCAAACAATTTACAGAAAACCTTTTTTATGATATTTGCCTGACTGAACTGTACTCAGTTGACTGTTAAATCTCTCTGAACCTCTTTGTGTGATTTTAGAGCCAAACGTCCTTCAGGATCAATTTACCGTGTTCCTGAAACATTCAGGCGTCCTGGTTCCACTTCCTGTTCCCCAGAGAGCGGTAACATGCAACTCGATGTCTGTGTGCGTGTGTGGGTTTCTGGGTGGGTGGGTGTGTGTTTTACAACTGCAGGTGATAGTGAGCTATATTTATATCTCTATGACACAGATTTGTTTTTTTCTAATGAAAACACGAACAGAAAAATTCCACTCCAACGTTGACTTGGCCGATCGGTTCCCCTGAGTTTCAGCTTAACCTCCAAGGTAACGCTGCAGCGGTACAGCTTAACTTTAGCTGGGCAGCGTGACCTTGGCGGTGAAGTGTAATCTTAGCACAAATGTCAACAGTGCAGCGTAATCTTCGCAGGTCAGTGTGACCTAAGTTGAGTACCTGAGCAGTGTAGTTTGACTTTGGCGTGCCATCGGCGGTGTAGCGTAACACATGCAGAGCCAGACTTTCACATTGCAGTGTGATTATAGTTGTGCAGTGTGACCTTAACAGTGCAGTCAAACCACCTTGGCGCAGGGTGACCCAAGCAGCGTAATGTGAATTTAAGGGTGTGCTGAGACCTTAAATGTACGATGTTTCCTCAGCAGTACAGTGTGACGTTCATGGCGCTCTGTACATTTATGGGCTGGTGTGAACTTGCTAGTGCAATGCCCGACTCTCATGGCGCATTGTACTCATAGGGTTAATTGTAACTTTTGTGCAATATTACCTCAGTGGAATAGTTTGACTTTAGAGGCGCAGCGAAACTTTTGGTATGCACTGCAAGCTTACTGAAGTAGTGTGACTTTAGCGTTACTAGTTGGTTACCTTAGCAGTACGTCACTTTCACATACTGCCAGTATCACCTCTTACGTGAAGTGTTACTTAAATGGTGCAATTTAGTGTAACTTTGCTGGTGCAACTTGAATTTCAAATGCAAAGTAACACTGCTATTTTGATAAAGATAAACATCCATCCTAAACAACCTCTTCCTGCTGTTTAAAAGTACTACATTAACTGACCTTTGCAAATCCCAAGTCATTTGACACAAGTTTGTCAAAATATGTCAAGTCCAAGTTGATTTAAATCCAAAATAATCTGGATAAAGAGTGAAATCGTAAGTCGTCAAACAAGTACAAATGTTCAAAATAGACATTCAAGTAAATACAGAATAATTAAAGTTATTAGAATAAGTCTAACGTCAAAAATTACAAAAAAGTCTCAATCTGTGATGCTCTTGAGATATCCAAAACACATCCATGTTATTCAAACAGGTCAGTGACAAGTCCCAAGTCATGTCAGCACAAGTCCAATCCAAAAGTTCCTAATGAATGTGATGGTTTTCCCCTGTCCATTTTCAGTTAGTTAACAGAAACAAGTGCAAGTGAGTAAAAAATGGGTTAAGCTAGATTTAGTGGAGTTTGAAAGTACAAGTCCAGGTTTGTCTCCAGTCCTGGAACAAGTCCAATCTTAAGCTGCTTGGAAACCCATACAACTCAGAAAAAGATCAAGTACAGTCGCGAGTCATTCAAAACTAGTCAGAGCTGGACTGTTTTTAAAAACAGTCGTAAAACTACAGAGAATTATCTTTTACCCAACAAGTCCAGGTCAAATATTCAGTCTTTTCAAACAAGTCCCAGTCAGTTAAAAACCAGTATTGTGCACAACACATCATTCCTATAAAAGAGCAGCAGTGATGAAGAATATTTCTACATAGTAAAATATTAAAGTGTTATTAAACAATTCAATGGATGTATTTTCACTTTTAATACGTTTATCCAAATATTTTTTCCCCTGTTATGTACATGTAGCCCCTCAGACTGGGAGCTCGGCAGCCTCTGGAGTCCTGTTTGTCTGCAGTCATGTTTTTCCATACATTGTAAGTATGAGCTAATGGTAGCACACAGCTCAGCTTCCTGTCAGGCATTAGCTGCAGGAGTCTATTTAAAGGTAGAGGGAGGTGAGGCAGAGTTGTTGCCACTTAGTGTAGCCATCTACCCACCTTTTAATACCTTAATTCAATTCAATAACTGCCTGTAATGACTTTGGCCTGAGACTATTTATACCCCATCTCACATGTTTACTGTGCTGCAGCAGGGGAAACAGGGGATTCAAACCAGCCCTCTGTGCTGCCTACATTCCCATGAGCCAAACATAAAGGGAGTCAGGGTTTATGTATTGTTCAACGTGAAGACAAACTAATACTACAGACAGGTTGGGCGACAAAAGGTGGTACCAACAAGACTCCAGGACCCTCCTGAATTAGAGAAAAACAGCAGCTCACATACTGTACATCTGCAGTCTGCAACACGTCCACAGTTCCTACCTCACTAAACGCTAAATGCTGTTTTAGCCACTTTCTGTATTATCACAGATCCAATCAGTGTAGAGGGCAGATGTCAGCTGATCAGTAGAGACCTCTGTCTATAAAAACAATTACAGTGTTAAAGGCATGGTTGACAATCGGAGATATTGGTAATTATTATGAACCTCGTTTATATGGCGATCACGGTCCTTTGGTGCGATCTCCACAAAGCGAAGAGAAAAAAGAATTGAAAAAATCTGTTCACCCTAGCAGGTGCAGGGCTGCAAGAACACTGACCAATGGGAGTCATCCAACCTGGACAGCTCGTATTGGACACACCCGTCTCCCGTAGTTCAGACTCGTCCCCTCCCACTTCCCCGGCTCTCCTCGGAGCTCAGGGCAGCGAAAAGTAGCGTAGCAGCTTAGCTACATGAGCTGATGGAGAAGGACAGAAAAAAACACTTCTGCTTGCCCCACCGCCAAAAGTGGGAAGAAAATGCAAGCAGACGGAAGAAAGGGCAGAGTCGAAGAGGAAATGTGACCAAGCGAGGAATCTAACTCGAATAAACTAAACATCGGGACATCCTTTGAGCGGTGGAGAAAGCTCCGCCAGGATTTGGGATGAAAACAGACGCCAAGACAGCAGAGTTTTTGTTGAACAGGTACTTTTTGCCTTTAATCATGGCACATGTTACATAAATAATGCTTGTTAGTCTCTGAAATGTCAACACAGTAGCTGTCCAGGCAGCTGCAGACAGAGCTCGCTAGCAGAGCTGGCGTTTACTGCCGCTAGTCACTAACAATCCGACATGGTGAATCCTATTTGAAGCTAGCGTAGGATCTTCTGCCGGCCGGCTTCTTGCTCTGCCAGAGGGGGTAGGGGGAGTTATCGTGGAGCACAGAGGGGAGAGGTTTGTGTGTTGGGGGTGGGACGCTTTTTTCAAATCTGCCTCAACGGCTCAGTTTTTTCATCGCTTCTCAGATCGTCAACCATGCCTTTAAGAGATGTGTAGGGCTGTGGAGCTGTCTAAACATTTCACTGTATGTTCGATTTGTTGTAATAATTGCTCATGACATACTGGAAATACCCCGTAAATCTTCGAGGATGCTCACATGTGTCTGTGCCAAAGACTTTAAGACAATAACAAAATTATTAAAGAGGATTTCACAAAGCCTGTGGCTACACTCAACTCCATTTATTCCTTCAAAAGAAGCTCTTTAGTCAAATCTTCAGTATCTAACAAATTTCAGGTCAGGCTGGTGTCTGTGAGGTGATACAGGCTGTAACATTTTCTGTAATCTATCTGAACTGGTAGCAATTAAGCTAGCAAGTAGTCAATTAGAGCTAATTTAAAGCCATCAAATCCTGAGCCGAGATAACCGTCACTGAAGAGGAAAATTAATCTTTCCCTTCCTGTCAGGGTGACTCAGAGAACGACAGGAGCTCTTACACCTTTTCCTGTCAGGCTGTGACATCAGCATGACATCACGACCCCGCCATCCAGCCATCTGCAGCCGCACGAGGAAAAAACCAGACTGTTTTTCAACCTACAGGAGTATAAACATCTGGTTTGATAACCTTTTTGATTTTTACAGGAGGCTCTCTAATTGGCTGAACGTGTGAATTAAAAGTTTTCTCTGGATTAAAGGAATAAAAAAGCCTCAGGGCGAGAGGAGGAGGAGGAGGAGGAGGTTTGCTGTTGTTACGAGGCTGCTCACTGAGCTATGGAGGGGGGAGGGGTACATCTATAATACATGAGCACACACACACACACACACACACACGTGCACACATACACACACACACACACACACACACGCAGATAAAACCCACACACACTGAAACACAGGAGAGGGCAGGGACGATCTCAGGGCCATTAAATGGAGATGCTGTCATAAATCACATGACCAGCCTCCTACTGACCAATCTGCCTACACACACACACACACACACACACACACACACACACACACACACGTTTGTCTTCAGTCAGCAGATACTGCATGTGCATGTTCAATATTACGTTGGAGGAGGGTGTGTATGTGCGCTTTGGTAAACCTATCTCTGTGAGGACCAGATTTTCTAAACTTGAGTATGTCTTAAACTATTTTTGCTATAAGAATAGAATATGTGGAGAAAAGAAGTTACGCATTTGGAGAGATTTTTTCTTCAAATGTCCTCTGAATGTGTGAACATAAAGAAAAGCAATTGTTCTGTAATCGCTGAGACACTGCGTGAGCAAATAGTTCAACAGTTTCATGGTAATGATCTTGAGTGTAAAAGGCCAAAGAATGAGTGGATTTGATCATCTACAGTTTTATAATCTGGAGAAATCTCTGTACAACAGGGACAAGGACCAAAATCACGACTGGATGGTCCTAAACTTCAGGCCCTCAGGCAGCACAGCATTAAAACAGACAAGACTCTGTAGTAGAAATCACTGCATGGACTCAAAATCACTTTCAGAACCAGTGTCTGTGAGCACAGTTCATCACTGCATTCACAAATGCAGGTTAAAGATTAAAACCAGATAGAAACATGATCCAGAAATTTTACTTTCTTTTTTGGAGATCATGGATGCTGCATCATCTTCTCTAAAGAGTAGAGAAACCACTCGGCTTGACGTCAGCTCACAGTTCAAAGCCAGCATCCCTGTTGGTATGGGGGATCATAACCCCCAATGTCCACCGCATCTGGAACGGCTACGAAAAGGCCGCAGATCGTAGCTGATTGTAACTATTTTCAATTTCCACCGGCTTCTTTCCATTCCACTGTGGATCGCCAGACTCCGCAGCTCTGCAAGAGTTCTAGTTTTTCTGGACGCCGGAGCATGCCAGATGAATTCAGCACAGATTAACCCGTGCTGGAAAGGAAGTCGGGGAAATACACAAGATAAAACATCCGGCTTCTTTTCAAGATGAAACACTCTGTGTTTCAGGCAGATGGTATTTCATACCAGGGAAACGGGCGGGGACAAACAAGTGAAAGGTTTTTAGACAGCATTTCATGCCGATGACAAGATGAATGTGGGGATGCTGATTTTAGAAGTCTAGAGGTGGATTTCCTCCTCTAGAATGACACAATCTACTGCTTATATGGTTAGCCTATGTGGCTATCTTTATAGAGACAACTTATCGCGCGATTGAAGGTGAATCCACGGGTTCTTGTGAGTTCTTGCGATTACAGCTGTCCGTAATCCGCCACCAAATTCGCCTCACAAACAGATCCAGTAGGAGTTGGCGGATGGCAAAAATCGCTGCCATTCCGGATACTAACCCTGCGAAATTCAGGGTTAGTGTCCATGGCATAAGTAGCTCACACATCTGTTCATGTTAACCAACAGGTTTAGGAGCAACATATGCTGCCATCCAGACAATGACTTTGACTAAAACCCCAAAACAAAGGGACATTCAACCTTTTCCAGAAGAATTTGTACACTTAACATAAAGGGGATAATTTCATTCTAAACAAACTACTGGGTTGTTCCCTTTTCTGAGGTATTTTAGGGAAAGTTATAAGAGGTTTCACAGTTTCTAAGAACAGCTTTGGTCACATTTTTAGGTTTTCTAGACTTCAATTTGGGTTAATAGGACTTTTGGTACATTCAAAGTCCAAGAGGGTCCTCACAATTATGAGGTTACAACTGTGTGTTTGTATATGAGGAATAATTAAGGGAGAAAACGAAAACATAATTGACCAATTAAAACTTAATAAGCGTTCCTCACCTCTGGGTTGGTACAAGCATTAGAGCTGAAAACAATCAACCAGAAACAAACTGCAGAAATACAGCTAGGACAAAAATGGAGAATAAAAATGTGATGATATTGAATAATAATGAAGCCTGTGAACATACGTCAGTGAACATACGAGCAGAGAACGACGTCATGATGTGAAAGTGACCTCCTGTGCGCCGGCAGTAATGGTGTAATGGTGACTTTGCCCTTGACTTGGCTGAAGGATGGCCATGGGCACATACACTCAAATGCACACAGACACACACAGACACACACACACACCACAGACCTTCAGACTCACAAGCTAGCTATCATTAGCATGGAGCCTGTAGCCAGAAATACATTTATAGAGCCGACACCAACAGCTTCTCCCATCTGGCTGTTTCTATGCACAAACAGATCAATCTATCTTTATATTGAAATGGCACAAACATAAAGTCCCACCTCATAAATATGTTCGCTTACAAGGCTGCAGACCAACTGGGATCCACAGTGAGCTAACAGTCTGATCACCACAGCAGGTGATGTCCATGTGTACCTGATGCTTAGTGAGTGGAGTTTGATGAAACTCTCAGTGACATAAAGTCAAATCCTTTCAGTTCATGACAAACATAGTCTAGGACACTTGCAGAGTGGGTTAGCAAGATAAGCAGCTCTAAAAACTCATTATTTATCTCATTTTTGTTGCACTGGTGTACGTGAAAACCGTCATTCCAGCTCTCTTTGGCTTTTGACTGAAACGCTTCAATTTGGTTATTTTCCACTTATAGAAAGTTTGACAAAGCTTGGAGATGCTACTTTTTACACAGCAATCTACTCACAGAAAGTAAGACACAGCTATAGAGCGTTACTTTTTACATAGTATTTCTACTAAAAGTAAAGTAGATCACATGGAGGTGTTACTTTTTAAAAAGCATTCTACGGTATAGATAGAAGGTTTGACACAATTTTGGGGCGCTAGTTTGTACACAGCATTCTGACTAATGGAAAAGTAGACGCAACGTGGAGGTGCTTCAGCTTTTATAGCTTTCTTACTAAAAAGGAGTTTGACACAGCTTAGAGGTGCATCTTTTTACACAGCTTGGCAACTACAAAAATATATCTTAGATCATCAATTAGCCTCTAGTTACCTTTCCATTATCAGTTAGGTATGGCTCTATTTGTAACTGTTGTAATGTGTCCACCAGCTTCTGTCTTTGAGCTTCATGAAAGTCTTTATGGATTGACAGCTCCAGGTTTTGGTAACAGTTAAGACTCAAATCCAGCTCAAACTGGGGTTTGTGTGCAAAGGAGTCACAAGTGGCAAGCATACACAGCTATGTTGTTGCTGTTGTTGTTCCTGAAAACATCCAAACTTCCAACTGTTTTCTGGAGCCTTAGTTTTATGGGTAGAGAAAAAAGCTGAGGCCATTTAACACAGAAAAACAGTCCTGCAAAGCTAAATGAATGACCAGATTGGAAATCAAGAGTGTTTCATTCTAGATTAAGTCAACAGAAGTGACTTGAACTAAAAAATATAAAATCCTGCACAAAAGTTTTACAGAACTTTAAACTGAGAGTGTTAAACTGCAGGAAGAGTCAGACTTCTGGCGTCAAGGTGTCCTTGAGCAAGTCAGCACTGAGAGAGCAGAGACAGCAGCAGCAGCAGCAGCAGCAGCAGGCCTTCTGTCTGCAGCAGGTGTGTGTGTGAGTGTGTGTGTGTGTGTGTTGGTTCTCTGAGTAAATAAAGTCAAACAAACACAAAACCAAACACACACGCACACACACACACCTGGTGCCTCCATGACGTTACTTAGCACAGCGACTGTCAGGCTTTAATAATAATCTACTACAGTGTGTTAATGAAAACATGAATAATTAACAAGACAGATCAGTTTATCTATTCTGCTACATTTTTATCATTTAATTTCTAAAAAGTTTTTTTGTGAATTACTTTAATAAAAAAAATGTTTGGCTCTTGTATAAACACCTAATCAGAAACCTCAGGCGTTAAAGAAAGTAGAAAATTCTGGAGTGCAAAAACTGCAGTTCCTTAGGTGTCCACTTGAGGCTGCCTGCATAAGCTAATGGAAAGATTTTAAAGTGTCAATTTTTACAGCAGAAATTAACATGTTTACAGCCTGCTAGGAAAACCAGTTTGATTTCTCATTTAAGCTAAAAAGAGCACAAGAAGCTCAACCTTTTTTTATTCTGAGTAAGGCTCAATTTTCACATAAATCATAAGTTTTTGTCCATCTAAAAATGATGTTCTGTAGAGTCTTTTTCCACATTACTTGAATGAAAATTTAAATCCTGCTGAATTGCCTGGTTTAAAAGTAAACACAGTAAAAGGGACATTCACAAAACATCAAAACTGAGCGTGATTTTTTTGACCTGTACTAAACACGGGATAACGAAGTCTGCAGGTAAACGTGTCAGAACTGTTTGCAGAATAGCGCTAACACTAACAGAGCTAGCACCACCAGTTTTAAGTTATCCTTGCAGCTTAATGTCCATATGCTCATACTGGTTACACATTGGTCTGGTTGACAGATTATGTACCAGTTTAACCAGATTCAGCATACATACAACTTCATTTTCATTTTCTAATCAAATACTTACAAACAAAACTGTACGACAACATGAGCTGCTTCATCTGTGCTTGTTTACTGCTGGGTAGTACAGCATTATGGCTGTAGAAATTAAGCAGAACTACACTCCAGACTAACACTATTTTATTGAGAAGGATAACAACTATGCACGATAAGACATAATTAAGGGCGTGGCTTTTTTGACTGACAAGTGGGCATGTTGTAGCTCTTTATCAAGGGGCGATGCTATGACCTCAAATACACCTCTTTAATAATCTTTAGATTAAAATGCCTCTTCAAACTGAAAACTCTACAGATTAACATGATTCAATAGATAGTTGTTCTGATCAATAGTTTACTGTCTTAACTGACCGAGGATGATGTTCAGGTCCTCCCATCAGAACAGACTAGAAATGCCACAGAGTTTGATTGATTAAAAATAGAAACATAAAGATTTCCTGTCAGTGATGGCTTCAGCACTGGGCTTGTCTTTGTGTTACAATGGACAAGTGTCACCTGTCGGTGTGGTGACAGATAAGGTCAAAATCAATTGACTAGATTGCAAATCACCAGTGAATCAAGATTTACCTTATTTTAAGCTGTATACGCACTTTACGTGTGCAGTCTCATATTACCGACGCCAGGACAACAACATAACGTAAACACATAGCTACATATGCACAACATATATGTAATTAATTTTCACTTCTAAAAAGTTTAGTTTTCGGAAAATAAAAGTGAGTCAAGTCCTCCGAAGTAAAATGACTCGATATGTATCTGTGTGTGTGTGTGAGGAGATTTTTGAGGAGAAAATACACATAAAGTCAGTAAAGTGTATTATATCAAGTGCTACAGTAAAGACTAAGGGCCACACCCCTTGAAACAAAAACAAACCAGGACCTCACTTAGTATAATTACGGATTTTCATTGTAATGACACTCATGTTTTTATCAGATATTCAATCATTTGCTACCCCGCATAAATATTAACCTCGTTTTAAATTGTTGGTTGTGTTTTAAAATCGCTATCGCTCATTCTAATGAGCTGGCTAAACAAGCTTTAGCTTATAATCGCTACACTGATGTCAGACTAGGGTGACAAATTCACAGCAAACATTTCATGAAAGATTAGACAGAATGATCAGATAAAAATGGAGACTTAATTAAGGGTTTCCCTGACCCTCCATTAAACAAAACTGGTCGATGTGACAGCATAGTGAGAAATACATACTGTGTTTGAGTATATTTGTCAGTTCATGTTTAAATGGCATTGTAGGGACATATACTTGTTTTACGTCACATTGGGGGACTAGCCTCCCTTTAATATATATAAAAAAGGCCCTGTTATGTACATAAACAAGTGCAAGTATAAATCCTTATTTTATAAGGGTAAAAGTAAGGTTTTATTGAGTAAATATACACTGTATTAATGTAGGTGTATGTGTGTGTGTCTGTGTGTGACTGTGTGTCTAAAGTGTGCATATGTGCGTGTGTGTGGGTGGTTGCTATAGTGACACGTGGGCCTTTTTTAAAATCCTGCATTGACCACACTGAGGGTGAATTATAGCCCTGCATTCACTGCACCCCTCCTGTTGTAATCAATGAAACTGAAATGGGATATGGTGATAAAACACACACACACACACACACAAAGCTGAGCCGTTTATTACCCAGCAGCTTTTTTCCCCGGTGTCCTGTTATACACGTCATGCATATGAATAGGCTTTAACATCAAACTCTACTTCACCAAAATTAAAAATAATCATCAATCAAACTGCCGCATATGTGATATTTTGGATTTTGGGTAATTATAACAGATTTATGAGCACAGTCAGCACTTTAGTTTGCGCCCAAAAAAGATGCAATGGCTTTTAACACCTCCATATATTTCTTGGTTGAGCTTTTCTCAAATAAATGACATTTTTATTTCTTTATTAATCATTGTCTAATCTATTTCTGTGATGTAACCAAGGCCATCCGAGATATGTGGAGGCGTAAAAAAATAAAAAACTTCTATTAGAGATATGGTGCAGCAGAAATGCAGAGTTACAGAATATTGAAACTATACAGTGAATTCAGTGCTCAGGTGATGAAACATTACTCTCTTGTGACAGCAAACGGAAAAGGTCACTTCTTAAATGTCCACAACAACACTGATTAAACCTGAATGTTAAACACTGAAAAAACAATGACATGAATCAACTCTAAGCAGCTACCAGACAGGGCTCTTTAAACTTTACTCACAATTTAAACTCTCATCACATCTTTGTCAAATATCAACAGCCAAAATATCATAAAATATTTAGAATCACCCTCAGGATGAATATTAGAAATCCCTCTAATATTTCACAACATGACTTCAGCTTTTCTGATTATTTACAGTGAAATGTTTGCAGTTAATGTTTGCCTTGACAAATGGCAAGTGTGCTACAGGCCAAACATGATTCAATTCAAATAGTCATGCAGTTTATAGTCCCTGCACTTAAATCCCTAAGAATCTATTTTTAGCATCAGCATTTGTCTGAATTTAAAGTAAGGGAGCAGCTTGACTCTGTCAGGAGTATTCTACAATTTTATCACAATTTTGGGACCTTTTGAACTACTTTACTAATGCACACATGTATAACAGGAATATAGAATCATTTAATCATGGGATTCTTGTAACTCCTGTCAGTCTGAGGGTGTTCTTCTCATACAAATTATATTAAAGAATGAACAGAGTGATTACTTCCCTGCTTCTTAAACCTGCAGACCACCAGCAGCTGAGTCACAGTATCACCTGATCTGTGTTTAAACCTCACCAGCATGTCACAGCAACCTGTAAGCAAGACACACAGCTCCAGATCCACCTGCTGCAGAGACTCTATGTGGTCTCTCTTTTGCTGCAGCAGGCAGAACAATGATGCAGCATTTTTATACATTCCTAAGCAGCTGCAAAAATTCAGCTTTTTTTCCACCAAAATCTGAATATCCAAAAATCTTACACGGCTGCAGAGCTTGGAGTAAACCATTCACACACAAAAGAACCGAGCTGACTCACACCCTGTCATGTGAATCTCTGTACTTGATAATTTTTAGCTGTGTCATTGTTCAAAGGAGTAATGCAGGGTCAATGGGAGCCTCAGATGCTTTACAGGGTGGCTCGGCAAGCGGCTAATGTAAGCTCAGCTTGTTTCTTTTGATAATCAAAGATCCAGACTTCTTTGGAGGGAGTTACTGGGATAAAAATAAAAACAACCTACAGTTGAGTGCTTGCCCTAACAATAATGTGTCCTATAGATTTTTTAACTGGTGATGCAATAGACTTAGATTGAGACTGATGGTTCCTCATGACCAAAAAAAGTAAATCAGCTGATACAAAGGTTGAATCGTAAGGGACCATTCACAACTCTAAATGGGCCCACATCAAGTTGTATTCATGCATAATTTCTGGGAAATGATGCTGTCTTGTTTTTTGGAGCCAGAGCGTAAGATCTTTGTGGACAAGAGGGTGGAGCTGGAGAGGAGCGAGGGCTTCCCTCTTCTCCAAAAAAATCCTCACTTTGCACCAACCTATGAGCAATTTTTTTTGTGTGTAATTTTGCACCCCTGCTGGACATTAAAAAGATGCGGGTTTAAGATTCTCGAACATTTCCAGAACCAAACACTTCAGCGTGTTATGAGCGGCCTTTGCTTTAAAATCAAGAAAAGCACGAAAAGTTGAATATTTGTGCAGAATAAACTCCGATTATTGACCGGTTTTAACAGATTTCTGATTCTTAGTAAGCCTTCCTCCAACTACATCAACTCTCTCCTCTTATTCTGTAAGTCACACTCAGTATTGTCGACTTCCTGCCTCTTTCACTCTCTCTCACAGTGCTCATTCAGACTTGTCTGGACTCGAAGGCGCTCGGCGCTAAAGCGGCAGCATCAAAGAGGAGGAGGAGGAGAGCGGGCAGCGTCACTGTGATGTGGACGATTACATAAAAATATAATTATTACTACCGAGCCGCTGCTGCCGCTGCTTCTGCTGCATGATACAGCAGCATCTGTTACCGGCAGGATTACGTGAGCCGGATTTCACTCCAGTGATCGTCCAACATGGCCGACAGCAGAGAGAGGGAGTCATTAATGATGGAAGAATCGCCAAAAAAAAAAAAAAGGGGGAGCTGACCGCAGGAATGAGCAGATTACACCATCAAACAATATGAAGGAGTGCAAAATAAAGAGAATCTACAGCAGAGAGGAGGGAGATGGGATAGGCTGGATGGATGAGAGAAAAGGAGGCTGTATAATGATTGAAATGATGGTGCCTGGAAGGTGGGAGAGAGAGGAATGGAGAGATGAGGGGAAGGACACATAGGGGCGGGATAAGAAGGATGAGATTTAAATGAGAGGTGATAGGTGGATGGCAGAAAACTTGGTATGAAGAAGAAGAAGAAAGGAAAAGTAAAGATGGATGGAGAGAGAGGTGAAAGCAGGCATGGAAAAAAGGAAAATGCGTGGAGAGGCAGGAAGACTGTAGAAAGGAGGAGTAGTTAAAGGAGACAGATAGAGCTAAGGCAGAGGGATGAGAAAAACCCAGTGGGAGGAATGGATTAAGGATGGGAGGATGATGGAGGTATGGAGTAAAGCTTAAAAAGAGAGAAGAAAAAGAGAGGTGAAAGCAGGGGTTGAAATAAGGAGAATACGTTAAAAGGCTGGAAGACGGTAGGGGAGAAAGGTGGTAAAAGAGGACAGAATCAAACAGAGGGATGAGAAGACAGATGAGAGGATAGGAGGTGATGGAAGGATGGACGAACATGAGAATGAAAACTAAAAAAAAAAGGGGAGCAGCAGAAAAGATTCAGTCAGACCAAAAGCAGGGTGGTGTCTACATACTGTGAATTTTGCAGCAAAAATCTAATACTGTGGATTGTAGTAATTATCACAGGAACAGACAACATCTGAGAGGTCAAATTAAAGCTCTCACAGGGTTTTTATTTTAAAAAATAAAAGACCTCCCAAAAATAAAAACGCAAATCCTAATGGACAAAGTACATATGATATCAAAAATATATTTCAAAGTCATAATCTTTTATTCCTGTGAATCATTTCTTCTGATATTTTTGTATTTGTGCATCTAGAATGTGTGTCTATGATATTTGGGGGTAGGTCTACAGCTGGACATCTGTAATAGATCCATTTAAACTACAATGCATAAAAAGAAGGGAATATTATAGTTTTTTTACCTCTGTGTTTTAACGCCACATGGTATTTGAGTCTGTCTACCACTCTAAAGTCTAAACTGCTCCATAAAGATGAAAATCAGCTCAGAGATTGTAGGTCAGCCTCTTCAGAGTCTATGAATCAGCCTACAATAGAAACATGGCTGAAAACCTAGTCTCTGAGTCGAACCACGCTCTAAACAAAAGATATGAACTACTTCCATCAAACCGTGTCATGTTTTAACACGGTCAGGCTGAAGCTCTCTCTCATGTAGCAGTCAGATTGAAATTACAGTTTAAAGATGAATCTCAGATTAAAAGTACACTGACAGCCTCTGATGCTGTTTGCTGGTTTAAATGTTGTTTCTATAAAGTGTTGTTAATGAAGCTACTATGTTGCTGATTGCATTTCAGACCCAGTCTCTTAATAAAATCCCATCAACCAAAACGGATGTTTAATTTTTTTGTGTATCACTAATTTTCATGTTAGCAAGAGGCTTAAACTCTAAAAACTTAAAACTAAGAAAGCGTTTTTTTTTCCTCGTGAAAAAACTGTTCAGTTTTGAGATTTTTGCTCTGTAGCATTGGGCTTAAATCTATTAATCTTGTTTCTTTTTAATTCAAGTAAGTTTATGTAAACTTCCCCGCAGACATCACAGTGATCCCCATGAATGAATGGACTTCCTGTTGACTCTCCTTGAAACGCGATGAAAGACTGACCACACAGTGGGCCCAGATTCAGGGCTCGATTGACCCGTTTCAAGGCTTGTCATGACCGATTATTTGTTGGAGTGATACTCTTGTGTGCGGCATCAATACGACTATTTAACCGCTTCCAACCAAGGGGAAGCCTCTGACCTGGGATTATCAAACATGTTTGATATCCATTATCCCAGGTCAGACTGTCGTCAATGAAATACTAATAATGTCCAGTTGAAAGGAGCATCACTGGCCATATTTGTACACCTTTACAGCCCTCGAACATGCAAACATGGTGAACAAAACATGGACCCAAGCCGAGTAGAATATGTACTGTCTTCTTAGCCAGGATTTTACCAATATCCTCTTTTTGGTTTTTGCTTTTCCTGCAGAACAAAACACACACCAGCTGATGACAGTGATTGTAGTTTGTCCTGAAGTCATGATCCAGTATCTGTGACATCTAGTGTGTCTGTAAAATCTTGACCACAAATGTAGAGATAAAACCATTCTGTGTGTGGTCCCCCACTGTTTCAAGATCAGTCAAGATCTAGAAGTTGTCTACCTCATTGCCAGCCTGAGATTAAAATCTAGGTGGGGTTCAGGGGATGATTGATGGGTCAAAGAAACACCGGTCTTTTCCTTTGGGATTCATGTGTAAAACAGAAGGTCAAAATTGACCTCCTTTACGAAGTCGACTTCTGACCAAACAAACATCATTTTGGTGATGAAGATAGTTATGTGACAAGCAAGCATACTGAGGGCCTCTTTAAACCCAATTATCATATTAATCTCACCTAACAGCGGAAGTCAAGCTCCACCCACAGTACATCAACTGATCCTGACGCCACCCCATTTTAGCTGAGGGGGCAGCTGATTACTCTCTGTCATCATCAAAATCATTAAAAGTCAAAATGGGCGTCAGAGTTAAACGTGGCAGTTACCCCCAATTTCCACTGCATCCAGAACGGCTACGAAAAGGCTGTATCCGCCGACCGCCGCTGATCGTAACCATTTAAGTTAATGTGTCAGTTTCCACCGCCTTCTTTCCGTTCCGCTGCGGAGCGCTAGAGTTCTATTTTTTCCGTTAGCCTGCCTACTCCTCCTGCTTCCTCTGCAAAAAGCTTTACAACCTTCCTCCGCCCCAGCCCCTGCTTTTTATGCTGTCTGGGTTCTATACTGTAAGTATTCTCATTTTTCTCAATTTCTCATTTTAAAAATTATTACATCACCTCATTTGTTGCAGCTGACATGTATGCACATGAAACAGAGAGCAGGTGTGCTCTACTTGCTGACTTTAGCAGAACACATACATAATTCAAAGCACAGGGAGCTCTAAGAACAGAGCCGAGGGGGTCTTTGCTGATGTTCTCCCTGTCTTAGTTTCTCATTTATGCACATGAAACAGAGGAGAGGTGTGCTCTCCCTGCCTGGGACTTTACTTTTCCACATACCCCGGTGAGAGGGGCACATTAGAGCTATGCAACCAAATGTATCGAATTAGGTAAATCTCATTGATGAGTATAGTCCTGACTGAAACATAGTCAAACATTTGCACGGTTATTTCTTCACAGGCACAAACTCGGTTATGGAATACATTTTTAGTGGTTGGGTACGGTTATATTACAGAAGGTATTTTTATAAAAATCTATCGGAGAGTGTAATCTACTTTAATTTAGCACAAAACATTTGCAAACATCTCACAATAGTCACATTATAAACCTCATTGCCACAGAGTGAGATTGCGAGAAGGAACGTGTCGCTGATCGTTGCTAAAGTGACTCTAGAGGGCGATACAGAGTGTTCAGAGCTGCACAGTGTAAATCGTTTCAAGGTCTATTTGTTTAGTTTTAATATTCTAATTTGAGGATAGGTACCGTCTCCTCGCTGTATATTTTCAGCTTCAGGTCGGAAGCGATGTTTAAATCAAAAGATTGTTGTTACGTGACAAATTCACCACACGTCTCCAACCCAATTTCAGCCACTACAATAAATGAGAATGTGCATAAAACAGGTGACGAGGGGGAAAGGGAGAGGTAAAATTAAGAAAAGGAAGAGACAGTGCAAAATGTAGTCATGATTGAGAGATAGAGAAATGTCTGATGGTAAGAAAAGAGGGTAGTGGTGGAGAGAAGGAATGACAAGAGGGAGGAAAACTGAAAGAAAGGATGGAGGAATTTGTAAAATGTGGACTGAGGAGATGGATGTCTGGGTGAAGAGATGGATGATAAAAAAAGAAGAAGAGGACAGAAAAGACCGGAAGCTTGAGTGATGACAAGTTGATAGAGGGGTATAAGATGGAGTGAGACATGGAAGAAGGGATGGAGAAAGACTAAAAGGAGGGATGGTGGAAATTTGGAAGATGGCTGGGAGGAGGAAGAGAGGAAACGACTAAAAAAGGAAAGCAAGATGGAAAGAGGAGGCAGTGAATATGAGGAGAGAAATGAAGGGAGGAACAGAGAGTGGATGGATGGAGGAGGAAAGAAAGAAGGGATGGGGGAGGGGAGGAGGAAACAAGGAAAGGATGGAAGGAGAAATAAAAACGATGGAGGGATGGATGGACAGCAGTGCGGTAAACTCCGGGCGGTGCTGAGCCTGTCACTTTTTAAATGCAAATCACCTCCTCTCTCTCTCTCTCTCTCTCTCTCTCACACACACACACACACACACACACACACACACACACACACACACACACACACACAGTCAGCTGTTGATTTATTGATCCGAGTATTGATCAGTTCTGACCCTCTGAATATATCTGTAACACAGAGGAGAAGAGCTGAGGAGAATCCAATCAGATCGATCAAACAGATAGGGGTGTGTATGTATGCGTGTGTGTGTGTGTGTGTGTTTCTGGCTGGATTCTGTTGGTTTTGTCTGACGCGTACCCAGTTGAACCCGGGTGGTGGGGGGTGAGGGGTGTGTATGTGTGTGTTGGGGGGGGGGGGGGCGTGGAGCTGCTGCAGAGTTTCAGCAGCTGATGAGACCCCCTCCCACCCTCCCTCCCCCCTCCTCCCCCCAAAATCCGCCCAAACCTCCAGCATCAGCTGTTCGTCAAAGCTCAGTCTCCCCTGATGCAGAGCCACAGTCAGAAAATGGGTGAGGCTGTGCTACAATGAAGGGACCCCCCTCCTCATCCCCCCTCCTCCCTCACCCCACCCGCCCCCCTCGACACGCACACACATACACACACACACACACACAGTTCAGCACTACCCCTCCCTCCCTCCCTCCTCCCCATCCCCCCCTCCACCGTCTGTGCGGCGAAAGCGGCAGGAGACACGCGGTAAAAGCGTCAAAAGACACGCGGTAAAAGCGGCAGATAACGCCGCATCCTGCTCTCCCATCCCCGCCGCGGATCGATCATCCTCCTCTTCCTCCCGCCTGATCGGGACTGATGCTCCCACTCTCACGCGGCTCTATCAGGGAGGAGGCGCGCGCAGGCTGCAGGATGCGGCCTCAGAAAAAAAAAAAAAAAAAAAAAAAATCACTGCATTTTGGTTCGCGGCTCAATTCAGACTATACCCTCCTCTTCCTTCTCCTCCTCCTTTCCCATCAGGTCATCCAGGCACGCATGCACGGACATGCAGGGCCGGATTAGCATGGATGAGAGCGTTTTCTTTTTTTTCCCTGTCGTTTTCCCATCATGCATGCAGCGCTGCATGAGCAAGGCCTCTGCGTCTAAACCCGCCAAGACGGGCTCAAATTCCGGCCAGAAAAGAAGGAAAATAACCAGTCCGATCTGGAACCGTGACCTCCAGCCGGTACACCCCGTCTAACAAACCAAGCATCCACCAACACTGAGAACTATCAATCTGCTGTCTGAGGAAAGCCTCCATTTCAGGCTGCATCCTGCATCCCCTCCACATCACTCTGTATGCACAGCGTGAGGAGCCGCAGCTCAGCCTCCTCCTCCGCACTCCTCACAGCAGCTCAAAGAGGCGCTCAGCAGCCTCACCGCCCCGTTCCTCTGCGCTCCGCTCGCATCCGGATGGAGAGGCGGCGAGGCCAAAGGGCTGCTGCAGGAGGAGGAGAAGGAGGGGGGAGACACGGAGGCCAACATGGAAGGAATGAAATGAAAAATTGAGCTTACACTTCGCAGTTCCGCCGTACGGTCCTTCATGGTGTCGCCGCGCCGAGCTGGCTGCTAGAAAACGGAGAATCGGCCCTGGTCCGGGAGGGGAGGGGGGGGAGGTTTCCAACACCGCGCCGTTCGTCGTTTTGCGCTCCGAGATTCCCCAGCAGGATCTTTTTTTTCTTTATTCGTCCTCCTCTCCTTTTTTTCTCCTCTGGTTCGATTCCCCTGAAAAGCGGAGCAGGGAGATGGAGGGAGGAAGAGCGCGGTGTGACGCGTCTCCGCCTTCTGCTGCTTCTTCCTTGGAGGATTTTTTATCCGTGCGGTGACGGCGCGCTGGACCCCTCCTCTTCTGCTTCGTCTTCTTCTTTTACGCTGTGCCTCTCCGCCGCTCTGGCTCAGGCTGGCCCCCCTGTCGGTCCGCGGCTTTCTCCTCTTCCTCCTCGGTGCGGTCGCAGTGTGGCCCCGCAGCGCGCAAAGCAGCAGCCCGGCAGGAAGAGCGACGAGAAAGAGAGAGAGAGAGAGAGAAAGTGGGGGAGGGAGGGACGAGCGAGAGGAGGGAGGGGGGAGGGAGTGTGGTACTGATGCTGCAGAAAAAGAGAGAGGAGGGAGGAGCGGGGGAAGGGGGGAGGACGATGCGGAGGGCAAGGAGAGCCACTGCGCAGGCGTCAACTCCAACCACCCTCCATCTTTACCTGCTGCTGCCCCTCCCCTCCCCCTCCTCTCTCCCCCTCTCCGCAGCAGCAAGGAGGGGTGTGTGTGTGTGTGTGTGTGTGTGGGCGCGCGATTGGTTTCAGGTGAATAAAGATTTTAGGATGGGAGGGGCGCAATCTGTTCATCCTGTGTGTCCTGACATGTTATAGTGTGAGTGTGAGTGTGTGTGTGTGTGTGTGTGTGTTTGATTTATGTATGTGTGAGAGAGAGAGATTTAAAAATTGCCTTTAAGATTTAAATTTAAAGTTTTTTGGCCGGTGAAGTGAATCATAATCACATCAACTCAAGTTTCAAACCTCATCATTAAGTTTAAACACTTTACTACTTTGTTTGATTTTACTGCCTTTTTCTTTTGCAAAACATCTCTTGTATAAGTTTATCCATTCTGAAATTATAAGACGTAGATTTAGTCGCATTAAGGGACAATAAAATGAGAATAAAGTGAAATTTCATATGATGAAGTTATGGAGAAAAAATTTGTAATACAACAAGAAAGTCGTCATTTTTATAATTTAGGTCTTTATTTAATGGAACTGAATCTCAGGGGAAATAAGGCGAAATTAATGGAGATAAATTTGTACATTTCCCAAAATTAAGTTAAAATTTTGTAAAAATCCAGTTATCTCAGAAAGAGTCATTTAGCCTATCTATGAGATTAAAGTTTAAAAATCACGAGGAAAAAAGAAAGATATAAACTGACCGAGATAGTGTTATTTATTCCTGAGATTTTAGTTTTAGTTTTGTTATCGGGAGTATAAAAATGCTTGAGAGACAGAGGTTTAAATAAACAACTAAGTCATAAATCAACAAGAGCAAAGTCTTGAAGTTGTAAATTTACCAGATCATACTCAAAATTTACATTGAAAAATCATAAAATCTTTGAAAAGGAACTTTTAAAAGTGCAATATACATGAAGTACAATCCAAGCTTGGATGAAAATTATGACTTTTTAAAATAAATTTGTCCACTGGGGGCACTTAAACTGACAAAAACAGAAAGTTCCTCAGGGTAGCTCCAAAATAAAACTTCTCAACCTTCTAGAGACAGTACCTCTCTGCCTGATAAGTGGTAAAATATTTGATGAATATTTCATAAACCATTTTGATTCACTTGGTTGATTTATAAACTGTGAAGAAAATCTGAATATTTTTACTGCCTTCAATAAAATATTGTTGAAATTAAGGTTCGAAATGACTCTTTTAATTCAGATTCAGAAAAGTCAATTAAATCTTTGTGTTTTTACTCAAATGATAAAATCTAATAAAACAGAAAACTGATGAGGTGCAACAGCGAGAGTTCATTTAGGTTTTGTTCTAAGATTTAAGTGTCAATATTTGTAAACAGTCAGCTTTAAAAGACTGTATCAACAACTGCACTTAAAAACCCACTTCAACAATCCGAAATAAAGTTTAACATGACTTTAGAAAACCTTAGAAAAATGAAACCTGAGCTACAGACAGACAGGGGGTTGGGGGATAGGAGGTCCATGTCTAATAAAGTGTTCAATATCTTTTAAAATGCAGGAAAAGGTTTTTTTTTTTTAAATAAAAGAAAGTTTAAAACTTACGACCACTTCTTGATCGATCTCCACGGCTCACACGACCAGAAAGACAAAACCGTTGATGCTTTGTGTCCGTGAATATTTCCTGGTTCAACTCTGACCTTTGAGTCACATGATCCTAGTGAACCTATTATTAAGGTTTACATGTCAGTTCAAATGAGAGGGAAACCTTATTCACCTGCCACTAGAGGGCAGTGTCAACTGACAGACGTGAACTGGCACCTGTCCAACAAACTCCTGAATGTTCTTGATATAATATATGAATTATTATTATTTCCAAAAACTAATTTCAGCCACTTTTCTGTCCTATAAACAGACAAAATAAAAGTTTTAATATTGACGTTTTTGTTCAGCACTATGGGTCAAAACAGCGCCATCTGCTGGGATTTGAAATGGCAGCATCATTGAAAGACAACAGACAGGCTGTTTTACCAGGTCTGTTTGACTCCTGATCAAGATCAAGTACAGTCATATGTAAAAAGTTACAGAAAATAACCAGACTGTGATAATTAAGTATTTTTATTTTTTTATAGAGAGCATCTTTTGCCCTCTTTTTGTGATTTAATGTTTATTGTTATCCAAATAACACCTCAAAGCACTGAGATTTAGAGGACGGTCTGCTCCTGATGTTATCTAGACCTTTGTTTCACCTTCACATTGTGTCCATCTTGGATCTTGTCCATTTTAGATCAAGGTCCATATCTGGGCTAAAATATAAATCAGGGTTTTTTTACACAGGACCATGTCCAGGTCATGTACTTGTCCCAGACTATGTCCCAAACAAACCATTTTCTGCCCATAGGCTGTATCAAGTGTCAATCATAGAAAACATGAATAATACATTTTAAAAACGGAGCTGTACAGAAAATCGTGAGCGGAGAGGAGCAAAAATTATATTCTGTGCGCTAAGTTTCTAAAGTTTGTCCACAGCCCTATAAGCTTTGCGGGAGTTATGACCTATACTGCAGCCCGTCACCAGAGGGTGCTGTTCTCAGACTTCTTTATACAGTCGATATGTGTGACTATGTCAAGTTGTAGCCAAAATGACCATGTCCAGGTCCATGTTCAAGTTGAGATTCGGTTTATTTGTATCCAGGTCTGGATGGAGGTCAAAGGGCGTGACTCGGTCCAAACTCGGTCACAGGTCCAGGACTTCTTCAGTCTGCTTTTGTATTCTGACTCACAAGAAAAGCTTTTAATCTGAAATTCCCTCCAACTTCCTGAAAGTGAAGGATGTTTTCCGTGTGGAGATACTGTGTGTGTCTGTGTGTGCGTGTGTGTGTGTGTGTGTGCGTGCGTGTGCAGTGATATATGAGGCCAGCTGCTGTTAAACTGAGTCCTGAGTCTCTAAAATGGAGTTTTAATGATGGAGATGAACTCTGAGGCGGCTGCAGGCTGGCTGGACGCCCGGAGGAAATCCCCTCTGTTTCTTCACCCCCTCTCTCCTTCTCTCTCCCTCTTTTTCTAACCCCTCTCTCTGGATGTTTTTGCCCAGAGGTGAAATGATATTTTAAACGCCTTCATTCATATTCAGGCTGAACCGGTGGACAGACGTTTGACTCCGGGGTAGGAGGAGCGTCTCTTTGAACCGATCTTAAAGGAAACCACAGATCTTGTTTCATCAATAATTCACCTTGTCTGCTCTGTCCTTGTCGGCTCAACAGGACATTGAACGGTCTGAATTATTATCAGGGAACAAATGTCTCATTTCAAACCTTTTATGAGGACAGATATTTCCTTTTTGTCCCCTCAAGGAGATATTTTAAATCATATCATCCCGACAAAGATCAGCTGAGACATTACAAAGAGAGACCATTTAAAAAAAAAAAAAAAGTCTGACGCATGTGTGCAGTTTTTCTTGTGATTTAAGTTCCATTCGAATCAAACACTGTCTGGACTTTATCATAAATCATACATATATTGTCATTTTGATTATAGAATACAGAAAGCACCCAGAAAAGAACTATTCTCCAGTTTTCGAGTCTGTAATGATCATATTTCTAAACTTCTTTAAAGCTTCTCTGTGTTGCAAAGACTCCTCAGTGTAATACAACATGTGACCAGCAGGGGGAATTAGCGCCACTCTGGGTGAACCGTGGGCCAAACTCAACTCCTGTACTCTTGCCTGAATGTCTTTTTTTTCTCATTTATTCACAGTGTTGGTATAGTTTAGGCTGCTGAACTGCAACATCTGCAAGCAGAAATATTCAGGAAGTTACTTGTCAGACTCTCAACCAATCAGAGTGTTGCAGTGCATGATGTAATGCAAAGGACAAGCAACGTAAACAGACCGAGGCATGCAGAGAAAGAAAAACACTTCTTACCCATCAATGAATCATCTATTTGATTTGAAACAGCTGCAGACTTGGATTTAATGAAGCCATCTTGGTTTTAAAAACATGTTGAAGCATTGCTCCTTCATCATCTTATATAGGGTGACCATACATTCTTTTTTACCCGCACATATCCTCTTTTTTGAGGGCTGTCCGGCCTTGTCTGGCTTTGTCCGGGGAAGTTTATAAGATCCTTCAAATGTCCGCGGTTTTGTACGTAAGTTTTGATTTTGTGTCACGTGGACTTACTGAGTTAGAAGTGCGTAAAAGACACTTGATCCGAAAAACTCAGAATTAACTTAGTGCGACTCTGTGACTCCGCCCTGGTGTAGTCCTGTCCTCTTTTTGGAGGGTCAAAATATGGTCACCCTATCTTATAGAACCCGCCTCTTTTGAATGATTGGCCCACTTTATTTGCAATGAGGGGGAATGGTTCATAAATACAGCAAATAATTATGTACTGGCTGATGCAAAGCTAAGGGAAAAAAATACACGATGAGCCACAATTACAGTAATGAGAAGTAATCAAATTACTGACGTTACGGCCTCATGGGGCTTTGAAAGTCTACGCTCTTACAACTTGAGGGTGGTGGACGCTTGAGTCTTTTTCTTGTGTTTTGTCTCACCCTGTTAGGATTCAATTTTTCATAACCACCAAGTAACTATTAAGTTTCCCTTCTTTACATTATAGTCTCAGTTTTGTATGATGACTAATAAGGACAAACCTTGCAGCGATTTTCATCAGGTGAAACGTGCTGCAAACAACACGGCTGAATGAACAGTGAATGCTTTTCAAATACACACGATACAAAGAAAAAAATACAGAAACAACAATTAGCTGCAAATAAAGATAGAAACTTTTTTTGAACAGAGATGCTTCAGGCCTGCAGGGGCTCAGAGTGACTGTTTTTGGACCGCTGCATATATTTTAAAGTGAAGTTGTTTCTGCATTTGCAGTACGCTTCTCTTAAAAGGAACATTTGGGCTGATGCAAATCATCTGTCTTCATCAACCACCATCATTATGAGATGATAAATCTACTGCTGTCCAGACGGATTGTTTGCATTCTGATTCTTCCTCCTCGTCCTCTCTTTTATGGGTGAACTGTCCCTCTAAGGCCTCTGTAGCCCCTAACCAGACCCTCCTCCCCCTCCTCTTCCTCCTCTTTGTTTCCAGATGCTCCCTCCTGATTCAGTATCGGCTGGTCACAGGAATCAACATGTAAATCAGCTGATAGCTGCAGGTCAATAAAACCACTCAGAGCTGATTTATGAGTCAGAGCCACTTTGACCAATCAGAGCGAAGATTATACAAGATGAACACATGTAGCAGAGCTGTTAAAACCTCCCGTTGTCTCCTTTTGAATGTGGACCAGTAAAAAAATTAACAACGTGATAGAAAACTCACCCAAGGAAGTACACTCAGACAAATCAGGAAAAATTTGGTATTTGCTGCACGTGCAATTTTTTTCATATTTATTGTATTGTTCTAATTTCTGTATTTGTGCATGAAGACTCATACTTATGTGTGTCATAGTTTGATACTTTTGTATTTTTCTATGTATTATCATCAGTAATTTATTGAAATAACATCAAATGAAACATGAAAAACTGATTTCCCAGTTAAAGTGGAAAAGAAACCATGTGTGAGTTTTTTTGCACCTGAAAATAACAATTCATTCATTCATTTAGTTATTCATTCACTCCCTTATTTTACAAACCCATGACTACACCATGAGCAGAGTATGTTTCTGCAGGAATTAAGATCACACTGCACTCAGGGACTTTCTGTGCACCTGCAAGACAAGAGTGAGGGTAGCAGCTCATTCATGTCCTGCAATCTGCACCTTCACCACTAGATATCACTAAGTCTTAAACACAGTGTTCCTGTAATGCCACAAAATAAGACCGATACAGCAAGGCTTTCTGTAATGTTTAACGCTGTTAAATTCAGATAAATAACACTGTTCAGATAAATTCAGACACAGGTAAAGGTGAGCTGGAGAAATTAAAATTAAAAAATTGCTCTGAATGGCTTGTCACATAAGAGTAAAATGAGATGGACATGAGAACAGCTCTGAATGTAACATAATCAATCAGTGTGTCTCTTCCAAATGAAAAAATGACTGTAACGCTGTTTTTTGTGTCCTGGTTCTCGAATTTTGCAGGTTAGATAGGTCCAAAAATACACACAGTCCTATTACGATTACTATCTTATATGGCAACAGTGGCAAAAGATTCAAGAGTGCTGTGTTGTCCAATGATTTGCTCTAAATTTTTTTTGTTCTAGAATGCTTCATCTTGAAAGTTCTGGAATGCTGGGTTCTGCCATGATTACCAGGAGTGCTGGGTTCTAAAATTCCTGGTTCTAGAATGCTGGGTTTGGAGTACAAGGTTCCAGAATACTGAGTTGTGGAGTGATAGATTCTTAAATAACTGGTTCAGGAAAGGCCAGGTTCTGGAGAAATGGATGATGGAATGCTGGGTCCTGTTGTGCTAGGCTTTTGAAAACTGGGTTCTGGAAGTATCTGGAGTACCTGAAGAAACTTTTTTGTGCTCTCTCGAACTTTGCAGGTCAGATTTTGGGTCCAAAATATAGACAACCATATTTCATCATTTGGCATTTTACAAAGACATAGACTGAATGTCAGTCACTATGTTTTATGGCAACAGTGGCAAACGATTCAAGAGTGCTGTGTTGTCCAATGATTTATTCTAAATTTTTGAGTTCTAGAATGCTACATCTTGAATGTTCTGGAATGCTGGGTTCTGCAGTGATTACCAGGAGTGCTGGGTTCTAAAATTCCTGGTTCTGGAATGCTGGGTTCTGAGTGCTAGGTTTTAGAATGCTGGTCCTGGAATGCCAGGTTCTGGAATGCTGAATTCTGGACTGATGGATTCTGGAATGTTGGCTCCTGTTGTGCTAGGTTTTTTGAATATTGGGTTTTTGAATGCTAGGTTCTGGAGGTCTCTGGAGTGTCTGAAGAAACTTGGGATGAAATAAACTTTTTTAGCCAGAGGGTTTTCAAAGACTCCAATTATAGCTTTTGAGTGTAAATCATGGAGAGAGACTTTTGAGCTCTCAGAGGAAGGACAAACAGAATAGGACCAGAACACAATTTGTGACGGTTTTTACTGTTTTTAATTTGAAGATATTTAAGCATGTGGTTTTTGAAAAGGACTTCTTCAAGTGTTTGTCTGCATCTGCAGTGTAAAACTGAATGCTCACTGTGGTCTGTGTTTTTAGAGAGTATTGTGTGTGTGTGTGCGTAGGTGTTACACAGTCAGCAGTGTGTTTCAACTGTTAGTTTGATCAGTCAGGACTGCTGATGGGGATTTCGAGGCCTGCTTCCCACAGCAAAATAACAACAGCAGTCCCTCAGTACCTCAGGACGCTGAAGTACGCAATACTACAAAGAAGAACCTCACACGTGATGTAAATATTTAAATATTTATAGAAGTTGGGCAATCTGAAACCCTGAAGCATGTTTTATCCTGAAAAAATTCAACCATGTCCAGTTCCACCCTGTAAAGCTGTTTTATTATAGTAATCGCAATTTACAATATAAAATAGAAAGGAAATAAGAATCAGAAAATGAACAGAAAATAAACAGCTTGTTTAACCTCCAAAACATCTGTGGCAAATCTCTGACGTGAAACAGCGGCTGTGGTTCAAAGGTAAAATCTTAAAGTAAGTTGCTGTGGTGGTCCTGAGGTGGTGACCTCTCAGACTCCCAGTGATGCCCCTGCTCCTCCTTCGTATGCCCCATCACTTCCTCGTAAGTCGGAGAGGCAGCATACTGGTTGCACAGTGACCCCTGCAGACTTGGAGCACACGCTGCAGACACACGGACAAACAGGGAGCCGTGTTTGAGCTTTAACTTCTTGTAGTTGTTTCCTGATGTGGGGACGACGTACACTCTGCCCAGCAGGTCGTCGTTCCAGCGATTGTCCCGATCCCAAACCTCAAAGCGGATCGATCTATGGAGAGAGTGCATGATCGGAGGGATGTCATCAGAAAAAATGTTCATTTCCTGAAAATTTGTTTCTTTTTCTTTCAAGATTGAAAACTCCAAATGTATGATGATGTACACCACAAAGATCTCACATGTTGGTACAAAGGTTAAAGACCTGGACACAATACAAGGAGGGACAATCACGTCAACATCTTGGGGTGTCTGATCCTTGTCCAGAGATTTCCACTAGACCTCAATGACTTTGTAAAACTGATGGCCAACTTGCACCACTGACCAAACGTCTCTTTCTCTGATCCAGATACCTGACTTTTTAAAGACACTATCTGACTGGTATCATGTGATCTGTTTTTATATTACATAAGACGAGGTAAGGTTTACTCACCTCCTGTGCCGTAGGTTGACAGTTTGGAAGCGAATGACGTAGTTCCAGGTCGGGAAGTCATTGTTCCAGATGACTGGTGTCACCGCTCCTTCTCTACCATAGAAGACCTTCACGTATCCGTCTGTCTTGGAGAAATAGTCTCCCCAAAGGCCCGCGGCACGGACCACCGTCACGTTCATCCGAGCTATGCCATGTTCAGCAGGGCAGCAATCAGCATTGACCATTCGGTGCCCCTTACAGTGACAAGCACAGTTCCGGTTCTGTCTGCCAATCTTGCAGCCAGCAGGGCAACGGAGAGGCTTGGCGCTCTTTCGGATGTAGTCACTGATGGCACCGCGAAGGCTGTCTTTGAGGACAGAGTTTTCTGTTACCTACAGACAGGAAGTAAGAGATTCACTTAAGTGCAAACTAAACTACATTCTCCAGTGTTTCAACTATTTTTCTTTCGGGTCTCTTCTGATTTTATACCAAATTTGGAGTGGATTCCATGAACCCTCTCAGAGGAGATGATCCCAGAAGGACCCTCAGAATGTATTAAACCAAATTTCACAATAGGTGGGCTTTCCTTTTGTTTTAGAATATGGACCTGAGAGTCCAGGTCTAGGTGGACAAAGTCTTTGTGCCATTTGTGCTCAGGCCCTAACTGTTACAATTTCATTTAGCAGATGCTTTTGTACAAAGTGACATCCATCGGAGCAAAAAAACCCCAACACAATCAAAGATCTAGACAGAAGGAGACATGAGTAAGACACACAAACCACTTTGAGTCCTGTTGGATGGATCCAGTCAGTTATTGTGTAAGAAGATACATCATTAAATAGAGTTTATTTTCCTCACCAGCAGATGTAGAGGGCTGATCTGATAGGAAACCACACCTGGGACTCTCCTCAAGGAGCTGAGCCACTTCTTGTACCCGGCTGCACCGTTTGGACTGAACAGGATATCCCCTACGTCCCCGTCTCCGCCTAGAACTTCAACGGTCCGGTCTGAGAAGGACTGGCTGAAGGTGGCTGCATTTTTCAGCCTCTTACCTTTGTTGTGACAGAACTTTGACTCTGCACTGATCGAGATGCCCTTTATGACAGCCCTGGCCTCCACACCCAGGCAGTTACTGATGGTGCGGGTGGACAGCTTGCTCATGGCAGCCTCGCAGGTCCGAATGGCGGTGATGGAGTTCACTCGACCTCCCAGCTGGACCCTGCGGATGAAGTGGGTCCCATAGATGGAGATGAACTGTTTGAAGGCTGAGGTGTTCTGGTGGTGGTGTGTGGAGGGGAGGTTCTTCAGGGACTCTTCAAACTCTTTACTCAGAGGAGGACGGGAGTGAAGACGGAAGCTATACGATATTAAGAACAACATAGAAAAACTCAGGATCCAAGTCAAGATGAAGAAACACTTTTGCTTAAGAGGTCTGAGCAGGTTAGTCCATTTATAAACTAGCAATCCTCAGCTCCTACTATCACTGACTCAGGTGACATCGATAAACAGCTCACTGTGTAACTCACGTGTAGTATTTGCACTTGAAGTCATGGGTGGTGAAGGAGAATTTGTCTTTCCTACTGCGACTCTCTGTAAATTTTGAGGAGACGGAGTGAGACCCCCCGACTGCAAACCCTCCGATTCCAGGAATACCAAGACCCACCTGCGAGAGACCCCACCGGTACAAAGAAGAACCTCACACATGATGTTTCACAAGGAGATTAAAAAGTGAGACTATTTTAATCTGGAAATGCTGCAGCTCATTAACAACTCTGTACCTTCCAACTGCTGCCAAGAGATTTACTTGTCTCTTTCATGAACGACTGACTCGACTCGAAGATCTTACTGCTCAGACTGCGCCGGCAGTGCACCTGAGAGAAGAGAGCATGCTGGGTAATGCTTGTCTTAAATTAGTCTTGATGCAGTCCATCGCTGTGCAGCAGGCTGAAGGAATCGAGTTATTCCAACATTTTTTGTGCACTTAGATCTTGAAACATGTAAAAACGCTAAATAAAAATCTACAATATTACTCAAAAAGCACCGCTCAATGATTCAAAGTCTAAGAAAGCCTTAATTTCTCTCACCTTGATCCTCCAGTCCAGGACTGACACCGGGAGTTTCTGGGTCTGATTGATTTAAAAGCAAAAAACAGGAAACAGGTAACAATCAGGTGTGGAATGAACCAGTGAATTTCCATTATATCAGAAAGACTGGAAAAGCACTCGGAGAGCGCAGACCTCTACCAAGCAGCTCATGTCCCCCCTTATATTGATTCACACCAAAACTTTTACTGTTACGTGTCTTTTTTATTAACTTTTATTTGTGTTTAAACTGGTATGTTCACTGTTCATAATGTTCCTAAAACAAGAAATGCCCTGACCAGGATTCAAACCCAGGACCTTCTTGCTGTGAGGTGACAGTGCTAACCACTACACCACTGTGCCGCCTATCTACACCACTGTGCCACCCATTGGTTATCTTTCAGCATTGAAAGTTCCAACGACACCCTTATTTTTGTGTGTTCTGGATCACAGTTTCTGGAATTTTGTCTGGATCAGGATCAACCTTTGACACCTCATAAAACTCATTGAGATCCTTTTGTGTAATTTCTTACTAAAGACTCTGGCCATTTTTATAGAGTTAAATGCAAAAATTCCAAAATGTGCCCTATCTCGAAATGATAAAGAATCCTTCAAAAAATTCCTGGATCCAGAAGGCGATCCGGATCACCACCATAATGTAATGGGATCCTCCTGGGGCTGAGATGCACCTCTGGTGAAAATTTCAGGTCAATCTGTCTGTAACTTTCTCCGTAAAGTTGTTCACAGACAAACAAACAAACTAACCAACAAACCAACGCTACCGAAAACATAACCTCCTTGGCGGAGGTAAAAAGAAACCTTGGCTCTGTGGAGCATTTTTACATGAAGTTGGATTTTTAAACTGCAGCATAGACTGCATAAGAACATAGTAAACATGCATAGTTCCCCCTTATGACTGTCTGCAGTATAGATCCTAAGCCCTGCCTTCTCCATGTAAACAAACAGGACATGAGTCAAACTCTAAAATACAAATCCAGGTCTATTAAATGTTCCTTTGACATGGTTTCTGTCATTTCAGTGATTTTTTATTTAAGCTTATTAATGCCACAATGTTTCTTTTTCTGACAGATTTGGTTTGAATTAGTTTTTGGTGCTCTGATTGACAGTTGTATTGACCAACAAAGCTCCTGGACAGACTTTTGACTTTCACTTGTGAAATGTCAGTGTGGTCTTTTGGTTTTTTCTTTTTTGCTCTCCTTTTTGCCTCAGTGATCTGACCTGGTTCAGGAGGTGGTTGTGGCACACGGTGCAGTTCCCCTGAACTCCCCCCACCATGAAGTTCTTCACATCAACCACACTAGCTCCGGTAGTCACCATCTTCACTACGTCAAAACCCTCACCCGCGAGGCTGTGACCGGGGACGAAGGGGGCGTTTTGACACTCGGTGAAGGAGCTGGTCTGACAGCCCAGAGAGTGAGGGAGGAAGAGAGGGAGGAGAAGGAGGGAAGAGAACATTGTAGGGCTGAGGAGAAAGAGGAGAAGAAGACAGTTATTCTCATGGAAAATGATAAAGTTTTTTATTTATTCTCTCAGGTCTCAGAGTTTCTGGACTTTTACTGCATTCGAGTTACCTTGGAAGTCAGAGGTTTGAGCTGAAAATGACGTCACACACGAGTTCCCAGTGTTTCAGTTACCAAGTCGGAAAAAAGCAAAATCAGAGGCCTGAAACAAGATGGCTACATCTACAGAAGTTATTTTAGCGCTTGCCTTATGTTTGGACAAGGCAAGCTCTAAAATAACTTCCGTAGATAAAGCCATCTTGTTTCCGCTTTTTTGCTTTTTTCCAACTTGGTAACTGAAACGCTGGTAACTCGGGTGTGATGTCATTTTCAGCTCAGACTTCTGACTTCCAAGGTAACTCGAATGCAACATTTATCCCACGGAGTGTAGCTTCGTCTCTCCATTGACTTAAAACAGTTTTAAGATATTCCAAACAGGTGATTGTTTATTATTAGATAAATAAAATGCTCGTTATTTTCTGCAGTAAACATATAATTAAGAATAAAATTTGTCATATGGCACCTCTGACAGATTATAACCTCAAAGGTTAAGTTGCTTTAAAATTAATTTGTTAAGAAGAAATGAAGGGTTGGGGTTAGTCTCTGTGATCAGCAGTGATGACCCAGACAATGGCCTTATTTTAACTGATTCTATTCACTGGTGAAAGCCATTTTTTTTTCAAAAGTAAATATTCAAAAACCTATAACAGGCTTAACCATTCTGGGTCTGGAATTAACGAACCACGTGTTGAATACACAGTTTTTTGAAATTAGTAATCTACAGACAGCTCTGCACTGTATGGCTGGAAAATGTAAATTAAAAAGATCAAATGAATGTGATAAATTATCAACGTTAAAGATTATAGTAAAAGTTATTTCGACCATCAATTTGAGTTTCTGCATGGGAAACTGTGCCGACCTACCCTCTGGGCGATAACAAAGATGATGTAGATGTTGATTAGTGGTTCTTCCTCCTTTGTGTGGACGCTCCAAGTCTCTCTGGCTGATTTTGAAAACACTGATGGAGACGTTTCAGTACTTCACACTGAGACCACACCCTCAAACACTTTTGAGGACAGTGACAGAAAAAGATATTTAATTTCTTCAAACAACTGTTGGACAGAAATTCAACTTTTTTGTTCAATTTAATATTTTTAGAGTTGTCAAAGAAGTTTGAGTCAAAAATCTGAACATATTAAGAACAGAGATGTCATAAAATTATGAGATGAAACAAATTCAGGGTTTCAGGACTTTTTTATTCCATTGCCAAGTTCTTCAAAGTAGTATTTGATAGTGGTTATATAAGAAAGATATAGAAAGAACAGTTGTACCGTACAATGCAAATATATTCTATGATAAAACAGCTTGATCATCCCACAGCTAGAGGTCAGACTGTTCAAAGTCAGATTTTATCCACAGAAAATAAAAAATGTGTGGCTTTTATAAACAAAACATCTCCTTTAGTAGCATGTCAGGGCTGAGGTCAGGCCTCTAACCTAGACTTACAACTACAGCTGACAACTCCCCACAGCATAACTACTGGAGAAAACATTCGACTAGTTAATAAATGACTTAATGAAACCATCAAAACAAACAAAAATCTGTGAAGAGACAAGGGGAATTTTTCAGAAATATACAGAATAAGTATTTCAATAAGCTTTAAAAGTTGCAATATGTAAGCTTAGATTGTGTTGTTTTGATCACACACAGATACTTTGCTGCTTTTTGATGAAAATTATTGCAACATTTGGATCAATATGTTGTAAAATGACAAGAACAAAATCGTGAAAGTCCATTTTTCCTAGGAGGAAAAACTTTTTATTTGAAACTCATAAAAATAAAAATATTTGATAAATGTTGAACTGACATTAACCTGAACCAGTGTGGCTCCAAACAAGATCATCTGTTTTTTTTACATACAGTCAAAGTATCTGTGTGTGTGTTTCTGTGCATGTGTGTGTTGCTCTGTGAGTGTGTGCATGTTGGGGGTGTTAACCGTGTGACTTAGACGACAACTTTTCTGCTGAGCCTGAAGTTTATATTCCCTGAAACACACGACAACTTCCTGTGAAACACACACACACACACACACACACACACACACACACACACACACACACACACACACACACACACACACACACACACACACACACACACACACACACTGTGTGGTTTGGACATGATGTACTCTAAGTCGTCAGAACTTTCAGTCTATTTCATAAAGTAAAAACCTTCACAGGAGCTCAAAATATAATGTACTTCTATGAACAGAGTGAATGCAGATTAAACTTTTGTAGTCCTACAAATTTTTTGCTGGAAATAAAAACACTTTTGAGCAATAAAATAACCCCAAGATGAACATATTGTGTTAAACACTTTATTTTTTTTACGTATACAACCCTAAAATTATGTGCTTCTCTGTAACAGTCTAGCTTGATCAAGTCTGAATCTTGTGTTATTCCATAAAGGGATGCCACAGGGTTCAATTTTAGGCCCAATGCTCTTCACTATTGACTTAAATGATATAATTTTCCCTTTTAATGTCTGTCATACTCACTTTTATGCAGATGACACGATCATGTTTTTTGAACTGATTTTATACAGAAAGCCACCAGGAACCTGCAGTTTGATTTTAATTATTGTCAAGAATTTCTAATCAGCCTTAGAGTGGTAAAACAGAGCTTAAGGTGTCTTGGAGTATAGCGTGATGAGAAATACATGCAAATACTTTATTTTGAAGGAAGTGAGTTGTTGAAGCAGTGTTTTTATCTGTCTCAGATTATGGTGAAGTTATATTTAGACATTTTTTTAGGCTCTTATTCGTCAACCAACCAGCACTGTTCTAAAGTCAACCTCTGTCAGAGATGTTAACACAGATTCAGCCTGCTCAAATGGAGAAATAGATTTGTCACTGTTGCTGGTGGTGTCTTTAATGACTGACTGTCTAATGTTTTTGTTGTTTTGTTGTGTTTTTGTTGAGTGGAGTGTGCTGCTGGCTGTATAACAAATTACCAGTTGGGGATCATAAAGCTGATCTTGACTCTTGATGAAAGAGGGGTGCACACTTTAAAATAAATGTGCTGAATTTGGGCCAGATACTTTCTTTCACGGTTAATCCCACTTTCCCTCATTTCCTAACCTTTCCATCCTTTCTCCTTCCTGTCTCCTTCCACCCTAATTCCTCCCTCCATCCACCTGTGTGTCCTTCTTCCTTGCCGTCTTTCCTCCCTCCCGTTGTCTCTTGCTCCCCCTGCAGGCCGACTGTCACATTGCAGTTGATCAGTTTCACCTTGGGCTGAGGTTGAAGGGCAGGAGAAGAAGTGTGTGTGCGTGTGTGTGTGTGTGTGTGTGTGTCTATGTGTATGTGTGTGTTATAAGGCAGTTGGTGCAGCAGAGTGCAGGATTCGTGCTCCATACACACACACACACACACACACACACACACACACACACACACACACACACACACACACACACACACACACACACAGTCTTGTAGGTTATCATAGATGGCAGTGATGGCTCTGTTTGTCTCTGCAGTGGCGTTATGAGATTAAATGATGCCTCAGTGATAACACTGATGTACCCACACATACGCACACACACGCACACACACACACACATACACACACACACACACACACACACACACACACACACACACACACACACACAGGTGCTGCTCTTATATTATTCACTCTCTCAGTACTTTCTCTTATTTGTTTGTTATTTATTAATTTGTTTCTTTTGTTCTCCTTATTTTAACTACTATAACAATGATAGAGAATGAACACATTATTTGCATTATTTTGTTTTTTCTTGGAGAATTTTGACTTTTATTATATTGTTTTTCTTTAATTAAACCAAAGTTTTCTTTTTAGTTCACCAGTGTAACTCCTGACAAACTTTCCATGTGTGATATAAGAATCAGTGCACAAAGGCAACTACCCGGAACACCTACCTGACATGGTGAAAGGAGCTAACACCTTTTCTGCTTAAAATAAAAGGCTAGAAGTTGAAAGTGCAGCTCAGAGAAAGGCCTGACTTAGGTTGAGACCAGCTCAAAGGCTCAGACTGTTTTAGACTTAGACTGTTATAGACTCAAACTGCTTTAGACTAACACAGTTAGAGGCTCAGACTGTTTTAGACCCAGGCTTTCATAGAGACTGAGACCATTAACACTTTGAGAAAATTGTCCCTACATGTCGGCTAATCAATTTCCTTAGTCAATGATTCCCCAGACTGCTATTCAATCAGTTGCCCCCTGCTGGACATTAGAGGAACACTTTTTCCCTTGTACAGTCAGAGATCTGTGAAACACATGAATCTGCCTGCAGTCATTCACGTAAATCTCTCCTTCCTCTTGTCAGAATCTACAAAATCTCTTCATCTGCTCCTCCTCTTTATCACTTCCTTCCCCTTATAAACATCCAGTAAACTCTTTTATACAGCTGATTCTCTGACTCCAGATCTGTCTGCTCAATTTAAACACCTCTCAGCGTTTTAGCAGTCAGTGACAATCAGTCCTGTCACTTATCTCTGACACAAATGTGTTCGCCTTGTAACAGAGCTACCACCTTTTAAAAAAATACTCAGTTTGATTGTTGGAGTTTAGAGTCATCTTTCAGTTGCCAGTACAAAAAAATTGCAGTTCCTCAAGTGTCCACTAGAGGCTGTCATTGAAAGTGAGTTAATCTCTATTAGGTCCATATTAAAATTCAACTTTGAGACAGAAACAAACACGTTTACAGTGAAATCTGCACAGTTTCAAGACCTGGACAGAGACACACCTTGTGAACCTAGAGAGCAAACCTGAACTCACATCTAGGCTTTCTTGAGTTTGAGTGAGTACCTTGCTATCAAGCGAATTAAATAGGAGTGAATGTGGTTCATCTGCACTGTAAGCCTCATATCAGCGCTGAATTTTGACTTGTGGTGCATTACAGATGCTTTTATTGGTTAAAACAGATGCAACAACAAAGAATGACATTTATGTGGACAAATAAGTGTCGTCAGCATAGTGCTTTATTTTGGTTCTTTTCATTGAGGTTAAAACCAGGACAGGGATTGTCAAAAATCTGGACATATTCATGTCTCTACATTTTATCAGGAGCCAAAAGTGGTGATTCAAATAAAAACAAATTTTGGACACCTGTAGAAATGGATGATGATGTAAGGAAGTCAGTGCATTTATTAGTTAAGTTCAGGAGGTAAGTTGCCGGAGAGTGATGTTTTCTTCTATCTCTATGTTTTTTTTAATCAACACAGCAGTAACATTACTACTAAAATGACTAACTCTGTCATTGTTATTGTATTTTTTTCAGCTAGCATAATCCTGAGGTACAAAAATTGAACGTGTCACTGTCCTAATCAGACAATCACACCAGGAAAAATCCCAGAAATTCTAAATGTCTGAGGCTAAATTACAAATAAATGAATAAATTCTATATAATTTTTCAGGTGTTTTTGAGTTATTTTGTAAGACATTTGTTTCTTGCAGTGGTGGATATAATGTCTCCAAGGTCAGCAAGATTTTTAGTTAATGTAGTGTCTGTACAAAGTCAGGCAGAGGGCACTGATGGCTCTTTTTCCTGGTTTTATCAGGAACATGTGGAGACAGAGAGGAAGGAGGTCAGGTCTAAATATTATTCTGCTCATGTCTGAGGGAAAGCTCTGCAGCTGACCTGCTGTCAATTATTCATAAACACAATTTCCTCCTTTCTGCCGCTCAGTAACTCAGACTTCCTGTCAGTCCTCACACAGATGTGTTCATTCACCTGTTATATAACTCCACCTGTCCTCCTCACATTAAAGTTTATGTGGGTGACAGAGAGAGAGGGAGGAAGGCAGGTACAGACATGCTCACTCGACCAGCAACGAAGAAGAAGAGGAGGAGGAGGGGGAGGAGAAGGAGAAGGACGGAATTAGTCTGAAACACAGACTGACAGCACTCTTCTTCTTCTTCTCTTTCTTCTTCTTCATGAGTCAGCGCCGCCTTCAGCCGCCAG